GGACATTCTTCGTTCTCGAACGCTCGCTTTTATTTTTGCTATGCCGTTGTTGTTCTTCTTCTTCTTCTTCTCTTTTTTCTTCTTTTCCTCGAGATCTCTTGGACAACCCGACGTCATTATCGTCCTCCAGAGACCGCAGGGAGTCTAGTAACTGTCTTCTCACGTCTTTTGCAAACTCCAAGCCCCGTTCAGATAACGAATACTCTCTCGCAAAATCTCTGCGATACCGTTCTCTCTGCCAACGCTCGAACGTTCTTAGAAACACGATGTGATCTCCGAGCGCGAAAGCATCCTCGGAGACAATCTTCTGTAAAGGGTTCCCTCGGTATTCTCTGCTCTTACTATGCGAAGAGAAATCCGCAACTTCCAATCTGTCTACCGATAACATAGCCGCTATCGTCGCGCACTCTTCGACGCACCCCAATTTCTTCGCCTCGAGCATCGCCCGCGCTAAGTTTGGTTCCAAAGGTAAAGGGGACATTTCTTTACCAATCTTTGTAATTTTTCCGTTCTCATCAATCGCATCCAACACGTATAACTGTTTCAAGGCGTCTTTCAACGCGGATTCTTTAGGGCGATCGAGGAAATCAAACCGTAAAACGTCCATATCCTCCAACTCTAAGGATTTCAAGTATAAAACGACGTTCACGAGAGACGTTCTTTGGATTTCCGGTTCGGTGGCGTCAGCGAAATCGAGCTGGAAATTTTCTTTCGTGTATAAACGATAGCACTTCCCGGCTTGCGTTCGTCCAGCTCTTCCGGCTCTCTGCGTTGCCTGAACTTTAGAGATTTGCTCGACGTCTAAAGTTTCGATGCCAGTCGCCGCGTCGTATCGCTTCAATTTGACCACCCCGGGATCGACGACGTAGACGATTCCAGGTACCGTCAACGACGTTTCGGCTATGTTTGTGGCGATTACTATTCTTCTGCACGTAGATTCTAAACTTTCTGGTTTTTTCGAAAAGACTCTCGCTTGCATTTCCGGCGTCAGCGCGGCATACAAAGGTATAATTTGAGCCAATTTACCTCGCATACTTTCCGAATCCATCTCCTTGACACGTTCGTCGAGAATCTTACACGCTCGGTCGATTTCACTCTTACCCGTCAAGAAACACAAAATATCTCCGGGAATTTTCGCAGATTCGTGTATTTGTAAGACCGTATCGATGGCGGCATCGAAATAAGCAATGCTACTCTTCCCGTTATTCGAAACCGTCGGGGGTCTTTCCAAAGCGTGCGAAATTTTCACCGGAAACGCTCTCCCGGGAACGTTGAACACCGGACAGTTGTTAAAATAAGCGCTAAATTTCTCCGAATCTAGCGTCGCGCTCGTTACTACTACTTTCAAACCATTCTTGTTATTATTATTACTATTATTCGATGTTAACTTCTTCAATATCCCAAACAACACGTCCGTGTTTACGGACCTCTCGTGCGCTTCGTCCAGGACTACGACGCCGTATCTTTGCAACTCCGGATCCGACAACACTTCTCTCAGCAGCATCCCGTCCGTTAAGTATTTAATCTTGGTATTCTTGGACGTGTTATCGTCAAATCGGACGGAATATCCAACCACGCCTTGGCCAAACCTTTTCTTCGTGTTCTTTCTACTTTCCTCTTCTTCGTTCTTCGGATTCTCGTTATTCTTCTTTTTGTTCTTTCTCTCGTTTTTCTCGCACATCTCCTCGTGCACGCGTCTGGCGACTGAAATCGCCGCCACTCGTCTCGGCTGCGTGACGGCGATACCCGATAATCTTCTTTTTAATCTTCTTCTTCCTTCTCTTTTCCATCTTTCATTCCAATTCTCGTTTCCATTTTCATCATCGTCTTCGTCTTCGTCTTGTTTCTGTTGTTGTTGTTCTGTTGATAAAATCTCGTCGATGTGTTCGTACACTATCTGCGCGATTTGTGTCGTCTTCCCGGACCCGGTTTCTCCTAAAATAACCACCACTGGATTCTCCTTTACCGCGCGGACGATTTCGTTTTCATATCGCCGAATTGGAAGAAGATTTTTATCCATTCGCCAACTGGAAGTGAAGTGTGCTTCTTTCTTCTGACGACGATTCGAAAATTCCTCGCGAGAGACGAATGTCTTCACTTTCACTTTTCCTTCCTTTGGAGTATATTACACATACGACATCGAGTCAGACAGAGAAAAAAGAGAGAGAGAAAAGAGAACTCAATCACTTTCTGCGCTCTTCTTTTCTCTCCCTTCTTTTCTCTCTCGAAACATGGCACCGCCGTCGGCAGCTGTCCTGAAGAAAGCTCGAGAAGCGGCGGCGAAATTGAAGAAAGAGAAGAAGATGAAAGACGAAGAAGATTTGGAAGGAGATATGTGCGGACCGATGATGGGACCACCACCGACGAGAGTATCAGAAAAAGAAGAAGAAGAGGAGTTCGATTTGGATGAAGCAGAAGCTGGTCCGACCATGCCACCGCCAAGGGAGACGACAACAGAGAAGAAGAAAGGACGGTGGGGAGACGATGATGAATCCTCGGACGAGGAAAAAGAAGAAGAAGAAGAACCGACGACGACGACCATGGCGAATGATAATAATACTAAAAACAACAAGCAGAAAGAATCGTATTTGGAGAAAATGATGAACGAACAAGCAGAGTTTGCGAACTTTACGGCGCAGCAAATGCAAGAAGATGGAGAAGGAGGAGAGGACGGGAGCGTTCGCGAAGACGACGCGAAACGAAAAAGGACCAAGCGAGAGGCGGTTGACGTGGCGAAGTTATTGACGCCCCCGAGCGATGATTCTGACGAAGACGACGATAATGATAAGAATATGCATGGTAGAAAACACGCGGAAATCGGAAGAAGACAACAAGCTAGAATAGATGCGACGCCGGAAATGGAGGATCTGGAAGATGGTCATAAAACGATGGATACCCCTCCGATGGGAGGAGAAGTTGAATACGACGACAGAAAAGAAGCCGGTCCTACGTTGCCACCGGCATCGGTGCGAGAACAAATTGTAAACGCAAACAGAGGTATGGTTGAAGAACGAAGAGCGTTACTGGACGGCGCCGTGGCGAATAATAAGAATATCAACACGAATGAATTTTCTGAATCGGAAGAAGACGAAGAAGATGGCAGAAAAATGGAATACGTGCCTCTTCTGCCGAAACCTCACGACCATAAAAAAGCGTGCAGGTCGGTCGAATGTTTCCAAAAGCTTGGACACATCGATGAAGGTACGTACGGGGTCGTTTTCAAAGCCAGAGATAAGGAAACGGGAGAAATCGCCGCGTTGAAAAAAGTAAAAATGGACAAGGAAAAAGAAGGCTTCCCGGTAACCGCTTTGAGAGAAATTAACACTTTGTTGCAGTTACAACACAAGAACATCGTGTACGTGAGTGAAGTTGTTGTTGGTCGATCAATTGATCAAGTTTTCATGGTCATGGAATATTGCGGACGGGACTTGAATCGCATGATGGATGACATGAATCGGGGATTTACGCTCCCCGAGTGCAAATGTTTAGCCTGGCAACTGTTATCAGGCGTGAGCTATTTACACGAAAACTGGGTCTTGCACAGAGATTTGAAGACAACAAACGTGTTGTTTAACGATTTAGGCGAGTTGAAGATTTGCGATTTCGGTTTAGCCCGAGAATACGGGTCGCCTTTGAACAATTACACACCGTTAGTGTGTACGCTCTGGTATCGACCGCCCGAGTTACTTTTAGGCGAAAAGAAGTATTCCTACGCGGTCGATAATTGGAGCTTGGGGTGCATAATCGCTGAATTATTACAAGGGAAACCGTTATTCCCCGGGCGAACTGAAATCGATCAAATCGATAAGCACTTTCGCATGCTCGGCACGCCGAACGAACAGATATGGCCAAAATTCAAATCCTTGCCGCACGCCACCAAAGTGAACTTCGCCGTCCACCCGCACAACTCCTTGCGCCAGCGCTTTCCGAAATATCGCGAACGTGAAGACGAAATTGAAATTGGTCCTGGAATCTCCGACGCTGGCTTTGATCTTTTGAACGGCTTATTAGTTTTTGATCCGGAGCGGCGACTCTCGTCTACGGAGGCCTTAAAAAGCAGTTGGTTCGCCGAAGCGCCGAGGAAGAATAGCAGCAGAGAGTGGCAGGAATTGTTGAGACGATTAAAATAGATTAAATTAGTAACAGAATGTAAAACAATATAGAATAGAACGCACGATAGACGCAAAAAGTAGACGAGGAAAGAGTCGCTGCTCGTCATAGTTTTAGTTTAGTCTCTTCTGTTTTTCGCTCGTTCCTTTCTTTCGCACAAGCACAAGAGTATGGGCTCAGGAAGTCGGACCAAAAAAAGCAGAGAAAGAAACATTTTATAAGCGTCATCGTCCTCACTTTGGTAAAACAACCACGCGGGGATATCATCTCAGTGCATGTCAGACGAGAAATTCTCGGACATAGATTGGAAGGTAAACATATTTTCTCAATTCGAATTCGATGCGTTGGAGCGATGATATCCGTCGCGTCGCGCACCTGCGCGCGCGCATTTTTCGTCATCCTCTTTCTCGGAGGACTGTAGAAAACCTGTATTTCTTTTACCGTACTTATTGTAAATTCGGAAGTGAAGTCGTTACGGGCAAAAAAGGAAAGAGCGAAGACGATAATTGGAATCAAACTCGAGAATTAGGAAGATATATATCTCGCGAGCGTAACTCTGGAGAAAGTTTTGAAATGCGCTCCTCGCGTTCGTCTCTCTCGCGCGTGATTGAGAGCGTAAATTTTTCTTGGAATCTTCCTTCTCTCGTGCCGCCGTCACCAATTCATCGTATGGTGAACGATGCGTTCCGGAAGTTTTGTGACGAGGATCGCTTGACCTCACCGCATCGGCCCACGGCCCGAATTCAAGATAGTAATATATTGTCAGCGAACGGGTTGTATTTATACGATTGAAACTGACCATTTTCAACCTCCTTTTCTCTTCCTCTTTATCCGTATGACCAAAACCAGATTCATCAAGTGCTCTCGAGTGATAAGGTTCAGCGCATCAACACGCCGATAGTACAACTGCACTTTCGCACCACCACACAGACAAACAACGAACAGGAGAAGTCTCAAGTACTCGAACTTGATAAATCAGAACTCGAAACCGTCATCGCATCGTTAGAAGAAGCTAAGGAAGCACTGGCGAGATTGAACGACACGAACTCGAAGAAATAAAAAATATCTAATAAACGTTTTAGAACAAACAAGCTCTGGAACAAGAATATACAAAAGCAAAAACAATCACGATGGCCGTCACGCAAAACAACAACAAGCAAGAATTAGCTGGCTTCCACAAAAAGTGCGCGTCGTTGAAGAAAGAAGGCGATCAACTTTTCATGAAGCAAGACCACATGAACGCCATTCGCGCGTACGGGAGAGCTTTGAGTTTAGCGTTAGCAGGGAGTCCGGAAAGATCTGCCCTCTTGACCTCTCAAGCTGCGTGCTTTATCCGTGAGAAGCGCTTTCGGGAAGCCATCGAGTGCTGCACGGCTGCTTTGCAGGATATTCCGAATGGGAAGGTTGCGTTGAAGCGCAGAGCTACGGCGTATGAACAGTTGGGTCAGTTCAAAGAGGCGCAACACGATTTGGAAGTTGCGTGGAAGCAAGACGATACGGACGAGTCGGTCAAGACCATGCTGGACAAAGTTCGCGGCAAAGCAAAAGCGGCGGCGAAGAAAAAGACGGCAGTGAGTGGATTGGGCGGATCGAGCTTGGAAAAGCGACCGCAGCAGTACACTCGCGAGCAAATCGCAGCAGCGCAGGCGCAGCAGCAAAGACAAAGAGCGTTGCAAGCGCAAGCGCAGCAGCAGATCCCAGACTTGACGATTAGATTCATGAGAGAAGGCAAGGATTCCGCGGAAGTGAAAGTACCGGTTACCGTGACGTACGTTGACTTGGTGAACCATGCAAAGAAGTCGTTCAGCTTGGAAGAGAATAAGAATATCATCTTGAAATGGTTGGATTTAGAAGACGAAATGATGACCTTGACCTCTAGAGCGGACTTGAGATTTGCGTTGCAGACGTTTGCGAACGAGCCAGAGTATAAGAAAGCCCAAGAAGCCAAAGTTAAGGACGGAGCAAACCAGGAACTTCCAGTAATTGAGCTTCGCGTTCACGACTCGGAGGGAACGGTGTCCGAGACCAAGGAGAACGTACAACCGGAAGAGTTGGCGACCGAAGATGAACCAGCCGAGGATGTCATTGAAATCGACGAGTGGTTGTTGTCGTTCGCGGCATTGTTCAGGAAGACATTGGGCGAAGCTGCGCCCCCGAAAGGACCGTTAGACTTGAGAGAGATTGGCTTGGAAAAGTGCTGCGAAACGTTGGAGAAGGCGGTTGGTTCGCCCGAGGCAAAGACGTTGTTGGGTGCCGCCGCGGACAAGTTTCAAGAGGCAGCGACGGCAGCTATGTTTAACTGGGGTAACGTGCACGTCTGCGCGGCTCGTAAAATCATCGACGTCGCGGCTTTGAAGAAGAAAACGGAGAGAGATGGAGAAACCAAAAACGAAGAAAACGAAAACGTGGAAGACGAATACGCCAACATTAAGCAAGACTTGCCGGAACTCGACGCAGAGTTTAACAAAGCAATCGCTTTGTTCCAAAAAGCGCTCAACATTAAGGGTGACTTTTTTGAAGCGTCCATCGCGTGGGGTCAGCAAGCCTTTGAGAGAGCGAAGATTCATTCGAACCTTGCCAAATTGGAATCTGACAAAAAGGAAAAGCAAAAGTTGGAGAAAGAAGCGGACAAGATGTTCGATTTGGCTCTTCAAAAGTTTGACGAATCCATGAAGATGCTCAGTCCGGAACAGCGAGACGTTGTTTTAGTCGAAGGGTCCGAGGAAACCAGCGGCGTCAAGGCTCAGATTTTAGTTCTCTGGGGCAACGTTTTGTACGAGCGATCGAGCGTCAAGTTCCTCCGAAACGATAAGAGCTGGAAGAAAGACACGCAAAGCTCCGTGGCCAAGTTTAACGAAGCCGCGTGTGCGAAAGGAGACATCGTCAGAGCGCTTCAGAATCACGCTTCCAAGGAGTGGGAGGATGAAGAGAAAGCAAAGAAAGAAGCTGGCGTGGCGTAAAAAAGTAATAACGAAATTAGATCTAAGCGAAACTAGTGTTGCGTTGCAAACAACAACCTTGAAATTATAATAATCAAATATAATCTTTACGTAGAATTACAACGGCAGTATACCTGCTCACACGAACACACACTCACACATAAACACGCACACATAAATTAAGTATTCTTCTCTTTACGCCTCCGTTGGTACGTTTGAAATCACCAAATCGTTCATTTCTGGTACGCTCTTGATGACCAACCCGTGCTCGTTCGCCAAATGCAACGCGCAAATAAACGCCATGTGTACCGAAATATCTTCCAGTCGTCCGGCCGGGTTCTCTTCTGGAAATTGGCTCAAGATTTCGTGAAATGAATGCTTCTGCTCCATCGTTGCGTTTTCTTCCTCTAAGTCTTTCCAGATTGTTTGCTTCAACGCGCGGATGTCGACAACTTTCGTCGTTCTCGCGTAGTTCACTTCTATTTTCTCAACCTTTCGAGGCGCATCAACCAAACCATTATCACCGTCGTCGTTCCATCCACCAGCAGCGCCGACGAGTTCATTTCCATCCTCATCTCTTTGAATGTCGTCGTCGTCAAAACCGCCGCCAAAGTCGCCACCGTCGAACCCGTCGTCGTTGTTCGGAATGAAAAGATTGTTGTCGTTGTCGTGGAAGTTAATCTCCGAACGCACGGCAGCTCGTTTTGGTGCCATCACCGTGTTCACAAATTGCGGTTTCAAGAACAACTTGATCAAATCTTCAGCCTCGTAGCCCAAATCTGGAGGTAACAACGTATCGCTCGTTGTCAATTCAGATTTCAAAAGTAAATCATTCGGGTCTTCCGCCATATCGAAACGCTTATCGTCCAACTCCGGTAAGTTTTCGAAATCGTACGTCAAGTCTCTTTCTCCTCTTTTCTTCTTCTCTTTATCACCAGCAGCGGAAGCTTTGATCGGTTCACCATTTTCGTCGTATTTTGTGACTTGAGAGGTTGACGCCGCGCTCGTCTTCTTGAAATGCCAATGCGACGGGCCCGCCCACGCGTGCTTCCCACCAATAGCCACGTTCGCGACCCAATCCAAAGACCCGGTATCTGCGGTGAGGTTGTTCTCGTAATCGTCTTCTTCATCGTTACCGAGACGTCCCCAATCGTTCTCGTCGTCGTTGTCGCCAAACCCGCCGGCTCCGTCGCCGAGTCCCCAATCTTCCTCTTCGACGTTGACGTTGAAAACGTCGTCTCCATCACCACCACTGGGAACGTTATCTTCGTCGTCCTCGTCGTATTCCGCGAACGTGATCGCGCCTTGGTCGGACGCTCCGCCAAAGAAGTCATCACCACCTTCCGCGGCAGTCGCATTCGAGGAAGTCGTCGCCCCGCCACCCATATTCTCACTTCCAGGCTTGTTGTACGGAACACCAGTCACTTCGGCAAGCATTTCATGCACGATATCAATCGACGGCGTGATCCTTGTTCGCGTTTGTCCAACAGCAAACGCATTGGCAATCTCTCTGGACATCTGCGACAAATCGAACGTCCCGGCCCCGCCTTCCAAATCGTCGCCTCGCGTGTAATCCGGAACTTCCTCGGAATCAAAGCAAATATTGCACCCTTTGTGCACGGCCAAGTTGTTCAACAACAAACCACTCGCTCCACCTTCGTCAAACATAGACGAGGTCTTCTTGAACAAAGGATCCACGTGCACGACGTCGTCCATGACTTTCATCGTGTGATTTTCCGGATTTTCCAACGTGACCACGTTCGACGATCGCGTGGATTGTTTCTTTTGCTTCGGAATCGGATTCCCATCCTCGTCAAATTCTTCCGCACCATCACCGGAACCTCGTCTCGGATCATCCATGTTCTCTTCGTCTTCACCGTTATTCCCGGAGGCGTTTGATATCCCGCCGAGCATACGAAACGTCTCCGAGTGAAACGAATCAACTCTCGAGGCATAAATCTTTACCCCAGCCTCTAAAGTACACGACGCTTTTTGAAAGTTTGTGTTATCATCCTCGTCTTTCTCATTCTTGACGATATCGGAAATGTGATCGATCAACGCCAACGACCACGTGTTCTTCGCGTTGATTTTGTTCTCCGAGGCCAATTTGATACAGTTGGCGTACAAATTCATGACCGCATCTTGCGTCAACTTTGGTTTGTTCGTCGTTGCCGCGGCTTTTTTCTTTTGTCGTTGCTTTTCTCGTCCGCCTGCTTTTTCCACGTTTTCGTGGCCGTCGGCGTTTTCTTCGCCGTCGTCTTCTTCCTCGTCTGAGGAGGAGGAGGATAAATTCGCGACGTCGATATTCTCCAACTGCTTCTCCACGTTCTTACTCAACTCTCTCCGAAACGCAGAGACCGTTTGTCTTTTCTTCATCGACTGCTGTCTTTCCAAAGTGTCGTCGTTCGGAGATAACAATCCCACCACGGCTAAAGGGGATTTCAACGGCGTTTTCGCTTTCCTCCCTCCGCTTTGTTGTCTGTTGTTGTTGTTGTTGTTCGTCATTGGCGTGTTTTCCCCGTCGTGATGATGATGTTGCGTCGCATTATTTAATCTTCTCGGCGTTAACAGCGCTTCCACCCCGGATGACGGCGACTTTCCTGGCGTTGTTGTTCTCACCATATCTCTTCTTCTTTTTTATCAGGAGACTTTGTTTGTGTGTATAGATAATATATACACAAACGCGCGCGATTTTAAAGAGTAAAGATACAATTCTCCCTCTTCCCTCTTTTTTTTGTTTTTTGTTTGTTCCCCTTTTGTTTTGTCTAAAACCTGAAATTTTCTCTCTCTTCTCTCTTCTTTTTTTTTTGGTGTCTTTTTCTTGTCTTCTTGAAAAAAGAAAGAAAATTGTGAGCACCTACCCTTTTTGAATCTCTTCGTTCTCTCTTCTCTCTTTCAAATTTTCTTCTTCTTCTCTTCATTTTCTTCTCTTCTCGTGATATAAAAACGTTTGATATATATACACCAACACAAAAGAAGAGAGTGTGTGTTAGAGAAGAGAGATGAATATCGGAGAGGACGAGTGGGAGGATGAACTCTTCGATGGCACCGTAGCGTGTGTATTCACCACCGCGGAGAAGAAATTAGCGGAGAGGAACATAAACAACAACAACAACAACAACAACAGAAAGAGAGACTACACGGACGCGATTTTGAAGACAACGATAAAAAAGTGTACTACCGAAGAGGGAATGGATGGACGCGAGAAGGATGCCTTGCAGTTGAGGGCGTCGTCTTCTCCTCTTTATAAAACGAAACGAGCGATGGATTTTGCCTCGCAACCGACGAGTCAAACGAAAACAACAACAACAACAACTCTGAAAGAAACGCTGGAAAAATATTACGGGTACTCGAATTTCCGTCCAGGCCAGGAAGAAGTCATCAAAGCCGCGATGGAAGGGAGAGACACGTGCGTATTTTGGTCCACCGGAAGCGGAAAGTCGCTCGCGTACCAACTCCCGGCATTGCACGAAGGCGGGAAAATGTCCATCGTCGTTTCGCCGTTGATTTCGTTGATGCAAGATCAAGTGACGGCGTTGAATAATACGGTTGGCAATATTGCGGATGGAAGTGGTGGAAACAACGATATCGCCTGTTTTCTTGGGTCCGGGCAAACCGATACGACGGTGGAAGAACGCGTGTTTCGAGGCGACTATAAGATTGTGTTCGTGACGCCGGAGAAGATTTCGTTCGTTAGCGACGATGGCGGTTTTGGCTCGTCTTCTTCTTCTTCCGTGTTTATGCAAAGATTGCAATCGTTAAAAGCTATGAACAAAATCGGGTTGATCGCCATCGACGAAGCGCATTGCATTTCCCAGTGGGGACACGATTTCCGCGTGAGTTACAAAAAGCTCGCGGTGTTGAGAGACCAACTTCCTGGGATTCCAATCATGGCGTTGACGGCGACGGCGGTAAAACACGTTCGCGAGGATATTTCGAAAACTTTGAAGTTGAGCAATCCTTACATCGCCACAAACTCGGTGGATAGGCCAAACCTACGCATTCAGTGTCATCGAAAAGTTGATTTTAGCAGCGATTTGAACTACATCGTGTCTCAAATTACAGCAGCCGCATCGATTCAAGAAAAACAGCAACATCAACAAAAAAGAGCTTTACCAGCTTCCTTGGCGAAACCGAAATACGATTCCTCGATTATCTATTGTGCGACGATTAAGGAAGTTGTGCAATTGACCGGCGCCTTGCAGCACAGAATTGGTGTGGAAAACGTCGCCATGTACCACGGCTCGATGACGCCTCAAGACAGACACGATGCGCATATGCGCTTCTTATCCTCCGAGTGCAAAGTTGTCGTTGCAACGACTGCTTTTGGCATGGGTATTGATAAAGCCGACGTTCGAACGGTCATTCATATGGGCGCACCGAAAACGATGGAGGAATATTACCAGCAAATCGGGAGAGCTGGAAGAGACGGCATCGCATCCAACGTCTCCATGTTGTTTTCCGATAATGACTTTTCCAAGTTTTCCGGAGACTTTTACACCAAAGGACTAACTAAAGAGTCGTTGCAAACGCAATTAAACTCGACGGAAAAGTTGAAACAATACGCGATTGAACGAGAAAAATGCCGTCGAGCGATGATTCTCGAACACTTTGAAGAGACGCCTCTATTTGGCTCTCAATGCGGAACTTGCGATAACTGCATCCGGTGTAAAACGATCAAAGCGGACGATTTGCAGAGAAATTTATTGAACGAGGTCATGCCTGTCTTATTGACGTTGAAGCATAGCGCGAAAGGAAGCTTATCGACGACAGATTTAGTCGACGCTGTTCTTGGCAAAAATTCTAAGAAGGGGAGTGTTTTAAATCACCAATGGCAACGATTTCAGATTGATGAAGCGAAGAAGAGAGCGGATAAAAACTCGACTAACCAACACTTTTACAAGGAAGTTCTCGGTAGTTTAGTGCGAGCGAATTATGTTACCGAGAAGAACGTGAAAGGTGCGTACGGATCTTGGAACGTCTACTCCCTTTCGCCGAAGGCGCGGATGGAGTTTTTCGTCGACGACTCGTTGTCTCCTGCTACTACGAAAGAGATGATTTTACCCGTTCCGCAAGCGTTGTTAAACTCTGAGAAAGCTTTGAAGGAGAAGATCGAGGCGACGAAGAAAGAGTTGATTTCCGCCGGCGTGGACGTATCCACCATCCCGGAGGAGGAGTTTTTACTGCAACAACAAAACGGCGCCAACTCCGAGATTGTCACCGCAGAGTTACAATGGTTGCGACAAATCAAGTACTATCGAACGAGTGGTCAAGAATCCAGAGCAGATGGTCACTTGGAGTTGTTGCGCAGAATTGAATCGTGGAAAGACGAACGGGCAAAAGTCCTCGGATTGGCACCCACGAACGTGTTGTCACAGCATTTGTGCAAGAAAATTGCCTACGCAAAACCTTCTACGGTGGAAGCTTTACGAGCGGTTGGCGTTCGCGTTTCCGGCGTGGAGACTTTGTGCGCTTTGATTCAACAGACCGTGACGGAGTTGGAATTAGTTTTTGCTCCGGCTGCTGCAAATACCGATCCTGCCTCACATACAATGCAAACGCCAACAACAGGTACGAGGCCTATCATAGCGCTAGATACAGTCACGCCAAAAACGCCATGGAAACTCGCGGAATACAAGCCCAAGAAAGGCAGCGGAGGCACGATAATTCCGCCTAACTGGGAGCAATCGTACAACAGATTCCAAAAAGGTGAACACGTAGAAGCGATCGCTATGACGCAGAGCACGGGCAAGGCTATTCAACCAGCCACGGTTCTCAATCACCTATTCGAAGCGCTGACCCATGGGAAACAGCTAGAATTTTCTCGAGCGATAAGCTCGTTTCCGGAATACGTGAATAACAGACTTTCGAAATTGGATTGCGACGAGTTAGAAAGAGCGAGCTTTACGACAAACATAGATGTCATCGAGAGGAAATACTTCGCTCAAAAAGATTTCTTGAAAGGGTTGGTATCGCATGACGTCGAGAAACCTCCAAACGAGAAGACGTTTTTTGAGAAGCAGAAAGAAGCGCTTTGGTACCCGAAGATACGAGTGTGGACGGTGCTGAAGCGGTGCGGTGTACTCTGAATAATAACGAAAACTAAGAACGAATAATTGTACATTATTATTACTAATTGAAAAAGATGCTATTACTTCTAAGATGAAAACTAACTCCCCCTATTTTGGTTCTTTGGTTCTTCTTTTTCTTCCTCTCTTCGGCTGGAAGTGTAGACCAAAAACACATTAAACGCGATTTGAACGCAGTTGATATACAGAATTCGGTCTTCCGTGGAGACATATCGAAAGGAAAATAAGTGGAAGAGTGGCCAAAAACTCCAATTCACTTTTAGAGCTGAAAGCAAATCGTTTTCTATCTTCTTTGACAAACTCGGTTTCTTCGTTTCGGAAGCATCGAAGGCAAGATCGAAGGCGAAGAGGCAAGAGATCAACACCGGTGCCCACAAAATTTGATCCGCGAGTACTTTCGACGCTACAGCGAGACCACTCGTTGGAGCGTCGGGAAATACATATGTGTCGAGGGAAGAGTACCAAATTGATGATGTCGGACCGTAAAAGAGGAAACCAAATACAGCAAAACGAAAGGTACGTGCTTTGTCCAAATACACGAGCGAACCCCTGCTCGCGTCTGCGGATGTCAGTGTTGTCAAAGTTTGCGCGACAACGTCGGCGATACCAAAACCGAATAAAGAAGTGACCGATTTCACTAGCATTGGTGATTGGTTTAAAATCGATTCGTACTCGTTCAAGACAGTGGAAGCGGAGGCGTCGCGCCGAACTCGACTTTTCCTCTTTTCTCTTGTTGTTGTTGATGAAAACGATTTCCATTTCGCCTCCTTCCCAAAAGAGGAGAAGGGACACGAACGAGATTGGATCATCATCTTCGTCATCATCATCGCACAACTCATCACAACTGCGTCCGAGGTTTCACGAATTGCCACGTGTCTTGCTCGGTATCCTTTAAAATCTCTCGTAACTCTGTTAAAGTAGCCTCGTTCGTAGCTTTCATCTCTTCTTCTCTCTGAAGCTCGAGAGAAATCGCAACGGAATGTGGCGTTGAATTGTTCTTCTCCTTCTCCTTCTCCTTCTTCTCCTTCCCTGATTTTCCTGCGTTCGACATGTACTCCACTCACTTGAAGGAAAGAGAGTGAACGTTTGAATGAGAAACACTCTTCTTAAAAGTTCTCTGTAGACGAAGAAGAAATGAAGAAGTTCCCCTAATCTTTGTTTCTTTTTGAGCGAATTAAAACCCATCTTAAACCCATCTGCTATAATCTGCAATATATTACTGAATACCAACTATATATCCTGAAAAAAATATTATTTTCAATGATAATTGCAAAGTTATATTATTTTATTTAATCATTTGTATGCATAAAAGTTAATAACTTATTAAAATAATTCCCCTAAAATATTTAAATCATATTATTTATCGAATTAACGAATTATTCTATGCTATTATTTTGATCAGAGGTCTAAAAACTTATTAATATATTCAAATCACTTGCGTTTCTGGGATAGTTTTAGATAAATTCTTTTTAAAATCTGTCTCGCAAAAATATTTAAAAGGAAAATAATATAAAAAATTCTGTTTCCCCGTGTATTAAAGTTTAATTGTGCGCGATAATTTGAAAAGAATATTGAAATAAATTAATATGTCCACTGCGGAGAGGATTTAGATTTAAATATCCGGGAAAGATGAGTTATTGACTTTTCCCAAAGTCTCCAAAAAGTTCTACCAAAAAGAAAAAACAGGAAAAAGAAGAACACCATACCTACCCACACCAAAAAGCAAGAAAAAGACAATGAGTGGACCAATCCGCGCGGGCGTCTACGGGCCTAGGGAAGACGTGGATAAAACTTCGGCAGACTATCCAGCAGTAAAAGTTAGATATGCGTCGTACGAACAAATTGAGAAGAGAGCGCTTATTCACCAGCAGGATTCGGGAGATATTACTAAAGATTTCTTGGTAAGAACTTTGTTTGATTCTTGACTTCTCTCGTCTCGTTAGAAAAATTTCCCCTACTGACTGACCTTTATGAATCCTTAGAAATACGACGAGGTGCCGCAAATCACAAACTTTTCGCGGTCGTCGATGCCCCCGGGACAATCTGTCGATAGGCACGTGCACGAATCGAAATATGAAATCTTTGAAGTGCTCTCAGGCAGCGGCGAATTTTGCGTGTGGGAGATTGGCGCCGATGCAAACGCCAAACCCAAAGAAACGTTTCCTCTGGAGAAAGACGTCGTCGTCACGGTGGGGCCAAAAGAGCCGCATTCGATGCGAACGTTAGAAGATAGTGATGGTCCATTAGTTATGACGTATATTGGTATAGTAGCGCCAGAGAAATGATGATGTAATTATTATTAAGAACTAGTATTAAAATATAGCGTCTAGGAAATCTACCCCTTACGGGCCAGTCAGAGCCCGCCATGGGTACGTTTCGTTGAAGGTTCTGCCGTGTCTGTCTTTATGGGGAAGAACATCTAAAGACATGTCGTACCAGATGTGACCTGGATGTGCGTGTTTGCAGCACCATATCGAACAATAGTTGATGATTTTGTTTTCAAACTCTCTTTTCACGTTCGCATCCGCAAAGTAATCCAACTTCTTCTCGCTAAACTTTTCCATCAACTTCTTCCCATCAAACTTCAAAACCTTGTGTTTATCGCTCGAGCGTACATCGTCTAACGCTTGAAGAACCTTAACGTCTGTAAAATCTTCCAACGGTATGCTTTTCAGTTTATCAGTGGCATCAAAAACGCCATTTTTGACCCCATCTGGCGTCCGCGGATTTTCCAAAATGCTGTACTCGCGAAACGGTTCGTTCCTTCTCACCCAAGTCTCCAATTCAAAAATGTGGTCGGCTGGACACTTATACGGCAACTGTAACTGCGAACCAGGGATTATGCCTCGGTGCGGTGCCCACCATCTGTCCATGCCGCACCAAAATTCTGGTAAGATCAACGTTCGTTTTAAACTGTTCGCGAGCATCAAGGCGCCTCTGACTTGTAACAACTGATGATTGACCAAATCGAAGTGCTTCTCTGGCGTCTCTTTTGCGGCCGTTAATAAACCCTCGGGAACGTCCAAATCAACCATCAACATTCCTCCTTCCGGATCGTAATACTCGGGAGCGTCGTACCATAACTTGAATTCTCGCAATCGGTGTCTTTTGCCCTCCGTTCCGGAAAATTGAAACGTCGCGTGGACGACGTACGGTTCCAACTTTTTCTTCTCGTACATTCTTTGAACGAAAAACGTGTGTCCAGAGGCAAACGTAGCGACGGGTAAAATGCCAAACCTCAACCCGTCGTACCCTTCAAAGCTATGATCGGGGAAAGATTTACCTCTGCCTTTACGCATTAAATCGTTGAACGCGTTTTGGTCCCAAATGTTTTCGTCCTTCTCTAAGACGTGGACCCATTCTTTCGCGAGCGCTCCCGCGGATTTGCGGAGAAGCATGATGCCAATGTTCGCCATACCAGTCGTTGTGCGTTCTAAAGACCATTCAGTTTCCGCAAAATCGGATAAAGAATCGGAACTAGTCAACACGTCCACTTCGGGAAACTTGCGAATGAACGGTATCGGATTCTTCATCCACGCGGTGTCTACGTCCGAAACTAAAATGTCAAAACCCATCTTTGTGAACAAATGAATCAACTCAATCTTCTTGCGCCCCATTTGGTGGAAGTTTTTAGATCCCCAACCGAAATCGGCGGTGGTTAAACCACTTTGCATGGCAAATGTTGGCACTTTATCGTCGATTAAGCGTACTAATAACTCGTTGTCCATCGCACCGACGAGGAAATTGTTCATCCCGCAGTCGCGAATGTGTTTCACCCAGTTCTTGACGAAATCGTAATAGTGATTGTTCGCCCACGTGACCATGACGATGTTTTCGTGCGAATATCGTTTAGCTAAGGCTTCGTTCAACTGATTATCTTCGGGTCGTTTGGAAATGGGTGCGATATATTCGTTTTCGGGCATATTCTTGTGATGGTCGTCTTCAGTCGCCACAGCCATCTCTCGCGGCGCAACCACGATGTGTTCTTCGTGAAAGATGCCCGCTTTCGCGTCTTCCTCCGGTACGGTTTCGGCAAGGCGCCCTTCAACGACAGGCTCTACTAACACAGAAGGTTTTTCCTCCTCTTTTTTCTCCTCTTCCTGCTTTGCCTCCGGCTGCTTTCGTTCTTTGTGCTTACTAAACTTTGACCAGTCTACTTCTTCTCCATTACCTTCTTTTGTTGTTGTTGTTGTTGTTGTTGTTGTTGTTGTTGATGATGATGATATCGATGCGCTATCACTACTACCACTACTACCACTACTACTGCTAGAAGGAGTGGGAACGTCGACAACAACTTCACTGGTCTTCTTCATCTTATCGACTTCATCGATGAGTGCGATGGAACTTTTTGCCGCTTCGGCTATAATTTCCTTCGCCTTCTCGTCCTCACTTTTTTGTCCTTCCTCTTTTGCGACTACTTTTACCTCCGCTCCTTCTCTCTTTTCTTCCAATTTCTCTTGCTTCGCTTCTTCTTCCAAAGCTATATCTTCCAACTCTTGAATGATTTCCTCCTCGGGCGACTTTTCTTCCTCCTTCTCCTCATCTCCCAAAAACGAAAGCTCCTCCTTCGTTGGTTCCTTTGCTCTCGGTTTCTCTTCTTCAACTGCCGATTTCGTCTTAACCTCTTCCTGCTTTGCCGCCGGCTGATTTCGTTCTTTGTACCTACTAAACTTTGACTCGTCAACTTCTTCCTTCATCTGCTCTTTTTCATTCTCCGACTTTGGCGGACAATTCTCCCCGTCGCATTCCTCGTACGGTTTTTGCGACCACGCGCCGTCCGGACCTTCGCCTCGCAATCGTTTCTCGTCTCTTAGTTTCCACTCTCTGTCGATATTCGTGTTCATGTGAAGTAAAACCGCGTCCCGGGTTTCTTTCTGACCCATTAAATCCATCAGTAAATCCGATTCCGCCTCTTTCGAGAGCGAAGTAGAAAACGCTCCCGAAACTCGGTCTTTCAGTTTCCCTTTCGAGTTGAAATCGTACTCGTCGCTTATTTCCGTCGCTCGATATCGACTCTCCTCTTCGTCTTTCAACTCGATCCAATCGTTTTTCGTTCTGCTTTCACTTCTGTCTCCTCCTCTTCCTCCGCTCGATTTTGACGAAGAAGATGAAGAGAGAAAAACAACGAACGAGATGAACGACAAAGAGACGAAGCAGAGCAACACGTGTCGACTCAATCGTCTCCGAGTGAAATGGATGATTGGCCCCTGAGAAGAAGAAGAAGAAGAAGAAGACGAACCGCCGCTCAAAAGTATGTCCTCGTTGTTTTTTCGCGACGAAGACATCATCATCACCGGCGTTCGACTTTTTCTCCTCTTCTTCCTCTTCTTTGCGTTTCTTTCTCTCGGTAAAAAAGATCAAAAGCGACGACGACGAGTGATGAAGATGAAGATGAAGATGATGATGATGAGAGAGAAGGAAGGAGCGTGTTGTTGTTGTGAATGACTTGACCTTTTTTCAAGAAATTATAATTTTTGAAAAAACGCATAAATTTTCATTTTGCATAAAAAAGACTCCACAATCCATCAATAACAACATTAACAAACACACACAGAGATATATAATATATACGTAATGAAACGATGATGATGATGAACAGACGACATAATAAAGGATTTGGACGACAGAAAATGAAAGAGAAAGAGAAGAAGACGAAGAAGAAAAAGAAAGAAGAAGAAAACAAACTGATTCGAGAGAGTGAAGAAAACTCGTCGTCTCTGTCGTCGAAAGACGAAGCGCATTCGACACAAAACATTCTCGTGACAAATGTGAAAAGAAAGAGCGCGGACTACGACGAGGACAAAGACGCGCACACGACGACGTGTAGGACAACAACGACAACGACAACGACAACGAGCGCGAATACGACGAGAAATTGCAGAATATGCATGTGCGAAGAGTCGCGGTCGATGCCGTTCGTGCAACTCGGGTGTACCTGCAAAGGCGCGATGGCGTTCGCTCACAAGGTACTAAAACGCTTTTTTTCGTCAAAGTACCTACCGTTTTGATTTTCTTCTCTCTCTCTTTTTCCTGCTGTTTGTGCTGACAATGGCATTCAAAATCATTCTTCATATAACCTCTTAAACTACAGAAATGCGCGAAATCGTGGTTCATTCCACTCGCGCAAGGAAAAGCGGAAGGGTTAGCGTTAGACAGAAACTGGGCGCTGCGATGGTTTTGTCGGTGCGAGATATGTGGCCACAACTTGGACGAGCGCTTCGTCGAAGAGTTAGTGTTGAGTTGCCAGGAGAGATTGAAAAGGGGAAGCACAGAAGAAGAGGTGAGATGCGGTGCGTGATGCTGCTCACAAAGTCCTAATCGTACTACTATTATTACTACTACTCATTTGATCTGTGTTTTATATCTACACCGTTGTTGTTGTTTATATATACGAATAGTATCAAAATCTCTTCATTTCCAAACACACACCTAACTCTCATTTAATCAAGAAAGCAGCAACCATTATTTTAGCGCGACAACGACAAGCGGCTCGCGAGGCTGCCGCCAGACAACAGCAGCAAGAACAACAACAACACGGTTGTTCCAATGAGAAAATGATGTATGCTACTACTACTACTACACTCGTCGTCCCGTTCACGGATGAAGTCGGTTCCCCGCATTGGCAGCGCAAGATGGAAATGTTAACCGAATGCGAGACGACGAATTATATCGATTTAACGACCGCGAACAGTTGCGAAATGCTCCTCAGAGCGTGCAGGATTTCTTGTTTGGATGAGAAAGAGATGTATTTTGAACCGAGAGAGACGTGGGGGAAAGTCATTCTCGGGGACAAAGGAGAAAGGATCGCTTTTGAACAACAACAACAACAACAACAGAATTCGCCGCCAACAACCTCCAATAACAACAAAACTTTTTTCGTATCGCCGAGAAACGAGACGTCAGCGCACGCCATGGCGCAGACTCTGTTGATGCCAGCAAACGAGAACGAATGTAATAACAATAATAGCAATAGCAGCGAGGAATATCCGCTACCACCGCTAGAGTTACGACAGCGCGTTTTAGAACAGTTGAGAAGTATTCGAGTACAGACGCTCGAGAAAGACGCGAAGGACTTTGAAGACATCGAACGAGCGAGGAGGCAAGGAATTCCCACATCCACGTCGGCATCAGTGGTTTGTAAGATTGAAACGAAAGGGTATGCGGTAGCTTTAACGAAGTGGGCCGCTTCACAAGGCAAAGATGCGAACGTGTCTAAGGTTGCACCGTGTTTACTTTCTTCCATGAACGACGCGAGGGGTTTATGCGCGACCGAAGATATTCGGGCCGGCGAGAACATATTAGAAATTCCACGACGAATGCTTTTAGACGCGGGGACGATATGTATCAGCGAACAAGGACCATTTGGTGACTTATTAAGAATACTAGAACGGTGCGGTGCGGATACCATCATGACGTTGTGGATTATGAAGGAGCGAATGAAAATGAAGACGAAACAAGAGACGTTTTGGAGCTTATATTTCCTTTCGCTTCCAGATGGGAGTCAAAAGCTGACGCCGTTATCTTGGCCTGAAGATATTGTGAGAGTCGGTCTAGGTAACACGCCAATTTTTGAAACCGTCATGCATGAGAGACAGAAAGTGCGCAATGGCTACGACGCTTTACTGCCTTCGCTTTTAGCCAATTGCCCGGAATCATTTGAAGGAAACCAGGAAGAGTTTTGGTCCTACGACCAGTACATTTCTGCGTTAGAATTGTGGATGTCGTATGCAATGACTGTGAAACCGGTGCATAATTCTGATTCGGGAACAATCGATGTCTTATCGCCAGTGGCTTTCTTTTGTAATCACGGGATCTATCCGCACTGCGTGCACTACTCCCAGTTGCGACTCTCGGACGAGTGTTTGGTATTTCCAGCTATGCGAGACATTGAGAAGAACGAAGAGATTATGCTTTCCTACGGCGCGAAATCCAATGGAGAACTCTTGCTATTCTATGGATTTTGCATAGACGATAATCCGTACGATTCGATCGATATCACCTTAGATTTCGATTCGCTGAACGGTGTGGAAAAACCAGAAGTACGAAAGAGAAGAGAAGAGCTTTTGGTAAAACACGATTTGACGCTCAATCACGCGATACGTAAGAACGCAGAGTTACCAATAGATTTAATAGCTACTATTCGCATTCTATGTTGCGAAAAAGAGCTCGTGTTTCTCTACGATGGCGATCCGAAAGCGAGAGAGATTTCGATGTTATCTGAGTCGAAAGCGAGCGACGCGCTCTTCACGGCTTTGAGCGCGATACGAAGTAGCATGTCGAGTGCAGACGCGATAGAGCATCGGGCGCCGGAGGAATGGCGCGCAGCAAATCAACACTACTTGAACGAGTGTAAAAAATATATTAGAGGTTTGTTTCAAACGATTGATGTGGCGTTAGAACAAGTTTCGATGTGGCGCCAAACGAGCTCGCTCGCGGCGAAGAAATTAGGAAAGCGAACCCACCGGGACTTCCTTTAGCTTAAATTTACTATTTCTAATTACAGTTGAATATACCGTTACCAGTATTTAATCATAACTCAATTAATCTGGAAGACGCATGCGAACTAACGTGGCGCGTATGCCTTCCGTGACGCCTTTACTATCGAAACCTTTCATGATGAACGTGGAATACACAATCAACGCCTCGTACTCGATTTCTCCTTCCTCGTCGACTATATCTTGACCTCTCGATTCTCTACCGCTATACGTAAACTTTGGCAAAGGAATTAGCGTCGGGTAATGATGTCTCAATCCCGGTTTAATGCCTTCTTCGATCGATGCCAGTCGGGTCCAGGATTTCCCGTTATCGTGCGAAACGATCAAACGCAACTTAGACCTCGATCTTCGATACGGTTGCGGCAACTCTTTGTGGTCGTTCATCACGGCAACGATCCAGTTTTTACCTCCACCATCCGCTCGATATCTTCCACTCGGTCCAAACGTTTTCATCGTTAACTTTGCGTTTGGATTTGGCAACGCGAGGACTGGTTTCGCTTTGTGTTCCCACGTCGCGCCTAAATCGTTCGAGTCTATTCTAAAAACGTGTCCAGCGGCAGTTCGACAAAACATCGCTATTCTATTCACGCTAATATTATTGTTGTGATCATTTTCATCGCCGCCGCCGCCGCCACCGTTATTCGTCGCTTTCGAAGTCAACTCTACAACGCTTTGCTCAATCAACCACGTGTTTGGCAACGTAATCGACCCTTGCGCTTTCCAAGTCTTCCCTTTATCTTTTGAAATCAACACCCCAGCCGATGGAGACACTTCCGTGTTGTCGCATCTACCTCTCTCTCTCCAAAATGGTAATATCCACGTCTTTTGGTCTCTCGTCACCGTCACCGTATTAGCAATCACTTTATTAATGTTCCCTTTGGAATACGGTAATATGGTCTCCGGCGCCGACCATTTCTGCGTCTCGGGATCCAGCTCGATAACCTTGACGTCCCCTCCAGGTGCTCGACAATTCTTCGTCGACTGCGAGTAAAACAAAAACGTTTTCCCAGTTTCCGCGCACGTGTGCAACACCGGCGACCACACCACTCCTAATTCGCTCGACCCGGGACCTCCTCCTCCCGCCGTCGGCGCTCTCACGACTTTACCGAAACTAATCTTGTCCTCTGATTTTCTCTCTCCGTACGCGAACGCGATGTGTTGGTCCGGTTTCCCTTCACCTTCTTTACTCGTTTGAAACGCCACTAACACTGTCCCGTTCGCCATCACGGTTGCCATTGCCATGTGCGCGTACCCGTCGCCGTGTTTCCCACTGACGATCCATTGTTTCTTCCCTCTGATTTCCGCGTGCGGATGAAACCGTTTGTGCAACTCTCTGTGCATGGTGTTCTTCTCCGACAAGTCCGGGTGTATCTCCACCCACACGTCCGAGTCATCTCTCCGTAAAATCGTCTTCGCGTCGTCGTCGCCGTTCGCTTTCAACACGAGTAGTATGACAAAACCGAGCGCAATGGCTAAGCACCACGTGCCGATGCCGGGTTTTTGTTTTCTCTTCCTCGAGAGTATCACAGAAGTCCCGTCGGCGTTGTAGTACCTCTTCCCGGTGTAATACGGCAAAGAAGTGCTTCCTCCTTTTGATACCATTCTTCTTCTTCTTCTTATTAGACTAGAGTATGCAGTACTCTCCTCCTCTCATTCTTCACTCCTTTTTCTCTCGTATTCCCCTCTCGACCAGGAAAGAGAAGTGAAGAGAGGAAGACACGAACAAAAAAGGCGTTTTGCTTCAAAGGGTAAAAATTAGGGTTGAGTAAGTCTTCCCCCTTGCTTGATTGACCAAAAAGAGTCCTTCTTTTTAAAAAAAGAGCATCTGATTTCACACGAACGAGAAACCGTACGAGTGCGATGTCTGCGATAAAGCTTTTCGTCAACTTGGTAATTTGAAAAGCCACATGCGTATTCACACGAACGAGAAACCGTACGAATGCGATGTGTGCGAGAAGCGTTTTACTCAATCTGGTCATTTGAAAACCCACACGCGTACTCATCGTTAGCTCTTTCATCACAGGACCAACAGTGTACATACATACATACCAGTACCCCGAAAAAGTACATCAGTCCCTTCACCTCATCACCGAAGAAGAGAAAATTTTCCTCTTCTTCTTCTTCAGCTCTTTTTACATCGTCAGATTTTAAAAACACACTCGGAGTGCGAAACACTTTTGTAGGAAGAAGAGGAGGAGTATTATTATTGATTGAAATGGCACCACCGAGGAAAAAACGCTTAGTACTCTTAGTGGACATCGGGGCCATCGGCCACGCGTCGAACCGATCTCGATTCGTCTCCGTCGTCACGGCGAGTAAAATCGTCGCCAGTCTTCATTTGCACAAGAAAACGGACGAAGTGGTGGTTGTTTTTATCGGGAGTTCTGAGACGAGAAACAGATTGTACGACGAAGAGAATAACGACGACGAAGATGACGAAGATAAATATTACGCAAACGTGGAAGTGCTCGGTGAATTAAAAGTCCACTCGTCGATGGAGTATTCGAAAGAAGTCGAAGACCGAGCGCGAGAATTCGACGAAGACGAGGAAGAAGATGTAACAAAAACGAAGAACAAAACGAAGGAGAACAAAAAGTACGAACACAGAGGCGATATTTTAGACGCGTTGACAATCGCGTGCGATATCCTCGCGCAAAGAATGGAAGCGATGCAAGGGAAAACGGCGAAGATTGCAAACGAGATTTTGTTGCTCTCGCCGTGCGCGGAAGACGCGTTGGGCGAAGGCTCGCTGGATGAGAACGAGTTCGCGAGAGACTTGGTGCGCGTTATGAAGGAGAAGGAGATCACGTTGAGCGTCGGCGTCGGGATTGTCGATAGTGGTGGAAAAGAAGAAGGAGAAGAACAACAGAAGCGAATAGGAGATACTTCTACTAATACCAATACGAACGAACCGAAAGTAAAAGTAGTGAAACTTCTCGCCGAGATGGTTAAACAAACCAACGGCCAAATCGAACCGGCAATGGATGCGATTATAGGAAGACTCATGCGCACGAAAACGCCAACGACGACGTTTCGCGGGAACTTATCGTTCGGTAAACTTGGGAAAGAGTCGTATTTATCCATTCCAATTTGGGCGTACAAGCAAACCATGGAGGCAACCGCGGAAACGATGAAACCGTACGGCGCGTTTGAAGGCCAAGATTTGTTGCGAGACGTGCAATATAAGAACATTTCAAAGATTGATGGCGACGAGATCCCCGCAGAGCAACGGGTTCGGTGTTACAAGTACGGAAAGCAAAGCATACCGATGGACGAGTCCGTGGAGCGACAGTTCGGAGCAGAGAAAATGAAGAAAGGAGTAGAAATTATAGGCACCGTCGATTTGAAATACGTGCCTTTTTGGTTGACCACGGAAGAGCCGATGATGTTTTGCGCGTGGCCGGAATTGACGGAAGACGAGAAGGCTGGGATACATACGGATGAATATCAGAAAGCGTGTCAAGCGTTGTCGGCGTTTGCAAGAGCGTTGGATAAGAAAGGTAAGTGCGCATTGTGCCGCGCGTGTTTTAGAGAAGGTAGCGGGATACACTTTGGCGCATTGACGCCTAAATTCCTTCCTGAGGGCGATTTTCTCTTATTTTCACCGTTACCGTACGCGGAAGATTGGCGAGCGGACCAAGTGTTTCGAGAGAACGAAGAGTTGGAAGAGTTACCAAAAATCGATCAACACAGATTGAACATCGTCGGAAGTCTAATCGATTCCATGACTTTGCCTCCGAGCGAAAACGCAAACACGCGAATGAGCGTTTCTGTGAAAGGCTTAGTTGAAAAAGCGAAGAAAAAGATCCGCGTGATGCGACCGTGGGAAATGGCTAACCCGAATTTGTTGCGAATGAGCCAAATGTTGGCTGAAAAAGCTTTGGATCCGGATACTGCGTTTAAAACGGTAAAAAAGTCGCACTCGTTGCCCGGAGCGGACGAATACTTCGCGGAGAAGTATAAACATTTGCCGAGAAATTCAGCCATCGGTCAACTTCCCGACGCCGAAAACGCTGCGAAGAGAATCAAAACGTCGTTTAAATTAATCAGTCGAGATGAACTCGTGGACGAAGAGGAGAAGAAAGAAACAATAGCTCTTCCTACCATCCAAGAGCCAAAAGACGACGAAGACGACGAGGGCGCGAAGAAAGCTGCCGCCGATGTCGACGGTGGTGATGCGGCAATCGTACTCATCGAAGATACGGACGACGACGAAAAGGAAGACGACGAAGAGGTTCCCTTGACGCAACCAAAACCATCCGAGACCGTTTGGCCATCGTCTGAAACAGTCGGTGAGAAGAAGATCTCACCTGCAATGGCTTCGGCTGAGAAGCAATTGAAAGAAAGACGAAAAGAAGAAGCGGATAAAGAGAACGAAAAAGAAAAACAAGAACAACAACAAGAGGAGGAGGAAGAAGAAAACGAGGAAGATTTGTTCGAAGACATGGATTAAGAAGTAATTAGTAGTAGTAGTAGTAGTAGTAGTAGTTACATTTAGAGATACACTAAGCAGCAGCGACAGTAGCAACGAGCGAGCGCACACGAATAAATTCTTTACATCATGTACTTCTCGTCGCCTTCGTCCTCTTTGCTTTTCTTTTTCTTCTTCTCCGAAGCGTCTTTCTTCAAGCGCTTGACTGCGTCTAAGGTGCTTTCGTCGTCGTCGTCCTTCTTCGACGACTTTTTCTTGTCCTTCTTATCCTTCTTTTTGTCTTTCTTCTTCTTCTTCAAATCCTCCTCTCGCATCAAATCCTCCTTCGGCGCGATGAATGCCTCCTCTCTCCTTCTCTTGTTCTTCTCGATGCCTTCTTTTTGCTTCTCCAACTTCTCTTGCGCTTTCTTCATCTGCTTCGCCTCTTGCGATAAGAAGTACTCCCCGGATTCAATCTGTAAATCAATCTTCGAAGGCATTTGCGCCGGCGGAAAGACACTTCTCGCTTTCTTCTCCTTCACGTACTCTGGTTTCTTTCTCTTCACGTTCTTCTTCTTAAACTTTGGTAAAAATCGATCCCAGCTTTGATTTTTCAACTCGGGATCTTTCTCCAACTCTCTCTTAATCATCAACTCTTTGATGTGATAAATCGGATGGACGTTCTTCATCGCATCTTCGACAATCTTCCTGCACGTTTTCAAACCTTTAAACGACCCCATCGCGCTCACCGTGTTCCCTTGAATCAACACGTAACAATCCGTTAACATCTCAATCGCTTTCAACGTCGAGCCGTTCGGGCCGACCAAACGCTGTCTTCGTTTCACGAACCGTTCTTTATTTCTCACTAAACCTCCAATCTTAATCACGTCGCACTGCGTGTCATCGCTCAGAACTTTCAACGCCTGCGGAGCAGGAACCGATCGAGATAAAAGTTTAATCAAATCTCTCGCTTTGATGATAATGTACGGATCCCACGTCTTCCTCGTCGTCCGCACCGTCATCGACCCTTCGACTAAATTCAACTCGCACCCGACGCCGACATCTTTCAAAGCTTTCGTTATCGACGGCCACACGTCTCTCAAATACTTCTCCCTGTATTTCGGGAACAAAGTCGCGAACGAGGATTCGTCCAACAATCCGTGCGGGTTATCTTCTTTCGTGAACTTTGGCACGTCCCAGTGATCGATCCCGGCGTGGTCCCACGGTTTCTCGCGTCGGTACCGTCCTTTTTTCCCTTGATTTTGTTCCTGTTCTTCCTCCGGGGCGACATTAATGTTGTTTTCTACTTCTGCCATCTTCGTTAAAACTTCTTCGCGCGTATACAAACAAGCTCTTTCCTCTACTAAGCAGCAGTCGTTTTATCTTTATGATCTCGATGTTATAATAACGATACAACAGATGTTATTAGATGCTCCTTTATATCCGCTCTTGCTTTAGAGTGAATGAAGCATTTTCGAGCCGCCAAAAACACCTGCCAAAAAGCTTGCTTTTTTTGCAAAATTGAGAAAAAATTCGTCATTTTATTACTTCACACGGATAAACGTTTGTGTGTTGTATCTCTTTCTTCTTCCTCTTTGTCTTTGTCTTCGCTCGAAAAAGCGATCCTATCTGAGCTGCTCTTTTTCTCCTCTTGAAGCGATGATGATGAGAGCGAGGAGTTCGTTCGGGTGTTCGACGTCGTCGTCGTCGTCGTCGTTCGCATTGCCCTTTTTGACGACGGGGAAGAATCGAATGGGATTAAAGCGCTTCAATAATACTAATAACAAAAAGAACAACAACAACAACAAGAGTAGCGTTGTTAGTATTCGAGCGGGGAAGAAGAAATCGTCCTCTTCTTCATTCGAACAACTTCCAGAACTCACCGAGGACGAAACCGCGAAGAAATGGGCGGGAGAATCCAACGACTCGCCAACGATTGTGAGTAAAAAAGAGAGTGGCAGAGGTGATGCGACAAATCCTACGACGAGTTCTACGAGAAAGTTGAGAAAAAAAGAAGACGCGATAGAGCAGGACGTGTTAGAAGGCGAGGCATGTTTGTTGGGAGACGGGATATGGGAAAAGTTATGCGAAGAAGCAAAGATGGAGATTGAATTAGAACCCGCGTTGGCGTCGTATTTGTATTCCACGATCCTCTCGCATAAGGAGATGTCGGACGCGTTGGCGTTTGTGTTGGCGAACAAACTCGGGTCGTCTGTCTTGTTGGATTCGCAACTGTTGGAGCTGTTTTCGAAGTGTTATCGGGAAGATCCGGAGTTGGTACAATGCGCGATTGCAGATATGCAAGCGGTGTTGGAAAGAGATCCAGCGTGCGATAAGTACGTGATGATTTTGTTGTATTTTAAAGGCTTTCAGGCGTTGCAAGCGCAAAGAATCGCGCACTCGTTGTGGTCGAAAGGGAGACAGTCGTTGGCGTTGTTGTTGCAGCATAGGGTTTCGGAGGCATTTCATGTCGATGCGCATCCTGCCGCGAAAATTGGAAAAGGGGTTATGATTGATCACGCGACTGGGGTAGTTATTGGGGAAACCGCGGTAGTTGGGAATAACGTGTCTATCTTACACAACGTTACGTTAGGCGGGACCGGGACGACGGACGGAGATAGGCACCCGAAAATTGGCGACGGGGTAGTTTTAGGTGCCGGGGCGACCATTTTAGGACCAGTGATTGTTGGTACGAACGTGAAGATTGGCGCAGGGAGCGTTGTGCTGCAAGATATTCCGGATAACTCCGTCGCGGTAGGAATTCCAGCAAAAATTTTACGAAGAGAGCGAAGCGAGGAGGTGATCGAGCCGAGTTTATCGATGGACCAGACAGACTTTTTAGAGGGATGGGACTTTACTATATAGAACGTTATTTATTTTCATTGTTACAATTGCTACTATTATTGCTATTATTATGAGAAACAAACTCCGAGAGGCGGACAGCGAACGAATCGACGTACGAAGAGTGTCGCGCGCCTATATTGAACAACACATCCGGCGACGACGCTCTCGTAAACTTTTCATCAAACATCTTTTCATGATACATGTTTATTCTATAGAGATACTCTCCTTCTTTTCCCCCAACTCCTGTTGTGCTTCCTCTCTTTTCTCGTATGATTTTGGCCATAATTTGAGGCGGTTCAAACTCCGGCAAGTGTCCGAGTAAATTTACGTTGAGCATCGGTCCTATGTGAAGACCAAACGTCGACGGAACGAAAATGTGCTGGTAAAAATCAAACGTATACACGAGTTCTGGCAAAAACTCGTATTTAGAACCAAACTCTGGACTGTTGAAGAGTCTCTTCCTCTGCTTTGATGAAATAGCACTCTCACAACGATCAAACGCCTTTCCTAATAATCGAGTATTTTCCGCAAACGAGGTGGCTGTCGTCACGTCCGGTTCCTCCCCAGGAACATCTGCTCGCAAAACCTGCGCAGTCGCGCACAACGGCGCGTAAATGAAAGGCTTATTTCCAGTAATATTCGCTTCCAAACCAGGCGTCAGTTTTCGAATTACTTTCAAAGCGGTCGACACGAGCCATCTCGCGGGTATTCTTCGAAACCGGCTCTCGAACTCGTGCCCGGTGACTACCTCGGAGCACTTGATGCCTTTTCGTAAAAATCTTCCTTGCACGACTGTTTGAAACGTGCGTTTCTTATTCGCGAAATACTTCTTCGTCACGTCATTGCCTTCTTCATCTCCTTCTCTCGATGGAACGTCTCGACATCGAACCAAAAGTTTACCCGCGAACGCGTTTGTGCGTATTTCAATACCCCTCGTATCGTTTATCGGTAACTCTTCATCGATCGTCGCCGATGACAGAGCGTTTTCCAACCGCAAAGGTCCATGCGTCCACTTAGAAACTCCTCCTCTGAACAACGCTGGTTTCGATGACGAGAACGAAGAAGAAAACGGAGCAGCGGCAGCCTCTCTTCCGCCGTTGTGTTCCTTCTCTTCGACGAAAACCTCGTTGGCGTCGAACCACACTTCTTCTTCTTCTTCTTCTTTGTCTTCTTTTACTTTTTCGACGGATGATCGCGCAAAATCATCACCACTCGCGGCGGCGGCGTCACTTCTTCTTCGGCAAGATAAGCAAAAGCATCGCATGCTGCTGCTGCTGCTGATAATGATGATACTAATGTGGTGCTCTCGTGTATGAGTGGATATTTTATCCCGGGGCCTAAAAATACACCAAAGTCCAAACTCTTTTTTTTTCGCTCTTTAAACTCTTCTCACTTTATGGATGGAGGAGAGACGTGTCACTTCGTCCAAAGAAAATAAAAAACACCAGCGCCGTTCTCCGCGCGCAAGTTCGAATTTTGACCACCGGTTTCTCGCTCATGCTTCATACTTCAACAAACAACAACAACAGTAGTAGTGGTAACATATATCATCGCTTCTTTGATTGGGTTTAGATCCTTAATTTACGCATCGTGTGTGTACTGTTTCCAACCTCCAACATTGATTTTTGCAAATTTGAGCACATTCATGCGAGAGAAAAAGAATAAAAAGAAATGGTGCCGAAATTGCCCCCTCTTTTGATGAAAAAAACTTCTTGTTTTTCTGTTTTGTTTCATCACACACGACGACAAATAATATTCAAATACCACACACGTGTTCTGTATACTCTCGTCTCGTATCTGTTGTATATACGTTTTGCCAATCAAAACCTCTCTCTCTCTCTCTCTTTCTCTCTCTCTCTCTCTTTCTCTCTCATTGATTAATACATGACTGGTGGAGCAAAACGAGAGGCAGAATCTTTGAACGATAGTAGTAAAAACCACGACGACGACGCTTTAAAGAAGAAAAAGAAGGTTGAAGAAAACATCGTCGTCGTCACGACGATGAGTAATACGAATGAAAATAAGATCGATGAGGATTTACACTCTCGACAATTGGCCGTGTACGGACGCGAATCCTTTCGAAAACTAGTGGGCGCGAAAGTATTAATTTCCGGTTTGAACGGCTTAGGCGCGGAAGTCGCGAAGAACGTCATCTTAGCCGGGGTGAAGAAGGTCACTTTGAGCGATGATTGCGACGCGACGATGAGCGATCTGGCGAGTCAGTTTTATTTGACTGAGGAAGATTGCGGGAAAAATCGAGCGGAATCGTGCGCAGCGAAACTGCAAGAGTTGAATCCAGCCGTGGAAGTGGTGACGGTAATGACTAAAGATGTCACGGAAGACGTGCTGTTGGCGCACGACGTCGTGGTCGTGTGCGACTCGTCGTTGCACTCGCAACAAGACTGCGAAAAGTGGGACGAGATTTTACGCAAAGAGAAAGGCAAGGCGTTTATTAAAGGCGACACGAAAGGCGTGTTTGGGTCGGTGTTTTGTGATTTCGGGGATTCGTTTACGGTTGTCGATCAAGACGGGGAAGAGCCGAAGACGTGCATCATCGCTTCCATTTCCAACGAGCATCCGGCGTTGGTTACGTGTACGGACGACGAACGCGTCGAGTTAGAGGAAGGGGATTTGGTCACATTTTCAGAGGTGAAAGGGATGAACGAGTTGAACTCAATCAAGGAAGGAGTGAAGATCAAGTCGGTTAAAAAGCACGGGTTCGAGTTGGACATCGACGCGAGTAAGTTCTCGCAATACGTGGGTGGAGGCATCGCCACGCAAGTCAAGTTGCCGAAAGAGATGAAATTCAAATCTTTCGCGGACTCGTTGAAAGAACCGGGGGAGTTTTTGTTGTCTGATTTCGCAAAAATGGAGCGCTCGCCGCAAATTCACTTGATGTTTTTAACCTTAGAGGCGTGGAAAAGCAAGAACGGCGGTCAGTTACCGCAACCCGGGAGCGATGCGGATGCTGCCGTGTTCGTCGCGTTGGCGAAAGACGAAGTCAACGCGCAGTACAAATCGGTCGAAGAAGTGGACGAAAAATTATTCGCGACGTTTGCAAAGACGTGCAGAGGCGACATTTCGCCCATGGCAGCTATGTTTGGTGGCATCATCGGTCAAGAAGTCGTCAAAGCGTGCACCGGGAAGTTTACGCCGTTGAATCAGTTTTTCTATTTTGATTCGTGCGAATCGTTGCCGGAAAAGTTAGAAGAGGCGGATTTGAAACCGACTGGTTCTCGATACGACGGTCAAATCCAGTGTTTTGGACAAGCTACGCAGGCGATCATGGAGAAGCAAAATGTCTTTTTGGTCGGCGCGGGCGCGTTAGGATGTGAATTCATCAAGAACCTAGCGTTGATGGGCGTTTCCTGCGGCGCCTCGGGTGAAGGTAAACTCACCATCACCGACGACGACATCATAGAAAAGTCCAACTTATCGAGACAGTTCTTGTTTCGCGATTGGGACATTAAACAACCGAAATCGACGTGCGCGACGAATGCGGCAAAGAAAATCAACTCGAAGTTGAATGTCACCGCGTTGCAAAACCGAGTGAGTCCAGATACCGAAGAAGTCTTTGACGATGAGTTTTGGGGTGGTTTAGACGTCGTCGTGAACGCGTTGGATAACGTCAACGCGCGTTTATACGTCGACTCTCGATGCGTATACTTTGAGAAGCCGTTGCTAGAGTCTGGAACCTTAGGTACCAAGTGCAACACGCAAATGGTCGTTCCGCACTTGACGGAGAACTACGGCGCGTCCAGAGATCCCCCGGAGAAGTCTGCGCCCATGTGCACTTTGCACTCGTTCCCGCACAACATCGATCACTGCTTAACTTGGGCCCGATCAGAATTCGAAGGCTTGTTTGAAAAATCTCCTGCCGAGGCGAACGCGTACCTTTCCAAACCGGACGAATACGAGTCGAACGCGCGCGCGAACGCGGACGCGAGCATGCGCGAAAACGTTGAGAAAATTTCGCAGTGTCTCATTCACACGCGGTGCGCGACATTTCAAGAGTGCATCAACTGGGCGCGCTTACGATTTCAAGAATACTTCCACGATAGAGTCGCGCAATTGACGTTCACCTTTCCCGAAGACGCCGTGACGTCAACCGGGAACGCGTTCTGGTCCGCGCCGAAACGATTTCCGAAACCGGTCATCTTCTCCGAGAAGGACGACGGGCACGTCAATTTGCTCAAAGCCATGGCGATTTTGAAAGCTGAATTACACGGCGTTACCGTCGGTGTTCCATCCGCAGAAGTTCGAGGAGATGAGAAAGCGATGAATAAAATCGTTGTCGAGATGGCGGCGAAAGTAGAAGTCCCAGTGTTTGTACCGAAAGACGGCGTGAAGATTGAAACCGATCCGACCAAGAAAGAAGGCGACAACGATGATAACGGCATGGGTGGCGTCGAAGACGATCAAATCATCGACGATTTGCTCACGCAATTGAACAACGTGCGTACAAGTGACTTGAAAGGCGACGCGGAGTACCGCTTGTCCGTCATCGAGTTTGAAAAGGATGACGATACGAACTTCCACATGGAATGCATCGCCGGGTTGTCGAACATGCGCGCGCGAAACTACGACATTGCTGAAGTTGACAAGCTCCAAGCGAAGTTGATCGCTGGTAGAATCATTCCAGCTATTGCAACGACCACTGCTATGGCGACTGGTTTAGTCTGCTTGGAGTTGTACAAAGTCATTCACAAAGCTCCTTTGGAGAGCTTTAGAAACACTTTCGCCAACTTGGCGTTGCCGTTGTTTGCGATGGCTGAACCAATCGCGCCAAAGTTCCAAACGTACAAAGACGAAAAGTGGAGCTTGTGGTCGCGATGGATCATCGAGAAAGATTACACCGTGCGAGAACTTTTAAAATACTTCGAGGACAAGGAATTGGAGTGCTATTCTGTTTCCTACGGCCCGGCGTTGATTTACAACGCCATGTTTCCCAGACACAAAGAACGCATGGATCAAAAACTCTCTGAATTGGTACAAACGGTTGGGAAAATCACGTTCCCAGCGAAACGAAAGCACTTTGATTTAATAGCCGCCACGGAAACGACCGAAGGCGAAGATATCGACGTTCCGTTGATTTCAATCGTGTTTAGATAAAAAGAAAAATTACGTAAAAACAACACACAACACAGACACACATTTTAATATTAACCATACTTAGAACCTAATGAATCAAAATCCGATCCACACTGCATGTATCTACAACACTAGTACCTATAATAACTATCACGAAAGCTCTATAACTTAAAATCGCGTGGATCTCGCCAGAAACGTTTCCTTCCTTTGATCTTCCGGTTTCGTGCTCGAAGTGAATAAAGAGGAGTACACGGAGGCGGTGGCGCCTTGCGGCATGTGCTTTGGATCGGTCGCTTTGAACGATTTCTTCGCCTGCTCTGCGCTCACGTCGTCGCATCCGTTCTTTCTTTTATTGTTATTGTTCGTGCTATCTTCTTCTACGTCATTATCACCCACATTATCAGCTTTATTGTTCTTCTTCTTCTTCGCGTTCTTCTTCTCCTTCTTTTCCTTCTTCATCAAGTTTTCCTTCTCCAACTGTTCTTTCATAGCCTCCAAAACATCTCCAGTTGGATTAATAGGAATAAATGGTGGAGCGTCTTTCAAGCTCACTCCATCGTTCATCTCTTCGCAACTCTCTTTCGCCTCTCGAATGGCTTTTTCAGAGACGACGACGCCGCTCGGTCGCAACACGACGAACTTCGTCTTGCCGTTGAAATCCAACCCGGTCAGAGGACAAGAAAACACTCCTTTCTCAATCGTCGGTCGAAAACTGTTATTCTTTTTGTGAACATCGTCTTTATTCTTCTTATTCATCTTTTCCTTCGCTTCTTCTTCTTTTTTGTGAAACTTACACGTCACCAGTGCTTTCAACCCGGTCACGTGTTCAATCCTCATCGGCAACGGCGTCTTCTCCACCGCTTTGCGTTGCAAACACTTCAACACCGCCTCTTTATTGTACAAGTTTCCAATCAAATCGACGACTATTCCATCCTCGATCGTCGAATCTAACATCTCCTCCGTCAGCGAACAGTTGAAATATCTCGACAGCTCGTCTTCTTTCTTATCGAAATCTCTCACCGTCGATTGACTCGAAAAGCTCACAAACCCGCCCAAAGTTTCCTTCTTTTTCGCAAACGGATTGTCGTTGTACATCTCGAGATAGGCAGATCTGGATTCCGCTCCGGTCGCGCCGCCATCGCCGCCACCGCCGAGTAAAGAGACGTGAAGGATAAAGTGGTCGTTGTTCTGAACGCCTAATTGGCGCAACGATGGTAAAGACGACGACGATTGAAGATGATGGTTGTTGTTCTTGTTGGAAAATGAAATTGGAAACATTTGCCCGGTACGCGTTGAGCGCAAATTGATCCCCTCCAGGTTTCGACCATCATCACTATCACCCATTAAAGAGGACAACACATCGCTCACCGCAAACGTTTCTAAATCCACAGAAATAGCTTTAATCGTTTTAGCATCGCTTGTCGTCACGAACACTTGTTCGCTCATCTTCTTCTTCTTCTTCTTCTTATTAGGTGTTTCCGTCGTCCTTTGAAAGTGAGGCGGAAAAGAAGAGAATTTTTCTTCTTCTTCCATTCTTCATTCATAAACAAACGCGCTATTAACACCATTAGAACCATTAGTCATCATAACTCTTCCTGGATATAGAAAGAGAGAGTGTTTGTGTGTTATTGTTTGAGAGAGAGAGTGAAATAAAGAATCGCAAAAGTCTCTCGTCGTGCTCGCTCTTGGTATTATTCATCACATTCCTTTTGCACAAAATCACCTACCGGGGAAATCCCCAATTTCCTCCTCCTCATTATGTTAGTAAACATGAAAATACTCTACGCGACAGAAACTGGAAACGCCCGGGACGTCGCGGAACGCGTGGCGAGAGAATGTTCCAGACAAAGTATAAAAATATCGCTCACATCGATCGATGCGTACGATGCGAGACAGTTACCGAAAGAAGACAAAAACATTCTCTTATTCGTCTGTTCGACGATGGGTCAGGGCGATCCACCGAAATCGTTCGAAAAATTCTGGAAATTTTTGCTGAAGAAAAATTTACCTCTCTCAACCTCTCTGTTAAATCTTAAATTCGCGGTGTTTGGTCTGGGAGATTCCTCGTACGAGAAGTATAACTTCGTGGCGAAGAAGTTATTTCGACGGTTGGAACAATTAGGAGGCGAAAGCGTGATTGAGTTAGGGTTAGGGGACGATCAACATTTTAGCGGGTACGACGGCGGTTTGGACCAGTGGTTGGAAACGTTGTACGTGAAGATTTTTGGAAGTGAGTTTTATCGAGAGAAGATTATTGGGTTTAAGGATAAGTTGGACGTGTGTCCAGTAGAAGTGAGCGTCGTCGTTCGCGATGGTGATGGTGATGGTGTTGGTAGTGTGGATGGAGTAAACGACGACGACGACGCGCCGGTGGAAACGCGAAGAGGGGTGATGCGCGCGGTGGATTCGATGGCGACGGAAGAGGTCTCCGACGATAACAACGGTACGTATTGGCGCGCATTGAAAGTGATGAAGAACGAGTGTTGTACTTCAGAGAGCGCGGTCAGACAGGTACATCACATCGAATTGGATAACAGGTACACGGACGTGCACGATTTCAGCCCGGGAGAGGTGTTGGAAGTTTTGCCGTGTTCGCGCTCTGCTATTGGACGAGAGGTTTTGGATTTGCTCACGAATTCAATCGTCGTCAAAGACGGTGATAATGGATACCGAGCAATCTTGGATGCTGAGAACTTGGTCGTGTCGGTATCATCGTCGGGGTCTTCATCCAAAAACAGTCGTTACATCTGTCGCGCGAAATATCTCGTCGCGTACTTTCTCGATTGTTTCTCGGCATCGCCTCGATCGTACTTCTTCGAAGTGTGCGCATATTTTGCCAAAGATCCGCTCGAAAAAGAAAAGTTGCAGCATTTTGCCTCCCCGGAAGGACGCGCGGATTGCTATCAATACTGCCAACGCGAGAGACGGTCGGTGAAAGAGTTTTTCGAGGAGTTCACCTCGGTAAAACTTCCGTTGGAGTGGTTACTTCACGTGGCGCCAAAATTGAAACCGAGACAGTTTTCAATCTCATCTTCGCCGAGTCAACACAAAAATAGCGATGGAACGCACGTTGATTTAATATCGATAACCGTCGCAGTCGCAAAATGGACAACGCCTCTAAAACGTCTCCGTTCCGGTTTGTGTTCGACTTGGATGGCGGAGAAATTAAGGACCAGCGATGTTGTCTACGCGAGGGTTGTCAAGAACGGTGGTTTGCCGTATTCACATACAGGGTCTATGATCTTGATTGGACCAGGTACTGGTGCCGCACCGTTTCGTTCATTCATACTGGAACGATGTTCGCGTCGCAACTTTGACGATAAAATTCTCATGTTCTTTGGGTGTCGAAGAAAAGCGGAGGATAACTTGTACGAGACTGATTGGGAAAACGTCGAAAAGTGGTCTCAAGGCAACATCAAAGTCGTCACTGCTTTCAGCCGAGAGCAGGAGAATAAAGTATACGTCCAGGATAAAATTCGAGGCGACTCTTCGAAGGAAGTGTGGGATTTAATCTCTCGCTGCGAGGCGAAGATTTTTGTCGCCGGGTCGTCCGAGGATATGCCCGCGCGAGTCCGCGAGGCGATTCGAGATGTTTGCGCGAAAGAAGGCGGCATGGACAAAGAAAGCGCGACTCGATACATCGCCGAATTAGAAGCCAAGAAGAGGTATTTCGTCGAAGCGTGGTAGAAATTATATTATATGTACAGTACGGTAGTTAGATTTTTAGATAGTGTTTGTATGTTTGTATGTAGTACTGGTAGTTCTTTGTAAGTACAAAACGTTGAATAGCTCCAAATCTGCTTTATGGATAGATGCTTACGGATACTCGCATCCTGTTTGCTGAACTGTGACCAACATGCTCGTATCGATGCCCAACGCGTTCGCTTTTTTCTTCATCGTTTCGACGAGTTCCTCGGAAACCTCCTTCTCTCTCGTAAACAACCATAAGCCTTGGTTACCGCTTTCCGTGGTGCACAAACCGTCGGAAACAAAAATCGTAGGTTGACCTCCAGAAATAATGGCCCACCCCTCTTCTTCTTCGTACGCGACGATCCAATAATCGCCGTATAGTGCTCTCGGCACGAATTTCGGACCGACCTTCAGTTTACTTTTGACGTCGACGTCGGGTATGAACGCGTTCAAGACCATATCTTCGTTGGAAGGCTCACCTTCCACCGAACCTTTTCGAGCAAAATTAAACACGTCCAACGTCGTCGGAGACGTCACGGTATACACCGCTCTCACGCAGAAAAGGTTTTCAACGGGTTGATACCTGTTTGGAAGTTGCGCTTGGACGTACCAAGGTTTCGAGGCGTACGCTTCGATGCTTACGTCTGAAACCGTTGGAACTGGCGGGCACCTTCTTTCTCTTCCCAAACCTCCCGCAAGAGCCGGGGTGACGAACGAGGATGCACAAGCCGCGATTGCTAAGAGTGCAACGAGGAGTGAGGACGAGGCAAAATCGTTCTTTCTTCTTAAACAACAACGCGTTTGCAGCATGATTTGGTTTCAATGATGATCCGAGAATGCAGCAAACGCGCACAAAAGTAAAGTATTTTTTGTATCTCGTTGCATCGACACGCTCGTATTTTTTGCATAAAACTCGACCTTTTTTAACTAAAAACTACTTTCACTAATTTCTATGACTACATCAACTAAAGTCATCCTCTCGGACGCCACTAAACACACCTTTGACTTTCTCAGCGATCGCAGAAAACGCCTTGTGCGGTTCTTTTCGCATGCCTTTATGCGAGACCCAGAGCTGGACTTTATTCGGAAGTTTTTTGGCGATGACGGCGGCGGCGATGTGTTCGATGTTGAAGTTATGCACCGGATCTTTCCACCCGCTTCGGTCGGAATGACCGGACCATGCCAACGCGTGACCGCAATTGGTCGTGTTGCATAAACCAAACACAGTCACGCAATCGCACTGTCGAGTTAAATACAACAGAGTAGAAAAGCCCGTCGTCGGCGTTTTATCGTACTTGTGTTTCGCTCCGTGCGTTTCTTTTGTGAGTTTCTTTAAACACACGACGCCGCGGTGCGATTCGCCTTTAATAAATCTCAACGATTTCACCGGTTTATGTTTCAACTTTTGGTTCAACTTCACGCACCACGGCTGAGGACTTCTGTGCGAACACGTGGAAAACATCAACCAGTTTTCCTGATTCTTCGCGTACGAAATCGAATGATCTAACCCGATGTTCACCAAAGCCGCGGTGATGGCTCTCACGTCCGTTCTCGATCCCATATCTTTCGCGTCTCGACTAAACTTTTTCGGCGCGTTGTGCCCATTCAATCGAATAACCCAATCGTGCGCTTCTATTTGCATCCCAGCGCCACCGACGGATAAGTGCCCGGTTGGAAAAACCAACGCGCACGACCCTTTCAGAAAACCCGTGTTTTCTCGTTGATACGCGGACGTGTCCACGCACTCCTCCGGTTCTTTCCCGCTCACTTTCTCCAAAACCTTTCGAAACAACTGCACCTCTTTATTTTCTTTTTCTTTTTGGTCGTCCTCTTCATCGTTGTTGCTCCTGTCAAAGTCGAAATCTGCGTACCGTCCCCAGCTCGCGTCTCGGTTGTGTTGCAACACCGGAAAGCACTTATTCATTTCAACCGGTTTTTCATCTTCGTTTCTCCCTCTCGCATACGTCGTCGTCGCGGATGATGATGATGCTTTACTTTCGTCTTCTTCTCCTCCTTCTTCTTCCATGTGCTCCATCACTTCTTTCAAATCTTCCTTCCACTCGTTTTCTTCGTTCGTGTTTTCCCTCAGCATCTGTTCCATCTTTTCGATTTCTTTCTCGTGGTCGCCGTCGGAGTAGACGGAACGGAGAACGAAATAAAGAATCACAATCAGAAGTTTTACGACGAGTAACAGTTTCAATCGTCGTTTATTTTTCGGAGTGAAAAAAGGAGGAGAGGTGGAAGGAGACATATCACGTTTTCGAGTGGACGACTTTATCTCTCGCGTTCATGCGCGCGTACGAAAGAGAGAGAGAGAGAATGGAGAATTTTGGGGAACTTTTCTCTCCAAAATTCATCACTTTTTACGCGCACGAATACATAACAAATATGCAGCAAAACATGAGCGCTTCTTTCAAAACCTGCTGCGTTCAGAAAGGGTTCAGAGCGAACGTTTTCGTTGAACGAGTTGGACGACGTCACGGGCGACGACATAATAATAATAATTTTAATAATAGTAATGAGAAGAAGAGCAACACCAAGAGAATCAACGACGGTTTTAGGAGACAACGGGTACGAGTAAAAGTAACATCAGCGGCGGGAACGACGGGAAATGGCGATGATGATGAAGAAACAATAAAAGTTATCCTGAAAGTACCGGATATGATGTGCGAAGGATGCGCGGAATCCGTCACGAACGCGTTGGAAAGTAGCGATTCTTTCGCCTCCTCCTCCTCTGTGAAAGGAGAGATTTCGATCGATTTGGAGACAAAGTTCGTCACGGTGAGCGTAAAAGGGTGCGCGTCGGCGGTTGAAGCGATGGGGAAGATACCAGAGTTTGTGCAAGCGCTGAAAGAGAACGGATTCGACTCGGAGCCGGTGTTTGATTAACAATAATAATAATAATTTTAATTGATGTGTATTAGTAGAGAAGAAAATAGTTTTGGTAATAGTATTACAAGAAGAGTGCGACGATGATTCTACACTTCGCACTCGAACGCGAGCATGTTCAAGCTCTGTCTGGTCTGAAGAATTTCCGGCGACGACAGGGCGGTTAACTTCTTGGTCGGTTGAACGCGCTTCTTGATATCATCCTTTTCATTTTTTGGAGAAAATGATGAAGACGCCTTTTTCTTTGTCGACCCCGTCGAGCGGATGGTTTTCGTACCAGAGAGACCCGGATGTAAATGAGATGGCGGCGGCGTAGCCGGAGGCGTTCTTTTTGAAGTTTTATTGTTATTGTTGTTATTATTATTGAGCACATTCTCTAACGCGCTTTCCAACCTCGCGCACCTTTCTTTCAACTCGTCGAGTTCTTTTTGCATCAAGAGTTTCTCCATCTCCTTCTGCTCTTTCTCCACGACCGAAACGTACGATAAAGAAGAAGAAGGAGGAGAAGACATTTTTGACCTTTGGTCTTCTTCCTTTTCAAACAGTTTCGCCATCAAATCTTTCGATGATGATGATGTTGATGATGATAAACACGGCGGTTTACCCGGCGGCATCGGCGGATTGACAACAACTCGTGAAAATGTTTTTGTATTCTTTTTTTTTTCTTCCTCTTGATCTTCGGAAGAGGAAGAATAAGCGTTTTCGTTTACCTCCGTGTCCTCCTCCTCCTCCTCCGAGGAAAAAGAATTGATGTTCTTCTTCTTCTTCTTCTTCTTCTTGGTATCATCATCATCATCGTGAACATCATCATCTTTATCGTTTTCGTCATCTCTTTTATATAATCCAGCCAGCTTCATCAGAAAGGATGATGCGTTTTTGACTTCTTCTTCGTTTACGTTTTTAGCAGATCGATGATGACGCGATGATGCGTTGGATGTTTTTCGGTTGGTGTTTGACGGAGCGAAAGGAGGAGGCGACACAAAAGTCGCTGCCATCGCGTCGTCAATGAGCAAACAAACAACGATAATGAAAACGAATGCGTGTGTGTGTGTGTGCGCTCGCGCGCGTGTGTGCGCTACCTTTGGAGAGAGAAGAAGTGAAGATGAAAAGTTTTTTTCTCGTTTCCACAATCGAAGCGTTTTCACAAAACGAAAGACAAAAACAAAACCCTAAATTAATTTTTCGTGCTTGTATTATTAAATATTTTTGTGAACCCTACCATGAGTATTAACAACGGTTCCGTTGGTTTAGTTGGTTATAACGTCCGCTTAACAAAACGTCAAGCAATACGCGGAAGGTCACCAGTTCGATTCTGGTATGGAATACTTTTTTTGCCAAAAGCGGTGCCTGGCACCGCGAGAGGTGCATTTTGGATGGATGAGCGTCGCTTTTCGTTCGTGTTCTAATTTTTTTACTACTACGTACACTATAAAAACTACTTGCTACCACCGTGCCGCCGCTGCTGCTGTTGTTGTTGTTGTTGCTTACCTCTCGAGAGCGATCTCAACAACGCCGCTTTTCTCAAATTTGTCATCAACGGCGATTGGTCCGACGGACTGGCTGGATAGAAACTCGCCGGAGCGACTTCTTCTAACACGTTGTCGTCGTTCCTCGGCGTGGTAGGATTACTATTATTACTATTGCTTTTCTCTTTCTCTTCGTCTACTTCTTGATCTGCGACTACGACTTCCAATGCCTTAGGAAAATGAAATTCTTTTAAATTCTTTTGCTCCTGAGCGTACTTCATCGCGCGTCTTCGAAGCAAGTCCATGCTCCCTCCACCGTTGTTGAGCAACGAGTCTTCCCCGCTCACGTCCGATGCGCTCACGGTCCTTCTCAACGCGTTCGCGGTAGCGTTATTGTTGTTGCCGTGCATCGAAGATGGGCTAATGATGATCGTGTTATTATTTTCCCTGCTGTGACTTGTCGTATCTAAATCCATCGATTGTCGTCTCGATTGGTTCCCGTCCATCGAAAGACTCGTCGTCGTCGTCGTCGTTTCCGTCTGTTGGGTGTTGTTGTTTCCATTGGTTTCTTCTAAGCTCCATTTCCATCCTAATTCGTTCGCCATGGCGTCCGAGAGAAACCGCTTCGAGTTTAAAGTTCTCGGGTGACAATCGTCCTCCATCGGAAAACCGTCCATGGACGCTCGCGGGCGTTTGTTGTTGTGATTATTCATCGATAACTTCTCCGTCGACGGCGACCGGTGCACCCCGCTTGAATAAGTGAGATTTTTATTCCCAAAAGCGATGGTTGAAGGGGCGGATTTTTTAGAGACCAACTCGTCTTCTTCCTCGCCTTGGCCCACGGACATGGACATGGAGTTCGTGGTGGTCGAGTGCGTTATTTTCGGAGGAGGAGGAGGGGGTGAAAAAGGGGGTTTCCCTTTCCCCCGCTGGGGGAAGGACGACGACATGTTTCTTCTTCTTCTTCCCTCAACAAAAGTGGATTTGTGTACGAGATTTGCTCAAGATACGAGTTGAAATAAAAAAGTTGTCTCTTCTTAGGAGGAGAAGAAACCACACGCGAGAAAGAGAGGCGAAAGAGAGAACATTTATGTAGTACTTGTGCTCTAAAACGTTCTACTACACTAAAACGATGATATCGCTATTCACGTCTGCGCTCAACGTCACCGGTAACCTCGTTTCTCCGATGCCGAACTGGTTGCACGTGCTCAAGGCTACGATGTGTTTCAAATCGGTCGTTCGTATTCCACTCGACGCCGACGAAGAAGATGTTTTCAAGGATGAAACAAAGAGCGGGGCGACGACGCCTCCTCCGTCTTCTTTCGGGTGCGTGGTGATGCACACGCTCTCATTCTCGCTCGCGGCGTCGACGCAGTGGAACCCGTATTGCGCTTGCGCGGTTTTCTTCAAGTCGGGATCCCAACTGAACGCTTTCAAGTTGTTGTAACCCGTTTTGATTTCCAAGATTTTCAGTTTCACTTTTTGATCGGTTTCTGCTAACGCAAAGGCGCTCTCGACGTCTGTTGGCGACGCTTTCGAGTTTGTGTACGATGACAACGCGTGCACGGTGAGCTCTTTCGTTTTATCGGTCTCGTAAAAGTCCTCGGGGTTGTTCTCGTCTGTTTTCCTGGTTTTCTTCGTTCTCATGTGCTCTAACGCAAACGCGACGGCTGAGGTTATCGGTTGTTTGTGATTGCGTTCATCCTCTTGAACATGAACATTTCTCGCAACAACTGCACCGGTAGAATCAATGAGAGGGTATCCGGGAGGAGAAGAAGAAGAAGAAGAAGAAGAAGAAGAACTCGGTCCTTCGCCGTATTGGTGGGTGTAATCAACCGAACATCCAACAAAATACGTCTCCGATAATCCATAATCGTCCACATCATCCATCAAAGCTCGCTGATTTGTCACGCTCGTTCCTCCTCTGTTTGCGTTTAGAAACAAAGCAAAACGCTCTCGCTCTTTATCCGCCGCCCATCTGCTATATCTTTTTGTTTTGAAATCACCATCAGCCGCGACGATGCTTTGGACGTACGCGATTGGTTTTCGTCCTTTTTTTCTCTTTTCTTCTTTTGGAGGAGGAGTTGAAACCACTCGCATGGATTTCACGTCGTTCACGAGAAAAGCCACCTGTTCTTCTGAAAAGTGCGTCCATTTTGTTTTCAACACCGATTCGATTTCGCTCGCCAACTGTTTAATTGCCTCTCGAGCGTCTTCTTCGTTACCGTCGGATGAAACAAACGCCAAATCATAATACGACGTCTCGAAATCGCTAAACGCTTTCGACGGTCCGGTTGATAATCCACCTTCTCTGGATGCGCTGCACGAGTAGACAGACGCCGTCTCGCCATTACTCAAACGCATCATCTTCGGGTTTATTCTCGCCAACGGCGCGAACGCGTCGTCCCCGAGGAGTTGTCTAATTTTCGATACTTTCTTCTGGTACGTCTCCGGATCGGGCAATTCAACCGACAACGAGGAAGGAGAAGATGCACCCAAACTCTCACTCTTCAACGATAAAAGTTCTGCCGGATACGCCCACGCGGATTTCTGGCCCGGTAGTTTCAAACCAACCGCCTCGTCGTCGTCTTTCGCGTTGGCGAGCATGGGAATTCGATCTTTATATCGCGAGCGATGGTAATCCAACAGAGATTCGCCGTTCAATTCTTTTCGTGGTTCGCCAACAAAGCCAAAACTATTACTACTCAAATCAATCTTACCCGATACTTTCGGTCCACCCAAAGCGACAACCTCGTCGCCGTCTTTCAAGGATTCTCGCAACGCTGGATCGTCTAGAATTTGACGCACCGTTAAACCGCTTCGGCGTTCTTTTCCCAGTCGAACTTCGAGTCTCGGTGGAAACGAATGCGCGTTTATCGTCACCGTAAACTGGTCTAAAAGCAAATTATCTTTTTCTTCGTCTGTTTTCCCTCCTCCTCGTTCCTTCGTTACATCTTCTTTCGCACTCCTCGCCGTCAACACGATGCTCGATTTATCCTTCCCTCTCGAAACGGTGTACGAATCGCGAATGGCTTTATGCGCGTTGCAATGCATGTACAAACCTTCTCGCATCAACTCCACGCACAACTCTGTATCTTCGTCGTTTCCTTCTTCACCTACAGCGCTATTATCGTCTCTTGAAATTAAACCGGTCGTATCAATCCTTCTTTCGCCTAGTGGTTGTTTTCCTCCTCCCTTTCTTCCTCGGTCGCCGTATCTCACGATTTCGCCTCTCGTCCGCGCGAACAACTCTACCGCATCTCCAACATCATTCGACGCCGCCGATGTTCTCATAAACGGCGATACTGCTGGAGTCATCTTCTCTCTGTTCGTCCTCGTCGTGTCCCAAATCTCCGCGATTTCCTTCACTTCTTCCTCGGATGGAAAATTCGTCTTCGTCTTCGTCTCTGCTCTGCCTGCGACGGTTGAAACCGTCAGCTCAAAATTCGGATTCACATCAAACGCGTACGCCGAGAGCACGTGTGGATGCACCTGAATGCTTCTCTCGTTTTCAGACGACGAAGACGAGGCACACGTTGCCGCGAGTGTACTTTTTCTGCCCGTACTACTGCGAGAGAGTTTGCCTTTTTGTGCTCGATGTGATTGATACAAAAGAGACAAACGCATTTGTCTCAATTGGGAATCCAATCCGGAAAAAGAAGAAGAAGAAGAAGATGCGACGCCAAAAACGCGACTCTTCGCGAAGTAATGACGATAATTGCAAAAAAGAGTACTACTGTTACTGCTACTGCTTTGGTGGTGGTTGAGAAAGATGGTAGCGGCAGATTTTATGTTTTTTGTGCGTCGAGTGCACGGACGCATTACTGAAGAAAAATTTACTTGTTCTCCTCTGAAACCAAAGTGAAAAGGAGAGAGAGAGAGAGACTGAGAGAGAGAACTCTTCATCGAACGACGGACGGGAGTAAATTGCAGAGAAAAGATGTTCTGTGCTACTAAAAAAGAATTTCTGTTACTAATGGTTACAACCGCTAATAATAAGTGAGGAGTTTGCGCACGCGCAGACAGACGTCTTCTTCTTCTTCTTCTTCGGCGCTTCTCTCTCGATCTTCTCGTCGTTTGCTTCTTGATCTAAATACTATACTGCTACAAATGTTCGTTCTCTACCCTCTTCGTCTTCGTCCTCTAATAATCATAAATTATCGCGGTCGAAGCTCAACGGAAAAGTAGTAAACGGGGTGTTATCTATTTTACAAAATCGACTCGGGATCGCCGTCTTTCAAAAACATGCTCAACATATCGTCGGTTGACTTACTTCCGAAGCTGCCTTTGGACGTGCCGATGCCGAGACCGAGACCGGTGTCATCAAAATCCAGCGGGATTGGCGTAAACGAAGACGCGTCGATAGGTACGGGTCCGTAACCGTAACGAACCGTTCCTGGGGGTGGTGGGCCTGGCGTTATTACACCTTGTGGATGTGGAAACGTGGAATATTGTGGAGGGTGTTGTTGCGGAGGCATTCCGCCGGGTCCTCCGGCCGCAACCATGTGTGGAGGGGCCTGTTGTTGTTGTTGTTGTTGTTGTTGTTGATGTTGTTGCGGCGGCATTCCTTGATTCCACTGCTGCGGAGGCGCTCCAACTCCAGGATGAAACTGGTAGCTCCCACCAGGTACGCTAACTTTACTCGCATTATTCTTGCTCTTCCCAGATCCGGATGGTTTGGAGGCGCCAGTCGCGCCGCCCGCTATTTTGTTACTCAAAAAGCCCGGACCGCTCGGATTGTTCGGTCCACCTTGTAAACGCTTCAAATACAATCGATACTTTTGTAAGTGTGATGCGACGTTTTCTCTCGTCAATCCTTGCACGTTCATCAAGTCCAAGATACGCTTTGGCACTGCTTTATCGATGCCCAACTGGTTCACGGCGTTCACGAATTGCTGGTGCAGCTCCGCTGACCAAACTACGCGAGGTTTTTTCGAGCCTCCGCCTGAACTTCCACCCGATTGACCAGCTCCAGGCGCTCCGTTGCCTTGCATCGGCATACCATTCATATCCACGCCGCCAGCAGTAGTAGGATTACCACTCATCATGTTGTTTGGATCCAAGTACCCCATCGGCGGAGGACGCCTTGCGGATGGTATTGCGGATGCGCTCCCTGAGGCATCCCATTTTCTACATATCCTCCCATCATACCAACCGGTGGTGGAATCGAACCGTCTACGTGTTGTTGTTGTTGTTGTTGTTGATGTGTCGATTGCAATGGCGGGTGACCGCCCCCAAGGTGTCCTTGTACGTTTATCTGGTTTTGCTGCTGCTGCTGTCCTGGTCCTGCACCTCCCGGCAGTGGCACCGGAGCTGTACTGTTATTGTTGTTGTTGTTATTATTATCGTTGCCGCTCGTTGTCGTTTGTTGTTGTTGTTGTTGCTGCTGCTGTAACTGTGCTACGCCTTCCACCGTGCTCGGTTTCTTATTCCCCTTCGCTGCCGCGCTCGCGTCCGTCGACACGGCATTATTCGCCGCCGCAATCGTTCTTAATTTTTTATTCATGTGTGTCCCATTCGACGTCGCGTTCATTCCTGAATCCTTCTCCGGACTCCCTCTCCCCGACCTCGCCGGCGACATTGACATCGACCCGGACCGCTGCAACGAATCCGGCCCATTTTTCCTCACCACGTGCTGCCAGATATTCTTCAACTCGTGTATTCTCACCGGTTTCAACAGATAATCGACCGCACCGTGAATGATCCCTCTTAAAACCACCGATTGGTCCGCGTTCACACTCATCATCAACACCGGGATATCAATATCCAAAGCGATTTGCTCCAAAAGTTTAAAACCATCCATATCGGGCATGTGCACGTCGGATAAAACGATATCGAATTCCTCCTTCTTCGTTCGCAAGTATTCTAACGCGGTCACAGAAGACGTCGTGGATGTCACTGTTAAAGTCAAAACGTTGATGATGTTGTTGTTATTACGTAGTAAAGAGTATGGGTAAAACAAAGGTCAGTACGTCGTGTTTATGTATAACGCGAAAAGAAAATCATCTGAATTTCCAAGTCTCGTCTCCCCAGAAAGAGATAAAAAGTGCGTGTGCGCTGATTGATTTTTCTCGATTGTGTTCGTTACGCGATCGCACATCGTCGCTCCACCGCGCACACGCGAATGCAAAAAAGCCTCCAAAAGATTTCAAAAACGTAAATAAGAATCAGATGCGTTTAATTCTTCGCAACTTTTTCCAATCCTCCCCGAACGAGAGGACGAGTCTTCTCGGTAAGCGTTTCGAAAAGTTCACCAACAGGAGTCGCCGTTTTCTTCCTCAATTTATACAGAAGCGCTTTTCTAAAAATGCGTCGTCGTAAAACGTAAAAAACGAGTACGATGCGAACGAGAAACGTACCCGTGTATCCGCACTTCTGCAACATCTTCGTGACTATTTTCAAACACAACACGTCGTCGTCCACGACTAATACCCGAAGGTTCGGGATTGTGGGCGTGGACCGACCGCTCATTCTCTCTTCTGGATGGTTGTGAGGATAAAATTGAGCCAAAAAAGAGATTTTTGGTCGGATATGCAAAAAGAGATCAAAAGGCACCCACAAAAAACACACTTGAGAAGTGTCTCAAAGCAAAACTGCGTAAAATATGTGTATTATTAATAATAATGATGATGATGACGATGTGTTTTAAACACCTCTTCTCTCCTCCTCCTCAAAAAACGTCGTCGCCTTCGCTGCCCCAAACGTCCAGGGAAGGTTTGGTCGGACTACTTTCGTTTTCTTCTTCTTGTTCTTCTTCTTCTCGTTTAGGTCGTCGTCGTCGCGAGGACGAGCGTTGAAACTCGCGAGAGAAATCGCTTCCTCTTTCGTCATCTTCTTCTTCTTCTTCCAGGTCGTCGTCGTCGTCGTAAAACGAGCTCGAATTCCCAGCGGCGGCAGCAGCAGCGGTACCTATGTATCGCCCTCCGATACCGCTACTCGTAGTAAATCCTCTTCGTTGTTGTTCCATCATCCCGCCGTCCCGGTCGTCCTCGTACAAATCGTCGAACGAGTCGTCGAAGCTCCGAAATCCGCTTTGCGTTTGCGACGGTAACGCGTATCCTCGATTAGTATTATTATTCCTTTTTCGCCCTGTTCCACTTCCGCCACCACGTCTGCCTCTTCTCCTTCTTCTCAAATCGTAGTCGTCGTCGTCCTCCTCGTCGTCGCCGATACCGTCGTACCCTCTCTCCTCTTCCACCTCTAACAAGTTCTGTCTCAGACCAATCGTTTCCGAGGCGAACGCAATCGCAGTTCCAGCCGTCATGAGTTGTCCAAACAGCATTAACGGGTCTAATCGCCACCCTTGAAAGACCAAAATCCCCCCGCAGAGTAAACCGACCGAGGAGAAAAACACGTCTTTATCTCTCGAGACTTCCGGTCGTGTCGCTCGAATTTGGTACAACGCGATCGAGGAGAGCATTAACGAAGTGCCTAAAACCGCCGCCGGGCCGACGTCCACGGACACCAACGCTTTTATAGAAAATCTTCTTCGTTTTTGTTGTTTCTTCTTAAAAGTCCTGTTCTTTACCTTTGCGTTGTTGTTACTACTCAAGGAAGAAGACGAAGAAGAAGAAAAAGACGAATGACGTCGGGCCGTTAATTCCGACTTTAATAATTGTGGTTGTCCTCCATTCGCACTGATGTGATGACGACAACGAGGAGCAGCGGGAGTCAAAAGCATTGTAACGATAAAATCACAGAAGTAGTAGTTTCAGCGCTCCTCCTCCTCCTCCGCTCGTTCACGTCTCAAAGTCGTCGCTTTTTATTATTCCGCGTGTTTGCGCGCGTGTTATTGTGTTATTGTGTTATTGTGTTATTGTGTTGTATTCGCACGAAAAGAGCTCTTTTTATCCTCATAACTTCTTCTTTGGATTATTTATTTATTTCTTTATTTATACACATGAAGCGATGACGCGTGCGACGACGACGCCGTACCAGTACCATCGCCGGCGAGCTTTACTAATGCGCTTACTTTCGGTCATCTTCTCGTTTGGCGCTCTCCGCGCGGCTGCGGCGACGTGCGAGAACGAGATCGACTACGTCGCAGTTCGGGAGAGATTGGTCGAGAAAATCGAAACGGCACGCGTAAACTACGAGCCGTTCGCGCACGTGTTCATGGAAAACGTCTTTCCCGAGGAGGTGTACGATTGCATTCTCGAGCATCTTCCGACGCGATTGGGGTCGTACAGACCGATGGAGAAGAACAGAAAAAGACACTTCATACCTCTTATCGACAGACTTGGTGGCACACAGACGAAGGTGCCTTTTTGGAGCGAGCTCTCGAAGGTAACTCTGGGGTCAGACGACGTTCGCGACGCGTACGTGCGGAAGTTCAGAACGACGATCGAGTCGAGATTCAAAACGAAAGTGGAGACGGTGCTGAAGACGATCCAACTCAATCACCGTCTGGACCTGACTCGAGATTTCCCCGGGTATTCAATACCACCGCATACGGACACGAACGATAAAGCGGTGACGATACTGTATTACTTGGCAAAGAAGGACGGGAAATCGAAGACGTCGATGGGAACGAGGACCTACGTCTCGAAGAAGAACGAAAGTGACGCGTGGAAAGATGGTATCGCGTCGGCGGCGAATAACTTCAAAGGATTTACGGAAGTCGAGAGCGCTCCTTTCGTGCCAAACGTGGTTTTCGCGTTTGCGCCGTGTTGGTCGAGTTGGCATGGCGTGAAAAGCATAGGAAATAGCGAAAGAGATACGATTCAGGGATTCATCACAATAGAGCAATTAGCGAACAAGAAGGAGTTGAAAGAATATCTGAGAACAACCAGACGAAAGAAAAAAAACACATTTTTCGAGAACTTTGGAAGGAAAGTTGCTTGTATCGCAAACCCAGACACAAATTCCATTGGAATGGACGCCTCCCCTCCGCAAATATCTTCGGAGGCGGAGGAAGTTCTGCGTGAGATGAACTCTTTAACCCAACAATCTGATCCATTTAGAAAACTAATATAACACTAAGCTACGAAAGTACGACTAAGGCTAAAATTTTGAATTATTTACATCTACGCACTCGTTCAACTCGTTGTCATCGCAGACAATGTGTGGAAACCGATTTTTTTTAAGCTTACCAATCAAGGACGGCGTCAGTTTCTGATAGCACGCGAAGAGAATCGAGTACAGCTTTTCGAATCCGAATCCGTCCTCTCGCACGGTATTATCTTTCGTTCTTGTTAGAGATTGCAAAAGATAGTATTCCGATTTCGAAAGTCTCTTGATTCTCGACTTCGAAATGAGAGACTGTTGTCTCAAAGAGACCAAAGCACCCTCGCACTTTTTGCACGTATACCTCTCAAATTTCTCGCAATAGTGCAGGTTGAACTTCCTCGCGAACTTCGCCACGTTGTCCAATCCTTGCGCGTTTACCTTCGAGGGGATGCGCTTAGATACGTAAGTCCCAATCGCCCTGATATCCCTATTTTTTCTCGGAATCTTACCCTGCACCTTTGCAGGAACGTCCCCAACGTTCATAAACCCGGTACAGTTAGTTATGGTCGACAGGTGCATCTCCAAGTTCAAAATCGCGTCTCCTCCGTGAAGGTGTTTCCTACCGTCTTTAAGCACGACTGTGAAATCTGCCAGTCCATTGTCCCATTTTTTCAGCACGTGCGTGAATAAAGTCCCTGGAATGCCACTGTACGTGTGACTGTCTGAATCATCCACCACCGTCACGCAATCCTTGGCGTTCTTCGGTACCGTGTACTTGCTTGCGCACTTTTCATACACGTAAAAACGAACGTTCGACGCGCATCGAAAAGTCTTCGCGTCGTTCATTCTAAAGAATGGATTCCTCTTTGGATCGTCCGTCTCACCATCCAATTCGCACCGACTAATCAGGACGTCGACCGTCCTCCCCCCCAGCTCATTGGCGGTCTCCCACAGCGTTCTGATCTTGGAGTTTTTCATCTTCTCCGCGAATTCCACATCGTCGTAATATCCAAACTTTGTCGACTTCACCAAGTCCCCCCCGAAGCACTTTCGATCCGAAAACCAATCGATACTTTTCCCCAAGTTATCTTTCAAAGCCAACGTCGTCGCGTGATGCGAAACCGAAAGAAACGCAAAAATCACGGGAAGGACCAAGCGAGAGGGAAACCTGAGGTTCATTTCTCTGGGCTTATTCTCACCACCAATCTTAATGATGATTTTCCGGCTCTTCTATTTAGAAGAACTTTGTTCTCGGGGAAATCTTTCGATCGTGTTTTGGTTTGAGCGCGGCGCGGTTGTTCGCGATGTCCCGGAACACCCCGTTGATTTTCGCGCCATGTCTTCGATACATAAAATACTCAGGGCCGTTGGGAGAAACGCGCGTAACGATGCGCACCGGCAGACTGAAGTACCTGTATGTTTTATCGAGCAAAAGAAGAGAGGTCTTCGGAAAAATATAAAAATGCACACAATGAAATGGTGTTGGGGGCAAAAAAGAAACACCCCCGGTCGAATATTTCAATACATGTACACGAGTGATAGTATGTTTAAAAACGTCCATCCGATACCTCAGGAGGCGCACATCGTCGTGAATTACGCGCGTTGTGCTTTTGGTTTGAAGTTGTTCGCGACGCGTTATAAAATGATATATAAGGTGGGTCGTCCAAATTTTTTTTTTTTTTTTTTGTGAAAAGTCCTCCCCAACTGGGCGTTCAAACCGTCTCCTTGTGGTTCAAACCGTCTCCTTAACTTAATTGACTGCCGTCCCCTACATTTTGGTCCTTCTTCTGCAATTGGGTACAAATCCTCCATTTGTTACCACGCCAAAACAGATCTCATCGATATGCGGCTTCTGTGGCCTTTAATAACGCGTAAAAAGCATTCAAGAACATGAATAATACTTAGAGGAATAGATCTGCGTCGTCTTTTTTGAAATTCATGACGTCCTTGGATCTTCACATATTACTAAGCGCGATCATTGAATATTTATAGGGGAGAAAGCTCTCTTTTGCGTCGAAAAACACCCACACTTCGTTCTCGGATGGTTGCGGGAATGTGAACGCGATAAAAATGCACGCAGCGCGTAGAATGTCGATAATAATGATGTTCAGTCGTAACTTTGCGTTTTTAAAAGAAAAATATGGGGCTTGATATCGTCCATTTTGGAAGGTGATTTGATAAGAGTAAAAATGTAAAAATAGATGTGCATAACAAACTTGCCGTGATATTGCTATCATTCGAGTTACGTGTTCGTCTTCTCGTTCTAAACTTGCCGTGATATTGCTATCATTCGAGTTACGTGTTCGTCTTCTCGCTCGAGAACATCTTCTAATCCTGTTCGTCTTCTTCTTCTTCTCCTTCTTCTTCGTCGCCGTCGTCATCGTCATCGTCATCGCCGATGTTTCGCTCCTCACCTTCTCTGTTGTTGTCGTCATCGTCATGGCCGGTGTTCCGCTCCTCGTCCCTTCTTTGCTTTCTTCTTTGCCTCTTCCTCGCGTTTCCTCTTCTCGAGTACCCTCGACCGCGTTTGTATCATTTCAGGTTCCTCGTAGACGAGTTTCCTCTCGTCAATTTTAATCATATTTTCGACGAGTACGGGTTGGATTTTACGCACGTACAACTCAGTCGCGAGCGGCGAGTGTTTCATCGTCTCGGATAACGTAAGGACGTCTTCTTCCTTGATTTTCTGTGAGACGTACGCGTGGCGCAGAAGATTAATCGCGCCGGGCGTTTTGGTTTGCCCCTGAACTTTACCGTCTTTTATCCCAGCCTCGACCAACCACGCGGCGACCGTCGCGGACATTTTACCGTCCTTGCCGAATGAGCCGAATAGGTATTCGCCGTTTTTGATTCGATGTTTTGTGATATAGTTTGAAATAAGTTTGGACGTCGCGTTGCTGAACCGAACCACGACCCGCCCAAAAAAATCCATCGTCTTATACACGTTCAAATATATCGTCCAAAGTCCGTTCTTTTTGACGATATAGTTCATCGTTTTCTCGACGTTCTCCGTCATATTTGGCGGGTTGATGACGAGCTTTCCCAAATCGTCCCGACTCGGACACTCCTCGTACACGGAAATGTAGAGGAACTCCTTGCTCTCGCGTCCGAACGTATCTTTGAATATTTTCTTAATATCCGTGAACCCGTATTCGATTGTGTATTTTCTTTTGTCGGCGATATACGCGTCCGCTTTCTTTTTCGTGACGGCGTTGAAATTGTTGAGCCAATTCAAATCGGCCTGGAACTCGGGTAAAAGACCCGGGAAGTTTTGGTAGAGTACGTAGAGCGCCTGGTTGGTCGAGAGCGTCGTCGACGGGTTCGCCGCCTCGTCATCGCGTACTTTTCTAAGTATCGGTCCGATGCGCTCTTTTCTCAAACACCTACGAACGTCCTTCAAACACTCGGCCGGTAGGTGCTTCTTGAAAAAGAGGTAGAGTTGTCCCGATTGCCAGTTATCCTCTTTGCCGACACGGTTTTGTATGGTTTTTTCCTTTGCCTTTTTACCCGTGATGTTTATGACCCAAGACATTGGTTGTCCGTCGGAACCTCTGTACCAGACGTAATCGTGGAACGTCTTTAAAGCAAACTGTTGCTCCGGCGGAACTTTAAGCATTTTCCCACGCTTTTCTACCATAAGTTTTTTGAACGATTGGCCGAGTTTTTGTTCGTCTTCTTTTACGTTTTCGGTGAGTTGTTGTTGCTCGAGGTACTGCTCTTGTATGCGTTTGGTTTCCTCGTTGACGGCTAAAATTGGCGCGTACGCGGACGGCGCGAACGCGACGACGAGCGGCGGGTGATTCCTCTCTTTTCGTATCGCGTTTACCTCGGCGTTCGAAATGTCGTATTTTCTTGTCGTTCTCTGCTGGGGAATCGAGCCTTCGCGTATTCTATCGAGTAGCCGTTTCCTGTTGAAATTGTACTTGTTGTTGTTGTAGTGTTTACGCATAGCGACGGCAGATTGTTTCATCGAGTATGCGGTGTTCATAAACCCTTCTCCTCTTCCTTCATCTTCGTTACGTCCGTCGCAATTTTCCAGCGACGCATCCACACGTTCCTCGTCATTGTGCGGACGCTCTTGTGGCCCGTGGCCCTGCTGCGTGGGAGCGGCAGGTTGGTGTCCGTTGTTAGAGTTTTCAAGCGAAGCTAATTCATTCTTAAGTTCAACAATCCTCTCATCGTTTTTCTTCTTCTCTTCCTTAGCCTTCTCGAGTTGTTCTAACAATAAATAAGAAACATCATTTTGCGAAGTTGTAATCTAGAGAGGGCACGCGTCGTTTATGGCAACGCGCGCCAATCTGCACTAGATTCGGAATTAAAGTTGTCTTAATACACGAGTAGCAGTATCAAAACAAAGTGGAGACTGTTTTCCAATTCTTTCGGCTTTGGGACGACTTTATACTTTTTAAGAGGCCAATTAAATTTAGGGTTTTCTTCGAAGCGGCGATTCGTCGTCGTCGCGATTTACCTTTTTTTGCGAAAGTGGGGAGAAGAAGAAACAGAGAATGACGCCGAAGACGACGAAAAGAGCGCGGACGACTTCGTGCGAACGCGTTGGCGTAATTCTCTTCTTCTTCTTCTTCTTCTTCTCGCTTCGATGACGTCGTCCTCGACATCTCCGCCGCCGCGCGAAGAAAAAGGAAAAGAAAAGGAAGGTTTGGTGAAAAAGCTGATGAAGTTTGTGAAAGAGCACCAGAGCGGAAAAGAAGAAGAGGAAGAAGAAGAAGACCCCACGTCGTCGTCTTCCTTTTTTCCTCTGTGGGAACATTTGATCCAAGACGAGGACGTGTTCTCGCACGTGCTCTCGTTTCTAAACCCGACGGAGCGAAAGTTCGTGACGCACGTGTCGAGGGAGACGAGGAGAGTGATGCTGAAGACTCTGAAGATGCCAATCGTGCCCGTGCAAAGGTACCGGTCGAACGCGCAGAAGAATCAGTTGAAGAAGGACCAAAAGAAGTGGTCAGAAGAAGAGGCCGGGAGAAAAATAAATCTAAAGTCAGTGGATTGGAAGACGTACTCTCCGTGGTTGAGACTTGCGAAGGATACGAGTACTATTCCCGATAAGTTTACCATCAAAGAGTGTCGAGGGACCGGACAGTTAGAAATCGCTCTGGATTTCTGCGTGATGGACCCGCCGAAAGAGATTGAGATTTTCGTGGAAGACGGGACAATCAGCGAGGAGTACTTTGTTCACAACGTGGCAAAAACGAACGAGATTTCGTTGTTGAAATGGGCGAGAGAAGTGAAGCATTTGTCGTGGGACAGTCGAATCTCGCGCGTCGCAACTGAGCAAGGAAACGTGCAGATGTTGGAATACGTCGTGAGACAATTCGCTCGAGATAAATCATTGTATGAAAACGATTACGATTGGGAGCTTCACGAAGCCGCGCATAAAGGTCATCTGGATTGTGTGCGATTTTTGCTCGAGCACGTCGGTGGGTTTCAAAAAACAAGGTTAAAAGGTGGTTATTGGCGCGAGACAGAAGGTGAATTTATCATCTATCACGCGGCAGGTGCGTCTCAATTGCATGTAATAGAGTATTTGTTGTCCCAAGGGAGCCCGGTGACGTCCGATGCGCTTGTATCTTGCGCCAATTCAGGATCTTTGGAGTGTTTGAAGTATTTGAGAGAGAATAGCATTCGACGAGTCGATTGGACGTAGGGATGCGCGGTAGGAGCCGCAGCGAGAGGTGATTTGGAAATTGTGAAATATTGCGTGAACGACGGCTGCCCTTTAGAGGTGCCTCTAGACCGGCAACCCGAACCAGACGTGATTACAACAGCGGTCGACTTTGGTCACTTGAATGTTGTTCGTTTTTTGCGCGAAGAAAGAGGTTCGGGGTTGTCGTTGGATATTGAGCACATTATGAAAGCCTTGAGTATGGGTAACGTGGAGTTATTGAAATACATTTGGTTTCATCAAACGTTTCCAATTCCCGAGGATTTTCCCGGACTCATCTGGAAATTATGGGTGCAGGGATATCACGAAACGTTAGACCCAAATTTTCCGCTTTGCTGGCTGCTCCGACGAAAGAAGCAAACAGAACATTTCCTCTGCGTCAAGTTTTTGTACGAGGAAGTGCAAATCCCGATGAGCGAAGACGCATACTGGCGTATATACGAGTTAGCGTTGACGTGGGGCGATTGTGCGCTCTTAGAGTGGGTGTTTGAGAAAATAAAAAAAGATTTTAGTGACGGGTATGATCCTAGAAGTACGGATATACCCTTGCCTTGGCCAGAACCACATCATTGCGAGTATGCCGCTGGGAAAGGATACCTCGACTGCTTGCAATTTTTGCATAAAATTGCAAAGTTTCGTTTCTGCACGCACACATCTGAGCCTATGGATTTGGATACCATAAAGGTTGCGTTGCGCAACTATCAGCCAGAGTGCGCTCGGTACGCGTTCGAAATGGAAGCTTACGTAGTTTCGAGAGAAAATAAGAGAAACTATTCGACGGGAGAGAGTTACGTAGTTTCGAGAGAAAATAACTATTCGAAGCAACACAAGAATGACGTGAGGAAGCAAGTTGAGCTGCTCGAATCGATAGCTCAAAGTTTAACGTTCGGAGAGCTGGAAGAGGCGAGAGAGGTGATGAGAAAAGATTTCGAAGGATGTGAGAGATGCGACGACATACACCTTGATGAACACTTTCATCTCTTCCGTTTTGAAAACGAATGGTTTACAAGTTCGGACGACGAGTCGTACGGATCAGAAGACCTGTCAGACGAGGACATCGAGAGCGTGACGCAAGATCTCCCAGATTTAAGCAGAGTTCTCTATCCTCGCAGCGGCCGCAACAGAAACAACAACGGTCGAGGTGGCCGCGGTGGCCGCGGCGGCCGCGGCGGCCGCGGCCGCGGCGGAGGCAGACACGCGATCTCGGGCGAAGCGGCGAGAGACACCTCCAACGTCCCGTGCGTTTTCTTCGCCAAAGGAACGTGTAATAAAGGAAACGCCTGTAAGTTCTCCCATCACGCTTCATCCGCGGCGGAAGGAGCGGGCGAAGTCGTGGATACCTCCAACGTTCCGTGCGTATTTTTCGCCAAAGGAAAGTGTAAATATGGAGAAACCTGTAAGTTTTCCCATCAGACGTAGTAGTACGCTCGTCTTCATCCGCGAAGGCGTAGTGTAAATAAAGTTGTAAATGTTGATAAAGAAACAGGGAATATCACGAAGATAAAAGGTCGCGGTGCGAGCGACAACCGTATATATATATGTGTGTGTGTAATACTCTTCTCTCAAACAAGCAGTGAGTGATATAAAACGTGTCTTTGTTGTGGAGTAAAATTGTTTGCTTGTGTGTTTTGTTTTTGTTTCAATTGAAAAAAAGACGAGAGTTTTTTTTTTTTTTTTTTTTGAAAAAGAGAGCAGAGCTGCCCACGGGGGGAAGAGTTTTCCTACGAACAACAACAACAACAACAACAACAAAGGTTCATTTATTTATAACACACAGTATGCCTGCGTTAACGAAGAGATCTCTGGCGACGCGTTTAGCGCGATTGGAGAAAAAGTTAGGCGTCGATATCTCACAAAGCGATGATGACATCGAGGAAGAAGACGCGTTGAAAAAAGAGGTCGAAGAAAAAGAGGAGCAAACAGAAGTGAAAAACATCAGGTCGTTGAAAGACGTGCTCGAAACGCACGTCTCTGGACTCTCCGCGGATGGACTCGAATACGTCTGGTTCGATACGTCCATGCCTCTTTGGACGAGGTTTATCATTGGAACTGTACTTTTTGCCAGCTTTGGAACCATGCTGTGGCTGATTAACGAAACCGTGCTCGAGTATCGGTCCTTCCCGTTCGCGACGAATATACAGTTTCGAGAACGAGCGAACGCGAGATGGCCGGCGATTATGTTTTGCCCGAACCACGCTGAATTGAGCAAAGATAAGATGGAAAAAATTGTGAGTGAGGGCGGTATGGAGAAGTATTCAAACGGCGCGAACGAAACGTTCATGAAGTCGATGGTGAGAAGGTGCGAGTTCTTCGGCTTGGAGTGCGGAGAAGACGAAATAGATAAATATTAGACGGTGGAAAATTTAGGAGAGAGATACGGTATTTGTTTGGAGTTCAACTATAAGGATAAAGTGAACGACAAGTTTTGCGCCGAAGATGAGAACGGAGACACGCACGAGACGGATTGCTTGTTCGGTTTATACGGAAATCAGTACGGTTTGAACGTCTTTTTGGATCCGCTTCTGCGGTTTAACTCGATCAACCCGAGTGATCCGTATACCGACGCGACGGCGTTGTACGACGCGAGCGATATCAATAAGAGGTACCACGGATTGTACATCGAGCTGCACGGGACCAAACACGAAGCCATGCCTACATTCAATTCCGTTTTGAGCGCCGTCGGTCAAGTATCGTTCATATCGATGAGCGAACGAGAGACGAAGCGACTCGGGAAGCCGTATCACGAGAAAGAGTGCAGGAAAGATCCACTATATTCCAAAGCCGTTTGTATCACCGCGTGCGAAGAAGATATCCACAAAAAATGTCCGTACGATACAACGAAAACGCTCGAGGAAAATCTGCACGGCGATTCGAAATATCACGAGTGTTATAACACGGAGATGGCGTCCCCAATCTGCCAATGTGACGAGCAGTGCGAATCGGACGACTTTATACCAATCGTGTCGACAACAGAAGTGCACCCGAACGCCTCCATCGATGCTACCATGAAGCCATCGCCGGATTTGAACGAGTACGCGAACGTTCACGTGTATTACAACGCCTTGAGTTTGGAAGTTATCGAAGAGTTACCTGTTTTCAATTTTTTCGTCTTCGTCGGCGTGATATTCGGTCACATCGGTTTCTTCACCGGTTTCACCTTGATCTCGGTTTCGCAAATCGCCGTGTGCATTTTGCACCTCTTGAAAAGAATCGTTGCGAAGAAATATTGAATTTGTAGTACTCGACACATTCCAACGAACTCTTTAAAAACGTCTTACACTAAAACACTTTCGTGCCCCATTTTTATAGCACACATCATAAACTCTCTCTCTCGATAACGACGATATCAGTATTATTAAAATACTGCTACTACTACTACTACTACTACTACTCGTAATGACGCGTGAGTAGACCTGACTTTCTGTGCTCAAACACACCACCACCGCGTCGTCGTTGGGAAGAAGAAGTAAGACCAATTGAAAAGTAATAAAATGAAATTCGAAGCGGACTTGTCGGTCGTGCGAGCGGCGAGATTATTGTTGAGAAGAAGAAGAACAGATGAAGAAGAAAAAGAAGAAGAAAGAGGGACGGATGAAAGTGGAGATATGTTTTCTGCGTTTTGTGTCGTCGATGATGATGATGGTGATGCGTTTGAAGAGGAGGAGGACGGCGTTGAAGATGATGATGATGGAAAGAAGAAAAAGAAGAAGAAAACGATGTGGACCGGGAGCGAAGACGGGACGATCGTCCGGTGGCAAAGTGCGTCGTTTACGTCGTCGTCGGTAACAAGAACAACATTTTTCTCCTCGCACAAGGAGACTGTAGTACAAAGCGGCGACGAACTTAAGTTTCAACCGACGCACGTCATGCGCGGGCACGACGGCGCGGAAATCGTATCGATGTTTCGTAGCGCTTCCTTTCGCGTGACGTCGATATCGAGAGACGGCAGCGTGTGCGTTTGGAACGGGAGAACTATGCAATGCGAGGAGAAGAGACACGTGGATGATTCGCAATCGACGACGCGAATATTAGATTGCGTTTTGTTGGAGATGAAGGGGGGGTTGGAAGTTGTCGTGGTGGCGACGTTGGACGCGGGGGTGACGGCGTACGACGCAAAGACGATGAAAAGGATCTCGAAGGTTTGTATCCACAGTGGCAGTAGCGGTGATGATAAAAACAGTGACGACGATGCGCTGGTGGTGAATTTAAAACTTGGTGCGCCAGAAGGCGTGCGATGCGACGAGATTTTAGCGACGTTTGACGACGGCGATGTCAAATTGATCAACGTGAAAGAGGAAATTGAAAAGCAACACCAACAACTCGCTAAGAAACAACTCGAAAAAGAGAAAGTTATCACAGCAGCGGTAGCAGCGCCATCGTCAACAGCAATGGCAGAGACGACTGACGAGACGGACGGTGGAGATGCAGATACGAACCAAAACAACGCCGCGCAGACGAGATTTGCCGAATACGCCGGTTTAGGCGGAGGAAAAAGAAGGCGATTTCAGAACATGCCGCCGTCGACGAGTACGAATGCGTCTGAATATGGTGCCCTGAGAAGTGGCGACAATGCAGTGGTTTCCTCGCAAACATATTTATTCAGAGAGAGATGGATGATGATGAAGAAGAAGAATACGACGATGACGGCGCAATCTAATCCCAAGAGTGGAGATACTATCAACGTCAGTAGGAGTAGTAGTACTAGTAGTAGCAGCGGTAGTAAACACGACGTAGGATTTAGTTTAATAGCGTTTGGACTCGCAAACGGTATCGTCGAAGTACACTCGATGGATGATGATGATGATGATGATGATGATGATGATGATGATGATGAGAAAGAGGCGTGCTCTAGTTCAAGCAACCATCGTCACAAAGGTGCGGTTCGGTGTCTCGCTCAGGTGAAAATTCCCTTTGTGAAGAATAGCGATGCGATCGCCGACGAGTTGCTTCTTTTTGCGAGTGGCGGTGATGACGGGACAATGAAGCTTTGGAAGGTCGAGAAGAGAAAAGGTCAGCGAAGTCTTGAACTCGTCGCGCAGTCTCGGCATCACATCGCACCAATAGTTGCAATCTTACCGCTCGAGAGTAATAAAGGTAGAGAACAAGAAGAAAAAATAGTTCAGTTCATGACGATATCAGAAAATGGCGACGTTGGCATTTTAGGAGTCGCCGCCGAAGAGGCAGGATTAGCATATCACACCGAAGACGACGATGATAGTAAGAACAACAGGGGTATTCCGTTTCGAATCGCGGAGTGTAAAATATTCTCGCGATTCGAACCGGACGATGATTTGTGCCCCTCGAAACTGACGCGAGGCGTTTGCGAAATTATCCTCGACGAGAAGATGCATTTGCTTCGAATTTTATACGTTTCAGGAAGTGTAAAGATTTGGGATACGCTCGGAGATGAAGTTTTAGAGAGAGAATTGTACAGTTCTTCGTCGAGCGTGGAAATGTGGAAACAATCGAGACCGTCGGGACCACCGGAGATGAGGTTCGCCGGCGGAGGGAAATTTTGGAGAGTGCGTGAAAGCGCGTCTTTATCAAAAATAGAATCGCCAAACTTGAACAGCTGGTTTCGCGAAGACGTCGTGCCGCTAGCTTCGTCCAACGCGCCGTTTCTTATGAGTCTCGCGAATCTTGGGAAAATAGTGGCGAATAGTTTGTCGCAGCAATCTTCAGATGCTGCCACGTCTGCGTTATCGGTCGCTTTTCGAGTAACTAACGGGCGGCAAAAACGAAACGTGATTTTTTCGAAAGTTCGCGTTGGACGTAACAACGACGCAACGACGGTGGTACTTCTCGATGACGATAAATGCGACGACGAAACAAGTTACGATGATTTCATGGAAGCTACGATTGCTCGAGTGGCGGTTGAGGCTGCGTCTTCTTCTTTCTCATCCAAGAGGAATTCTGCGATTGAATCTATAGGGATCCAAGAACTCACCGAGATGCAAGCGAGACGACTATTCTTCCGATGCGTATCTCTTTGGTCGAACGAAACGCCGTGCATTCGAGCAGCGTCGAGAAGCATCGCGAAAGCGGTTCTCCACAAATCTGGTATCTCCGAAGCGCTACGTTTACCGGCGCCGCCCGAAGCCGACGAGGACGAGCGAGACGAAGAAGAGAGAGGCGACTTGTTCGACAGAGCTGCTGCGAAAAATGGCAAATCAGAGGAGGAGGAAGAGGTTGCATCGTTTTGGCGCGCGTTCTTCATACGGAAAGAGGACGAAGCTATCCTTTCGTCTTCGAGTGCGAAAATACACAAAGGCGTGTTTGGTCTCTTCGTATGCGCGGTTGGTTTACTCTCTTCGGACGAAAGCACGAGTGATGCTCGAATCGCAGACGCCTGGAAAGGCGCGGCTATTGCGCATCTCTTGAAGTTTGTCGCTCACGCGGGCGACAACGATTCCACGCTCGCACACTCGTTGGCCTCGTGCATTTTACGAAGCGGTATTTACGGTGACGACGACGAAGACGACTGCAACGAGGACAATTACGCCAGCGTAAACGGGTTCAACAACAAAGATTGGTTTTCGTGCGTCCGAGATCCGAATCGCTGTCTCGAAGATGCTTTTAAATCGTCTTCCTTTGAAGTCTTGACGGCTTTGGCGTCCGCCTCGCCGGCGTTTTACGTAGCGCACGTGATGAAACGCTTCCGCGAAATTCCAGCCGATTCGCCTTTACACGTGACATCCATCGATGCTTTAACTGAAGCCGTTTTACAATCTTCCGCGAAAAGATGGACGTTTGAGCCACACGTCGTTTCTATCGCAGAAATGCTGTCGTTATGCGTGAGCAGTAACATCAGCGGCACGCTCTCCAACAGCGGAGGGGGCATGCAAATGGCGGAAATTTCGTTAGCCGTGCAACTCTCGCCGACGCCCGCACAGGCGCCAACTACGCCTTCGAGTTTACGCAAGACGTGTAAACGCTCGGTTGTCTCGTTAGCGTTAATGCTCGCTAAGCGTTGTCGAAATGTTGCATTCCACGAACCGACGAAACGCTTGGCCGTAGGTCTTCACGGCGCCGTTAAAGGCGGATCGCTCCTCGCCGTCTACGATTTATCTGTTGGACAAAAATGGCGCACGTTGGAGGACGACACCGTGGACAACGCGGCGGAAAAATTCGCGAGCAGCGCGGCGAGCGGCGTCTCTGGCGTCGTCGAAGCGTTGGCTAAAGAAACCTTCGGATTAGGCATCGGAGATTTACAGCGACAAAGTCCGGCGAAATCAACAAACAACTTGAGAAGACACTCGCAACAAAAATCGAGCGCGAGTTCCTCGAACGTCATCTGCTCCACACTCGGTGCCGTCGCGTTCGACGAGGAGGGCCACCAGGTAGCCGCCTACCTCCACGAACGCTGTTTCGTGTACGTCTGGAACGTCAACCCGAGCTGGCGTCACGCCTTTGCGCGCGGCGTCGTTCCTCTCGGCACGTCCCAACGCATGCCTTGCGTCCCGCTCGACGACTTGGATACGACGAACACTGCTAAACAACAACAAGAACAAGAACAAGAACAAAAGCGAATAAAAAACAAGAGCATAGCTTTGCGATGGAAAAGCAGCAACGAATTGCGGTTGCAGCACGGTAGATTGGACATGGTCTATCGAATAGGTGCCGATTATTAGAAAACATCTCGATGCAAACGTTGTTGTAGCACAGTCCTCTTTCTTCGATTTTGACGAGAATATTTCTTTTTTTCTCCACTTTTTATCTCTCACAAAACACGCTTCTTTGTCTCATCGTCGTCAGCGCTCGCAATCATCAATACGAACACCACGCGACGAGAATGGGATTCAGAGATTCAGCGCCTTTATCCGATTTGAAAGCGCCTCCTTCTCGTCCACCTCCTCCTGACAACACCAACGACGAAAAGAATCATCGTCAGAGTTTTTCTCATCATCAGATCGGAACGACACCTATACCTGCTGCTGCTCTGACGAGGAATAGTACTGCTGCTGGATATTCTTCTTTGCATCAAAGTTTTCCTGCGGCGGCGGCGTCCTCGTCGCACGCGTCGTCGTTTGGTTCTGGATTTCAGCAGCAGCAGCAGCAGCCGTCGTCGTCGTCGTATGCGCCGGTTCAACACCAACACCAACACCAACACCAACACCAACACCAACACCAACACCAACACCAACACCAACAACATTTCATGCCACCGTCTCCGGTACCGCCGGCATCCGTTCATGGCATTGCGTCTGCGCAGCAACAGCAATTACCGGCGGCGCAGTTTTTCAATCCGAACTCGCAGCAGCAGCCGTTCATGGTGCCACAACAACAACAACAACAACAGCAACAACAACATCCTTCTTTGACGACGGCGTTGAATAATCAACCGTACCAGCAGCAGCAAATGCCAGGAACGACTACCACAACCGTTCGCGGGCGCGAACGGTACTGCTCTGGGGGCGCGTGGGTTGGCCCGGCGCCGGCGTGGCCGACGCCACCGGCGACGTGTTCCGTGGAGACGTGCGATTTTTCGCGAGTGAAGCCAGAGTACGCGAAATGTTGCGAGACTTTTAGGAAGAGGTACGAAGGGTTGTTTGGTGGTAATAATAGCGATAGCAATAGCGTGTCCTTCGCGAAGAAGAAAGAGTTGGAAGTCGTGAGTAGAAAGATTGGAGGTTTATTTTATTTGATGGGGAAAGATATCGCGGAGGAGAACGGCGCGGTCACTCAGGAGTTGGGCGTAAAGTTGAACGATTTAGCCGGCGCGTTAGAGCGCATGGATTTTGGAACGGTCAACGCGGTTTTGTTAGATATAGGCGCGAAACACTGGGAAGAGGCCGTGTATTGGTACCCTGGCTTGAAACGAATCGTGAAGCAGTAAATATAGTAGTTTACACGTATATATAACAATGTAGATGTTGTTAGCAGCGGATATTATAGTTCTAAACAAAAAATGTGCGAGCGCGAGCGTTCATCATCAAACTCTTCTTTTTTGCTTTGCGCAAATGACGTGTGCTGTTTGATGATGAATGGTGAAGCGATGTTTCCATGCCGTGTGTGTGTGTGTGTATGTGTGTGTTTCTTCTCCTCTCTCCTCTCTTCTCTTCCTCTTCCCTCCTCCCGTCAATATTTTAAAGCCGGGACGCCTGGAAAACCTGGCAAGTGCAACGCTTTTCCGTTTTGCGGCTTTTCCAAGTTCAAAACGAAAGGAACGAACGCTTTTGCCCACTGCGTGTACTTTTCTCTCTCCGTGATGCCGTGTTTTTCAAATTGTTCGTCTCGAAGTTTATCCTTTTGCACGGGCTGATACTGGTTCTGCGGCGGCATCCCACACGTCATACCTGGTAAACAGCCGGGATCGATGGACGCGCAAATCACCTCTTCCTCCGCCTTTTCACCTTTAAAATCTCTCGCCAACATTTTCGTCGCGGCTTGTATGCTCGCCAGGGACACTCGATATGGCGCGACGGCGTGCACGCACGGCGGATGAATCACCTGCGTCACGTTCACAATCTTCCTCGGTCTCACGTGACACGAACACTCCTCCGGCGACCTGAGCGACATCCACCCTTTCCCTAAAACCTTCTCGTCGCCGCAAACCATCGTCCCGGCGAACGCGCTTTGGACGTTCAAGACACCTTTCATATCATCGCACGATCGAGCCCAATGTTGCGGCTTTTCCGCCCACATTCTCGGCGCGCACGACGTTTCGTGCATGCTCTCCGCGACCGTTTGCGGTAACTTCCCCACGTTCGCCACGACGATATCCGGCGTTCGTCCGTGCGTGAATAAAATTTTATCTTTCCACTCCCCCACCGCCACGTGCGATTTTAAATCCAAGCGTTCAATCGAGAGTCGCTCGCCGAGAAAGTACGAGGCGAATTGGTCTTGCATCTCGATCTTTGCCGATTCAGACGTCGTCGCAGCTGCCACGAAAAAGTACATGTCCGCGTAGTTTAGAAACGCGTCCGTGATAAACGGTCCTATAGTAAAAAATTTCGTCGTTTAAAGTCGTCGTTTACACAGAGAGTGACAAACAGAGAGAGAATGGGAGAGAGAGAGAGATGGAATGCGTTAATAAAAGGTATCCGAAGGAGAGAGAGAGAGATGGAGTTAAAGCGCTTTTTTTTCTTGTCAATCACATTCTCTTGGGAAAGAAACGACCAAATTGAAAATCACCTAATCCGTGGCCGGCGTCTGCGATTATCGCGAGCGCAGAACACGGTTGCTCTTTACTATTTTTCGATTTTGCTTTAGTGGTTGCTTTCTTGGTCGTCGTCGTTGTCGTCGCAGAGCACGAAGAAAACTGTTGGCGCAGCGCGAGCAGCGCTTTTCGTCGTCCTCGAAGCATTGCGTTTGATATCTGACGACTTTTTTTCTGAAGGGGGGTTGCCTCCTCTTTCTCGGATCTCTCTTTCTTTGCCACGTGGCAAAAAAAAAGATTCAAGAAAAATGACAATCCTCGCGCCTTTAAAACTTCCTCCTTCTCCCGCGAAACTAAAAAACGTGGTTTTCCTCTTCGTTGTGTTCTCTTTTTGCAAAAAAGTGTTCGTCGTCCTCCATTTTATTCTTTGAGAGAGAAATGCCCTAATGAGAGGAGCGGCAACAACAACAACAATCCTTCTTAGAATAACATATCGAACGACGACTTTACAAAAAACTTTTGTCGCTGCGAGTCAAACTGCTTTTACCGAAACGTCGAGAGGAAAAAGAAGAAGCAGAAAAGCGAGGAGTCGCGTTTTGAGCGCACTCATGTCTCCCAATCATCCCGGGAAACGCAATATGTCGCAGGCGAAAAAGCGATACGTGCGAAACCCAAATTTACCTTTTGTGAGCAGAGAGTTGTTCACGAAAGCGCGCTTAACGGACGACGAGGAGAAACAGTTATCCGCGGAGTCGTACGAGGAAGTTTTAAAGGCGAAAGCGAACGCGATCGAGGGTTTATTGAGGCCGTTTTATGATGGTGGTGACGAGGATGAGAAGAAGAAGAAGACGAAAAGCAGAATCGAATTCGAAGTGTTTGCGAGTCCAAAGCTGAAACATTTTCGGCAACGAGTACGGTTCGGCATCTGCGAACAACAACAACATCGAGAGCAACAACTATTATCAGAGGAAGAAGAGAAAGGAAAGTTCGATTATTGCATCTTTGAGCGGTCTGAAATTACGAGAATAGAAACAAAATTCGACATCGCCTCGGAGTCGTTGCAAGCGATTATGAATAAACTGCGCGAAGCGTTGAACGAGGACGACCGATTCCAGTCCTTGAGAGAAGGTCGGCTCTCGGCGGTGACATTTCACGAAAACAGGAAGAGCACGGAGTGCGTGGTAACGTTGTGGAGAGGAGAGCCGTTTCGAGAAGATTTTGCAAAGGTGAGTGGTCTGTTAGCGAAAGAGATTGGGGTGAAAGCGATTGTCGGGAGGACGAAAGGCGATAGGAGAGTGTCGAATGATAGTACCGAGGATTTCGTCGTCGAAGAGATGGAGATTAAAGACAACGAGAGTGGCACGGGCAGAGTTTTACGATATAAACAACCGGAGGGATCGTTCTCTAACCCAAACGGCGACATCGCGGAAATGACTGCGAATTGGCTGTGTCGAGCGATGGAAACGGATGAAATTGCAGCGCAAACGGCGAGGTCGTTCGTGGAACTCTATTGCGGGAACATGAACCACGGGTGTTATCTCGCAAAATATTTTCCGAGAGGTAAAGTCATAGGCGTAGAACGAGACGAGAACTTGTGCCGAGCGGCAGAAGTAAATTTAGAGATGAATTCAATAGAAAACGGAACGATTATAAACGCACCGGCGGAGATTGTCGCCAGACGATTCCTCTCCCGCCTGCGAAAGAAGAAACGAGGCGAAGAGAACATCGAAGGCGAAGAGTACCCGTTCACGGAAAAAGATTTTTTCCTCGTGGATCCTCCAAGAGCTGGATTGGATGAAATAACCTTAGATTTAGCGAGAGAGTTTAAAGATATAATGTACATATCTTGCGACGCGAGAAGTTTAGCGAGAGATTTAGGGGAGAAGAAATTGAGCGAAACGCATCGAGTGAAAAGGCTCGCCGCGTTTGATCACTTTCCGTGGCACGCGGATTTCCTAGAAGTAGTTTGTCAGTTAGAAAAGAAAGAATAGAGAGCCTTAAAATACTATTTCTACATGAGGCCACGGCCTTTTGTTCTTCGTTTTTGTTTCGTCGCTAACTTTTGTGGAACGTCACGATACCAATTCACCAACAAAGTGTTCCTTTCTCCGGCATCTTCTAAAGCCTTTTCGACGCTGTGATAACTCGTTTCGTGCACTTTAAAAGCATACATGCTGTTGTGTCGAAAACCAAACTTCTTTTCGCAAGGTGCGGCGTTGTTGTTCTTCCTGTCTCTCTCTTCGAATTGCTTCGCCGTGTGTACGCACGTGCCGTACTTACTTTCTTGCTTCTTTTCGTCTCCTCCGTGAAGCCCCGGGAAATAAAATTGCATCGTCGCCAACTTCTTCGGCGTATCTGGGTGTACTCCAATCGCGTACCCGTTCTCGCCCATCTTGTCCGTTTGCAACCTAAAATCTGTCGGCACGTTACCAGTAATCATTTTATCTCGCCATCCCTCCGGCAACTTCAACTTATCGTACACGAGATTCTGAAATCGTTCGCTGAACAAAATCTGTTCCACTCTTCTCCACGTTTCCTTCGCGCTCTCGAAATCCCTAAACCCAGACTTCTCCACTCTATTCTTTGGATCGATCACATCGTACCCGCTCAACTTCCATCGCAAATCCTTGAATTGATTCGACCCCGCCGCCGAATAACTCTTGCACTTTGCGAGCTTCCAATCTCCCGCTTCCGAACATCTTCCTTTCTCCGTCGGTTCCATCGAAGCAATCAGAGGAAAATCAGACAGCATTTTCTCGTATAATTCCGGAGGGAACACGTTACAAACGTAAACGATTTCCTCGAACGGATCGGATGTTGTTTCCGTTCTTTTGAAATTTTCCAACACGTAGTCCAAATCTGTCTCGAAATCCACTGGATTCACTTTATTCACGTCGTCGTTCGTCGGGCAGGAGACGAGGACATTTTTGAACGACGACGACGCTTCTTTTTCATCAAACGAAGCGCCCACTTCTACTTCTACTTCTACTCCTTCTCTCTTCTTCTCGACGTATTCATCGTCATTCTCTAGACGACTGGTTTCTCCTAGGGGTGATGATGAAGTTGAAGTTGAAGAAAAGAAATCCAATTCAGAATACGTAAAAGTCACGAACGCCAAGAGGAACACGAACAACATCTGCACCGATAAAGCTTTCGAAGAAGGGCTTTGCTGCTGTTGCGACTGTTTAGACCTCGGAGAGATGAGCGTGGTGTTTAGCGCATCTTCCAAGACGTCTTCTTCGGGAAGGACTTTGGGATGATATCGGTTCCGCGAGTGCATTTTTGTGAAGTGGAAAGGACAAGTAAATACGTTTGGATGACGACGACGATCAAATTCGATCGTCTCCGTTTGAAACGTGCGAAAATAACAACACGCTACTTTCTCTCTCTTTCTCTCTCTTTCTCTCTACTCTATCTCCATTTTTCGTTGCAAATCTTCCTCTTCTTCTTCCTCTCGTTCTACATTTTCTGGCGTCGCGAGCGATAAAACCTCCGAAATCCTCTCCCGGTGAGATTTCAAAAGGTCCCAGTCTTCCCATTTGACGCGCATGCCGTCGAAGGCGCACGCGAATACGTGTTGATTTTGTTGATATTGAGGAGGAGAAGAAGGAGATGAAGAAGAAGGTGCAAAAATGTCTTTCGGGTACCGTTGCGAGAAATGGGTCAAACACACCGTCTTTGCGTTTGATTCTCGACCTACTCGCAACGCTTCCTCGGTCGTGCAATGTTTCTTCTTCTTCGCGTGCGACCATAAGCTATTTCCGAACGTCGCTTCGTGGATTAATATGTCAACCGCGTATGCAGCTTTGGCAAAATCTTTAGATGGCGTGCAGTCGCCGCTGTACGCGACGGAGCGTTTGGTGGTGAATAATCCGCGGAGGATAATCGCGAAGGCTTCCGGACAGTGCGTGACCGGGACGGAGACGATTTGTTCACAGTTGATGGTTTGCGCGACGTATGCGGCGACGTCCGGATGCTTTGGTTGCAATGATGAGGAGCTACCATTTGAAAGAGGTGGAGGTGGCGGAGGAGGGTGCGTCAAACCGGGCTTGTTCATGATGGAGATGTGGAACGGGCCGCCGATGCCGCCGCGCGCTTGCAAAGCGCTCGATTTCACAAACGTGTATTTGAAACTCGGAACCTCGATGGTTTCGAACCACTTTTGAATTGGCGTAGGGCCAACGATAAGTAAAGGAGGTGGTGGCGTAGTGAGAGTAGAACTCGTCGTCGACGACGATGCCTGTTGTCGCAAAGCCTCGTATCGAGCGTCGAGAATAGCGAGAATACCAAGACAGTGGTCCGGATGGTGGTGGCTAATCCAGATCATTTTCAATGTCTTCAGCGCGTTTAGACATTCCTCGCGACCTAAATACCGTCGCATGGCGCCTAAACACCCTTCGCCACAATCGAGTAAAATCGACGATTTCGATGCTCCTCCTTCTTCTTCATCGCGCAAAAGAATCGCGGATGCCGCTCGATACTTGGACGGTTCAGCGCATCCCGTGCCTAAAAAGATCGTTTCCGGACCTCCCAACGCGCTCAGAGGAGCCGCTCGGCCTTTCTTCGGGTGCGCGGGATACTTACCAAACGACGCCGGTAATAAATTTTCTTCTTCTTCATCCTCTTCTTCTTCGTACACATCGCCACCGCTGCCAAAAATTTGGCGTTTCGCTTTCCTCGCGTTTTCTTTGAACGTATCGAACCGTTCCAAGTTTTCGAACACGTCGCGCAAGGCAAGTTTAGGCAATTTTGGATCACCCGTTCGCTCGTTTAGCATCTCTTCACCTCGTGTTATCGCGTGTCGATTCTTTTCACCGACTGTGTTTCGATTGGAATAGAATGCAACCTCGTCGCATAATCCAAGAGTAGTAGATGTCGTCTTCTTGGAGTCGTCATCTCCTTCTTCTTCGCGAGGCAGACATTTCGATGTCGTCATCAAGCTCTCCGGTAGTGGGAATACGGATGGAGCGGCGCAGTGCAAACGCGCTAAATGTCTCATTGAAGATCTGAATCCAACCTCGTTGTGACTTTCATCGCCGCCGCCGCCAATCGTGAATACATTTTTGCGATCGATTTCAAAGCCCCCCTCCTTGACGTTGTTTTCCTTCCCGTCGCGTACCAAAGAAGAAGAGGATGAAAGAAAAAACAGTCCGCTGATATTATGCTTACGCATGCTATTGTTGCTCAATAGGCACTTACACAGCGCGTGTTTCGATTTCTTCACGTCTTCTTCGGTGCAGTTCAAGATGAGAATTCGAACCGGTTCGTGAGTATTTTCGCCACCTTCTCTCTCGTTCAAAAACTCGTCTTCGTCTTCCTTCTCCAAGACTTCCAAAACGTACCCGAGCATCCGTTTCGGCGGCGGCGGCGGCGGTGGCGGTTTACTGCTACATTCTCTCGTTTCTTTTCGGTTCTGTTCTCGTCGTTGCTCTATCATTCCTTCTTCTGTTTCTTCTTCCTCCTCCTCCTCCTCTTCGCTACTACCGCTACTACTACTACTACCGCCGCTGCTCCCATCCGCGACGCCTCCTCGTTTCCGTTTCCTTATCCGCATCTCGCGCCTCTCTCGAAACCGGCACAGCGCGCACACCTCCACACCCTCTGCATCGTCTTCAACAACATCCATCAACGGCCACACAATCACGTCGCTGTCTTGGTAACACAAATTCTCATCCTCTCCCGCGTCTCGCTCTTCGCCCGCCAAGGAAACGCCGGTCACTTTCGGATGCTTCCATTTCACCACCGCGGAGAGACTTCGAAGAAGAAAAAGAGAGAGATAAAACTCGCGTCAGTACTAGAGAAAAGAAAGAGAGAGAAAGAGACGCGATAAAACCGCGAGAACGAACGAACGAATGAAAATCTCGCGCGACGCGCTCTCACCTCTCCACGACAGTTTCCACGCCTCGTTTCCCAACCACCGCGCATTTCTCGTGTCCATCCGCACTTAAGCGTAAAATTAAAGAGCACACGCCGGCTAAACTTTCGTTCATATCGTCACCAAGTGCGAAAATCGCGGATAAGCCTTTCCTCGGTCGCGAGTACGTTTCCATGGTCACTCGAGAGAACGATTCCGGACAGTTGAATAAGTACTCTCTCGGGAACGAATGTGACGATGCATTCCCCCCGGTCGTCTTGACGAGCAACGCGTTGCTCCGTCCAAAATCGTACGTGAACGACGCGCAGGTGAGAAGAGGAGGAGGACTCGCGTCGTCGTTTTTGCTTTCTTTCGTCTTCATCTTTCGCGTCGTCGTCGTCTCTTTATCTGTTGTTCTTCATCCTCGTTCGTATCTCAAATGCGACACTTTTTCTCGAGAGAATTGGATTCAATTCATCGCGTTAAAGAACGCATCGTAAACGGTCGCAATGAGAGACTCCGTCGAGACAGACGATCGGGAAGATTTTTACGTCCGATACTACGTCGGCCACAAAGGTAAATTCGGCCACGAGTTCCTCGAGTTCGAGTTCAAACCGGACGGAAAGTTACGGTACGCGAACAACAGCAACTACAAAGGCGACAAGTGCATTCGGAAAGAGATGTGCGTTTCGCGAGCGGTGCTCAAAGAACTGAAACGAATCGTCACAGACTCGGAGGTGTTGAAAGAAGACGACGAAAACTGGCCGGAAGCGGACAGAGTTGGACAACAAGAGCTCGAAATCGTCCTAGGAAACGAACACGCGTCGTTTCAAACCGCGAAGATTGGGAGCCTTTTAGACGTGCAAAACTCGAAAGATCCGGAAGGTTTGAAACAGTTTTATTACTTCGTGCAGGATTTGAAGTGCTTCGCGCTGAGTTTACTGAACGTGCACATGAAAGTGAGACCTATTTGAGGAGTCTTTCGTGAGAATGACGATGATGTGCAGTAAAAGGATCTGGTGTAGTTACGCGAGAATATCGTCAAGTCGTCGTCTTCGTCGGGACGCGCTTTTGAGCCGCGTTTGGTATAGCAATGCAATTCTAGTCTAGTCTACACTTCTAGGTAGTAGTTCTACGCGTGCGTTTATTCCGTGCAGGTCGCTTCTTTCGACGAAAGCTTTCGGGTAGATTTTATTGAATCCTCGCGGTGAACCACACGTCCTTGTCGCACCTCACGTGCACGTCGGTCACTTTTGTCCTCGACTCGTCCTCAAAAGTAGTCTCGTTGCTCGAGCTTATCTTCCGGCCCATTTCGAAGTACTCGTAGTTCTTTGCGTTGTCTTCTTTCTTGTTGTTTTCGAGGTTCCATTTCAATCCGCTCGTCCACACTTTCGTCTTTCCGTTGAAGGGAAAGATCCCCAACGATTTCGCTGGAACTTTAAATTTCAACACCGTGTACCCTCTTCGTATCGGGAACGAAATCTGTATCCCGAGCTTTTCTTCCTCTTTCGCTCCGTTATCGTACGCGTCGTAACACACGTAACTCGGACCACCTTTCAACAAGCCGGGCGCTTTCAAAATCGCCGATATGTTCGCAAACTCGTGATCGAATCTCCCGCCCATGGCGTTGAATATCACCACGTCCGATACGACCGGGTCTCGATAACTATATTTACCTCTCTCGAGAATAAAGTTCAAGCACTTCTCCATATCGTTCGTATCTTGGTCTCGACTGAGGTCGATCAACTCCCCTGAAACTATTCCTTCTTTTTCTCCACCTTCTGCCGTAGCAGCGGCGTTAGGAGTCGTCGCGCCCGCATCATCATCAAACCGCAGTTTCCGCAATTGCTCTCGGTTCACGAACGGTACATTCTCCCGCTTTTCTTCTTTCACTTCTTCGACCCACTTTTCTTCTTCCCCTTGTACGAAAAGAGAACTCTTTTGGAAAAGAGTTCGTCTCTTCTTCTTTCTCGTTTCCTCAATCTGGTCGTCTTCATCTTCCTCTTTCGACCGCGACGACGAATCCATATCTCCAACTATATAATCCGCTCCAATCCTCCCCCCACAACTTAACGCCTTAACGAAAGCGTTCCCGCCGAAATCAGCCGCAATTACTGGCACCCCATCGTTCCTCCACAAAATATCGCTCTTAATTTTCAACTTTTTCGACTCGTTTCCATCGTTATTCAAAACTAACACGCAGGTCATCGGTACCGGGTTCGGGGAACTTCCGTCCCGAATTTGCTTTTTCTGGAAAACCATCTTTTCGGATTTCCGCTTGATTAACTCGTTGAAGTCTTTGTTCGTCGGTAAGTCGATCAAGACGGACGAACAGACGAGCTCGCTCGATGGGTACGCGCTCGACGGTTGAGGTTGGTCGAAGTTCATTTTAGCAGCAATAGCAGCAGCTTATAAAAGTTGTTCAGAATCAGTTCATTTGTTGTGAGGAGTTTCGTCGAACAAACAAGAGGAAAATACGCGACGAGCAAAGGCGCACACGTTTTCTTTCAACTGTATGTATGTGTGTGTTTGTGTGTTGTATATATTACTCTGATTCTTCTTATTCTTGTCCGTGAATGCGTGGCAATATCTCGCCGTGCTCGTATCGCCAACCTGGTGGGAGAGGACAGTTGTTGTCGAGAAGGTATTGTAAACATTCGGGTTGATTTTTCTCGCGAGCGACTCGTATGGCCGCAGAGTTCCAAGGCGCTTTGGCGGTTTCGTGCAAGTACTTCAAACAGTCTAAGTGGCCGTTCTCGGCTGCCAACTTACACGCACAAAAAAGTCCGTCTCCGTCATATTCATCAAATTTACGTTCAACAAGATATTCGAGTATATGAAGATGACCATTTTCAGCCGCCCAAGCGGCAGTACCCGAATCCCAAGGCGCTTTGACTTCTTCGTGTAAGTATTTGAGCATCTCGAGATGACCTTTTAAGGCAGCATATGCACACGCACTCGTATCGACAGGACACTCATTTGCAACGCAATACTTTACCATTTCCAGATTACCTTGTTCTGCGGCCGCATTAATCGTATTTTCATCCCACTCACACTCTTTCTCCTCTCGCGCCCACTTGAGCAACTCGAGTTTATTCGTTTCAGCAACTTGCCAGCAGAAATATGGTTCATCTTTCAAGTACCTCGGCCACAACGATTTATGCTCCCACGCAAACTCCAACGTAGATATTGATGACATCTCTTTGACTATGAAACTCTTCTTCAAATCTCTTGCACGAGACGATCTCTTAATCAACTTTCTCGTCTCCGTATTCACGTCGTAAAAGAATTTGAGATCCGTCCCGTTGAGTTTACACATCACATGCTTCTCCACGATATCGCGACACGCGCCGCCATTTAGCAACGCCTCTCTGAACAAACGCCACAACAGTAACGGTTTATTCTCAAGCGCCGCCACGATGCTTCGCGCGCGTTGGAGTCTCTCGTGTTCCTCTTCCGTCAAGTATTCGGAGGACATGAAGAGATCGCTTTTTTAATAACGCCAATATTTATTTTTTCCCAAGCTTCTTTTTCTTCTCTTGGAATCCCCTATTTTTTCTTTCACATGCTGGTCATATTTTAAGCGCGTGGTTCCCCGCGCACACGGGCATTTAATGCGAAGAGCGACGAAATCAAAAGAGAGTTTGAGAGAGAGAAAGCGAGCACACATACAGGGTTGCAATATTTCAAAGAGGCACGCGCTATACTTTTGATTTTTTTATTACATTTTCGATTTCGCGTACTCGGCGCATCGTCTCCCGCTAATCAAGGCACCGTCAAACGTCGCCGCGTCGCGATGATCGCCAGCTAAGTAGACGTTTTTCATCGCGCCGCTTTCGCACGTTTGCTCGAACGCGGTTTTGGAGCTCCCTTTTGCCGATGGGGTTTGTATCGGTTGTGCGAACGGGATGCGGTAGACTTTTAAGAGTTTGAACGAACTCGTGATGGACTCGCCGAACCAGTCGGAGAGTTCTGATTTAACCCGGTCGCCAATTTGTTCGTCTGAGAGTTCACTCGGGACGCCAATGATAGAGGCAGAACACAAGTGTTTCCCGTTTGGCGCGTAAGTTGGAGAGACGACGGACGGGAAGCAACAGTTGTTGACCAACGTTTTCTTCCCTCCTCCTCCTTTGTATTTCTCGCCGTCCAAATATAACATCGCGTTTTCCGCGTCGTACGGTTTGTCGCAGGAAAAGTACACGCACGTAGTCCCCACGCCTTTTCCTCTTTGCTTATCTTTCGTGCCGAGCAATCGATCGCACTCCGGTCCTTCCACGGCTAAAATGACTTTTTTACCTCTAATAATCGTCTCCTCTTCTTTGTTCATCATTTGCACGCGCACTTCTACGGCGTCGTTTAGATTTCTAATCTCCTGGACTTTTGCATTCGCGTGCACGTTCTTCTCGTCTAACCTCCCAACCAACTGTTCCGCCATGGCCCCGATTCCTTTCGCGGGTAAACAATTCTCGCCCAACGCCAACGACCGCATGACGAAATCGAACAACCTCGAATCCGTCGTCAACTCAGGATTGAAGAAAATCCCACCCAAAAACGGTCTAAAAAACCTATCCACCATCTCCTCGCTAAAACCAAACGCGTTCAATCGTTCCTCGATCGTTTCCGAACTCTCTCTTTGCATCGGATTCATCCGTAACAATAACGTCTGAAATCGCACTAAACCGACCAACACTTTATCCAGCGGCGACCCAATCTTATGATTCGGAAGTAAACTCGGCAGCGCGTCCGAAACGTGCCGAAACGGATCCGCGACTCGATAAAACTGATTCTCAAATCTCACGTCCGCGCCGGCGTAAAATTTCCTCAAATCTAACGCCTTGGTATCGAAAATTTTATTACATTCTTCGTACGAGGAGAGATAGATGGCAAACCCACGGTCTAAGATGTACCCGTCGACGATATCCGTTCTCGCTCGACCGCCAAATCCGTCCGAGGATTCTAATAAAACGTACGGAATGTTTTTTGTTTCCAACTGCACAGCCGCGGCTAAGCCAGCTAACCCACCGCCGATGATGATAATCCCGTTATTATCGTCATCAGATGATGCTGTTTTTTCATCACTTTCATCATAATCGTCGTCCTTGTTCATAATAATAGGTGATTCAGATTCTGACGATGATGACATCGTCGTCGTCGTCCTCATCGCCTTTCTTCTTCTCAAACGTAAAGAAGAAGAAGAACAACGATGATCATTACTCAGAATAATACTCCTTCTTCTCTCAGTAGTATTTGAAGTAGTATTACGATTCTTTTTCGTCGCATACGACGCAAAAGAAGGAGACAAAGAAGGAGATAAAGTCGTCATCATAAAGCAGAGAAAAGAGTCAGTCGGATGTGTCACTTTTATTATTATGAGGGAAAATTTTGTTTTCTTTCAACTACTGTACATGTGTGTGTGTGTGTGTTTGTGTGTTGTATATATTACTCTGATTCTTCTTACTCTGGTCCGTGAATGAATAACTCGCCGTGCTCGTATCGCCAACCGCGTGGGAGAGGACAGTTGTTGTCGAGGAGGTATTGTAAACATTCGGGTTGATTTTTCTCGCGAGCGACTCGCACGGCCACATAATCCCACGGCGCTTTGGCGGTTTCGTGCAAGTATTTCAAACAGTCCAAGTGGCCGTTCTCGGCTGCACTGATACACGACCATACGTCATAATTATCATACTCACGCTCAACAAGATATTCGAGTATGTGGAGATGACCATTTGAAGCCGCGTAAGAGGCAATATCAGAATCCCAAGGCACTTTCGCTTCTTCGCGTAAGTATTTGAGCACCTCGAGATGACCGTTTTCGGCAGCATATGCACACGCCGTCTCATCGATAGGACACTCGTTTGCCACGCAATACTTTACCATTTCTAGATTACCTCGACGTGCGGCCGCAGTAATCGTCAATTCATCCCACTCACACTCTTTCTCCTCTCGCGCCCACTTGAGCAACTCGAGTTTATTCTTTCGAGCAACTTCCCAGCAGAAATCTGATTCGTCGTACAAGTATCCCGACCACAACGATTTATTCTCCCACGCAACTTCCAAAGTCGATATCGACGACATCTCATCGACATTAAATTTCTTTTTCAAATCACTCTCGCGAGATGATCTCTTCACCAACTTTCTCGTCTCCGTATTCACCTCGTAAAAGAATTTGAGATCCGTCCCGTTGAGTTTACACATCACATGCTTCTCCACGATATCGCGACACGCGCCGCCATTTAGCAACGCCTCTCTGAACAAACGCCACAACAGTAACGGTTTATTCTCAAGCGCCGCCACGATGCTTCGCGCGCGTTGGAGTCTCTCGTGTTCCTCTTCCGTCAAGTATTCGGAGGACATGATGAGATCGCTTTTTTTATAACGCCAATATTTTTTTTTCAGTCAGTTGTTCTTGTGTGCTCACAAATTTTTTTATTCGAACAACAATTTCATTTATTCCTCTTTTCTTCATTATTCCTCCGTTCGTTAGGGGAGAGAGAGACTAAAACGCTTATTACTACTATGCCTAAACTCAAAAACGGGGAAATGGTGGTGGTCAAAGTAAATTTGACGATGATGATGCGCAAGAGTACTACTAATACTACTAATAATACTCATCTTTTGCGTCGTCGTTTTCGTCGTCGGGAGGGTGTTTTGCTGAGCGCTGATTTGGAGGAAAAACGACCGCCACACGTTTTTTCCCTCGTGGGAGGAAAAAAGAGGGTGCCCACTTCGAGGAAGCAGAAGCGGAAGAAGTTTACGTCGTCGTCGCGCTTTGACGACGACGATGATGCAGGATTCTTCGAAGGAGAACAACAACAACAACAAAAACAACAACAACGAGAGCAGGGAACGGCGCTTTTTTCCTCTTTCGATGATATCCTCCAAGAGCACTCCGGGTCGATTGAAGACGCGTTCACATCCGAGACGCAGTTTCAACGGTATTCGTTCGAACGTGTGGAGCGAGAAGATAGGAAACTGGCGACGAATTTGCGTCGATCGGCGTCGACGTTTTACGTCGTCAGTTCTGTGTTGTTCGTGTTACGGAACGTGATCGTTCCAGCGAACGCGAATAGGAACGAGTTTTTGATTGTTTTTGATGCGGTGTACACGTTCATTTGTTTGGCGTTTTTCGCGTCCAATCTGGCGGAAAAGGAGCGCATAGGAAAGAATAAAAGTTCGCGGTCGGCGTTGTTGTTCGGAAACGCCGCCGTGGCGGCGGCGGCGAATTTCGTGATTGCAGCTGCGACGATGGATATAGAGCAAATTGATGAAGTTTTGATTGAATCGGCTCCGCGATCGAAGGTGATCCTGTACGCGTTGCCGTCCATCGCGTTGGTGGCGTTTCAAGTTGGTTTGGAATTGTTCGGAAAAGACGACTCGGCGGAGAAGAAAGCGACGGAGGAGACGATCGTTCGCGCGGAGGATATTCAAGCGACGAAAGGGATAGATAAGAAGATATTAGGGGTTAAGAAGATAACCGTGAAATTGAAAAATATTGTCCCGAATTGGATCACGATGGGGAAGATTGCAAAACGAAGCGTGCGACCGCTCCAATTCGCCGGAGCGATTTTAGTGAACATCGATCTCCTCGAGAGAACGATGCTGGCGATTTCAACGGGAAAAAGCGACGCGTTCGTGTTATTTCACGGATCGTGGACGAGAGATTTAAGTTCATTCGGGTCGTACGCTTTCGTATTAGCGTCTGTGATGGTTTTCATCCAAACGTCCGCTGAAATTCAGATTGAAAGAGCGAAGAAATTGTACGTGGATGAATTCGAGTCGATAGAATCGCTCGAAGAGGTTAACAGAGACCCTTGAAAAAGAATCACACTACTGAGTATGTACAACAAAAGGAAGGAGACGATATTATTAGTAGCAACGAGAGATACTTCATTATTAGATACGCGCGCGCGATTATTATAACACAAATAATTCTTAAAACAACAATTCTCTTTCTATCCACAACAGAGGAAAGAACGTTTTACGAGACATACACAACAGTTATCATCATCATCATCATCATCATCTGTTGATCGCAATATTTTCCGTAGCCAAAGATACCTCGTGCACAGCTAACGCCAACCCGGGGAACAAATGCATCAAGTACGCCGCCAACAACGCCTTCCTCTCCGCTCTCGACGCGCGCTTGAGATTCGTTTTTTCTAAAAGTCCATCCGGCAACGAATCGATCGCCTCGCCAAAATTCCGGGCTTCCACTAATGCGTCAATCATCGCAATCATTTCTTTTTCGTTCGGCGGGTGTTCGTAGGCATTTCGACAGAATCGCAACAAATCGGCAAAGTTGTTCCCGTACGGTTTAACTCCAATAGCTTCAGTTTGGACGGTTGCTGCGGACGTGATCGTCGCCGAACTACCGATGTTGTTGGTAGGTTTCTTGTTGTTGTGCAGGTGGTCGCCGTTGACGTTACTCTTCATCTTCTTGCGATTCGAATTCGCGGCGTGGCTCAATACTCGCTCGAGAATTTTCGAATCGATTCTGCGTTGCCAGTCCGTGGAATCCATGTTTACTGCCATCAAAAGCGCCCCACGATCGCTACTGCCCGCAGAACTGCCTTGATGTAACATCGCCGACGTCGCGAGTTTATCTAAGACGCTCGTCAACGATTGGTTACCCGAGGATGCGCCGCGTTCGTGTAACACGCGCACGCGAAGCATGGTTTGTTGGTTATTCCACAACAGAGGGTGTGCACACACTTCCGAGGCAGTCGGTCGAACTTTCGGGTTCGGGTCTAACATGGCCGATAACAGGTGTCTCGATTCCACTTGACGCCGCGGGCTTAATCCAGGCGTTCGCATGAGAATTTGAAGATTTCGCTTCCCAGCGATGATGTCTTCGTCCGACGGTTGTTTGTTTGGATCCAAGCCAAACGGAGAGGATAAGCCGGTCAGCACGAAAAAGAAGCACACGCCCATGGCCCATATATCTGCGGCAGGCGTTAACGGTTTCCGTTGTAAAATCTCCGGCGCTCTTCCGGCGAGCAAAATGGACACCCCGTATTTGTTAAACGTGGACAAGGAATATTGATCGTGTTTCGACCCGTTCCTCGATTCTTTCGATAACTTGACGCCTAAACCAACGTCAGCGATTTTCACCTCGCCATTCGCCGTCACCAACAAGTTTTCTGGTTTCAGATCGTTGTGCGTGATGCATCCTTGTGGTTTGGAGGCGTCGTGGAGCCACTCGATGCCGCCGGCGACGCCTTTCAACAATCCGACGCGTTTGTCGATTCCTAAAGTTGCGTTTTGTCGACTGACGTGTTCGCGCAAAGATTCTGGACACAACTCTAACGCGATGAACACGTTTGAGTTTGTAATTCCCCAACAGTGGAAGAATGGTACTTTCGGCGATTGGTTCAACGCAGTCATCAATTCGACTTCGCGTTCGACTAATCGGACCAATTCTCGTCCTTTCTTTCCCGGAGGTCTGGCGATGCGTTTTACCGCGACCGCGTGTCTCGCGCGAGACGTGTGTCGCACGTAGCCTCTAAACACGTACGTGCCAGCAGAACCAACGCCGATAACCTCTTCTTCGTTGTAAATGATGGAATCGCCAACTTTACGCCACGTCGTCGCAGACGAATCTGCGCCGCTCGTGCTATTGTTATTGGTTTTTTCGTCGTTGAACTCGGACGAGCCGGCCGCTTCTCCGGCACCGTCGTCGTCTGGAATAGCAGACGCCCACACTCGAATCGCTTCTTCTTCTTCTTGCGTCATCGCTTCAAATACGCCCGAACTTCCAGCTTCGTCTTTGCTGTTGCTTTCAAAAACTGGACCGCGTACACCGACACCCGCCATGGCATCGAACCGGACGCGTTCTGTTCTTTGTCGCATAGAATTCAACGTCGCGAGATCTTGGGCTTTCTTCTTGTTACTTTCTTCTGCGCCTAACGAGGAACTTGCATTCGCCATTCTTTGTACTTGTTCGTGCTCCGCAGCGGTAATTTCCAAGGATTCGCGCAAAGTCGCGAGCATTTGCGCGGATTCCGGGGTGACCGATCCGCTTTGCCACGCAACTTTCGATGCCATGAAGTACGCCTTCAAACGCTTATCACCGCCTTCCAACGCATCTTCGGCTTCGAGTTCTTCCAGAGCAATTTTCGCTCTTCGCAAATCAATCTTATCTTCCTCGGCTGTGAATTTCGCCTCGGCTTCTTCGATGGCGAGTTTGATGTTTCGTTTCGATCTCGAAGCGATCGCATCCTCAACTCTTCGCAACGATTGCCATTTTTCCAGCACGATTGTCGCTTTGACGACTTCTTCTTCTAATTTCCACGGCCACGCCGAGGCTTTCGCTCTTCGAATCGCTTCTTCGAGTTTCATGACGTCCAATTCGGCGACGCCGCCAGAGGCTAAATCGCCGCCGCGTAAGTTCAGCTCCAACGCTTCCACGAGACCGGCTTTGACGCCTTCCATCTCTTGCAACGCGGTCGTTCTCGACTGAACTCTGGAAACCAACGCGTTCAACTTCGCCGCACCTTCTTGCGTCAAAGGTAAACCCGAAGAGGCTAAATTTGTCGCGCGAAGTAACAAATTTTCTAAAGTTGGAATCGAATCGTACGTTCGCGACGCTTCGTCGGCTAAGGTTTTCCGCATATCGGATTCTAAAGCGATCGCTTCGAGCGCAAACTCGGCTAACTTAATCGCCGTTGCTAATTGCTCGCGTTCAGGAGAACTTTCTTTGACCATCACACCGTCTCGCTCTTTCGCGCTCGCTACGGACGAATCGTTACTCACAAACGGATCGGCATCGAACGACGACACCACCATTTTTTCTTTTCTTCCTTCGTCTTCATCATCATCATCGTCGTCGTCGTCGTCCGATTGACTGACATCCACGGATTCCGATGTGGCAGAAGACGCCGACGACGACGAAGAAGAAGAGGTGGAAGAGGACGAGGTTGTCATTTCTTCGTCTTCTTCGTCGATGGAAAATTCGACGTCTTCATCGTCATCATCGCTGCTAAATGGGTCCGCTCGACGTTCCTCTCTCCGTTTGTTCCTCAGCATCTGTTTTCTTTTTCTTTCCTTGACCATTTTCGACAACTGCGCCTTTTCCTTCTCCAACTCTAAACTTTGCCGTAAAATCTTCCTCGCGCGTTCTAACGTCGCGACTAACCTCTGTTCGTCCATCGGCACCGCCACGCACTGCGATTTCAAAGCGTTCGCTAAACTTACTTCCTCCATCGCGAGCGCTTTCAAACGAACGTCGCGTAACATCTGCTCGCCGTCTTCGGCGACCGCTCCTACAGCTTGCGCCTCGCGAATGGCTTCCTCCAACGCGACGAGAGATCTTCCCGTCGGATCGTTCTTGGCCAACGCAAACGCGCGATCGACTTTCTTCTTCGCCTCGACGCGTTTGACGGACCGTCCGAGTAAAATGCGAGTTCGTTTTTCCATTCGTTGCTTCAAGTTTTCCTTCTCTTCCTTTTTCGGTTTCCCGGATTGCACGGCTTTGGCTAAAGAGTCGTCGAGCCAAATCGTTAATGCGACGAAAGGCACGTTCTTTTCCAACAACGTCTCCGCGCATTTGACCATCGCTTCGCCGTCGGATTCTGAGGCGTTATCGTTTCCAGGCGCGGCAAAGTGTATTAACACGACCATTTTCTTTTCGCCTCGTTTGCGTTCACTCAACGCGTCTTTCGTGCCTTGATTCATCTCAACCACAACATCTTCTTCTTCTTCGTTTAACGCGTCCACCATGTTGTTCCCGTAACTCTCGAAATTAAACGGCGCGTCTGGCCACAACAAATCAAAACACTTTTTCAAATCGCTCCTACCTAAACCTTCGCTCGGTAACAAAACTGTCATCGTCTCGCCTTCTCTCCTCCCTTTTCCGCTCAAACCACTGGCGGCTCGTAAAGCGCTCGCGGACATCAGCGCTCCTCGCAGCGCCAACGCCACGGTGGGCGCCGACCACTCTTGCCAACTCTCCAGCGCGATTCGTAAATTTGACAATAAAGGATCGTTGCTATCGTCGATATCTATTTTCGTAACATCATCGATTTCACCACTCGTCATCTCTTTCTCCATGACCGATTTCCTCCCCATAGCCAGCTCTTTCCTCCCTCGAAACTTTCTTTCGTGCGCTCGAATAAACGGAATCGGCAAATGCATCGCCACGGACGGACTTTGCCCTCTCACCAACTTATTCGCTGGAAAACTCGTCACTTCGTTCACGATCGTATCCGAAACCTCTTGACTCGTCAACGTCGTCGACGTGGACGAACCTAAATGCCAGGCAAGAATAGCCTCGAGCGGATCCATCGTCGAATCTTTCGCCACCGGCGGCGGCGCCGACGACGTCGCGTCCGGGGCAAATACATCTTTCGCTTTCAAAGCTAAATCGTTCAGTGTCTTCGAAAATCCGAAGCCTCCTCCTCCTCCACCTCCTCCTCCGTTGTTGTTGTTGTTTCGGCTTCGATTATATATATCCTGTTCTCCCGAAGAAGAAGAAGAAGAAAGTTTCTCGGAGGAAGAACCGCCACTGCTCGAGGAAGAAGAAGTCGTCCCATGAGTAGTGTTCCTTTTCCCGTTGTTGTTGATGTTGGGAACACCACCACCACCACCACCGTCTCCGCCGTGGTCTTTCGTCTTGTTGTTCTTCTCCCTCTCGTCGTCGTCGTAGTTGTTCTTATTACTACTGCTGCTCTTAAAAACGTTCTTCTTCCTGCGAATCCTCGCGTTCCTCGCCGTCGTTCTCTTTGACACCAACGAAGCCAAACCGCGATGTTGTTGTTCGCGATGAGAGACGAGCGCACGAGAGGACAAAGAAGAAGAATATGAAGAAGAAGAAGAAGAAGCCATCGTCTCGCTCTCTCTCTCACTCTCTCTCTTTCGTGCTCTTATTATTATTAGTAGTATTACAGAAAGCGCTGTCGTGTTAAAGAAGAAGAGCGTCCAGAAGAGAGAAGAGAAAAAGTGTAATGACGTTTTCTAAAGCTTTTTTGAGAAAAAACCACCTGCGTGAAAAAAAAAAAAAACAGAGGCGTAAAAATCGCTTTTTCATCATCATGCAGAAAACACCCCTGCCTGAAAAAATTTCATCCGACCAAAACTCACGATGGAGCTGTCAGCTGTGTAAAAAACAGTAGTAGTGTAAAATCAAACCTGTTGTCTCTCCACAGTGTATCTGAGACGTTGCATGCGCAGGAGCATCTTTGTCGGCTTTCACAGAGCGGCGTCAAAGTCTTTAGCACATACCACTTTTACGAATACTACTCGCGACAAGAGTTTCACGGAAAACAACGCAGTTTTCTTCTCTTTGTGTTTGCGGTGGTTCGCGTCTTCTTCTTCTTCTTCTTCTTCTTCTTCTGTTACGCAAAGGGAGGAGGGATACAACGCGTCGTCGGGGATTGCATCGAAATCATCGTCGTCGGTCGTACGCTGCGATTTGCGAAGAGGAGGAGAGAAAAGCGCGAGCAGCAGTTATTCGCATTCCACAGAAACAACACCAACGAGCAGTGGTAAGATAAGGAGTACAAAAATCGTCGACGACGACATGACGGAACAACAACCGAAGAAGAAAAATAATCACGTCGTCTTCGTCCTCGGTGGCCCCGGCGCTGGGAAAGGCACGCAATGCGCAAACATCGTCCGCGACTATAACTTCACGCACCTCTCCGCGGGGGATTTACTGAGAGCACACATGAAATCCGGCACAGAGGATGGAAATATGGTCGCACAAATGATCAAAGACGGAAAAATCGTCCCGAGCGCAGTGACGGTGAAACTCTTATTAAACGCGATGGCAGATTCAAAATCGAATCGATTTCTGATCGATGGGTTCCCGAGGAACAAAGAAAACCGAGACGCCTGGGTCTCGGAAGCCGGGTACGATTGCGATTTCGTCTTAATGTACGACTGCACGGAAGAGGTGATGCTGGAAAGATTGTTAGGACGAAACGAAGGGAGGACGGACGATAACGTGGAATCGATCAAGAAGAGGTTCGTGACGTTTCGAGAGAGCTCCGTGCCGGTGGTGGAGTTTTACGAAACCTTGGGGAAGGTGAGGAAAGTCGACGCGATCGCGACGCCGGAGGAAGTGTACGAGAAAACGAAGGAGAGTTTTGCACAGTTCGAATAGATACAGAAGAAATGAGAGAGGAAAACGAGAGAAAGGGTGAGATGCGTATGAATCTTAATGTAATACATGCTCCTGAGAAGAGAACATCGAACATCTTTAACAACGCGAAGGAGATATTCATTTTTATCCGCGCAAAAAACACACTCCTTCTTTGTTCGTAGTTATTCGTTTGTGGCTCAAATTCGTGGCTGTCCCCTTTCTTTACAGTCGTGTCTACCGTTCTCTCGTGCGATAAAAATAACGTCACTTTCCAACCACAAGAAACAAACAAACACACACACAAACAAAAATGGAGGACGTGGAAAAAGGCAACACCAACATGAAGAAGAGCTCGAGTTTACAAGACGTGCTCGGCTCCAAGAATAACTTGAAAGCGGATTCAGTCTTTCGGTGCGTCGTTTTTTGCTTTCGCTTCTTCTTCAGCTTCTTTCCGTTCGATGATGATGATGATGACAACGGTGCACAAAATGCGCTTTCCCGAAACCAATGAATCTTGACGCGACCGCCGCACCGTGCGCCTCCTCCGTCGCGTCACCATCTCGAAACGAACTTTGAACGATACTTTTACGAAACGACGAGGAGTATTGATACATACGCATTCGTGACGTATTTATTCGTGAACTACACGCAAAGGCACTCTTTTTCTCACACGTCGGTTCGTTCATGACGTGACTTGGGTGGGAATAACGTCATGAGCAAAGAAAGGAGGGTGCCCACGGTCACATCCGCTGACGCGTGTCTTTTATCTCTCTCTCTTTATATATAGGTTCGAAGACGTGCGCTATCGGGTGAAAACGAAAGACGGCGAGACGGAAATCTTGCACGGGATCGACGGGTGCGTTCGATCGGGCGAAGTGCTCGCCATCTTGGGGCCTTCGGGCGCCGGGAAAACGTGTTTGATCGACGCGTTGACGATGGAGATGAAAGGGGGAGATAACTACGGGAAAGTGACTTTGAACGGTCAAGATTTGACTCGCGATGTTTTTACGCGAAATTGCGCGTCGATGACGCAACAGGATAACCACTGGGCGTTTTTGACGTGCCGAGAGACGCTCGATTACGCCGCGGATTTGTGCGTCAACGATACCGAGGAACAGAAGAGAGCGAGGATTGACGCTATTTTGAGCACGGTCGGTTTGAACGATTGCGCGGACACGAAAGTTGGCAACCAGTTCTTGAAAGGTTTGTCTGGTGGACAAAAGAGACGCTTGTCCTTGGCGGTGAGTTTGTTGACCGATCCGAAGGTTTTGTTCTTGGACGAACCGACTTCGGGGTTAGACGCGGCTGCCGCGGCGGCGATTATGTCGTTTTTGAAAGAACTCGCGCAAGCGACGAACATCGCAATCGTGTGTACCATTCACCAACCGTCTACGGCTGTTTTCAACGGTTTCGATCGCGTCATGTTGTTATCGAGCGGGAGAGTCGCGTATTTGGGCACCTCCAAGGACGTCTTGCCGTACTTTGAAAAGATCGGACACAAGATGCCGGCGAATACCAACCCGGCAGAATACATGCTCGATTTAGTCAACCGAGAGTTCACGGACCCGAAACAAGTCGACGACATCCTCGATAGGTACGAGAAATCGTACACTGGGTTACCGTGTGGGAGTTACGAGGACGATTTGAAGGAAACCGGCGGCGTCCCGAACAATGAACATTTGGGCAACTCCACGCTCGCCGAGACGATGACTTTGTTTCGCCGACACGGTTTGTTGGTCTTTAGAGATCCGACTTTGTACGTCGCGAGAGCCGTCATGTTCTTGAACGCGTGCATCTTCTTTGGCATCATTTACATCAAGTCCAGAGAGAGAGAGCAAGACCAAGTCTTTTCTAGAATGTGGCTTCTCGTTTGGCACATCGGCGTGCCAACCTCCTTGGGCGTCGTCGCGGTGTTTAGTTACAACGAAGAATTTGCGGCGATGAAACGTGAAATTAAGAATGGCATGTTGAGACCGTTTTCTTATCTCTTCTCGAACGCGTTGATTCAGCTTCCGTTGATGCTCTTCTTGGGCGTGTGCGCGGTTTCGGTTTCCGGATATGGCATGGCCGATTGGTACGCGCCGCATTACATCCAAGTCTTGTTGGTGTACGCGTTGATGTTGTGGGCGTACGAAGCTGCCGCGCAAGTCTTTTCCATTTGTTTCACTAACCCGTTGATTGGTATGCTCGTTTACATGAACTTATGGTTCGGCGGTTTCCTTTTCAACGGTATCCTCATCGACGAAAAGGACGTCGTGTGGCCGTTCAGGGCGTTTACGTACGTGAACATCATGAAGTGGGCGTTGAGAGCGATCGTGTATTTGGAATACTCCGACGCCACTTTTAACGCGTGCACTGAATCCGATTTGTTGTGCTTCTCCAACTCCGCCGAAACTATGCTCGGCACGGGTATGAAAGTTCCCGGGTCGGAAGTTTTGGATTCCATGGGCAAAACGTACCGATTGTATTCGAACGAAGACACGGTTGCGTTTGACGCCATGATGGTGTTAGTCATCGGTATGGGCTTTAAATTGTGGTACTTCTACTTGTTCTACACGAAGACGAGAAAAGTGAAAGAGATTTTACCCCCGATTGGAGACGTTGCGAAGTAAATTTTCGCGTATTCTTTTCTCATCCGTGGCGGTGGTTCGCGAGGCGGCGAGGCGGGGTTCACCACTATTCAGATTGTATATATTCTTTCGGTATTTCGCTGTTTATATATATGCTAAATACATTATTTGATACGACACATACCGCACGCATACCCACCACACGCTTTCTTTTTATACCACCTATGAGGAGAGAGAAGAAGCAAGCGTCAGTAGTTATCGTTTTTTTGTACACGTTCTTTTCCAAACTCGCGCGCGCGAATTCTTCTAAACGTTGTCGTCGCCGCTGCGTTTATCTGCTCTTTCTTCTTCTTTTCTCTTCTTCTACTTTTAAACAACAATTAAAATCATTGCGCGCCGCGCGTCATAAAACTCGAGGCACTATTCGCCAAAATATTCAGCGCGCTATACCCGATTGCAAAATACAAAGCTGGCCGAATCAACATCGAAAGCGCGTTTCGCGCGCCTCCCGTTACGCTCGTTCCATCGATTACCTTCGCTTCCTTCTTTTCGCACTCTCCTTCCACGTATTTCACGCTCACTGAATTCACGCAGTGACGTTCCGCCGTCGCGGTAAACCCTTCGTTTTCAAACACGTGCCCGAGATGCCCGTCGCATTTTGCACAGACGATTTCCACTCTTCGCATGCCAAACGTCTCGTCGATATTCGTCGAAACCGACCCTTCGTAGCACTTATCGAACGCTGGCCAACCGCATCCGCTGTTGAACTTTGATTCCGCGGAATACAAGGCGTTCCCGCACCCCGCGCACACGAAGTGCCCCTCCGACGGGTAGAACTTATCGTACTCCCCCGTTCGCGCGGGTTCCGTGCCTTTCAGTCGTAAGACTTGAAACTGTTGCGCGGTTAAACTCTTCTTCCACTCCGCGTCGGATTTTTGTATCTTTTCTCCGTTTTCCCCACCCGTGCTGCTCATCGTGATGATGCTTCTTCGATTAAACGACGACGAGGTTTTGTTCTTCTTCTGAGAAATCCTCTTTAACGGTGTTGTTGTGTTTGTTCTTTTCTGATGATGACGACGCGTAGAAGTGGTCGAAGTCGCAGTTAAAGGAGCAAAACGCATAATGGATTACGAAAATGGATTAGTGAGGGAAAGGAGTGGGAAAGGATGACTCTAGTATAAGCGCTTTGCGGATCTCTCTCTCTCTCTCTCTCTTTCTCTGTTTACTACAAAAAATAAAGTCTAAACTACACTATAACAACTAATTACCCTTATGTTCGCACCCGGGGACTCTGCACGCCCACTTACAGTTTTTCGTCATGAACCCCGGGTTGCGCTCGCACTCGCCGGCGTTGGCCCACCCTTTACATCTCTCGTCCGTATTCTCGCACCCTTCCTTGGGAGGTTTCGGATTTGGGAGTTTATAGTGGAACGGTCTCGCGTGAATCCACTTCGTTGCGGTCCATTTCGTGCCTTTGACGACCGGGCACCCGGCGTGCATGGATTTTTGGTCGATGTCGCCTTCCGGGGTTATGGAGAAGAAGAGCAATCCGTCGCCTCGTTTCGGTTTGAACGCGACGCCGTTCTTGGCGCACTCGGAGAATTTTTGCTGCGCGTATTCGCTCTCCGGTTCAATCCACTCGGAATCCGGGAACGCGGTTTCCCCGCCTTCTTCGGTATCTTGTAAGTACAACAAAACCGTCGCGACTCTTTGCCCGCCATCCGCGCTCAACTGCTGCCCAGATTTCGTATTCTTCTCTCCCACGTCGTGGTGCGCCGAATACTTCTCGCCGACGCCGTACGAAAGAATCTGCATGTCTTCGCCGTTGTACCAAGGAAGCATGGTAAATCTCGATAACCTTTCCTCCACTCTCGTCACTACCGGATATTTCCCTCGCGCTAAAAAAGTTTGCTTCGACGTTCGAATCGGGTCCGTTTTAATCTCCCCGGTTATCGAATCCACCACCGTGCTTCGCTTCATCATCGGTTTCGCAATTCGTAAAATCTCTTCGCATTCTTCCTCGCTCAAAATCGAATGCAACACGAACGCTCGCGGTTGCCAACTGATAGGTTCCGTCCACGTGCCTAACTCTTTATCTTTGTTTATCGATGGGCGGTGTTTTTCGCCGAGCCATCCGGGGAATCGGTTGGAATCTAACGCTTCGTGTTCGAAATCGATTTTCTTTTCCCCGTTGGAGTCGTCCAATCCGAATCCGATTTTGGCATCACAAAAACACCTTTTACACAGCAATACTACGACGAAAACGAGAAATTTTCTCGATGAAAAGACAGACAAACGCTCAAAAGAGCGCATCATGTGCGTATCACTCTGTTCAGAAAGAGAGATAAAAGTGGTTTTGTGCGTCGTTTTATGTCGTGCTTTGGTTGAGATTTAGGGGAAAAAGTCTCCAGAATTGACCCTGAAAATTTCATCAGAATAACGAACGCTACAGAGTCATCCTCTCTCCCGCCTGCGCTCGTTTTTGTCGTTTTTATATAGTATCATAAGTAGTGCGCGTGATGTCCTCTCCGTCTTCGGCGTCTTCCGCGCGCAAAGGTATAAATACTACCAGAGTAGTAATGCTTTGATTCTTTTCCCGCGATATCTCTCTTGGGATATGTTTTGTTTCTGTTCTTCAATGATACGTACGCGTACGCTTCCTAAAGCATAGCATTCATCACTAGGAAAGTTTGACGAGGACGAACAATGTTCTTTTTGTTGTTTTTGATGATTTTGATGATGATGTGAGATGCTGACCTCTCTTCTCTCTTCTCTCTTTGATGATTGTGTAAAATACAGTTATCCTGGTCACAGGCTCGACCGGTCGCGTCGGGAAAGAAGTCCTCGCGTTACTCTCGAAACATTTTAGTAAACGAGGAGATGGTGAAGAAAATGTTGAAATTCGAGCAGCGACTCGGGATAAAAGCGCATACGCGATGAAATTAGGCGCGGACGAAACGGTCGAGTTCGATTTAACGGATAAGAAGACGTGGCGGAAAGCGATGGAAGACGTGACGCATCTGTTCTCGTCCACGCAGGATAAGTACATCGCGGAACACATGCAATTCGCGAAGTTTTGCCAGGAAACAGAAAAGATTAGGAAGAACTTGAAACATATCGTCCGGATTTCGTGTTTTGGCGCGGATACGAATACGAATAAGTACGATAAGAACACGCACGTTTCGAGAGACAAAAATGCGCAGATTCCGTTGATGTTGCAGCACTACTGGTGGAGCGAAAAGTGTTTCATCGACGCGGGGTTTAAAAACATTTTGACCTCTATTCGAGGGAATTTTTACATGAACCATTTATTGAAAAACGAGCTTGACTCTGTGCGAGAAAACGGGACGTTTACCAGTCCTCTCGGGGAGACGAAAAACTCGTTCGTCTCGTGCAACGATATGGGCGAAGCCGCGTTTACGGTACTTAAAGAAGGACCGGAAAGACACGGGAATAAGTTTTACGACATTTGCGGCGCGGAACCGACGTCCATGCGCGACGTGGCGAGTATCTTAACCGAAGCGTTGAAATCCGACGTCGCGAAAGACTTGGATGTCGCGAAAGACGTGTTCGGAAAAACGATTTCGTACGTTCCGCAAGACCAAAAGAAGTTCGAGGAAGATTTTGGTAAAACGAGAGCGGAGTTCTTCGAGTATTTACAAAACGGATTTTATACGAGATGTTCGCCGGATTTTTACAACTTGACTGGGAAACGACCGCTCACGTATTACGAATACTTGACGCGAAAAGGCGCCGCCGGGGATACCGGGATAGAGGAATTGTTTTCATCGCAAGGCGCGTTGTTCACCAAAGGCGTGGACGAGTTCAAAAATTTAGCCGACGTCGTCCAAAAGTAGTACGAGTACACATAACTCTGCTCTTGAATGCGGTACGTGTAGTAAAAACGAGCATAGAAGTCATCAATCCGCCCACATTAATGCCCACATTTTTTGATGGTTCTCAACGCAAAAATCCCCCATTAATTAATTACCCACAAAAAGAATAACATCACCATGACATCATCACCATCGCCTGTGTCGTCGTCGCCGACTTCAACTCCATCGAATCTCTGGTTGAACCATCCAACCTTGCGTCCTGGAAAATCAGAGCGCGAGAAAGCGTCCTCGTTGACTCCCATCACATCCCCTACTCATACGAAGAACAAAAAGCGGTTACAAAGTCTCCTCCTCGTACTCCACGGGGCGAAGATCAAAACGAAGCGTGGGCGGGAACATGTGAGGGAAATTAAACGCTCGTTAGAGAAGCATGGGGTGACTGCAAGTTGTGTGCACGAGAAAGTGACGACAAAAGAGGGGGATTGCATCGCCATCGTGCGTGATTCAATCGTGTTACAATCCTCGTCATCACAAGAGTCGCCAAACCCTAATCCAGTTATCGATGCAATTTTCGTGATGGGCGGCGACGGGACGCTGCGGGAAGCGGTTCAAGGGTACGTGGAAGCGAGACGCGTGAAACCTTTGGGAGTAAAAGAAAACCACGTACCGATAGTCGCTTTGCCGTGTGGCACTGGTAATAATTTTGCGAGAGATTTGAACTGTTTTACGATCGAAGATTGTTTTCGATTGGCGTTTGAAAGAGGCGAGGCGAGGGACGTGGACGCGGTGCAGATTGAAAGTTTCGTAAAAGACGACGACGAGAAAGAAAAGAAGAAACGATCAATAAAGACGATCAGCATTAACGTCGTGACGTGGGGGATGGCGAGAGATGCGGCGGAAACGGCGGAAAAGATGCGCTTTTTAGGTCCAATTCGGTACGATTTGGCTGGATTTTATCACATTTTGAAGAACAAATCCAACGTCGCTTCGTTAACCGCGGAAACGCCTTCAATGCAACTGAAAGGCTCGTGCACCGACGACGATTTCCTCATGCTCTTCGCTCAAAACACGCGCTGTTCCGGTCGAGGATTCCATTTCACTCCCTTGGCGAAACTCGACGACGGTTTGATCGACGTCGTCGTCGCCAAAAAATGCGGGTTGATGAAAACCGTCGCCCTTTTCGACGATACCAAAGAACCAAAGCGCGGCGCGCACGTGGAGAAAAAAGATGACGTTTTTTACATCCAGTGCGAAAAATTGAAAATCGAGACTCACGACAGAGAAGAACTCGTCGGCGTCGATGGTGAGGTCACTTTGAAAACGCCCGTCGAGTTGGAGTGTTTGAGAGGCGCGTTTAGTACTTTCGTTTGATTTCGTTTGATTTTATGACTTTTTGTGCTGCAAAATATCTCCATATAAAATGCACACGAAAGGGGCTTCATCGTCGATACTGCGACGATTATATATACCGTCGTCTCGACTTCGAGGCGTTTATGGACGACGACAAAAACGACTGAAGAAGGCTTTTTTTGCCTCAATCCGAGAACAGCAAGAACAAGAACAGAATTCCATACACATATTCGACGGAGATACGAATTTGCCCCCGTTAGTTCAAACGCGGATTACTCTCACTTGTACGACTCCTCCTCCAGCTCAAAGCGTCGATGACGATTCCCCCTCTACTTCTTCGTACTTCTTGGACGTGGTAAAACCACCCTCGGTGGAAGACTTGTACGACTGGTATACTACTTATAATCAAACGGATAATCCTGATGAATCCTGGGCAAACGTTTGGGAAACTGAAGTGGAGTTGATTCGAAAATACATCGAACGCGACATCGACGAAGAAGCGGCTTCAAATGATAATATAATCATCGAAGTCGGCGCGGGCTTATCCTTCGCCGCTTTACTACTCGCGAAATATTTCCGGAAGAAATGTCTTTTGTTAGATCGGGAACCTCTGGCGTTGCACTGCGCGTTATCGACGGCGAAGGTGAACGAAGTGGAGGTTTCAGCGGTGGACAAATTTGAAGATGTGAAAGGAAAGAATAAAGGTATCGTCGCGGCGGCGATGTTCGATTGGAGCAAAAGTGTGACGAGAGAGAGTTTACATTTGAAGAATAAAGCGCGGACGATCATCGGCGCGGACGTGCTCTACGACCCGGAGACGTGTACAGATTTAGCGAACGCGTGCTCGATATTAGGCGAGAAGGTCATCTTGTGCGAGTTGAGAAGAGAACGCGCGATTGGTCTGCAAGCAAAATTTTTCGACGAGTGCGAAAAACTCGGCGCGACAAAGTGTGAGATTGACAAGGATATGTCCTCGGAGGAGTACGTATTTTTAGTCGTAGAGTTTTGAGCGTCGCTTCGCTATTATTAGTTTATTATTAGGATAGAGCTTCTTATTACGGAGACGATAGATTACTAGTAGTACTGGTATTTCTACCGCAGTATTATTATTGCTTCTTGCAGCAAAAGAGCCATTTCTCGTCGTCGTCGTCGTCGTCGTCGTCGTTTTCTTTCTCCTCGTCGTCGTCTTCGACGAAGGGGATCATCCAATACTCTTCCTCCTCGTTTTCTTGTATGCACGTGGTAAACACAGCCGGTTCGTAAAGCTCTACCTCACCTTTTGTCACGCTAAATCGCACCTGATGTCTCTCTTTCCATCGTCTCAACAAGTTAGGATCCGGGAGCATTTGAAACACGTGGTCGCGCATCTCGTCGTTTGAGATTAAAACTGCGTCCTCCCCGGCGACTAACGCGGCGTAGAGCCAATACCAATCGTCGTTCGAGCCGTGCGGCGTGACGAATATCTCTTTGTTTTGTCTCAGTTTGTTTAGTATTTTTTCGCCAAACTGGTGCTTTGCCGCGTGGTCTTTCGTGCGGCGTTGGTGGAGGAAGACGACTGGGCGTTGCTTCGACGCGTCGCTCGCGTCGCTCGTCGAACAAACACAGTATCTCCGTCGACACTCTTCGACGACGTTATCTAATTGGCCGAAATGAAACCTCGAGCCGGCAAAATTCTGGTTCGCCATCCCGACGTTCGCTCCGTCGACGATGCATTGTACCTTCGCCTCTCGCGCCTCCAACCAATTGCAAAAATCGTCAAAGTTTGCGCCGGCTTCGCGTTCTCGAGCGAGTTTCCCGACCGAGGCAATCAGCTCTTTCGATTCGACTTCGTTCAACCCCACTCGTTTCAAGTTGAACGTTTGCTTCTTCTCGCTATTATTACTATTATTATTATTATTATTATTGTTATTATTATCACTGCTACTACCAATAATAGTGTTTTCGGAGGAGACTTCAAACCGTCCGGAGCTACTCTCCACGTTTTCCACCGTCTCGCACCGCCACGCGTTCGGCTCGGCTTTGAAAAATCTCTCCACGCTTTCAATCAACTCCTTCCCGCACGTTCGTACTTTCGACTTCATTTTCCTCAACATCCTAAACCCATTCTCCTCGCACGTCTTCTTCTCTCTCCCGTACACGCTCATCATCGCCGTAAATTCCATCTCCGTGCACTCCAAACCTTCTCGCTCGATCGCCTCGAACACGTCTTCGGCTCGCTTCCAGTTCCCGCTCTCGCAGAACCCGCGCAAGGAAGGCGCGTACGTCCTCAACTTTGGCGTCAGCTTTTGTTGCGTCTTCTTCCCTCCTCCATCTTTTCCTTTTCCTAAAGCTCCTCCGTTTTTGCACAAATCGACCATCTCGAAACTTTTCTCGAATTCGCCGTTTCGAGCGTACACTCTCGCCATCGCCGTGTAGCTCATCTCCGTTTTCCTTCTCCCTTGTTGATGTTTGTCCTCCTCTTCCTCGGAGTCTTTCATCAAACGAAAGAAAATCTCTTCCGCTCTTTCCTTATCCTCTTCTTTCGTCGAAAAAGAATCATTTTCATCGTTAGCAGAGCAGAGATGCAACAATACGTTCAGCGTGTGCATCGGGAGAGCAATCGCGGGGTTGTTTTTGCTTTCGTCGTAGGTGGTAAACGCTAAACGTCGATCGTTTCGGGAGGCGGCGTCGTCGATTTTTTTTCTCGTTTGGAACGTTAACTGGCGGTTGATTACACCACCATTTACTCCATCAGGAGTATCAGGAGTATCATTAGGTTTGTGACGCTTGTTGTTGTTCATATCGTCGTTCGACGTGAGGAGCGCGTTTTACGAGCAGCAGCAGCGGCAGGTTGTTGTTGTTGTTGAATTGAATTCGTGTACGAATAAAAGTGAGGAAGAGAAGGCTTCGATTTTTGTGTATCTGCGCGTATTTACAAGGTGGTTCGTGTGCTGACTCTAAATGGTATACACTTCAATTCTCTCCTCTCAAACTGCGTTTAACTTCTCTTTTCTCTCGATTATTAACACACGCACACGTTATAGATAGTATATAATTTTAGTATATCTTAGAACGAATCGGCGTCTTTGGCGACTCGATTTTCTTCGCTCGGGACGAACCCGGGTGGAGGTTCGACAAAGTTTTCCGGCAAATGACTCTCGCCTTTCACGAACGGGTTCTTTTGCGTCGTGCCCATGCTGGAAAACGTGTGGTTGACGTGCGCGTGACTGGCTTCGTCCGCTCGGACGGCGAGTAATACGTCTCGAATGGTCGCGTCTTCGTCCATTTTCCAATACTCGATGGCCAATTTCGGCGCTCTTTCCTTGGCCCATTGCCTGGCGTCGGTTCCTCCGCTGTCGATATCGTTCAACGCGTGCGTGTACGTTCTCACCGCCTCTTCCTCTAAATACCCGACGAATCGGTGGCACGTTCTCGGCGAGATCAAATAACTAAAGAAAAACGCGTTAAAAAACACCCCTTGCGCGGCCAACACGCCCGCTCGGAAGAAAATCGACGGTTGTTTCATGTTCAAAAAAGTCATCAAGTGCATTCGTTCGTTCTCCGCTTCCTCCAACAACGTGTGAATCCACCCGTTATCGTGTCTCAACAGCCTCAACGAGTTCATGTGTCTCAACATTCCCGCCACCATCCCAGGAATCCCCGCCACCGTCTCTAAAAATATAAACCGAAACAACCACTGATCTTTCGTCAAGCTCTTCTCGTGCGAATAGCTCGTGATCGTATCGAACCCTTTCCGAGCGGACCAAACCGCAAACATAGACACGTAATCTCTCGCGCCTTGCGGCGGTCGGTGTTTCGGTTTGAGTTGTTCGATGAACCCGAAATCGTACGTCGGGTGCGCCAGCATGTACGACTGCGCGGATTTTTTCATCTTCGTCTCGTCTTTTTTCGCCCGCACGTCCGTTTCACCCATTTCCTCTTCCGTTGACGTCGTCGCTGCTTCTGCGCTAAATCTTTTCTTTTCAGCTCGCTTATGCGTCGAAACGCCTCCAGCCGCGAACGAGGTGGAGTGAAAGTTGCGCGTTTTACTCATCCTTTTCATCGAGTCTTGGTGTTCTTCCTCGTTTTTTGCGTTCGTGTGAAACGTACAGCGCGTTCTCGCGTGCATCGTGGATGACGTTCCCGATATCGCCGCAGAGCGAAACACGTCGGTTTTTCCATCGACGATGCGATGCGTGCGAGAAAAAATGGACGTGGACGACGACGTATACGACGACGACGAAGGGCGTTGCTTCAAAAGCAAACCCGCTGCTCTTCGACACGCGGCGCACATCTTTTTTGTTTTGTTGTTGTTAGTAGTAGAGTGGTATTCTTTTGTTTCAATGCTCCGTTTTGTGCGTAGTGCTATGAATGCGCGCGGAGGAGTATTGAAGAGAGTTGTTACAAATGGAGCGAACAAAAAATGCTAGAATTTAATACGAGAGATTTAAGCAGAGATCTTTTTCACCATCTGACTCACTCAAAAGAGACACAAACAAAAAAGAAAAAAAAAGCAGCAGTGTCAAAATGCATTTCCTCTCACGTGTTCTCGGTGTGTGGGTTTAAATAAAAAAGTGTGTCTTGCTGCTCATGCTGCTGTGGCTCCTGTCTGTTCTGCTGTGAAACAACTTTTACGGCGTCGCGTTCGTAGAGTATTCTATATATTTATTATTATTAAAAAAATGTGGACCGAGTGGGCGTCGTCGTCGTTCCGTACTGATGCGCGGCTAAAGCAGCGGGGTTTTGTTGTTGTTGTTGTTGTTGTTGTTGATATTGCTGCTGCGGCTGAAACGAGAGAGGATCCACCGTCGTCGCAGAAATGACCGGTTGCAAACCGTACGCTAAACACATTCGGGTTAAATCTTCTCTCATGGATTTGATGTTTCCAGCGAGGTGGTCGACGACGTCTTTGTGCGAGGAGAGGTCGTCCAAGTCAGTCTTGGTGACTTCAGCGCGCTCGCGGTCGTACGGTTGGAGGAGGACTGGTTTGTTGGATTTTTTCTTGTTCTTCGTTTGTTGTTGTCCGGAGGAAGAAGGAGGAGATGTCGTCGTCCTTTGGTGGTTGATCTCGTATCCACCGTTGTTCGCGGTAGTAGTGCCCGCGAATAAACTACCTCCTCCACCTCGTAAAGGTGACGTCGCTAATTGCCTCGATAACTCTTGCGTTTTCACTCTCGCGGTGGTGGTCAACTGTTGCGCCTGTCGACTCAAACTTTCCTTCCCGGAACCGTCCAACGCTCTCTTCAGATTTTGCAAAACTTCGAACAACTCTCGCTCCTCTTTCGACGCGAACGTGGATCCACCATTCACCGCGCCTCGATTGTACGCAGTACCGCCACCTCTTCTCATGCTCAGTTGCGGGTTCACTCTTCTGTGATACGCCGCTCTGAACGATTCCAGTTTTCGCATGACTTTCAACACTCTGTGCGCGTGTTCTTCGCGTCGGCGTTCGCACTGCGTTCGCCTCACTTCGTACGAGCCTTCTTTCCAGCTGTTGATTTGGCGTATGCACTGGTTGTACGCGTTGACGAACGCCTCTTGCGATTTCAATTCCTCTTCCTGAGCTTGTTCTCGCTGATACAAACCGTCGAAACCGTCTACTCGACACGGCCACAATCCATTCTCGTTTTCTTCGCCGCCGACTTTATCGAGCAACTCGTGCCACGTCCGTTCGTCGATGTTTTGAATTTTCACTTTCTGTCGAGGATCTTGCGCGATGTTGTAAAAGAAAGCTTTGAATCTGTACTCCGGATGTTGCGGGTTATACGCGTTCATGACGTCGTGTAACTCTTTGACCGGTTCTAAAGTGGTCCCGCTCGCCGGCGGTTGACTGGCTAAGTGTCTTTGTTGTCGCGCCCTGAGCAGCGCTTCCGACGGCGCTAAGTTGCCGCCGAATAACGTCGGACCGCCTTGCGCTTGCGTCGTGATTGATTCCGGAACGTTAAAGAAGGCATTTTGTTGTTGCTGAAACTGCGTGAGTCCTTGATGATTTTGCGGTTGCGTCGCGCCGAGAGGCGACGGTCGATTACCGAACAACGAAGGCGTCGTGTTCGTTTGTTGTTGTTGTTGTTGTCCTAATCCTCCGCTGAAGAGACTACCGCCACTGCTTTGGTTTGGTTGATTACCGCTCGCAGTATTCGCGTTGCCGAATCCTCCTCCTCCTCCTCCTCCTCCTCCTCCGCCAAAAAGTCCTCCTCCTGCGCCTATCGTGCTCGCCGTACCAGCCGGTTTTCCGAACAAACTCGATCCACCTGCAGCACCTCCTCCTCCGAACAACCCTCCACCACCACTCGTTGGAGGTCTCCCGAACAATCCTCCTCCTCCTTGTCCTCCCTGAGTAGTAGCAGCGCTCGTATTCGCGTTCCCAAAAATCCCACCCGGGGCCGGTTGTTGTTGTTGTTGTTGTTGCCCGAAACCCGCGGTGTTGGTGTTCCCAAACAACCCTCCTCCTCCTCCTCCTTGTTGTTGCTGAGGAGTATTGTTGTTCGTATTCCCGAATAATCCACTCGATGTCGATGTCTGCGTTGGATTGTTTCCTCCGAACGCACCGCCCAAACCTCCTCCTCCTCCTTGATTTTGATTCGAATTCGTTCCAAAAGGAGTACTATTATTCCCGGCGTTTCCGAACAACCCTTGTCCTCCACCACCACCACCACCGAGAGCAGCACTTTGCTGTTGTTGTCCAAACATCCCGGGAGCGTTGGTGTTGTTGTTATTGTTGTTATTGTTTGAGCCGAACAAACCTCCTCCTCCTTGATTTTGATTCAATCCGCCACCAAAGAGTCCACCACCTGCGTTGGTGTTGGTGTTGTTGTTCGCGGCACCAAACATATTCCTCGTCTCTCTCGAAAGAAGGTTACGCGCGCGTGCGTCGTTCTGCACCGCGTCCTCTTCGTGCTCTCCCTCTCTTTTGCGTGTGAAAAGCCGCGAGTGTAATCGTGTGCAAAAGTATGACGATGATTTTAAACGGAAAAAAATGAAGAGATGTGACGGAACAAAGAAAAAGAAGAATCGCTTCGCCTGCGGAAGAGGAGGGACGCGGGCGAAACCGGAAATGTGTTTTTCGTTTGATTTGTTCGGTAGCATGTAATACAAACGGGTTTGTGTGCACACGCAGGACTATATAAAAGAGCTAATGTTGATGAGTACGCATGTGTCCTTTCAAATGATCAGATCGACGAAAACGCTTCTGGCACACATCGCATTCGTACGGTTTCTCGTTCGTGTGAATGCGCATGTGCTTTTTCAAACTACTAGAATCACGAAAACACTTCTCGCACACATCACATTCGTACGGTTTCTCGTTCGTGTGAATGCGCATGTGGGTTTTCAAACTACTAGATTGAGTAAAACGTCTCTCGCACACATCACACTCGTACGGTTTCTCTTTCGTGTGAATGCGCATGTGCTTTTTCAAATCACCAGAATCACGAAAAGCTTTATCGCACACATCGCATTCGTACGGTTTCTCGTTCGTGTGAATACGCTTGTGGGCTTTCAAATGTTGAGATTGAGTAAAACGTCTCTCGCACACATCACATTCATACGGTTTCTCGTTCGTGTGAATACGCATGTGGACTTTCAAATCACCAGATTCACGAAAACGTTTCTCGCACACATCACACTCGTACGGCTTCTCGTTCGTGTGAATACGCATATGTACGGCCAATTTGGATGGACTAAGAAACACCTTCTCGCACACATCGCACTCGTGTTGCCCTCTCTTTCTCTTCACTCCTTTAGCAAGAATAGCAGTTTCTTCTTTCCTCATCTGATTCTGTTCCACACCATCGTCACACGGCACGCACATGAGCATCCTCCGCAATCGCTCCACGTCTTCGTCTTCTTCTCCCTCTTCTTCTCTCTTTTCACCACTCGCAACCACCACCGTCTTTACGTTTTCCGCTCGTTTCGGGTGTTTATTCTTCCGTCTGCTATTCGTCATCCTTGAATAAAGTATGTATTCTTATAATCCGGTTTGGGAACAAATGAAGCATTTCGGAATCCGAAATTTCCCCATTTTTGCGCTTTATACTTTCACCAGAAGTTGCACCCGCACTCGCGATACCATCACCACTTCGCGACTGTTCCGACGCAGCGACCAGTCTTTTGTGCGTTCCCATTCGCATTAAATTCTATCCGAGGGTATCTGCACCCGTTCCACCTCGAGCGACTCCAATTGACGCACATTCTGTAACGGCAAAGAAGGGGCAAAGAAGCGAGACCAGACTCTCATGTCTTCCCCGTCGTCACGATCGATCTCCTGCGCGTGGAGAATCGACGTGACCGTGTCCTCGTCCCAGGCGAAGAAAGTTTTACGACCGACAGTTTTGATGACTTTAGAGGAAGGCGATGAAAACAAAGAGACGTTCGAAATGTCTTTGGAAATGTTTCAAGAGCTACGACTGACCGTGGCGAAGATGCTGACGGAAATGGAGTGGGCGAACGAGGAGGTGAAGAGAGGAGGAGTAGGAGGAGGGCGATGACGATGTGTGTTTGCAGAGGAGTAGCGCGAGATCGAAAGAATGATGCGTAATGTATATTAGAAATTGAACTAGAGTAGTGTGTATATCCTTCTTCTCATCGCTCGTCGCTCTTCGTATTACGCCGGCGTCCTCGAGCTGCTTCCTAATTTGTACCTCCTGGACTCCTCTAAATATTCGTTCATTCCAACCGCGTCTTTCAACTCCTCGAACGTCGGCAGAAGTTCTTCGTCCGGGTACCCTTCGAACATTATTCCTTGCAACGCGGTTTCCATCGCTTTTACGCTCACCGCTAACATCGACAACGGGTAGGCGACGATTTTAAACCCCATGGCGTGTAACTCTCTCGGTTGACAAATCGGCGTCATGCCGCCGCCTTCTAACATGTTGGCCATTTTCGGCGTGTCTGGACACGCGTCGCAAAAGCGTTGCATTTCCTCTTTCGATTGTAACGCGTCGATGAACACCGCGTCCGCGCCGGCGTCCACGTACGCTTTGACTCGTTCCAAAGCCTCGTCTAAACCCATGGAACTTCTCGCGTCGCTTCTCGCGAACACCACGATATCTTCTAAACTTTCATCTCTCGCGTCGCACGCGGCTCTAACTCTCGCCACGCTCGTCTCTCGATCGCACACAGGTCTCGGACCGGTGTGTCCGCACCGTTTCGGCGCCATCTGGTCTTCGATTAAAATCCCCGCGAACCCGGCTTTGATGTACCCTTCCACCGTTCGTTTCGCGCTCATGGCGTTCCCGTACCCATCGTCCGCATCTCCAATGATTGGAAAATTCGGACTGACCGCGTCGCATATCCGTCCACCCACGTCTTGCATCTCCGCGTAAGAAATCAAACCGACATCCGGTAACGCCAAGTGCGACGCCGAGACGCAAAAGCCTGACATGAAAGCTGCCGAGAACCCAGCGCGTTCGATTAAACGTGCGGATAAAGCGTCGTGCGCGCACGGCGCTTGGACGATTGCGGGACCGTTTAATAACGTTCGCAAAGCACGAGCGGGATCTTTCTTCTCTTTTTTCGTTTGCGCGCTCCCTCCTCCCGCTGCTCGTGCTGTCGTTCTTTCCTTCCGGCGTTGTTGGTGATGTTGATTTTCCCCGGGAAAACCATATCTCAACGGTGTGACCGTCTTTTTGTCTCGAGCGGCGGCAGCGTGAAGACGACCATCAAAACGAACGCGCGGTTTCGAAGGACGGAACGAAAACGAGTCAGTCGTCGTCGACAAAAGGTGGTGCGAGACGGAAAAGAACATTTGATGATGTTTGTGATGATGTTTGTGAGTGAGGGATAAATTAAGAATGCTGACTGGACGCTTTAAGGCGAGAAGAACACAAAAATACGCGAGCGTCAGATGCCAACGGCATCATCCGAAGCGGTTTCGATGTGTTAGTATTAGTAGTGTCTGCTGCTCTGTTGAATACAACGCTGATGATTGGACTCTTTTTTAAGGGGAGAACAGAATAGTATTAATGCACGCGTTGTTGCACACCGATGGTGCCAACATCATCCAAAGCGTTTTCGATGATGCGTTCTTGTTAGTATTGTTTGCTTTGCTCTGCCCAACACGAAAGGTCTTGGATATAAAAATCTCCTTTTTCCGTGAGGGAGTAGTCTCTCTCTCTTATCATCTCCTTTCATCGATCGCCTTTCATCAAATCTCCAGATCCCGTTGCTCCTCCGAACAACCAGAGGTCGTCGACGTGCATCCACGGCAATCTGCTCGCGCTGCCTTTTTTGACGACACTTTTGCCGCTCTTCGTCGTTTTCTTTTTCTTTTTCTTTTCCTCGTCGTCGTCTTTGTTGGTGTCTCCCAAATCTTCTTCTTCTTCTTTAAAGAAAAGTTCTTGTTCTTGTTCTTGTTCTTGTTCTTGTTCTTCTTCGTCGAGCGGCATCGCGAAGAAATCGCTGCTCAGTTTGCCGTTTTTTTTCAATCGCTCTCTTCGCTCCATCTCGTCGTAGTGGAGTAAAGCGGTCAAAGGGCCAGGGGAGATGAAACCGGCTTTGCGAGGGGTCGGGGAGAAGAGGAAGGATGCGGTTGGTGATTTGAGGAGCTCCCCCATCATGGCGGAGGAGGACGACCTCACCGCGGGTACGCCGCGAGGCGGGATTTCCACGGAGAGTTTCCGCTTTTGAGGGAAGGTGAGATTTTGGGTGGTATCGTTCTTCTTCCCGTCGTCGTCGTCGTTTTTGTTATCGCCTTTTTGTATATTCATCGTTCTTATAGGAAGAGAAGGTATCGTCGGCGGTGACACAATCATGTCCGAGGAGTAGAATCCCATGGCGTTTCTATCATCATCTTTGGCGTTTGCGTTCGAGACGTTGTTGTTTCCGAGAAAGTAAGAAAGCAATCCGCCGGAGCCAGAGATAGATTTGAACATCGTCATGGTCGAGTCGTTGTTGTTGTTGTTAGTGTTATTGTTATTAGTATTCGGGGAATATATCATCGGCGATGGTAAACCGGCGAGCGCGGTGGTTGTAGGCGATAAAATCCCGTCGAGATTGAAACTATGATGAGCGCTTGAATCTATCGCGGTAGCGTTCTTTCTCTTCTTACTATTATTGTCTCCGCCAGTGCCGCCCCACAGTCGGAATCCACCGTTGAAGAACCCAATGCCGTTACCGCGTGCTGACAATGGACGCGTTTGATGATGATGATGACGATGTCCTTCCTTTTGTTTCGATGTCGTAGCGGCGTTGGAGGATTCTCTCGCGAGCGCTTCCCGAGTATTATCCGACGACCACATCTTAAGGCGGCGTGCTTTCTTCATTGGACTCGAAAGTTCGTCGATTGTCGTTTTCTCTGCGTCGAAATCCACCTTCGTTCGAAGATCGTTGTCGTGGTCGTCATCATCGCAGTCGCTCCCAATGAGCTTCTTCGCTTCGAGTCGTAACTTCCTCGCCGCTCGCGCCGAGCGTTCGTCGTAACTGCTAATAATCTTTTCCGTGCTTTGCTTCTTCTTCTTTTTCTTCTTTTTACCACCACCTTTACCATCACCATTACCACCACAGGTCGTTTTTGTCGTCGTTTGTAGCGACGGGAACCGCGCCGCTGCGAGCGAGGCTTGGCGTATCGGAATTTCTTCTTCTCTTTTTTCGTCGACATCTACTCTGCCGCCTTTCTTCGATGCGACGAGTTTGGTCGTTACCACTGTAGGCGCTACGATCCTACTCTTTGACTTTTCTATTTCTTCCGGCGCTAATTCTTCATGTTCCGCGTTGCCTTTCGCGCGTTTCTTCGCCGTCGTCTGTTTCTTTTCGTTGTTCGCTTCCGTTTGTACTTTTTCTTTTTCCTCTTCTTCCTCGTCGTCGTCGCTCTCGCTTCCGCTGTCCTCATCCTGCTCGTCGTCGTCCGTATCCAACGACCCTTTCGGCGCTTTCTCGTCTTTTTTCTTCTCCTTTCTCTCTCCTACGGTATCCACTAAACTCTGTTCCGCGAAGTGCTGCTTAAACAAATCCTTATTTGACCTCTTCTCCGCCACGTTTGTCATCCCGTTCCCGCCGCCGCTTCCGCCGCCGTCGCCGTCGCCGTCACCGCCAGCACTCCCTCTACTCGCCGCAGCATTATTACCACCACCACCGCTATTATTATTATTAACCACTTTCTTCATCGCTGCTTTCCTGTACTTCTCCAAGACGCTTTCAATCTCCCCGTCTTTCGCGCTCGAAGAGTACTGAAACGCTTTATTGTTCGAGTTGACGATGACTAAAGCGATGTCGCAATCGCACAAAACCGATAATTCCATCGCTTTCTTCATCAAACCGTTTTTCCGTTTCGTAAACGTCACCTGTCGATTTCGTTCGTCTTTAATGCGTTCGATGCGGATTTTCTTCCGTCCCATTGACCTCTAAACTCTTTCGTCCGTCTTTCTTTCCGCGTTTCCGGAAGTCAGTCAAGAGAGAGGGAAAAAAAAAGAAGAGGAAAAGAGTCAAGACTTGACTTTCAAACGCTTTCGAAACCAAGACTACTCCCCCGGAAAGCCGCGATAAAACAAAGCGCTGCACTGGTCCCTTCGACGTACCGCGACCAACCGACTCTCTCTCTCTCTCTTACTCTTACTCTCTCGAAAGAGACAAAGAGACAAAGACTCTTTCAAGAAGAGTTTGAGTGAAGAACTTTGACTCCTCTTTTTTTTTTTTTTTCAATAAAAAACTACTTTTGCTCTCGTTCGTTCGTGTATTTTTTACTCTCTAAAGAAAAAAAACTTCATTACACTTTGCCCCCCTTTTCTCCCCGCGAGACGACAGACGCGCTTGCACGCGCTGCTCTCAGAAGAGCCTTTGTTGCGTCCCACGAGAGAGAGAGACAGAGAGAGGATTGTGCGCTCTCTGACTCTCTCTTGTCGTCGGTTAAAGCGAGAGGATTCTTTTTTTGCCCCTTTCGTGGGGTCAAAACGTTTTTCGAAAACTTAATTGATGAAACTCCACAAATGTACTTTACTTATAAGTAAGGGGGGAAATTTGTGATTTATCATATCAACCCTTCTCTTCTTTCTTTCTCGTTTGCAGACATAATATCAGAGAGAAAGAAGGGAGACGAAAAGGAGGACGGACGGACCTTCGAAACGCGACTGTCGTTTTCTTTCTTTTTATATATCAGACGCGAGCAAACCATCGAAGACACAAATTCATTGGAAAAGCAGAGAGTCTGTTTAGGTGAAATTTGCAATTCATCTGCGTCTGACTTGAAGAAGTTTACATCGCAGAGGACGACTCTTTTGGAGGAGGAGGAGAGATATTTAGTATAAATGGCCTCCTCTTTGATTCCTCCTCCGGGTTCAAAGTCCACAGTCGACGAAATCGTGCCTTTAAACAAGCAAGTCCAAAACGTCAAGTTTGTCTCCTTCACGCAAGAAAGGGACGACTACAGCGCGAACAAAGCGAGAAAAGGTAAGCACATTATATATAAAATTTAGATGTTTACACTCACATAACCTCAACAGGAACGAAATTCTACCTCGTCGACGAAGATTCTATCCCACACTTGGCGATAATCGGCGACGAGCGCGAACAGAGAGATGGACATTACTCGTACAGAGTGAGCGAAGAATTCGCGAATCCCGAGCTCGGGATACCGCCGTTGAAACAAGGGAATTTAGTGGGCGTGAGGAAATGGCTGAAAGATAGAATCACGCAAAGCGCGCAGCAATATAAGAAGAGGATGATGCTGATGAATAGTAATGGCGGGAACGACGTTGGTATGAATGGTGAGAACGCGGGTGGAAAACCGACGAAAGAGACGAAGATTGTTGCGTTGAGCGCCGCGCAGTTGACGAGGAAGAAGAAGCAAGACATTCCGGATGGCGCGAGTTTGATCGACCACGACGCGTTTGTGAACGCGAGTTTACGGGCGAGAAAGTTAGAGGAGAAGGAGTTTAAGTGGGCGAGTACGAAGGAAAATGCATTCGCGTTTATTCGAGGGACGGAGGTTTTTGAAGACTTGAAGGCGGAGACGAGGACGGTAAAAGTTGAAGATTTAGAAGATGAAAACGATGATGGGTACGAGAATCAGGCGAACCACCAGGTGAGAGAGAACGCGCGAGCGTTAGTTGAAGATGCCATAGCGAAGATTATCAAACACAGCTCTTCGTCAAAATTGAGCGTCGTCTCGGAGGTTATCGAGGCGTTGAAAACGCTCAAATCTTCTCGTTTACATTTGAAGCGCATCGCCATGGACGAGTACGCGTTCGTCGACGCGTTGAAACGTTTACGCGAAGATGGAAAAAACGCGAGGAGATCGTCGCACATATCCACGGCCTCAAAACTTGCCAGCGATTTGTTGAAACACATCGCAGGGTCCATCGTAGGATCTGTCGGCGCTTTAATTTCGAGTTACGACCGCGCGCCACCGCCGGCGCCGCCGAGAGTCAAGCCCGGGTATTTAGTGCAACTCGTCGACGCGGCTGGAAACGTTATTAGTCAAACCGATGTTAATGCACCGACGACAACGAGAGCATTCGCAGCAAACGCTGCCACGACGAATGTAACCAATGCGACTGCTTTAGCGCAACACCAACACAGAACGGCGACGGGCGCGACGGCGGGAACAGCCGCGGCTATCCCCACTCTCCCGCCAATCAGTCCACCGAGTTTGCGTAACCGAGGAGCCGGTAGCGTGCAAATCAAAGAAGAACCGCACGTTCAGCTTCCACCATCTACCGCGACCAAGAAGAAGACCGCTGCTGCTGCTGTTGCTGCTTCGAGTAAGCACAATAAAGGAACCGTGGGGCCGGGTGGTAAACGCAAATTGAAAGACATTCTCGCGAGTTCGCCTTCGAGTTACGACACGAACGCTTCTCAATCGAGCAAGAAAAAGAAGCAACGACAAATATTTAGTCGTAACAACAGCTTCGAGCAACAAGGAGGCACAGGTACCACGGAAATGAATTGCGACACGGCCACCGACGACGACGCGGCAAACAACACGGGGACGACGGCTAAATCGGCGGCGGCGGCGAAATCGTTATTAGGCAAAGGGCGCAAACGGTGTCACGTTTGTTCGACAGTCGTCGGTTCTCCCACGCGCGTTTGTCCACACTGCAAAACCGCGTTACCCATGAAAGTATCAGCCTCGACGAAAAAAGAGAAAGCAGCGTTATTGGAGGGGAAAGAGAAGAACGCCGCGTTGGCGAAAGCCGCCGCGTTGAATCACCAAAGCAACGGTGGTGGTAAAAATAGCCCCGCCGCCGACATCGGTGAATCTATGTTAGAATTTCGACGGATATTTACGAATTGCAAACCGTCCGTGTTGAAAGTTGGAGCGCAAAAATTGATAGCGGAATTGAAAGAACGATTAGACGAAAATAGTGCGATGTTTGCGTCGGAGTTGTCTCCCGGGAGCGCGATGAACACAAAGTTCATCTTAGAAGAATTGATGCAACCTTTACTGGAGAAAGTTGAAACGACGAAACTCTTCAACGGCGCCAACGAAAGGCCGAAAGGTAGAAGAGAACTTTTGGAAGCATTGGACGCGTTCATAGCGAGTTATTACTCGTAATATACTACTACTTGGTATTCACTACTAGTATATATGCAATTTTTCTTAAACAGCAACATTGAATGCTTCTTTAGTTTCTAACTTTCATAAACGATTTCAACGACGACTTCGGTAACGTCACGTATAACGCGCTTCCTTGCTCTTCCGTGTCGCACTTCACGCCCGCCGCTCTCGCAACCGATTCCACCGCTAAACTTCTTCGCGCCGCGTTGCCGCAATTGATGCAGATTTCATTCGGCAAATCCGCAAACGTTCTGTTGCCTTTCGAGGATGAGCTTTCGCAGTATCGAACCGCTTTTAACATGGCGAGCGTAGCCACGATCGTTTCCGTTCGCGTGTATTTTGAGGCGTCGTAATCACCGTCGTTTTTCCACAAAGCTTCGTCGATGTCATCGTACTGACACACACGCCTCGCCTCTTCGCTCTGGAACAACTCAATCGCCAACTCGACGCGATCAGAATCGATAAAAGACGTTTTCATTCCAGATGAAGAGCCGCCTTTTTTATCTTTACCGAGCTCTAAAGCGACGGCTGAGACGGCGGCTTCTGCGCCGCCGGGGCCTAACGCCGCGTCTAACATTGCGCCGTACGTTTCGCGGCCGATGTACAAATCAGAGGACCCTAACCCACCTCGATTTTCAATTTCTACCTTCAGCTTTTCAAAAACTTTCCTGGCGTCTTCCCACCTGCCAGCTTGGCCGCAGGCGGTGATGCAACTGTTGAAAACTACAGTCGTTGGATACACCTCGTCGCTTTTCTCGAGCATTTCGTCGAGTAAACTCAACGCTTTCGTCGCGTCGCGAACTTTGGCGCACGCGGCGATTAAAGAACCGTAGGTGTACGCGTCTGGTCTTAAATCAGCGGCGTTTTGCGCCAAGACATATTCGTACAAACGAACCGCGTCGCGCAAACCGTTGGCGGTACCTTTCTGTCCGCACGCGTGGATTAAGCGGTTATAAGTGGCCATCGTTGGTGGAATATTTGCTTCTTTCATCGCGTCAAAGGCGTCAAAAGCGTAGGATTCCTTGCCCGCGCGAATGGCGCAATCGATTAATGCGGCAAACATAGCTCTGTTTGGTTCGACCGAACCTTCTTCGCGCAACCGGTAAAATATTTCGAACGCTTCGTCGCACTTCGGTTCTTTCGCTTTCGCGCATGACAAGATTAAAGCGGTATACGTCGACTTTCTCGGCGCGAGACCTCTTTGTCGCATGACTGCGAATACATTCAACGATTTCGCCAATTCGCCGCCTTCGGCTAAAGCTTTCAAGGCAATCTCGCACGTCTCTCGACTCGGAGAAACACCTTGACTGGTCATTTCGTCGAACGTTTGCGCGACTAATTGCGGCTCTTTCGCTCGAGCGGCACCAACTAACAACGCGTTGAACGCCACCGGCGACGGCTCCACGTTCGATTTGCTCGTCATTTCCTCAAACAACACGCACGCTCGAACCAATCGAGCTTTTGGAGAGCGACCTTTGCGATCCTCTCCGGGCATGTCTACGTCGATGGTTAACTTCAACAATTGGTCGAAAACTTTCGGACTTAACGTCCATCCTTGCTCTTCGATGTCTTCCTTCACGCGCATTGCCGGCTGCAACTTTTTCGCTTTGACCGCGCACTCCATGGTCAGCAACATCGTTCGTTTCGAGACTTCAATCCCAGACGTTCGACAGGCGTCGTAGACCTCAATTGCGCGTTCGGGCGTCCCCGCGTTTCTACAGGCAATCATGACGGCCACGTACGTTGACTCCACCGGAGTGATGCCAAACTGCCGCATTTCTTTCACGAGCGGTAACACTTCCTCGAACGAAGTACACCGTCGAATGGCGTCGTTACATTTGGTCAAATTAGACGCGGTAATGCGCGAGGACTCGTCGTCGTCTTCTGAAAGCATTCGATTTTCGTTCAAAAATGTGAGCAACACGGCTTCTTTATCGTTATTGTTATCTCGCTGTTCAATCCGCGGCACGTCGATTATCTCTCCGTTCGTCGTCTTATCGTCACTCACGGAAGACGTCTTCAACACCTCGCTCGTGCCTTCCTTCAGTTCAAATCGAGTTCCACCGAAACTCCCCCCGTCTTCATTTTCTTCCTCCCGTTCGTTGTTGTCGTCGTCGTCGTCCATGCTCCCCATAAACACCGCCCTCACTTTCCTCGATTTCTTCACCTCTCTGTTGCTCATCTTCGTCTCTCGCGCCACATTCGCGATATTCGACGATTTTGGTCGCCTCTGCCTTTTCTGCCGCTCCTCCCGAGCAGCGTTTTTGTTATTCCCGGCACCGCTTCCTCTTTCATCCTTACTCTTCCTCCTCCCGCCGCCGCCGCCTCGTCCGCTCGAACTACTCGACCCTCCTCTCACCGCCCCGACAAACTCCGCCACGTTCGTCTTCAGCGCATCGTCTCTATCATCCTCCTCCTCCGCGACTTTTACTCCTGCATTAAAAGTTTCGTCCGAAACGTCGAAACTTTGCATCGCGAACTGCACCGCTTCCAACCTTTCCCTCTTGAGGACCTCCTCGTCCTCGGAATCGTCGTCGTCATCGAACGAGGACGAGGCGAAGACGTTCCCGAAAAAAGGAGACCTCGACGACCCACCGGAGGAAGCGTTTCGAGATGCACATCTCTGAGTCTTTTTCTTTTTCTCTCCAAATCGTCTTCTTCCGTCGCTGAGTGGGACACGCATCGTCGTTCTGTTCACCAACCGTGACGTCTTCGTTCCCCGTCGTATTATCCGCTTTTGACACGATGCGTGAAAGGAGGAAGAGGATGACGAACACGAGGCATATAAAGAGGAGGAGGCGCGCATGATTACGCTCTCGTTGTTGTTTTACTGTTCTCTCTTCTCCGTTTGTGAAAATGCGCGCGTAAAGTCGTCGGCTTTTGTGTGCGCGTGTGTTGTGTCGTGTCTCAGTTTAAGTGTTTTGTGAAGGAAAATCAAAGCAAAATGAAAAAAAGCGACGATCGATTGATACTCTTTGATGATCTCTCTTGCATCGCACTTAATAAGGAGATGGTTAAAAAAATGGTCTCTCTAATAAACTATTCTTCAAAACTAGTTGTTCTTCTTTCCTAACGCGGCGACTCCTCTCACTCTACTTAGTATTAGTATTACCGCGAATACCATCACCACCGACACCAAATTTGACGTTATCGTACGCGTGTCGCATGATCGATTCCCACTTGCGTCCTCCGTCGCCGGAGGTATTCGTGTTGTGCTTTCCTTTTCCTTCCGCGGAGGAGGATTCGGGCAACGCCAACAACGAGGAACTTTGCAAAAACCCCGGCGTGGCTTTTTCCGCGTTTTCTAACGCTGTTTTATCGCGACCGTTCCAATCGAACGCCAAGGACGGGTTGGTCGGGTACGCGCGTTGGCTGAACGTGATTAAGCGTTTGACGGATTGTAAATACTTTCTGGTTTCTTCGTCGTGCATGGCGTGCGCTTGGGTGGTGGCGGAGATTTTTTCTCTCGCGGAACGGTCGTGAATGCCTACCGAGGTGACGCCGATGGGCCACGCGGCGTTTCCAATGGCGACGCCAACGTACGCGTCCGTGGCTCTTTTATAATCTCTCGCTTTCATGGCTTCAAACATGAGAAATAACGCGCGCTCGATGTCGTTCGGCAAGTCCCGTTTTTTCATCTTTTTGAACAAAGGTTTCATGTGCGTTTTCGTCAACTCGCAGTTGGCGACTTGTTGCCTCTTCTGCGCGTTGGAATCAAACTTCGTGCCTTCGATTTCCATCGCCCACTCTTTGAGTAACCTTTTGAAATGTTCCGCGACTCGATCGATCGGATGCGCGTTTGGATCCGTCTCGGCGTCCATTTGTTTCTTCAGTCGCTTCGCCGCGCGCTCGAATTCCATTTGCGCCATCTCCGCCTCTCGCTTCTTATTCTCTTGCTCTTGCTCTTTCGTCGTCAGTTTTCTTTTCATCATCGCGCCGGTGTTGCCTTTTGCTTCGTTACTATTCTCCCTGTTATACCTCAACATCTCGTTCGCCTGTTGCCCGCCGACGTGTTCGTCCGATTCTTTCACCTTGATATTCTTCGCCGCGACTTCCAATCGCAACCGTCGGTCCTGTTCGTTCTCCGCGAACAACTTCGCCGGTTGATTCAGCTTCCTCAATCGAGCGATGACTTCTTGGTTGGTTAAACTTTTCACCTCGCGTTCGATCCGTTTGTTGAATTCTTCTGTTCTGTTCCTTTCGTTGTTTTCGTCTGATGATTTCTTCTCGTTGTCATCATCGTTCTTTTCGTTGTTGCTGTTCTCGAACGCTCTTCGGGCAGCCTCCGAGCGAAACTTGCTTTTATTGGTGTTACTTTTGATGCCATCGACATTCTTAGTCGCATTCGTCGCCTGTTCGTTCGATCTCTTTCTTTCCTCGCGTGCTTCCTCAAACGCATCATCTTCGTCTTCTTTTTCTTCAAACTCGCGTCTTCGAAGCTCTTTTTTCGACGCGTACGCCGAGAACGTGTTGTTCTTCTTCTCAGCATCGGTGTTCTTCGATTTAAACAAAGCCTCCTCCTTTTCTCTTTTCAACAATTTCTCCCGCTTTTGTCGCTCGACTTCCGCTCGTAAAGCTTCCATTTTGCAATTCTGAGGAAAAAACACGGCGAAAGAAAAACTGAAAAAGGAAGGAAGACAAAAAAATTTGGAGTAAGCATTCGCACTAATAATTTAGGGTTTAAGTGCTTAAGCTTTACTCAAATTTAGCTTCTTGAGTGCTTCTTTCGTACTCGTGAGTGCTTCGTTCGTACTCCTCCTTTTATTACTCTCGTCTCTTTTCCCGCCTTTTTGTGTTCTCATTCGAAAAGCGATCGTCAAAACGTACACACACACAACAACTTCTTGTGACATATAAAGTACTCTCTCTCACACATATATGCGCACGCTAAAAAGACTGCTTCTCTCTCGATCATCATCAGCGCTGCCAAAGAACAACAACAACAACAACAACAACAAAACTTCCCGCTTTTACTACTACCACGACCATCGAAAAGCGATGATTACGACGAGGATGATGTCATCTCTCACGTTTGCGCCTACAACTCCAGCAGCGATTGTGTTTACTAAGAACAGTAACAACAAACACGCGACGACGAGAAGAGGAACGACGATGAGAACCTTCGCGTCGTACGCGCAACCAAACATGTCGTCGGATATGCAACAACAACAAAGAACGGCACCGCCGGCGACCGTGGAATGGGACTCGACGTTGGCAAATTCCGTCACTTTGATTGGGAACTGTGGAGGCGATCCAGAGCTGAGAGTTTTGCCGAGCGGGAAGATGGTGTGCGAGGTGTCCATCGCGGTGAGTCAAGGAAGGAAAGCGCAACAACAACAACAGCAAAATGATGAAGAAAATGACGGCAAGACGGCGTGGTATACCGTCGTCGCTTGGGACGAGGAAGCGGTGCGCTTGAACGAACACGTGCGTAAAGGGAATTCGGTGTGCGTGCAGGGAAGGTTGACCACGGACACGTGGGTGTGCAAGCAAACCGGGCAGAATAGGAGTAAAGCGAAGGTAGTGTTGAATCAGTTTTCGTTCGTGGCGAGAGGCGAGAGCATGGTGAGTAACAATACCAACGGCGTCGGATACGAGCCGATGAGACAACAACAACAACAACAACAATTTTCGCAAGGAGGATACGAACCGATGCAACAACAACAGCAACAACAACAACAACAACAGCAACAAAGATCGCCACCACCGCCACCGAGCGGAGATGGTTTCCAATCGCCAAAAGACGCGTTGTGGCGTTCAGTTTTTGATGCTCCGGACAGATGGTGGGATAACCGCGAAAACAAAAGAAACCCGCGCGCGCCGGATTTCAAGCACAAAGATACCGGCGAAGGCTTGTGGCTCACCGGGAGAGATACGCCGCCGTGGGTCATGGAACGCATGATGGGCGGTGCGGCTGGCGCAGCTGCTGGTGCAATGGCGACGGGTCAAGACGATTCTGATGGCTATTACGGCGCGAGCAAAGGCACCGCGTACAACAATCCGTACGGAAACCAAGAGCCTGCGGTGAACGCGAACGATTACTCTCAGGCGTACGATCCGAACAACGGCGGGTACGAACCCGCGCAAGAGTGGCCAGACGACGAGGTGCCGTTTTAAACAACAAACAACACCATAAAGTTGTTCTCACTTCTGTAATTTTAATAACACAACACACATATATATTCAAATCTGATGATCTTTATTCTCGTAGTTGTTGTTATATTTTCTTAAAACGCTAACGCTACTACAAGTTTTTGTTGTTCACAGAGAAGAAGAGAGCGCTGTTTGCCGGCAGCACCTCTCTCTCCACCTCTCTCTCTCTCTTTTTCTTTTTACGTAATTATCTTTTTATGATTTTACTTGGCGGCGGCCGCTTCCATTAAATTGCCTTTGTGCACCTTCAACGCCGCGTCTATGTCGGTTTGATTGCATCCTGCGTATTTGAAGTGCCCCACGGCTTCTTCCAAGACCGATTTCCACTCTTTGCCGACTCTCGCTCTCATTTGACTTTGTTCGAACAACGTGTTCCCGAGCATGACTAAAACTTGCGCTCTCATGGTGGGTTCGTCCAAAACCGGAGGGTCTTCGCCCTTTTCTTGCGCTTCTTTTACCGCTTGTTCGTGCGCTTCCAACTCTTCAGCTGTTTTCGGCGTTTTCGGGGGTTCGTCCGGTAACTGCTTCAACGCCGCTCTGTATTCGTCCACGGCTTGCGAAAACTCTTGCTCGGCTTCCGCCGTACGCTTCTTCGCGTCGTGGCCTTTTTCTGGTTTTCTGGTACTATCCGGACCGGATAAGCCAGCCGCAGCGCACAATAATCTCGCGCGTTCGTATCGTCTTTGAGCTAAGGCCGTGGCGGCGTCCACAAAGTCCGGTTTGATTTCCAAAGCCGCTTCAAAGCGCGAAGCGGCAATCGCTAATTCTTTTTCAACCTCGTCAAAGTTGGCGGCGGTGGCGATAGCCGCACCCGGGTTCCCGCCTTCCTCAGCCGGTGGTTCTCTCCCACCGTCCATTTTTTTTCTCGCCGAGCACATGTGCACGTTACCCCAGTTAAAAGTGGCCATAGCCGCGGCTTCTTGGAACTTCTTCGAGGCTTCGGATAAAATCCCATCCGGCCCGTTGCTCTCTTCCAAACTCTTCGTCGGCTCCAACGCCTCGGAACATTTATCCAAACCGTCCGAGTGAAAGTCCAAATGCGCTTCGGCATCGATGCCCAAGTGTTCGCGAAACAACGCGGCAAAGTCCAAAATCCACTCGTCGATTTCGACGACTTCGTTTGGCGGTAACCCGACGGGTTTTCCGTCTTCGCCTAAGATTGCCATATCTTCAATCTTCGCCAACTCGACCAAGGTGAGTTTCACGCACGGCGGCGCCAAAGATGGCGTCTCCGCTTTGCTCAAACGAACAGACGTCCAGTGAATGGCGATTTGGAAATCCTCTCTGGTTTGTAACGGTCTCAAATCACCTTTTTCGTCCGTGTACTTGATCGTAAATTGCCCGGCGTCTGGAAACTTGTTCGTCATCGTCGTCACCAAATCTCTATACGCGATCGCGCTCGATAACACGCACACTCTCGTATCGTCCCCTAATTTTGCCTTCAAGTGAATCATCGGCGCTTGGCTCGGGTTTTGTCTCAAGTGCTCTTGCATCTTTTGCCTTTGCTCCATCTCCAATCGTTGCTTTCTCTGAAGCTCCAACTGCTGCTCCGCCGCGGACATCTTCCCGCCTTTCTTCTTCGAGCTCGGGGCTAAGTTCATCCCCCCTAACCCAGCGGGCGTCTTCCCGTTCCCAACCCCGAGAATGAGATCGTGCATGTGCTTAATGTGCGAATCCTCCGGCAACAACTCGTGCGCTCGCGCGATATCCTTCTTCGCCCTCGTCTCGTTTTCCGTGCTCGCGTACGCCTTCGCTCTCGTCACCAACGCTCGCGCGTTCTCCCCGTTCATCTTCAACGCATCCGACGCCGCGCTCACCGCATCCGCGAGTCTGTCCATCACCAAATAACACTCCGCTCTGCTCGCGTCCAAACCAGACGATAACTCGTGCCCTTTCGGCATCAATTGTTTCGCTTGCTCGTAAAACTGCAACGCGTTCTTAAATTCCTTCTTTTGCATGAATTGGTCGCCCTCTTGTTGAAACTCCAACGAGCGTTCCAGGAAAACTTTTTCATCCTCGTTTTCCTTTTCGTTGTTGTTGTTGTTGTTGTTGTTGTTGCTCCCACCGAACACGGCGGATTTCCTCTTCACCGCGACCGCTGGCATTGTGTTAGTATCTCTCGTGCGTGACGTGTGTGTTTTATATCTAAAACGCCTCCAATTTATCTCACAATGAAGAATGAATGAATTTTGGGTCTCTCTTTTTTTCTCTCTTATTACTCTGTAAACAAAAAGAACTCGCTCTTTCTCTTCGCAGTATATCTACAGTATATCTCGCGTATGTGCTTTTCCCACGACGTTGGTGACGATCGCGATATGCTCTTCTCTCTCTCTGCTTTTATAACACTCTGGATCCGAGGATTCAGAGAGAAACGTGATACGAGTGAGAGATACTTTTGTGCGGGAAAGACGACGCCGTCGTCACCCAAAAAAACCTAAAAACCTGTTTTTAGGTTTAGGGTTTAAAAACTACGATTTTTTTTCTTCCGTTCGTGTGACACGAAAAAAGGCACTTAAAAGTGCTGATTTTGCCGAGTAAGAGACACACTCAATAATGTTCCGATATATGCTACTATCCGTTTCTAACGATCATCAGTTCGAGTAACATTGATGATGTTCTCATCGATCGCGTTTTGATTTTTGCGGAGGAGAGTTTGATTACGTGGAGAGAATACTTTAAAAGTATGGCATAATACTACTTCGTTTCAGTCTGAGAATAAAAACATTTGTCTTCTATAGAGAAAAAGTTCTCGATTGAAGAGTCGTTGGTACAAAACATCCAAAACGTCTCGGCGTGAAAGAGTGATGCAATACGAATGAAACGAACGGCATCGGTCGGGGCGATCCTGCACGGACACAGACCGGTGAAATTTCGCGACCGGAACGTATTCGCGACGTTACTGTTCGGGATATTTTGCGTGGTCGTGTTTGAGATGATGTTCTTCGTGTTCTTTTCAAGCAGAGAGAGGACGAGCGGGAGCGGAAGAAGTCGACGGGAGTTACCGTTCGAGAGGACGAACAACGAGGTGGTAATGTCATCGTCGTCAAAATCGTGCTTGCCGTCGATCGAACCAAACGCGAAACCGTGCCCGCCGGCGGTTGCAATGATGCGAGAGTTGGACGCGTTGGTCGTCGCGGCGAAACCGACGTGCGCGAATAAGCTCGCGTTGATGAGTTTACGGCAATACGCGAATCCGAGACGGATCATCGTCGTCACGACGGAGAGAAGGTTTTGCGAAAAGTTTAAAACGGCGGCGGATGGGATCGAGTGTTTTCACGAGGACGAATTCGTGGACGGAGTGACGAAAGAGAGAACGGCGGACGCGATTGAAAAGTTTCGCACAAAGACGAAAGAATCGAAGAACGATGATAAAAATTTTATGGGTCGATCTTTGAGCGGGTGGTATTTGCAACAGTTTATCAAATTGAGCGCGCATAAGACGAAGAAACTGAACCCGCCGCTCTCGAAACACTATTTAGTGTGGGATTCGGATATGATTCTGCTGAGACCGATGAAACTGTTCGATTCCGCGGGACGCGCGGTGAGAGCGATTGGCGGGAACGTGGTGCCGAGTTACAAGAGAACGTACGAACGGTTGATGTCCGGAAGCACGACTGGGAGGAAGAATGATGATGGAGAAGTAGATAACGCGGTGCATTACGCGGACGATGGGACGAGTTTTGTCGCGCACCAGATGCTCTTCGATGCGGATGTCGCGGAGGAAATGTTGAGCGCGTTCGCGAAGAGTAGTAGTAGGAGAAGAAGTAGCGGTAGCAATACTAGTAGTAGTAGTAGTAGTAGCAGCAGCAGAAGCGAAGTTAAAGATGTGCCGGAGGATTTTGAAAGAGAAGATGACCACGCGAGACGACTGCCTCCTTGGGGCGAAGCTATCATCCGCGAGGCGTACAGAGAACCGGAAAACGCGCACATTGGCTTTAGCGAATACGAATCGTACGCTTCGTTCGTATCGGCGCGACATCCAGAGCTCGTGAAATCGTTGACGTTGAAAAATTGGGCCAGGAACCCATTCTTTACTGGTTCCATAGGCGTTGTCGTCACGAAATACGTTCGCGTTGACGGTTTGTGTTGCCCAACGAGTAAAGTGCTGACGCCTGCGAGATGGAGAAATTTAGCGTACGTCGGGTTTGAAATTGGCCACGCGGAGGCGACGTGCGACGTGAGATCGCCAAAGTATAAGGACGGGTACGGTTGGTAACAATATATATATATGTACGGTACTGTACGCGCTTCAAATTGTCTAGAAGTTGTTATAAAGTTGTACAACGCAGTTACTTTCAATTAAATTTACAGCGTAGTCACGCAATGTTGATTATCACTACTACTACTACTACTAATCCTCCTCATCATCCATTTTATATTTGGGAAGAGTATAAAACTTCAACTTCCCGTCGTTCCCGCCGGTACAAAACGTATCCGGACCGAAAAAGTCCACCGCGAAGCACTTGTCCTCGTGCGCCTTCACCGAGTGCACCGGGACGTTCCCTCTGGTATCCCATAACTTGACTTCGCCGTCGAACGCGCACGAAAGCAAGTGATGCTCGTTCGAAGGACTCCAGGAAAGAGAACTTATGAACATCTGTTGTGTTTGTAGTGTAATTGAGAAAGGTACGTGAAGTTAGTTTTGCGTGAGTGCGTTCGATTGTTGATCGATCGACTCTCTTTTTTCTTCTCTTTAAATGACACAAAAATCAAATCGCAACGCCTCAGGAAAAAATTAGAGTAGTAATTTTATTCTTCACGAGTTAGCTCAGAGAATGTAGGTAAATCATTTGATCATCACCGGCGCGCGAAAGGTTGTGTCGAAGAAAGAAGAGAGCAAAAGAAAAGAAATCATAAAGCAAATACGAATACGCACCTGGTGTCCTCGCAACAGCGTCGTCCCTTCGCTGGCGTTGCCTTCTCTCGGATCCCAAATTCTGACTATGTTGTCCGTCCCACCGTGCGCGATGACGCACATTGTTTCTGTCCCGGTTATATCTAAATCGTCCGTTCGTTTTCGTACGGCTAAACACGTTCTCGCGCTTACGTCCGTACCGACGAACGACTCTCGCATTTCTCCCGTCTCCACGTCCCAATTTCGGATGGATCGATCCCACGAACACGTCCACAACGATCGAGGATTCTCAAACACACATCCCGTCACGCGTTCAGTGTGCCCTTCTAAAGTCAACATCGCGCTTCCGCTTTGCTCGTTTCGTGTTTTGTCCTCGTCTAATTTTCTTTTGTTGTTGTTGTTTCCTTCCACTTCTTCTTTTCCTTCTTCTTCGTCCGCGTAGGAGTCCATCCCGCCGTCTAAATTCCACAATTTCACGGTCGAGTCGTCGCTCCCGGTACAGAACAATCTCACGCTATTCTCATCGTCCAGCCTCGTTGTCGTTGTTGCCACGCAATTCACTTGCATATCGTGTCCTCGAAATACCTTATGCCTTATCACGCCGCCGCCGCTTCTCGTCTTCTCGTCCTCGTCGTCGCTTTTCCTCCTCCTCCCGTTTTCGTCCAGCCGAAACACTCTCGCGGTACAATCCATCCCCCCTGCTATGACCAAACACCCACTCCCTTCCCTCGGCGGCGCTAAAGTCACGCACGTGACGCTCCCTTCGTGACCCATCAACCGTTCAATCTCCACCCCTTTGCTGTCGTGCGCGTACACCGCGCCGTCGTAACACCCCGCCACCATCGCTTTACTCCAACTCCCACACACGCTTGAAATCCAATCTCTTTTCGCATCCGCTTTCTGTTCCTCCGGTGGCATTTGCGCCGGGACGTATTCAATCACCAACGTTTGTTCCGCAGATTTTGATAGTTTTTTCGCCATTTTTGCCAGAGAGGTTCGGAGTAAACAGTTATCGATGTAAAAATCAAACGGGATCGATTTCGTTTCGTTTTCATTCTCCTCCTCCGAAGCCGCCGAAAGCGAGAGCAAATGGTTGACGACTTCGCTCAAGCCGTACCTCGTTAATTTTCCAGGGACGGTAATTGGGGACGGGGAGACTATGAATTTAGGATTCGTTATCGTTTTGGTCACGAAAGTGGCCGTGATTTGGACTTCATTTTCCAGTCCCGATGATGATGATGTCATCATCCTCGTGACTTTCTTTCTTTGTGCGTTCGTGCGTTCGTTCTTCTGCGTCGCGCTTTTGTTCTTTTTTCCCGAGAGCAAAAGCATGAACTATTTAGGGTTTTGGTAGTAAAACCCTAAACTCATTGTGTCTGCTTTTCTCGCAACACTCTGACGTAACACCCTACTCTCGTGCTTTACTTTTCTTAGAGTATCTACAGATACATTCTGTGACAGACAGTTAATACGAGTTGTTCGTAAACACACGCGCAGAAGAACAAACGCGAGACAGAGAGTGTATTTGTTGTCAGACAGAAAACAACAGAAAGAAGACACACATCTTCTGTTATATATATATAATATATCACACGCTTTACATTGAAATTGGAATTCCAAAAGGATGACGATGATGACGAAGCAAAAGACGAATTCAAAGTTTACGAAAGCGGCGTCGTTGGCAGCCTCGCTCGCGCTCGTTTTGAATGGTGGCGTGAAATTCGCGTCCGCGAATTACGACGAACAATCGATCGTGTGCGAACACAAAACTGCCTCAATTTCGTGTCCAACCGGGGAGCTCATCAGCGTTGTCGATGGTTGGTACGTCTTTTTGTACATCTGACTCTCTCTCTCTCTCTCTTACTTCGTAAATACTGATCTTATATTTTCATTCGTAGGTATGGTCGCACCGAAGCCGCGCACGTGACTGGGGAACCAGTCGTCTGTCCGCACTCGGCGACGTCGAACAGAAACTGTCCGTTCCATAAAACCGGGCAGTACGACAGCCAAAAAGCGAAAATTGGCGGCGCCTGTGAAGGCAAGAACAGTTGCAGCGTGAAGGCGTCGAACGGGTATTTTGGCGATCCGTGCTGGGGGACTTTCAAATACTTGAATATCTCGTACAACTGCGTGGATCCGAGCGCCAAGGAAGACGCGAAGGCTGAAGAATCCGCGGCGGACTTACAAGCCGCACTCGCGCAGGCACAAGCCAACGTCGAGACGAATAAAGATGCCACCGTGTGCGAACATAAAACGCTCGATATTGAATGCGGAACTGGTACCGTTGCCAAGATCAACAGCGCGACGTACGGTCGCTTGAAGAACGGGGTCTGCGGCAACGGGTCGAACACGACTTGCGCGGCTCGAGACGGCAAGTACTGCGGGCACGGGAAAAATCAACAGTGCCAAGACTCTTTCAGCGTCGTTGGAGCGCAGTGCGAAGGCCTTCAATCGTGCCAAGTCGGGGCTTCGAATGGTGTTTTTGGCGACCCGTGCTGGGGAACCTTCAAATACTTGACCGTGAACTACGATTGCATCGTACCGAACGAAGAGGAGGCGCAAAAGGAGATCAAAGAACAACTCCTCGATCCGTTCAAAGGCCACATGATTCTCTCCACGGGTTGCTCTCCGCTTTCTAAGTTGACTTTTTCGACTGGAGAGACGTTTTCCGATCGCGTCGGCGCTAAGATCATCACCAAGTCCATGGACCCTGATTTCAAATGGGACAAAGGTATGGAGATGACCGAAGTGTATTGCGGCACCTTCGCCGTTGACTTCACGCCAGCCGATGACGAGGAGTTTGGCTTCTATTTGTACGACAAGTTGGATCCAGAGAACGAGTTATCGGCCGTATCCGACATTGGATGCGAAGGCGACGCCGCGAAGTGTCCGGACGGCGATATCATTTCGGCGATGGATTCTTGCACGCGAGAGTACGAATGGAACGGCGCAAAGTCTCGCAACCGCTTCTACAAGGGCGACGAACTCTACACTTGGGGCTCCTGCGACTCCGTCTGCGCCGTCGAGCCTGCGAACTGCCCTTCTGATTTGGTCAGCGAGACTACGCTCTCGTCTCGTCTCGGTAACAGAGTCCAAATGCTTTCCGGCGAACAACAACAAAAACCTTCGTTTTTGCGCCCAGAATCCTTGAAGTACGGCACCTTGCTCTTCGCCTGCGCCGGCTTCGGCGCGCTCGCCGTTCGCAAGTACCGAGAATCGGCGGCAAACTCTGACTCTCTCTTGACGGAGAAATCCAAATCCTCGACATCCGCGGGGAGAAAGACGACGTACAACTCCATCGACGTCTAAACATTTAAGTTATAATAATTTCGTTTACTAAGAGAAGAGAGAGAGAGAGAGAGAGAGAGAGAGAGAGAGAGAGAGAGAGAGAGAGAGAGAGAGTCTTATTCGTAAACGCGTTTGTATATATATGTGATCAGTGTTTTACTATTACGCGTGTTCTCCAGCGGCGTAAAACATCTACTTATGCCTTCTTTAAATGCCCATTTTTCTCCTTTTACTTTTGTGTCTTTTGCGCTCAAAATCGTCAGAAACTCGACCGCAAAACACGAAAGAATTTATCTAAAGAAGAAGAAGACAAAGAAGAAGACGAAGAAGAAAAAGCGAAGAGAACGCTTACTTTTCTTGGCGAAATAAAGGGAGAGAGCAGAGTGGTCTCGTTCTTCTCGTTCTTCTCGTTCTCGTTCTCGTCGCGCGGAAGACGCGAAACGATGGCGTCTTCATCGAATGTAATTCCGGAGAAGAAAGTTGATTCTTCGGCGCAACATCATCATCATCATCACGCGAACAATAACAACAACAACAACAACAAGACGTCTTCTGATGTCGTTTCGTCCTCCTCCTCTCGACCGACGGATGCGTTCAGCGCGTTACTTCGAGATTTATGCGCGAGACCGCCGAAAAACAATACCAACGCGCATCACAGCAGCAACGAGCAGAGTTCTTCGAGATACAACAACAACACGAAGAACGCTAAGAGAAGGAGTTCGTCGTTGTTTTTGTTCTCGCAAAACAGCCGAGAATTGACCGGGGAATTGTTCGGCGTCGGTTTTGACGCCGCGAGCACGCGCGAGAATAAGTCGTTGAAGAAAAGTACCGTTTCCGTGGCGGCGAAGAAAACAAACGCGACGAGCGATAACGCCGGCAGGTTTTACGGAGTCGCGAATAACGACGAAGATGATTCCGAGAATTCTGACTCGAGCAGCGAAGATGAGAGCAGCTCCTCGGAGGAAGAGTATTCGGACGCCGACGGTGATGAGAAGAGCGACGGAGAAAATAGCGAGGACGAGAACGATGATGATAACGACGACGAGGAAGATTTCTTCCTGTACGGAGCGAGGAGTAAGAAGAAGAAAAGTTTACTCTTGTTTCGAGAGAAACGAGGGAACGCGTTGAGAGAATACGTCGAAGGCCAGGCACGGGAAGCGTCGACGAGTGCATTCGCGCAGTTTACCAACGATGCGCACGAGAGGATTGAAAAGTTAGCCGGAAGCGTTATTTTGAGAGAACGGTTAGCCGCGGTGGCGTGCGTGGACCAGTTGTGTTCGGTCGAGTTTGGCGAGGAGGTCGAGAAAGTTACCAGGTTTGCTCGGTATTTGAGGACAGCGGTGACAACGATGCGACAAGGACCGGAACCGGTTTTAGCGAGTGCGGCGAGTCAGGCGTTGGGGAGGTTGGTGGCGACCGGAGGCGCGGTGACCGCGGATATCGTGGAGGAGGAGGTGAACAGAGCGTTTAAATGGTTAAAAAATCCCGTACGGGAAGAGCGAAAACGGTTTGCCGCCGCGTTGACTTTGAGAGAGTTAGCCGCAAATGCGCCGACGGTGTTTAACGTGCACGTGCCGCATTTCATCAAAGCCGTGTGGCCGGCGTTGCACGATCCGAGTTTAGACGTTCGATTGGCCGGCGTGTTGGCGTTACGAGCGTGTTTGATGGTTATCGAGCAAAGAGAGACGAGATATCGCGTCCAATGGTATTATAAACTGTATGAAGAAGCGAGAAAAGGTTTAGAAGCTCCGTTGACTCCGGGGAATTCGACGACGACGCCGTCGAAATCTGGCGGCGGCGGTGGCTCTGCCAAGACGCCTCATAGCAGTAGCAGTAGAAAGACGCCCTCGGACAAGCACTCGCCGTCGGCAAAAAAAGTGCACACGAACGCGCAGTACAACGATCGTCCAGAAAAAATCCACGGTTCTTTACTCGCGCTCGGCGAACTGTTGCGTCACACGGGCGAGTTTATGCTTTCTAGATATAAAGAGGTTGCGGAAACGGTTTTGAAGTTTTATCGATCCAGACGTCTCATCGTGAGAAGGTCGGTGATTGATTTGATTCCAAAGTTAGCCGCGTTTTCACCGAGAAGGTTTGCAGATTCGTATTTACCGCTAGCGTGTGGGGTTTTGCTTACTTCTATTCGAGCGCAAGGCGAAAGAGATGCGGGTTTCCTAGCACTCGGTGATTTAGCGAAAGCGTTGGAACCGGCGATGCGCGCGGACGAACTCATGCGCGTGCGAAGGGCGAGAGAAGATAATAACATGACGAGCTCGAGCTACTACCCCACGCAAGGACAACACGTGCTTAGCGGTGGTGGTATTTCCAGTCATCGAGGCACGCCGCAGTTGATAGTAAATAGCAACAGTACGACCACTCCGAATGCTCACAACAGAGGATACGGCGGCGGCAGCGGAGGCGCGTCGCCTCTAGATAGATCTCGATCTGGGACGCCGGCGAACGGCTCAAATTACAGCAACCAACAACATCAAATGAACAATCAAAACTTGCTCGGTCCGCTCATGCAATCGCCCGTTCTGGCGACTCCAAACAACGACAACAACAACAACGCTTTAATTGGTGGATCAGGAGAAGTCAATAGTAACGGCCCGGGATGGCTTACGCCCGGTTCCGTCAGTACTCCCGATGGGTTCATGAACAATAATAACGGAGTTCAAACGCCAGGAGCATACGGCAACTACCGATCGCGATCGCCGAATACAGTTTCGCAGATTACCTCGGCCGATGGAAGGAGCGTTCGCGTGAACGACTATTCGGTCCAAGAAAATCGCATGTTTGAGAAACCTCTGGGAAGCGCGTTATTGCGTTACCTTCCGGAAATCTCTGCCGTCATGTACGATGTTTTCGGTGAAGGTTCTTTAAATTACGAAGAGCGTTTGGCGTCAAGGAAACGACGAAAGAGCATTAAGAAAGAAAACCGCGAAAAGAGGAAGAATAGGAGTAATAATAACGGCGAAGAGCTGGACGGCGATTTCGACGACGAAAACGGGGGGAATGGTCGCAACAAAATCGCAAAGAGGACGAAACGGCAAGGGTCGGCTAAAGATACGGAAAAAGACGAAGACGACGAGGAAGAAATTCGAAGAAAGCAAGAGCTAAAATTAGCGAACGAGAAGGTGCTTCGTTCGGGCGTCCGCGAGGCTCTGAGATGTTGCGGCGAAATGGCTGCCGCGCTTCAGGAATCTTGGAAACCGCACGTATTGAACGTCTTGCCGACAATGTTTGCTGTTGGTCTGTCCAAATCCTTAGTCTCTTCGTTGGAAACAATCACGGACGCGTTACCAGACTTGACTTCACAAATCCAAAGTCGCTTATTCGATGCCGTGTCCATGGCGACTAGGACGACGAACGCGGGTAGCGGCGAATTTGGGCATCATCATAACCTCCTCGGTTTTGAAGGCGCGATGTTTGAACATCCATCGTCTGATGCGACCAATGGTCAACGAAGAGTTTCGCGACGAACACTCGAGCTCGCATTACGCACCATGCGCTCGTTCCCGTTCGAGTCTCGATTGTTGCTAAAATTTGCGCGACGTAACGTCGTCCAACATTTAGATAACCCTTCCGTGGACGTGCGATTGGAAGCGGCGTTGACGTGCTGCCACTTGTTGGAGCTGAAGCAAATTTCGCAAAAGCCTTCTCCCTCTTCGTATCATCGACAAAATCAATACAGCGCTTCGAATCGAAACGCGTTGATGCTACTTAACGGTCAGTCCGACGCTAAACCGCAAGCGACGAGGGATGTCATCATGGAACGGTTGTTGCAACTGTCGGTGGCGGATTTAGACGCTAACTTTCGAGCGTCAGTTTTGAGGGCATTTGTGATTGGCTGTCGCGCGATTGATTCGTATTTGTCGCAAGCGCGGTCCTTGAGAGCATTATTCGTGGCTTTGAACGACGAAAATGTGGTAGTGAGAGCTCTGGCGATTGAGTTGATAGGCACGCGGCTTTCACCGAGAAACCCCGGGTATTGTTTGCCGGCGTTGAGAGCGTACTTGTTGCAGCTCTTGGCAGAACTCGAAAGGTCAACAGAATCTTCAGTCAGAGAAGAATCGGCAAAGTTAATCGCGACTCTCATTCGTGCATGTCCTCGATTATTCACGCCGCACATTTGCCCGGTGATTTTGAAAACATTGACGAGGATGTTGAGAGCGAAAGCGGAAGATTCGAAAAGTAGCGGCGCTGGGGTTGTTGACGATAAAAAGAAGGACGGTAAAGATGCCAAAAGCGGAAAGAAAGAAAAGGGCAAGAAAGGTGGCAACGGCAACGACTCGAATAATAACAACGGTAAAGACGAAAACGCGAACGACTCGAGCGATAAGTATTACGATTTCAACGACGACGACGCCTCCAATCGCAAGAACAAGAAGGAAAAGAAGCAGAGAGACGTCGGTAACATTACAAACGAAAGGCCAAATTTAGACGACGATGATACGTCCATGAAACATCTGAACGAAGACCCGATGAGTGCGCACGATCACACGAAAATCGGTAAAATGTCTACTTCGGATGCGATGGCAAAATCATCGGCGTCGGTCTTTGTGCGCACGGCGGTGAGCGGTCGAGAGAAAGCCGCCGCGATTGCCACCATCGGCGAACTCATGGAAGTTGGTGGACCGGCAACTAGGTTGCACGTGCCTGAGCTCCTCGTTTTGCTCATGCAAGCTTTGAAGTCAAACGCTACGCGTGATATTGCCGTGATCACTTTAGGTAAACTGGTAAAGCACTCCGGGTACGTCGTCGCTCCGTACGCCGATCACCCGCAGTTGCTTCCGTTACTTTTACGCATGGTAGCGACGGAGAAAGGCACAAAACGAGAAAACGTGTTGCGAACATTGGGTATTCTCGGCGCTTTAGACCCACACGCGCACAAAGAAAACGAAATCAAACTATACGGTCAAGGTTTACTCTCCGCGGCTGGCGTTCGAGGGGTGAAACAATCCGCGGTGGCCAAAGCGGTGACAAACAACCCTAAAGCAGTCGCGGTTGAAGCGAATGCGTACATCATGGGAGGTTTTGGTAAGAATGTGAATAAAATAAATTTAAAAACAGCTGGCGATGACAATTACCGCGACGACGACGATGACGACGACGAAAATTCGCACGACCTCTTACCGCTGATGAACTTAACCACGGCGAGCGACGATTTCTACCCGACGGTTGCCTTGAACGCGTTGTTAAGAGTATTGAGAGATAAATCCATGTCTAGTCATCGACACATGGTTGTTCGATCGGTCATGTTCATTTTTCACAATTCATTAGGGTTGAACTGTGTTTCATACCTACCGACCGTCCTTCCGGTTTTATTCGACGTCATGCGCACGTGCGACGACGCTTTGCGAGAGTTTATGCTCTCAGAGTTGGCGATTTTAGTAAGCGTGATTAAAGCGCACGTGAGGAGATTTTTACCGGAAATTTTAGAAATCATTCACACGTTCTGGGGCAATAACGCGCTTTTAAAATCGACGTTGTTGCTGTGCGAAGAGCTGTCCAGAGCGTTGAGAGATGAGTTTCGGTCGTATTTGCCGGAGTTGTTGCCGAGGATTGTCGCGGTGTTGGCGGACGCGGAGCGATCTGGGAGGTACGCGGCAGTGCCGTACGTCTTGAGAGCGTTGGAAACGTTCGGGAGTGGTGTGGATGAACACTTACACTTAGCATTACCGTCGATTGTTAGGTTGTTCAAACCGGGCGTAGCTCCGGTACCGTTTCAAGTGCGCCGAGCGGTCTTGGCTTCGTTATCCAGACTTTTACCTCGCATGCAGTGCGCGTCGTCCCAACACGCGAGTGCAATTATTGCTCCGCTAGCGCGCATTTTGGAAAGCGACGACGCTATTCTTCGAAAGTATGCCGTGGATGCGTTAATTGCTCTGGAAAAGCCGTTAGGAAATGAATACCGGCTGTTCCTTCCCTCGATTACTCGCGTCGCTCGCAGAGTGGGCCTGAAAGACAAACGTTTCGAAGCGATGCGCGAACGCATCGAATCGGGCGGGAAGTTTCCTGCGGCGTTCGGGGCGCTTTCGATCACCTCAAATGCGAGTATCTTTGGTAGCGAGGGTGTGCTCAGCCAAGAAGAATACGAAGAGTCGAACGCGTTTGATCCTCGATCGAATAGACCTCCGCCTCCGGTGCAACCACAAAAGCTCGTCGTCAACGAATTCGCGTTGCGCAAAGCGTGGGAATCGTCGCAAAGATCCACAAAAGAAGATTGGCTCGAGTGGATGCGTCAGTTATCGGTTGAATTGTTAAAATCTTCCCCGTCTCCGTCGCTGAGAGCGTGTGCGGACCTGGCGAACGTTCAACCTAACGTCGCTAGGGATTTGTTTTGCGAATCCTTCGTGAGTTGTTGGGCTGAGTTGTCCGTGGTGCACAGAGAGCAACTCGTGCGTTCGATGGAATCTGCGTTCACGTCACCGACGATACCTCCGGAAATTGTAGCGACTTTGCTCAACTTGTCCGAGTTTATGGAACGTGACGAGAAACCGATCCCGGTAGACGTGCGAACGTTGGGGGCCATCGCCGAGCGGTGTCGCGCGTACGCTAAAGCTTTGCATTACAAGGAGTTGGAGTTTACATCCATGCCAAACGAATGCGTCGAGGCGATTATTGCGATCAACAATCAGTTGCAATTGCCAGAAGCCGCTCTTGGGGTGTTAACGCATCTGAGGAATAAAAAATTGGAAGTGAACGTGAAAGAGTCGTGGTATGAAAAATTAGGGCAATGGGAATTCGCGTTGGAGGCGCATAAGAAGAAAGCGGATGAGTTGGACGCGCGAGCGGCGAGAGAGGCAGAAATTCTATATCAAAGAGAAGTTTCCTCCAGAAACCATCATCAGCAGTACTCGGGAGCAGCGCAAAGACCGCCATCGCCGTCTTTTTCGTACCATTACAATCGACAACTCATGTCCAAAGCCGATCGCATCGCGCGCGAGGAGGCGAGTTTAGGGCAAATGCGATGTTTAGCCGCTTTAGGTGAGTGGGAACGACTCATCGCGTTAGCTAAGAGAGAGTGGCCGACAAACGAAGGCGGTGCACCGCATTCCCACGCGAGCAAGATTGGTATCCAAGTAGGGGAAAACGGAGGGGACGCCATCTCCGAGAGAAAGATAAAAAAGCTCGTATCGGCAAAACACTCGGTTTTAAGGGATAAAGTTGCACCGTTAGCGGCTCGAGCGGCGTGGCATTTAGGCGATTGGAAATCGATGGAAAAGTACACTGTGCATTACTCGAGCTCGAAACGAGATCCCACGACCGGAAAGAACGGGTCTAGTGCGAACGGCTCCGGCGGCGATAAGAAAGGATCGGGTAATACCTTGGACGAGATGAACGGTAAGAAGAGCAAGCCGGATAATTCAACGCCGTATTCCGAAGTCAACGCGTTGATCACGCCCGGGGACGGGGATTTCTACCGCGCCGTTCTCGCCGTTCGTCGCGCAGACCCGATGGCGGCTTTAAGACACATCGACGCGTCTCGAGAGGCGCTCGGTCAAGAGCTCGTGTCGTTGGTTTCCGAATCGTATGATCGCTCATACGGCGGTGTTGTTCGCGCGCAGCAGCTCGCCGAGCTCGAGGAAGTTGTCGAATACGCTCAGTTACAAGCGATGGCGCAACACGACCCACGCGCGAAACACAGACAAGATGTCGTTCGTCAAATGTGGCGCGATCGCATCTACGGCGTTTCGAGAGACGTGGAAGTTTGGCAATCGCTCTTAGCCGTTCGAGCGCTAGTGCTCCCGATGAGCAAAGAAACAAACACGTGGTTAAAGTTCGCATCCATGAATCGTAAAGCCGGTCGTCAATCGCAAGCGAAGAGAACTTTGGTTAGACTTTTAGAATACGACCCGAGCGAGTTCTCCGCCGGTCAAGAAGGCTTCGGCGCTGGATCCGGTCGACCTTTGGTCATGTTTGCGTACTGCAAACACTTATGGGGCGTTAACTCGAGAGAAGAGGCATTTCAGCGTTTACAATCGCTCGCGAGCGAGTTATTTTCGGCGTCGTATCAGCGCGAGATGGAAGGTAGTCGATTAGCTAAAGACGACGCAAAGTTAGTCTCGAAGGCTTTTTTGAAACTCGGGCAGTGGCGATGGGAACTCGCCGAGGAAACGTTAGACGACGATACAATTTCCGACGTCTTGACTTCCTTTGGTACGGCTACAAAACATTCAAGACACTGGGCGAAAGCCTGGCACAACTGGGCTTTGTTCAACGCCACCGCGATGGAACACTACCAGCGTTTAGCCACGCAGCGATTAAATGTCAACGAAGAAAGAGACGCGCTCAAAGCCGCCGCAACGAGGCACGTCGCGCCAGCTATATCGGGTTTCTTTCGATCGATCGCATTGGGTGGCTCCACGCCGCGTGATATGGGTGGTGCTCTGCAAGATATTTTACGCCTGTTAACCTTATGGTTTAACTACGGCCATTTGCCGGAAGTCGAAGCCGCGTTGGTTGAAGGTTTCGGTCACGTTTCCATCAACACGTGGCTCGCAGTAATTCCCCAAATTGTTGCTCGAATTCACTCGAATTCACCACCTGTTCGACGATTAATTCATCGATTATTGGTTCGCGTTGGCCGTCAGCATCCCCAGGCGTTGTTGTATCCATTACTTGTCGCGTGTAAGTCGCAATCGACCACTCGACGCGTCTCCGCCACGGCGGTTCTAGACAACTTGCGGAATCATTCCGCGCTTTTAGTCGAGCAAGCGGAAGTAGTAAGTTTAGAGCTCATTCGCGTCGCGATTGTTTGGCACGAAGCGTGGCACGAAGCATTGGAAGAGGCGTCTCGTTTATACTTTGGCGAACAAAACGTGGATGGCATGTTTGCAGTTTTGGCGCCTCTGCATCACATTTTGGAACGCACCGGCGCGGAGACGTTGCAAGAGATGTCATTCGCGCAAGCTTACGGAAGAGAATTACGAGAGGCTCGTGAATACTGCGAGAAGTTCAAAGAGTCCGGCCGCGAGGAGGATTTGAATCAAGCTTGGGATTTATATTATCACGTGTTCAAACGAATCAACAAGCAACTGCCGACGTTGACAACTTTAGAGTTGAGATACGTCTCGCACCGGTTGTTGTCGGCGAGAGATTTAGAGTTGTCTTTACCCGGGAATTATATTCCTGGTGGCGAACTGGTAACAATCGCGTGGTTCGCGCCCACCATGCATGTCATCACTTCCAAACAACGCCCGCGACGTTTACAAATCCACGGCTCCGATGGGAAAGATTACGGTTACTTGTTAAAAGGTCACGAAGATTTACGCCAAGACGAACGCGTCATGCAGTTGTTCGGTTTAGTTAATCAATTGTTGAATAGCACGCCTTCGACATCGAGGAGAGATTTAGCGATTGCTCGATACGCCGTCGTCCCGTTATCTCCAAACTCTGGCCTCATTGGCTGGGTTCCGAATTGCGACACCATGCACGTTCTCATCCGAGAACACCGCGAGGCGCGCAAAATTCCTTTGAACTTGGAACATCGTTTAATGCTCGCCATGGCCCCGGATTACGACAATTTGCCGTTGGTGAATAAAGTTGAAGTCTTCCGACACGCGTTAGATAACACGCCTGGGAATGATTTAGCGCAAGTTTTATGGCTCAAATCGCACAGCTCCGAGCAATGGCTCGATCGTCGAACGACGTATACGAGATCCTTGGCCGTCATGTCCATGGTTGGCTACTTACTCGGTCTCGGTGATCGACACCCGAGTAACCTTATGATTGATAGATACTCCGGAAAAGTTTTGCATATCGATTTTGGCGATTGTTTTGAAGCGTCTATGCACCGAGAAAAGTTCCCAGAACGCGTGCCGTTTCGTTTAACTCGAATGTTGGTGAAAGCGATGGAAGTCTCCGGGATTGAAGGGAACTTCATCGGTACTTGTCAAAGAGTGATTACGGTGTTACGAAGCAATAAAGATTCCGTGTTGGCTATGTTAGAGGCGTTTGTTCACGACCCATTGATTAATTGGAGACTTTTGGCGAATCAAGCGACTGAGCAAAATGGATCCTCCGCGGAGCCTTCGTCCAACGCGAATTCTACGGCGAACAACAGCGGAAGCGTCACGCCGGCGGCTGGAACGAGTAGCGCGAAATCGAGTCCATTGGCGAGGCATACCATTTCTCGCGATGCCGAGGAACCATCATCAAATAATAACATTAATAACGATACTCTCGTCGCGGGAGACGGTTCCAGTGGTTCTGGCTCAGCAACCCCAGGTGGGTCTGATGTGCCTTCCGGTCAATCCTCTAGGGCGCCTTCGCGAACGCCGCCGCCCAAAACGCCAACCATTCCTGAAAACGAATCCTTCCACGCCGATTTGGACGAGAAGAGTAAAGCGGTTGGTGTCGACAGTCGAACAAATACCGCCGATTTTGGGCACAACTCTTCCTCTCGATTGGATTCTGGCTCCGACGATTTACCGAGAACTGGGCAAAAACCAGGCGCCGCGCCGATGTTTATGGACACGCCGAGCGGGCAAGTTCCGGTTTCCTCCTCCGTGATGGGCGCGACGGCGTTACACGCGCAATACGAAAACATGCGCGAGTTTGGCGGTGGTGGTGGAATGTCCGCTATGATTGGTACGGACATGAACATCCTCGGCGGTGTTGGCGATCCGACAAACGTTTCGGTCGATGAATCCGAACACGGCGACGCCAACGATCAAGACAGATCTGTCGGCGGTAACCACCAACAGCATCTCAATCACCACTCAACTTCCTACGCGCAGCGCGTTATGCATCAACAGCTCGGTGCCAGTGGCGATATACAACACCAAAATCAACACGCACAAAGCAGCGCTGCTGCTGCGGTTGCCGCCGTCGCCGCGGCCGCGGGGAATTACGGCAGTAGCATGTCCTCGTTCGAACCGGAAATTTTAAAGCGCGACGAACTCATCGACGCGTTGGACGGCATAAACGACAACGAGGATAATATGGTTTTGAACGATCGAGCGGTGAGTGTCATGCAACGAATGAACGATAAATTAACCGGGAAAGACGGTTTAATCGAAGCTGGTTCAGCGGTGGACGCTGGAGATTCAGTCGAACATCAAGTGCGACGGTTGATTGAAAAAGCGATGAATCACGAGAACTTGTGCACTTCTTACATCGGATGGTGCTCTTTCTGGTAGTTTTTATTAATAGTTTTTTTCCTGCATACTGTACCTGTTTGTTCTATTATATCGATCTATGCGCTACTATATCTTTTATGCTATAGCCCGTACGCTTGTCTGGCAGAATCGGACATTTGCGGCACAGAGGGCGGCGTCCACCCTCCTCCTCCTCCTCCTCCTCCGTCGAACGAATACTCGCCGCTCGCCGCGGCGCCGTTGCCGTATTTATCCCACGGTCTGTGCCCTTCAAAGCTCTCGTCGTCCGATGGTTTCATCGACCACGGTTTCTTCGTTCTCTCCTCGAAATCTTCGCTGACTGGCGGTAAAGCTACGTCCGGATTCGGCGGACGATCGTCGATGTCTTTAATCCCCGGCACCGGTTCGCCTTTCTCCACGAGTTCGATGACTTCTAAAAAGTTTTTCGGTCTCGGCGGTTCTTCTAAAACTCTTTGCTGCTGATTATGGTTACTCCCCATGTTTTTACGAACGTTTGCTGCCCGTTGTTGTTGTTGTTGTTGTTGTTGTTGCGACTTCATCGAGTTGATGTCGTCGTCGTCGTCGCCGCCGCCGAGTAATTCCATTTGGTGTCGCTTCTTCGCCTGAAAATAATCATCTAAATCCAAATCTTCGTTATTTTTATCACTGCTAAAACGATGATAATTATTAGTACTCTCTACCGCCTCCACGCGTTCGGCGACGTACCCTTTCTCGCCTAACCTCCGACTTGGCGACGACGCCTCCTCTTCCTCTCTCTTCGTCGTCTTCGCAAAATCCTCTCGCGCCAACTCCATCTCCCTCAAAACGCTCCTCCTCAACGCGTCCATCTCCTTCTTCGCCTCCTTCCTCTCCTCCTCCACAGTCTCCATCAATTTCTTCTTCGTTTCTCTCATTTTTTCCTCCGCTCGTTCCCTCTCCTCCATCACGTCTTCCCGTTGCGTCATCTTCGCCTTTTGCAACTCCTCTCTCATTTTTTCCTCCACGTTTTTCACCGACTGCAACACCGCGCTCTCCGTCGTCTCTTGCCGCTCACGTAATTTCTTCTCCAAGTCCGCGAGATTCTCCGAGAGTGACTTTGAAATCGCGTCCAGCATTTGCGTTTGTTTCTTCTTTTCCTCTTCTTCCTCTTTCTTCTTATTACTCTCCGTCGTCGTAAACAAAGAGCTTTTCATCACTCTCGGGTACACCCGCCATCCGAGCACCGCCAACGCTGCGGCGTACGCCACCACTTGCGTCCATCGCAAAGAAGAAGAAGAAGAATTCTGCTTCTGAATCATTCCGTACGGTAAAACTGGAGGATTATTATTAGGTAAAACGATAGGTTTCATCGAACCATCGTCATCGTTCGATGACGCTGTTCTCCGAAACGCTTCTTCAATCTCCGCTTCGCTCACGTTTTTGTTCCTTAAAAATTGTTTCTTTTCCTCCTCGGTGTACGATTTGGAATTTTTTATCGACGGGTGCTCGAGGAACGCGATCGCGTTTTCCAGTCCTGATCCTGACCCTTCGGGTGCTGATCCTTCTCGTTTTGTCATGCTCCTTTCGCGCTCTCTCTTTCTCGCTCTGCGTACTGTTCAATATCAGAACAACAACAAAAAGTCCGGAATGTGATGATGAATTCTTTCAACGAAAAGTCGAGAGAATTATGAATCCAATTCAATTCAAAAAGTAGAAGAATAAAGAAAGAACTTATTAAAAAGATCTCTTCTCCTCGAAATAGTCGTCTGGTGGTATTCTCTTCCTCTCTCTTATGTAAATGAAGCCAAACGATGTGTTCAAACAGAGTACTCAGAAGAGGACAAAAAGTCGAGAGAATCGACTGAGAATCCAATAATGCAATTCAGAAAGAAAGAAAGAAAGAAAGAAAGAAAATTATTTAGGGTTTTAAACAATTTTTTAGGGTTTAGAAATGCGTCCTTTTTTTCTCTCTTTCTTTCTTTCTTTCGTTCCTTTTCTTCGTCATTTCGCGCTTCCCCGTTTCTTAGAGAGGGTGCGTTGCACAGTTGACGGAGAAAGACAGAGAAGCGCACAAAGCGCAGAAGCAGTGTGTTTCGAGAGAGAAAGAGAGAGCACACTAAGAGAGAGATCTTTTTGCCCTTCTTTTTTCTTCTTTTTGCAGAAGAGAGCGCTTTATTCTATTCATAAAGAGTATATACATATCACAGAAATAATGTCTGCGTGTTATCATCAATCCGCCGCATCGATGGCGAGACAATCGAGCTTCGCGTCGTCCTCTTCGTGTCGCAGAGACGAGCATCGATCCGCATCGCGTATATCATCAAAAGCGACCCGGAGAAGAAGGAGACAAAAAGGAGACAACAGTACTGTCGTAACGAAGAACGCGTTAGTTCCCGGCCCGGACGATCAAAAAGTTCAAAGAAACCCAAGACCTGAATACATACCTGGGAAAATCCAAGACCCTCGGTACGTGCGAGTGTTCGACACGACGTTGCGAGACGGGGAACAATCACCCGGTGCAACCTTAACATCGACAGAAAAAGTTCAAATTGCGACGAATCTGGCAAAACTAGGCGTGGATATCATCGAGGCTGGGTTTCCGATTGCATCTCCGGACGATTTAGAAGCGGTGAGAAACATCGCGAAAGTCGTCGGGAACAAAGTGTACGAGGACGGGTACGTTCCCGTGATTTGCGGGTTGTCGAGAGCGAACGAGAAGGACATCGCGTGCGCGTGGGAAGGGGTGAGGCACGCGGTGAGGCCGAGGATTCACACGTTTATCGCGACGTCGCCGATTCACATGGAGTATAAGTTGAAGAAGACGCCGGACGAGGTGGTAAATATCGCGGTGAAAGCGGTCAAGTTTGCAAAGTCTTTAGGGTGCGAAGATATCGAGTTTAGTCCAGAGGACGCCGGGAGATCGGAACCGGAGTTTTTGTATCGCATACTGAAAGCCGTCGTCGACGCTGGGGCGACCACGATTAACATTCCCGATACGGTGGGTTTTTGTTTGCCGGACGAGTTTGGTCGTTTGATCAAAGGCATCAAAGAGAACGTCATCGACGTCAGCGCGAACGACGCGATCATTAGTACGCACTGCCAAAACGATTTGGGTTTGTCCACCGCAAACTCGTTGGCTGGAATCGCCAACGGCGCGAGACAAGTCGAGTGCACCATCAACGGCATCGGTGAGAGAGCCGGGAACGCGAGTTTGGAGGAAATCGCCATGTCCGTCATCATGCGAGGTCAAAACCAACTAAACGGAGCGTACATGGGCGTGAACCCGGTGTATATTTACCAAACCTCGAGAATGGTTTCGGAATACTCGGGTATGCTCGTCCAACCGCACAAAGCTATAGTCGGCGCGAACGCGTTTGCGCACGAATCCGGGATTCACCAAGACGGCATGTTGAAGAACAAATCGACGTATGAAATCATCGCGCCGGAAACCATCGGCGTCTTCCGAGACGAGGACGATTGCGGCGTCGTTATGGGTAAGCACTCCGGGAGACACGCGTTGAAATCGAAACTCGGACAGATGGGCGTCACGTTGGCGGACGATCAGTTGAACGCGTTTTTCGATCGGTTCAAGTTGGTCGCCGAGACGAAAACAGGAGGCGTCTCCGACGTCGAGTTGATGGCGTTGTTGAGAGACGAAATGGAGGTGGAGGAAGGGAAGGAGTTTTACACGTTGGTGGACGTCCAAGTCGTCTGCGGTACCATGGGTTTACCAACCGCCACGGTAAAGATCATCGATCAAGGCACGGAAAGAATCTCCGCGTGCGTCGGCACTGGGCCAGTCGACGCGGTGTACAAAGCCATCGACGCCGTCGTCGGCAAATCGGTCGAACTCACCGAATACAACGTCAAAGCGGTCACGCAAGGCATCGAATCCTTAGCCACGACGCGAGTGACGATCAAACCAACCGACGAATCCACCGCGGAAACGATCACGAACAACCAAACTGAAGCCAGAGGGACGAGGACGTTCACCGCGACTGGCGCGGATACCGATATCGTCGTCTCTTCGGCTCGAGCGTACTTATCCGCGTTGAATAGAATGTTATCCTCCAACGCGAAACTGACGACGACGAGCGGTAGTAGTAGTTTGATTGAATCCTCCTCCTCCGAAATCGTTTCTAGATGATGATTTGATACGTCATGTTGTTTTCGACAAGATAAATATAATAATAAGATAAAGAAGAGTAAGAGAAAGAGAGAGAGAGAGAGAGAGAAAGAGAGAAAGAAAGAGAGAGTCTCAAATGCGCGTTTACCGCTCGCGTCATATTTACGAGTGTTCCGCCATCGCGGCGGTACCGCGCGTATACGAATACATCTTTTTCATCCCTCTTCTGCTCTTGAAGCGTTTAAATAAAAACAGTCCTCGATGAAAGAAATATATTACTCTTTAATGCGCCGTTATTCTTTATAATCTCCTCTGAACATGAATCCGTATCTGTGAGTCACTCTTAAGTCGTCTTCGTCTTCGCTCGCGTCTTCGCCCAAATGTCTCACAAATTGGCGCTCGAATTGCGTTGGATTCCGTCCGCGAAGAACACCACTAAAACAATGTCCTCCGCGCGTGACCCTCCATTCAACCCTCCTCCATTCAACCCACGCCTAAACGACGCGCGTCACCCTCTTCCTCCACCTCTTTCCGGGGACTCCGACCGCCCCGTTTTCGTCCGTAAAGCCGTCCAGCGCCGAGCGATCGATTACACCGCGAACAACTTGATTCACTCCGCGGAACGCGCGTACACGAGCTCGTTAACGCGAAACCCGATCCAAGACTCTGTTCTCGTCAAACCGACGAGTGGGAGCATGCTCGATTTCCCACCGAGCTGGAAGTTACGACACGTGCCGGCGTCGAGCTTTGCGCTGAAGTTTGTTCACGTCAGTGCGAATAAGATCAAAACGCCGATAAATAAAGGTAAGTGGTTGTTGGATTTGACGTGTGACGACGACGACGCGATTAAGGCATTTTTACTCTCTCGCGAGTACGATTGTATGAGTATTCGTCGTTCTGTTGTTGTATTTTGCTTCTCCTTTGAAAAACACGCGCTGACTTTAGACGACTTTCTTTCTTTCGTAAACGAAACGACGCAAACAGTTATATTCATGCCGGATGGGCGAAGAGTGCTCACGTGTTCACAGAACGGTGAATTTACGCTCTGGAACGCGGCGAGTTTCAACTTTGAGACTATTTTACAGGCGCACAATAACCCAGTGAGAACGGCGACGGTATCGCACAGCGAAAACTGGCTCATTTCCGCGGACGATTCCGGGCAAATCAAGTATTGGCAGATGAATTTTAACAATTTGAAACAAACGCAAGCGCACGGGGAACCGATTCGAGGGGTGAGTTTTAGCCCGACGGATTTGAAATTCGCCACGTGCGCGGACGACGCGACGATTAAGATATTCGATTTTGCGAGAGCTAAAGCGGAGACGACGTTAAACGGCCACGGCGGGGACGTGAGGTGCGTGCAATGGCACGACACCAAGAGCGTGGTGGCGAGCGGCGGGGGGAGAGATTGCGTCGTCAAACTCTGGGATCCGCGAGTAGGCGCGCAGCGACAGTGCTTATCCACGCTACACATGCACAAAGGTTCGGTGAACTGTTTGAAATGGAACCAAAACGGCCACCACTTAGTCACTGGGTCGAAAGACGCCAGCTTAAAAGTCACCGATATTCGCACGCTCAAAACGATTTCCTCGCACGTCGGTCCGTACAGCAAAGACATCGCGTCCGTCACGTGGCATCCACACGACGAACGCGTTTTCACCTCCGGCGCAGGGGACGGTTCCATAGCCTACTGGATCGTCGGCGGTGGTTCCGACCCACAGGCGGAAGTCCGCGGCGCCCACGAAAGCCAAACCAACGACATCGCCTGGCATCCCGCCGGTCACTTGCTCGTCTCCGGAAGCAACGACAACGCCATCAAGTTTTGGTGCCGAAACAGACCAGGTGAGGTTGCTCGAGACACAACATCTCGAGTTACGAAAGCTGAATACGCGCAAGAAGCGATCGTCGCCGCGCACCAACAAGCCGTCGCGGCGACGCAAGGCGGCGGGATCGGGAGCACGCGAGGCGTCCTGGGCGAGACGACGACAGCCGGTATCGCGAGAGCCTCCGCCGTCCCAGGTTTGAGTCGCCCTCCGCCGCCGAGACCGCCTTCAGGTGGGCCACCCACCGGACAACCACCACCACCTCAAGCGCCTTCAGGCGCGCCTCCACCTCCTCGCCCGCCGCCGCCGAGAGCGCCGTCCGGACCCGCGCCGCCTTCTTCGACTTAGATAGATGAATAGACAGTAGCGTAGCAAAAGTTTAGCAGTCGTAAAAAGCAATACGAATAGTAGTAGCACCGCGATGATGACGATACCACTGCGCGCATTTGAGTATTCTTCGTTTTTGCACCACCCGGACAGTATTAGGACGTACGAATTCGCGTCTTCTCGCAAAAGTATTTGAATGTGGTTGAACGCGCGTCGCGTATCCTTCGTTTTCGTTGAAAGAAACGAATATTTTTCCTTCACTTTTTATACCAAAATGTCTGCCCTTCTTCTTAAAGCGTCTCCTTTCTCTCCTTCTGTTCTCGCTCTCGCGAAGACGAATACAAAACAATCATCTCTGAGATCTCAAAGAAAACAAAGTTCTTCTGATGTCGTTGTTTCAGCATCCGCGGGTGTTGGGCAAGGTACGTCTTCCTTCTCGCTTCCTTCTCTCGCGAGAGTACGATTACGATTTTTGTTCTGTTATCCATTCGCGGGAAAATCAATTAATCTCTCCAATGTAATCGTAATCCTGATGACAATGATCTCACCACGCCTCTCTCTCTTTCTCTCCGTGTGCAATTCAAATAAAAGGTGGATTAGAAATGGTCACCCTCAAATCCGGCACCTCAACCGCGGAGGTGTACTTATTCGGCGGCGTGGTCACCTCGTTTACCAAATCTGGACGAGACGTGCTTTACGTCAGACCAGATGCGAAATTCGATAAATCGAAACCGATATCCGGCGGCGTTCCGCACTGCTGGCCGCAATTCGGCCCGGGAGAGATCCAAGTGCACGGATTCGCCAGAAACGTGGACTGGACGTTAGTGTCGAGCGGAGAGGATACGATGACGATGAAGTTATTGCCGAATGAATACACGAAGGCGATGTGGGATAAAGAGTTTGAAGTCGTCGAGACGGTGTCGATTAAGGACGACGCTTTAACGTGCGAGTTGGCGGTGACGAATAAAGGGTCGGAGCCGTTTACGTTCACTGGGAGTTTTCACACGTACTTTGCGGCGGATATCGACGCGGTTCAAGTGAAAGGATTGGAAGGGTGCGAATCGTTCGATCGATTGAAGGAAGAAAGCGGGAAGGTTTCGGCGCCGATTACGTGCAAAGGGCCGATTGATTCTTTGTATAAGAACGCGCCGAGTCAAATCGATTTGGACGTCGGGGGTGGTAACTCGGTTAAGATTACCGGCGCCGGGTGGAAAGACGCGGTGGTTTGGACGCCGTGGACTGATATGGAAGCGTGCTACAAGGAGTTTGTCTGCGTCGAGAACGCGTCGTGCGCCGAGCCGGTGACGGTTGCCCCCGGAGCCACGTGGACGGCGAGCACCAAGTTGGAGTAAAATCTTTATATTCTTCTTCTTCTTCTCCGACGACGACGATTCAGACGACGATACTACTACCACTACTACTACTGATAATAATAATGTAAAAACGCGTTTTTATTGATTTTATATACACTCTTGCAAGATAGAATTGAACTTTTACTCACAAACGTCTAAAAATACCCTTCCGGGTTGTTGAAAACCTTCGCGTCGTGCGCCTTCTTAAAATCCGCGCGGACAAACGTCGTCGTTTGTTCGCCATCGTCGCACAACAAGTTTCGGTCTAACCTTGGGTTAAACGGTGGTTGCAACACCGCTTTCTCCCCGTCGGACATCCCGTCCGTGGTTCCTTTTGGCCACTCCGGCAAGTACGATCGACCGTACGCCATATTCGCCGGCGCGAATCTATACAACACCGCTCTTCTCTTCCCGTCTCTCCCTTCACCAGTCCACGGAATGGTCCCGTGCGTGCACGCCTCCGTGAACAACAAAACGTCCCCTTTTTCAATCTCTGGATTTCTCACGCTTTCCGTTTGCTTCAACATCTTCATCACGTCCGGCGGTACCGGCACGTTACTCTTGTGCGATCCCGGCAAGACCGCGTACCCGCCTTCTCCGGTCTTGGTCGTCGTCAACGCCACGCTCGCCGCTAACAAGTGACAATACGGCCTTCCATTCACAAACTCGTACGCCAAACCTTGTATCCAACTCCCGTCTTGGTTCAACCTCCCGCCGTGAAAATCAAACCCATCGCAGTTTCGTTTCTGTTGAATCAAAAGCGGTAAATGGTCCATCCGGTACCCTTCGCCGCACAAGGCGATGTAATACGGCACTAACTTTGGATGCGTCAACATCTTCCGGAATAACTCGTTCTCGCCTTTCGGCCAGGCCAGCATCCCGCCTAAATCTTGCCTCCCGGTTGTTCCGTCGCCGGCGAGTGGCATTCCTTTTTTCCCTCCTAAGCGTAACTGGCCTTTCCGCTCGACCATCTCCGGTTCGTGTTTGTCCACCACTTGGTTCATCCGCTCAATCTCAGCCTCGGAAAAGACATTCTTGACGACAATAAACCCGCTCAAATCGAACGCGAATAATTCTTCCTCGGTAAGTTTATGGCCCATAGCTCGTCCGAGTAAGGTTTCGTGGACGTGTCGTCTTTGTCCTTTCCTCCAAGGAGGAGAGGAAGTGTTGCGGAGAGTACACGGATGAGATTTCAATTGATTTTCCCCTAAAGCGGACGAGACACGAGCGGAGGATACAGACGTAAACGGAGCGCTCAGAGAAGAATGCGTCGAAGTTCGTACAAATGTGGAATGTAAGCTCAACGTGCGCATCACTTGGCGACTCCCACGGTGCATATATAATGATATGTGTGTTTATATGCGCGCAGGTTTACGAATAAGAATGGAGAGAAAAGTGAGTACGTCACCAGTTTTGTCCACGTGGCAGTCCAATCGAAAAAGGAAGAAAAATACGAGAGCGCGGTTCATTCGTAATCGATCGGAAAGGTATTGTTTGCTGTAATTATATCGTGTATACACTCGTGTTCGTGCACAGCATCAGATTCCTCGTAGTTTAAGCGAAGAAGAGAGGAAACTGCGCTTTTGGTCTCGACTTTGAGAAGGCGGAGGAGACGAGCGAAGACGTTCGTCCGAAGCGCTTCAAAAGCGAGCTATTTTTAGTTTGAAGCGAAAGCCAAAACGCGAAGAAGTCTTTTCGAGGAGTGACTTTCAAAACGTCTTCTCTTCGAACCGATGATTGAATACGCTCGCTTGTGCGAATGGTTCGTGGAAGTTTGGGAGGAAAGAGAGCGCCAGGAGCGGTGTTTGGAGAAGCGCAAACGGTTGGAGATTTTGCGGAGGAAAATGCTCGAGACGAAAGCGAGGATGGATCGAGACCGCGAGAGGTTTTCTTCTTTGTTTTCTTCTTCGTCTTCTTCATCTTCTTCGTAACAACACAACGACGACTTTTGCGACGCTTCTTTTATGCGCTATTATTATTATTATTATTATACTCAAATTAATCCATGCGGCCTTTCACCGATTTCACTTCCACTCCGTCTTTCGTGATCACGTACACGGTCCCTCCCCAGCCGCTCAAACAATCCCGCCCACTCCCACTCAACAAACACTGACTAATAACCTCAAACAACTCCTCGGGTTCTAAATTTTCCTTATACATCGATTCGCACACGCCAAACAAACTCTCGCTATTATTCCCCGCCACGACGAAGTTCTCCGTCGGCGCCGCCGCGCCAATCAGATCCATCCCGGTTATATACGGCTTCGACGCTTTATCTAACCCCGCGATCACCGGTTCCACGTAATACGGACCGAACCGTTTCTCGTATAACGTCGTCGACACCACCGAGGCAAACGTTTTCGGTTCCATGACTCTGTTTTCTCGAAGTTCGTAGAGTTTATGTTTAAACTCGAACGTCGCTTTGAGCGTGTGCATATCCGAGGCGAGACCGGACATTGCAAGGAACAGTCTGGGGTGGATCTGGAAAATCTTTTGGAAGTCAATAGCGGTGGTTTGTTGTTGGTTTATCCCGAGGCGGTTGTCCGAGGCGATGGCGACGCATTCGTGGCCGCACATCGCTTTATATGTGAGAAGAATAATAAGAGTAAGAGCGTTTAAGAGACGCATCTCGGTGAGTAAACAGAGAGCGCTTTTGTTGGGGAAAACGACGAGATCGGAAACGGATTTTGAAAGAAGTTTATTACGATGGTTATACACGCGTGAGGACGAAAGAAAAAAGCATATAAATTCATACCGATGATCGCGGCGCCGTTGTAGCTCATCACGCTCATGATGAAAGAGTGTGTTACGAGTGTGTTTGTTCAATCAAAGCGTTCGTTTGTTGTTCGTTGAAGTGAAGATTTTCGTTACATTTTGCTTCAGTAAAAATGAATCGATTGTACGTCTTAAAGGCGTTCGAGAGGACGAGGAAAAGCGCTTTAAGAGTCTCGTCGTCTGTAGTACCGTCGAGTAGTACGAGTGGTAGGTTTTGGTCGAGATCGAACGCGTTTTCATCGTCATTCTTACGAGAACAAGAACATAAACTTTCGAGAGCGAATGGAAAAGAACAGACGAGCGTCGCGGGGGAAACGGAACGAAGTTTACGAAGGAAAGAGGAACCGCAAAACAAATTCCTGGAATCCCTCCGACGAGAAACGGTGGAGAACTTAGAAGAACACCACGTTTCCGACGATGCAAAGGAGGAGGAGGACTTTAAACCGCCGACGAGAGCGTTCAGTCTGAGAGAGAAAACGTTTCGAGAGAAACGGGGAGAACTTAATATGCTGCCGAAAGAAATCAACGGACCGAGAGGTTTAGAACCGACGCGGTTCAAAGATTGGGAAGTTGGAGGGAGGTGCACTGATTTTTAGTAGACGGGCTATAGTTCTTCTTCTGTTTGAGTCAAAGAGGGTGATGCTTTTGGATGATTCTCTCTGGGAACGAACTTTAGCCGAGTAAGCGGCTCGACGTCGACGACACAGTTGTTCGTCGCCTTTGCGGGATTTATTAGCGGCGCATCCGCGGAGACTGTTCGATAGGATTCAAAAAGACGCGAAAGAGGTGACTTTGAAAGAGGCGCGAGCGTTAGGGGCGGACGAGCGGTCGTTTGTTTCGTTGAAAGATTTGATCGAGCACTTCGCGACGTCGACGGTTTTACAGAGAAAGACTGGATCATCATCGCCGGTAGGATGGAAAGGCGTGTATAGGAAACCCTTCCGTCGTACACTCGCCGGCGCGCTCCTCAATCCTACGCCTTTCAAATATAGATTGTGTATTTAATGTAAACGTGTATAACAGAGTATTCTCACAACACATCCGTATATATTCTATGTGTGCTCCTTCTCTGTGTCGTCGATTGACTTCTCAAACCTTAAACCCTACGAATACGTCACGCCTCCGTTCGAAAACCTCTCGTCTCTGTCCCTTCAAAAGAACGATGCGTCGCGGTGTGCTCGACGTCTTTTCGCGACAAAGAGGACAAAGACGTACTGTTTTTCCTCTTTGTCTCGTCCACGATCACATCGGAAAGGTTCTTCTCGCTCCAACGAACGCGTTCTCATCCTCTCTCGCCGCTTCTCGCGCGTGTCCTTTCCACGTTGGGGAAAACGCGTGTAAAAATACCGTTAGAGGAGATGCATCGTCTCCGTCGCTTTTCTCGAGCGGGAAAAGGCTAGATTCGAGATGTGTGGGACGGTCCTCGCACCGTTCGTCCTCCTCCTCGTCCTCCTCTCCTTTTTTTGGAAAATGGGGCGGCCACGACGACGGGAAGAAGAGTAAAAGTGCGTACATCCTCTCGAGCGAAAGCATGCTTTTGGATCACCCGAACGTGAACGTTCTGACGAACATGGACGTGCCGGCGACTGGTGGAGGCTCTGGGACAGGAAACGGAGGGTTCCTCGGTGGCGGCTCAGGTGGGGGTGGCAACGTGTCAAACTCCGGGTCGAACAGTAACAATAACAACGATTTTTTCGACGGGATTCCGAGAGATGTCGCCGACTTGTACACCCCGAGGGAGATGGTGAAAATACTGCAAGAGAAAGTCATCGGACAAGATCACGCGAAGAAAATCTTATCCGTGGCGGTGTATAACCACTATAAAAGGATCGGAGCTATGCGGATGATGAGACGCGCGAGTGGTGGAGGAGGAGGAGAGAGGAGTTTAAAGGAGGAGGAGATTCAGACGACGACGACTTCGTCGACGACGACTCGCGTGCACAATAACTTCTCGTCGTCGTCGTCGAGCGATTTTGAACAACACGGCGGTGGTTTTGGAGGAGACGGAGGAGGAGGACAAGGATCAGGAGGAGGTCGAAAGACGGAGATGAACGAGTACGTGAGCATGCGACCGTACGCGCATCCGGCGTCGGTGAAGATTTTTCCGAGCGATCAGCAAGGGAGTAAGGATACCGGTTTTTTTGGCGAACAGTCGCAGCGGGAACGCGGGGGACAAAGCGTTTGGGACAAAGAGGAAGACTTTGAAACGCGCGATTCTTCTTCTTCTGACGACGACGACGAATCGCTCATTGAGTTGGAGAAATCGAACGTTCTCTTGTTTGGCCCGACTGGGTGCGGGAAAACGTTGATTATTAAAACTTTAGGCGACATCTGTAAAGTTCCAGTCGTCACCTGCGACGCGACGACGTTGACCCAAGCCGGGTACGTCGGCGAAGACGTCGAATCTGTGTTGCACAAGTTATTACGCGCGGCAAATTACGACGTCCAATTAGCTGAACGAGGCATAGTCTACGTGGATGAAATCGACAAGTTATCTCGCAAATCCGAAAACGTCTCCATCACTCGAGACGTCTCCGGCGAAGGCGTGCAACAAGCTTTATTGAAAATGGTCGAAGGAACCGTCGTGAACGTTCCGGAAAGAGGCGGTAGGAAACACCCACGAGGTGAAGTCGTCGCCATGGATACCAAAAACATTCTCTTTATCGTCGGCGGTGCGTTCGTCGGTTTAGAGAAACACGTGAAAGGACGGATCGAAAAGAAGACGAGCATCGGGTTTGGCGCGCAGGTCAAAAGCAGCAGCGGAGGAGGAGACGGCGACGCTAAGCACGAGGAGAAGAACAAAACGGCGAAGAAGAACGGGGGCGACCAGGGGCCACAGATGAAGAAATCCGGCATCTTAGCCGGCATTTCCGAACGCGACGATAACCTCTTAGCCGCGCACTGCGAACCCGCGGATTTCGTCTCCTACGGCTTGATCCCGGAATTTGTCGGCCGGTTCCCGATCGTCGCCCCTCTGAAAACCTTGCGCGAAAACGACCTCCGAAGAGTGCTCACGGAACCCAAAAACGCGCTCACGAAACAATTCGCGAGACTTTTCCGCGCGCACGACGTCAAACTCGACGTCACTTCTTGCGGCGCCAACGAAATCGCCCGCTGGGCGTCCATGCGAGGCACCGGCGCTCGCGGTTTGCGAACGATCATGGAACGCCTCTTAGCCGACGCGATGTTTGAAGTCCCGTCGGACCCGACGATTAAAACCGTCCGTTTGACGGAAAAAAGCGTTCGAGAAGCGCTCACGAAACGAGAGAGCGAGGGCGTCTTGATCAGCGGCGCCGAGATGATTCGAACCTCCCTCTCCTCATCCTTCTCCTCTTCCTCTTCCGAAAATAAGGACGACGTTTCAGAAAGCGAAGAGAACGACGAAGCCTCCTCCGGATAACATAACGACGTCGATATGAAAAGAAGCCGACGACGAGAAAAGAGAGAGAAAAAATGGAAGAGTGAGAGAGAAAAGCGCTCGCTTTACGGAGAACACGCGGAGCGGGATTAATAAAAGAGTGCAGACAACGTACAGTATATATACACGTATATATAAAACTACCAAAGTAAGCAATGTTGTAAATGTTTTGTTGTATAAGAATATTGTCCAAAAAGTTATCATTACAGATAAGAGTGACTCTCAGAGCGCTTCTTTAGTGGTTCCGCTTTAGTTAAGTGACTCCTTGACATCTGAGACCCTAAATCATACTCTTCGATCTCCCTCTGGACTTTGAGAATTTCATCACTCTTACTCCTACTCCTCGCGGACGGAAAATTCCAATCGTTCGCGTCGAAAAGAGCAGTCGCAGTACTGAAGCGGTGTCAAACTCGTTTTTCTCTCTTTCCTAAAAGCGATACATATAACAGAGTGAAGTTCTTCTTTGTCTTCTTCTTCTTTGTGTCTTCTTCCGGGAAAAATCATCGTCCATTTTGCGGCTGGTTGGAGGTCTTTGCGAGAGACAAAGAAGCGCGAGTTCAGACGTCAAAGAAGGCGAGAGACGCGGTTCAAGAGAGACAACACGAAGTAAACGACGTGAAGACGTTGAAAATTGAGCACAAAAATGCCTCTGTACGACTTGGTGTTACAGGTGAAAGCGAGAGTCCCGAAGCGCGAAGTCTTCGAGTTACTCAAGCGAACGTCCTTGAAAATTTTAGACTCGGACGGGGTGTTGATGGACGTGAAATCTTTCGGGCACCAAACGTTAGCGTACGTGTATAAGAAACCGAACGAGAGGCACCACGAGGTACAAATGTCGCAGATGACGTTCGCGTCGGCGCCGAACGTTTTGCCGGAGATATCGCACGCGCTGAGGGTGGACGAGAAAGTCGTTCGGTGGATGGTGTTGAAGAGGAAGAGGAAGATGGAGCCGCTGATTAAGTACAAGGCGTGGACGGAAGAGCAAAGGGCGGCGATGATTGAAAGCAGCAGGGAGAGCGAGAGTAGCCGCGACAGGGGGCGAGAGAGCGGCGGCGGAGGAGGAGGACGGCGGCGGTTTTAGGCGCGCGATCATTTGTATAGGTGAGCGTCGTTTTCGTTTGCGTTTCGTTTCATCGATCGTCTTCTTCGTCGTTGATGAATGTATGCGAGTGAGGATCAAAATATTAGTTATCCCTGTCCAAGTGCGTTTTGATAGGCTGCACGGTGACGATTAACGTATTAGCTCTATCTGACGCATCATCGTCGTCTTTTTACGTATTCGCGGTGACGAAATTGACTTCATTCGGATTCCCTCCGATGTTTTTTTATATTGATTAGAAGAACGCGTGAGCGATGAAACGTCAAACGCCCGAGCGATGTTCTTTTCGAGCGCGAAAAACGCGTGTTTTTGCGTTCTCTCTTCTTCTGCGCATCGTATATGCGCGGGACGCAGGACGCGCACACTCGACAGAAGAAGTGCTACTACCATTACCACCACCACCACCACCACCACAACTACTCCGATGATGAAGACGAAGAGGGCGTTTCTCAGAAACTCCATTCGCGGTGCCCGAACCTTAGTGTTTTCCCCGCCGGATTCGTCCGGACTGCCGGGTTGAGAGCAATTGCAGGCATTTTTATGCTTCCTTGGATGTCTTAGGAGAATTTTGTTGTCGTCGGTGGCGGTAGCGGTGGTATTGCGGTATTCGTTTTGCTGTTTGTTTGCGTTTTTGCGTTTTTGCGCGCGTGTGTGTGTATTCGTTTTTCGCTCACCGTTTTGTTTCTTCTCTCTTCTTCTTTATCTTCATCATCAACGACAACAACAACAATGCAGCGAGCGAGCGAGATTTCTCCTTTCGTCGACCAAAGAAGCTTTCGCTTGTACACTAGTAGTAGAAAAAATGTAGAGATAGACATCATATCACAAATAGCAGCACGTAATGGAACGAACGATTATACATATAATAGAGATTCATCATTATTGATTTCTATGTACCAAAGTATCGATACACACATATATATATGACTTGATTATTTACTTTACCACGCGACTTCCTCTCCGGCGTAATCATAAAACTTACCGCTATCCTTCAAAGTCACGTCCTTCAACACCTCCAACATTCTTCCCGCACTATACTCCGGCGTAAACAACTTTCCTTCCGGCACGTTCTTCTTAAACGGCGTGGATAACTCGGTATCCACCGTCCCCGGATGCAAAAGCACCATCGCGATGGGATTCTTCTTCCTCGAAAATTCCACGTGCGCGGTTTGCGTCATTTGATTCAAAGCAGTCTTCCCGCCTCTGTACGAGTACCACCCGCCTAACTTGTTATCGCTAATCGAAGACACTCGCGCGCTCAAACTCGCAATCACCGGTACCGGTTTCCCCTCGTCGTTTTCCTCCGCAGTCTTCAACATCAACTTTGAAAAGTGCTTCGTCATCAACATCGGACCGATAGCGTTCGTTCGGTACGACAAGACGCACGCCTCGGGATCGAAGCGTAAAATGCTCGTCTCCGGAACCATCTTCCGATCTGGCAAGTGTAACACCGCCGCCGTGTTTATCACGCAATCTAACCGCCCGTATTTCTCCGATACCAGTTTCGCCGCCGCTTCGATCGTCTTCTCGTCTAAAACGTCTATCCGTAAAATCTCCAAGCGTTCGGTGCCGAATTTCTCTCGTAACTCGTGCAAATCCTTCGCCTCGTCTGGGTTTCGGCACGTCGCGATGACCGTCCCGTTCGTTCGTTTATCTCCGACGATACTTTCGTTGTTCGTTTCCAGCAAATGCTTCGCGAATGCCAAACCTATGCCTCGGTTGGAACCGTTTATTAGAGAGACGTGGTGACGATGGTTTTCCCCGCTCGCTGCTGCTGACGACGACGCGAAACTCCGGACAGCGCTCATTTTGCGCTGATAATCATCGCGAGCACTATTACTACTAAATGTCCTGTTGCAACTGTTGTTTTTCCCAAAACTCGTCGTCCTTTTCAAACGGTGATGATGTTTGCGCTGCCGATTCTCAACCACATGCCGGAACGACGACGACGCGCTGAACGTTTTCTCGCCGCGAGAAGATGAAGCAGAAGCGAGCGCGTGCATTCGCATCGTATCAGAAAAAGAAGAGGAAAAAGAGGACGGAAAAACTTCACTTCGTGAAACGCGAATCAAAGTTTGCGAAACCGTCGTTCGCATCGCAACCGTCGAGGATAGTTTCCGGATGAGATATAATGAGGAGATTTTGAGCACCTTGGCGACGTCACGACTCGACTTCGGCTTTACGAACGCTCGCAAGCAATCATCACATTCGTACTTTAGTGCTGCGTATATATACAAACGTGACGATTTAATAATACGTAACAACAATAAACTATCGCTTTGTTCTTCTTTCATCTCTCTCTTTTTCTCGTGTTGTGTGCTGAAAACATTACCGCGGCGATACGCGTACGTACGCACGCGAGAGTCTCTCCGGAGAGACGAGAGCGCTCGCGTCGCGACATCCACCGAAACACACACTCATTCTTAAAGCGCGGCTCATGGTGTGTCCGAGGAAACATAATGAACGCAATGTGTCTCTCTCGTTCTTTCTTAATTCTTTCTCTTTACTTCTTCGCGGAGAGTTCGTACTCCTCGGGCGTTTTCGTCTTCATCTGCAACGCGTGCAACCCTTTCTCGTTGAATTCCTCCTCCAACAATTGGTACACTTTCCGTTGCCTTTTCACTTGATTCAAACCTTCAAACATTTCCGAAACGATCTCGACGTTAAAGTGCGTTTCCGCGGACGCGTCGCCGGATGGGTTCCCGCTGTGTCCGGCGTGCTGCCAAGACTCGTCGACGATTTCGAGAACGGATGGTTTCAACGCGTCGGAGATTTTTTTCCGCATCGAATTCGCGAGCGGGCGGCCGACGTTCATCGGGGCGCCCTTCGTTTCCGCGCACCCGTTCCCGTCCGGAGCGATGTTTCTTGGTGTCGTTTTGATTTTTTGACGCGCGTTTCTTACTCTCGTTTGATGAAGGTGTTTCGTGGTGGAGGACGAGGAAAGAGAAGCACTTTGAGAGGCGAACATTTGAGTCAAAAGTGTGAGGATTTTACGCGCGCGATGACGATTTTAATGTGTAGTAGTATTAAAACGCTTCTTCACGCGTATCATCACCATCATCGCGGGATCGCGCCGTTTTTGGGTGTTTTTTTACTGACGACGACGAGGGGACTACTAGGAGAAAGCGGCGAAAAACCTTTCTCCGAGACGTTCTCCCGTTCCGTCTCTCTCTCTTTCTCTCTCTTTTCGTCAGAGCCTGGACGTCACCATCGTTTTCGTCGAAACGAGCATTCATTTCGTGTACACTTTGCACAAGTGGTCGAGACAGTGGTCCAAATCGTCCGCTTGCGCCAAATCGCACGTTTGTTTGCACTTCATCGCCGCTTGCATCGCCGCGTGGTGTAACTTCAACACCTCCAAGTACTCCTCCTCGGTTTTAATCTCCGCTCTTTTCACTCGCTGACACAACATGTACTCGCTCACAGTTTGGATGATATTCTTGCAGTGCTCTTCCTTCGTCACGATCCACCTGGTCACTTGATTCATCGCGAGCAAACTCGTCCCTGCTTCCGGGTGTAACTCCCCGGCTTGCGCCATCGCCTTCCTCACCGTCGCCGCGTCTTGTCGCAACTTGGCGCATATCATCGGATCGTCGAATATCCCGCACGGGACTTGGCAGTGCCCGCCTCTCAGGCGTAACACCAAGTGTAACGTGGACTCTTTTTGAATGTTATAATCCGCCAAAGTGCGTCCGTCTTCTAACTGTTTCCCGGCGAAGATCAACCGCTGCTGGTCAGGAGGGATGCCTTCCTTGTCTTGGATTTTCGCCTTGACGTTGTCGATGGTGTCCGAGGATTCCACTTCCAAGGTGATCGTTTTGCCCGTCACTTTTTATAAAGAACATCGTGATTTTGTTGTCAGTGGTGCACGCAGAAACGAAAAGAGAGTCGATAAACACGCGTTAAACGCACACGAAACATTTACTCCGAATGTGAGATCTCGAACACAACTTCTCTCTCACTCCTTTACAAAGAAACGACAGAGAGAGAGCGCCAAAACGAGCGAAACGAAAGAGAGAGAAGACAGAGACATTACTCCTACGAGTACTCACGGGTTTTCACGAAGATTTGCATGATGAGTATGTGTGTTTATGTGTGTGTTTGTGTGTCACAAAATGGAGAAAAATTCGATTTCCAATTTGCTCCATTCTTAGGGGAAAATGCACCCGCACGCGATATCATCGCGTCGCGCGTGCGATGGGACCTTAAAAGCGTCTCTCTCTCGTCCCGCTCGAAGAAAACAAAGAGTGAATGTTTTTTCTGGCGCTCTTTTCTCTCGCATTCGAAAAAAGATGACGATATTGAGCGCAGAAGTGAACGATGCAAAAGCACGCACCGGGAACGGAATTGGAACGAATTCGATGAAGAACAAGCGGAAAGAGTTCACGCAGAAAGACGTCTCGAAACGCCTGAAACGATTGAGAGAGGATTTGAAAAACACGAACAACGCAACAGCGACCATTCCCAGCGAAACAACCGTCGGGACTCGGTTTTCGGAGGTACTATTTAAAAGCAAATTCGTTCTTAAATCTCTCTTGAATTCTCTTCGTTTGTGTCTCTTGTCTCTCTTTGGGTTCGCGCTGACATCGATTGAATATTCCTTCGTATGACATCACACCATCTCGTGAAACAGGCGGCGCGGTACATGTCGAACACCATTACCAACACCAACATTGATTCTTCTTCGAATAACGCCGAAATAGACGAAATAGCGAACGAATGTTGGTTCGCCTACCAAGCGGTTGTCGAGAACGCTCGATGCGTCGACGCGCTTCCGATTCGCTCGTGGAATGCCATTTTGAACGCGGTTTCGATGCACACGTCGAAGGCGACGGCGAGAGATCGTGCGAGACAAGCGTGGCAGTATTTGCGGACGAATCGAGTGGCGGTGAGGCCGGATAAGTTTACCGCGCAAGCGTTGGTGAACGGATTGTGTAAGGAGGTTTTGGACGTGAGAGAGACGATTGGAGTTTTGAGAGAGTTAGTGGAGAGAGGAGCGGAGGTGACGTCGTATCAAATCAACGGCGTTCTGAAGAGGTGTTTCAAAGAGGCGACGGAGAGAAGGAATAGGGAAGAGGAAGAGAGAGGAGGAGAGGATAACGAGAAGGAGAAGAAGAAGAAGAAGAAGAATGGGAACAGGAGTAGCTTTACGAGCGACGCGGTATACCAGGATATCATCGACGCCACCGATTTAGCCTGGGACGCGGGAAGAGGCACGCACAACGTGCACACGTTGATGACGTATTTGAGAGCGTTAAAGATGTGCGGCGCGAGCGCGGAGACGGTTTTGGACGTTTTCGAACGGGCGTGCGGCGTGAAAGAAGGTGGCAGCGCTGGTGAAGAGCGCATCAAACCAGACGACGATATTTTAATCCTCGCCATGCAAATAAAAGCGAACGACGACGACTCGACCATGGAGGATAAAATTACCTACTTTGAAACGTTGTCTGAGAACCTTGCCGCTAAAATGCCGAGCAGAGCGCAAAACGCCGTCTTATTAGCCTGCTTGAGAACTGGCGATTATAAATCCGCGGAAAAGATTTGGGAGCGCATGAACGATGAAAAGAACGCTTTGTACAAACCGCCGGACGCGTTCGCGACGAGCGTGGTCACGTCCATCATGCGCAAACGAGAAGAGATGCAACAATCGTCGTCGTCGTCGTCAACGTCGACATCTTCTTCGGAAAACGCTAGGATGGCAGGAGCAGCGGACGAAGACGACGCATCTGCATCTGTATCTGCATCTGCTGCTGCTAGTGGTGGTGGCATTCGGAACACAGCCATGGAAGCGTTCACCGATCACGTCATGCGTCGAGCGACAAAAAGCAACACGCCTAGCCGAGACGAAAGCGACGACGATCAAGACGTCGCCATTAACCTCACCGCAAATGTTTTGAAAGTCTTGCGAGATGAAATTGAAGACGCGTCGCTCTTCAAGAGACAAATTTCTTCCCCGTCGAAAGTTTATGAAATTCGAGAAAGAGCGGTGGCGGATGCGAAATCAATCGCAGACATAGCGAACGCTTTTTTAGACGTGCCAAAGTACGACGATCAAGTGACCAACGCGGTTTTACAAGTGTGCGCGGAGGCGAGGTTCGTGAAGGAGGCGAAAAGAATCGTCGAGGAGTACTTTGCCATGCTCGACAACAAAGAGAGATTCAGGAAGAACAACAGGCAGTATTACAACTACGAACAAGAGATGGTGCCGAACGTTTTTAAATCCATGCAATACAACCGCTACGTTCGCGAGGAAGAAAAAATCGCAGAATCGGACATTTTAGAGTATTTCATGGAAACGAGCGAGATGGTTCCAGTCACCAGGAAATTCATCGAGTCCGCGTGCAAAGCTTGCCGCGATCGGAAATACCCGGACGCGTTGTTGAAAATCTATTACATCGGACGCGATACGTACGACCACGCGCCGAGGAGACAGACTATTGATATCGCGTTGTCGGCGTTATCGGCGGATGGTCGATGGCAAGATACCATACGAATAATGAACGAGGACGTGTTAGAAGCGACAATTAATACTGTCAGTGACAACACGAAAGCATCGTTCGTGGTCGATTACGAAGATCGCTCTAAAAATAAAGTCATGATTCCGACGGATAAAATCGACGAGTTTGGCGTGAAGCATTTAGTCTTATCCTTCGTCAACGCCGGCGAAATCGACCAAGCGTTTTCGGCGCTTCGCTTGTGTCAATTTCTAACCGATAAGAGTTGCACGGAAGCTTTCGAAATAATTGAAAGAGCGAAAGAGAAGCAAGAGGGAGGGAACGACAGAGAGGAGAAAGAAGTTCAAGTGTCGCAGAGAATGTAATGAAATGTTGTATATTGTTGAAAATTTCAAGATGCCCGGCTACGCGCTACAATGTAAATTCCACCGGAGCATAATACCGTTATCAATCGCAGAAGAAGAAGAAGAAGAAATCGACGACGACGACGACGTTTTTTTGTTCGCATTCGTGTTCACCTCTCTCATCTCGACTTTACTCACGTTCTCCAATTCATTAAAAATACCTCTAAACTTCCTCTGTAACCTAACCAGCTCTTCCTCGTGTCGGCGTCGCAATACTTTCGCGCAACAGTTTTGTTTGATCTTCATCTGCTTCTCCTCGCGTTCTAACTTTTCTTTCAGTTTTAATTTCTTCGCCAACAAGTCGTTCTCAATCCCGCGATTGGTCTCGTTCCTGGCCTTTCTTTCGATCGCGTCCCCTTTCTGCCTCACCTCTTGCGCTTCCACGTACTTCTTCTGTTTCGTCAACGCGGCTTGAATATTTCGTATTTCCGAGAGTTCTTTCGCTCTCGCTTTCGGTTTCCTCTTTTGCGCTTTCGCGCGAATGATATTGCATTCATTTTCAAACGCATCAAAGCGTTCGCTCTTCTTCGCTTTCAAGTTTTCCGCATCCACGTGAAAACTCTCTTTCATTTTCGCCGCTTCGCAGTCGTGTCTTCGTTTCAAATCCACCTCGCTTTTCCTCTGCACCTCGATCGCATCCGCCATCGCTTTCTGATGATGCACCGCGACCAAAGCCGCTCTCCTCTTCTCCTCCTCTCTCTTCGTCTTCTCCATTGCGATGGATAACTCGTTGCATTTCTCAAAATCGCCTCTCTTCTCCGCTTCTCTCCTTTCCTCGTCCAGTTTCGTCAGCGTCTCCTTCACCCCGGCGTTCACCTTCACGTTGGCGCGTCGTCGCAACGTACACTCTGGCCGGTCTATCGATAACGGTCCCGGGGTCATCGCTCTGGTAATCGACGACGACGACGACAAAGATGTCGACGAATTTCGCCTATTTCGCATCAACGTCGTCTTTTTCTTCTTCTCCGCCGTAGTAGTAGAACTCGTACTACTCCTACGACTCCCACCGCTCCTCTCGCCGCCTGGTTGATCGCAACCATCTTCGGAAAGAGGAGAAGGTTTTGAAGGCACCGCTTTTTGATCCGCGACCGAAGAAGAGATTTCAAAGACTCCTTTTCTCGTCTCTTCCTCCTTCTTCTCTTCTTCTTTGTCTTCTTCTTCCTCCTCCTCCTCCTCCTCCGCACCGCCACTTTCACTGTTCAGGAACGAAGCCGTGCTAAAGAATCCACCTTTTTCTCTCTTTTCTTCTTCTTCAGCATTTTCGCTCTTCTTCTTCTTCTCGAAATCATTTTCATCCTCGGAGCTCTTTTCCTTCTCAAACACCTCTTGCTTCTCCTCCATCGTTTATGCGTGAGTGTGCGTGCGTGTATCCCAAAGTAAACGCCAAGGAAGGGAAAAGTTGTGTGTTCTATTTTTGTACAAATTCAATCCTTTTGGAGAGTTGATAAAAACAAGTTCTTCTTAAATCGCAGACAAGCTGACGATAAAAATCTGTTCGGACGTGTAGAATCAGAGACACCCTCTAATACCTCTCGACTTTGACGCCTTTCGCTTCCTTTTCTTCTCGCGCAATACTACTCACGACGCGTAAGTTAGCTTACAACAAGCGTTCGTATTGTGTGTTTATTTTACTTTTTATTATTTTTTATTTTTAGCAACATGCAAAAAAAAGACGTTACTCACAAAATGAAGAAGAAGAAGGAAAAGAAAAAGAAAACCTTCTCCCTTCCTGCTGCATTACTAAGAAACTTTCGCGCGCAATAGTAACACACCATAAAAAGAGGGAGCTCTCATCAGAAGCGAGACCGTAAAGAAGAACAGCGAGAACACTTTCACAAAAGTATGGATTTTGGCCCGTCCATTCCCCCTCCAGAAAACGAGAAGAAAAAGAGAAGATTGAATACAATTCCAATCGAATTTCTCCAAAATCTCCCCTCGGGTTTAATGTACGAAAAATCCTACATGCACCGCGATTGCGTCTCGCACGTCATACACTGCTCGACGAGCAAGTCTGATTTTTTCGTCTCCGCGAGTCGTGATGGACACGTGAAGTTTTGGAAAAAACGAGCGAAAGGGGTGGAGTTTGCGAAACATTTCCGAGCACACGTCGGGGTCATCGTAGGGATGGATTGCTCGAAATGTGGCACCAGAGTCGTCACGCTCGGCGAAGACGGCTCGGCGAAAGTCTTCGACGTGAACAGTTTCGACATGATTGGAATGATACAGTTGAAAAAGAAAGACGATGAGAACAACAGCGAGGCGACGTGTATCGCGTGGTTATACGATTCGAGGAAGAAAAGACACCACGCGAGCAAACAGTTGTTCGCCGTCGGCGACTCGAACGGGAGGATTACGGTACACGACGCGAACGCAGAGGATTTGAACCAGACGATGGTGAAAGAGTTGACAAGTGTGCACGGTGGGAGTAATGGAGTGGTGTGCATGGCGTATAACGGCGAGTACGAGTGCGTGGTGAGTTGCGATCAGTCCGGAGGCGTCGAGGCGTGGAGCGCCGATCCGGAGGAGGAGTTTGAAAGGTTACCGATAGGCGGCGATTTTAGCAAAAGTATGAACAGCGATAGAAGAAGAGAGTTGAAATTTTCGGCAAAGTTTGAGACAGATTTATACGCGTTGGAGAAGGCAAAGACAAGCGCGACGCACGTTTCGTTTAGCAAAGATGGGAAGAGAATGGTTATATGCGCGCGCGACATGAAGATTCGCGTGTTCAATTTTACCACGTGTAAATTGAAAGCGGTGTTTAACGAAGACTTATCCGCCGCGGAAGACGCGCAACGATCCGGGAACGAGAAGTACGTTTTAGAAGATATCGATTTTGGACGAAGATTCGCGAGCGAGAAATCTTTGGACGAGAAACTGTTGGACGCGTTTGAGTATCCAAACGCCGTGTTTGACGAAACCGGGAATTTTTTGATGTACGGAACAATCATAGGGATTAAAGTGATAAACTTGCAAACGTTAATGGTGTCTCGTTTGCTCGGGAAAGTCGAAAACGGTGAACGGTTTACGAAATTGGCGTTATTCCAAGGCGCCGCAAAAAGAGACGCTTCGTTGAAAGGGAGCGGGAAAGACTATTCCGTACAAAGCGACGGGACGCCGATGAATGATCCAACCGTAATGTGCGCCGCGGTTGGGTCGCAACGCGTGTACTTATTCTCCACTCGGGAACCAGACGAAGAGAACGGCGAAGGCGACGATAAAGAGAAAGACAGAGACGTGTACAACGAAAAACCGTCTCTGGAAGAGGCTCGCAACGCCACGGGCGGTAAAAACGGTTTAGGAGGGGCCAACGGCAGCGCGTCGAATCGATTACCGTCCTTGGTCACCTTGCACACGAATATCGGCGACGTATCGTTCAAACTCTTTCCAAAAGAGTGTCCGAAAACGGTCGAAAACTTCACCACGCACTGCAGAAATGGCTATTACGACGATGTCATCTTCCACAGAGTAATCAAAGGGTTCATGATTCAAACCGGCGATCCTTTAGGTGACGGCACCGGAGGTACCTCCATCTGGGGCAGCGAGTTTGAAGACGAAATCAATCGAGATTTACGTCACGATCGCGCCGGCGTTTTAAGCAGCGCCAACGCCGGACCAAACACGAACGGATCGCAGTTTTTCATCACCACCGTACCGACGCCGTGGTTGGACGGGAAACACTCCGTCTTTGGAAGAGTGAGTAAAGGGATGGACATCGTCAACAAGATTGAAAATTTGAAGGTTGATAAAGCCGACCGTCCCTTGGAGGATGTGAAGATTGTATCCACGAGCGTAAGTTTCGAGTGATCTAGTAGAAGAAGTTTAATAAATGCGTACCTTGGTACTGTAGTAGTAAATAAAAATGAGAATTACTTCATCACGAGTGCGCGTGCGACTACTTGTGTTTAAAGCGAAACAAACAACAAAAATACTAATATAGTAATGATATATGTAATAAGTATGTTATTAACGGTTCAGCTCGTCGAAGATGCTGCTCGCCATGTTCTTCAATCCGCTGATCCCTCGACTGGCGGCGTTTTTAAACGCCGCCGCGTCTTGTTTCGCTTGGAAGGAAATCTTCTCCATCAAATCGCTCGCGGAGAGGTCCAAGTCGTCGCCTCGCGGACTCGTCGCGCCTCTTCGAATATCCGAACTTCCAAACCCACTCTCGCCGGCGTATCGGTTCGCGTCCCATCCAAAACCATCGTCGTTATTGTTTGTTCTGTTGCCGCTTCCGCCGCCGCTGCCAAACGCATCCGAGGAGATGGACTTGGCGCCCGCGAATCGCTCGGTGGCGTTGTAGTAGTTATCGTTCGCCGCGCCCGCGGCGGCTGGGTTCGTGCTCGTGGATGCAGACGACGATGCGTTTCGTCCAAAACCACCACCACTTCCGCTATTCCCATACTTTGGACTGGCGCCAAACGCAGATCTGCTGCTATTATTATTACCCGACGGCGGTCTCGACGCGCTACTGCTCGCGTTGCTACCGCCACCAAAGTTTCTCGTATCAATGTTCGTTTTCTTTCCGGCGTTTCTGTCCAACGTCACGTGGCCACTCGCACCCCTGCGGGAATTCATCGGAACGCTCTCTAAACCACCCATGGTGTATTTCGGTCCATCCTCGTTCCTATTCGTCGTCGTCTCGTTTTTCGTCGAAGCGTTGCCAAAACCGTCCTCGGAGTAGGCGAACCTGTTCGACTTTGGCGGCAACGCCACGTGTCCGCTCGAGTCTCTCGGGCTCACGCCGCCGGATCTCGGCGATACCGGGTTACTGCTGCTAGTGTTGTTAACTGGTACGTCCTCGCCTGGCGCTTGATCGAACAATCGATCGTCGACTTTGGCGTTCAACTTCTTCGCGCCCAATCCTAACCCGCCGCCGCCGCTCCCGACTTTCTTCGCGCCCAACCCGACTTTCTTCGTCGTCGACGACACCATTACCTTTGGCTTCGACGTCTGCACCGGCGTAATTTTCTTATACATCGGCTGCGACGCCGCCAAAGGCTTAGAAGCTTTCGACGGCGCTTCTTCCTTTTCCTCCGTTGTGGCATCCTTCTTCTTCGGCGACTTTGGGAAGTAATTTTCCATCGTCTTTACGTTCTTCGTCGTCGCCGAACCCGTCGCCGCTCTCGGCGACACCAACGGATCGCCAAAGAAATCCGTCTTCGGTCCTTGCTCCGTCGGACTTTGCAACGGCGAGATACCACCTCCTTTGCGCCGCATGTTTTCGCACTCTCTCCGCAAGCGCTCCTTGTACAAATTCGCCGCTCGAGACGTGTACTTTTGCGCTATGCGTCCTATATAATGTGTGTACATAGAATACTAATGTTAATATAAAAGAGATCGATGCTCGAGAGAGAACGGATCACCACCATTCGCGATCAGATGATGACGACGTCAACGATGCTCTACAAAAAAATGTCGAAGAAGAGACGACGTCAAAGACAAAGAGATCATCAGATCTTATCTCTTACCTCGTTCGTTCGAATTCCATCCGTGTTGCGAGAAAAACGCCCGCGCGGCATCGTTCCCCCCGCTCGCTTTAAAAACATCCAGTTCATCTCTCGACCATCGGTCCATGTTTGCCGATTTTACTTGCGAGATGTGCACGCCTAAACTTCTGTGTATGCCGGAGCAATCGAGGCATATGAACACGCAATAGTTTTTGCTCGTCCATTTCGGGTTCGGGGTGTTGCAATCGAAACACAAGCGGTTGCCTTTTTTACGACAGAGAGAGTTGAACAGTTCGTCTCGGTCTTTGTTAGTATTCGCTGTTATCGCGTCGGTCATTTTACTGTGCAGCTCTTCTTCTCTCTGTTTTGCTCCTTCTTCTCTGAGCGTTCTTTGTGTGTGTGTGTGTATAGAATAAGAGACGGCAAGACTGGAAATTTGAAGCTTTTTTTTCCTCTTTTTTTCTTCTTTTTTTTCTTCTTCTTCTTCGGAGTTTGTTTTTTTAAAAAAAAAGCAGCCAGAGAGAAAGAGAAACTTGTGTGTTCGAATTTTTTAAGAAGAGGAGAAAAAAAAATTCAAAAAAAATTCAAAAACACACAACAGGAGTCTCGTCTGAACAACTGCTGAAGATACCTCCACACTTGAAAGACTTCTTTCCTCTCGACGACGAAGCAAAGAAATTTTACTGTTTTGCTACGAGCAGACGATCGAGCGAAGATACACTCTCAAACGTCGAACGACATTATGAATCAATTTTCTAAAGATCAGATCCAACGAGCAGTTGATAAAGAATTACTACAGGCATTCGAGATCAAAAATGTGATGGATTTTTCTCCCGCCATTTTTTTGCTCTTTTTTTTTGTTTTTGCACAAGTGTCCTCAAAAAAAACACACGCGCGAGAGAAGAAACACACGACGACGCACAGAAAGACACATTCCTCTCTTTGCGCAATAATATAAACACACTACGCACAAACACAGAAGAGAAAGCTTTCTTTTTCTCTTCTCTCGTTTTTCTTCTCTCTCGTCGTTTTCAGAGGGAGTCTTGTATACATATACCTCTCTGCGCTTAAAAAGAAGAGAGAGATCTTCGTTGAAAATTCATCTCTCCGAGAGAGAATTTGAAATTTTAAACATTCGCTTGTTTGCGCGAGAGAGAACTGCGCTCTCATCATCATCGCCATAAAAAAGGAGCGAACAAATGTCGAACGCGAAAGAAGCGTCCGAGGCGGAAGCGTTAGGGACGAAGGTGTTGAACTTGTGCCGAAAGAAAGCGAGCGAGAAAGATCTGTTGACGGTGTTAGAGGTACGCGTTTGTGATGCGATTTTGAATTCTCGTTCTCTCTCTCGAGAGAGAGAATTCAAAATGTTTGTTTCTTTCTCTCTTCTGTGTAATGTTGTCTTGACGATCAACAAACTCGTTTTAGTATCGTTCGTTTTATTCGTTTTAGTATTCGAGAGTGCGTTACATCGATCGCGCGGCACGAAACGTATCTCGTCATAATCTCAGTCCTTTAGGAGTGAGAGCAAAACTGACCTTTTAAAAATGTCCCTCTGTTTTACTCGTATTATGAACACACAGCCGTTGGCGATGAAACTACGAGAAATCAACCAATCGGAAGACGGAGGCCGAATGCCTAAACTCGCATCCGCGGTCACGCACCAATACGTTTTGAAACACCAATCGTCACTCGTCGTCGCGTACGCGTCGGCGTGCGCTTCGGAAGTGTTTCGGATCTTCGCGCCGGAACAACCGTACGAGAAAGAGGAGACTTTAAGAGCGGTGTACGAGAACTTTAATCAAACTTTGGGGTGGTTGAAGTACGCGTCGTCGTCGTCGTCGAGGAGGAAGAAAGACCACGATGATGAGGACGAGGACGACGAGAACGAGGACGACGAGGACGAAGACGACGAGGGAGAGAAAGAAGAAAAAGAGGAGGAAGAAGAAGACGGAAAGAAGTTAAAGAAGAAGAATTCAAAGAAGAGCACGAAGAAGAAGACGAAAGCCGACCCGGCGAATCCTCCTCCGAATTTAGAAAGGAAGCGAATCTTGTTCGAACAATCCGAGCGGTTGTTACGAAACATCGCGCAGTACGGCTTGTGCGTGCCGGTACTCGATTTGGAGGATAAATCGACGTCGGTGGAATTGGCCAAAGATTTGTTTGAGACGTTATTCGACGCGACGACGGCGAAAACAGAACCGATTATCGGCGAAAACGTCGCGAGAGTTCTGAACACGATGATTGAAGAGCGCGGCGGAGGATACGACGGTGATGGATGGAAACAACACGGGCAACGCGAATTATAATAAAAGTTTGTTCCACGACGAAGTGTTAGAACACTCGCCGTTACTTCCGGAGATTTTAGAGCAAACGCTTTCCAGGTTGGTGGAACCGAAAAAGTCGCAAAATCCATCCGCGCACGCGTTGAGCTCGGCGTTGGTCGTTTCCTGCTCCACCTCTTTACACGTCCCGACGCAAAAGTTTCTCGTCAAATCGATCAGAAATTTAGTGCCGAAAAACCACGCGTTGTTTAATCTCTCGAAAAAGCACGCGGCTATTTTAGAAGCGTTAGCGTCGGTCGATGCGGCGGTTTTGAGCACCTTGTGGCCAGAACTGCACGAAGAAGCCCGATCGGAAGAAGTCGCGCAAAGGTTAAAGGCGTGCGCGTTGCTCGGTCGAGTCTTGCGCGCGAGGAGCAGCACGATACGCATCGCGAACAACGGCAACTCGTTCGGATGCATCGCGGACGAATACCCGCACGTGTTGAAGATGTTCTGCGAACGCTTTTCGGACAAGGAAAGAGCCGTTCGCGTGTTTTGCTGCAACTGGGCGTTGAACTTTTTGAACAACGGCAGCGTCGGAGAAGACGCCGAAAAAACCGTCACCAACGAAACGCTCCCGTCGTCGCAATCATCTTCCGATGGGACGAAAAAGACGTCGGACAACAGCAACACCATTTCGCGCTTGTCGCCAAAACCTTCCGGTGAAACCAACGCCGCCGCGGTTCAAGTCTTTGAGCACTTGCGCCAACGCTGCAAAGATCCCGACGAACACGTGCGATTGAAAGCGACGGAAGTTTTGTTTGAAATTTACTCGCGCGAAACCGATCGAAGAGCGGTACAATTAAAAGCCGTCAAAGAAAGCGGCGAGCGCGCTTTGCGAGACAGGAGACCAACCGTTCGTAAAGCTGTGGTTGACGGTATGGTCAAATGTTACAGGAACTACGCTTTGCGATGCATGAAGAAAGCGGAGACTTTGCGAACCGGAGGCGAGGAAGATAGCGAACGATTCGATTGGATTCCGGGGACGATTTTAAAAGGCATCGTCGTGCCGGACATTGCCATGCACGTCGTCGAACCGGCTTTGGCGAACTTGTTCCCGGCGAGCTTCCCGGCTGACGCTCGAACGACGTTTTGGTTGCGCGCGTTGATGACGAGCGGAAGCGCTTTGGCTAAAAGTGCCGAGGACGTCGTCGACGTCGAAGATGGTGGTAAAGAAACGACCATCATCAATTACGTTGAACCGCGCGTCAGAGATTGTTTGAAGATGTTCTTGTACCGTCGCGAGATCGCGAGAAAAGACTTCAAGGAATACATGGACGCTCGCGAGCTCGCCAAGGGAAAGACCTCCCCGAAGAACTCAGAGAAGCAATTATCGGAAGCGCGCGTATTCTTCTCCAAAAACTTCCGAAACGAAGAGAAATCCCTCAAGCTGTTAGAAACAGGCATCGAACAAGTGAAGGACCAAAAGTTTTTCAAGTCGTTGATCACGCTCGCGAATTTGAACACCTCGCAAAAGGACGCTCGGCTCGCCGCGGAGGACGCCAAGAAACGCTTAGGCGAGAAGCACGGCGCGTTTCAGCTCTTGGAAGCTATGATTGCAAAAATTGACCCGAGCCCGTTTGACGGCGATCACGCGAGATGCACCTTAAAAATGGCGCTGAAGAACGGGAAGAAACCGACGAAGAGGAACGAAATCGACGAGAACAACAGGCGCGTGGCGATGTTCGCGATGGACCACGCCATGATGCTCGCGGAAGCCAATCCGTCAATCTTTAACTCGTGCGGTGATTTGTTCTTGAAAGCGTTATCTGAAAACGCAGAAGTCCCGCCTTTGGTTGACGACGTGGTGACTGAATTCACGCGCTTGTTTTCTGTTTGTGGAGGCCACAGTTTAGCCTCGGTCAAAGAGACTTCACATTTGAGGGACTTGCTGGTAAATACGGTGGAGCAAGGCGCGAGCGGATGGACGCGATCGAAATTAGCCGCGAGATCACTGGTTCAGTTAGCGTCATCATCCGGATCGGGACAAAAGAAAGCCAACGATGCAAACGTGGACGCGCTCGAGTCGTGCTTCTCCAATTTACTCGACGCCTTAGCGGACGGTCGAGACGCCGAGATGCCAAACTTGCTCGCCGCGGCGTCCGCGATGCCGCCCGCGTTGGTGTTCAAAAACCTGGACGCAGTTGAGAACGCGTTGTTTTCTTTGGTCGAAAACGAGTCGAACGACGATTTCTGTCGCGTCGAAGCGATCAAGTGCTTGCGAAACTTCGCCACGTTTGAGATGATGAAATCCGTCTCTTTGTCGTCGAAATCTTCCACGACCGGCGCCGCTCTTCTCGCGAAGGTGAAACAATTCAAGAAACGCGCCGTAGACGCGTTCGTTCAAATTCTTGAATCTTCGGAGAACGACGAAGTTTTACGCGCCACCGCTTTAGCTATCCCGAAAATTGCCTCGGGAGGATCTGTGAGCGAAAAAGTGATCGATCAGACCGCTTTTTACGCCGTCGCGAAATTTCTCTGCGACAACGACGACGACGACGAAACGAAACTGGCGTTTGTGAGCAAAATTTCAAAATACTCGAAACGGAAAATGTCTTCATTAGGCGTTCGATGGCACGCTATCGTCGCGTGCTTGACTGGCAACGCGTATTCGCGATCCGTGAGAGATGTCGCCTCGACCGCCTGGGAAGTGTTCGCCACGAAAACGCAAAGAAACAAATTTGAACTGTTCAACAGAGAGGCGGTGGAGTCCTCGAAAGACCCGGAAACGACCAAATCGAAAAAGTCGTTCGCCTTTACGAGGTCGCCGGAGTACACTTTGGTGTATTTGATTCATTTGCTCTCTCGAGTTCAATTTGGTGTCACGAGCGCGAAAGACGAAGACGGAGAATTCGACGCGTTGACCGCGAAGGACCTTCGATTTTCCGAAGGCGTTTTCGAGCACGCCGTCCACGCGTTGTGGCCGCCGGTGGATCGCAAAGCCGAAAAGATGATTGCGTTGAACTCGTTAGTCGCATCGACGTTGAAACTCATCCGAGGTGTCAAAACCTGCGAGGATGCCGAAGATGCGGACGGGAAGACGGACGCTTTATACCTCCTCACCGACCTCTGTTTGCTCGCGTGCAAAAGCGTATGCGCGAAAAGAGGTTTCGATTGGATGGACGATCGATCGAGCGAAAGTGCACTGTTGCAAATTACCGCGGTGTATCCATCTACTTTGTACACGGTGGTTGGTAGACGCGCGAGCGGTAAACCGTTAGAGGTTGGTGGGCCGCCTAGAATTGGCGATTGCTCGCACTTGCCCAGAGCGTATTTAAAAGCGCAAGCGAACGGTGGTAAAGCATCAAAATCCGAGTATTATCATCACGATCGCTCGAGAAACAACGCGACGACAACGGGTGCGAACAAACGTCCCGCGGCTACAGCAACTACGACGACGACGACTGCCTCGAACGCGAAAGTCACCGATGCCTTTGGTGGTGGTAATTTGAAGAAGCAAAAGACGTTGAAACAAACGACGCTGAAGATGGAAAATCCGTCGAGAGCGATGCCGAAGAGGAAAGCGACGGGTCAAGCGATCATCGTGGACGAACTCTACGACTCGGACGAGTTCGAACCCGACTCGGCGGTGAAAAAACAGAAAAAGTTGGCATTACCGGCGCCCGAGTCGAGATTCGTTGTACCTCCGTCGCCGGCGGTTGGATTAAAATCGAGAAGTACGAACACCACCGGTACGACGACGACGACGACGGCGACGACGTCATCGAAGAGTAACAGTTTGAAGCAAAAGAACGTGACGTCCTTCTTCGGCGTCGCGAGAGAAGATTCGGACGTTGAGAACTTGCCAACTGCGAGGGGTGGTGTTCGAGAAGGTACAACCGCTTTGGCGCTCGTCGATCCGATCAAAAGAGGAAGGAGACGACGTTAATAATAGAAAGATAATAGACTAATAGAAGAATATATATATACGATATACACACAGACACATTCAATACAAAAGATTTTACGGGCGTCTATATCCGATAACATCACCTCTCATCTCAGTCTTTATTCTCTCTCTCTCCTCAAAGCCTCTTCTCGGGCAATTTCTTCTCGCGAAATACTACCCCCAAAATACCTAGTAAGACGCTCGAGATTAACAGCAAAAACCCAACGACAATGTTATACAACGCAAACGCGTGATTCCTACCTCCTAACCACGTCGTCGTGCTAAAATACACTCTCTTCTCACCACCAAACGCGTACGAGTTGTACAAATTCGTCACGTCCACGGTAATTTCCTGCCCTTTCTCGATATCCGTCTCGATGACTCCCCATAATTTTCGAAACGTCTTCGTCGACGCCGTTCGCATCCAGACGATGAAATGTTCGTCCTCTTGCACGGTGCCTTCAATCTCTTTTCCACCTCGTGTCGCGGGATCGTCGTTCACTCTCGTCGGCAAATAATTTGCAAACTTAAACTCCCGATCGCCTTTCCAACTGATATCTTTATCGGAAACCGCTCTCGGTTGACCGTCTACGTTTACCGCGAACGTATCGTTAAAAGTAGACCACGCCGCTAAACCGCACGGATTCATCTTCTCCCCATCGACGGTATTCTTCGGATCGCACATATCACTTCCACTTTCCGTTTGTCCCATCAACTGCTCGTTCGATCGCGATCGCACGAACCTTCGATGGTTTTGGTACATCGACGATATCCCGTAATAGATATAAATCGGAGCTTTAATGTATTCCGGCGCGACGCCCAGCGATACCGTGCACGTGGTTCCAGTCCCCGTCGAGTGCATCAACTCCTCTTCGCTTAAACTCTCCACGGATGACGATAAAGACGAGGTAAAAAATCCATCCTTTTTGCACGCTTCGTCGTACCTCGCCTCCAGTTGTACGATTTCCTTTGCATTTTCGTACGCGATGAAGCCAAAACTGATGCAAAAAAGCGACGCGAGTAAGAGCAACACGCTCGAGTACGATGGGGTGAGCGTTGGACGCATCGCGTACATTTCTTGCTGCGAACATTTCGTGTCTGTGTTTATCGAAAAGAAGGAGAGAAGGAATATTAATATAAAAAACGGGCAAAAATGGACCGGAAAAGCGTTGACATCTCTTCCAAATTGAACGGACGAAAGAGAGACGATTTAAAAGCGTCGAGGAGGGAAAGACCTCACAAAACGACGGTTCGACTTACGCTTGGGTTTGTTATTCGTCGACGCGCCCATCTTTTAATGAAACGTGTTTATACTGCGTGCGTTTGCTTGTATATATTATGCTTTACAATGGAGACTTTTGAAAGCCAGAAGGAGGGAAAAAGGAGAGAAAAATGGAAAACGAAAGAGCGAGAGTCTTCTATCGATCAATCGAGAGCATATATTTTCTCAGTCGCCGCGGTTCTGTTGTTCGGACTTGAATTCAACAACCCAAGCGTATTGTTCATCCGTTGGTTCCGGACACCCTTTTTCGAGCAAGTAGTTTAGGCAGTCGGACTGCTCGTAGTACCGAGCGGAAGCGATGTATCGCCAGTAGTTCAGAGGCACTTTCGCCTCTTCGACTAAGTATTTGATGCAATCGAGTCCGCCATACCTTGCAGCGTTTCCCACGCATTCGCTCTTTACCTCCTCGGATATCTTTCTTTCTTCGACGAAATATTTCAAGATGTCCATGTGACCACGGCATACTGCCTGATATGCCGCTTCTTCTTCCGTCTCTCGCGAAGGTTCCACTTTGGCGAAAAGAAATCGAAGACAGTCGAGGTGTCCATTAACAGCAGCTTGAAGAAACGAAGCTCTTTCATCACACGGACAATCGTTAGAGAAGCAGTACTTCAGCATCTCGAGATTACCCATCTCTGCTGCCGTATTAATCGTCTTTTCATCCCACTCGCAATGTTTCGCTTCTCTGGCCCACTTGAGGAACTCGAGTTTATTCGTTGCAGCAACTTCCGCGCAAAACCAGGCTCGATCTATCGCTCTTCCTTTGATATCTTTCTTTCCCCAGGGCACGCGATTCCACACCCATTCTAACGTCGAAATGGATGTGCATTCGTGAACTTTTACACATAATTCCGATACGTTTACCCCGGCGTACTTAAGCACACCCCAGCTCTGTTTATTCACCAGTCCAAAGAAACTTTGATCTGTCCCATTCAATTTCGACAAGACATGCGATACAAAAATATCTTTCTGATGCAACACCAATCCTGTCCACAACGCCGTCGGCCCAAGCTTCAACCGCTCCAATTCCTCGACTGCCTCTTTGATCGCCTCTTCCTTCTCCTTCTTCTTCTTCCTCTTCTGCGCCCCGGAGAGTTGCTTGTTCTTCTTCGTCCCCATTATTATTAATAATAATATTATTATTATTAGTAACGATTTTTTTCCATTGACTTTGAAAAAAAGACGTTTTCTCTGTCCTCGGACGCCAGCGCACGGTGGTCCGATCGTGCCTCAGAACCACAAACTTTGCGGTCGTAAAACAACGACGACGACATGTCCGAGTACCGAAAACTCGCCCGCCTGGCGGCGCGCGCGATATACAAACAAACCTACGCCTTGGAACGGAAAAAAGCGTCGCAACGCGACTTTGACAGCGCCAAGCAACACGCGAAAGCCGGCGGCGGTTTAGGAAGACCATCGTCGCACTTTGGACGAACGCAACAAGAGTTCCCGGGTGTAGTCGAGATCGTCGTCGACGCGCTCACCCGACGCCAGTGGATCCGAGAGGACGATTTAGCCGCCGCGTTAAAGCTCAATCCGAAACAACTGCGACGAGTACTCAGACACTTGGAAACTCTGCGCGTTTTAAAACGATCGCACGTGAAAGAAAGACAAGCTTTGAAAGAGCAAAGATTGGTGGAACGAGCAGGTATGAGCGAACGAGAAGCGAGCGAAGCGGTGGAGAAGAAAACCGCGAGTTGGTGCTGCTTGGAGTACAGTCGGATCGTGGATACTTTGAGGTTTGGCTTGAAAGGGGTGAAAGCAGAGCTCGAGCGGTTACTCGCCGGTGGGACGTTTGAAGAGTCGTACGCGTGTAAGAACAAAGAGGAGTGCGGGAAGCGGTTTAGCGCTTTAGATACCGCGAGGTTGTTCGATGTGAAACGAGGCGGGTTTGTGTGCGATACTTGCGGGACAGACGTCGTGAGAGAAGGGGAAGAGAACGATGATGAGGAGGATGGGAACGACGACCAAGCAAACGCATCGAGTGGAGGCATCGCGAAAGAATCGAAACAAGCGTTAAAATTGAGAATGAAGAAATTTTCCGATCAAATCGCCGGCATTGAACGCCAAATCGCCAAGTGTCTGCGGTATCCTGCGCCGTCGTTCGGGACGTTGCAAGAGTACGTGGTCGCGAAAAAACGGTCGAAAGAAGCGAGAGAAGCCGCCGCGATGGGACAAGCTGGTGGTCAAGGGTATTGGGGGTCCATCGGCGTCGCTCGAGGGACGCAAGCGTTTGAGCAGAGATTGGAAGAGACGACGTTTGAGATTCAAATCGGCGGCGAGAACGGCGACAAAACGACGAATCGAGGTGGAGACGACGGTCAAGAGAAAAAAGAAATGCCGGAATGGATCACGAGAGAGTTGCAAGTGGACGAACAAGGTAAAGATGCAAAGAAACGGAAAATTGAAGGCGCGGATGCCGCCGAAAAGGAAGAGACGACGGATGCGGTGCAAGAGCAATACGCGAAGGCGTTATTGGCGGCGTTGCAAGCGCAGCAAAGAGATACGACCGAACAAGCAAAGGCGAAAGTAGAAGACGAGCGCGAGAAAGAGGAAGGGTTAGTGGCGGCGGCGCGACAAGAAGGTGGAGACGTGGAGATGAAACCGGCAGCCGGGGAGAAGGAGGAGGAAGAAGAAGAGGAAGAGTGGGAGGAAGCGTAAATTTTAGTTAGAGCACACTTTTCTACGACTACATTTAGAAATGTAACTAACTACTACGACGACAACACTTTCGCGTTCGCATGATAAATACTAAATATCATCAATCATCACATTACTCTACTTGACTGGAGGTAATAAGGTACCACTTTGATGATGATGACGGTTGCTCTTTCTTAAGATTAATACACGCATCGCGTTGTACGTGGCAACGCCTACGCTTTGCGCGAATACGCTGATTCCACCGTACAGACCTAAAAGAACCGTTATAAACATTCCGAGACTTGGTTTTTGGTCTTCCGAATACGTGCACGACAACACGTTCGCGTACTCAAAGTATTTCTCGTACGATGTTATGGGATACACCGCCCATCCGTGCGTCTCGTTCTTTTTCAATCCAAGATCCAGGCCCATCATGTACAACGAGCCCGAGTTCTCAATCGCCGACTCGGCGAAATACGAAACCTCGAAGAAGTAATACATGATGAAGGTATTTATGCTCAAAGAGGAAGAAAATTTCCAAAAGGACAAATCCTCGCACAGTTCTGTAAGCTTTTCGGTTTTGCGCCAGTGTTCGTTGACGTCGCCGCACGCGCGTTCGAGCGCTGTGCCGACTTGTTCGATCCATTGCGACCAGATTTTCGTCTCCGTTGAGTTTAACGAAGTGAACATTTTAAGACTCATGGTCCGAATTTCCAAGTCACACGCGGCTAAATAGTTCAACAAGAGCGGCAATTTCCACTCCCCGCTTCTCTCCGGTTTAGTCACGCTCGCGTTGGCGACAACGTGCGGAAAGTTGAAATACTGTTCGACGGCGGCAAACGCGACCGCAAATTGCGCTTGGCTCATTTGGCGCGAAGGGTCTCGTTCGACAACTTTCACGTTCGACCACTCCGCCGGGTTACCGCAATAATTGAATCGGCGCGATTCGGATCCTAGAACCGAAAACACCGAAGCGGTATCGAAGCTTGCGTGTAAATTCGCAGGAGCGGAAATTACCGGCACGTAACGAACGTCCCACCCGTCCGCGTTCGAAGGATTAAACGCCGCGTTGACGGTTGACTCGTCGTACTTTTCGTTTAAACTGCTCACTTTCGCCGCAAACGCGCTGTAGGACATGTATGACTCTTTCTCCTCAATCGGATCGGTATTCGCGTCCGTCGTGAACGTTTGTTTCGTCGGCCAAATGCTTTCGTCCGCGATGAAACAATCGCCACCATCGAATAAACATTCCGCCATGTTGCACTTCTTATCGCACACGCCGTTGCCTAAATCCGCAGCCACGCAAGGATCGCTCGTCGACGTCACTCTTGCGCACTCTTTCTCAAACACGCTCGTCAGCGGCGCGTCTTGCCCTGACTTCACTCGCATCGCTTGAATCGCGTTTTTATGCATCTGCATAAACGCGCCTAATCTCGGGATGTTATTGTTCGCCCACAAATTCAACATCTGCGTCGGGGCTCGAATGCTCGCCAAATTTGCCGTCACGCTCGCGTTCAGCTGCGCTTTGATTACGGAATTCAAAAACTCCTCCTCCGCCAGGCGATTGAGCGGGAACAAACTGGCGTGGAAATCCGTCATCGTATTCGTCAGCAATCGCTTCCCGACCGCACACATTTCAACCGCGGCTTCGCACGCCTCTCCCTGTCCAATCATCGCGCACGCGTTCACGTCCCGCCACTTCCCTTTCCGGACCAAAAAACCATCGCGAGCGTTCACCGTTAAGAATCCAACGTCTCTCGCAGATTGGTACGTCTTCGCCGCGTTGGCGTATAGCCACTCGCACGCGTCGCTCTGTTCAAAAATCCCCTCCGTGAAACTCCCCAACGTCAAAGTGTCGTTTTGTGTCGCGCACGTAAGTTGTAAATACCGTTCAGAATTTGATCTCAAGTACTCGTATCTTTCAAACGAAGGTTCCGTTTCCGTCACGATCACGATGTTCGTCCGCGTCACCGCCAGCGTCGCCAGAACGACCACCGCTAAGAGCAAACTCACATTCTTGACGAAAGTAATCGTCCGACCAAGGATTTTGAGCGCGTGGAAATGTTCCGAAACGGACGGGTCGTACGTTAACACGTGATCGTTCTTTGAACCCACTCGCGAGTGCTCCTCTGGTTGCTCCTCGAAGTCGTTGATGCTCTTTATAAATCGAACGCACTTATGCCACCAATTTGAATTTGTTGATTTTCCCCTATTCAATTCATCTTTCCCGGGGTCGTAAGGGATCATAAAACCGACGCTTTCGCCGCAAAAAGTGGGTTTGGATGATGGGAGTAACACGTGCTCCTCGCTTTTTGTCTCTTTTGTTCAGCGCGTTTTGTGGGGGTCGAAGCTTGAGACTTTTACGTGACTGAGTAGTGTGAGCAATTAATGACCAATTGGTAGGTGAAAAGCAATTTTTAGGTGACCTTTTGAAGAGTACTGTTACAGTATTATTCTACGAGCATGTGCTCCAATTTACTTTTACTCTTACTCTTGCTGCTACTTTTACTACTTATAAAACCGACGCAACGCGTCCGGCGCGTCGTCCGGTTTCCTCGGCGCGTCCGAAGCCGCTCCGGCTCGAACGCCCGGTTTCGCCCGACCTTGTTCGTTGGCGCGTTTCTTGTACCCTTCCTCCCTCGCTTTCTTTGCTTCTAATTTGGCCATCATTTTGTCGTCGATGACGTTGATTTGCTTCTTTCGGTAGCGTTTGCTCGCTCTGTTTTTACCTTTCATTTTCGTCTTGGATTCGTTCTTTTCTCGTTGTTTCATTTTGGCTTCCATTTCCGCGCGCAAAGCGGCTTCGCGGCGTTCTTTTTGTACCTCTTTCGGGACGTCTCTCAATTGGCCGATAGCGTTTGGATCGAGCTGAATCATTTCTGAGGGGAGCTTATCCAATAACTTCGCGACTTCCATCTCTCGTCGTTGGTTTTTGGTTTCAAACGGGTTGGCGACGAACGTGTCGTAGTTCGGTTCGCCGGACCCCGGGACGAGAATGTTCGTGACGCCTTTGGAGTGTCCAACGGCTAACACGTCCTCGTACGGGCAGAACTTCACGTCGAACACTTTACTCCCGTTCACAAATTGATGGTTTAAATACGGCGATTTCGCCTTCGTCGTCAAAGCCTCGTTCCATATTTGCACTCTCGAGCCGTACGAAATCGCCAACATGCCTCGTTGGGAGATATCCATCGCTTTCACCTCAGTCGGCGCGTAATACGCGTGCAACTCTTGGTATTTACGTAAATCCCAAACTTTAATTTGACAATCTAACCCAGTCGTAGCCATGTACCGACCGCTTTGGTCGAGCGCTAACGCGTTCACTCGTCCTCGATGACACAACATTTTCACCAAAGCTTGACCTTGATTCGGCGACCACAACGTCACGGTGCCGTTGGAATGCCCTAAATGCGTCACCGCGTTATATTCCGACCGTCTCAGAACCGAGCACTTCCCTAACTTTGTTCTGTGTTCGGCGACAATCTCCCCGTGCGTGGTATCTTGCCACCGAACGATGCCTTCCCTCCCAACCGTCGTCAACAAAAAATGTTTCGGCAGAAAATCCATCGCGAACACGTCTCTGTGTTTATCCAACCGGTGAATCTCCAACCCTCTCTTATCGTAAATGTACGTGTATTTCGTCTGCGCCACCGCGAAAAACTCCGTGTTGTGTAAATACTTCACGCATTTCACCGCAGGTATTACCCCTACCTCTCTCATATTCTCATCGTCCTTGTTCTCGTCCAAATAAATCTCGCTCAACAGTTTATGCTTATTCCACTCCACGTTCGCCACGTGCCCGCCGTCGCCGCTCCCGCCGATGACCAAATGTTGCCCGTTCGGCGAAAAATCAACAGACCTATACGGGCCAGACCCTTCCAAACGTAAATCAAACGCTTTCTTCTTCGCGTTCACATCCACGTGCGCGATAATCTCGCTCTGTTGAAACCGCCACGTCCGTTCGCCTTTCTCCGTTTCCGCCTCTAAAACACCCGACGGTTCCATCGAGAGGTATCGTTCTCGTCTCGCGTTCTCCAAAGCTGCGCTTTCGTCCAACTCCATCGCGCGTTCGAATTTTCCTCTCGTTTTCTTGTCGCTGATGATGGTATCTTTTTTCGAAGATATCGTCTCTTTTAAGGAGCGTCCGGAGGCGGACGCGTAGTACTTCTTCTTGAGGGTGTGGAGCTCCTCGTCGATGATTTTGGCGGCGATTTTGGTTTTCATCTTTCTTTTGTTGTTCTTTTTGTTGTTCTTCTTCTTAGTATTCTCATCATCGTTTTCAACGGGAACAACCCCAGGAAGAGTCGCGCGAGTCATATCTTCTTTGTTGTCTTTACGCAGTCGAGCGTCGAGAGCGCGAGTACGGGTGAAACGTTGCAGCGCGCAGTTCTGGGGAAGAAATTTCAGGCGAAAATGGAACGACTTTTAATTTAGGGTGTCCAACCCTAACTCTTTGAAGCGTGGAGAAAGAAGGGCAGAGAAACATCACTTTACACGACGACTGTTGCGTTGGAGACGAATACCACACGAAGAATAAGAATAAGAACAAGAATGTCGCAACCTCAACCGGAGGAAGTCATGCACCAAGTCCAAGCGGAACTGGCGAACGCGTACGCGCAAGAGTTCTTCACGACAGTTCGGGAAAAATGCTTCAAATTGTGCGTCTCGAAACCGTCGTCGTCGTTGAGTTCGTACGAGAGGAAATGCTTGGAACAGTGCACGGAACGGTACGTGGACGCGACGAGGATGATCAGCCAAGTGGTTTTGAAACAGTATAGCAACGGGGGTGGGTCTGGTGGGATGTAGCGGAAAGAGAGCGGATTGATGTGTGATTTTTAGCGAGAGAGAGGGAGAAACAGAGAGAGAAATGTCGAGATAGCGAACGCGTATAATACTACGTATATTTAGCAGATTTAATGATAATAATAATGATATAACAAGAAGGAATAAGCGGTGATGATATAATTGTTAGTGTAAAATTGTTGTTGTACAAACGGCGATTGTTCATCGCGCGTCGCTGAACTCGCTTTTCCCTCATGCGCTTTCTAAACGTATTCACGATGTTGTTGGTACATTTTTTTTAGGAGCCGCCGAGATATAACTTCTGCCGTCGTTCAATCACGACTCTGCATATCGGGCACCGGCGTAAGCGTCTGCAGCACTTTCTGCACGTGCAGGCGTGGCCGCACGGGATGAGTACCGCTTGGACGGGAGCGTCTAAGCACAAGGCGCACTCGGAGAATTTTTTACCCTTGGCTTTGCGAATGAGAGAAGCGTGGGGGTCTTCGAGATCGGCGGCGGCTGTTCTTGCTGATGCTGTTGCGATTGGCGTTGTTGTCGTCGTGACGTTGTTGTCGTCGATCGCTTCGAGAAAAACTTCTTCTTCTTCTTCTTCTTCTTCTTCATCTTCGCCGTCATCGGAGGCTGATATCAATCCTTGATCTACCGGGCGTTTCTTTTTCTTTTGGTTACGTTTTTTCCGTCGAGCGGTTCGCGGGCCATCTTCCGGGCGAACGGTATTTTCTCCGTTTTCTTCGTCACCTTCTTCGTTATTATTACTATTATTATTGTCGTCGGATTCCGTGTCGTTGTCGCTTCCGTCTTCGTCTTCGTCGTCGTCGTCATCGTCCGACGTGCTCAAATCGCTCGCTTCGAAATCCCAATCGTTCGGTCTTCGTTGTTGTTGGTGTTCGCCGTTCAACATCAACGGGTGGAGTAACGCATCGTTCAACCGTCGAAACCGTTGGTGACGAGCGAGTATCCCATTTCTCGCGAAACATCCGAAAATGACTCCGATTAATATCAAACTCACCGCCAAGCTCGGGTCTCTAAAGAGATCTTCCATGGCCAAACCGCCGTCCTCGTCCGAGATTAATTCGCACGATTCGCCAAAGTACCCTTCCTCGCAGGCGCATCCGTACGCGCCGTAATCTTTCAAGACGCTCGTGCCGTGTTTCCCGCAATCCGGTTGCTCGCTGTCGCCATTCGTTGGGTTGATGCACATGGAGCAGCATTCAAACGGCGACGTGACAACCATTTCTGGTTTGGCAAAGTTCGATTTACCCGACCCCGAGGCCTCGATGGCGTGGTCAAACATTCTCAAGAATTTGTTCTTCGGACACGTGACGACAGAACTGGTGGTCGAATCGCCTTTATTTTTGTTTTCGTCGTCGTTCGTGTCGTTGTCGGACGCATCGCTGCTATCCGTGTTCTTTCCGCACGCGCACGATTGCAACAAAAACTTCGTATCGTCCGTCTTCAAAATCGTCGGTTTGCAGCACGTTTGCGCGCCAGTCGGGAAGAATAAATCGTCGCCAATGTCCGCGGTGGACGCTGGATTGGCCTCTGCGGCGTGCTCGAACGCCGTTGCGAAATATCCAGAAGGACACTTGGCTTCGTTGTTCGACAAAGCCGAGATGGGATTCGAAGAAGACGCTAAACCACTACTCTCGTCGGCGATATCACTGCCGCTGCTGCTGCTGCTACCACCTCCAGCAGTACTGCTCTCTAGACTCCCTCCCTCGCAATTCTCGCTCAAAACTCTCACGTCCGTCCCGTCTTCGTTCAAAAGTTTCCGTAAATCCGCATCCTCTTTCATCCTCTCGAGCGCCGTCTCTCCGTCCTCGTCCTCGTCGTCAGACGCTTTACTCGACGCGCACGGTCGACAGCACCTCGCTCTCGACAGCGGCACGTACCTGTTCTCTTTCGCGCCACCAGCGTATTGCCCGGCATTTTCAAACCCGACGATAAAATACCCTTCCTTATCGCATCGCAACCCGACGCCGACGGCGTTCTCCGCGTTCCTCTTCGCCGCGTCGCGCTTCTCGTACGCCGCAAAGTAACACTCGCACGCGGATAACTCAATCAAAGACGAAGACGACAAAGTCAGAGACGACGAATATATCATCGGACGATGCTCATCATCATCAACGTTTTCATCCCGCGCTACTACTGTGACTCCTGAAAGCTCTTCTTCACCTTCTTTGCTTTTAAGAGGAGTTGGAAGAACTCTTCCTTGCGCGAGACCAACGATAAAAACGGAGAACATCACAAACGCCAAAAACATCATCGATGAAATCCTCCTTTTAATCGTCGTCATCGCGTTGTTTACTCTTCTTGTGTTCTTCTTCTTTTAATCAGAACGAGAGAGAGATTGGAAGTTGCCGTTACCGCGAGGAAAAGGTCGACCTTTTCCCTAAACTCTTCTGCGTTTACTAGGCGCTCAAAAACACGCTCTAATACAACAACAACACCGAGGGGCAGTTGACCAAACACTCGCGCGTTTATTTGCTCGTTTGTTTGAGTGTAAATGTGTTCTTTGTGTGTGATATATATCGCGCGAAAAATGAGGCAATTTTAGAAGATCGCTTGAGGAGAAAAGACAGATATTGAGCGCGAGAGAGCGAGAGAGTTAGCGAGATGTTCTTCTGCGCCTTTCTGCGCGATTACGGTGACTTTTGTAGTATTACGTGTATTAGCAAATCATGTGCGCGTGTTCTCTTTCTTTTTCTCTCTTTCTATCAGTGTTAGTATTATTATTATTTCTCGTCGTACGCGTCTCTCAAACTGGCGAAATCCTCGTTCTGGTGTCCTTTCCGGGACGCTTTTACGTATCGCTGGTGGACAGCGCTCGCGACGGGGACTTCGCAGTGGACTTTTTCCGCGGTTTCGATGGCTAACTTTAGATCTTTTTGCTGCAAGTAGAGTTGGAACAACGTTTGCGGCCACGTGCGGTTGTTTTCGACGCCTTTGAACATTCGATTGCCGACCGATCGCAACAACGGGTTCATCATCACGCCTTTATCGAGGACGTCGAACCAGACTTTCTCGTCCACTCCAGTATATTCGCAAAACGCGAGGCATTCGGCTAACAAGGCGGCTTGACCGCCCATCATAATCTGTAAGGCCATTTTCGCGTCCGTGGCGTTTTTACACTCCGGACCCATCAACCAGGACTGTTTCCCCATCTCGTCAAAGTCGATTAAACACTTTTCGTACGCTTCCTTCGCTCCCGCCGCTAAGATCAACAACTCGCCTTCTTTCGCATCTTTCTGACCGCCCGAGACTGGTGCCGCTAAATATTCTGCCATTTGATCTCTCTCGATGACCAGCTTTATGTTCTCGGACGTTTGCGCGTCGATCGTGGACATTTCCACGTACGTTATCACGTCGTCGCTTTCCTCCGTATCTCTGGTGACAGACATCTCCCTTTGCTTCCTCTGCATCTTCTTTTCCCTCAACCCTTCCGCGAACTGCTCGGCGACCATCACGCTCGCTTTCGGATCCGCTAACATCGCGTACACGACTGAACACTGGCCGTTTTTCGCGAGTTCTTTCGGTGATTCGCAGACGTGAGCGCCGTTCGCTTTCAACGCATCCGCTTTGGATATCGTTCGGTTCCAGACGGTTAAATTGGATTGTTGTGTATTCGTATTCGTATTCGTGGTATTAAACGCGTTTAAAAGCACCGAAGCCATGCCTTGACCCATCATTCCGAGACCGAGGAAGCCTACTTTGCGAGGTAGGGTTGTTGTGGTTGTCGTCGTTGCTGCCATTATTCGTGTTAAAGTCGCAAGTGTAAGTTAGAGGAATTTGTGATGACGCATGTGGGGAAAAAAAACTCGCATGTGTGTTCTTCACTTTTCTTTTCCTCTCTGCGTAAAGGCGTGTTTTACGTGCCTCCTCGCGATAGGGTTCGATATATAACACACGCGAGGGGCAAGATGCGAGAAGCGCGGTATCAGAATTTGTGGGATTTGATCGTGAATAACGACGATATAAGTTTTAAACATATCATTTCGAGATTGGATTCGAATGATCTCAAATTCTTGTACGGAGTGAATACAGAGACGAGAAAGTTGATTAAGAGATCATCTCGCGCGATTGAGTTGAAAAAGAGGTTTGATGTGAAAAAGATGTCGTCGATATCGACGTTGGAGTTTGCATGGGAGCATTTTCCGTGGGGCGGCACGTATAACCACGGTATGACAGAAGAGTTGATGGACGAAAAATATTTCTCCTCTCGAGTTGCTCGAACGAATAAACTCGAGTTGCTCAAGTGGGCGCGAGAGGAGAAAAAGTGTGAGTGGGATAGATGGACGATTAATTTGGCCGCAAGACAAGGCAATCTGGAAATGGTAAAGTATTGCGTTGCAAATGAGTGTCCTATCGATGAGTGGGCGTGTGCACATGCTGCCTCAGAAGGTCATCTCGAGTGCCTCAAATACTTACGTGCCTTGGGCTTCGCTGGTTTTGGACTTCGCTCACACGAATAAACACCTCGAGTGTTTACGCTACGCCGTCGAAAAGAAATGTCCGGAATGGTCAAGTTACACAGAAAGACTGAAGGAATTAGAGCAAAGCCAGTAAACGTTTTGTCGTTCTAAAAACACACACACATACAACGCGTTATTCATTCAATCGACGAACGCGCAAATCTCGCATCGTCGTACTATCATCTTACTATTACACAAAATCAATGCTTAATAATGGCTACTCAAAATACTCTCTCGTCTACGTGCTACTCGAAGATGTCGATGCTCCTTGTGGTTGCCACGTTCCTTGCACGCTCGATATCCTCGTCCGCATCACTCGCCTCGGTATTTTCTTCACCGCGCGCCCTTTCTCGCTCATCACGTTTTCGACCAAAATCGCAATTTCCTCCTCCGTTTTATTCTTCACCCCGATCGTTTTCTCGCGTTTGTTTACGAACATCGCGCGTAAATACGGGTCTTTTCCTTTCCTCTGTTGAATTTCGAACACGTTTTTATGCTCTTCGCCTCTTCTTTCTTCCGTTTGTATGCGTAACGAAGGCAACGCGTTCACGAGGAATTGGTTTATCCCTTTGGAAGTTCCCGTGTGCGGGCAGTGCACGAATGTGAGTTTCGAGAGTTGAAAGATGCCTCGGATGGACATTCTCTCGCGCAAAGGACGAGAAAAACCGAAGAAACGAGAACACGCGGGTGCGCTCGAGAGCGCGCTCTTTTCTTCGCGGTGTCGTCTTTTAGAGCGGAGTACACGCGTCGGTAAAACTGAAGTCTTTTCCCTCACATTTCTTCCCTAACTCATACTCTGACTTGCACGGATAAAGAAGAAGAAGAAGAACGATGTTTTCCTCCTCCTGTTCCTCCTCCTCTCGCTCTGCTGGACGCGCTCTCTTGCGCACCAGCGAAAGGCAAAAGAATGCGCCGCGAAACAGAAAGAACGCGCCGCTCAAAGCCGTCAAAGACGAATCCATCAAAGTGAAATCCAACAAACCAGCGAACGCGCCGAAAGACGCTTTTAAAGCTTTAACCGGTGCAAAAGTCCTCCAAGTTTCCTCGACAGACGCAGAAGAAGTCAGCGTGCACTCGTTATTCGATCCTGAATTCGAAAAACACGTGTTAGTATTCATGCGTTCGTTCGGATGATTCTTCTGTTGGGAGCTCAGTCAAATCATCAAGAAGGAGCTCTGGCCAAAGATGGTAAAAGCGGAGACGAAGCGGATAAAGTTGATCGTAATCTCCATCGGAACGGAAGAAAGAGCGCGAGATTTTTGCAGAGAAAACGAATTCCCGATGGAGATTCTATACGCCGATCCGATAAACGTGACGTACGATAAACTTCGATTGAACTTTGGGGTGAAAGAAACGTTGTTCGATGCGTCGACGCCGTATTCCATCGCGGAGAGGATTCGAGAGGGGAAGATTAAGGAGTTGACGGACGTGCTCAAGCGGTGGAAACCGTGGATACCGCCGAAAAGGGAACAAGGGTTGCAACAAGGCGGGACGTTTGTGTTTGATACGAAGAGGATTAAAGGAGATTCGGAGGTGGAGTACGAATGCGTGTACGATTGGTACGATCCGAGTACCGGCGCGCACGCGCCCGCGGAGGAGATTTTGGAAGCGTGCGGGATTGAATAATAATCTTCTTCCAAGCAAAGAAGAGATCATCTTCAGAACACATACTCGGAGGCGATCATCATTTATCGTTTATCGATACCTTCAACACCGGTGACGTTCAACGACTCGTAAAAAGTTAACAAAAAACTCGATTCTAAGAATCGGCGAGATTGAACCGATAAAAAAAGAAGTACGGTATCGACGCGCGAGACGCGAGCGGCGGTTCCCTCCCACCACCCAAAGCGAGAACATGAAACAGTAATAATAGAAAGCACGCAATAGCACGAGCGGCATAAAAACAGCGGATATGAAACCTCTCAAATTCCGCCGAGACGGCGTTTCGAAGACCGAGCGTTCGACGAGCGAGCGAGAGAAAAGATATATACCTCTCGATGTATATATAAATATAAACACATCGCCGTTCACAAAAACTACTCTCTCTCTCTCTAATAATAATAATAGTAATAATACGCGAGCCTACACTCTATTCTTCTCCGCGTTGCTCCTTCATCTTTCGCACGCGTTTCATGTACCTGTTTTGGAGTCGATTAATTGATTGGTGACGAGACGTGAGTTGAGAAAATCATTTCCGGACGACGGTCAGAGAGAGAGAGACAGAGAGACTGTTCACAAAACTCGATCGATCATAAAGAGAGCAGCGATGACAACATCTACTATAACGCACTCTTCGTACTGACACTTCTCGTACACGTGTCGTTCGTCTTTGCACTTCCACGGGAGGAAAAACGATTTCCGTCGGCATTCGTTCAACGGAATCAAAAGGTGCGCGCAAAAATCGCGGTAGGCTAAGTCGATGCCGGCTTTTTTCATCTCCTCTTTCGTCGCTTTCATGGTGGATTCGTTGTTGTCAGAGGAGCCCATGATGGATGTGTTTTTTCGAAGAGAAAGGAGAGGGGTCTCGATAGTATCAAGACGACGATACCGGAGGAAAGCTTTATTTATGGAGAGTTTTCTCCCGAAAACCCAAAATGAAGACAAGAGGAAAAGCTTTCGTTGAGACGATGACGATGACATTTTTTATACGTGGCTGGCGTGAAAGTAAAGAACACACCACGCGTTGGTTGGAATAAGATAACACGCGGCGATAGAGATAGAACGAAGCGTGTGTGTGTGTTGTGTACCTATTTTTAATTAAACCTCTCGTAACTTTAGCGTACACGGCAAACCTCCGGCGGTGTGGATGGTGGCGCCCATCTCCATGCCGATCTCGTTCGGATCTTTTTGAAGGTTGAACGTGAATTTTCTGAGAGTCATGACCAAGCTAATCGTGGCTTCTAGAGTTGCAAACTGGTCGCCGATGCATTTGCGAGCGCCGGCGCCGAATGGGATGAAGGCGTAATCGGACGCGATTTCGTTCGGGTAGAGACCGGTGAGCAAGTCTGGGTTATAGCCGGCCCAATCTTTCACGCCTGGGTTTTTGAACGGCTTTTTGAAGCGTTCTGGGTCGTATTCGTCGGGGTTTTCCCAACATTCTGGCGAGCGGTGTAAATTCCAGACGGAGATGAAGACGTCCATGCCTTTGATTAAAGTGATGTCGCGGTCGCCCGCGCCTCGCGGAAGAGGCACGTCTTCTAAACATCGGCGGATTAAAATAGGCGGTTCCGGGTACAATCTTAAAGCTTCGGCGACACAAAAGCGAGAGAGTTCCATCTTTTCAATCTCTTCGTACGTCGGCGGTCGGTTTAAATCGTCCGTACCCATGACGTCGTCGATTTCTTGGACGACTTTTTTCACCAACTCGGGTTTTTGCGTGAGACAAAACAACGCCCAGGTTAACACCGCCGCGGTCGTCTCGTGACCGGCGATGAGCATGGTCATCAAATCGTCTCTCAATTGCGAATCCGTCACGTCAGCACCTCTCACGTCCACTAAAAACCGCAACAAACTCGGATCTTTTACTTTGGAGTAATCTCTTTTTTGCAACTCCTCCAAATCTTCGGTGTAGGACATTTGCTGGGCCTGTTTGATTAAGCCGTTCAGAGTATCGTTGATCACCGTCATGTTTTGCTTAAACTTTCTCTGTCTCGGAACTAACACGTCTGCCAACGGCAAATCCCAATACGGTACGTAAAAAGTGCTCCTATGCGCGGCTTCTTGCAAGCAGTTATACACCGCCGAGATAATCGGCGATTCTTTCGTCACCGAACCAAAATCGTAATTGAACACGGCTAAACCGATGATATCTAAACTCACCGAGCAAAAGCGCTCCTCCATGTCCACGACGGCGCCGCTCTTCGCTTGCACTTCCAAGTTTTTCAGCAACTCTTTGTTGCAATGACCGAACAAACCAACCATGTGGTCCAACCACGCCTTGTGAAACCCGGGCACTAACGCTCGTCTGCGCTCTTTCCACACTTTATACGGCGCCGGGATTAACCCTTGCCCCATAATCGGCTCTAAAATTTCCGCCAACACGCCTTTATCGAACGAGAAAGGTTTCTCTTTGAGCACTTCTTTCACAACCACCGGGTCGGAGAGCACCATGAACACTTTCGGCCCGAACGCGAGTTTAAACACGCCGCCGTACTTTCTGTTTTATCATGGAAAGAGAGAGAATAAGAATATAAGAATAGGAATAACACGAACGAGAAGAAGGCTTTATTCTCGCGAATGCGCGTTTCGAATCATCGTCAAAAATGCCTGATCTAATCTTACCGAAAGTACGGATACAAGGCTAAAAATATCGGCCCGCCGACCAAATCGTCGATTTCCCCTTCCACGATTGGCGCGTTATCCGAGGACGGTTTATCCCCGTACGTTTGTAAAATCTGCGTGATCCACAGCGAGATTATGTCTCGGAGTTTTAAATCTTTCACTTCGTCCGGGAGAAGGATAGTGGTATCATCGTCGGTTTTGTCCTCGCTCACGACCGCCTTTACGGTCGTTATTAGGTTTCTGTTCTGCGCATTCCTTCGTCGGAGTAATAAAGCTTTGCGCCTCGTATTCGCGAACGATTTTACCGACGGTGGGGAAATAGTCGTCGTTTTGAGCGTCGTCGTCGTCGTCATCATTTCGGGTAGAACGTGTGATGAGATGTTTGTATACGTAAGCGTAAGCGTTTATAAATGCATCAAATGAGTCAGATTTTGTCACGATTTTTCCTCCTCTTTTCTGCACAAAAGGTCTCACATTTTTAGACGCGAGTTTTCGAGCGGATAGACTGCTTTGTTGTTTGATTCGTTTGATTCGGTACCCGCGATGAATGTACGACGACGTGTATGTGTTGTATACTTTTAGAATTACAAATGTTGAGCTACTAATGTTGAGTACGCATGTGTTTTTGCAAAGTGCCAAGTTGACGAAAAGCTTTATCGCACACGTGGCATTCGTACGGTTTCTCGTTCGTGTGAATACGCATGTGGACTTTCAAATTACTAGAATGACGAAAAGCTTTATCGCACACATCACATTCATACGGTTTCTCGTTCGTGTGAATACGCATGTGGATTTTCAAATTACCAGCTGTGCTAAAACTCTTCTCGCAAACTTCACACTCGTGCCCTCTCTTTCTCTTCACTCCTTTATCGTCTTTCCGCGTCTGCTTTTGCTCCACGACATCGTCGCACGGCACGCACATAATCCTCCATAATTGCTTTACGTCCTCGTCTTCTCCCTCTTCTTCTTCTTCTTCTTTTTGTATCTGATGATGATTCGCCTCGAGATCGTCATCCTCATCAGGAATCCTCGAACACACAAACACCAAAGGTTCTTCTTTCCCACGTCCCTTCAAAGCCGTCCTCGCGTTCACCGCTCTTCTCGGATGTGGATTCTTTCGTGGTCGTCGTCGCATGTTGTTGTTGTTCTTCTTTGAACGCGTCGTCGCCGCAGAGAAGAAGAGGTTCTTTCTCAAAGCGTAAAGAGTATATGATAGCAGCAGAGTCTTGGAAAAAAAAATTGAGACGTTTTGCAGAAAAGAAATGAACGAAGAAAAGACATTTCTCGCCAGTGCAAAAAAAAACCAATTAATTCTTCTCAATTTTCACACGCGCAACTCCTCTCTCGAACAACTCTCTCTCTCTCTCTCTCTCTCTCTCTCTCTCTCTCTCGGACGATGAAATGAACGCGCGGAGAAGGAAACATTTTCGAAAATCAAAAGAGGAGGTGCTTTAGTAGTATTGCCTGCGTGTGTGGTTTGAAGAACACGAATACTACTACGTGATGTTGTTTAAAGATGCAGACGTCGAGCGGAAGTTCTTCCAACGCTTCCTCTTTGATGATGAGAACGACGACGACGACGAAGAAGACAATATCGTCGACAAAACGCTGATAAAATGGACGCGAGCGCCGAAAACAGTCGCTCGAGCGAGGAAAGAAATCGTGGACGTCATCGACGACGAAACGAAGAATAAGCTGAGGATCGTTTCAGTCGTGGCATCACCGTTGGAAAAATGTCATAAAATCGAAGCCACGTGCGACGGGAGCAACGGGGAAGTCTATCGCGTTTCGGTGCAAATGAAAACGAACGCGAGTTTTGGTGGTGGTGATGGTGACGACGACGAGGACAAAAAGAAGAATGATGACGTTTTTGAAGAAGTAACGGAGGCGACGTGCGAATGCGCGCACGCGAACAAACTGAGCGGGAAGACGCGAGGGAGGTGCAAACATTCGTGCGCGGTTTTGATGGTTGGTTTAGATCATCGTCGTCAAAGTCGGATTCAGAAGAAGACTTTGATGAACAACAATAACTCGCCGAAAGGGAAGGCTTTGGGGGCAAATGGGGATTCTTCGTCGGGGGTGACGACGGGGAGGATGAAACGCGCGAGGAAGCTGCCGATGTCACTTTTGGGGGGAGGAAAGAGCGGAGACGGGGGAGAGGTTGAGAAGAGTAAGAAGAATAAGACAGCGAAAGCGACGACTCAGAAGACGATCCGGGCGGTTCAGACGACGACGACGAAAAAGAAGGATGATGACGAGAAGGCGGATTTTTTGGAGGATTTGCTGGATGATGGCGGCGACGAGGAAGAAGAAGAGGACGAAGACGGGAAGAAAGAAAGGCTGAAAAAGAAGAGGAAGAAGAAAAGAGGGAGAAGAAGAGAGACTTCCTCGTCGGACTCGGAATCGGATTTTGAACCGTTCGGCGCTGAAGTGCCGATGGAACATCGCATGCCGACGATGTCGCAAAGACCGACGCCGCCGAGACGACGACGGGGCAGAAGAGGCGACGCGGACGACGGGGATGATGACGAGATAGAAGACATGGTGGAGATATCCGATTTTAGCGATGGCGAAGAACTACCACCGCGACGACCGGCTGGAATCGATGGCGTCGCGAAAGCGCACGCGAACAAAAAGACGGCGCTCGAAGCGGCAGAATGCATGACCCTGGAGACGTTACGAGCGGCGTGCGAGAGACGCGTCGAGCGAGCCGCATCCGCCAAAGAAATAGAAGAAGAAGAAGAAGAAGAAGAAGCATACAAGGAGAAGAAGGAAAATGAAGCCGAAGAACAAGTACAAAACCACGAAGAAGATGGCGTCATCGTCATCGACGACGATGGCGACGAGATGGTTCTGGGCACGCAAAACAGATCGCCGGCGCCACCGCAAACAACAACAACTAAAAAAAGTCAACCGATGACGATGGAAGAAATGCAAAAGTTGTTCATGTTTGGCGGGAGCACAAAAGCCGCTGCTTCTCCTCCAATCAATATTAAAGAGAAGAACACCCACGCGAATTCTCCTCCAAAAGTGCCCGGCGCGGGCCCTCTCGCGTCCTCCTCGACGATGCCTCCTAAGAAGAAGAAACCAAAAACCGTCCCAATCGTAACCACTCAAGAAGACGCCATCAACTACTTTACCGCCGCCGCTGGGAAAAAAGAAGAAGAAGAAGAAGAAGAAGAAGAAGAAGAGAAGAAACGAAAACGAGCCAAGAAGGCTGTCGTCGAATACTCCGTCGCCGCCGACGCCTCGCTCAAGGAGAAACCCAAAAAGAGCTTCGCCGCCTTGTTCGAAAACAACAGCTACAGCAGCAGCAGCGACTCCTGAAAAAAGTGAACTTAAATGAACAACAACAACAACAACAACAACAACAACAACAACAACAACGACAACAACGACAACGACAACACCAACAAATAGAGTAGCGAAAAGCAGTAGACGCGCACAGATAGATAGAGAAATAGCTAAACCGCCGGCAAAAGCGCGCACATATAAAATATTCAAAAGCAGCAAAGCGAGAAAAGAAGAAAATCTACTTTTCTCCCCGGGGAGGAAAAAGGAGCACATTTAAATGCTCTTACTCGGTGTCTTTACAACCATAAAACTCCCATCATCATCGAAAAAGGATACATACACACAGAGACGATAGATATATGTGTTCTCCTCCGTAAATGAAACCCGATTCGATTCGCTCGCTCGTAGTCGTTTTCCTCTAAATTTTTACCTCTGAAAAAGCAGTTGAGTTCCTTCACAAAAAATTTCAAACGACGGCTTAATAAAGCACATCTTACTCCTCATGTCCTCCTTCTCTTCCTCCTCGAGACGAGCGATCAAACGTCTCGTTCGATCCTCGATCGGTGCTTCTTTTGGAGGAGGACTTTCTCGAACTGGTTTCGGTGGTTTTGCGGCGCAGATCCAGCGACTCATCAGCGTTGGTTGCGGATCATCATTTTCGTCAGATCTCCCGGCGGCGAAGAGAACAATCAGTAGTACTGAGACGACTTTAAAGAGCAAAGAAAACGAGGACGATGAAAGGTTACAAATCGAAGTCCCGGTGAAATTCATCGCGCACAACATCGATTCACCTCCCTCGCAACTGGTGGACACTTCAAAATCGGAAATCATCGACATGTTCACGCAAGCGTACCAAATGCGACGTTTGGAAATTGCAGCGGATACTTTATACAAGAGCAAATTTATACGAGGATTTTGCCACCTCTACGACGGGCAAGAAGCAGTCGTGGTCGGGATGGAAAAGGCGTTAACGCACGACGACGCGGTGGTGACATCGTACAGAGACCACTGCACGCACTTAGGGAGAGGCGGGACGCCGTTAGAGGTGATGGCGGAGCTGATGGGGAGGTTCGACGGCGCGTCGAAAGGGATGGGCGGGAGCATGCACATGTATCGACGCGAGGCGCATTTCTTTGGAGGGAACGGGATTGTGGGCGCGCAGACGCCGATTGGAGCCGGGTTGGCGTTCGCGTACAAGTATAGGAAGCAAGCGAACGTGGCGGTGGCGATGTATGGAGATGGGGCGGCGAATCAAGGGCAACTGTTTGAGGCTATGAATATGGCCGCTTTGTGGGATTTGCCGATAATTTACGTGTGCGAGAACAATCACTACGGCATGGGGACCGCCATCGAACGATCCGCGAAATCTCCGAATTATTATAAAAGAGGCGATTACGTCCCAGGGTTGAAAGTCGACGGAATGGACGCGTTAGCGGTGAAACAGGCGTTCAAGTTTTCCAAAGAGCACTGCGTCAGCGGGAAAGGGCCGATCGTTTTGGAGATGGACACGTATAGATACCACGGTCACTCCATGTCCGACCCAGGGTCGACGTACAGAACTCGAGACGAGATTACCGGCATTAGACAAGAGAGAGACCCGGTGGAAAGGTTGAGAAAGTTAATCAACGATCTAGGTTTATTGGATCCGACGGAGGTGAAAGCGATTGAAAAGGCGCAGAGGAAGATTGTGGACGAGGCGGTCGCGGCGGCCAAAGCGAGCCCGGAACCGACTTCGGACTGGTTGACGAAAAATATGCACGTGGACACGCGGAACGTGCGAGTCAGAGGGGTGGACGCGTACGCGTCGCATCCAGTAGTTTAAATTATTTGTTCTTTATCAATGTAATAAAAATTTGTTTTTTGCGGAGTATTACAATACGATACCTCATTCATATATGGGATTTTCTTCTTCTATTCTTTTCATGTCGCGTTCAACTCAACTTTTCAAAAATCTCAAACAAAGTCCCCACGGCGAAGGATATGAACAACGCGCCTCCGGCGTACGCCACGACTTTTTCGCTCAAATAGTCACCAATCAAATCCCCGGTCAAAACCGCTAACCCGGTCGCTACGCCGTGCCCAGCCGTACCTCCTAAAAATACTTGCGTCGGATCTTGCGCCGCCGACAACGCGATGGTCGCGAAGAAACTCTTATCCCCCCACTCGGCGGCAAAAACCAACGCGAACGTGCTCAGAATCAACGCCTGATCTCCGCTAAACTGCATTTTCCCAATCTCCACTTTCGCTTCCTCTTTCTCTTCCTCCGCGACGTCGTCGGCGTCTTCCGCGCCTTTAATCGTGTTGATCCCAAAATACAACAACAAAAGCACCGCCAAGATATCGTCGAACGGAATGGCGGATTCGCTCAAACCCAACGACCCTTCCGCGACGTGAAAAAACTGCCCAATGCACACGGATAACCCCGTCATCACCGCTAACGCGCCAAACGTCCCTAAAAACACGCTCGATTTCTTCTCTTTCAACGCGAGCAAGAGCGAGATAAAAAACGTCTTATCGCCGAGCTCGGACAAGAGAATCAAAAGGAACGCTTGCGCGAAACCTCCACCGGTGGATTCTAGATCCTCCTCAGCTACCGCGGCGGCGACGTCTCCCATTTCAGCCCACGCCACGTCTTGTCCTCCTACCACGAATGCTCCAAACGCAGTCGCTGCGACCATCACCATCAGGGCTACATTAAATGGTGGTTTACCAACATTTTTTTTGTTAAATACTCCCAAGACGTCATCTCGCTCACGATGGCTCGTCGCCGCAGCATCATCCCTCTCGCTGCTGCTCAAAAACTTTCCCTCCTTCGTGGCAAACGCGGTCGTCGTAAAACCGCGAAAACTCTCCCTCCTCCTCCTTTTCCTCTCGCTTTTCTCAGAGTTTTTGCTCGAAAGAGAGGCGGAGGAGGACGCTCGTCTTGTAATCCGCTCTCGCGTATTCCCGCACGGATGATGATTGCGATGAAAGTTCTTTTCATCGCTTCTGCCGATGCTTTTGCTTCTTTTTCTCGAAGAAGATGAAAAAGAAGAACAAAACGCTCTCGTCGTATTCGCCGCCGCGGTATAGGTGGTGGTCATTCTATGTGTATGTGTGTGTGTATGCGTGCGTAAACCCAAGATATAAATGGTATGAATGCGAAACTTATCTAAACCTTCGTCGTATCTCGAGGCTTCGAAAAAAGAGCAGCCACAACGCTTTTTTTTCAAAAAACGAGAAAAAAAAAATGAAATGAATTCGCGTGTGAATATTTTTTACTCTTTTTCTCTTTGTTTTTAAAATATTATATCACGCGCGCATCAAACGTGATGTCCGCCTCCTCCTCCTCCTCCGAGTCATCGGATGAATCGTCTTCTTCTTCGAGAGAAGGAGGAGAGGAGGAAGAGGAAAGCCAAGCGGCGAGGCTGGTGCGAGCGGCGGTGCGAGCGACGAGCGAGGTTTGTGTGTTCTTTTTTTTTTATTATTAGAGTATTCGAAGAGTTTTCTTCGTTTTTCCTTCCTCGTTGTGTGTATGTGCTAAACTCTCTCTCTCTTACTCTCTCTCCGATCGGGCGGGGCCTTTGAACGATCACACGAACAGCTCGAAACGCTTTTAAACGCAGAGTCTCGACCGTTCACGTGGTACCAGTGCAGAAATTTATGGTCCAGGAAGTTACTTCGCATTCGCGCGAATTCCAAGCTGTCTTGTTTCTCCGAGGCATTGAGAGATTTCGAGGCGTCTGTTTTAGTGGATTTTCAATCGAGATGGTGGATAGAAAATCGTCGGCGAAGGTGGTTGGAACACGTAGATAACGTTCGCGAGCGAACGAACGACGATGAAGAAGACGAAGAGAGCGATGGAGAGGATAAGTGCGGGGATTTGTATTGGCTGTACGCGATGTTAGCGATGCTTTTGGAGTTGGAGTCGTCGATCGAGGAAAGCGCGTTTCAACCGAGCGGCGAACGCGAGCGGAGGAGATGGAGGAGAGAGTGCGAATATTTAGAGGAAGCGGTGAGAGAAAGCATTGGGTTGGAAGCAGCGCCGCACCGAATTTTGATGGGGAGAGAAAGAGAACAGGTGAGAACTGCAGCGTTTGGTCGCGGCGAGAGAGACGAGGAAGACGGACCAAATAATAATTCGAGTAGTAGCGGGATCGAAGATGAAGATGAAGATGAAGACGAAGAAGAAGGAGAACGCATCATCTCGCGAAGATTACGACGACAACGCCACTCGATTGCCAGGAATACAAACAACAACAACCCTGCCTCTGATTTACATCCAGTTTCGTTTCGAGTCGAGCGGAGAGAAAGCGTGCCACTTCGCGTGGTTGAAACCGACGAAGCCGAAGAAGCCGAAGAAGCCGAAGAGATGTTTTCGAATTATTCTACCGCGAACGCTGACGCTCAAACCGTTGGGAGACGATCGTCGGTGATTCAATTCTCTCGAGATTCACCGAGAACACGCATGAGACACGTCCTCGAGAACAACAACAACGACGCGACGCCAAACGTCTTCGCTCGACCGACGGATATTTTGGAAACCGTCTATTCCAGCTTCGACGCGGACATCAACGCTCGGTCTCTTCGCGAAGCGCACATGCGCATCGCGAGAGCCGCGAGGGAAGGACTCGACGCGTCCACGCACTTGGCCACAATCATCTCACACCTTACGACGCAGCGCGCGACGACGACGACATCCGCACGTTCCACTTCTACGAACACGCCGCCTTCGATGGTGAATCGTGGGTATCGTTCATCGTCGATTTCTCGTCGTCGCTTGGATTTTGATGAAGACGAAGACGAAAACGACGAACAAGAACATTCAGAAAACCTCAAAAACGAAATCACGCGTTTGAAAGATCAAATCGATAAATTGGAAAAGGCTTCGACGTGTGTTATCTGTTATTCGAATCCGAGAGCCTGCACGTTGCTTCCGTGCTGCCACTTTACCACGTGCCTCGAGTGCGCGAATCGATCCAGAGAGCGGTTCGTCGAGCAGGCGAACGAGGACGAGGACGACGAGGAGGAGGACGCGGGAGAAGATGAAAACGACGACGACATAAACAATAATAACAACAGAAAGGTGAAGAAAAACGAGGTTTTCTTTCGGTGCCCGACGTGCCGAGCGAACGTCACGGGGGTGTTACAAGTGTTTCCGCCTTAAAAAAAATATTCGTTGCTTGCGCGTAGTAGTGCGATATATAATAATACAACCCCGAACAAATCTCGTCGTCGGTATTTTTACTTCGTATTAAACTTTCAAAACGGAATCCGACCACCGCTCTAGAAACTTCCTCGCCACTCTCGGCGCGTCTTGGACGGAGTTTCTGGCCAACTTTTCGAAATCGACGTCTTCTCTTAACAAATCAACCAATCGGGAGACTTCTTCCACGCGCAAACGATCGTCCTCGGTCAACGCTAAGATGAGTTTCTTTCTCAACCCTTCGTCGGTTAAGAGTAATCCGGCACCATCAGTCGCCGTATCGGTTAAATCCAAATCACCACCGCCGGTTTTCGCCAACTCGATTAAATTCTCCAACCGTTTCCATTGAAATTTGCCTTTGCTATCGAATAAGACTTGCGTCAAACGTTCTCTTAACCCGGCGTCGCGATCGGTCAGCAACCTTTTCGCGACGTACGGGTACGCGACTTCTAAAAACTTAAACTCTGGTGATAACGTCATGCAAATGCCTTCTTGCGTCAGCAACGAGCGAATGACCAAAGAAAACCGTTCGGGAATTCGAATCGGGTATTCGTACACCAACTCGTTGAACGCGCTCGTGACGGTTCGAAAGTTGAACTTTTCCAACGACGCCGTTCGAGCGTCTTGCCAAATGCGTTCCAACGCGGGGACGAACGGCGTCACGTTCGTTCCTTCGGTCAAGAATCCCAAGTTGACGAAATCGCTCGCCATCCCGTCGTAATCTTCGTTCACCGCGTGGACCACCGCGTCGATCAGCACCTCTTTATTCCGTTGCGTCAACTGCGCGACGTTGCCGAAATCGACGTACGCGATGCGGCCGTCGCGCATGGCAAAGATATTCCCCGGATGTGGATCGCCGTGAAACAAACCAAACTCTAACAACTGTCTCAACCCAGAGACGACGCCGACGCGAATGAACTCGTCCACGTCCAACGTGTCGCAAATTTCTTTCGGGTTCGTGCACCTCACGCCGTCGATCCATTCCATCACCAACACTTTCTTCCCGGAATATTCCGGGTAAAACTTTGGAATTTTCACGATTGGATCGTTTTTAAAGTTCTCGTAAAAGTCCACTAAATTCCTGCCTTCTTGAACGTAATCCAGCTCTTCCAACAACTTTTCTCCAAACTCGTCCACGATTAACTCGGCGTTACATCCCAAACGTTTCCTCGCCACGCCGTTGACGAACCCGCCGAGAATGCGAAACAAAACCAAATCTCGGTAAATAATCGGCTCAATCCCAGGTCGCTGGACTTTAATCGCCACGGTTTCCCCGGTTTGTTTCAGTTTCGCTTTATACACTTGCCCTAAACTCGCCGCGGCGATCGGTTCCGGCGTAATCTCCTCGAACAAATCCTTCACCGATTTCCCCAACTCCTTCTCGATGATGGCAAACGCCTCCTCCGTTTTAAACGCCGGCACGTCGTCTTGCAACTTCGTCAGCTCCTCCATAAAATCCGCTCTGACCACGTCCGGCCTGTTCGCCAACACCTGCCCCGCTTTCACGAACGACGGCCCCAGCGACGCCAACCCGACTCTCAGTTGTTCGCTCCTTTCTCTCACGTTTCGGTCGCCCACGCCGTTGATTTCGTCGTACAACAAAGACCCGGCGAACACGCCCGCGGACCAGGTGATTTCAATCAATCGTAAAAACGTTTGCGCGGATTCAAACGGCGTATTGAATAACGTTTTCTGTCGTATGCTTTCCGGCGAATATTTCGGACTCACGACGGAACACGCGCCTCGAGAGGATTCTAAATCCGCTTTTGGGGTGCCTCCGCCTCGTTCCGTCGCGGGAGAGATTCCCGCCGCTGCTTTGAGGACGACCGCATTCGCGCGCGCGCCTCGTCGTCGTTTCCCGCTCGCGCGAAGATTCGCACTCGAGCGCGCCAATGACGTCCTCGATTTCCCCTTACAATCATCATCTAGTAAAACGTTTTTGTTTTTGTTGTTCGTGGTCAAAGAAGCGCGAGAAGAAGAGGAGGAGCAGAAACAGCCGGTCAAAGTTCTCGTCGTCGTCATCATCGTATCGTTCTTTCTCTCTCTTTCTGTGCGCTGAACTACTCGCAAGAGCGCACGAGTGAAGCAAATCGCGCTCGAGAAAAGATTATCCAGGAGTTTTTTGTCAAAGAATTTAGGGTTTAAAGAACTTAATTGGAGAGAGAAAAAATCTGCCAGCTAAAAAGAGCTTTGACTCGAAATCCTCTCCATTCGTAAAACGCTTTATAACTGCGCGTAAAAGTCTGTCGTCGTTTAAGAAGAGGTTTTAAAAGTTGTTTTTTTACACAGACAGAGCGAGAGACAGACGAAAGAACTCTTCCGTGGTGTGCCTCTTTTTATATTGGCGTTTGTACTCTATTTATACGACTCTTTATAAATACATTGACTTTAAAGTTTGAATTTCGTTCGTTAGGTCAAAAATGCGATCTTTGTCGTCAACAAAGGCGTCGTTTTCGACGACGATGGTCGCCGCAATAATCCTTCTGTTCTTTTCCGGAACGAGCGATGATGTTCTCGCGGATCACGTGGGAAATGTGGAAAATATTAATTGGTACAAAGAGTACGGTTTTTACCAACTCGTTTCGGAATGTCTGAGTATGTCCTCCGTGGGGAACTGCCCGACCCACTGGTACAGCGTGCAACAGGGGGGGAAAACGTTACTCGACTGGGACGTGTCCATGATCGAGGACATGTCGGACGCGTTCGCGTACCAGTACACTTTTAACGGGGACTTATCAAAGTGGGACGTATCTTCGGTGACGAGGTTTGAGAGAATGTTCAACTACGCGACGTCGTACGAAGGCGTCGGCGTGGAGACGTGGGACACGTCCAAAGCGGAGTCCATGCAAGACATGTTTTGGGAGGCGACAAAGTTCAACGGGAAAGTTTCCGGCTGGAACACCAATAATGTGATTAATATGATGTGGATGTTCGACAAGGCGAAGAGCTTTGCGCAGGACGTTTCCGGGTGGACCAAGCACGACGGAAATGCCCAGTGCGGCTATTATGGATCCAATTACGATTTCTCGTGTACTGGTGGCGTCGGCGCGGACACGTCGCTGATGTTTCTAGACGCGGAAGCTTTTTTGGCGTCGTATAATTGCGGGGTGGACGGACCACCGAAGGCCTGCACGCCGAGCGGGAACGATGTTTCCGCTGGGATCGCCGAGTACGCTCCGGCGGCGACGTTTGACCTCTCGGTGTACACTGTCGAGTGGTTCAACTCAGAAGCCGCGTCGGATTATTACACTTTGGACGATAGCACCATTTGGGGCACTCCGCGATTGGACGTCCAATCCGGCGAAACGATCACCGATATGAAGTTTGAGTTGAACGAGGAGTACGCGAAGATGATCGGCGGGTGCGTCTTGCCGGGCGTTTTAGTCGCCGTGTTCATGTTCGTGTTTACTCTCCTCTTCTTCGCGTTTAAGTTTGCGACGTGCTGCATTTGGGTGGTGACGGGATCGTGCGAGTGCTGCTTGAGATCGAAAATCCCGACTGCGTCCGAGAAGACGTTCGCGAAGTGCGTCGTCGTGGTGTGCGCTTTGATTTCCATCGTCGGTTGCGGGTTGATTTACTGGGGAGCATCGGAGTTACCGCTCGCGGTCAGCGACGTCGTCAAGGGACTCAGCGACTCGTTGAACATTTTGACGAGTGACGTGGATATAATCGACGCGGCGTATACGAACTCCGCGGCTTTAATCCCGGACGGCGGCCAAGATGAAAAAGTGCAAATTTCCAACACGGTAGCGAGCGTGCAGTCGACCGTGAGCACGTTTGAAAACGAAGTCGAAATGTACGTGGAGCAAACGGAACGAGCCGCCATCGCGTTGGCCTCATTTTTGTTGGTCATTTCTTTAATTTGCGGCGGTTTGGTCTTTGGTAACTTTAAAAAGTGTCTCTTCTTCGCCTCCATACCGTTGTGGCTGTTCATGTTGGTTTCGTGGATCATGTTTGGCGTGTTTATGGGCGTCGCGCAATTTTTCGACGATTTGGAAACGACCGTGATCGATTGGCGATCAGCGGAAGGGTTTTACCCGCCCGCCGCGAATCCAATGACGTCGTTGGACGACGTGTTGCCGTGCTTCAGCGATCGCGTCGCTTTGGATACGATCACGGGCGCGAGAGAAACTATTTACGAAGGCATCAACAATTTGAACACAAAGTTGAACACTAACACCGTGGCCACCGAATATATCAACGCAGAATACAAAAAAACGACGGCGTTGGAAATGTGCGGAGCAAAGACTGGTAAGTTCAATGAAATTGGCGTCTCCAGTGAAAACGTGGCGTACGACGAATACAAAGCGTTGGCGTGCAACTTGCACGAGAGAGGCTTGTTGCTCGACGGCGACGTAGCTTTCGATGCGACGAACGCGGCTGGCTACGATCAAGATTGGAGCGGCGTACCGAAATCACACACGAAGTCGTTGCAAGACGCGAGCGGGTTTTACTCGAGTAATTACGGCTACGTTTTGCCCATCTCCGAAGTGTCGGGGACCATCGACATGATTAATGCGTTGCCAAACATCGACTCTTTGGCCCGATGCAAATACGTGCAAAGCTTTGTCGCGAAAGTCGCCGCGGAGCAGCAAGATTACGTCGATCCGATCACCGGCGAGACGATTCAAGCCCCGGACGATTCACCGTTGAATAGATTGTTGATCCATTCCCAAACTTTAGCGGTGGCCTGGTTTTTGATTGGTTTGTCTTACATCATTTTGTATGTCGTCATGATGAAGTACATGTATTGGATGCAAGCCGAAGATAAGGAGAAGTTATCCGAGGAGGAGATGAAAGAAGTGTGGGGCTCGTACCACGAATAAGAATAAGAATGAGAGAAGACTTCTTCATTCCTGATTTTTATAATCAGAATCGATTTTACACGCGTACGCGCGCGACGATAAAAATCGTATCATTATTACGTATATTTATAAAAAGTTTTGTATTACGAAAAGACGAAAGGTTTGGTATACGACTTTATTACTTTCCTGTACAGTACAGTACCATGTATGTACCCGTACTTTGCTATTTTTTATGCACGTTTCATCGTATATTTTACTCAAAAGCGCGTGGTATGCTGCGTGAGCGGATGCTGGTCTTCTCCGGCATCATCTTCGTCATCGCTAAAGTTTGAAACACCTTGACCAACAGCAGAATCTATACCTTCGACGCTTCGCGAATGAACCATGCTTATACTTCCGGGTCCACTATTCGAGGTGCCGTCGTGCGATTTCCGAGAAGTTGGATTATCGCCGAGGCTTTTTCTTCGATCTTTCATTTTATCGAACGACGAGGACGGATGATCATCGCTGGTATTTTCTTCTTTACCCATGGTGATGTGCGCCGGCGGCGCTTCCCGTTCGCTGTCGTCTCCGTCTCCATCTCCGTCGCTCTTTTGCAACGCTTCACTCGCGGAATGCGCGAGGCCGGATAGACCTTGATCACCGTGTTGCGGAGGTTTCTTCGAGGAAGAGACCTCGCTAAAGAGGGCGTGCAGCGTGCTCGAACCCGATTTGAGTTTTTCCATCGTTCTCTGGTGCATAAACGCTTTGTTTTTGTTGTTGACGTTGTTGTTCGGAGAGCTTTTTGTTTCTTCGTCATCACCACTTTTGTTCATCTTGACCAACTTTCCACAACTGACGACGAAGAGCTTCACTTGCCCTAAAGGCGTCCATTTGCCCGTGAAGGCGTTGCCGCTAATGGGCGCATCTCTTCCGGATATACGTTCTCGACGAGATGCGTACTCGTCCACGCCGCCGCCATCTCTCACGCTACCCTCTTCGCCACCGCCGCCACTCATCGAGTTTGTTCTGGTGAGTTCCATGGACGCCGATCGAGAAGAAGCGGCGGTTAATCCGGAAAGCTGCGATTTCGGCGCGTCTGGAGTCGGTTCCAACGGCGTAGGCTGTTTCGAGCCTAAACCGAATATGTTCGCTAACGAGTTCTTTCTCGCACCCATACCGCCGGAAGAAGAAGCGACACCGGGCATCGAATGTCCCAATCTGTATTCCGAATTCGAGCCTCCTCCTCCTCCTCCTTCGGTACCAGAGCCGAAGTCCTGTTCCGCCGAGGATTTCCCGCACGTCCCTCCTCGAATACCTACGCATCTCGAATCTAGAATCGCTGGCGCGATAACAATACCTACGCCTTCGACGCGAGCCATCCCGCTGATTAAAACAATGATTTTCGAAGGATCGTCGCATCGAAATTCAGTCGTCGTCGACGAGGCGGCGCTCTCTTGCGAGCCGCCTACTTTTTCAAATTTTCCTCTCGCCGCGAATCTGTGCGGCGAAAACTTTCTCAAACCACCTTCAATCCAGGACGTTCGCGATACGACCGCGCTCACCGCGCGTCTCAACGACGATTCCGCGAGCAACGCTACCGCGGCTCTTCGGTACGAATCCAAACACTCGCGTTCTTTTTCGTCCGAAAAAATGGTTTCCGCCAACGCTCTCGGGACGATGAAGCCAAACATTTTCGCCTTGGCAATCGCTTGAATCCCCGAGCGGTGAATAAACGTCCCAGTTCGCGAATCTCGACACATTTCCTCGTAGGCGGTTATCGCCCACGCTGCTCGATGCGATTTACACCCAATCACTAACGGTTCGTCTCCTGGAACGTCGTTGATTGTCCTGATCTCTAAAACGCCGTTGCCTATGAGCAAAATACCTTCCTCTGGCAGCGGTTTCGAAGGGTCGACGACGACGTCGCCGATGGAGTATTCTATGACGTCAGCTTCTCGAGCGATGCGAGTGCGCAAGGTTCGAGACGTCACGCCTGATCTAACAGTTGGGTCCATAATTGGTGTGGCGGATAAAATGCGTCCGGGAGAGGTTTTCGATGGTCGCAACGGTTGGGAGAGCAATTTTCGCAACACTTGCGCGTGCTCGCTAGACAAAATAGCCGCCTCACCTTGTTTCAACAAACCCGTACGAGTCAATCGAGCAATCTCGTGCGAGACGACTTCCAACGTTTCTCTGGCTAAATCTTCCGATCGTAAAGCTCTCGCCACGTGATTGTGCGAATGTTGCATCTTCTTCAACAACTCCTTCGCCTTTTCACACTCTTCGTTGGATTCTTTGAGCACGATGCGTAAGTGTTCTTGAACGGCTGCGGAAGACGATCCGGTCGTTTCCGCTTCCAACTGTTGGACGGCGTCCACCCTGCGACGCGAAGGCCCTCGGTGCGTATTTGTTCCAGTAGCGGAAGCTTTGTTTGCGCCGCCGCCGACTTTCCTTTGGTCGCCGCCTTTGCGCCTGCCGGCGGGCGAGGTCAGCGAGTTAGACGTTAACTGATTCAACGAATGAATGGAGCTTTGCGTCAAGTAATGATCGGAATCGGGTTCGTCGCCTCCGCCGCTAACGTCTTTATGGTGCGCCCTCGTACCTTCGCCGCCATCCTCTTCTTCCTCATCTTTCTCTTTGGAATCCAACAAAAGCCGTTCAAATCGCGCGGACGTTCTCTCGTGCACCGCGCAAAACGCGTTTAACGCTTGCATTCGTCGTCTCACGACCATCCACGGTTCCTCGATGATGCCTAATTTGCGTAAACCTTGCAAGATTTTCTTTCCGATTTGGTTAGATTCCATAATCGCGCTCAATTTTTTCCTCCAAGCTTTCGGTTCCAACATTCTCAAGAGATGGTCTAAATCCGTCAAAGACGTCCCAGGTGGTTCGTCTTCCGCGAATTCACCGGCTTCCATGATGTGACTGCACACGACCGCGTCGCACAAATCTTCCTCCAAAATTTTCCACGCTTCCGATCGGACGCCGTGGAGAAATCGACGACGAATTTCCTGGACCAACAAATTTTTATTCTGTTCGCGCATAAAAGCGTCTTGTTCGATAATTTTCACCGCCTCCATCTCTGTTTCGTCCATTTGCGGGTCGTCGACGACTCGCAACGCGGGAATGAGTTGTTTGACTGCGGTGAAATCCGGCGCGCCGACGTATTGCGCGCCGGTTTGACCGAGCGTTTGTTCGTAGTGTTCCATCGCGCGTTCGTGAATAGCTCTTCGCGCGGCAGTTAACGCAGACGCTTGCGATTTTTCCGCTTTCAATAGCCCGCTCAAACGCAACATCAACGCGCTCGTCGACGCGTTCAACAGCAACGTTCCGACGACCGCGGAGGAAACTAAAATTAAAACCAACCCTCGATCTCGAGCGGTGAACGCGACGTCTTCTTCCAAGACGACCAAACCTAGCGCTAAACCAATCGCGCCTCTCAAACCGCCCCAAACGCATATGAACCCTTCTGATCGACTCATTTGATACCCGGTTTTCCATTTCATGGGAATCCATAAGATGGAGATAGTCACGAATCGAATGAGATTTAAAAACACGTACAACAAAACGCCCCAGCCTGCGTCGGAGAATTTCAACTCCAACTCGTCGTTCATAACCTCCGACGCGATAATAAACCCGGTCAAAACGAACACCAACGTGTTTGCGCAATACGTCAACACTTCCCAAAAGTGGTGCATGGTATGTTCGATGTTCCCGACGAAAAAAACGCGACCTTTCGCGCTGATGTAAAATCCCATGCTCACGCACGCCAACACGCCCGAGACGTGAAAAACGCTCTCGGCAACCATAAACGTCAAGTAACACGCGAACAGCGTCAAAGTAATTTGTACCAAATGGTCTCTGAATATCGACTTGAGCCAAAAAATAACCAACTGTCCGGCGACGACGCCAACGAGCAAAGCGCCAAGCGGTTGCGTCAAGAACATCAAAAACACATCCAACGAAGTCTTGTGTTCGCCTTTACTAATCTCAAAAAACAACGTGAACACGACGATAGCGGTACCATCGTTCACCAGCGACTCGCCTTCAATCACGTGCCCTAAAATCTTCGACGCGCCTACCTCTTTCAAAATCGACACCACCGCCACCGGATCCGTCGCCGCTAAAATCGATCCAACCATCATCGAAAAGTTCCAATCCCAATCGAACGGAAACGCGTGCAAAACCGTCGCCGTAAGCGCCATGTTTATCAACACCCCCGGCCCTGCTAAGATCAAAATCTTCGTCAAAACTTTCGACAAGGTGTGCCACTCCATGGAAAAACTGGACTCGAATATCAGCGCCGGTAAGAAAACCGCCAGCAAAAGGTGCGGGTTTATGTGCACGAACGCGTCCAAGGAGTTGCCGACGCCGGACAAATCGAATTGGTCGTTCAATACGCCCATGCATATTCCTATGACCTGTTTTTTAAAACAAGAAAGAGGTGGAAAAAGAAAGCGAGAAGAGAAGCGTGTTAGTATTTCTGGTGGTGAGGAAAAGCGTCCTAAAAGTTAGACGTAAAGCCGAAATGATTCGCATCGTCGCTACGACGAGCGTAAATTTTCCTACTCACCAGCAAGGCAACGGTATAGGGAACCGGCGAATTGACGAAAGTGAACGCGCTCCGACAGGCGGTCCCGATCGCTAAGGCGATAAAAATGAACCATAAAATCGCCGTTGGATCATCACCCTCGTGGTGCTTTCCTCCTTCTCCGTCTGTGACGGAAGAACTCGCCGCTGCTGCTTCCGCGAGAAGGCGTCGCCGCCATATCGTTTCCCGAGAAAACAGAGACATTTTACACTAAAGAGACTCTTTCCTGCGCCTGCTCGTCACCATGAAGACGACGACGAAGAAAAGACGACGACGACAAAGGAGTATCGACGACGATCTTTGGGACGAAGGGGGAGTTCAGAGAGAGAAAGAAGCCGGGACGATGATGATGATGGTGTTGTAAAGTGAGGATTGGTTTTGGATAAATGTGTGAACTGTGGACTCTTTTCGTATACTAAGCAGGATAAATGACATATCCTACATATTAGAGAGCGAAGCCAATCTTTTGGAAACACCGAGCGACGCAACTTTGCACGTCCCCATCCAGCAACGACAACGTGGATTTCAGGACGTCTCCTGGACATTTTTGGGCGCACTGCGCCAAGGATTGACCGAAATATATTTCGATGTCCGGAACTTCGTCTCGCAAAACGTCTTCGTCGGCGCGCGCGCCTTTAACTTTCGCGGCGGAGAGTTGAGAGTAAGAGGCGGAGTAGCCGCCTTGTTGCTCGATTTTTTCGAGGAGTTCGTCCGCGAGGTCGATGTCGTCGGCGAGTTTCTCGGTGTTGGAGGTGGTGGTGCCATTCGGTGCTAATGATTTCCCGTCTTGGTCGGTCGTGGAAACGTAGGCGTCTACGCACCTCGCCGACGCCGCGCACACGTCTCTCCAACACTGGGCGTTGGTGTTCAACAACTCCGTTTCGCACAAAAATCGCGCGCCAGCCACGGCGACGAGCTTTTTCTCCTCTTTGGCGGCAACTTTCTGACTTTCGACGGCGAAAATGTTCGAGAGAATCATCTCGTGAATCCCGGCTTGTACGGTCGCCATGCTCGATACCGCCGCCTCGGCGCCTCGCTTGGCGACCAACACGCTCAAAAATACGACAAAGCCTCGGCAAAATTTTGGCGTCTTGCCGCTTTGTAAGCGCTGGAACAAAACCTGCCAAATTGTCGGCAAATGTTCGCTCCAGACGGATAAATCTAAACTCTTCGCGAAGGCGTTCAAAATGTAAAAACCTTGATGATCGTGCGCTTTGCTCGAGATGAGTTTTTGAAACACCCCTAAGACGCCGGTGAGGTACCCTAATTGGGCGATTTGTACCGGCGCGGCTTTGAGATATGCGTCTAACAATCGGACTAATGCGGGGATGTTGGCTTGTCTGTCCCACGTGTGCGGCGCGAGCAACGCTGGGAGGAGTTGTAAGTATTGTTCGGTTAAGGAGATCCCAACCGCGACTCCGCCGGTACCCGCCGCCGGTACCGCCGCGGATTCCAACATCAGCGCCAAGATTTGAAAGACGTACGGCGTGAATTCCGCGTTGTCTCTGGCGAGAATTCCCAAGAACGTCGGGAATAATGCACTTTCCACGCGCTGTTTCTCCTGCGAATTCGGTGAGAAATCAACGCACTGCACGCACGCCGTCGTTGCTTCGAACAAGAAGTGATTGTACGTCGGATTCCTAGGGTTGTTCGCGGCTTCGTCGAGACGCTTGCAAAGCTTTTCGCAACACGCAAAAATTACTTCGTTGGCGAGTAACTTGCCGCCGCCGCTGGCGTTTGAACCTCCTCCACCGATATATCGCAACGTTTTCGCGATTAATTTCGCGATGAACTCATTCTCGCTAGAATCTTGCAATTCAAATCCGTTGAAACAGTTTTGCAGAATATCATTCGCGAACGGCGCAAAGTCGTTCGGAGCAAACTTGACCGGCGCCGAAGCGGCTATGGTGCTATTTTGTTGTTGCAGTTGCTGCTGTTGCTGCTGCAACTGGCTATAATCGCGACAGGTCATCATCTTTTCTATGCAGTTTGCCGCGTACGAGTGAACGACGTTAGAGCTATCCAAGAGTAACTTAGCCAAATGCGGCAACATTTGCAATTCTGCGTCTCTCGGGACGAATCCTCTAAAAACGGTGAGGAGCTTCAAGCAGTCCGCGCGCACGACTGGGTGCGACGTCGTCGCGTTCTCGCACAGTAGTTCGCTCCTGATGTGCGCGTTGAAGAAGTCCGCCACGTCTACTAACTCGTTAATCTCCGTCGCGCCTCGCGCGTTGGTTTTCTTCTTCACCGCCAACGCCAACACCAAATAAATGGCGCAATCTTTCGCTTTCCAAAACATGGACGGATTTTGTACGTACTGCGCTAAGAGCTGTTGCACGTATCCGCCAACCGCGGCGGTGCAGCTTTGTGGAAACTTGGCGGCTAACGCTTTGATCAGTTCGCACGCCGCCCTCCGCCTCGTCTCTTGGTCGCCTCCTTCCATATCTCTTCGCAAATACTCCGCAAAGTTATCCGCGAAAATTTCCTCGTCCTCCGTCCGAAATTGCAAATTTGGAATGGCTATATTTTCGATGATATTTTGCAACGTTTCCGGCGCTTCGAAGAGCGTATGATGCACGCCGGAAGCAACGACGGTCAAAAATGCCATCCCCGAGGACGCGACGCGTTCGCGGTATCGCTCGACTTCATCCTCGTCTTCCTCGTGGTTGTTTTGATATTGACTATTATTATCGCTACTTTTCTCCTTGGAATAATTGCCTAACAGCGTCCACACGTCTCTGACGAAAGTTTCCAAGTATGGCTTAAATTCCTCTTCGTTCTTCTCCGCGTACAGATTTAAAGCGTCGCAAATTGCCGCGCGCAACGCGTCCATATCAACACCCCATTCGTCGTTACCGCTCCCACCGCTCTCTATCCCGACGTTCAACATGCCGTGAAACAGCTCCATCCAGTGCGCGATATCGTCCTCAAACACCTCCGGCAACTCCTGCGAGTTCAAGGAGTAAAATATTCTCAAGCACAATCTCAACGCTTTCACCATTTGTTTCCTCTGCGCCTTCTCTTCGTTACTACCACTGCTACCACTGCTACTGCACACTCTTTTCGCGCACTCCCTCGTCACCTCCAACAAAGGCTTCGCGAACCCGTCCAGCGCCATCTTCAACTCCACGTACAACGCGTCCGTCTTCGTCGCTCCTCGAAACCGTTTAAAAATCGCATTCGCCACCGTCAAACTATTTATCAACGTCTCTCCCCTTCTCTGACTATCACCACCTTCGACGAGAATCGATCGACCAATCTTCTGCACTAAGCTCGGCACGAGTTCCGGCCACTTCCCCTGCGGAAACTCTCGCGTGCACGTTAAATCGTTCAAAGCGATGATTTGCAAAGCCTCCGCGAGTTGATTTTTAACGTTAGTATTACGAACCGATGCCTCGTCTTCCTCGAGCGCTTTTTCCAGGACTAAAACGCGTAATCTCGCCTTCGCGTCCGGTTCGATTTCCTTCCACTTCTCTAAAGTCTCCTCCTCCTCCTCGTCCAAATCAGATACAATCCATCGCTTCTTAATCCCGTTTTTAAACGCAACCGCGGCGGCGAGTTTACCCCCGTCCGATACCAATTGCTCTCCCTCGTTACCACCACCATTCCTTAAAGACGAGGACGACGAGGAAAGTAAGAGTAAACTTTCCAATCCATCGCTTCTCGGCAAGACGTTTCGGAGTAAAAATCGGGAACTTTCCTCTCGAATCTGAGGATCGCTCGAAAGCGTCGAGTCGAGGACTCGAGCGAGATGAGGCAAATCCATGGTGATACTTGCTGATACAGAAATTGAATGCAGGAGGAAATGACTTTTACGACGCGTGAGTGTACTTCCGGCGAAGAGAACGGAGAGTTATTGTGACGATGGCGTCGCTTGATTTTGAATCCCGATGGTTTTAATGGTTTAGGGTGTAGGTTTTAGACTAAAAGGCAAAGAGCCTTCCTTTCTTGAGCGCGAACGCGACGACGACGGACGACGATGATTTATTAGAGCAGTATTCATTCGCGGTGTGTTCTTGTATTCTCAATTCTTTATATATTTATACAGAGAGCAAATTATTAAGAAGGACCTTGGCTGATGCTGACGCCTTGGCCGAGGTACTCGTCTTTGAGTTTTCTTCTACTAGTGTTGCTATCGTCGCTATCGCTATCGTTGGTATTAGTAGTAGTATTATCGAGGTCATCAAAGTCGCCTAAAAAGCGAGCGCGTAAGTCGCTCAAAACTTTGGACGGGTCGACTTTACCGCCTCCCCAGACGCCGGCGCCGACACCGTTTCGGGTGCGTTCGACGCCTTCCATGAGTTCTTCGTATCCGCACGCGTCTTTGCCGTTGCGCGCGGCGAGTAAGGCGGCTTCGTTGCACGCGTTGGCGAGTTCGGCGCCGGTGAATCCTGGAGTTTGTCGAGCGATGGCTTCGCAGATTTGACCGAGCGGTTCTTTTAAGCGCATGCCTCGCAAATGGACCGCGAGTATTTGCGCGCGACCGCTCGTCGTCGGAGGGCCGACAAAGACGCGTCTCGTGAGCCTTCCCGGGCGGGTCAACGCCGGGTCGAGCGCGTCTGGTCTGTTCGTGGCGGCTAAAACTAACACACCCGCGGCTTTGTTAAACCCGTCCATCTCAACGAGCATTTGGTTCAACGTCTGGTCGCGTTCTTCGTTCAATCCTGCGCCTCGTCGAGCGCCGATGGCATCGAGTTCGTCGATGAACACCACGCACGGGGCTTTCTTTCGCGCTTCCGCGAAGAGTTCGCGAACGCGCGCGGCGCCTCGACCGACGAAAAGTTCCACAAACTCCGAAGCAGCGACTGGAAAGAAAGCGACGCCAGCTTCGCCGGCGACCGCCCGAGCGAGCAAGGTTTTCCCCGTCCCCGGAGGTCCAACTAATAGACATCCCGCCGGGAGTCTGTGACGAACTTCTTTGTACCTCTCCTCGTTTCTCAACATCTGAACGAGTTCGTAGAGTTCCTGCTTCGCTTCGTCCACGCCGGCGACGTCTTTGAACGTCGTTTTAGGACCTTTCGAGTCGTCTCGAGCGTCTTTTTTCTTCTTACCGTCTTGTAATCCGTTTTGTTTCCGGACGATGCCTCGCAACCAAAACAGCAGCGGAATAATCGGAAGCCACACAAACGCGGTCGCCAACGCGCCTTTCGAGGCAAACGTGGAGATGGCGGGAGATACCGCTGAAAATTCCACGTTTGCTTTCTCGAGTTTCGGAATCAACTGTAAATCGTTCGGTAATCGTCTCGTTTGGTACCGTCGTTTCATGTATTTCTGCGCCGGCGGTTGTTGTCGCTTACTCGCCGCTTCCATCGTCGCTTTCGCTGGACTCGAAACGACCAACGAGGACGTCTCCTTCACGTCAAACAACAACCTCGTCGTCCCTTCCTCGAACCTCACTTTCGTCACCTCCCCTTTCTGCACGGACTTCAAAAACGTCGAATACGGCACGCTCTTCACCGCCGGCGCCGGCGGATGCCGCTTCGCGTGTTCGCTCCGAATCCCCAACCCACTCCCAACAAAAAACGCCGCCGATAACACAAACTTCGCCAATCTCGTCTTCAACACCGCCCCGACTGCTTTAAACACGTCCGTAAACACCGTTTTCATCACCACTAAAAACAACGCCACTCGTCTTTTGGTAAACTCGACGAGCGAAAAGTTCCTTCGGCGATTGGTCTCAAACTTCTCCTCCTCGGTTTCCTCCGAGAAGGAGTTTAACACGTCCGACGGGATTTTATTCGTGTCGTTCTCTTTACTCGCTCGGTCTTCTTCTTCTTCCTCTTCTTCTTTGTCCGATGATGGTGATTCATTTTTACTCGCGTTCGCTCCGATTCCTCTCACACCACCACCTCGAGCTGAGGAAAGGGAGACAAATCCACGCGTAATCTTTCTCCCGCCGGTGTTGTCCTCGCTTCGTAAAGCGCGCAATTTCGACGCTCGGGGGCATTTCAACACAGCTTTCACCGCGGTATAACCACCCGCGTTTCTTCTTCTCCTTCTCGAAAGTTCTTCTTTTCCTCGCACGTTTCGCTGGCCAGGCGCCACGTGACACGTCGACGGTTTCCCCAAATCCGCATCTCTCCCGCGACGAAGAAGAGACGAAGACGACAAAAAAGTGGAAGACGCGAGCATGTTTTACTACCACCGCTTTAACTCTCTCTCTCTCTCTCTCTCTGTGTGTGTGTGTGTGTTTATGTGTGTTACGTGTTCTACAAGCAAAAGTGTGTCTCAGATTTGTGTCGATAAATTAATACTCTGAGGATAAGGCAGGAAAAATTCTTAAAATACTACCGCACGCAAAAACGTCTCTCTCTCGTCTCTTTTACGCTTTGAACATCTTCTTTTTGATGGCGGAGAGGAGCTTGGTACCGACACCACCACCGCGCTTTTTACCGTCGTTTCTTTTTCGGTCGCTCTGAGTGACGTCGTCGTTTTCTTCTCCTTCGTTTTCATCCCCCGCGGCGAGGGGAGAGGCTTTGGCGGTTTTCTTCGTCTTCTTTTGGGAGGAGGATCCCTTTCCTGATCCTCCTTTGGAAATTTGGGTCGGGGACGGACGTTTCTTGGCGTTGGAGAGCGAGGGGGATTGTTGCTTCAACGGCGTCGTTTTGAGGGAGTCGAACGCGCGAGATGGGGAGATTGGGGTGGTGATTCGAGCGGGCGAGATCGTCCCCGAGATGGACGCGTCGGCGTTTTCGTCGTTGGCGGCTTCTTCCTTCTCTTCTCCTTCTTCTTTGGTCGTCGGAGCATTTTCGACGGCTTCAGAAGCGGCGGCTTCTTTCTCCTTTTGCTGTCTAGCGACGGCGTCTCGTAGCGTCTTCTCTAAAGCGACGTACTCGTCGCACTTCTCCGCGTTCGGTAACTGTTCAATCATCAATCGAACGGTGTGTAACGAGTACCCAAAGAATTCCGGTCCGGAGATGGCGGTTTTCTTCGCCGCCTCGCCTTTTTGTTCGCGGATGGTTTTCGCGCGTTGCAAAACTTCGCCCCAACACGCGGTCGCGGATTTCTTTTCGATGACTATGGAGCCGTCTTCCGTGGTCAAGGAAAAGAGCGGCGTTTTCTCGGATTCGTCCATTTTAATCTCTTGCGTCCACGTGCACTTCTCTTCCAAATTTTCCGGGTCTAATTTGGAATACAACTTTGTGGTTTTGAAACCGAGCGGTAAGATGTAGTTCACGTTCGACCATCCTTTCTTGGCGTCTTCCGGCGAGTGCAACACCGTACCTAAACATTCGATGGTGACGCCGCCTACGGGACCGATGGGCGTTTGAAACGCTTCGTAACCGGTTTCGTCGGCTTCTTTTCGAGGCAACTCTTTCACGGCTTGCGCGGCTCTCTCGAGTTTGGCGAGAGGGTCGCCACCCGCGCCGCCTCCCGCGCGACGGCCGAGAGACGGTGCTTTTGGTTTCTTTTCTTTTTTCGGTTTCGGTTCTTTCGGTACTTTCGGTGCTTTCGGTTTCTTTTCCTTCTTTGGTTTCGGTTCTTTCGGCGCTTTTGGCGGTTTCGGCAACGCCGCGCTGTCGCGCTTGATGCTGAACGCGTTTAACGGTTTGTTTCCGAGCGCGGCAAAGAGGCGGCGGATGCGGTAGGCGAGATGGCGGCCGTGTACCCATTGTTTTTCCGTCTCCATGTCGTCTTCTTGCTGCTGCTGCTGCGGCTGCTCCTGCAGGTCCGTCGCGATTGCGGGCAAAGCGGTGGCCTCGTCTTCTTTCTTTTCCATCATGCGCATGCTCGCCATGAGGTCGTCGTCGGCAGCTTTATCGATATCCATGTCCTGAACACCTCCACCGAATTCGGGCACGTCAACGATGATGCCACCGCCCGGCAACGTCGCCACCGGCAATTTCGCGACGGGGACCGCTTTCTTCTTCTTCTCTTCCTCGGGCGCGACTTTACCCTTAAAATCCCACGCGAAGGCTAACTCCTCGTCGTCGCGAATGTCGTTGTATTTTCCGAAACCCCACTTGAAAGTGCCACAAATCAACGCGCGATCGTGCGCTTCGTTCCACCATTTCGCCGGCGGGGCGATCTTTTGTTGATCTGTTGGTCCCATGGAGACGTCTGGGACGTCCAACTCCATAGAGGCGCCTTCAATGCCGCCAACTTCTTGGACCGCTTTCCATCCGCACAGCAACATTTCCAACTTCAAAGCGTCTTCTGACGATCGCTCTTTGCAGTGCGTGTAAAAATGTCGGTCCGCGAAGATTTCGTTGAGATAATCTTCACCGCCGGTGGCTAAATGTACGATGGCTTTTTCGTCCTCGTCGATTTCGCCGAAAACGGTTTCGCGCAACACCGGCGTAATCGCTTCGTGACGTTGGACAACCAAAGACGCATAGCGTCTGCAAAACGCTTTCAAGTGCGCGATAGTTTTGTCGTTCTTCAACTGCGCGGTGTCGTAGATCTTCTCCCAGTTTCCAAAACCAAACATGGCTAATTTATCCAACGAAGAGCGTTTCTCTTGCCACGACCACTCCCAAATCTCGCCGTTGGCCATGCGTCTGTCTTCTTTCTTCTTCGCCGAGAGTAACAACGCTTGTTGTTTTTGCTCTTCCAGGCGTTTCTTTTGCGCTTCCAGACGCTTTTCTTCCTCGGCTTGTTCCGGCATTAACTTTTGCCAAAAATCCGGATCGTCTAAATCTACGTTCATCTTCTCCGAAGCTTCCGAGGCGAACGTCGCCGTGGCAAACAAAGAAGACTTTTCCTTCTTCTTATCCGACGGCCGCTTTTCTTTCTCGTCCTCCTCGGCGTCGACGACTTTTTGCTCCGAGTTTTGCAAAATCGAGTCGATATCGTCGGAGCCCCACTTCTGGTATCTCTTCTCCGCCTCTTCTCGAGCTTCGGTGAGGAGCCCGTACGCTCCGTGCTTGAGCAAATTTTCAACTTCTTGTCTTTGCTCTTTCGCCGATTTCGCGGAGGGCTTTTGTTGTTGTTGTTGTTGTTGTTGTTGTTGTTGCAGCGCAGCGTTCTCTTTATCGCTATCGTTATTATTGATATCGCCGAAAATGGCTTGTTCTAAACCAAGTTTCATGGACGCTCGAGTAAACATTTCCTTCTCGTACGTCCCTCTCGAAACCAAGCGGTACACCTGGACTGCTTTCGTTTGGCCAATTCTGTGCGCTCTGGCTAACGCTTGCGCGTCGTTTTGCGGGTTCCAATCCGAATCAAACACGATGACTGTATCCGCTTTGGTCAAGTTGATGCCTTGACCGCCGGCCCGAGTGGATAATAAGAACAAAAACGCCTCGGAATCTTCCGCGGAGAATCGGTCGATGGATTCTTGGCGTTTCTTTCCAGTCACGCCACCATCTAATCGCTCGTATTTATGGCCTCTGGCGCGATTGTAATCTTCTAAAACGTCTAAAACGCGCGTCATTTGTGAAAAGATTAAAACTTTCGAGCCGTTCGCTTTCAATTTCGGCAAAAGCTTATCGAGCAATTGCAACTTCCCGCTCGCCGAGACGAGTTTGTCGATGGTAACGGTCATCGTTCCGTTCGAAACGGCATTTTCGACGCCGTCGAGAAGGAACGGGTGTTGACAGCACTTGCGCACTTCCATCATGACGTTGCGAAACATAGAAAGCGCATTCTCGCCGTTCTCTTCCTCCTTCATTGAGATCGTCGCATCGTCCGAGCCAGACGCCGAGGATAAGAACGAAAAGTTGCGCTCAAACAACGCGCGATAGCACTTCTTTTGCAACGGCGCCAACTCGCACTCGACTAACGTTTCAACTCTCGGGGGCAACTTTTGCTCCACATCCGTTTTCAAACGTCTCAACAGGTACGGTTTTAACACCGCGTGCAGCGCGTCCACGTGATTCGCGGTGGAGATGTTGCCGAAGACTTTTTCGAATTTTTCGCGTTCGGCGAATCGTTGCGGGTCGACGAATTTCAACAGACTCCACAATTCGCCGACGTTGTTTTGCAACGGCGTGCCGGTCAATAGCAACGTCTTTTGCTTTTTAAACAAGGAAAGTTCGTTGAAGAGTTTACCTTCGCTGTTTTTCAACTTGTGCGCCTCGTCGACAACTACCGCGGACCATTCAATTTTACCGAGCGCGTTTTTATCAAAGTTCACCATCTCGTACGTGGTCAACACGACGTCCGCTCTCGACCCCGGGGATAAAGTGTTTGATTGCTCGTCTTTAGGCCACAAACACTTGTCTCGGATTTCCGCGCGCGCTTTTGCGGTTCCGCTGTACACGACGACGTTCAAATGCGGTATCCACGTTTGGCACTCGCGTTCCCAGTTCACTAACGTAGACAACGGCGCGACGACCAGCGTTGGAAGGTCCGGGCGTACGCGTTCACAAACAACTTCTAAAACGTTAATTGCTTGCGCGGTTTTACCTAATCCCATCTCATCGGCTAAGATGCAACCTGGACGACCGGCGTGAAAATTGCTCGTGATCCATTTGACGCCTTCGGCTTGATACTCGCGCAAAATGAAATCGGTGTGTTTGCCGTTGAACTTCTCCGGTTCGATCAAAGCATCGTTTGTCGTCCACACTTTCGCTCGCACTTCGCCGTCCTCGGGTTTCTTTGCGGCGTCTTCTAATTCGCCCGCTTTTTCGTTCTTCTCCGTCCATCGCATCTCCTCCTTGTTGAAATCCGGTACGCACGAAGGAAAATGTTCCTCGACAAACTCGAACGATTCCTCCGTCAACTCGTCGTAATTCAAGCCTTTCCACTTGCACAGATACAACGCTCCAGGTTTCACCGCGACAATTTTATCTAGTTCCATGACCTCCTTAGCCACGTCCACGGACACACTCTTCGTATTGGCTTCCCCGGTGACTGGGTCCACCTTCGGAAACTTGATGTACAGTTGCGTCAATCTTTGCTTCTCGACGAAGGATTCTGGAACCCATCGGGAGTGGAAATACGCGACGTTTTTAAACTTCACCAAAAGCTCAATCTCTTTCGTTTCCGTCGTTTCCGTCGTCGTTTCCTTTGTCGCGCTTTTTTTCTCGCGCCATCCCAAAACTTTCTCCACGTTCTTCTCCGAGAATTTCTTCGCATCGTCTTCTTCCTCGTTCGACGATACCGTCGGCCATCGATCGGACTCCCACGCGACCGCGTCTCTGGTCCCGATGCCGCCACCCAAAGCGATCATCATCGCCGCGCCAGTCGGTTTTGGTTCTCGAGTATTCTCTCCGTCATCGTCGCTCGTTTCTTCTTCTTTACTCTTCTCCTTTCCTTCTTTTTCCTCCTCCGGGAGGACTTTCGTCGTCTCTTCCCTCAACACTTGACACCAAAACTTCTCCTCTCGTTTCGGTTTCATCGCATGTCCTCCACCGTTTTGTGCAAACAGTTCGTCGCCGGACATGAGCGGCGTTTTCACCTCTCTCCCGCTCTTCGTCTTCGTCGCGACGTATGCGTCGTCCAAATCTTTCGGCGTTTGTAAAAGCATTTCTCCCGCTTTTTCCAAGCATCCCTCCGCGTTCGCCAAAACGCGAAGCACGGTCGATTGGAAGTGATATGGAAACGCGGATTGGAGAATGTCCAGTTCCGCGGGCCATTTTTTTTCGAGCAGTACATCTGCGCGTGTAGTAGTCACTTGCTTTTGTTCGTGTTCATCTGCCATCGTCATTTTTATCGCCTTTATCGTCCCGTTTATGTTGTTCTTCCGCGCGCGCGTGCGTGTCTTTGATATGAAGAGAAACCTATTCAAAAGTTTGAATTTTTGAATCCTTTGCGTTTAGGGTAAACGTCTTTTTTTTAAACAAAAAGCAAATGTGACATGTGGATATACTCAGACATACTGGTATTATATCGTAAGAATAAAGAACACAAACGACACACGAACAGAGAAGAAGAAGAGCAAAAGCTCGCAGTGAGCGCGACGAAGACGATTTTGGTTTTACTCTTATTCTTGTTGTTGTTGTTGTCAACCGTTTTGCCCCCGTAATAACCAAGAATAAAAGAATAGTATGGATCTGAACTCGGCGTTGCGAGAGGAGTTCGACGCGTTGAAGAAATCGTCCGCGGCGCATAGTATTCCGCACGCGCAGTTGCAAGCGGCGTGGGCGAGGACGATGGAGCGAGCGTTGGAGAGTTTGGAGAGGAAGGATGAGGCCATCGAACGATATCGAGAAAAGGAAGAAGAGTTGGAGAGGAAGATTGAAACTTTGAGCGAAGAGGTTGGGCGATGGAAAGAAGCTATGGTGGAAGAGGAGGAGGAGTGCACGTTGGCGGCGAAGAAGTATCGAAAAATCCAAGACGTCATGGAGTATGCGATAGAGTTATATCCGAACTTCAGATCGCAGTTCGCGAGGGCGAAGGAGAGGTTGCGCGAGAGTCAAAAAACAAGCTATCGAGGCGAGGGACCTTCGCCGTTGTGGAAAGGCATTTTCGACGCGAAAAAGCCGGATTTGTTGCACAAGTTACTCCGAACGGACGCACGGGAGAAGGATGGGTACACCGGAGAGACAGTTAAGGCTATGGGCAGTAACGAGATTAAGTTTTTGTACAGGACGCATCCTGATTCGAGAAACGCTTTGAAAAAATTGAAGGTGCCTATACCAAGAAGTTACATATACTTACAATTTCCAAGAGAGTGTTCCGCGAGAAAATGGGCGAGAATTCTTTACTTCGACGAAATAAATTCGCTAAACCCAGATTACGACAGCGGAGGTTTCTTGGGTGATGTATTCGAACACATCCTAGGTGACATGGGGATGATATAAAAAAAAGTAAGCGGGGGTTATTGAAGAGGGAAACGGAGAAAAAAGAAACATTGAACACGGAACAGACACACACAGGTGACGCACAGATACATAAAGATGCATGAAAAAAGAGAGACAAATATCGAATTACCTACAACTGTACGCTCCCACTCTTTTCTTTATTCGCTCGCGAGATGACATCTTTCACGACCGCTTTCGTATCTCCCGCGGGCGCTAACGCTTCGGCTTGTTTGAACATCGAAGTCGCTTCGTCCGGTCGACCGATTTCTCTCATGAACACTCCTCTCGCCAAATATCCTCGAAAGTCCTCCGGATGTTTCTCGACGACGTCCGAGAATGCTTTTTCCGCCTCTTTCCCTTTGCCTTTCCAACCCGAATAGACTCTCGCTTTTAGTAACTCGGCATCGACGTCGTCGATGTCACCGGGATTCTTCTTGACGAATGCGTCGACGTAGGCCAATGCGACGCCTTGTCGGTTATTTTTCGACAACGAATCCGTCAACGCTTTCAAAAACGACGCCGACGGTGGGCCACTCGAATCGCTTAAATGCTTATCCGCGTAATCCTTCAGAACCGACAAAGCGCGTTCGGGTTGCCCGTCTAAATTCCACACCTCTGCAATCGCCATCGAGTTCGCCTCGGTATCTTCCAAACTGACCAATTTTTCCATCAGCGGCAACGCGCTCGGGTAATCGTCCAGCGCCAAAAAGTTCTTCGCTTGTTGCTTCAACAACTCCGGATCGTTCGGCGTGCTCTCTAAAACCTTCGTCAGTTCGTCTTTCTGCTTCTCGATGTCCTCCAACGCTTCCTTTCGATACTTTTCTTGCACTTGTTTCGACCCGATGGCGTTGAACGTCAAATCCGTCGGTATGAAGACGATGGCAAGCGCGATCGCCGCTAACAAGGAGCCAATCCGCACGATCGGAGATTTGAACACGTCTTCGTCATCATCGTCACCACTCTTTCTCGGAACGACTGGTTCGCCACCAAACGTCGGCGCTAACGGCGATATCGGCGTTATCCCTCCTCCTCCGAAAGGACTACTCGACGATGCGTTCGTCGTCGTCGTCACCATCTTCGCCTTCGTCTTCCCTTCCTCTTGCACGCGTTTCAACTTTGCCTCGAACGAATCCAACGCATCGTCATCCATCGACGACGAGGACGAGGACGAGGAAGAGTTACCGTTCGAATTCCTCCTCGTCGCCGCTTGCGCTCGTTCAAACATCGCCAACTTGGCGTCCTCTTGTTCGATGAACTCCGTTTTCGTTTTATCCATTTTCTTTTGATTCGATTTCTTTCTTTGCGCCGCCGAGACGACGACGCGCGAGCTCCTCCTTCTCCTGGTCGTCGTCGTAAAAGTAGTGCTCGTCGTCGTCTGAGTCGTCGTTTTGCCAACGCCGCCGCTGGGAAGAATACACGCACCACCCATCTCTCTCTCTCTCTCTCTCTCTCTCTCTCCAAGTAGTAATGTGCTTCTCGTAAAATGAGGAAAAACTCGAGGGAGAAAAAGAGGGCAGAAAAATGGTTTAGGGTTTTATCAAAAACCCTAAACTTAAAGTTTTATAAAACCCTAAACTTAAAGGCTTAAAAAAAACAGGAGGGGAAAAAACAACTGTTTGAAACAGTTATTTTACGCACGCGTGTTGTGTTCCTGCTCTTTCGTTTAAGCGCGGACACAAAACACGCGAGAAAGGAAAAGAAAGAGAGAGGAGAGAACACCGAACGACGTTTTGCTCTTTCGTGTACTGGTATACGATTTTATATCGTTTTCCTTTTTTTGCATATCATACGTTATTATACACACAAACAAACGGGTAATCATCTCTGAAACGACGCAGATAATAATATGATGCAGTCGCAGTTTAAACGAGAACACTCGCGAGGTAACGCTCACTTTATGCACACAGAAACGCGTTTCCTCTCTTTAGCGTTCATTTTTAAACGCGTGTGTGTCGTCGTTTTGGTATCTCGCGGCTTTGCGAACGAACGCGCTCGGAGGAAGCGAGAGTGTACGATTTGAGTATATTCTCCTCGCGTTCTCGGATGTTCCAATCGTTTCGAAACTTTGTGGTGCCTTGACAAGCGACGAGATGAGCGCTGACATTTTTTTATATACACATAAAACAAACAGAACAAAGATCGTTCGAATCGAACCGCATACGGGTGAAATATCCGGACAGAATTCCTGTGATTGTGGAAAAGTCTCCGAAATCGGACGTCCCGGATTTGGATAAGAAGAAGTACCTCGTTCCGAGCGATTTGACGGTTGGGCAGTTCGTGTACGTGATTCGGAAACGAGTGAAACTGTCCGCGGAGAAGGCGATTTTTATCTTCGTGAACAATAAGTTACCACCGACGGCGAGTTTAATGAGCACGATATACGAGGAGAATAAAGACGAGGACGGGTTTTTGTACGTTTTGTACAGCGGGGAGAATACTTTCGGCGGCGAGGACCCCTTTTGCGCGTTCGAACACGTCGAAGAGGAAGAACTTTTCCAAGAAGAAGAAGAAACAGAAGAAAAAAAGGAAGGATAAAAAAGAGAGAAAAGAAAGGCGGCTGAAAATAGCTGATTTGAGCGGGAGAGAGGAGAATGAAAGAAGAAGAAGAAGAAGGAGAAGAAGAGAGGCGCGAAGCGAAGCGAGAAGATGTACCAACAGACGAAACAACAGACAAAACGCAGGGAAGTAGCAGAGAGAAAAACAAAAACAAAAACAAAGAAAGAAAAAAAGTTTAGAAGAGAGGGGTGACGACGGCGGTTCCGCCACGAATAATATTTTACAAAAGTCTCTACCAGTATCTCTCTAACCATACCCATTACTCTGCTGCTCGGAAGCTTTTGCTTTCTTGTATTCGGCGTGTTCTTCGTCCGTTGGTTCTGGGCACCCTTTTTCTCGAAAGTAGTTTAGGCACATTTTCCCCTAAAGAGAGACAAACAGTTTCCCTTCACAAATATACCACGCGCTTTGTTACGCGCTTAAAAGTGAGAGACAGAGAGAAAGAGAAAGACCAAAGAGAGAGCAAAGAAGCAACACATTCTCGCATCATCTCTCATAAATCGAGAGAGAGAGAGAGAGAGAGAGACGACGATGGACGAGTTCGCTTTGTTCCAATCTGAAATTCAGGAATTGGAGGAAACGAACGCGAAAGAAGAATCGAAAGAAGAAGACAAAGTTCCGATTCAGTTCCGGAAAAACGCCGGGGTAGTCATCAGCGCACCGGCGGCGATTAAAGCGGACGCGTTTGAACCTCGAGGACGACCTGTTTCCCCAGAAAAGAAGGAGGAGGACGACGGTTTTGGAGGGGCGATTGGACCAAATTTTCAGCCTCCACCTCCTCCTCCTCCTCAGGTTTCGAACGCGCTCGGCCCGCAACATTCGATAAAAACGGTCGGACAACCAGTCGCGCGACACGTCGCCGGGGAGAAATGGATCGATAACACCCTCTCGGAATGGCCGGCGAACGATTACAGGATTTTTGTTGGGGATTTAGGGCCGGAGTGTACGGACGAGCAGTTGGCGAAGGCGTTTAGCGCGTACGGCTCGTTCGCCAAGGCGAGAGTGGTGAGAGATAAGAAGACGATGAAAAGCAAAGGGTACGGGTTCGTTTCGATGATGGATTCGATGGATTTTGCGAAAGCGATGAAAGAGGTGCACGGGAAATGGATTGGGTCGAGACCGTGTAAGTTGAGGAAGAGTTCGTGGGAGGAGAGGAACGACCAGACCGCGGCGAAGAGTAATAATAGTAAAAGGAAAGGAGGAGGGAAGAATTTAGGCGGCTTGGGTGAATTTGCCGGAGGTAAGAGGAAGAAAGGAGGTGGGTACGGGTTAAAACATAGTAGGAAACACTTGGCAGTCGCGCCGTCGATCGAGAAGTACAAAGCGAAAAACAAATGAAAAAATCATAATATATTAGCGCTCGCCGCGAGGCAAAGGGCAGTACGTTTAGGTGTAGGAAAACGAGAAGAGATTTCGCGTTCGTTTCGAATTCGAAGAAGAAGTTGTAACGATTGAAAAAGAATCATAACCATCTCGAGAATGTGTCCGATAGTGTTTGTCTCGTCACTTCGTTTGAAAGATCCGTTGGAGCTTGTGCAAAGTCGTGATTTTATCGTCATTCACATTCCTTCGATGATAATTTTGAAAGAATTTTCGTTGGTCCGCGATGTTGTTTTTATCATTCTCTCTCTCTCTCTCTTTCTCTCTTCTCACACACACGCGAATAATTACAGTTTCTTCTAATGAAAACAACAATATCTAGTGATAAAATTATTAATACTTTTCCCCGAACCATTTTTGGTCTCTGAACGAACCAGGTCAAATCATGCCTTGCGCGGCGGCAATCTGTCGTAATTGCTCCACCTGCATTCTTTGATCCGGCGGAAGCGCGGCGATTTGCTGCGGCGTCAACGCCATGACTTGGGCTAAGAGTTGCGATTGATCCGGTTGTTGTTGTTGCTGCTGTTGTTGCTGTACCAGTGGCGGTGGCGGCGGTGGTGCGCCTCTACTTACCACCATTTGCGGCGGCGCTACGTTGACTACTTGCGGTGTCGGAATCGGAGTTTGTTGTTGTTGTTGTTGTTGTTGCATCATCGGCGCGACGACGCCAACGGGAGGCTGCTGCTCTTCAGCAATCATCGGCACCTTCACCATCCCTAACGCGAGCTGACACTGGAACGCAGCTAAACACAGCTGCGGATTCGCGCTCAACAAATTTCTCGTCCCAACCGGATCCCCCTCCGCCATCTCTTTCAACTCTCTCACCACGTCGAACATTTGCGTCGGCGTCAAATCGCCGATTCGTTTCGACAACAAGTCCATCGCGGCGCCTTTCCCATCCGTCGGTTGACTAAACCCGCCCGCTGGAGCCATTAAACTCGACGCTACTTTTGCAACCGTAAGTCCAATCGGAACGGACGGGTGGTAACTGTTCAAATCGAGTTGTTGTAACTCTCTTCGTCTTTTCTCGCTTTCCGTCACTACGGTCACTCTCAGAACGCCTCCTTCCAATCCTTCCAACAGATCCCCTTGTAATCCTTGTCCTCCAGTCGTTGTCAAAGGACACCCGTCTCTCCCGAACTCCGCGTGTTCCAACAGCCGTATCCGTACTTTTTTCTCCTTGTATTCTCTCCCGTTTACGTTTCGGACGGCACTTTCCGCCAACGCGCGATCGGTAAATTCACACGCCGCGAACGGGAACGGTTTCCCGGTTTTCGTATCCGACGGGATCTGTAAATCGACCACGTCGCCGATTTCGTCCGAGAATAACGATTGGAGCGAACGTTCGGTGCTGTCGTGCGGGAGGTTTTGTATCAGGACGGAGTTTTGGATGTTTTTAATGCCCGGGAAGAGAAGAAGTCTCGCGTCCATTTTTTGTGCGGAATTTTCGTACAAAATGCGAGTGTTTTTTCCCTTGTTTTTTTATATCTGTACATCTGTTGTATCTGCTCGGTCGCGATGATTCTCGAGCTGAAAATTCTCACGAAGAACATGAAGGCATACATGTACGCGCGTGCGAAATTTTAGGAGCATTCAGAGCGAGACGTAGAAGATACGTCTCTCTCTTTTTTCTGTTTTTGTCTGTGTTTCGTAACGGCTTAATTTTGGAAATCCTTAAAAATAAATATACACGGAACACACGAGAGGACGATAACAAACGAGAGATATAAAATGGGGAAGAAGATATCCGGCGCGCAGAAGAGGAAGAAGAAGAGGGAGAAAGAAGAGCTCGCCGCGGATATGGAGAGGTTGAAGCTTGGACCGACCAAGATATGGACGGGGTTGGTGGTGCATCACAAGGATGTGTTCGTCTCGCATGTGATTCCGAAATTGAATAGGACAGATCGGTTTTTCTTTTCAGAGGTGAACGGAGAGAGTCGGGGTGTGCTTACGTACGCCGGGGTAGACGTATCGAAATTAGGTGTAAGTGTTTTCGAATGTTCATCCATTTCGACGTTAGAATGGGCGTGGAATAACATACCCTGGGGAGAGAAAGATGGGGAAGGAAACGTGATAGATCAAGCCTGGTTTTGCGCGGGAGTTGCTGGAACGAACAAACTCGAGTTTCTCAAGTGGGCGAGAGAAGTGAAACATTGCGAATGGGATGAAGAGACGATTAATCAGGCAGCATCTTTAGGTAATCTCGAGATGCTGAAGTACTGCTTCTCTAATGATTGCCCGTGTGATGAAAAAGAGGCGTGTGGACAAGCTGCTATTAAAGGACACCTCGACTGTATTCGATTTCTTGTCGACAAAGTGAAACCTTCGCGAGAGACGGAAGAAAAAGCGGCAATGCTGGCAGCACAATTTGGTCACACGGACATCTTGAAATATTTCGTTGAAGAAAGAAAGATATCGCTTGAGGGAAAGTTCACCTGCGTCGGAGGCGCTGCAATGTTTGGCGGACTCGATTGTCTCAAATACTTGGTCGAAGAGGCGAAAGTGCCTATTAACTACTGGCGATACACCGCTTGCGCTCGGTACTTCGAGCAACCCGAGTGCGAAAACTACATGCTCGAAAAAGGGTGCCCAGAACCAACGGACGAAGAATACGCTTTGTTTGTCAAGGACACAAAGCAGTTTCAGAACAGGCAATGAGAAGATAACTCGTTCTTAGATTAAAGAGAGAGAAAGAGAGACAAAACTTTATTTCATCACTATTTTTACTAACAAACACACCGACGAGAATTTCAGAAAGAATTCGTCACACTACTCCTAAGAAAAACAAGAGAAACACACATCGTACTCATGGGGAGATTCACCCCCAACGACACTACAAATAACCGTAAAGGTGGTCATCGCACCGAGGATCGTCGTCGTTTACGTCGTCGCGATTCTTTGTCTCCTCCTCCTCCGTCGTCGCGCCGCTTTACGAATCGAAACCAACATTTTCCACGCACTGACGCTGAAAGATTTTCTTCTTCTTATTCTTCTTCTTCTTCTTTACTAAAGAACGATAACAGCAACGAAACTTTACCCGACGATGGTGGCAATACGACGACCACCACGGGGCGCAATATTTCCGCGACGATGACGACAATGAACGAGGATACTGCGATGGATGAAAAACAGGTGAAATTTTTACTCGGAGAACTCGATCCGGAACTCGAGCGAGAAAAGGAAGAGGCGCGCGAGATGGAGGAGAGACGGAAACGACGACGAGAGATTGTGGAGACCATGGGCGGTGGTAATATTATTACTACGACTACTCGTAAAGAGGATGTTCATGAGAACTCGAACGAAGCGAAGAAGAGCAAACGGGACGGGATGGTGGACGCGGGAGGAGCGAAGACGATCCCGGAGAAGAAGAAAGAGAAGGATATGTTCGACTCGGACTCGGAGGATATGTTCGGCGAGAGCGACGAGGAGGAGAATATTACCACTACTACTACCACCGCTGCTGCGAATACTGGGAATACGAAAACGATGACGACGACGATGCACAAAGGCGCCGCCGCAGCGGGAGGAAACGATAACAATTCTCAAGCGTTAAAAGATAACTGGGACGATATCGACGGGTATTACCGCGCTAAACTCGGCGAGCAGTTAGACGACGGGCGATACGAAGTCATGGAAACGAATTTCGGGAAAGGCGTTTTCAGCTCCGTTTTGAAAGCGAAAGATTTGTCGATGGAATCTCAAAATGGCGAGTCGTCGGCGTTTGTCGCGATTAAAATCATTCGAAACAACGAAACCATGAGAAAAGCCTCGAAAACGGAAATTGCCATTCTAAAGAAACTCTCCGATCGAGACCCGGAGCGTAAAAAACACGTCGTTCAGTTCCATCGCTCGTTCGAGTTCCGTGGCCACGTCTTTCTAGTGTTTGAAAAGCTCTCCATGAACTTGCGCGAAGCGGCGAAGAAGTTTGGCAGAGACGTCGGCATTTCCATCTCCGCCGTTCGCGTGTACGCTCGACAGTTGTTTGTCGCTTTGATGCATTTACAAAAATGTGGCATCGTTCACGCGGATATTAAACCGGACAACGTTTTAGTGAACGACCAACTGAACGTGTTAAAGATATGCGATTTCGGCTCGGCGTTATTCAACGCGGACAACGAGTTGACGCCGTATTTAGCCAGTCGATTTTATCGAGCGCCAGAGGTGGTTTTAGGTTTACCGTACTCCTTTCCGATCGATTTATGGGCCGTCGGGTGTTGCCTGTACGAATTATACGTCGGCAAGATTTGTTTTCCGGGTAAAAGCAACAACGAAATGTTGAAGTATTTCGTGGAAATGAAAGGCGCGGTGCCGAAGAAAGTTTTAAGAAAAGCCGCGTTCAAGGAGAAACATTTCGACCGAGACGAGAATTTACGGATCGCAGAAGTCGACAAAGTCACCGGAAAAACCATGTTTCGCGTCTTCGACAACAACACCTTATCGGCGAACAAAACCGGTCATTTAGAATCGATGCTCAACGCGGTGTGCGTGGAACACGGCGGCGACGATTTCGAGAGGAAAAAAGTGAGACAGTTGAGCGATTTATTGGAGAAGATTTTCATTTTAGATCCCGAACGAAGAATAACCGCCGGCGAGTGTTTGCAGCACCCGTTTATAATTGATACGAGTAAATGATGATGATACTACTTTTAGTGAGAACAGAAAAAGAACGCATCATAGATAGGACGCGTGTTCGTCGTAGTAAGGAGGGTGTATTTTATTAGCTTTGTTGTCAAATCATCATCATCATAGTAAGAGAGAGAGAAAATGAAATGGTGAATTTTCGTCGTCGTGTTTTGTGATTAATAAAAATTTGTTTTCAAACCTGTCTTTTTTGTTTGGTTTTTAGCGCCCGCGACCGAACATCTTGCTCGGATCCCACGCCCCAGCTTTGGGTTTCGGCTTCTCCTTCGGCTCTTCCGGCTCTTCTTTCTTCTCCGGTTCCGGTTCTTTCACGCCTTCTTCGATGATTTCAGCCATGATTTTCGAATCTTGCGTGAAATCCATCGCGTCGCCTTTGAAAATCTTGTTGAAACCCAACTTGACTTTAAAGCCGCCGTCCATGGTATCCGTCACGTTTTTGCGCAATCTGTGCGACAAACACGGACCTATGACCTTCTCGACGTCGTCTTGCGTGACTTCGTTGCGGCCTTCGTACGCGACGTAGGCTTTCGCCGCCCTCGTGACGACGATATCACCTCGCAAACCGTCCACGTCTACCAAGGCGCACACCGAGGAAATCTTCAACTGAATATCTCTCGAAATTGTCACGGACGGTAAAATGTCTCTCGCCTTTTGAATTCTCGCTCTCAACGCTTCAGTTTCGTCCGCGCACTCCGCCTGGTACGCTTTCGGGTCTTCGTCGAACTTGATCTTGTTCATGACCAAATCCGTTCTCTTATCGACGTCGTAAACCGTCGCGACGCTGACTTTCATCCCGAAACGATCCAACAACTGTGGTCTCAACTCGCCTTCCTCCGGGTTCCCGGATCCAATCATGATAAACTTCGCCGGGTGACTCAGAGATATTCCTTCTCGTTCGACGGTATTCCACCCGCCCGCGGCGGAATCCAAAACCACGTCCACCAACGAATCGTCCAACAAGTTCACCTCGTCGATATACAATAGCCCTCTGTTCGCTTTCGCCAACAATCCCGGATCGTACGCTTTCCGTCCTTCGCTCAATGCCTTTTCAATGTCAATAGTCCCGCAAATTCTGTCTTCCGTCGTCCCTAAGGGCACTTCCACCATCGGCACGCGCATCTTCGCTGTCTCGAGCGCTTCGCCTTTCTGAAACTTCTCCCTCACGTCCGGACCCATCAACTGAGGATCCGTCGGCGAGGAGTTAAACACGTCTCCTTTCACCACGTCAATCTCCGGTAAAAGTTGAATCAATGATCGAACTGCCACGGATTTCGCGGTGCCTCGATCGCCCATGATGAGCACCCCCCCGATGGCTGGGTCGATCACATTCATGATCAGACACAACTTCAACTCCTCTTGGTCGACGATTTTCACGAACGGGAACGTAATCTCCGTCTCGTTTTCCACGTACCCTTCCGTGCCAGGTTCTGCGATGGCCGCTAATGAAGTCGCCGCGTTGTTTCTTCTCCTATCGACAAAACTCTGTCGCTCTTTCTCGTTCCATCTCCTACTCGCGATGCTGCGTGTGTTGCTTCTTCCTCCCGTCGTCGTTCTCATCGAAGAACAGGACGACGACGACGCAGACGACGACGTCGACGCCACCCCGCGCGCCATCAAAACAGTGTTTGCCATTCTTTTCGCTTCTCTCTCTGATTCTTGTTTGTGTGTTCAGAGAGTCGTAAAACGAACGAGGCAAATGTCTCTCCTGTAACAAGTGAAGATATTGGATAACTCTCTGTCGGAGAGATCTTTTTCCTCGCTCGAAAAGGGAGTAAGCATTCGTACTAAGAATTTAGGGTTTAAGTGCTTAAGCTTTACTCAAATTTAGCTTTATAAGTGCTTCGTTCTTACTCGTGAGTGCTTCGTGCTTACTCTCAAATTTCAGTGCAAAAAAGAAGCACAATAAAGGGCTGTCCTTCTCTGCATTCTCCACACTTTCATCAGTACGAGCTTCTTTGCAGAGTTACGAAGAAGAAGAGAAATTACTACTCCTACTAAGAGAAGAGAAGCGTTTCACTTTTGCTGCTTTTCTGGTGTTGTTTTTGGTGGCGTTTCGTTGGAAAGTATTTATAACATCAATGGAGAGAAGCTTGAGCCAATTTGGAGCGTCGTCCGCATCCAAAATCACGTCGTCATCGTCATCTTCCTCTTGCGCGGTACGAGCGGCGGCGGCAAATTCGAGAGCGCAACGGATCAGCAAAGGAACGACGAAAACAACGACGAGAACAACGCGAACCGGTTTAGGGGCGGTGGTAAAGATGATGGCGACGACGGAAACAGATCGAATGACCATCAAAACACACCACTACGATCAATTATCCAAAGAAGAGCAAAAGCTCTTACTGAAGCGACCGCGGGTGGATTTTACCTCCATCGCATCTATCGTGGACCCAATCGTGAATAAAGTGAGAGACGAAGGCGATTCCGCGGTTTTAGAGTTCACGGAAAAGTTCGATAAAGTCAGGCCTTCGCCCTTGGTGGAGAAGATTGAAAACTTTCCGCAACCGTCGTTGGACCCTACCGTGAAAGAAGCGTTCGACGTGGCGTTTGAGAACATCAAGAAGTTTCACGAGGCGCAGTTGAACACGGGAGAGGTGGACGTGACGACTATGCCTGGCGTGAGATGTCGAAGAGTGGCGAGACCAATCGGGTCGGTTGGTTTGTACGTTCCAGGAGGGACCGCGGTGTTGCCGTCGACGGCGCTCATGTTAGCCGTGCCGGCGATGATTGCGAAGTGTCCGATTGTGGTTTTAGCCACGCCGCCGTTGAAAGACGGGACGATTTGCCCGGAAGTTTTATACTGCGCGAAAAAGTCAGGCGTCACGCACATTTTGAAAGCCGGAGGCGCGCAAGCTGTGGCAGCCATGGGATACGGCACGGAGACGTGTCCGAAAGTGGACAAGATTTTTGGCCCGGGGAACCAATTCGTCACCGCGGCGAAGATGAATTTGCAAAACTCCGACGCGATGTGCGCGATCGATATGCCGGCGGGACCGTCCGAAGTGTTAGTCGTCGCGGATAAAGATGCAAATCCGAGCCACGTGGCGGCGGATTTGTTATCGCAAGCCGAACACGGCCCGGATTCGCAAGTCATTTTGGTCGTCACGCCGGATGTAAACGTCGAACGCATCGTCGAAGAAGTTCGAGTGCAAGCGAACAAGCTCCCGCGAGCAGACATCACGGAAAAAGCGTTGAGCCACTCTTACTGCGTCGTCGTGAAAGACATGGACGAAGTCGTCAAGTTTTCCAACGCGTACGCGCCGGAACATTTAATCGTCAACGTCGAAGACCCGGAAAGTTTACTCCCGTCCTTGGACAACGCCGGAAGCATCTTCATGGGAAGATACACCCCAGAATCCGTCGGCGATTACGCCTCTGGAACCAACCACGTCTTACCCACCTACGGGTTCAGTCGCATGTACTCTGGCGTCTCCTTAGACTCGTTCATTAAATACATGACCGTCCAAGAGTTGACGAAGGAAGGCATCGAAAATTTAGGCCCTCACGTGGCGAAGATGGCCGAGGTCGAAGGCTTGGACGCGCACAGATTAGCGGTGACGCTGAGATTAGGCATAGAGTAAAGATGAGAGAAAAAAGAAGGAAAAAAAGCACGAGAGTTTGTTCGTTTTTGAATGACCGTTATTACTTTTGCTCTAATACTATCGTAAAATCGTATCTTCGTGCGCGACGCTTCCTTTCTCTTGTGCATTTTTGATCGATTTTTCTTCAGTCTTTTTTTGCGCTTTGGAATTTTTAAAAAGAATCACAACTAAAACGAGAGAGAAGAAGACGCGCAAGAACACACAAAGCACCATGTTGTTGTCTGGGGAAGGCGTCGTGACGAGAGCGAGGAAGAGGAAGGTTGGTGAGAGAGATTCTTTGTGGGATTTGGTCGTGAAGAACGACGATATAAGTTTGACGCATATCGTTCCGAGATTGAATGCGACGGACGTGAAATTCTTGTACGATGTGAATAGTGAAACGAGAAAGTTGATTAAGAGATCGTCTCGCGCGGATGATTTGAAAAGGAAGTTTAAAGTGAAAGAGATGTCGTCGATATCTACGTTGGAGTTTGCTTGGGAGAATAAATCGTTGTGGTCGGGAATATACTTGTACGACGAACCATATTTCTGCTTTCGAGTTGCTCTAACGAATAAACTCGAGTTGCTCAAGTGGGCGCGAGAGGAGAAAAAGTGTGAGTGGGATCATATGACGATTAATAGGGCCGCAGAACAAGGCAATCTGGAAATGGTAAAGTATTGCGTTGTAAATGAGTGTCCTATCGATGAGTGGACGTGTGCATACGCTGCCGAAAACGGTCATCTCGAGTGCCTCAAATACTTACACGAAGAAGTCAAAGCGCCTTGGGATTGGAGAACTGCCACAAGGGCGGCTATATATGGTCATCTACATATACTCGAATATCTTGTTGAGCGTAAGTTTGATAAATATAGCGAAAGTGCGTGTTGGTATGCAGCCGAGTCCGGCCACTTGGACTGTTTGAGGTACTTACACGAAACCGCCAAAGCGCCTTGGGACGAAGAAGCGGTACGCTACGCGCACAAATACAACCAAACCGACTGCGTACAATACCTCCTCGACAACGACTGCCCTTTACCACACGGTTGGCGATACGAACGCGGCGAGTTATACGCGTCGTAATAAATGTAAAGATTCAGAAAAACTTACCAAAAAGAGAGAGAAACAGACTCTTCTCAACGCGCGACGTCCGATACATCGCTTCCTTCTTTTCTCTTCTCTCTGTCCGTTCAAAACTCGAGTCAAATAATCCAATCGCACGTCACAACTTCTCCGCTCTCACTCACGAACACACACGCATCGAACACTTATCAAAGCGCACAGTTGTTTCCTTCGACGATTATTCAGCGGAGATATCATATTAAGACGCGCAAAACAGAATGAACGCGGACGAGGCGTCTCGATGTTTGGACATTTCTCGCTCGAAACTTGCCTCGGCGACGTGCGCGTCGGATTTGGATTCCGCGTTGAAATTTGCCAAGAAAGCCGCGAAACTTTCCTCGTCTTTGGCGCGAGAGGTTGCTGAGTTAGCGCGGGAGATTTCAGAGCGACGAGCGAAAGGGTTCGCGGCGTCTTCGCCTCATCCTGGGGAGCGAGCGAAAGAGGCGAGTGCGAGACGCACGGCGCAAGAGACGACGAGTGGACAGTCGACGAAACGAGGCGAAGACGCGCACGTCAAAGGGACTGCGGAACAAGAAAAGTTGATGAAAGATATCACATCGAAGAAGAACGATTACTACGCGGTGTTGTCCGTCTCGCGAACGGCGACGGAGAACGAGATTAAAAAGGCGTACAGGAAGTTAGCGGTGAAGATTCACCCGGATAAGTGTCAAGGGACGGGCGCGGAGGAGGCGTTTAAGATTGTGAGTAAAGCGTTCGCGTGTTTGTCGGACGCGGAGAAAAGGGCGGCGTACGATAGGTACGGGAGCGAGGAAGGGCCGCAAGGTATGGCGAGTGGGATGCGGAGGCGGCACGCGGGGCAAGCGCACTCGCCGTTTGGTGGGTTTGAGGACGATATCGATCCGAGGGAGATTTTTAACATGTTCTTTGGCGGAGGTATACCCGGGGTGAGGTTTCAAACGTTCGGAGGGAACGGGTTTCACGCGCACGGGTTTCACTCGCATCGAGAGCAAAGGGCGAGGCAGCAGCAGAGACAGAGAGAGAATAGAAGTAATAATAGCAGTAGACGACAGTACCATCAATCGGAACCGGAACATTTAGCGTCGACGTTTGCGAGGAACTTTATGCAAATGATTCCGATTCTTTTGTTTTTGTTCTTGTGGGCGTTCTCGCCGGCGCCGGAAGTGCACTATCAACTCTTTCCGGATTCACCGAACAGCGGGTATCAGACGAAATTGCAGACGAAAAAGTTAGACGTGCCGTATTACGTGAAGAGTAAAGCGCATTTTGATAAAAGTTTCACCCCGGGAACGTTCAATCGACAACGCATGGAGCAAACGATCGAACGCGATTATCAAGGCATGTTAGAAAACTCGTGCTTGTTCGAGAGAGGGACGAAAGAGAGGATGTTGAGGAGTTATTCCAGAGATCAGAGAGAGAAAGGGAAAGTGTACGAGATGCGACATTGCAACGAGTTGAAGAAATTGCGGCAAAAGATGCGATGATGTCGTCAATAGTAGAGCGCAAAATATGGAGCAGTTGTTCAAAGTTTTAATAAATAATTTCTCAAACTAAGAAAGCACGTCGTTTCCGACGGCGTAATTCCACACGACGCGTATCATGAGTAGGAATACGGCGAACATCATCATGCGTTTCGCCCATATCATGCGAATATCGATGATGCCGTCAAACTCCGGGCCGGTTTGGATCCAGTCGTGGAAGCCTCTGGACACTTTGCGAAGCTCGACGCGCACGACGTCGACGAGCGCGAAAACGATCGCACTCGTAGCCGATCGCACGCACTGCGTGGCCATTTCAACCGCGAACTTCCGCGAATTCGGCGTCGCTCTCACGACGTCGAATAGATCTTTCGCCAGTTCGCCCTCGAACGTTCGAAAGTTCCCACCACTTCCGCCGCCCGTTGTGGGATGTTGTTCCGCGGCGAGGTTCGCGTTGGACGGTCTACGAGGCGGTAACCCGTTGAATCTAGGCGTTTGGTCTGGAACATCTCCGGCGGAGTCTCCCGGGATGGATTTATCTCCATTTTGATCTTCTTCATCATCGTCGTTTTCATTGATTTCTCCCTCTTCTCTTCGTCTTTGTTGCGCCAACGCTCTTTCCAACGGCGTCTTTGGCGATCCGCTCTTCTTCTTCGGTCCTTGTCCTTCTTGATCTTCTCCCATGGACAATCGTTTTTCCATCGCAAAACTTGCGCTCGCGCGAAACTCTTCCGCGGGTAGATCTGCGATCGATCCGCGACTTCTCGGGCCTCTCCTCTTATTCGATTGTCTCGCCATTTCCGAGACGAACCCGCTCTTGTGTGTTTCCGCTACGTAGGTTTCCACCACTTTCGTCGCGACTGAATCGATCAATTTGAATCCGATTTGAGGGTTCGTCTCTAACGCTTTGATGACGTCGTTGAACGGATTCGCCTCGTTTCGTTGATTTTCCGAAACGAACGATCGCACGCCGACGTCGATGAGATCAAAAAGAAACTTTTTACGCTTCTCGATTTCTCGCATGGCCAAGTCTGCGACGGTTTCGTACGTGAGAGGAGACTCTCCCTCCTCCGCTCCAACACCTAACGTCAGCGCCTTCTTCGTCACTGTCGCCACCGATTCCACGCAATTCGTAAAAATAGAGTTAAACCTCAAAGCGCTCTCTTCTGTTTTCAACACCGTCTCGGTCACTCGCGATGCGAAGTCCGCCATTCTCTGCTCCAACACACGCAAACCCCCGTTACCACTACCACCATCATCGCTATTACTCGAACTATTCGGCGCTAAAAGAGAAATCCCCGCCCCGATGTCGTTCGCTCTTTGCACGCTCTTCATCACGCCGACGGCGATAAAATCCGACACCGCCTCCATCACCTCCGGCTGTTGAGCGCACCGCAACATTCGCCGCAATCGTTTCGGTACCGGTTTAGAGTAACGCATTTGCTGCTCCTCGCGTTCGTCCTCCTCCTCGGACGTTTTCGTCGTCGTCCCGCATCCTCTTTCGCTCTCCGCTCGAACGTTCCTTTCCTCCTCCTCCTCCTCCTCCTCGTTGAGGACAAAATCACTCACATCCGTCGCGATCGTTTGTACGAGTTCACTCAGGGCATAAAACGCCGTCGCGTATCGCGTCGTCGCTTTTTGAAACTTCCGGTAGTTCGGGGAGTCTCTGATCGCGTGCACCACTGTTTAGAGAGAGAAAGAGAGGTTAATAAACGCAACGCAAATGCACGACGGAACCCGTCCCGGGGAAATTCAATTCGATTGGATTGAAAAGAAAGATATACTAAACGTACCGTAATACCCGCACGCGCCGGCGACGACGGACCCGCACGCGGTTTTGAGCATCCACCTCTGTCTGTCCCCTCGCATTCTGGGAGAATGTACGTCTCGTGTGAGTACTCTCGCGTCTTTTGTATCGACTCCTAAAGCGGATAAATTCTGACGCCAATGTGCCATTAATTTAACGCGCATTGTTTATTCGCGCATGAAGTCCTCGTGCCGTCGCTTCGGAGGCCTTTTAGGAGGATTACGAGGAGGAAAAGGAGAACAGCTTCACCACTCGTTGTTCGTGTCTTCGTTTTCCTCCTCCTCTCGGAGCTATCAAGTGCAACATTCCAAAGACGACCAAACGGAGACGAAGCGTTTGTTGGATTTACTCAACAAGAAACGCGCGAACGGAAACTACGTCGAAGGAGGATTATTCGAACACGAAAACCACCGAAACGAACGGACGAAGCAAAAACAGACGCTCCTTTTATACCGCAAAGCTCTGAGACAAGCGAAACGGTTCCCAGACCCGACGTTGAGACATTTCGGGTACCACAGAATAGCGGAGCAATTCAGACGACACAGGTGTGAACTCGCCAAGAAGAAAATACGCGTGTGGAAGAAAGAGGCGACGAAGCAATCGAGACGGATGGAACGCGCGATACGAGGCGACCGGGACGATTACAGACACTTTCTCGAGTTAGCGTACGGGGTGAAAGGAAGGTTTGGGCATTTGATGCGTCGATTTGAAGAGGAAAGGAAAATTGAAAAGACGAGACGCCAGGAGAAGTTTCTCTTGAAACCAATCGACGAAGAGACGATGGAGACGTTTTCGGTGAAGAATTTAGTGAGGATGGTGGAAGATGCGAGTTTGAGAGAAGGGGCGAAGTTTGAGGAACAGATGGAGGTTTTGAAGAGGAAAGTGCCGACGTTTTACTACGATCGTCGCAAAAGTTTTAGTAGGAAGAGCGACAAAAGTAAGAGTAACGATAGCGATTCATCAGACGACATATTCGCGTACGAAGACTCTCGCGCGCGATCGAGAGCGACGGAAGATGCCATCGACGCGATAGAATTAGGAGATGTTGAAGACGACGCGGAAGAAAAAGCAGAAAAAGAAGAAGTCATACTATTACGATCCAAACTCAAACACTGGCACGTTCACGAGGACACCGCGTTTGAAAAATACGCGCCGAGTCGACTGTATCACGGATTCGACGGCAACTGGGAGAATAATCACGTGGCAATGCTGAAATCTATTTTCGAACCGACGATGATTGATCGATTAGATTTCATGCCTCGCAAATGGTTTCGAACGTACCGAAGGACTTTATTCGAATTGGAAGGCGAATCGAATTCTTCGAACAAAAGCAACAAAAATCAGCAAAACGTCAGCAAAATCTCCTCGGACGCGTTGAAAGACGTCCAAAGAACCACGCCTTTACGAATAGTCTTACCCGCGGAAAGTGACGACGAACAAAAAGAACGAGAGTATTCAAACGTCAGCTATAATACTAAAGAAGGAGAACACGAAGAAAAATCAATGTTGTCCGCGAACAAAAACAGGAGCACGAAAGCGGGAAAGATAAAACTCGCCGAGAGTACCCTCTACGCGGATTAAGAATATACGGACGCATCAGAGTATTTTAGCGCGAGTAGTCAGAGCGAGATACGTAGAGAAACTGTAAACAATGCGCGCCTGTTGATTGAAACCACCTTCACACGTTAAGCGTCGTTTACCTTCCTCGCATTGACATTATCGTCGTTCGTTCGCGTTTTTCCTCTCTTTTCGAGAAAACAGTTGGACCGAAAAGCGCCACAATCCGATTCAATCGATCGATCACATCAACCATGTTATCATTCACCCAATCCATCTCCACGTGCCCACGGGCGGTAAAAACCACCGTCAAACGAACGTCCAAAGTTTCTCTCGCACCAAAAGCCGTGATCCACGAGAACATAACCTCTTTAATCGGCGACACGCCGGTTGTTAAAATTAACAAATTAGCCCCCGACGGCGTCGAGTTGTACGTCAAGTGCGAATACTTCAACCCGTTATCGTCGGTGAAAGATCGTTTGGCGTTAGCCGTGATTGAAGACGCGGAAAAAAGCGGGAAGTTGAAACCCGGGATGACCGTGGTCGAGGCGACGAGTGGGAATACGGGTACGTTTTGTTTGTTAAGCGCGCACTTTTGGATGGGTTTTTGATCGGATTGGTGTCGTTTAATTAGGCGGTTTAGGCGATTTGATGAGATATTTTTCTTCCCTCGCGCGCGTTTCAATTCGGACCCAGAATTCACCCAAACGCGATGAATCTTATTCCTCTCTCTTTCTCTCTATCACAGGTATTGCGGTTGCGATGGTGTGCGCGCAAAGAGGATACCCGTGCGTCATTTGTATGGCGGAACCGTTCTCGATCGAACGGCGTAAAATTATGCGCATGTTAGGCGCGAAGGTTATCGTCACGCCGAAAGGCGGGAAAGGCACCGGCATGGTGAAGAAAGCGGAAGAGTTGGCGGAGAAGCACGGATGGTTTTTGACGAGTCAGTTTGAAAACGAGGCGAACTGGAAGTTTCACGAGAAGACGACCGGGCAGGAGATTTTGAGAGACTTCAGCGGGAAGAATTTGACGCACTTTGTGACTGGGTACGGCACGGGCGGGACGTTTCACGGCGTCGCGAAGGCGTTGAAAGCAAAGAGACCGGACGTGAAGATTTGTTTGTTGGAACCGTCGGCGGCGCCGTTGTTGGCGTCTGGGACGAAGACGGAGAGAAAGCCGTCCGGCGCGCCGGTCGGGTCGCACCCGGCGTTTACGCCGCACCCGGTTCAAGGTTGGACGCCAGATTTCATCCCGCTCGTTTTGGAATCCGGGATTGACTTGCACGACGAATTGATCCCGATCGACGGACCGGATGCCATGCAGTGCGCGAAAGATTTAGCGTCCAAGGAGGGCATTTTTACCGGTATCTCCGGCGGGGCAACCTTTAGCGGCGCTTTGAAAGTGGCCCGATCCGCGCCAAAAGGCAGTTCGATTTTGTGCATGCTTCCGGACACCTCGGAGAGATACATGTCCACGCCTTTGTACGACCAAATTCAAGCGGACATGGACGAGTCCGAGTTGGAAATCGCGAAAAGTACGCCGAGCTTCCAGTTAATTCCAGGACAGGAGCCAATCTTACAAGCGTAAACGTTTCTTCGTTATTCTATAATTAATTAAATCACTATTATCAATCACATTTCAAACTTGACTACTACTCGCGTAACTACTGCTACTACTACTTCTTCTTCTTCTCGCTTCCTTGATTCGCGCGTTGTTTTTGCACTCTCAACAGCTGCACTCCGCACTTCTCGCACGACGGCGTCGTCAACCAAATCTCGGCGTTTGGCGTCGCGACTTCTGATTGTGGCATCGCCGCGTAACACCGATCGCACTCTACCGAAGCGTCGTCGTCCAACTCACGCAAATCTAACTTCAAATCCTCTGAGCTAATCGATGGATCTAGAACTGAAAACTCCTTCATCGCGTTCGACTGCTGGTTCTCCTCTTGGTACTCTCGCACGTACTCGTCGTGGTTTATTTTCTCAACCTCCGGTTCGATCTTTTTCTCTTTCGATTTAAAAGTCTTGATCTCCTTTTCGGCCAAGTACTCGTCCACGACTTCCGGACCGCCTCTTAAGTCTATTTCGTCCCCATCGTCGTCGTCTGAATCGTCGTCATCGTTCGTTGACGGGGTCTTAGTATGGCTGTCCAAGAGCGTCTCCACCGCCTGAATCGGGTGTTCGAATTCGTCACTCGGGAAGATGAACGGCGATCGATGGTTGCGGGAGACGCCGCCGTACTGTTCTTTCAAACACATCTTATACTTGAACCCTGGCGACGCCGCCGATTTTTCTCCTGTTGTTTTTAACGCGTTCCCTTCTGTACTATTAATACTACGATTGCTTTTTCTACCCAACCGCGCGTCTTTCGGATCGTCAATCAAACACAACTCGTGCGTTTGGCGCATGTCCATGATGGTTGCCGTAAACGAGCTCTTGCCGGTTCCGATAAAATCCACCATCATCGAACACGTCGCCTTGTCGATGTAAATCGCTTTGCTCTTGTCCGGTTCGTTCCGGTGCATGGACCACTCAACGCGTAAACCGCCGATTTCGTGCAACATGCCTCGCAAAGTGTTCACCGCGACGCGACCGTCGTACCGTTTGTCGTCCGGGTACACCTCCGGGTCGTTCGTCAACAACAAAACGGTTTTCAATTTCGAAGCTTCTGCTCTGTGAATGATTCTTTCCGCGGCGTAGCTGACGTTTTTGACGAAATCGTTGCCTATTCTCTTCCACAAGAAATCCTCTTGGCGCCAGTGGACGCACAACGTGTCGCTCGGTTCAATCTTTAACTTTTCAATCTCTTTGTTCGCTTCTTCGTAGATTTCATCGTTCAAGTTCCCGTTCGAATAGCACGGTTCGATGCTGCTAAACGCTAATAAGTTTCTCGCCCGTCGTCTGTTGGCGTTCGAGTTTGCGTTTTCGTTCCACGCCTCGCGAAAAGTCTCCTCGGAAAGTTGATGTTCCGCTTGCAACTGCTGCTGTCTAATTTGTTGTTCTCGAGCTAAAAACATATCTCTGCGCGGTATGTTTTGTTGATTGACGGTGCGTCCGAGCGTTTCACCAGTTGGCAATAACCCAAAGGTACTGATGTCGTTGTTTTTGTCGTGGCGGTCCTTGTTAAAATTCTTCTCTTTCGCTTCGGCTGCTTTCTTCGCTCTCGCCGCGTCTCGCTCCCTTCGCCTCTTCTCCACGGCTTCATCCGCCCACCCTAACTTCTCCGTCTCGCCTTTCACGTACCTTTGCGCCTCTTTCTGCCACACGTTCGGATACTTCTTCCCGGTCTTTGGATCCACCGGCTCGAAATCGTACATCCCGGCGAAATAAATCTCCTTCCCGGGACCGGCGTTCTCTTTCGCTTCCTCTAAATTCGACGTCACCACTTTCCACTCAACTTTATACTTATGCTTCGGTATTAAATACTCCCCGAGACGGTGCTTCTCAATCTCGCACCACCCTTCGACGAGCTCGAAACACGGCATCCCGTTCACCGCGTCCGCGGTGATCCTCCTTCCTAAACTTTCCACGTTGAACGAATACGCCGGCGACGCCAACGACGAATCATACGTATCGCCATCACCCCCATCCATCGCGAGAACCGCACTCTTACTGTTACACGAACGTAAACTCCTCTCGTCGAAATACTCCATCGGGTTCATCGTTGGAAATTGCTCTTCGTCCCCCGGTTTTCGTTTACACGCCGGAACGTGCAAGGTGTCCACCCTCAATTTTTCCGCCAGCCATCGCGCTTTGACGAGGCAGTTTTCGCAGTTTGACGCGCCCCCGAACGAGCCGTAATACATGTGCACTTCCTGGTTATCGTATTCATCGTTCTGTGAAGGGTTGAACTGTTTCGCGAAGCCGAGCTCGCCGTTATCCTCCGTCAAAGCCTCCTCGGCGTTGACTTCAAAGCGAACATTGGAAACGGAAACGGAAAGGAAAAGGAGGAAAAAGATGCGCGAGGATGATGCTCTCATGCGTCGCGTGTTCGAGTGAAAGGACAAAAAAGACTCAATCTCTCTCGTTTTGATCAAATGGCAGGGTTCGACGTCATCGTTTCTTCGTAAACGTGGCGCGTATGTGTTGCGTTCTTTTCTGAAGATTTTGAGGCATTTTAAGCCGCGGGGTGTCTCTTTCTTAGGGTGTGAAGCCGCGCTCGTCGTTAATACGTACGATGCTACCGTTCCTATTACAACTACTCGTTTACTATTATTCTCAAGCGTTCTCGCTCGTGCCGTAGGTGGTGTTCTTTTTCCCTCGAGCGAGGGTGTGACTCTTCGTCTTCTCGTCGTCGTTCTTCGCCAAGAGGGTCTCTTTTTGCGCCTCTTCGACGGTCGATTTTCCGTCCAGAGGAGTGCGCTCGCCGCCGGAGGAGGGAGTATTACTATTGCTCGTCGCGGTGGTTCCCCAGTTTTCCATTTCTGGGTGGATGCACTGGGCGATTTCCATCAAGATGAGCGCGATGCAGGAAACGAAACAGAACACCGAGGTGTACTTTAATAAGTTGGTCACGTCGTGGCCAAAGACGGTGAACTTTGCCGGGGTGAGCAAACCGCCGCCGTTGGGGAGGACGAGGACGTAATCGGGCATCAAGTAGACGTCACCTTCGGAGCCTTGGATTTCGGACCATCGCTTATCGCTGCCTTCGGCGCAACTGGTTCCATCGGTTAACGGGTAGTTTTGCTCGGAGTATAAACCGCAAGCGCCGTAGGCGCCGCCTTCGGTTAATTCCATGGCGATTCGCGCGTAGCCGTCCTCTCCCCAATCGACGCCGTAGGAGTTTTTGATCAACCAGTACGGTTTCTTGGCGGCTTCGTCCATGCCCCAACCGACGATAACTGCGGCGTGGTTGATTGCGGTGACCGAATCCGTCGAAGCGGGAGGGCAATCGGCGACTTGGACTAAACCTCCGCCGTATAATTGTAACGGTTTGACGTTCAATCCAACCGCGATGGGTTGTTGCTTCACCGCGCGCATTAAAGCCAAAATGGTATCTTTGCCTTCTAACGGCGCGATTTCGCAGTACCCGTCGATACCAATTCCTTTCGGTTTCGGAGCCTGCGCCTCGGGGAGTACTTCCCCGTTCGAACCTAAGTTGGACGGTAACGGACACTCTTCCGCAGACGTTATGTCGGTGCTGAAATCTCTCGAGCGCAAGATGCCGTCGCGCTGGACGCCGATCCACGCGTACGCGGTCGCCATGTTACCCGTGTGACACCCAGAATCGAGCGTATCGCAAGATAACAAGTGATACGGGGACAAATCCGGTCGAGTACCGGTGTTGATTGCTTTTGAATCTGCGATGACTTGTACCGTTGAATACGCCCAGCACCCGGAACACGCGCCTTGCGAATACACCGGACCAATATCGATTTTGTTTCGCCAATCGAAATGTTTCTTGAACGTCGTCGTGTTCGCAGTTGGATCGTTGAACTCGTGAATTTGGACGTCGATGACGTTGTTTGACGCCTCGTTGTCTTCGGCTTCCTCGTCGGATGATTCGTTCTTCTCGTTTTGAAAGTTGAACTTATCGACGACTTTTTTCTTCAAGTTTTCATCCTTGGTGATCTCGCCGAGTTGAGGGAGCTCGCGCGCGATGCCTTGCTTGGCGTTCTTCAACTTGTTCGCTTTGCGAGCTTTCTTGATCTCGTCCGGGGTCATTTTCTTCGCGCGTTCTTCTTGTTCTTTGCGTTGCTCTTTCGAGAGGTGCTTTCTGGTGCTTGTCTTTTTTTCTTCGTCCCGTTCTTCTTTCTCTCCTACTTCCGCCTCCGAAACTTCTTCTTCTTCTTCTTGGACGACGACGACGGTTTTCTTGTTCTTATTCGACGACATCGCGTTGGAAGCTTTCTTCTTGAAAGAAGAAGAAGAAGAAGAAGACGTTTCGGAAGAGGAGGAAGTCACATTTTCCCCTTCTTCTTCGATTTCCTCCTCTTCTCCGGCTTCCTTCTTTGGTCGTTGATCTTCTTCGTCCTCGTCTTCTTTCGAGGCGAATTCCTCTTTCGTCACCGAATCGGTCGTCGTCGTCGTCGTCGTTTTGTCGTCCCCCTTTTTGTTCGCGACGACGGAAACATCTTTCTCGTTTTCTACCGAAACTACTGCTTCTTTGTTCGCGAACAATCCGTGATGGTTGTGTTTGCCAAACTTTCTCGAACCGCCTTTCGCAGACGCCTCGGCGGCGATTTTATCCTTCTTCGCTTTACTCGCCTTTCTGTGTTCTCTCTCGGCTTTATCCTCTTGATGTTCTTTTGGCACGTACGTCGCGTGCGTGTCTTCGAACTCATCTTGCGTCAAATCCGCGAATCGCGTGATGCCTTTGCGCATGTGCGATCCTCGTTTCTTGGCTAGTCTATTTTGCTCGTCGATTTCCTTCACGTTGGCGAGGAACACGTCCTGCTTTCGAAACGCAACTTCGCAAGGCCACTGTGAATCGTCGTCGTCGCCGCAATACTCGGACCTTTTGTCGTATTTAAACGCATATTTCACGAATTCCGGATCTAACGTCGCGTCTTCGATGTCACTCAGGGAAAATTTCTTCACCCCGGCGGCGTTTTGCATCTTCTTCGGGATGATAACTCTCGCGTTGACCGCCTCGCGTTCTTTTTCTGGGAACTGTCTGGATAAAATGTTCTCCGTCTTCTTAGTCGTTTCGATAGAACCACCACCAACTTCGCGAACGGCACTTTCGATGGTTTCGTTTTCGTTCGCATCGTCGATGATTGCTTGTTTCAACTCCTCCAGCGTCGGTCCGGATTGGTCTTTCTCGTCGTCTACTTCCTCGACAACTTTACCGAAAATACCCTTCTTAGAAGAAGAAGAAGAAGAAGAAGAAGAAGAAGAAGAAGAACCGCTTTGATTATCTTTTATCTTCTCCTCAGAGCTTTGTCCTAAACTGGCAATCGCGTACGACCCAGCCGTCAACTTCTTCATCTCCTTCGTGGCGACCACGTTGTTCTTCTCGCTCGAGTCTTCAAAATCCTCTTCCATCTCTTCCTCCTCCTCCGCGTTCTTCTTGTCTCTCCAAAAAGGCAGCTGGTTTTTCAAAGCCGTCACCTCCTCGCTTTTCCTCATCCCGTTTTCGCTCATCAATCTCTCGTATTCACTCTTCGTCAAATCCGCGAACTGATTATCCACGCTCAGCTCTAACTTTGTCTCCGTCGGCCACCCTCGCTCGACGGCTTCGTTGTGCCTTTCCACCCGTCTGAGGTTTTCCAGATAAATCCGCTCCCGCGCGAACGATTGAGGACACAACCTAAACTTTTCCGACGACGACGATGGAGCATCCGCAGCAAACGCCTCCTCCGTCTCGTCATCTTTCCCGCCGCAATACGCGCTCGCTCGTTCCGGGAACTTACGAAGCCAATCCTCGAAGCGACTGTCCAATCGATGCTGCTCTCGTGCATTGCTCCTAAGTTCTCCGTCGTTCCTCCTCCTCGAAGACGATACTGCTGATGGCAAAAGGTCTCGCTCCTCGACGTCTTCCTTCCGCTTTTCCTCCGTCATTTTTTCCTCTTCCTCTTCAACCTTCAAAATGTGGTCCAGAATGGCCTCGTGCCTCCGAATGTCCACGCTTTCATCCCTCGCGCTCTCGTCGAACGATTTCGGCGTCTCGAGGTACGCGAACGCGTCGCGATGCGCATCAAACTCATCTTTATCATCGGTTTCGTTTGAATCGTCGCTCGGTTGAGGAACATTAGCGGTGGTTTTACCGCCGGAGAGGATTTTATTCGCCAGATCCCGCGCATCCATTCCACGCGGCTCCTCGTTTCCTGGGGAGAAATGTGACGATGATCCTTCTTCCTCTTCTCGCGCATCATCATCAAAGAGGGCTGAAACAAAAGAGCAATATAAAACGAGACAAAGTATAGCGAGCATTCCTTTGGTGTTGTCGCGTCTTTTCGTCGTCGTCGTCATCTCTTCTTCTTCGTCTCGTTCTCCTCTGCAATGAGGAGAAAAACACTTACCGCGGGGGGAGAATTTTACAAGTAAAAAGTTTTTAGGGTTTCTAAACCCTAATAAGAAGCTTGGAAGAAGTTCTTTGAAGAAACAAAAGCGCGGAAAGAAAGGAAAGTGAAATAAGACTTCGACGACGCACACGCGCAGCCTTAGCAAAGACGCGCATGCACACACACGCGGCAGTACACTTTACCGCGGTACAAAACCACTCAATGTGTGTATTCTCTTCGCGTAAATTTTTATTATTAGTATTATTACGCGTATTTATAACAAAACGACCAAACCAACATCCTCTGCGGCCTTCGCGCTTTCAAAACCGCCGAAGAAGAGTCTCGCGAAACATTTCGAGGCGTACGGTGCCGCGACTTTCTCGTACGCTCTGACCGCATCCTTGAACGCTTCTTTCTTCTTCTCCGTGCTCGATGTTAACTCGTTCTTTTCTCTGTTCTTCAAACTCTTTTGACCGCTTTCGAATGTTTTTCGCAAACTCTTCGCAAACGGTTTCTTACAGCGTCTTAATTTGGGAGTTAACAAACGAACTTCGTTAAACGCCGCGACGATGCCGTTGACGAAAGCCGCAACTGGGGCGTGTTCTAAGAGAGATTGCGGCGGAGAGTATTCACTGTTCGCATCTTTATTATTATTTCCGTCGTCGTTCTCTGTTGTCGTTTCTCCTCCGGCTAAATACGTCGTCCAGCGGTGCGTGCTCAAGGACTTCTCGAACGCTTCCGAAGCGGCAACTAACGCGTCCTCGAATATTCGCAAGGCGTGCTTTTCAAACACTTCTCTCAGTAAAGGTCTCGTTTCCACGCCAACTCGAGCTAAGGAATTCCCGCAGTACTCGCAGTGTTCAAAAACAGACGCCAACGCGCCGCCTTCGTCGACCCTTTGTAACGATTCGTCTAAAGCGTTCTTATACGATTCCGCTCTTTGCGAGGACCACGCGGAGAGCAAAATCGCCGACTCGTCCGCGGTTACGTCGCTATTACTATTACTCGTTGTTGTTGTTGTTGCTGATGATGCTCCTTCCGTCGCGCTGCTGCTATCGCCGTCGCTAAAGATGGCGCGATACTGCGTCACCACGTCAAACACGTGCACTCTGTGCACGTCCGTCAACTTCTTCGCTCGATCGTACGGCGCCAACCATCTCCTCACCTCCTCGCACGCGTTTCTCACGAACACTTCTCTCCTCGCCAAAAACGCTCTCCTCAGCGCGGTTTCGCTCTCAAAGTACCTCGACCTTCGCACGTGTCCCACGATCCTCAAACATTCCGGCAACTGAATCGGTTCTTGCAACCTCACCAATAACTTCTTCAACATCTTCTTATTCGTCATCCTCGCGCTTTCTCGCAAATCATCAATCACCGGAACGTCCGGTAAACTCGCTCTCAACCGTTCCGCGTACAGCTCTAAATCCAACGCCTCGTCGTACGCGCCGTTCCTCCCGCATTGCTCTTGCGTTTGCGGAATCTCTAAAATATCCGATATGTCCCCGGGTACGCGATTTAAAAGCTGTTGATTCACCGCTCTCGCTCTCGCCACGCTTTCCGCTCGGTTCGCAAAGTCTCTGCACGATTTCTTCAGCTCCGGTAACGCGTCCGCGACCGAGGATAAATCCGCCCTCGCTTTCTCCACTCGATCCCGGACCACGTCGTACGCGGAATGCGCGGCGATAAACGCTCGGTACTGTTTTATCGCCGCATCTTTTTGCTTCTTTTCCGTGCGTAACAGTTCCTGGCGCAAACGTTCCGGTTCCTGTCGTTTCCCAGAATAATAATAGTAGTCGCATCAGTATTCGTCGTTCGAGGGCAAACGCATTTTCATTTTCGTCGTCGTCAAAATCGAGAAGAGAGATGAAAAGCGCGCGCGTGCGCGCCTCCTCCTCGTCGGAATTTGCGAGAGTACGAACGCGCGCGTCTCCTCTCTCGATGCTTTTACATCTCCAAAACCGCTTTGAATTTGGAGATCGATTGTGAAATGGAAAAGGAAAGAGACCGATAACGACAACGAAGAAGAAGAAGTAAAAACGAACGGAAAAGAAGAAGAAACGAAAAAACGCACCTTGGCCAAGCGATCGACGGAATAGGACAACACGTCCGTCAAGTACTGGTCGTCCTTGGTGGTGGTGTCGTCGTCCATTTTTCTGTGCGTGTTTTGTGTTTTTCTTCCTCTTTTGTTTGTTCTCTAAAACCTACACCCTAAATATGTGATGCGTCTCTCTCTGTCTCTGTCTCTTTCTCTCGAGCGCGAGAAAACGACGCATCGAACGCACATCTTCTATTAAACAACACATTAGTTCTTTATATATATACACGTGGAGTTCAAATTGTCTTAAAAAAGTTGTCTGTGCTATGTGTAGTAGTATTGTATAGATGGATGTATTGTATATAAAAAGCGCTTCTCTCTATTTCTTCTTCTCGATCGTCGTCGTTTTTGCCGAGTTCTCCTCTCCTTTTTCGTTTTATTTGTATTAAAGGAGAGAAGCCCAGCATCGCGTGGAAGTTTGCGAAGTTTTCGCGTTTTGGTTGGTGTCTTTCGTAGCGTCGGCGTTTGCGACGCTCCTCTCGGCGGTGATGATTTTGGCGTTTGTTTTTATCGTCGTCGTTTTCGAAGCGTTTCCGAATTTCGGGAAGCTTTTTTCGCAGGACGTTTCCGGTGCAGGCGCGATGTTTTTGTTCTTTTCTCTCGTCTTGTTTCGCGAAGGGCTGCTGTTGGCGCTTTTGGATTTCTGGCGGTTTCGCGCGGAGGAGGAGGAGAAAGAGGAGGCGTCTTGTTGTTGTTGTTGTTGTTCGTCGCCGGCCCAGACGCCTTTCGAGGATGTTTGAGCCGCCTCTAAAGCGATTTGGACCTCGGAGTCGTCGAAAGTGACGCAAGGTGGTGCGCCGTCTTCGCTAAGAACCGAACCTGGCGGCGAGATTTTCTTGCTCGTCGTCGTCGTCGTCTTCTTCTCGGCAACTTTTCTTAGCGTGTCTAAACACACGGCGCCTTTCGGCCCCCAAGAAGGTTGTAAAGGTACCGATTTGCACCGAGCGGGAGACGAGTGACCTTTCGAGAGTTCTCGCTCGATATCGTCGCGTTCGTGCGCGAGCTTGTCGTTGACTAAAGCCGCCGCCGCGGCGGCGGCTTCTTCCGCTTTCGCTTTTTTCTTCTCCTTCGCGCCCCACATTTTACCAGTCTTCTTCATTTTTTTCTCCTCCGGCGACGGAGTGGACGGTTGCTCCTTCTTCGACAACAGGTCTTCGTTATCGATGCTCGATCGCGCTTGACGAGCGGCACCACCGCGAGCGACGTGGACCCACGCCACGGTTTCCACCATGGACGCGTTTTGGTCGCCGTTTCTCCCCGTGGTGATGGAGTTATCGGAGGACGATTTCAACGCCCGTTCGTGTTCGAGAGCGTCTCGAGACTGATGCTCCATGAGTTTCGCCGAAACGACGTTCACGTTGCTTCCCGCCGCGGGTTCCGCGTTCGTCGTATTTCTCGTCGGCGTATTTGCCGCGGACGACGAATTCGAGTTGCCACACGCGACTTTCCAATTCATCGATGGCACTCGAGCAGTTGGAATAGTCTTCGTCGTCGTCGTCGTCTTCGTCGTCGCCTGCGGTATCAGATTCGGCTTTGGTCGAACGTTCATCGAAGGTGTCTTTGTTCTCGCTTGCGGCGCGGGAACATTAACGACAGATCTCGGAACGACAACAGACGGCGCCGAAACCGTAGTAATTGGTTGTGGTACAGAATGCGGCGGTAGCGGCGGATGCGGCGGCGGCGGCGGCAGAGGCGGCGGCGGCATGGACGGCATTAAAGGTACGAAAGCAACGTTGCTACTTCGCGGCGGCGAGGACGGTAATGGCGGAGGTTGCGCGACAACGTTATTACTCATATTATTGCGTTTGTTCATCATCATCGCGCTGTTCAACGCCGCGTTTTGTCGCTCAATCGCCAATCGTTGCATTTCGATGCCAAAGTTCAGGTGCTTGTGAATGGTTTCCAAGCAACCCGTGATGATATCTTTCGACTCTTCAATCGATGGCGGTATGGATGCCGTCTTGAACGCTGCCGCAGACATGTATTTATCCAAAGGCGATAACGGCGAGTGCGGCGGCATGCTTCCGCTCGAAGACGCCGTCGCGTTACTGTCCGACCCAAGCGACATCATCGACTTCGTATCGTCTCCGGAATACTCCGCGGAATCCGTGGTAGAATCACCCGTTTCCGATCGCGGCGGTGAAACAACCGGCGAGGACGCGTCCGAACCCGGCGGCGACATCGAATCACTCGACGATGATGACTTCGCTTTGTCGCGCGCGTTAGAAATCTCCACTCTCGCTTCAGCCGAGGATAGCGCTCTCGGCAAAGCGCTCGACGTGGCAGGTCCATCCCATCGACCCCAAAACAAACCTCTCTCCCCGTGCGCGTCCTTTTCTTCCTCGTCGAGCATTAGGCGAATCTTTTCCTCGTTATCTTCTTCGTTCGAAATCTTTTCTTTCCCGATCGGCGACTCTTTGGATTTACAAGGCGACTTCAGCGCCACTAAATCGTCCGCGACGGAGTGCGAATGAAACGGCGAAGACGAACCGAGCGATGGTTTTCTCTTGTGTAAAGCGTTCGTCGCCTGCGGCGGCGAGGCAGGTGGCCCGGTAAACTTCTCGTCGTCGTCTCCGACGCAGCTCGCGAGCTTCCCACCTCGGTTCGCCAAGGCGACTTTGAAAAAATATTCGAACCCTCTCGTGATGTTTTCAGGTTCCGATTCCATCTCTAATCGTTTCAACCGTTCCGCGCCTAATCGGAACGCCGCTCGAACTCTCGCGAAGTTGCCCAACGAAACCGATCGCCCCAAGTTGTTCGTCTCGGATAGCGGATCTAATATGTGCAAATGCTTCGCTCCAATCGCGCGTCGTCGAAACGGAGCTTTCTTGCCGTTCCCTATGTTTAACAAGACGTTCGCATCCGGTCGCGAATCTGGTCCGTACGACTTCAAAATCGTATCCACAAAGGTATCGTCCAATAAAGGATCTTCTTCCGCTTCTTCGTCATCCTTTTCTTCTCTTTCGTCGTCGTTGTTTTTGTTTTTATTTTTCTCGCTCTTGCTGCTGCTGCTAAACTCTCTCACGGAAACCTTGTCCAACTTCTCCACCGGAACGTCACCAAAGATGGTCACCGCGTGCGTTTCCCACGGAAAATCCGACACGTATTCAAAAAATATTCTCAAAACGTCCAACGGCGTCGCGATTTCTCTCTTCTTCGTTTTAGTCGCATCAGACTTTGACTCCTTTTTGTTAAATCTTCTCAAAGCGCAAATGATTAAAGTCTTCAACGCGTACGTGGACAACAACGCGTACGGCGCGCCCAATATCCGCGATTCGTAAAACGCCCACGCTTTCACAAGAATCACCGATCGTTTGAATAAATCGTTCTTCCCGATTTTCGAGTTCACTTCTTTTAAAAACGCCAGCGTGGCCAAGCCTCCGAATTGATTGGCGCTCACGTCGACGACGATGCCGTCGACGACGCACTTCAACAAACGCACGTCCGCGTGAATCACCACGATATCTTTCACCTCTAAGAGGTATTCTTCTTCTTCTTCTTCTTCGTGGTTTTCTTCTTGACTTTCTTCTTCTTGGTCTTCTTCTTGTTCTTCTTCTTCTTTCGTTGTTGTTCTCGTCGCATTCTTCATCTTCTCTTTCTTCATCTCCATCTTCTTCTTCGTCGTCGTCATCCTCATCGTCCGTTTCTTCTTCTCCTCGCGTTCCTTCCTCGCTATAAACGCGCTCAACCGTTCCGGCCACGACTGCGAATCCAAAACCTCGTGATCGCCTAATATGCACACGTCGATGTCCCCGTCCGGCAAGTACGTCCCAAACGGCACCGAACCAAACGCGGAAACCACGATGGTATTCTTTTTCTCGTTCACTCCCTCTCCCTCGAATTCTTTCTCGAAACACTCGCGGATTAACGACTCCATCTTCCGAAACACCATTCGTCGTCTCTTTTCCGATTGTTTCGACGGACGGAGCGAAGCGATCAACTCTTCCGTCAACGCTTCCAACATAGGAGAGGAGGAGGAAACGCCTCGCGCTCGATTCTTCTTCTTCTTCTTCTTCTCAAGAGTCGTCGTTTCCGTCGCGCGAAACGCGTCGTTCCCGCTGTTGGTTTTGTCAAAGTCTTCGTTTATTCTTGTTCTTACTTCTTCTTTTCCTCGCGTCGCGCGCCTTTCCTCCTCTTTGTCGTCTTCGACGCGCGCATCGTCGTCGTCCGATCGGCGCGACGAAATCATATCCAAAGCGCTTTCGTCGTCCTCGTCTTCTTCTCCTTCTCCTTCCGTCGTCGCGATCTTCGCCTCTCGAGTCGTCGCGGTGGTGGTGTTGGTATTCGAGGAGCAAAACGCGTTCGCGCGTTCGACGAACGACGGTAATCGTCGGCCTAACATGTTACGGGCACCGTTCTCGCCGGCGACGCGAGGACGACGCTCAGATAAGAAGAAGAAGAAGAAGGTTGGGGAAACGAATTTCCAATCTCTCTCTCTCTCTCTCTTTGCGTCTCTCTCTCTCTGGGAGCTTTCTCTCACTCTCGTCGCTGTAAGTCGTTTGCGGTTCTATGAGTAGTACCGTGCGTTTTATGGTATCGCGCGCGGGAACGCGGCGTTGTTATGTATATATATCTCTTCTTTGTGTTGGTGTTGTTGGTGGTAAGAAGCAAAGGAAAATATCGTAAAAGTCGCGAGAGTGTGCGTTTGAGAAAAATCTGCGCTTCGTCTCGAACGCCACCTTCACCACCAAGAACAAAAGACAGATTTGAAGAAAAAGATTCAAGAGAGATGTGAGAGCTTTGCTTTTGTGTGTGGCAGTACATAAATAGCTCTTCTTCTATATGAAGGGAAAAAAAGCACCTTCACCACTACCAAAGAGAAAGCACACGTACGACGCAAAAGCAAACGCGCAACACCACCAAACTTTGACCACCACCACCAAACACAGTCACTCAAACGGTACACCACGAAAGAGCGTTCAAGAGTATTCTTCGCGAAAGAGAACGCCAGAGAGAGAGAGACGCGCTCGCCCCACAGTACAGTCGTTTTAGAGGAGCAAAATTCTACCTTTTTTTCACGAAAAAAAGTAACAAAAAAGGACGCGGAGAGACGTGCCTTTTCCTCATTGTTCTCCACGCGTTTCGAAAGGTGTATCACATATACTAAACACATACACGCACTCGTAAACGAAAACAAACGATACTAAACATGAACACCGCACCGCCTTCTTCATCCAACACATCGAAGAATTACGTGTCCATCGAGGACATGGAATGCGCGACTTTGTTGCCCCGTAAAGATGATTCGATGATTGGAAAAAAGAATCCATCCAACGCTGTCTCGCTGAAGAACGTGGCGTACGGTCTCGGGATCGTCGCGTTGGCGTGCTCGGGCTCGTTCGTGGCCGGGAGATCCGCCGCGCAATATAAGTTATCCGGTGGTACTTCTCAACTCGGCGTGGCGAGATTAGGTTCGAAAGCGTCTTCGGTGAAGCATTCCACCGCGCACAGCGCAGCCGCGGCCAAAAAAGCCAAGACTTCTCTGGCGAACGTTGGCGAAGACGAAGACATTAAAGCGTCTTCTGTCGAAGAAACCACACAACCGGCGGATCCAGACACCATGACCAAAGAGGAAATGGCCGAGGAAATCAAACAACTGAGAGGATACATGACCTCCTTAGTCGGCGACGACGATCAAGAGGTATAAAACGTTTCGTTCGTTTCGTTTCTTTTTCCAATTTTGGGTGATCTCTCACCAACTCTCGAATTCTCTTCGAGTCGACACCGCGCGGGATCGAAGGAAGAGAGACATTTTTATTCGACGATGATTCAAAAGTAGTATTCGTTTGTTGTCTCTCTTTGTTGTCGTTGTTGTTGTTGTTGTTGTTGTTTACTCACGCAAATCGTTTGCTTTCTCTCTTTTTTTAATGATCTCACAACAACAACAACAACAACAACAGAAGGGAAAGAAGAAGAAGTCCTCGAAGAAGAAGTCGTCTTCGTCCGAGACGGAGGAGGTCGAGCCGACGGAAGAAGACGTCGTCGAAGAAGAAGGTGAAGAAGCAAAAGAGGAGGAGGAAAAACCGGCGGCTGAAACCAAGAAGTCTTCCAAGAAGTCTTCCAAGAAGAAGTCTGAGGACGCGGAAGAAGAAACGCCCGTGGAGGAAGAGGGTTCGTCGGAGGAAGAGGAAACGATGCCGGAGGAAGAGGAAGAGACTTTGACGGGAGAAGACGATTTGCCGGCTGATGAGGATCCAACCATGGATGAAGAAGACACTTCTTCGGTGGAAAAGAAGTCCAAGAAACACTCTTCCAAGAAGAAGGCGACAGCGACTGATGAAGATGTCGTCGATGTGGAAGACCCGGCGGCGGCTGTTGACGAAGAAGAGGAACAATCCGTCGACGAGACCGCGGAGGAGGACGCGGATGCCGCGGTGGACCCGGACGCCGACGTTGCCGTGGACGAAGTGACGCCGACGGACGACGACGAAGCCGCTGCCGTCGGTAAGAAGGAAAAGAAGTCCTCGAAGAAGTCAAAGAAAGAAGCAGAACCGGCGGCGGAAGTTGACCCGATCAAGGACGCGCAAGATAAGATCGCCGCGGCGGAACAAGCCAAGGTTGACTTAAAAGCGACCGAGTTGGAAATGAAGTCGAAAGAGGCTCAAAAGAAGGAAGCGTCCAAGGCGTACAACCACGCTTTGGAAGACGTGAAGAAGGCGGAAGCGGCGGAAGAAAAAGCCGCCGCGGCGCACAAAAAGGTTCTCGAAAACCCGAGACATACTCAAGCGGCGGTCAAGGCGTTGATGCAAGTCATGTCCGAGACCAGAGCGGCGGCGGACCAAGCGAGATCGACGTCTTTGGAGTTGTTGCAAAAGAGAGATACCATCGAGGCGGACTGGCACAACAGCTGGAACGAGCACGAGCGATTGATCGTGTACTCGGCGGCATTGCAAGAGATTGCGAAAAATGCCATGCGGGATAACTTGGGCGAGTTTGTGCAATCGAGTTACAGACGATAATATTCTTTGGTTTTTTCATCTAAATGTGAAAGAAGAGAATATTCATACAAAACCGATTATAGCAACAACAGACAAGAACTAAACCGATACGACCCGCGAGGAACGACTTGATTGTTCCTTTTACCAAATTAAATTATTATTATATTTATTCAATGTTTATAAACAACGAGAGAGGAGAGAAGAATAACAACAAAAACAAATGAAAACGCACACGAAAGCGGGACAGTGACAACATTGTAATTTTTATCTATCAACTATACGAAACGTGTGCAAACGACAACATTCTGATGATACATAATCGCGCTATACTGTTATTATTATTTATCTACTAAACATACTATCTATCTATTTCTTTGCCTTCATTCCGGCTCTTTTGGAGTCGAATAATTTCTCAATATTTTTATCCACGGTCAAGCGCGAGCCTCCGCGAAAGGAGCCTTTTTTCTCTCCTCCTCCACCTTCTTCGTCTTCTCCTGCTCCTCCACTCGCTTGCTCTTCGAGTTTCTTTTGCTTCATCAGCGCCTCTTGCGCGTTGCGTAAGCGCACGTCCTCGGTGTTCACGAACGTGGTATCTTCGTTCGACAAGTGCGTCCACTTGCTTCTTCCGGCCTTGCCAAACTGGCCGTGTCTCAACTTCATCGCTTCCGGAACGGCCGATCGATCCACGCCTTTCTCCGCGTTCGTCGCCTCGTTGAAATCGCGATTGAAAATTTCCGCTTTTTCCGTCGTCGCGAACTCGTCGTCTCCAGCTTCTTGGAAAAACGCCCCTTTGTGGTAATACTTTTGCATGAAGCGCATCTTCGATTTCTCTTTTCCTTGCTCTTTGGCGTCTTTCAGCGCTTTCAGTTTCGCCGCGTGTAACTCTCTTTCCTCCTCGGTCATGTTTCTTAACCGCTCTCGCTCTTCCTCCTCTTCTACTTCTAATCGCTGTTTACATCTATCCCGTACGATTCGTTTAAACTCTCGCATCTTCCATTGCTCGTAATTCCTCCTCGCCTCTTCCTCGTCCTCCTCGTCCGAGTCCGTGTTCACTTCCTCGCCGAGGTAATCCTTCTCCGCGACTTCTCGCTGGTATTCCAACGTAATCTCTCGTTGCACAGCTTCTTTTGCGTTCTGATTCTTAATCAATTTCTCCTCTTCCAAATCCTCCTCGTCCTTTTCCGCTTCCCTTCTCGCCGAGAGTTCCGCCTTGGCGTTCGCCTCTCGCTTCGTTTTCGAGACGAACACCGGTTTGAAGAGTTTCGGACCCGTACCTTCGCTTTCGCTGGACGACGACGACGAGCTCTCGTCTCCGCTCTCATCCTCCGTATCGGTTTCATATTCAGAGCTACTGCTGCTGCTGCTCTCTCCCTGTTTCTTCTTCTTCTTCTTTTCCTCCCGATCCTCCTCCTCCGCTGGAGCAGCAGCAGCCACCAAAGCGGCTGGTGATTTTGTCAACAATTTCGCCTTTAACAGCGCCCGTTTCCTATCTCGCGCGTCCTCGTCTTCGGAACTCTCCTCTTCATCCTCCTCTTCAGATTCAGATTCAGATTCAGAGGAGGATTCTCGTTTCAGATCCCGCGTTGGTGTCGTCGTTGTCGTTCTCGTCCTCCTCGAAGCGCTTTTCGTTTCCAATTTTCCTTCGTCCAATTCCTTCTCGTTTCCCGAAGAAGAAGACGAAGACGAAGACGAAGATTCGTCGTCTCTTTTCGCCCACTCTGGGGTCACGCCGGCGCGGTACCGAGTGACTTTCGTCCTCGTCGCTGGGGCGGCCCCATCGCGTGTCATTTTCGTCGAGCGTTCGACCGCGTTTCGCTCCGCCCAGGCGGGGTTGTTCGTGCCTTTTTTACCACTCGGACGCATTTTTGTTCTGAGGAGAAAAACGCTTTCGATTCGTCACATTTGTATTCCTTCTTTACTTTCGACACCGCACGAAACGAACGGCGGCGAATTCAGTGCATTTCAGAGAAGAATGGTAGCCCCTGCTTCGAACGACGACGATGATGATACGAATACTACTAAAGGCGAGGACGTGATCGACCGTTTACTCGTCGGGTATAAACGTTTCCGTCGGGAAAAATTGACGAAACGATTGGATTCAAAGTTGAAAACGCTCAGCCGGGAAGGGCAGCGCGGGTGCAAAGTTTTGTGCGTGTCGTGTTGCGACAGCCGGTACGACCCGACGCTCGTGTTTAACGCGGACCCGGGGGAGATATTTACCGTGAGAAACGTCGCGAACGTGATACCGAGGTTCGTGAAGCACGAGGATAAAACAGCAGAGACTGCGCACCACGGGACGTGCGCGGCGATCGAATACGCGGTGAAATCGCTGAAAGTAGAAGCAATCGTTGTTTTAGGGCACGCGCAGTGCGGCGGGTGCGCGCACGCGTTGAGTTTGTTCTCAGAGCCGGAGGAGGCAAAAGTCGAAAAGAAAGACGCCGACGTAGACGAGGACGACGACGGAAGCGGTTACGTGGACGCGTGGTGCGGGTTACTCAAAGAGAGCGTAAAACGCGTCTGCTCCGAGTACGACAAAGACGAACGATTGAGACAGTTGGAACACGAAAACGTCCGACAGAGCGTGGAAAACGTGAAAACGTTCCCGTTCGTCCGGGATCGAATAGCCAAGGGCGAGTTGAAAGTCAGAGGTGGATTTTTTACCATCTTTAGCGGCGGGTTGTGCGTCATGGACGAAGAGACGAAAGTTTTCGAGAGGATCAAAGACGATGACGAACACACACTCGAGAGCGAAGAAGAGAAAGCAGCCTCGAAAGCAGCGCCGGAGGTGGGTGGTGAAAAGGACGACGACGAGAACGTCGATCCTCCTCCGCGAAGCGTCGTCGACGACAACAAAAGCAACAAGAGGCAAAAGAAAAAATAGAATTCTTTCCCCACAACAAATACTACACATACTTGAATAAAACACGCGCATAAAACTTCACCCACTCGTCCTCCTCACTCGTCGTCGTTAAGATGATGCCCATTTCCCGCGTTTCGTTCTCGTCGTCGTCTCCCGTGACTCCTCGAGGACAGCCTTCAAGACGACGACGACAAAAGAAGAAGACTTTAGGGGCAAAACCGTTGGCCGCCGCCACCACGGAGAATACGAATAACAACAACAAAAACACGCTTCCTCTCTGGGCGGAAACCCAAAAGAGAAACTCCCCGGCGTTGACGAACATTTCTTTCGCGCTGGTGAACCCGCAAGGCCCGATGAACGTGGGGAGTTGCGCGAGGGTGATGCAAAACTTTGGCATTTACGACCTGAAAATAGTGCAAGGCAGCTCGTTCGTGTTCGAACCGACGCCGGATGATGATTCGTCGGATGATGATGACAATGATGATATTAATGATAAAAATGATGAGAAAAAGAATCGAAGAACAACAACGCAGTACGAGAACAAAGACGAGGCGAGCGAAACGGAAGGCGAAATGCCGGATTTGTTTACCGCGAGTTTATTAACATCCAACAAAGACGCGAAGAAAACGATGAGCGGAGAGGCGTATCGGTTCGCCTGCGCGGCGGATTGGATGCTCGAGAGAGCGTCGAAGGAGGCGTGGTATCCGGACGTGAAATCTGCGACGGCGGATCGAACGGTGGTGTTTGCGACGACGGCGAGAAATCGCGACGGGTCGCAACCGATGTTGGATTCAAGAGAAGCGTGCCGAAAAGCCGCGAAATTGGCTCTGGACGGAGAGAAAGTCTCGTTTTTGTTCGGGAACGAGAGAGTTGGATTGACGAACGAGGAGTTGAGAACGGCGCAATATTTAGTCGCGATACCGACCGCGGGTGTTGGCGAGGTTTGCGGAAAGAGTTTGAAATACACGGGGAGTTCTGGTCCGACGAGTTTGAATTTGAGTCACGCGGTTGGAGTGGTAGCGTACGAAGCGTTCGTCGAGACGACTTTGGAAGAAGACAGAAGAAGGAAAAGTGGACACGGATCGTCGTCGTCATCATCGAGTGGTGGTGGTAGTAGTAGTAGTAGTAGCAGCAGCAGCAGTAGCAACAATAATGATAAAGATGATAACAATAACAGCGATATCAATAGCGAGGAAAGCACGGCGTCTTTGAGAAAGCAAACCAACGCGGGTAAAACGGAAACCGATAAACTGATGAGTTCGGGCGAGAAGCAACAGTTGACCCAGGCGTTATTCAGCGCCAGGCGGTCGTTGGATGTTTGTCCATCAGCTACAGATGATCGCGCGGATACAGAAGACGAGGATTCGATAGATTTACAATCTCGAGAATTTAAAGCGATTGAACGCGTGCTTTCGAACCCGAATCTTCGCGGTCGCGACGCGGCGGTGTTGTTTCAAGTCGCTCGAAGAATATTAGCCGTGATGGAAAACAACGACGAATCTCCGTTGGAGAGAGTCATCGTCGACGAGCTCAAGAAGGTGAAAAAAGTAGACACGCCAATCAAAGAAGCTCGGAACGCTTTGAGGGAGAGATTTAACATCTCCTTGACCAATCGCGAAATCCTCGAAGCGCAGCGACGCGCGAGCAAGTAATGCGAAGAAGATAAGCACTGAAACAAGCATAGAAAAAGCAACTCTCTTCTCGCGAGTACAATTTAATGCAACACACACATAACTAACGTAGCACCAACTAGTAGGCGCAGCAAAAAATTAATTTAGAAAGCATCGTCTGCACGCCGGCAAATATTTATCCGCGCCGCCGACTAACTCCTGCCCGTCCCCGACGTTTACGATTCTCTTACTAAACAACGCCGGTCGTCCGCACTTACACTTCGCGGTTAATTTCGTCACCGAATCACACAGCGGCAACGTCTCTTGCACCTCACCGAATGTCTCTCTTTTGAAATCGCCGTTCAACCCGGCGACTAAAACAATCTTATTGTGCTCGTCCGCCGCGACTCGACAAAACTCGTATAAATTCGTCAAAAACTGCGCCTCGTCCACCGCGACGACGTCGCACTCGTTCCATTTCCGTTCCCCGACCGTCTTCACCACCACCTCCAACTCCAGCGACTTCACCGGGAAACACTCTCTCCCTCTCCCGTCGTGCGTGACTACTTTATCCTTGGCGTACCTCGTATCTTTGTCCGACTTTAAGAGCAAAACGTTCGCGCTCACGGACTCTTCCAACTGTTTCACTCGCTCTAATAAACGCGTCGTTTTCCCGGCAAACATGGGTCCTAAAATTAAATGCACCGACCCGACGCCTTTCTGCGTTTCCTCTTCGCTTTCGTTTCTTTTGATGTTATTGTTCGTACTATTCGCGACCGAGCTGTTGTTCAAAGAGGAAGTCACTTCTTTCGATGCGTTCTCCTCCTCCTCGTCGCACACCGAGACTTCTCCTCCTCCTCGCGACGCGAAACATCTGAACCCGTTCTTTTTCTTCGTCGTTTTCTTCGTCGTCATCGTCGCGTTCGTATTGTTCTTCTTCTCGTTCTCGTCGTTCGAAATCATCATCATCGTGCTTCTGCGCCTCGATGATGCGAAGGAAAAGGAAGAAAAAGATGACGACGACGCCACGTGGCTCTTCGCATTCCTCGCAGCAAAACTCGTCGCGGAAGAAGAATAAGAAATCATCGTCATCATCGTTCGTCTCCTAAGCATATATAGAGATGTGTCTCTTCTTTGGGATTGAGTAGTGAGAAAAAATTCGTTTGAGTTTCTTTCCTCGAGAAGAGTTTTTTGTCTCTGACTTGTCGTTTTTTTGGCTTTTTGGCTTTTTGGCGGGAAAAAAGATACGAACTTTTCTGCGCTTTTTCGTATTTAGATACACACACAAAAGTCTGCGCTGAGTACGATAGAGAGAGAGAGGGAGGGAGACTGAGAAGAAACGACCGCTGAGTAAACGACGACGATTCGTTTGCCTTTGTGTTGTTCGTAGTATTATATGCGTTGTTTTAAAAGGACTTTTGTCTCTTAAACTTGATTTGTTGAGGGGAAAATTGCAGAGCATTGCAGAGAAGAAGAGCGACTTTGCGAACAAAACAACATGCGCGAAAATGATGAGAACGAGTGCTGTTGCGTCATCTTCGACTTAGACGGCACGTTAATCAACACGGAAGCGATCGTGGACGAGGCGGTCGTTTCGACGATAAAAACGATGAAAAAATCAGTCAGCGAGCGCGAGATATTCGACGCCGCGGAGGACTGCAGAGGCCAAAGACCGTTGGAAGCGAGCGTGGAGTTGTGCGAAAAACTAAGTTTACACGACGTGGTAAAACCCGCGGAGTTGTTGACAAAATGCGGGGAGAAGTTACAATGGGACGGAATCGATATACCGGACATGCCCGGAGCGGTGAGATTGTTGGAATTTTTGAAGAGGAAGAAAGTACCGATGGCGTTGGCGACGTCGACGAGCAGGAAAGAGCTCGAGAAAAAGATGAAGAGCACCGGGAGGACGAGCGATGATGGTAATCACAGAGGGGATTTGCTGAGTTATTTCGACGCGATTTGTTGCGGGGATGAAGTCGCGAAAGGGAAACCAGACCCGGAAATATTCCACTTGGCGATGGAACGGTTAGGCGTGAAGAGAGAAGACGCGGGAAGGTGTTTGGTGTTTGAGGATACGCCGCACGGAGTCTCCGCGGCCAAAGCGGCCGGGTGTTGTTGCGTCGCGGTGCCGAGCTTGAGGAGAGAAAAGTTCGACATGTATAAAGGCGCGGATCGAGTGTATCACTCGTTGATGGACATCGAGTTGGAAGATTTTGGTTTGCCAAAGTTTGAGGATTGGAAAGAGGTAAAGACGGTGGAATTCGTCAAAGAGGACGGAGACGCGAGCTTGAGTAGTCAGACGCGTAAATACGAAAGGTTTTTAAAGCTCGACGCGTTTTTAGAGTTAACTGGTCCAGTCATTCGCGGTTTTGGACGCGGGAGTAAAATGTTAGGAATTCCAACCGCGAACCTCGACGTCGTGCCTTTGAAGCAGCAAATAGACAAACTCGCGCCTGGGATCTATTTCGGCTTCGCCAAAATCTCTTCTGGAAAACACAAATCCACCGGCATTCACCGAACGGTCATGTCCATCGGGTACAACCCTTTCTTCAACGATAAGCGAAAATCTATCGAGCCGTGGTTACTCCGCGAATTCGAGGAAGATTTTTACGACGAGACCTTATCCGTCCTCGTTTGCGCGTACGTTCGAGCCGAGTGTAATTTCACGACGGTCGAAAATCTCATCGAGAGGATTCGAAAAGACGCGAGAGTGTGCGAGGAAGCGTTGGATTTAGATTTAGTGGAAGGTTTAGACAGTTGGAAACATTGGTTTGAGGATGACGTGTAATATAAGATTTATTTGACTCTCTCTCTCTCCGCTCTCATGCAGTCTCTCTCTCGCAAATCAAATCTTTTTGAAATTCCCCTAAAAAAAGCGACTACTATATATAAGAGTTTTGACTATGTCTGGAGGAGAAAGAGTCACCTGCGCGATGGTGACGACGAGAGCGAGGAAGAGGAAGGTTGGTGAGAGAGATTCTTTGTGGGATTTGGTCGTGAAGAACGACGATATAAGTTTGACGCATATCGTTCCGAGATTGAATCAAACGGAGGTGAAATTCTTGTACGATGTGAACAGTGAAACGAGAAAGTTGATTAAGAGATCGTCTCGCGCGGGTGATTTAGAAAAGGGGTTTAGAGTGTACGAGATGTCGTCGATATCGACTTTGGAAGTTGCGTTGGAGAATAAATCGTTGTGGCCGAGATGGTGGGACGAAACAGATTTCTGCCGTGAAGTTGCTGAAACGAATAAACTCGAGTTACTCAAGTGGGCGCGAGAGGAGAAAAATTGTGAGTGGGATATAATGACGATTAATATGGCCGCAAGTCAAGGTAATCTGGAAATGGTGAAGTATTGCGTGGCAAATGAGTGTCCTATTGATGAGAGGGCGTGTGCATGGGCTGCCTCACAAGGTCATCTCGAGTGCCTCAAATACTTATGCGAAGTAGCGAAAGCGCCGTGGGATTGGAGAATTGCCGCTTGGGCGGCTGAAAATGTTTACCTTCACATACTCGAATATCTTGTTGATCGTAAGTATAATAAATATAACGAATTGGCGTGTGTATATGCGGCCATGAACGGCCATTTGGACTGTTTGAGGTACTTACACGAAACCGCCAAAGCGCCTTGGGACGAGGTCGCCATACGCTCCGCGCACGAGGAAAACCACCCCGAATGTGTACAATACCTCCTCGATAACAACTGCCCTTTACCATTGGATTGGCGATACGAAGATGGAGAGTTACACGTACCAGAATCAGAATCGGAATCAGAATCCTAATCAGAATTACACTCGTTGTACGCGAAATCGGCATTTTTCGCTTACCACGTCACAAAGCCTCTCACTTCCCTCATTTTATCTCGACTCCCCTCTCGCGATAAAACATGCTCGCAGAAACACACCACCGACTCCTCTCTTCTCTTCACGCGTCGACGACGACTTCGACTCGGCGCACTCGTCTTCAAAGCAGCAACAAAAGCGGATTCGTGTCATTCACTGCGCGTCGTTTACGTTTCGGAACGAAGAGAAACACTTCACGTTTCCGCGCTTGGGGGAAACCAATCTCGTCGTCGACGACGAAGGATGAAACGACGACAGAAACGCTCCGAAAGGACGACGACGACGAAGAAAAAGGCGCCGTGTTTCAAGGTGTCTACGAATTTGCCAAGCACAGGTGTTATTACGAACGCAAAGGCGACGTGAAAGCGGCAAAAGTGCACGTGATATTCTTGCACGGATTTGGCGTTGGGACGTTTCACTACAGGAAGCAATTGAACGCGTTAAGCGATGAAGAAGTATGCGCGTGGTCGATGGATATTTGCGGCCAAGGCAAATCCTGGCCTAGAAGCGGAGAAGACGTGAGGGATTTTGAATACAGCATGGACAGTTGGAGAGACCAGGTGGAGTACTTCGTGAGAGAGGTTGTTTTGAAATCATCGACGGAGGAGGCGAAGGTGAAGGTGGTGCTCGCGGGGAACTCTTTGGGCGGGAAGTTGGCGCTGTACGTCGCCGCGACGAGCGAAGATATCACAGATGGGATTATTTTGTTAAACGCGACTCCGTTTTGGGGATTTCTGGAGAAGAGAGTGCGCTTTTTGACGAAAGAGAACGAGTTCATCGTGAAATTGACGCAACCGTACTGGGATAACTTTCGATCGAAAGAAAACGTGAGAATGCTGTTGACTTTAGTCTACGCCGACAAAACTAAAATCGAAGAATCACTGATCGAGAATATAATCGAACCCACTGAAAATGAATTCGCAATACGAGCTTTTATCAGCACGTTCACCTCGCCGAAAGCGTCTCGATTGAGTTACGACGAAATGTTAGAAACGATACGCGATCGAAACGAATCGATGTTTTTTAAAGTCGCTCTGTGTTACGGTCGAGAGGACCCGTGGGTGGTGCCTTTGTGGGGACAGCGTTTGAAAAGAGTGATTAAAAACGCCACGTATTACGAATTAAGCCCATCTGGACATTGTCCGAACGACGAAACGCCGGAAGCCGTCAACGCAGTCGTTCGGTCGCTTCTCGACGAGTGGTTTTTGAATACGACGACGACGTCTGTTCGGAGGACGTTACCAAAACAAATAGACGGCGTCTCGATCGAGTTAGTCGACGGGTCGCCCAGGAACGTCTTCGAGAAGGTAGATTATTGGAAAGATACGTTCGTCTCGAAGTTGTTGTCCTCGTCGTCTGCGTGATTAGCGAGGAGCGCACATGTAATATATATAATACAAATTCTAATACGGCAACGATTTCAAAGACCGTCCAACTTTCTTCAACTTTTCCTTTCGCACCTCTCTTTTCTCTTTGCGAATGACTGCGTTCTCGGAAAATTTAACCTCGGTCGCTTTCGCGTCGGCGAGCGATATGCACGTTTTCAAATCCTCGTTCGAGGAGACTTTTCTGAAAGCCGCCGCCGCGCTCGAGCTCGACGAGTCGTCGTCGCTCGTTTTTTTCGTGAAATCAATCACGGACGCGACCGTGCGTCGCCCTAATCCGAATCTGCGTACGCTTTCACGAGCGTGATGCAACGCCAAATCTTCGCCGTCTAATCGTTCGGTGCCTTTCAAATAGGTTGTCAATGCCGGCGTGTATTTTTTGCACGACGCGGTAGTTTCGTCGTCGCGTTCTTCTTCTTCGACGTCGTCGTCGTTCGGGAACACATCGATTCGAGCTACGGTAACCGCAGAGGTGTCGTTTTCCAAAAGAGTGCGTCTGAAGAACCCTCCGACGGATTTCACCGCGGTCGACGTGTGCGCGGCGACTTGTTCGGACGTGAGTATTTGCGGTATCGATTTCGGAGAAGAAGATGGCGCATCTCCAATATCATCCTCAACGTCAACATTACTACGACCACTGGCACTACTGATTTTAGTACTCACCACAGACATCACACCACCGCTCCCATTCTCCACGCATAAAAAACTCAAAACGCCATCGCCTTTCGTTCCGCTAATAACGCACGCGTGCCTGGTCACAATCGCCTTGTTCCCTCGTCCTCGCCAATGCTCGCTCCTCGTCGTTTGCGAATACACGCTCTCGTTCACTCTCAACGGCGTCCCTAACACCTCGCTCAACCCTTTATACTCGCTCGACGCGCTCTTTGCCAACTGTTTCGATATCCCAACCGCGTCCAACGGTCTTCCTTTCGTCAACGCTCTCATCATCGCCGCGCTCGCAATCGCGCTCGCGAGTAACTCCTTCTCCACTTTTCGCGAGACCGAAAACCCTTTCTCGAACCCGCGTTCGCTGAAATCTTTCGTTTCCGCGAGAACGCGCCACAACGCGACGGTGACGCCGATCGTTTTGAGGATTCGAAAAAAATGTTCGTTGTGTTGTCGAATCGCTTTCATTTCTCTCTTTTTTTGTCTGTACACGTGCATTGGATTTTGTACCTGTTTCACCATCTTTTCCATCTCGCGATATCCGCGTTCCCCGAGCGTTGCTTTTAACGCGCGTCGCGCGTTCGTTCGGAAAGCGCGCGTGGCAGAAGCAGCGCGTGCAGCGGCGGTGAATTTATTGTTGTTCTTCAAACCACTCGATGATGATGATGATGATGATGATGATGATGTGGAAAACGGTCGAGAACAAAGCGGGGACATCGTTGACGAACGTGATGCGCGTTTGAATGCAGCATTCGTGTTCGACGACGAAGCAGAACACTCGAACGAGGACAGAAGTCGTCGCGCACTCCTTTCCAGGGAAGCTGCGCGTCGCGAAAAAGCGCGAGTCGTGTGCATTTCGCTCTCGTTTCAGGTGCGTCTGTGTCGGATGAATAATGAAGATATTTCGAAATCTGCTTCTCTTGGTAGTACATTGACGCGTACATGTTTTGATGGTACAAATCTCTTTATCTATCTATTTCTCTCTCGCAAAGGCGTTTACATGGTTTCTTCTTCTTCTCCTTCCTCATCTTCCATGCCCATCCTCATGCCGAGTTCTTCCATTCTAGCTCTTTCTTCAGCGAGGGCAGCATAGTCGACGTCGTCGTTTCCGTCGTCGTCGTCGTCTGAAGACACCGCCTCTTGGCGAGGCACGAGTCGCATCGGGTGCTCCTCGCGGAACGTCTCGTGCATTCTCCAATAGTTCCAATCCCGATCCGTTTCCGACTCGGTCGATTTACACTTTTCCTCTTCCTCTCTCGATTGAATTTTGGACGTTTGAACTTGATTTTTAAGAAACCCGAAAAAGATTCGCGGGAGTTCGTTTTCCTCCTCGTCTTCTTCGCGTTCGGATAAACGTTCAAACTTCCAACCTATAAAATTTCTGCAGCAATAACAGGACTCGCTTGACCAACCGTAACGATCAAAGAAGCATCGGAACGGGTTCACTTCCTCTGCACTTCCGGTCCAGCCGACGTCATAAAATGCCGGAGAAATATTAGGACGGGTGAAGCTGTATAAATGGCTGGCGCTCGCGGTGAGAATTTCGCACTCGTGCAAATGTGGATTGAAGAATATTTTCGACGCTCCTGGACCGTAAACTAGGATTGGGTCGATGGTTTCTTCATGAACAGGCGGGTTGATCGCCTTAATCGCTTTACTCGCATTGCCGAAAGGCGAGTGACACTCTCTGCATTGTAAATAAGAAACTTCTTCCTTTGCGTGTTTCAACACTCGACCAGTCGTGCCAATCGGCTCCGCGATACCTTCTTCCGCTTCTGCCGTTTCACCATCACGAAACAAATTTTTACCGGCAGCAAAACACGCTTCCACGGCAGATGTACTCTCTAAAAGAGATTTGCTGATGCGTTGTTCGTATTTAGAGCCGATGATGTCGCGCACGTCTTCTGTGATTTCGAATAGCCCGTTTAGCAAATCGAAACGACAAAACGGCACCGGCGCTGGACTGTTGGCGACACAAATGTAAGGAAACGTTCCGTCGTTCATCGACTTCGCCAACCTATCCCCTCCGCATCTGTTCACCATCGCGGCACACTTCGTTGCCTCTTTCAGCAAGGATTCACAACTGACTTTCGCTGTTTTCAAAATCGCTCTCGACGGATCCAATTTCTTCAGGTATCGAGCGCTCTGTTTCGTTTCCGCGTTTCCATCTTGAAACAAATCCACCACCGTTCCTTCCCGAGCAGCGCGAATCTTTTGTCTTTGAACTTCGAAAATGCGATGAAGATTTAATCTGACTGTTCTGGCTTCCTCGTCGGTCATATCGTCGTTTGGAACGTAAAACTGGCCGTAAAGCTCATCGTAAAGAGGTTTCGGAGGCAGTCGAGAGATCTTTTTCAGCGCACATTTTATGCCGGTCCCGATTAAACACGCGTACGTGCACCTCGACGCATCCAAGCTGAATTGATTTTCGTGAGTTCCGTAACGTCCTTCATTCACGAACCAAAAGCTGCCCTCTTTGCTAATCAACTCTTTCCGCTCCTTCTCGTCGACGAACACGATTTCGCACACCGTGCCGACGTATTCCTTCTCGCTCGCGTCGTCGTTTTCTTCGCCATCGATTGGAATCGTTTCGCACTGAATCACGCCAACGAACACTCGACGACGACGCTGCTTTTGCTCATCATTCTTTGATGTCTTTTTCATGATCCCTTTTTCGAAAAACGACGACGTCGAACTGTTTCGTTCTACGCTCCGCTCGATGTCTCGGCGTCCTTCGCGAAACTTTTCGCACGCCTCTAAAAACGGTAATGTGACTGGCATTCGACTGACGAAACTTCCCGGCATTACGACGACGTCTCGGAAGAATACAATCGGGAAATCGGGCACGTTTGAGAACAAGAGTTCTCCTCTTTTTTCCTCGTTTGTTGTCTTCATCGTTGACTTCTTTTACTTCTTCTTCTTCACCGCAAAATCATCTTCACGGGGAAGACATCACGTTCGGGGTCGTTTTTCTCATCGTCATCGTTTCCCCTAAAACGCAAACGAATGCGAGAGACAGAGAGCGAGAGAGACACTCAGCGAGAGAAAGAACGCAACAAAATGTACCACTACTACTGCGAGACAAAGTTGTTTAAAGGAGAACGAAGCGCAGCTCTTCGAGAGTGCCACAAAAGTAACGAATTCAGAGATACAAAAACGACTGCTCTTTCCGTAAATAGGGGTGGGACGAATACTGTAACACGTCGTTTTGCAATCGGTGACGCTCTATTAATCGCAAAATCAGCGACTGAGGATACTTTATATCAAAGCTCAGTGTATTAGGTAACGATATAGTTACGTTTTAACATCTAACACTACTACGTCAGAGGTGTATCAGAATGTAACTCTGGTCGCATGTCTGATCAGAGAAAAAAACACACACATGTGAACACATGAGCTTTTGTATTAGAAAGGAACAGAGGTTATATATATACGCTCGCGAATCGAAAAACGACGAGAAATCGACACCAAACACAACACGACGCGTGGGTGGACGCGGAAGAGAGGAAGAGGGAAGCGTTTCGCGCTCGTCGAAGTGCTCCTTTATTGTGTACTCGAATAAGTTCAAAAGGCGTTTAGGGAGAAAAAAGTCCTAGAAAAGAACAACACTTCTCTGAACTTCATTACTGCGCGCGCGAGAAGAAGAAGAAGAACAACAACGCGCTCGTTTCAAAATGGCGAGTGGTAAGAAGAAAAAAGCGTCCTCGTCGTCCTCGTCGTCGTCCAAAAGTGCGACTCACAGTGCCGGAGGAAAAGGAGAAAAAAAGAGCAGCAACACCGAGGTACACGCTGCGTCCGAAACGAACTCCGGGGGTGCAATCCAATTGCCGAGGAAAGAGGGCGACCTCTTCAACGACGCCTTGATCGCGTACGAGCACCGAAAGTTCAAAGACGCGTTACACGCAATCGAGAAAATCCTAAAAAAGTTCCCAAACCACGGGGAAACCTTATGCATGAAAGGATTAATCGTTCGACACTGCGAGTTGAAACCGAACGAGACAGAGGAAGAGAGGAAGAAAAAAGCACACGAGTTCGTCTCTCAAGGAGTGAAAAACAACATTTTTTCACACGTCTGTTGGCACGTGTACGGATTACTCCACAAAGCAGATCGAAACTACAAAGAAGCGTCGAAGTGTTACTCGCAAGCGCTGAAGATTGACCCGAACAACTTTTTAGTGGTGAGAGATTTAGCGCAGGCGCATTTGATGTTGCGAGAGATGGACGAGTACGTCGACGCGAGGCGGAAGTTGTTCGAGTTGAAAATGGGGCAACCGGGGTCGAGCGATCGCGCGAATCAAATCGTGATTGGTTTATTTATGAGCGAGAAGTGGGAGGAGTGCTTGGAGATGTTGAACGAGTTCGAGAAGTTCGATACGATGGACCGGACGAGGAGGAACGGGGAACTTTTGGCCAAGAAGAAAGAGATTCCGGAACCGACGTACGAGGATACGTTTCAAGAGAGCGAGATTTTACTTTTCCGGGCGGTCGTTTTAGAGAAGATGGGGAAAGTGGACGAGTGCGTCGAGTTGTTGGAGAAGAACGAGAAGAAGATTGTGGACGACGCGGCGAGACTGACGCAGCTGTGTCGTTTGAAGATTGCGAAAGGCGACGCGACCGCGGCGAGAGAAATCGCCGAGAACGATTTAGTCAATCGCATGCCAGATAACGAAAAGTATCACGAGTTGATGCACAAATCCATGAATACGAAAGTTTCTTTGATGGAGCCTCCGATGAAGAGAAGCGAGGAGGATATTGCAAAGTTGAAGACACTTTACGACGCTTTACAAAAGAAACACGCGAAATCGAGCGTGTGCAAACGATACCCGTTACAAATCGTCAACGATTCCAGCGAGTTTGAGAGTTTATTAGCAGAATACATACAAAAGCCGCTGCGAAAAGGCGTGCCGAGTTTGTTCGCGGACATTTCGTCGTTATACGGAGGCATTCACGACGAGGAGAAATCCATAGGTAAAGTCTTGAAAGCGGCGGCGGATTCGTTGAAAAAAAGCGGCAAGTTCCCGTCGTCGTCAGATAATAAGGACGATGTTTTGGAGGCGAAACCAAAAGAGACGCACAGATACGCGTTGAACTTACTCGCCATGCATTACGCGAAAATAGGTAAAATCGACGAGGCGTTGAAATGCATCGACGAAGCGATTGAAGCGAAGGATGAAAACGACGGCGATAACGACGGGGAACAAGAGAAAGTGCTGGAGTTTCATTTGAACAAATCGAGGTTTTTAAAGCGAGCGGGAGATTTAGAAGGCGCGTACGAGGAATCCGAAATCGCTCGCAACATGGATTTAGCGGACAGATACATCAACTCCGTCTCCGTAAAGAGAGCTTTTCAGTGCGGTAAATTTAGAGAGGCGGAACGACTGGGCACGTTGTTTACTCGGGACGCCGAAAATTACAAGACGAACTTGTTTGACATGCAATGCAACTGGTACGCGTACGAAGCCGGTCACTCGCACGAAAAGTTTGAAAAGAACACAGGGAGAGCGCTGAAATATTACCGCGAAATTCGAACGCACTGCGAACAAATCATCGAAGACCAAATTGATTTCCACCGGTACTGCGTCAACGTGAAACGAACTTTGAGATCGTTCATGGACACTTTGAAAATGTGCGACGATATCTACGCGTCCGCGTGGTTTAAAAAAGCCGCTCGAAGGGCCATATTAATCTGCGTAGACATGCACGACGATCCGTTGGAAGCGAAGAAAGAGCGCGTGGAAGCGAAACTGTCCAAGTTGGACCAAGAGGAGCGCAAAAAAGAACGACAAAAGACGCGCAAGGAGGAAGAGAAGAAAGAGAAAGAAGTTGAATCGTTTGAAAAACTCTTAGCGGACGACTTGAAAAGGGCGAGAGAGACGAAAGCGAAGAGGACTGGGAAACCAGTCAGCGGCGAGAATAGCAGCAATACTACTACTACTAATAATAATAAAGATAGCAACAACAGTAGCGCGATCGAGAAAGAGTATCTCGAGGAGAAGTACGGCGCCAAAGCGTTTGCGCAAGCGAGCAAAGATCCCATGGAGGAAGCGTTGAGTTTTATGAACCCGCTTTTGATGAGTGCAAAGAATGACGAGGACGTGAACGTGCAATCGTTAGTGTTCTTGGTCCATTTCAAACGCCAAAAGTGGGTGTTGGCGACCAAAGCACTGCGAAAGATGGCAAAGTGCGCGCCGAAGAATCCGTTGACTCACCGATGCGTGGATAGTTTGTCGCGAGCGATCGAGTCGATTGAGAACGAAATCGAGAAACAAGTCGTACAATCCACAATATCTTCGTTGAATGTAGACAAGGTTAATGTTCAGTGCAAAACGCTCGTGGACGCCGCGCACCTCTCCGTTATGAAGAACAACTTCGAGAAGGCGCTTTTAGGCGCCGTGGACCCGCGGAAGACGTCTTGGAAAGAATGTCGAGACGCGTTGGAGGTTTTCGAACGCGCTGGGAACGCAACGTTTTACGAACAGTTCCACAAAGCGTGCACGAGCGCGTTTCCGAGCAAAAGTAATAAAAGCAAGGAACATCCTTCCGTAATCTCTGCTGCGTTTGCGAGAGTCGGCGTGGAGGATTCCGTGCGTTCCGCTCCGTTTCTTTAAACAATTACGATTTATAATAATACAATAATGGCGCTAAAACAACATACTTCGACGACTTTACTACTTCAAAGCTTCCAACCGTTTCTCAATCTCGTCCTTCTCCTTTGCTTTCTCTCCTTTCGCCGTCGTCGTCGTCGGCGCTTCCGGCAAATCGCTCTCAAACTCCAACCCGTGTTCGTCCGCGATGGCGCGCATCAAATTCGCCACATCCTCCGGCGGCGTCACGTTCGCCACCGACTCCCCCATCGCCTCGCCCACTAATTGCGTTTGCACGTCCAAACTTTCAAACTGCTTCTCAAACTTCTCCATAGTCATCGCCGCTTTCTCGATGTCGTTCACTTTTAGCGACAGGTCCAGTTCTTTCACCACTTTTTGCATCGCTTCGTTCACCAAATTCATCTTCGCTTGCGTCTCCAACCGGCTCACGACTGCGTCTAACCGGCTCGCCAGTTGGAGTAAATTTAACTGTTCGTGTTTTTTTCTAATCGCGTCCGTGGCGTAGATTTTGGCGCCTTCCGTGTTGCCATTTTTCATGGCGAGTTTACACTTTGACTTTAAATTCGATTCGTCTTTGAGACATTTTTGGGCGGATCGATTGAGCGATTTGGCCGTGAATTTCAAGTTGAATATTTGGTCCAACAAACGAGTCTCGGCGCGCTTTTTCGGGTTTATGAGGTCGAACAAACCCATTATTATCGTGTTGTTATATTTTTGTTGTTGTATTATGCTCTTCTTAGTTTGTGTGTGTGCGTGTGGTTCTCGTATGTATAAAAGTGGAGATTTGTTTGTTGTGGGTGCCTTTAATAACTGCTCTCAAACGGAAGCGTTCACGACTATGCGTTTTGCAAAAAAGCTAAACGTGTTCTGGTACGACTATGATATTATTCATTTAAACGCTACTATATATCGCCAGGATGGAAAACGTCGTCGTAAGTTGCACCAATAATCCGTTCGCTTTCCTTCCACAACTTAGCCCAGTTTTCCTGGTCCAAGCTGAACGCGTTGGACGAACGAAAGGCGTGTTCTCCCGGTTTCCCTTCGTTGGAAAGTTCCGAGGAATATTTCCCGCCCTCGTCGTTTTCCAACGCTTCGCTCGTGGCGACGAAGATTTGTCCTCGCGCGCCTTCCGGCGGGTTGATTAATCGACCCGCTTCGCGTAAGTTGACATACCAATCGATGGGTAAATTTCGTTGGAGCTCAGTATCTACCACTCCAGGGTGAACGCAATACGCTTGAATCTTCGAGCCTATTTTTCGCAGTTTTCTTTGTAACTCGTACGTGAACAAAACGTTCGCCATCTTCGTCCTCCCGTACGTGATCCACCCCCAACCGGGATACCCGAACACGCCTTCCGAGTTCAAGTTGAAAAAATCGACGAACCCCCACTCGTGCGCGATAGACGCCACGTTCACCACTCTCGGCTTCCTCTCCGGATATCGCTTCTCCGTTTCCAGCATCAGCGGTAACAGCTCTCTCGTCAACGCGAAGTGACTAAAATGGTTTGTCTGCATTTGCAACTCATTCGCGTCCTCCGTGAGCGTTTTTTCCGGAAGCGCCATCACCCCGGCGTTGTTCATCAACACGTCTAATCGATCGTATTTCGATTTAAACTTCTCCGCGAATGCGCGCGTCGATTTGAACGAGGATAAATCGCATTCCATCACGTCTACCACGGGGTTTGTTTCGCCTTCTTTTCCTTCATCTAAAAACAATCCGATGTCTCGCATCGCCTTCTGTCCTCTTTCGATGGACCGACAGGCGATGACGACGGAATACGAGAACTCTTTTTCTTTTCCTCCGTTTTCGTCGTCCGCATTCATCGACAAACGCGCAATTTCTTGAGCGCTGATGCATCCTAAGCCGGTGTTCCCTCCGGTGATGACGACGACTCTTTTCGTATTCTTGTTCTTATTCGTATTCGTAGTGCTACTAGTCTCCGCATCGCTGATGGATGACGACGACATCGGATGCACGAATCGTTCGTGTCGTCGGTGCCGGACATCAAAAGCGCTCGAACGTTCGCTCGAAAACGAGACAGAGCGTAAGTTTTGGGAAAGAAACGAGGAGGACGGCATCCTCGCTTCTCTTTTTAATGCGTGTGTAATGTATATCTAGTACTAGATAAACCGGCTCATTTATGAACACATTTGGCACTTTTCTTGGAGTGCTCAAATCGTCATTTTACGCAACATCTTCGACAACACTTCACGTGTACTCACAAAACGTACATCAACGAAACGTCCATGAGATCGACGAGGAAGTGAAAATCTCTGCGCGATTACTGCACTCGCGCGTGATATATTTTTTCGCGTCTCATTTAGAGGCGATATTTTCCTCATTAATTATATTAGGGAAAAGAGATTCATTCATGCGTACACGTTTGCGACGATGAATATGATGATAACGTCTCACAGACGATGATTTGAGGAAAACGAACATGACTCCCTGGTCGTCAATCGTCCCGACGTCGGTCTCGCAAACGCTCACGTTGCGAGAGCGTGTCTCTCATTCATCATCATCATCCACAGCGCAAGTTCAAGTTGTGAATAAAATCCGATTCAATCACACCGGAGACTACGCGGTGGTGTGCAAAAACCGAGCACTGTTCCTGGTCAACCCGAAGACAGATTTATGCCTGAAAACGTACGAAGGCGCACACGCGAGGGAAGTGCGAGACGCGTCGAGTTCTCGAGATAATTCGAAACTGGCCTCAGTTGGGGGCGATAAAGGCGTGTTCGTCTGGGACGTGAAAACAGGGCAAACGGTTCGCAGGTTTATCGGACACGACGCGTTCGGAGTGAACTGCGTGAAATTCTTACTCGGTGCTTCAAACGAAGAAAGCGTGATTGTATCTTGCGGGTTCGATCGGTGCGTGAAGTTTTGGGATTTACGATCGAATAGGCAACACGAGGCGATGGAGACGGTTGGATCCCAGTTTAGCGACGCCGCGATGGATTTGACTCTGAGCGGAGGGAGAGGAGGAGGAAAAACGAACGAAGTGACCGCGTGTTCGATCGACGGAACCGTGAGAACGTTTGATATTCGCAAAGGTGAGTTACGCGTGGACACTTTGTTCGGCCAACAACCGGTCACTGCGGTTGAAAACAGCGCAGACGATAGGTTGGTACTCGCCACGCTGCCGAAAACAGTCGCGCTCATGGACAAAACCACAGGTGAAGTGTTACAAACCTTCTCTGGTTTCAACAACGACCAAAACGTCGTTTTACGCGCGGCGTTTACCCCGGACGATCGATATGTCGTCCTCGGCGACGCCGTCGGCGACATTTGCATATGGGACGTGCTCTCGAACGAGACTTTGAATTCCCAACCACTGCGAATACCAAACGCGCACGCGAAATCCATATCCAACGTCTGTTTTCATCCGTCCGAAGCGTCTTTCGGCGGAAAAGGCGGAGGTGGTCGTAAAAAACATCTCATGCTTTCCTGCGCCGCCGACGGTCTCGCCAAGTTCTGGTCTTAAAAAAAAAGCCTTCGTCGTCGTCGTCGTCCTCGGTCGTCGTTCCACCAAAAGCGTCGTTTGAATAAGAATACAAATTAGAGATGGATTTAGATTTAATAAAAGATCGTAGATACTAATAGAATAGAAGCTTTTCATTCTTAAAACGCGTCGTCGTCGTCAAAGTTGTTGTTGTACTTGTTGTCGTTCTTCTTCTGCGCGCTCTAAAACATCCGCGAAACTCCTGTTTTTCCTCACATTTTTGGTCTCACTGCACCAAATTATCTTCATTCACATCTCCCATCACACTTCGCTACTGTGCTTTCTGAGAAGAAGAAGAGTAAGAACGAGAAGGACAGCAAACGACGCGTTATACATACACACAAAAACACACACAGAGAGAGAGAGTGAGACTGAGAGCTTCTGAACGAGACAGAGAGGAAAGACATTGGAATTTAAGACACAGGCGACCTTTGGCAATAAAAGCGGACCTTTTGGATAAATTGGAACCCTTGAGTTGTTTCTGTTGTGTACGAAAGAGCGGACATTAATTCGATTTAGGACAGGAAAAGGAGCGAATAAAGTCGTTTGAAATAGAGAATACGGTGTTTTTAAGCGCGCGAGTAGTCTGTCTGTCCGTTTTCAAATGACCTCGTACTTCCGCTCGCTCGCCTTCGGCATACACGGGTACAGTCAGTACACCAAAGATGGATTCGCGAAAAATATCAAAGACGAAGACGCGGAGGATGACGAGAAGGACTGCTTGAAAAGAGATTTAACGAACGTTTCGGTTTTAATAACCGGCGCGAACGGAGGGATAGGGTTTGCCACCGCAGTCGCATTGGCGAGAAGAAACGCGACCGTGCACCTCCTGTGTCGATCCATGCAGCGAGGCGAGAAAGCGGTGAAGGAGATTCTGGACGCGGTGGCGAGAGAGCGAGGCGGCGGAGGAGGAGGAAGACCAGTACCGCAGTGTAATTTGCATTTACACGTCTGCGACGTCGGCTCGAACGTGGAAGTGCGCGCGTTTGTGGAGGAGTTCACGAGATCTGGGCATCAATTGCACGTGTTGGTGAACAACGCGGCGACGTTGAGCACTTCGGAGGCGATCGAGAGAAGCGTGGACGGGTACGAGACTTCTTTCGCGCTGAATACGCTCGGTACGCACTTGCTGACGAGCTCGTTGCGACCGGTTTTAGGGAGGACGAGCGAGTTGCAGAGAAATAGCAGCGTCAGCGGGAGGAATGGTGGGTATTTTGGAAGCATGAGTACGAACGGAGGAGGAGGGGACGGCGGGAGTCCGGGGTCTATTTTGTTAGACGGCGAAAGCGGGAAACTAAACGCGTTGACGTACGTGCCGAGAGTGATCACGGTATCGTCGGCGGGAATGTTAGCGGAAGAGTTGGTGATTGACGATTTAGAATACACGAAACCGAAAAAGTATTCGGGCGTATCGCAATACGCGCGAGATAAGAGACGTCAGGTGGCCTTGACCGAAAGATGGGCGCGACTGGAAGCGGAGAAGAAACTGCCCGGAAGTTGGTCGCCGGAGAAGGAAGTCGCGAAAAGTAAAAAGGATACTAGAAAGGAAGTTAATAACGATAATCGCAGCAATAGCAGCAGCAAAAAAGGAGACGCGGTAAAGCGCGTCCCGGATATCGTGTACGTTTCCATGCACCCGGGCTGGGTGGACACGCCCGGCTTGCGTTCCTCGTTACCTGGATTTTACAACTCCATGAAAGGCAAACTTCGAACGCCGGAACAAGGCGCGGATACGATCGTGTATTTGATCTGCCTAGAAGCCGCGAAACTGGAACCTGGTGCGTTTTACTTCGACCGAAAACCAACCGCGAAACACATCAAGATGGGATTCACGCAATACTCGGAAAAAGACGTGGAAAAATTGGCGAAGAAGTTGGACGCCATGGCGTGCGAAGCGAGCGTGCACGGCAGCTTTCGCAACGGAAGAAATTTTCATCAAACGCACGCCGCAGGTGAATGGCGACCGAAGAAATCATCTGATTCTCGTAGCAAAAATAGCGATGGCGTTGGAATCGCGGGTGGGAGAACGAGAAACGGCGTCGGCGCGGACGGCGAGGACACTAGCAACAACGAAAACAAAAACAAGAACAACAAAATAACCAACCAACTCTTTCGCCCGAGATCCATCGGCGACGACTTTGAAGGGTTGGACGGCGACGACTCAATTGAGAACGAAGTATTCACGCCCAGGAAATGGCACGGATTTAACATTCGATGACAACATGATATTCTTTCTATTAGCTCTCTTTTTGTACATATAATAATCAGACTACTACTGCATGTGTAATTCTTCTTGGTTTACAACATTATTCGCGCTATTTCTGCTACTACTTCATTCTTTTCTGCATCAATACATTGTTTTTTTATTCACCGAAGGATTCGGTAAAAGCATCTTGCGATGCATCTTTTGGTGCGTCTTTGATGGTTGTTCCGTCGCGTCTCTTCTCTTGCCGAGCTCGGCGAGCTTCTGCGCGCGTTCTCGTTCGTTCCCGAGCAACGAATACTTACTGAACCACTCGTCCAACTCGTCGCCGTCCGTGGATTGGTTCAATCGGTCTTGCTCGTCCTCGAAATCGTACCGATGGTGGCCCATGTACGCCTCGGTGACTGGCGCTGCTTCTGTCGTTGGCACCGTTGATGCTTCTTCAGTCGCGACTGGCGTAACTGCTTCTGTCGTTGGTACCGTTGATGCTTCTTCAGTCACGACTGGCGTAACTGCTTCTGTCGTTGGCACCGTTGATGCTTCTTCAGTCGCAACTGGCGTAACTGCTGCTGCAGCGGCGGTTTCTTCATCCGTCGTTGCTACTGCCGGAGTAGCCGCGGTAGCGACGACGGTTGTCGTCGCCGCCGGCGTGGCAGCCACGGGCACCGCCGTAGCCGTAGTGGCTGTTGCATTTGCGGTAGTAGCAGATGGGGGTACGGTCGTCGACACCGCCGCATCGTGCGCTGCATTTGAATACTGATCAATCTCACTCTTCACCTCGTTGTACTTTTCCAACACCGGCGTCAAACCTGTCGCATCTAAAATCTTCGTTTCCGTTTCGTTCAACGTCTTGTGAACCTTTTCCTCTAGCGTGTCCAAACCGACCGCGTGCTTTGCGTACGCTTCCGCGCCAGTGATTAAGTTTTCGCGCTCGAGTTCCATTTCTTGTTCCATCTCTCTCTTCTCGTTAATCGTTGCCGTGATTTCGGCGTCGACGATATCGTTGATGATGAAAAACGCCGACATGACGAACATGTATAATGAACCTACGATTAAGACGACAAATGTGACTTTCTTGACCATATCGGGGCCCATGATTAACGCCAACGACCCGAGCGGGTTTAGTAAACTCAAATGCGCTCGATCAGGTTCCTTCAACTCTGGATCTCGATTCGGCAAATCTCTCGCTTTACCAACCGGTCTCTCTTCCGCTTGCTTTCGAGGCAACAAGGTGATCATAATCTCGACTTCCCCTTGAGACTCACCCGGTAACGTCGGATGGAACATCTTCAACCACTTGCCTTGCATAGGACCGTCCATCATGCTTTTGAACGGGTTCATAGAAAACGGTTCTTCGTTCGCGTCGTATTTGTGTTCGATGACGCACTCTGGCGACATCTCGCCAAACGTCGAAACATTTCGGATCAACTGTTTACACATTTTCGATAAGTTTATCTTGTTTTCGCCGATGTTATCATCGCCGGAGATCAAATCTTTATCGTACGCGGAAACTCTCAAGGCAATGCGATTACACGGTAAAGTCAACTGGAAAATGTTTCTGTAATTGAACGAACCGACGCCGTCTCTGGCAAACCAGTGAATGTCCGTGGACTGCGTTTCTGTGAATCGAGAAGAAGTTCGATCGAGACCGATAACATTCAACTTGAAATACAAATCGTTCTTTCCACCGACGTCTTTGTTCACCATATTTCGCGCTTTAAACACACAGACGCGCATTTCGACTTCAACCACGGGTGGCGGTTGAATCACCAACGCTTTCGGAATGTTGTCGTGACCGTCGTGGATTTCGACGATGATTTCGAGCTCGCCGAAACCGGCGTTGCCGTGTTTGTCCAACAGTTGTTTGATTTCCAGAGGAGGCCTATCGCCCATCTCCGTGTTCCATCGCTCAGAGAGTAATCGCGCTTCCACGTCGACCAAACATTGTCCCAGAAAAACATCCGAGGAATACTTTTCGTAATCGAAGACGTCAAATTTCAAAAGACCGTTACCGGGTAATTCCGTTTTGTACTCGAAGGTTTTGTAAAACCACGGCGTGCACGTGCGATCGATTCTCTCCTTCGAATTGCCAAACTTAATATTCGTACCTGGGACGGAAACCACTAAGTACGGATCGCACAAGCCGGATTGATCTATTGGTCGTAAATCTTTCCCTCTGATGACGTACGCTCTCACGGTTACCGGTCGCGGTTGTTCGCCCATCATCGGTTGGTTGTCGTTGAGATAACCGCCGGCTTGCTTTTGGATTTTGAGAAACTCTTCTTCGCTTATTGTCGCCGTGGTCTTGTCCGGCGTCCAGAGAGTGTTTTGCATGATGGCGGCATTTTTGGCTTTCTTCGCCGCCACCGCCGGCTTATCTTTCTTCGGGTTACCGAGGTAATCGAGTTTGAGAATCTCTGGTGGGCCGTGAATGTACTCGTGCTCTTCTTCGGAAGAGCCGAAATACTTTCGTCTCAATTCCGACACCGAGTAGCAAAACTTGACGTAACCTCCGACCTCTCGCTTCGACGAGTTATCTTCGAAACCTTCGGCGCGGTAGATCGGAACGTTGGTCATCGCCACGTCGCCGAGCTCTTCCTCTAAAGTACCGATTGGTAAAAGCATGCGGTCGTTCATCCACTCTGGAACGTTACCGGAACCGTCGTCGAAAGTGGCCACTTTCTTCTGCTTCTTCTTAGATCGGTTCAATTCTTCATCGTCTTCGTTACTAGCTTTTGCCTCGAGCGCCGCCGCCGCCGCCGCCTCTTCGACCTTCTCCTGCTCTTCTTGCAAGCGCTTGTTCAACTCGTTCTCATCCACAGCGTTCATATCGCCATCGACAGACTCTGGTTCGCTGTCTGTGGCTGCACCGGAGCCATCCAAAGTTCCCGAATCCGATGAGCCCTGATCTGAGGACGACGACTCTCCGTACTCTCTTCCTTCCGTGAGCGTTTTCATCCGTCTCGATTTTGATTTCGTAAACCTCGACATCATGTCATCAATTTCGTGTTGAGCGTTAGCGTATTGCGACTGCGTTTTATATGAATCTACGCCATCGCGCAACATTTGGCGTTGTCGACGAGTTTCTTCTTTGCGTTTTTTGAAGTCTGCTTTTCGCGATTTGCGCATTTGACGTAAAGATTTGCCTTCGCTCCTCGATTCCTCAACGTTCCTCGCATTCGCCGAGACTTGCTCGGCTTCGTACCGTTGCGAGATGGATCGACTCAACGCTTTTCGCTTCTGCTTCGAGGATAAAAATTTAGTCGCCGTAGTTGGATTCGTGCGATTGGTACCGCCGTAACCGCTCTCGATATCGAATTGCTGCTGCTGTCTTGCCGACGCCGCCGGAGGACCGGAGGAGCCGCCGCCGCCGACGCCGCCTAAAAACTTGGAAAGGACTGATTTCCCAGCTGAACTTCTCACCTCTTCGTTATGTCTCAAACGTTCCCGTAAAACTTCTTCTCTAGCTCTCGCGACGTAATCCGAGGACGCATCTGTCATCGTATTTGATTGCGAAACCAGCGTCGCAGTGCCGTCGTCGATGTCGAACGAGTAGTCCGAGATTGTTTCGTCTCTGAGGATTTCCAGCAACTTTTCCCGTTCGTCTGCGGTGGTACCTTTTCGCTTGACCGAGACTAAGTTCGAGCCTTTCTTCTCGAGTAACGCGAGCTCGTCTCGTCGCAGGAAAACTTGTTGCTCGCCAGTTCCGATTAAGCGTTTTATCGGGCGAGCGTCGATGACTCGAATGGATAACGAGGTATAAATCTTCGTTAGTCTCGGTACTAAACCTCTCAACGTTAACGTTTGCCCGTTGAAGTTTGCGTTCGGACCGTTCGGTAAATTCCTGAACGCGCTCGATTTCACGTGTTCCGTGGAACCTTCGAACAACGGAACGCATCCGGTCAACTCAAATTCAACCTTAGGCATGTGCGCTGCAAATTGCTTATACGGCAACAAACCTCTGACGCCCATCAAGCACACGCTCACTTCCACCGCTTCGAAACCAAAATAATCTTTGATTTGTCTCGTGGCTACGTGTTCGAGTCGCGGTTTCACATTTTCCCACTGGACTTTGATTTGCGGACCTAAAACGAAGTTCGCCACGCCCATGATTGGCAACGGCAACACCTCGTAGTGCATGAGCAACTCGCCACCGTTAGCGTTCAAATTAGAGCTGTTCGGGTTCAGTTTCACCATTTCGTACCATTCCGGAGAAGGATGTTTATCTTCTGCCGCGTGGTGCACGTGTTCCAAGACTTCATCGTATCGATCGGGTTTGTTGGGATCGAGCGAAAAGTCGCTAAAGAAGGACACCGAGGACGCTAGACCGGAATAGCCGCCTAAAGATCCAGCGTTTTTCGCGCGCATTTCGGACGGGTGTAACAACGGTACCATCAAAACCGATAACGGATCGATATCGGCGCCTGAGATGAGCGTCTCTTCGTCTTCGTCGAAAACTAAGATGGTCATCGCGGGCGCTGCCCACCACGCGATGCCTTCGAGACCTTGTAATCCCCCGCCTTTTCTACCTCCTCCGGATTTGTTGGCTTTGTTCATTTTCCGATAGTCTTTCATTCGTTTCTTGAGCAATTTGGATTCAAGCTTGTCTTCGTCCCAGGAGGAATCGTCGTCGTCGTCGTCCGAATCCGAGTCTGAATCCGAGTCTGAATCAGAATCCGATCTGGTGGGATCAATCGCTGTCGGTGGCAACAGCGGCAACTCAATCTCCACGAATAAGTCCCGAAACCAAGACGGCGAGACGGTACTTTTGAGCGTTTGCGTTTGAACAACTGCTCGACCACACCGAACGACCGCGACGGGATCGCTCGCACCGTTCGGATCCGCCGCCGGTAAGTTCATCGCCTGATACGCTTCCACGTGTAGCATAAACTTCCGCTTCTCCATCGGTTTCAACGGTTTCGCTTCCAGCTCGTCCACCGCGCCTCTCATTTTCCTCTCCATTTTCTTCCTTCGTTTTTCTAATTCTTCTTTCTGTTTTTTATCGGCTGGATCTAAATTTTTGTACTCTTCGTTCAACGCTAACGCTTCGGCGTCGCCGTCTTCCTCCGCGCCTTCCTCGGCGTCCAATTTCGCTTGGCGTTTCAAGTTTGGATTACCTCGTATGATCATTCGAATCAAGACTTGTCCTACTGGTTTAACGTGCTCGAGAGATCGCGATTGGCCCTTCTTGTGATTCGTCAACGCGTCCGCTTGTAACTGAAACCACCCTTGAACGTTCCATCCGTTTGGTAAGTTTTTCTCATCCGGCGGTTGCAAAGGGCCCATGGTTTCGTCCACCGGAGTTAACCTTTTCGCGGGAACTCGGGCAAATCCGATCGACTTCCCCGCGACGCATACGCGAATAAACACATCCGGTGCACCTTCTCCGGCGTGTGGGCCATCGAAAGGCATCGGTAAGTTCACTTGCAACGGCGCCAACGCGGAGTTGATTTCGGCGTAACATTCTCTCACCAAAGGATCTCGCTCGGATTTCAACGTCGCTTTTGGAGACGTGCGTTTGGATAATCCCATCTCGACTTCCACGTAACACTTTTTCCCTTTCGAGTTGGTTTGAAACAACTCGACGTCTAACACTTCCGAGTGTAAAATACACGGCCACTCTCGGCTCAGTTTATCGCTCACTTTGGGTATCCGAGTTTTGGCGCGACTCGCTCTTTTTCCGGTTTCCTCTCGAGTCGCCTCGAAGGACATCAACACCCTTCCTCTATACGCCGAGCCTTCTAAATACCCAGCGTTCATTCTTTTCGCTAATTTTGAGACGTGACCTCGAAACGAGGACTCTAAGTTTCTCGTGCCGCCGTAAAAGCAGTACCATTTCGGTTTCGCGTGCGCCTTTGGCTGCGCGATAATATCTCTGATCAACACCGAAGTAGACGCGACGTGGTCGTCGTCGCCGGTTAAATCGTAATCCATCACGGATAAGCGCAGCGGCGGCAACGCGCCGACGCCACCAAACTTCCCTCCAGCCACTCGCGCTCGCATGATGACCTCTTGGTTCCACTCTGGATTTTTCGATCGACGAACTTTCGAATTTGCCGGAACTGCGCTCGACCCGCAAGACAACTTCACGTACGCATCAATTCCGGCGCCACCTAAATTCGGCCAATCCATTCTCGGTAAATCTTTCCCGATGTACACGTTCGCTTTAATCGCCCAAATCTCGATTTCGCCTTCCTCCGCCGGGGTATCCGTTTCTTTTTCCATCAAAGAGGCTAAGAACGACTTCTTCGCCAGTTTGTTCTTCGCTTTGTCGTTCTTCTCGTCATCGTCGTCTGAATCTGAATCTGAATCTGAATCTGAATCTGAATCTTCGGGGTCCATATTCGCCATCGTCGCCTCTTCGTCGCCTCTCCGTAAAACTTGCACGCAAATCTTCACCTGTCCTTGACTCCCTTGCCTCTTCCCGCTCGGATCTGTCAAATGGTACCACCTGTGCCAAACCTTGTGTTCGTGCTCTTCGAACACTTTCGAACACTCCAATTCCACGGAACCAATCGTCGCGTCTTTCCCAAACTTCCTCCTGTCCGACACCTCGAAGTTCACCGCGCACCCGTCCAACTCGCCGTTGGCCAAGTCCATCCCTTCGAAATAAAAACACTGGTTCCAAAGCGGCTGCGACGTTTCTTTCTCCACGATTGTTTTCCTCTTTTGTTGCGGGAACCCAGCTCTTGATAGTTTCACTTTTGTCGTCACGTTTGGGAGCGCGTCGGCGTTCTCCGTCGCTTGTTTCAAGGAGAAACTCGTCACCGTTTGCCACAAATCAAAACTTCTAATCGATGGTAAATCTTTCGCCTCGATGACTCTCGCGACGACCACGTAATGGCCCGCCGGGATCACTCTCGGTTGTTCTTCGTACATTTGCAAGTGCGCCTCGTCCGGGTACTGGTCGATGTTGTTTTCATTATTCGCATCTTCGGAATCATCGTCGGAGACGAAACCGAACCAACCCATGATGATGATGTATATCTCTCTTTACTCCAGGGGCCGCGCTTTCATTTTCATCTCAAGGAAAAAATTCTTTCTTAAACGCTAAAGCCTTCTCTTGCGTAGTATATATATATATATATATATTAAAGTAAATAACACGCGCAACAATCAATACTATGCTCTGTATATTCAACACTCGCGTTGTTGCGCTTTAAAATTCTTCTTCTTAAACGATAGCGTTTACCTAATGCTGCTTTTATACGCGTCGTCGTCGTCGTCGTAGTTTTTCGCAATTTTTGTCTTTTCTCTCCGTTGTGCTTTGCACGCTTTAAACCCTAAATTTGTATTTAAAACCCTAAACATTAAAACACATTTTTTTTATTCAACACAAAGAAGAGACTTTTGCACGACGAAAGAAAGAAAAAAGTTCACTTCAGAGACTCTCCTCTCTCGCGTGAGTACTAAAAATGGAATCGATCGAAGCGACTTTGAAAAGCGACGTAAACTCCTTTCAGTCGTCCGAACAACTTTCTCCCGAGACTCTGAGCGCGTTCTTCGACCTGTTAAAACCTGGAGGACGGTTAGGGGTTTTCGTTCTGTTGGGGAAAAAAGGAGGTGAGGAGGATTCGTCCGCGATGATACGAAAAGAAGTCTCCAAGCGGTTGACGTTGGAAGGATTCGAGGACGTCGTTTCCGAGCAGACGAGCGTTTCCGGGACGGACGCGACGAAGGTTTCGGGGAGAAAACCGAAGTGGGAACGAGGCGTAACGTTTAGCTTAGGAGAGAAAAAGACAAAAAAGACTTTAGTTTCGGCCTCGGCGTGGGAAGAAGAAGACGACCGAGACGAAATGATCGACGAGGACGCGTTGCTCACGGAAAAGGACAAAGAGAAACCAACCGCGGAAGGAGAAGGAGTTGGATGTCCGCCGACGAGGAAACCGTGCAAAGATTGCACCTGCGGAAGGAAAGAGGAAGAGGAGATGAAGGAAAACGCAACTCCAGCGAGCTCTGTCGTGAAGATGGATTTAGAGAACGACCCGAACGACGAGACGTTTAAAAGCGCGTGCGGGAACTGCGCGTTGGGAGACGCGTTTCGATGCGCCGGGTGTCCGTATTTAGGACAGCCGGCGTTTAAGGAAAACGACGAGGAAAATAAGGTGGTGATGTTAGACGATTTAGGAACGGTGGATTTATAATGTAATGAAATGGTGTGAAGCGTTTGCGCGCCGCGGTAATAGACTTTTTACGTGTACAAATACTTGAATATTTTTACTCAAGTTTTGAAGCTCCCGTGTTGCTTGAGAATCGCCTCGGCGACGACTTTGACTCCCATCAAGACCAAGGGAACGCCGTTCCCGGGTCTCGTGCTCGCGCCGACAAAGTGTAATCCAGAGACGCTCGGCGTGTCCAAACTTTTAATTCCAGTTCTGGTAGGCGGTCTAAACGCGGCTAATTGCAACAGTCCGTGCGATAAGCCAAACACGGCGCCGTTTTTAATGTTATACATGTCCCTCCACTCCGCGGGCGTGCGAACGTCCTCTTTTTCAATAATCTCGGACAGTTCACCGTGTCCAGCTTCGCGAAAACGTCGAAACAACGCTTCGCGAGCGGCATCGACCATTTCCTTCTCCGTCGGCACCGGAACGCCTCTTTTTTTGCAAATGTCGATTTGTTCTTGGATGTTCGCCACAGGGAACTCAATCATCAACGCCGCGCAACCATCCGGCGCGCACGATTTGTCCGTGTACACCGGGTTGCAGCAATAAAAGTTGTGCTGTTTTGGTGCGGCGAAATCTTCCGGAGTCGCCGGTCGGTTCCATCCGGTTTCGTATTCGCCGGATAAAAAGACGTTGTGATGTAACAAATCCGGGATCTGTGTCTTCAAACACCAGTTGAACTCGATGATGGAACAGGAGTAATCCATTTGTTCTTGTCGAGAAGCTTCAGCGGCGGCTTCAGGGACGGACTCTAATAAATCATCAAACACTCTCGGAATGTCCGGGTTCGCGACGACCACGTCCGCGTCTAAAACTGTACCGTCTTCGAGTTTCACCCCGGTTACTTTCCTCCCGGTGGAGCTAAACTTCTCGTCCACGGAAGCGTCTTCCTGCGTGCAAATCTCCGTGACTTTTGAGTTCAATCTCGTCTCCACGCCAAACTTATCGCAGAGCGTTTGCAACGCGTTCCCTACGTTTTTAAACCCACCCATGGGGTACCAGACTCCATCGGTCAACTCAGTCGCCGCTAACAACGAAAACACTCCGGGCGCGTTATACGGCGACAACCCGACGTACAAATTCTGGTACGTAAACAACGCTCTCAACCTTTTATCCTTAAAGTACGAGGACATTTGCCGGTGTTGACTCAACAACAAATCCACCGGGTTCACTCTCAATGCCAACGGCACCACTCTTTGTGGATTGACGAAATCTAACACCGAATTCGCGTCTTTATCGATAAACGCGGCGACTCCGTAATCTAAACTCGCTCGCGCTCTTCCCAACCAATCTAAATACGCGCCGCCGGCGCCTTCCTCCACGTCGTCTAACTGTTTCCTCATTTTTTCCGCGTCGTACAATAAATCCAACGTCGTGTGATCCCCAAAGTGTGCTCTGTACGCCGGATCGCACCGTTCAATCGATACGTACGTTTCAAACGTCTCCCCGACCGCGGTAAACTGTTCGCGATATCGATCCGGCAAGAGCAACAAGGACGGTCCGGTATCGAATCTAAATTCCGAGTCGAACTGTTCGGATCGACATCGGCCGCCGACGGAATCGTTTTGCTCTAAAATCGTCACTTTATACCCGTTAAAAGCGAGGCGAGAGGCCATGCCTAAGCCTCCAACGCCCGCGCCAACCACGATGGCTTTATTTTTGTTCTTTCCGTCTGAATCGTTTGTACTTCGTGTGACGATGTCATTCTCGTTATCCATTATCGCCGCTTTTATTATAGTACCACGTTTCAATTTTTGATGACTATTACGACGCTTACTATTATTATTACTACTACTACTGTTATAATTATTAGTAGTACGCGGTGATTGGTGTCTTCTGGTTTGTGATTTCGAGGACGACGCCGAACTCGTTATCGTCGTCGTTCGAGAAGACATCGTCATTATCGTCGTCGTCATCTCTCACGAGCGTTTTTCTCTTATCTTTGAGGCAAAATTCGAGGCAAAGAAAACCTGAAAAGAGGGCAAAAAAAGCCACACATTCTCACGCGTACACGCGAGACAAACAACAACAACAACAACAACATTGTTGTCGCGACATTTTATAGACACAAATAGTTAGCACACATCATGAGCGCGAGTTTTTTGTGCGCGACGAGTTCGTCCTCTTTGGCGAACGCGCGAACCATGTTTGGTTCCTCCAGTAGCGGTACGTTTTCGTGTTTCGCGACGATGTGTTTTTTTTCTTCGCATTCTGCCTCTGCCTCTCGGAAATGGCGAGCGATTTTGATGAGAGATTTAATAAAGCGCGCGCGGAAACGCGTCTTTTACTTTGAAACGCGAAAATCGAGAGGGGTCTCGGAGAGATATTTTACGCGGAACAGAATCGCACGGAGGAGAATACTTACCCATCGTGTGCTCGTTCGTCGAGGATATGCGAGAGATGAGCGTGGTATTCATGCGCGCGCTTTTGCTTCACCTCGTTGTCGCCGGCCCTATCTGAAACCTCTGGTCTCTCTTTTCCTTAAAATACTAATAAATAACCTCTTTGACACGATAGGCAACCAAAACGATTTGTTCAAAACGACCAACGGTTCGGTGGTAACCATGATGCGTCACGGCAAGAAATCACCGAAACTGAACCTCCCGGCGGACCAACGCAAAGCGTTGCTCCGAAACTTAACCACGGAAGTTCTGAGACACGGTTCGGTGACGTGCACCATGGCGAGAGCGAAAGCGGTGAGAAAACCAATCGAACACATGATTCAGTTGGCGAAAGACGGCGGCGAACACAAGAAGAGAGCCGCGTTGGGGTACATTTACGATAAGGAAGTTGTGGATGCGTTGTTTGAAAAAGCGCCTGCGAGATACGGCGATAGAAACGGCGGGTACACTAGAATCGTGAGAACGTTGAAGAGAAGAGGAGACTCGGCGGAGATGGGGGTGATTAAGCTCGTATAAAAAAGTTATTATTCTAGAACACACACATACATAAGTTGATATATATATTATACCTCATTACATACTAATTAATTAAAAGAGTAACACGCATCATCATCGTTTACTTCTTCTTTTGTTTTTTCTTCGCGCCGCCGGCGGCCCCGGCGCCTTTGGTCGTTTTGACTCGTTTGTTTCCGCCTTTATCTCTCGCCATTTGTTTCAACTCTGCCGCGCGTTTCCTCAACTCTTCCGCGCGTTTCTCTTTCTTCGCGAGACCAATTTGCATGGCTTTATACAACTCTCTCTTCTTTCTCGGAAGTAAAGCAGATCTCAAGTGGTCCAACTCGGCTTCTTCGCCTCCTTTTTGGACGCGTTCGCGAACAATCTTGTCTTTTTCTCTCATGGCCATTTCCGGCGTGAGTTTCGATTTCACTCTCTTTTCGCCGGTCTCGTCGTCGTCATCTTCGTCGGAGGAAGACTCGTCCGGGTCGGAATCTTCCGATTCGCCTTCCTCGCCCGGGTAGGAGTCCGAATCCGAATCCGAATCGTCCGAATCGTCGTCGATCTTCTCGTTCTCCAACGACTTTGAATACGGCACGCCTTTGATTTCCTTCTCGAGTTCTTTTCTGTGCGTCTCTTCTTCTTCCTCTTCTTCGGTTTTCTTCGGCTTTTTCTTGTCCGTTCCAGACGCCGAGGACGGTAACTTCTTTCTCCCTGGAACGCCAAAGTCGTGTTGCAACTTCATCAACTCCAGCAAGTATTCCGGGTAATACCCTTCCTCTTCCGGGTCGACGAACGGCGATAAGTGCGGCGGCGGTTTCTTCCCGGGGAAATATTTTTCCGTAGGGATTAAGATTCTATAGTTGGCGCAATCGCACACCCACTGCGGAACGACAAACTCCCGAGAGATTTCCGCGGCTGGCTTTTGGTCGTTCGGCAACGGGCGGTCCATGATGACGTGCGTGATTTTATCCTTCTCCTCGTCGACGTCGATGGGCGAGCCTTCGCCTTCCCAACACACTTCGCCGCCGAAGGACTTTACGATGAACACCATCGCTTCGCGAGGACACTCGCGTTTGATGAGAAAAGTCAAACCGTTGAACAAATTCGCGCGTCGTTTTCGGTCTAAAATTAACAACTCGCGATCGGACAAGTTTGCGTTTCGTTCTTCGTCCGTGATGGTTGTCGCCATTTGCGCGTCGGCTTCGTCGCCGGTGGTCATCATCTCGATGTTTTCCTCCATTCGTAACTGTTCGTTTTCGCGCTCGCGCTCGCGTTCAGCCGCTTCTCTTTCCGCGATATCGTCCTCATCTTCGCCGTCTTCAAACTGCGCGATTTCTTTCAGTTTCTCCGCTAACGTTTTCTTTCTCTTTTTCGGTTTCTCTCCGTCGTCGTTTACGTCGTCGTCTGCTTTCGCTTTTGCGGCGTTTTCCCTCGCCTGCGCGACTAAAGTGGCGTTTTCTATCTTTTTCTTCAGTTCGTGCACGATTGCTACCGCACCAGTCGCGGCATCCTCTAAAGCCACGTCCAAGACTGGCGGGTACCTCAAATTGTCCTCGTGGTACAACTGATGATTGACGAACGTCGTCATCGAGATGTAAAACTCCAAAAACGTCAACATCACGCGATAATCCACGTCTTCCGGTAACGTTTGCTGCATGTTGTGCGACACTAACCACACGACCGGTTCGCCTCGAATTTCAGCTTCGTAATAAATGCCCTTCACGGAAATGAAAACTTTCCTCAAAGCGCGTTTTCTCGTCACGTACGATTGAAACTCCAAGCTCAACTCCCTCGATTTCGCGACGATATCTTGCGGAATCCCGTGCCTTTTCGCCGCCGGTAACAACGCAAACAAGTGCACTAACGTTAAACAATCGTCCAAATCTCTCAAGGCGTCGAGAAACGTCGGGTACCGTTCCTTCACTAAATGGTCCAGCGTATACATCGGTTTGTGTTCTCGCAACCGGTCCACTTGGTTGAAGTGTTTCTTCGCCTTCGCTTTCTTAATCTTCCTCTCGTGCGCGCGTAACTCTCGAAAGGTTTTCATCAGCGGTTCGTGGAGTAAAAACGCGATATCTTTCGCGTGGTAATACGTTTTCCCTTGGCCTTTGACTTTCTTCTTCGGTTCTCTGGGATGTATTCCTTTGAGAATGCAAAGTCGGCGAAAATCGCTCAATTTCAGCTGCAGTTTGTTCAGCGCTTCGTTCCTGGTCACGTATCGCGATGCGTTTGAAGACGTGCGGCTTTTTCCTAGGTTGCCTTTTTTCATCTTCAGCTTTGATTTCGCGAGGACTTTCCCCGTGCCGTTGACTTTGTTCTTTTTCCCGCCTCCCATCTTGTTGTGATAGTAGTCGTGTGTGAGTGTTTCCTCTTCTCTGGTGCGTAGTAGAAAAAGTGGCGGCCGTCTTTCGTTTTCTCTCAAATAAAATCAAGCTGCCCCAAGAGAAAAAAGAAGAAAAAAAACACAAAACAAAAAAATTTCAGCAACCCCATGCACCAAATTTTTGGTCGTCTGGCAGTTTTTCACTCACTCGCACAAAAGTCGAACGAAATCCTCCGAGACTAAATTTGAACCGCGAACTCACATCCGTTTCGACTGCTTAATAAACTCATTCCGAGAGAAAAAAAGGGCAACAACACGGTGTTGTTGAAAAAAGCGGTTTGTTCTTTCGGTTCCTCTTCTTCTTCTTCGTCTTCTTCAGAGTAATAATACGTTTGAAGAGAAGAAGAGCTACTAAGGAGATATATAATACACAAAACGCACAAGCGCGCACTGTATCATCATCTCCAGAGAAAGAAGTCTGCGCGTAAAGAAGTGCACAAAAGAGAAAGAGAGAGTAGTACATTTACTTTTGCAGAGAAGAGAGTAAAAATCTTTCCCCATCCGTCGTCGTTTCGGGTGAGGGTAGAGAGCGCAGAAGCAAAATGATGGTCTCGGAGACGACTTTAACAACGCGCGAACAACAACAACAAAGAAGAAGAGAGGACGACAACAACGCGAAGACAATGATCGCAGATAAAGGAGGACCCGCGTCGACGACCTCGAACGCCTCCACCGACGATAAAGGCGGCGGGTTGGGAGATTCCAACAGCAGATACAGAAGCGACGAGGAAGCTTTTCAAAACCCAACGACACGAGGAGAGGGAGAAGAAAATGTAACGACGACGACGTTTACGAAGAAGAAGAGAAAGACGGACAAAGAGGAGGAGGAGGACAAAAGTGGAGAAGCAGACGAGAAAGACGAGGAGGAGGAAACAGAGGAGGATGGTTTTAAGACAAAGACGAAGAACGACGTAAACGTAAACGAGATTAAAGGTGGAAAAGAGGAGACGCGAGAGGAAGCTGTCTCTTCGATGTACATTAAATACGAGAGTTTATTCGACGCGGAGAAAATTTTCAGCGGATCGTCGAATAGGCAGAAATCAGTCGCGGTGTCGCATTACATCAACGATAGTTTAGATCGGTTGGTGTACGGGTATAAACACAAGTCGAACGTTCCTTTACACGTGTCGTTCGGGCAGCCGATCGAGAGGATAGCGGTCGGGTGCGGGTTGGAAGAGGACGATTGGGAGGAGTTGGAAGGAGTTGGGCTGAAAGAACGGACGAAAGTTAAGGAGGAGATGGAAAAGAGGTTTAGGAACTCTTCACCTTCTAAGGAAGAGGCGGATTTCGGAGAGGGTGTCGCGGAGGAGGATGAAAAGGAGGATGAAGAGGACGAGGACGCGCGAGATCAGCAACGAATGATGATGCACACGAACGCGGACGAGTTGTTGGATCACAGCGGAGGTGCCATGGAGGAAGAAGGAGAGGACGACGAAGATCAAGAAGAGGAAAACGACGATCGCAACGGGGACGATTCGGGCGGCGAGTTTGAAGACGACGACGGCGAAGAGGGCGAAGGAAATCACGGTTACGAGTTCAACGACAACAACAATCTTTTCTATAACAACGGGCCTTTGCCTTCGTTTGGCAAAGATTTGAACCACGCCGCCATGTATGCGAATCCAACCAAACGAAAACGACAGCAACGCCAACACGAGAACGACATTAACAACAACAAGCAAAAGATGAACAAGAACAGCAGCATGATTGACGCCCACCAGTTTGATATTGCCGTAGAGGCGGGTACTAACAACGGAAGCGGCGATTGGACCGACGATCTTTCCCTCTGGGCGGCGCTCGATCACTTAGACACGAACAATAACAACAACAACGAAATCATCACCCCGCAACAACATCAGCAGCACCACCAGCGTCGCTTGAGTGGCTTGGGTGTCGGCGTCTCCCCGCCAAACAAGAACAAAAGCTACGCGCAGCAAGCGAACAACGCGCACGATATTGCCACCGCGGTGTCCAACTTGCCGGCGACGACTCAAGCGAACGCCGTTGGCGCTCCAACTTCGGGTACGACGATTATTCATCATCATCACCATTATCCTTCGAATGGTTCGAATAAGAACAGTATTACCGGTGACAAAGAACAAGGATCGTCGTCCTCCATCGAAGCGGTGTTGAAAAGATTAGAGCAGTTGGAGAAGAAGTTTGTATCCCATTCGTCAAAGGCGAACCCACGAGAAGAAAAAGAAGAAGAAGAGGGAGAAGAAAACGTGGCAAACACGACGAGAAAGATGTTATTTGCTACGAACGAAAAAGCGGCAAACGATGACAACGTTGTCAACGCGAAGAGTAAGGACGAGAACACCAACGAAAGCGGTAAGAATAGCGGAGGAGGCGAGATGTCGCTCTTAGAACGACGCGTTTCGGATTTAGAACGATTGCTCAGAGCGTCCGAGTTGGAAAACTCGACGTTGAAGAGAGCTTTACATTTCTCTTCGCAACCGACGAACAAGGATAGCGACGAGAAAGAACAAAATAACAACAAGAGTTCGGCGAAGAAGAAGATTGGTGCGACTTTGTCGCATTCAAACGCCGCGGCGGGTGACACTAAAAAGACGACTTCAGAGGATGTGAACAACAACTGTTACGACGATTCGCACGGCCTGTCCAACGGAAAGTCGGATAAAACGAACGAAGAGACGTTGCAAACGCTCAGCGAGAAAGAAGATAAAGACGACAAGTCGGAACGAAACGACGGCGGAAGAGGTGGCCTGATGACGGAAGATAAGCGACACCCTTCTGAAAATATTCGCGAGAACGCGGCGAATGTGGACGGCGTTTCGCCCGACTCAAGCTTTTACGTGGAAACGAACAAGCAGCAAGAGAAGACCACGAATACGAATCGCGAAGAAGGGGAAGAAAACCAACTCGGTGCTGCCAAGCGAAGTCTCGATCGAGAGTTGATGTAAATTGCGAAACAATCTCGCTTGTATACGACTAATTCATTCATTTATACCTTTGTAATATTAATCTAATATTAAATAACATACACATAACAATCGCTAATAGCTCTTCAACAAAAGCTTTCTTCATTATGTCTACTCTTCTGCGTGCGCACTTTGCCGAATAGATTTCGCTGCTATGACTTTCCATTTTTTTTCTAATTTCCTCCTCAACCTCCTCTAAAAATTTTACACCTACGCCGCCATCGCCTGAACGTTTCCTCCCTTTACTCTTCTCGACCAACATCTTTTCAACTTCTTCACAGCGGGTTCTAAACTCCATCTGTCGCCTTCTGGTCCGAAGCAAATCAACGCCGCCGGCAAGAACAAAATCGACCACAAATAACTGCTCGTAATCGTCATGGTGATTAAAAACGCAAACTTCGAGAAAAATTTCAACACGCACAACCACAACATCGACCCGGAAATGACGGTAGTCATCGCCGAAGCCGTGACGCTGACGCCCATAATCATCAACGCTCTTCGCGTTTTCTCGCCTCGAGTTTTTGCAAACAGCTCGGGTGCTTCAGTGTACGCGTTGGCTAAATGCACGCAATAATCGACCGATAAGCCAATCAAAATCACCGCGGCGATGGATTCGCCAATGCCTAAATCCCATCCCATGAACCCTCGAACGCCGACGCCCATGACGGTAACGACGACGCCGGCGATGGTGACGGTTGCAATTGCGCCCGTGAGAAAGTTCATGGTGGAAAGGACGAGAACGAGATATGCCATGACGAAACAGATGGTGACGCCTTGGAAAGTGTTGCGGACCAACGCTTCTTGCGTGACCATCCACGTCCACGTAGTGTAAGCGGTTTGTATGGCGTTTTGCATTCCAGGCGGAGCTTCCTCGTTCATTGTTTTCACCCACGCCTCCCAGACTCGAAACACGGGTCGAGCAACCTTCGCAGTCGTCGGGTACTTCAACGTGGTTTGCACGGTCACTTTGACGAAGAAGATGTCGAGTTCGTTCTCGCTGGGGACGATTGGTTTCGTTTCATCGTACGGTAAGAAACCGATCGAGTTTTTGAAAACGTAAAACCGAGGATCTGCTCGAAAACGCCACAATTCTTCGAGAAATGTCGTCTTATCTTCGATTGGAAACACGAGATTGCGTTCGTCTTCGATGTACGTTTTGAACGATTCCATGAAACAACTCACGCCGCTGGCAGTTTGTTCGTCGAGGCTCTTTTGCGTGGCATCCACTTCTTCTCCCTCGGTATCAGCATCGTCTGACGACGACATAACTGGTCGAGACATGACTAACAGGCCATCTTGACATCCGCTCGCGTCGCATGGTGCGATTCGCAAAGCCTCGCACGCGTGTAAGAAGTGAAGCTGCGAAGCCGGCAGAGTGATATCAAACGTTTCGTCTAGTTGCAACTTGCCAAGCTGTTCGATGTCCCAATGGTTCGCTCTTGACGTATCCATACCGTAAACGCCAAAGCAGATATCCAAAGGTACGACTCGGTCATCCGCGGAAACCGAAAAGCGTGTGCGATCGTTCGCGTACGCTTGCATCAAATGCGCCGTCGGGTACCACTGCTCTTGCTGCGCGGGCGTTTCGAGTTCGAGCGCGAGTTTTAACGAAACTCCTAGCAACGTTAAGAAGGCAGCTATGACAATATAACAAACTGGACGGTAACTTATGAACGCGTAGAACTGGTTCCGGAAGAATCGTTCAATTGGGCGTAAGCGTTTGATGTTCGCCTCGGAGTCGAGCGTATCCATCGGTCTCGGTATATTCGATGACGCGTTGTCCTCGCCGCCGCCACCGCCGCTCGTTGCAGCTTCTGTTCCTTTGCTCATCCCTCCTTCCTTACTTTCGTCGTCAGTTTTCTCTTTGGTATTCTCTTCATCGACAGCGACGACGTCTCCCAAAGATGCCATGGATAAAGTGGTCGTCGCCGTCTCTAAATCGTACCTTTCAGTCCTCTTGTAATCTGCTTTCGTGCAAAAGCAACACACTTTGTATTTGTCCAAATACAGAGAGTACAGAAACAAAGCCGGTGGAAACATGAACACGTTTACTACAAACAGAACGGCAATCATTGTCGCGCTTAGAATTCCAAACGCGGAAATCGGCATGACTTCGGATAAACTCGTGGCGAAAAAGGCGCCCATGGTCGTGAAACTCGTCACGAAGATTGCTTTAGATGCTCTTCGAGAGGTATACAACACTCTGGTCAACGTCGAACCTGAAACCGTTTCTCTAGGTTCAAATTGCGACTGTTTATACGCGTCGTAAAAGACGAAAACATCATCTGCGCCAACACCCAGCACCACAAAGATGGATAAAATTTGTACGTTGCCGAGGTACTCGATGCGATAAATGAGCTTGTAAATGAACAAAGCCACTGGAAACGAGCAGATGATTTCAAACATTCCAAGACTGGCGATGAAGAACGACCGAGTGTGAAATGCCATGTAACACCATACGGCTAGAATGGACGCAAACGCCCACGCCAAGTCAAAGTTTATCACATTCGCCGCGTCTTTCGAACGCAAGTACCCCGCGTACCATCTCGTTTGCATGTTTGCCTTTTCACCATCGGCTTCTTCGTACGCTTTATTATCTATCGCTTTATTCATATACGGCGTGCTCAGAAACTTAGCTTTCATCGCGTATCGATTGAACAACTCTTTCTCTATGTCGTCCAAAATCGCCTCGCCTATAACTACGCCTTGTTCTCTCTCTCTATCTTCTTGCGAACTATACCCGATAACCGGCGCGCCCATCGGATACCGCGCGCGAGTGGCTCCATTTACCAACGTTTGCACATCGAACGCTCCATCTAAGAAATATCCGTACATTTTCTTATTTTCCTCGCTCCCAATCTCCCTGACGACTGCGTCGATATCCTCTACCAACTCGCCTTCGCCGTTTGGAGGAAAAAACACGCTCACCGGCGTCAACGGTTTCACGCACACGTCTAAATAACTCACAGAGGAGTTGCTATAAATCTTCTCGATATCGTCGGTAATATCATCTTTCATCACTTTTGGGTCTTTCAACTGACAATACTGTTTATATTTCGGATGCGTGACGACGATTCGGTGAATTTCCCGCATCGCCAACAAGTTCGCCTTCGTAAACACCGTCTCGGCGCCGTCGTTACTGACGAATTGGAAAAACAGAGAACCTCTCTGCGACTCCTCGCCTCGCTCGTAAATTACATCCGAGGATGAATACCTGTGTTGTCGTAAAGTTTTTTGAGATTATATAAAGAATATATGTATAAAATGTCAGTCCTTTTCCTTCGCAACGCTCAAGACAACAAAACCTCCCCTTCCTCTTTAGGGGAAATTTGTCGAAGAACTCTCTCTTAATCTCTCTCGAACACACATCATCCGATGATGAAGCGCACGCATCTCTCCGAAAAGGAAAAGAGGAAGCTTTGTCCTTGCGTTTTTATTCATTCACGTCTGATGACGAATCGATTTTCGAGAGAAGAAGGAATACACTCCCACGGATAAAACTTCGACATTCCCCAAACATCTTTCGGTCGACAGAAAAGGTCAAGATACGATGCGATGCGCGGCGACGACTAATAATAATAAACGTACTCTTCGACCAATCTCGTGCCTTCTGCGGCTGCATCCGCATCACTCGTAATCCCATCTTTCAAAATAACCCACTCTCGATCGTTCGTTTCCACGAATTGTAACTCGTCGTTCAAAACGACGGTTAAAATGCATCCGACGGCGACGAGGACGATGCACGTCAACGCGAGGAGTGGATTTTGGTGCGACCACATCGCGTAGCGTTCCAGGAAGGTTCTTTCTTCGTCTCGCGCGTTTCTTTTTTTATTCACATTCATATTCGTTTTGGGGGTGCTGTTGTCGTCTTCGTCTCGGGAAGGAGGACGAGTCGAAAGAAACCGAGACATCGCGGTGAGGGGGTCGTCGGGAGGAGTCTCGCTCAGCGCGGAATATTCCGGCGGCTGTGAATGCGTGTTGTGCTATTTTTGTTTTTGTGACGACAAAACCGCTTTTCCGTCGAAACGGTTTTACGTTTTCAACGAACAACACGCGTTTCAAAATGAGTTGACCAAAAAACAACATCGGATCGGAAAGTGAATCGTGGTTCGTCGCGCGTAACGGTGTGCTTGTTTCATTACCTGGTACAAAGACAGACGTATTCTTTTTCCTAAGTCTGTGCTCTAGTAGAGTGTGATTTTTGGGAGAGAATCCTCTCTCTCAACGCTCGCGTTGAAGCACCGCAACGGGTGTCGTACGCGCACAGTCGGTGGACAATTAATTTACTCAAATCGTAGACCCTTATTAAACCCTACGAGTACGAGGAGAAAGAAGAAAAAAAAAACGGAACAGTCTTCCCCTAATTCGTCAGAGTATTCACGCGCGCATCAACATTATTGGGCACTTAAAAGCGAGAAGAGCATTTGCGCTTTGTCAAAAAGAACAGCATTAACAAAACCAGCGAGAAGAGATCATCGTCGAGTTTGAGGAGGAGTTGTTGGTCTCGTTTTACGTGTGCATTTACCGTTTGCATCTGAGTTTGAAAAATGTCATTCGAAGAAGAAGACAACAACGAAGAAGAAGCGATGACGATTGATATTCATCAAAAGCGGCCCTCGCATTGGGTCGCCGAGGAACTCGTGCACCAAGGTGAAGAGTCGTTTCAATTTCACCGCGAACCGCGCGTCGGAAAACGAGAAAGTTCTTTAACGCTCTTTCGAATCGTGAAGAAACTGTTCTTTCCGTCCAAGACTTTGATGACACAACAACAAACTTCAATGAAAACGCGGGAAACGATCGCTCGAGAGATGCAAAGAGAAGAAGACGAGGAAGCAAACGATCCAGCATGTATTGAGATGCCTTCGTCGATTCGCGGAGATTACTCTTTGTTGTGGTTGCAAAACCTGCTGAAGGAGCACGAACACGAGTCGGAAACGACGCTGGATCGAGACGTCGTCGGCGCGCACGTGAAGAATATGTGCGAGAGTTTCGTGTACGTGAGCGAAGACAAGAATGATCCGAGGAATGGCGGAGATGCGTTAAGAGAAAGCGCGCGCGAAGTTTTGGAGATGTGTTGCGTGCATTTGGGTGCGTTGAAGGATATAAATTGGGAAGATTTCAGTAGGAGGTTGCAACGGTTGATGCCGACGGAGCAGTTTTGTTCGAAAGATGAGGTGTTGAACAAGATTAAATTGGAGTTGTTTGAAGCGACGCGACGCAAAAATCACGCGATACTTGATCAGAAAGCGAGAAAGAACAGCGGGAAATTTAAAAAAGCTTTGAGACAGTTTATGGAAAGGACGATGGATAAAGTGAACTTGGAGCTTGCGAGCGGGAGAGCGACGTCGATTGATCAACTCGCGATGCATCATCAAGACGGGTGGTTGAGCATGAGAAACGCGCACGTGAATTGGAACAGACGAAAAGGCATGGCCAGCGTGGTCGGAATGAGAAAATGGCCAAAGTGTACGGACGTAATCGCCGAGGAGGGTGATTTGGACGTTTTAGTCGGAGCGAAATCGGATGACGAAGTCGAAGAAGAAGAGGAAGAAGAGGAGGAGCCGCGACGACAACGCCAACAACAAAATGAACTTATACTATCTGAAAACCGAAGAAAACAGCCAAATCCGCGTAAAAACTGGTCCGTGCTCGGCAAGAGGAAGGTTAACGATGTCGAATCATCGGAGGAAGTGACGGAGGATATTCCTATGCCGGTCTTACCGCCAAACAAAGGACGCAGCAAGTCGACGTCGAGAGGCAAATCTTCGAATGTGACGCCGATGTTGGAGGAGTTGGCGAACGCCACGCTCCAAGCCGCGAACCGAGAGAATCAGCAACGAGGAGAACCGAACGTCATCTCGCAACCGTCCGTGAGAGGCCCATCGAAGAAGAGAGGTGGAGCTGCTCCTCTTTCCAATTCGCCGGCGAAGCCAACGGTAGTACTCAAGAACGACGGTTTCGACGCGCTCAAGAAAGCGCTTGAGGAAAGAGAGGCGAGGAAGGAAGCGGAAGCGGAAAAGGCAAAGGCTATTGCAGAGGAAAGGGCAGCAGAAGCCGCCGTAGAAGAAGAAGAGGAAGAAGAAGAAGAAGAAGAAGAGGAAGAAGAGGAAGAAGAAGAAGAAGAGGAAGAAGTCGACGACGGTTTTGCTCGATTACGAGCCGAATTGGAGAAGCGCGAAGAGGAGAAGAAGAAGCAGAAGCCAAATAGAAGCGGGTGGGCGTTCGTAGGTAAACGAAAGGAACCGGAAAAAGAAGAGAAAGAAACGTTAGATGAGGACGACGAGGAAGAGGAAAACGACAGCGACATCATACCCACGCAGCAAATCGGCGACGACGACGACGAGATGCAAGACGCAGACGTGATTGACTCGCAGCCGCGAGAGAAAAGTAATAACGTCAGAGGTGGATTCTTCAAGTTTTTTGGCAACAAGACACCGTCGGTGGCCCAACACCCGGTGAAGCAACCATCGCCGACGAGAAGCGGAAAAAATGTGAGGATTTCTTCTCCGCGAGAGGGAGGAGACGACGATGGTGATGATCTTCCTCAAATGCAAATCGACGACGACGACGACGACGACGAAGATGAGCCGACCGCCTTCAACGAGCAAAAGATTGCCCTCGTTCCCATGGTGGTGCAACAACAAAGCTACCAATCTCCACCAAAACCGCAACAGCCGAAACTGCGAGTACAATCGCCGCCACACCAATATCACCAGCAAAGAGCATCGCCTCCGCAACAAGCAGCGCGACGAGTCACTGGCAAATTCTCCGAGGAAGAAGTTCTCGCCGTCATCCGAGGCGTCGAAACGTACGGTCTGGGGAAGTGGAAACTCATTCGAGAATCCTCCTCCGACGGCGTCCTCCTCGGCCGAACGCCCGTGGATATCAAAGACAAGTACCGAAACTTGAAATCTTCAGATTTGAAGCGCGTTTTAACCGGCGTCGTCCCGAGAAGTGCGAGCTACCCGTTCGTCGAGGAACACTTCGAGAAGGTGAGAAGGGCGGCCGAGGAGGCACATTAGGAGGAGAGAGACTCCCATCATACCTAGCGGTTAAGAGAGAGAGAGAGAAACTCAATTTTCCTTAGAATTATTTAGCGCGATAAATATATAACACATACACACGCAAATCTGTAATACTCTCTCTCTCTCGGGACTCTCTCTCGCTTTCTCATGTCCTCTTCTCCTCCAAGTGAGAAGATCCCGAATAGGAGGCTGAGGATGAAACTCATCCTCCACTTCCACATCCAATCCGCGAAAGGCATTCGATCCTCGCGAACGAGACGCAAACGACTTTTATTCGTCCTCGATGTCGACGGGTTTGATCAGGAGCAACGTAAACATCGAACGAAAATCATAAAGAACACGGAAAACCCTCGTTGGGAAGAACGAGGGAGCATGGATTTAGGTTTTATGAGTAATACGAATAGAAACGAGAAGATACGAATGTCCGTGTGGGACGTGAAGACGAAAACGAACCACAAGTGTAAAGGCACACGAGCGATTGCGATGAAAGATTTAATCGGCAGCATCGATACGTTTTTTACGAACGATAAAGAGGAGAAAGAAAAAAAGAACGCGTTAGACGTGGAATTAGAAGGATGCACGAGAGGTATTGGATCGGTACAAGTGGAATTGACGTTTACGAAAGAGGCGGTTTTCGTCGCCGAAGAAGAAGAGGACGAGGTGTTCAAGACGCCCATTTTGAAAGTGAAAGAAGAGGACAAAGGAACTGTCGCGATTATTGAAAAGAAGAAGTCTGAGAAGGAGAGCGACGATGTAGAGGACGAGAACGACTCCGACGACCCGTCTAAAGAGGAACTCTTGCGTGAACGCGTAAAGAAAATGCAAACGGAATCGATGGAGAAGAAGTTGGAGCGCATGGAAGATCCGGACATGTTGACGAAAGAGGAGAGGCGAATTTTGACGGAAGGCGCGAGCGTGGCGAAGGATTTAGGCGCGAAGTTGCCGAAATATTTCGACGACGTGTCGTCGGCGTCGAGGGGTAACGGTCTGTCCCGCGACGCGGAAGAGGAAAAGGTTGAGGAAGAGGACGAGTGGGAGAACGCGCTGCCGACAAAGAAGAAAAATCCAAAGAAGAGCGAAGCAGTATCGATGTCACCGGTGAAGAAAGTTGTGAGTGGTAATGATTCGTTACGAAAATTGGAAGTCGTCGATGCGTCTATCGATCTCCTCGAACAGCAGCAGCCGTCGTCGCCGACTGTGATTCCAGAACGAAAAGATGTCGCGACATCTTCATCGAATATTTTACCGACAACAGACGAGAAAAAGAGTAACGCAATGAACGAACTGCGGAGGAAACAGTCCAGCGAACGCATTCACGCGCGCGCTGTTGCCGCTCGAGAGGCGTTGAGACAGTCCAAGTCGTCGCAAATCAACGATGAGTTGGACGAGTTATACGAACGCGTCGTCGTTTCTCCTTCTTCCGGCGGAGGAAAAGAGAACACGACGCATCGAGGGACGGCATCGTCCTCGGAGGGTGTCACTGTCAAAAAGGCTACATCTCTACATTTGTCCTCTTCCTCTGAAGAAGGAGAAGAAGAAGAAGAAGAAGAAGAACCCGTCGTTTTCATTTCCTACGCGGAAAAACCAAAACCGATGACTCTGGCCGAAGCGGAGATGTTTCGAGACGCCAAGAAAGTCTCGCAGTTGATGCAAAGAGCCGAAAGCGCTTTCACGAAGTGGATGTGAGAAGAATCTATATGTATGCGGTATTACGTAATCACGTGCGCCTGTTCGTTTTCGTGTGTATATTTTAGTAGATGGATAGTTTGTAAGTTGTAAATAATAATCAAAAGCTCGCTAAAAATTGTTCGTGTTTGTTTCATCAAATCTTGTTTTTATTAAATCTTCTTGACAATTTGCACGACGTCTTCGTCGCTCAACACGTGTTCTTTCCCGACTTTCTGCGGTCGATGCTTCGCGGAAATCCCCCACACGTTCGCCTCTTTGAAGTTCTTCACCATGCTTTTGTGCAACGAGTTACAGAAATCTTCCACGGTCACCTGTCCTTTCTTCAAAATAATCGGCGCGTCGTACGCCGGATTCTGCCCTTTCGGTTTGGTATAAATTCTCGTCAAGTTCAAATACTCCCAAATCTTATCCAACAGTCCGTCCAAATTCCATTCCTTCCCACTCGATACCGGCACGTAGTGCGGCACCTCGTCCAATAATTCCAACTCTTCCACGGTAATTTGATCGATTTTATTCACCGCGTATACGCACGGCGTGTATATTCTATTCCCTTCGATCACGTCAATCAACTCCTCGTCCGTACAATTCTCATAAATCTTCACGTCGCAATTCTTCACGTGGTACTCCTCTAAAATCGCCTTCGCGGTGCTCTCGTCCAACCACGCCGGATCCTCGCCCGATTTCGGCTTAAACGGTAACACGTTCACGCCTCCTTTCTCCTTCACCGTGTAGCTAATATTCGGCGGTTTCTTGTTCAATCGAATCCCAAACCCGTCCAACTCTTTCTCGATTAATCTTCTGTGCGTTAACGGTTTCATCGCATCTAAAACGACCACGATCACATCGCACGTCCTCGCGGTCGAAATCACTTGTCTCCCTCTCCCTTTCCCGTCCTTCGCGCCTTCGATGATACCCGGTAAGTCCAACAACTGCACCCTCGCCCCTCGATAATGAATCACTCCCGGAACGCACGTCAACGTCGTGAACTCGTACGCGGCCGCTTCCGAGTGCACGCCCGTGAGTTTCGTCAACAACGTGCTCTTCCCAACCGAGGGAAAACCGACGAGACCGACTCGGCAATCGCCCGTTTTTGTGACGTCAAACCCTTCGCCTTTTCCGCCGGATTTTCCCGAAGGTTCGATGAGTTCCCGACGGAGTTGCGCTAACTTTGCGCGTAACGAGCCGAGATGGTTCTCCGTCGCTTTGTTCTTTTGCGTTCGAGACATTTCGAGCTCGATCGTGGCGATCTTTTCCAGTATTGCCGACATTGTTATTCTCAGAAGGTATCGTGTTCTTGTTCGTAAGTGCGTACGTGTGTCTGCTCGTGGTAAAATTATGTGGATGGATTCGATCAAAAAGGAGGAAAAATTGTGTTTTACGCGCAGAAACATTCAGTATTGGCTGATGTGATGGTACCAGTGAAAAGGAGTAATGTGCCTGTTCGTAGTACCAGGTACAATTAGTATTCTTTAGATGATTTTATCACGTGTTGGAGTATAAATACTATTCGATTGAAAAGAAGGAAGGATTGGAGTACAAGCGTAAACGACAACAACATTTTTCATCGGCTGATACGATGTTACCTTACCAGTCATTAAGAGAAGTAGTAATGCACTGATCAAATCAAATCCGGGTCGTGTAGCCGAATATAAACGCATAATACACCCAATGGATGATTATGATTAAGCGCCAACACCGCCGGCGATGCCGACCAACGCGGCGGTGACGACGGGCGTCGCCGCTAACACGGAACTGACGATACCGCTCAACGCGTAACTCAAAGCCGCGTACGGCAACGCTTCCGGCTCTTTACTCACCAACGCAGCCGTGCCTAAACCGTGGGAGGAAGCCGCGGTGGCCATGCCTCTGGAAATAGGGTCGTTCGCGCCGGATTGGTCCAACACTTTCGTGGCGAGCGCGGAACCGAGGAGTCCGGTTAAAACAACCGCGGCGGCGGTCAAGGAAACCATTTCTGGATGGCCCAAGGACACGGTCACCGGCATCGCTAAAGCGACGGTGACGGATCGTGGGACCAAGGCGAGAGAAATAGCCGGGGTCAAACCGATGAGTCGACCTAAGAAGGCGGTGGAAAACATAGCAAACGTGGACGTGCCGACTAAGCAGGTAAAAATTTCCAACGCGTGTCGTTTGATAATTTTCCTCGCGCCGTAGACTTTAAACGCGAAGGAGACGATGACGGAACCTAAAAAGGCCATGAGGATATCGCCGGCACCCATGGCAGATAACGAGTTCATGTCCGTAAACGACACTCCAGATTTATACAGTTTCAAAGTGGCCTGGTACCCGGCACCGGTGCACAAACCCATGATGTATACGCCGAGGTTGGATAAGACCGCGCACGTGACAATCGGGTTCATCTTTGCCTTCACTTTGTCGACGTTACCGATTAATAAGGACGACACCGTCGCGCCTACTAAACCAACAGTGACAAAGAACGGTTGGTACGCGTCCGTGGCGGGTAACCAACTCGCTGAAAGGTAACTCATCATCGTCGTAAATCCAACCAACTGTTTGACCAAATCCGTCGTCGGCGGTTTTGCTTTCTCTTGCGGCAAAGGTTGCATCTCGACGCCAGTCATTTCTCTCACCTTCGTGGCTAACTTTGCGCTAAACGCGCACGTCACCACGAACCCGACGACGAGTAAACCGATAATCTTCCCGAGCGTCGCCGCTTCCATCGTCGACACGACCAACGGCAACGTCACCAACGAAGGCACGTAAAACACCGGCAACCAACTGGTAATCCAATCCATCGCCGGCGCGAACAAGTGGCACACCTGCGCGGACAACGAGCTCTCCTCGTCTTTCGCCAACGCATCCATCGCCAATAAAGCAAAAATCAACCCAAACATAACCACCAGCGGTCCAGGAAACGAAATGCCTTGCGATAAAACTTTCTTCGAAATCACTTTATCCAAAACGAACAAAGTCCCCGTCGCGCCGAACAAACGCATCAACCCGTCGCACTTCGTGCTGAACTCCGCAAAGTTCTTATCCACGTCCGTCGTTCTAAACATTGGATAGTTTGCTTTTTTCGCGCGTTCGTTCTCGAGTAACTTTTCCGCGTGTCGTTTCATCGCCATCGCGTAAAACGCCGTCTTGTCCTCGTGTTCGACTTTGTTCGTCTTTTCAGGAGGAGGAGGCGTACTTTCAACCGCTTTAGAATTTTCGGCAGCTTTTGCGGCAGCAGCAGCGGCGCGTTCGGCGCGAAACCTCGCCGCGATGTCCTCGTGTCCCGCCGCTTTGACCAGCATCGCCTTTCCTCTTTTAAAGCTGTTGCTTCTCGAACGTATTCTTCTCGTAGATGATGCGATGTTTTTGTTTCCAATCGTGTTCTGCCTCGTCGAATTCTTCTCTTTCGTCTGAATCGTCCGCACAGATTTTGGTGACGATGTCGCGGCAAAAAAACGCATCGAAGTCATCATTCTCGCAGTAGTTTTAACAGTAGTAAAAGTAAAAGTAAAAGTAAAAGTAAAAGTGCTCTTCTTCTCTCTTAAAAGTGATGTGTATTTAAGTGCGTTTAAATTCTGATGCGTTTATGAATATAGTCTGACTCATCATCAGAAAGAAAAGAGAGAGAAGAAATTCAAAAAAGACTGAAAATCTTTTTTTGTCTCTCACCATCAAGAAAGGAGAGCAAGACACGTGGTGTTTTGTAGGGTTTAAGAGGATGCACTCTTTTTGCTTTCTTTGTGTTTCGAGTTGTCTTAGTATTCGGTCGTCCGAGACTGTTTGTATTGTTATTGAGCGGGAGTAGGAGTAGTTCTATTAGTAGTAGTAATAGAGTCTAGTAAAATATTCTCTCTCTGTTATACTAAAACGTTCTCTTACTCACAACCCCGGGGTACCCTCGCCAGACTTTCCCGACGTCCGGGTGCCACCCTCTCGCGCCGACTCTTAAAGCCGGGTGGGTGTAGATGTCGCCGCCGAAATCCGTCGCCGGCGCTTTGACGGTTTCGCCGAGCGGGACCGACCACGAACGCGCGTCACCGAATTTAGCGACCGTTTTTTGCCACGACGTGTAAAGGTAGTACGGAACCGTGAGGTAAAGGAACATCGCGGGCGCGTACGCGCTCTTTGAAAACAACACGGAGGAGACGAACGTCTGCGCGATGACCAACGACCACATGATCAACTCCGCGCAGGAGTAAAACACCGTGCCGTTGGATTCGTATCCGCGTTCGTAGACGTACAACAAATGATACCTCCAAATGATGAAGTTGGTGAGGAAGAAGAACGCACACACCGCGGCAATCAGTGGTGCGATGACGGCAAACGTCAAGCCGAGTAAAATAATCACCGAAAACAAACCGCCTTCTCGTCCGGCTCTCATTTGTCGAGGCGAATATTTCATCGTTCTATCTCTTTTCGTTGGCGTGCACCCGAAGCAGCACCGTAAATAGGTATTGACGGTGTAACAAATCACCCCAGGGTGTGGAAATATCAACCTGTACGTGGGAATAAACACCGCTCGGTAGAAAACGAAGGATAGGAAGAAATTCGAGGACAACGGCAAGACGGTGCCGAATTGTTGCTGCAAACTGCTCACCGTGGTGCCGTTTTCTAGAGCTTGTTGCATGATCCCGGAAATCGCCCCACCGGTGATGCCGCCGATTAACATGTTCAGTAAACCCCACAAATAGTAGAATTTCATGAACCTTTGATCGGTGGCGGAGAGAGACACGTGGACGTTTTGCGACTGCACTAAATACAAGAGGAAGAAGGACACGGCGAAGACTTCCCACAACGTGAGCAAAATCGGCGGCAAGATACCAGACACGAGCAAACGTAAACCTTCGACTTCTTTGTTATCGCAATACCACTCCAAGAACGTTTCGATGCTATCGCTTGGAGCTTGCAGCGTGCACGCGGAGGTGATCATGGTCGCGACCAAAGTCGAAGGAGTGAGAATCAAAATGACAATCGCCGGGTAGACAAACATGAAACGAACCGCCGAGGTCCGTTTCGGTTGTAACAACGTTTGCCAGTTTATATCCGATGGGCCAGGCGCGGGATGGACGACGAATTCGTTCGTTCCGCCACGGTGTAACAAACACTGCGCCGCCATGGCTGCGGCCGTTTGCGTTTCAAACACCGCGAACGCCGATGGTCCGGGGACGCCGTTCCATGCTTTTTCTCTCTCCTCGAGAATCATCGAGTCCACAACTTCCAATTCGTGCTCTAAATCTGCCAATTTTGACGATCGATCCGAGCTCGTTTCTTTTTTCCTGGCCTTTGGAATGGTGAAAAACGTCGGGCTTTTACCTAACGATCGATTCGATTGCGATTCGATGTCTTGTAATTTCGCGCGGTCTTTTTCGCTCGCGCTGCCATCAACGCTTCGTTGTCTCAGAAAACTCATCTCCCGTCCAAAATCAGCCATTTTCTGCGGATCCTCACCGAATGTGGCGCATTTCCCACGCATTTGTACGAGTTTGTTGTTGATCTCGTCTCTCTGGTCTAACAAACGATCGGTTTGCCGATGATCGTACACCGGAATCATCCCGCGAAACTCGCTGCCGAAAACTTCGTTGAACATGCGTTCCATCGCCGCGTATTGTTCATCTGCGTACGCTCTTTTCGCTTCAGTATCCTCCTCTTCTATCTGCTGCGATCTTCCGGGCTCAGATTTCGAGCTCGATCCGAATTTGGTGAGAAATTTGGCGGAGAGTATATTCCTCAACGTCTTGTGCCGTCTTGATTTGAACTTTGGAATGTTGGTCAACAAAATCACGTAGTTTTCCGCCCAAACGGAGATTAATTTGCGACTTTCTGGATCGTACGTGTTTACCGATCTCGATTGTTGCACATCCGGTAAAGCACCGATCATATCGCTGTAACTGTATTCTACGTTTGGATCTTCGCTGACGTCCAAACCCGTCCACCATTCGTGATCGATGGCGACGTCGCGACCGTCGTTGTTTTTCGCGATGGCCGCTTGCACTTCTTGCGCTTGACGAATGGCGTTTTCGAGAGACGATCGACCTTCGACGACTTTTTGCGCTTCGCTCAAATCTAAGTTATAATTCATGTTTCCGAAGGAACCTCCGGAACCCGTACGTCGATGATGACCGCCGCCGGTGTTTTGACGAAACTGCTTTTGGGCGAGTTTTTGCGGAGAGAACATGCCGCCACCACTCTTGTTATCATTCTCTTCTCGACTTGACATTCTACGGTGCGCTTGAGGCGGATTTAATTCGGTTTGAGAGCTCGATTCTTCATTCGTGCTCATTCCGCTCGAAGTGTTCCTGTTCAATATCGCATTTCTCGCCGCCGCGGCTTCTCGGCTATACGTTATGGACGAGGTCAACATGTTTACATCGTCGTCGGTAATGTCCAAAGCGTTCTCGCCGTCTTCTTCATCGTTACTATTATTATTACGAGTATGATTATTATCACGAGATCGACCTGATATAGTCCGAGCGGCGCGATTGGCTTGCATCATCGAAGATCCAACCACTGAGCGTCCTAAATTACCCATATCGCCAAAGATGCCGAGGATTCTTCTCCCGGCGCCTCGAGTGTTCGCCGGCCGTTCCGTCGGCGCATATCTCGAACTACCCGCGTGTCGGTCGAGTTGTTGTCTGGGATTTATCCCCCGCTCTTCGTCGTCGTCGGAATCGGCGTCGTCTCTAATATTCGCAGACTCTGAAATCGGGCCTGGCGGCGATTTACTATTTCCTTTCAGAGGACTCGGAGAATAGTCTAACACTTCATCCTCGTCGTTAGAAGTAGGAGTAGAAGTACCGCTTGTTGGTGATGAAACCATCTTCTCAGCTTCGTCGTAATCAAGCTGTTGCGGAGATGAATTTTTGGGCGAATTCCGGGAGAATAATCCGCCGCTACGTTTCGTCACCGACGAGTTCGGAGACGCCGTCGCGGCGTAGGATTCCAAAGAAATACCTACCGATGATGGAGACGACGGTTTCTTCGACGCTGCCGCCGAAGTGGTCGACGGAGGTGTGTTCGTAATCGTACCCGCAATAGAAACACCACCAGAAGACGTCGGCGAGCTTGGTAGTTGACCACCATTGCCGTCACCGGCTTTCTCCACGTGTCGCGGCGGTGGTTGGTTCTTGCTTGGCATCCTTTTTTCCTCGCTAGTACTGTTTAGTCCTGCGCTGCCGCCGCCGCCTCTACCGCCGCCGTATCGAAACAATCCCTTACCGCCACTCGCCTTACTTTGTCGCGCTTTCACGGAAACGACCGAGCGCGCGGAAGGATCCTCGTCAGTATCAAAAGCGAAATTACCGTCGTCTCCGTCGTCTCCCGCTGGCGAAGACTGACTCCCCAAACGCTCGCGACGGCTCAACGACGCGACACCTTTCGACTTGAAAGCTTGTGATTTGATCATCGCATTGGCCTTTGCTTTCGCCGACGCTGCCGTCATAGCTTTTGACCCGAGCGACGTCGAACGCATTAAAGACATCGATTTCATCAACGAGGACCCCGACCCTCGACCTCCATCGCCTCCTTCATTGCTATTTTTATTATTCCCACCACTCTGGCTGCTATTATGACTACTGCTATTATAACTCGCGTTGTTATTGTTGTTGTAGTTGTTATTATTGCTCCTGATTGGTGAAACACCTCCGTATTCAGGCATTTCCTCGCTTCCCCTTCTCGTCGTCGGCGATGGAATGCCGCTTCCGCTCTCTTGCTTCTCGAAAAAAGTCACGCTCCCGGTGTGGCCGCCATCTTTCACAATCGCCGGCGCATTTTCCAAGTCAAACGAACGCAAATCTTTCGATCGTTGTAAACTCGGCACTGCCAACGTCCTCACGCCAACCTCCTGTAAATTTTCTTCAATCTGCGCCACGTCCATCTCGTCGGATACGTTTTGGCCTTGTTTCACCAATTGCACTAAAATCGATTCCGGTTGGTGCACCGCTCTCCATAAATTCGTGTCTCCTTTCGTGGTCAAATAGAGCTGTCGTAAAATCGTAAACGATTTCACGTGTTTACCTACCAACCACACGACGTACAACGTAATCAATTGAAAGAAAAACACGTGCAACCACAACAAGCTCGCGTTGTCCGGCACATTCGCCGCGGTCGTTTGCATCAATATCGATCGAATCGCTCCCGATAACGTCGTATCTTTACCTTCCAACATATCTTGTTCGTACTGCGCGTTAAGTTCGCTACAAATCGCCATGTGCACTGGAATAAAAATCGCGCACACGACCACCGCTACCGGGAAGAAAATCTGCACCCCTAACTGCGCGACTCTCAAAAACGCAAACCCGTCCAACCCGGCGGTTTGTATAAACTCCTTATCGCTCACTCTCAACACGTGCACGATCCACCCGTACAAATACGTCACGTACGCTTTGCTCTGTTTCAAAAACCAGATCACCCACAGGTACGAATTCGACAACTTCCTCGTCGCCGGTATGCCTTTGCGCCAATCGAACTCGGCTTTATCGTACGGCGGCGGCGGTCTCGTCAGGTTTCGCAAGCGCAAGCGGCCAAAGTAGATTGGATTGGCGTGTCTGTACGCGCCGAATAAAGTTAACACCACGAACGAGGCGATGAAATAATCTGTTGTTTTTGTGTATAGAGAGAGATGTTTTGTCAGCGTTTCCATCCAATGTGAAAAGAGGAGTTCTTGTGCAAAGAAGAGCAGATATTTGAATCTCATCATCATCCTCCGTATCATCAGCGCGCGCGTGGAAGACAAAAAGACGACGGCGATAAAGATGACGATGCAAGCAACAATTGCTCTCTCTCTCTTAGTATTGTTCTTGTTGTCAATCGTCTCAAAAAGAGCCACAAAACGTACACAAAAGAGAGTAACTGATATCGGTATCCGAAACGTTAAAATGCGCGCTCGTTTGCACCCAAGGCACCGGCGGCGGTGGCGACGGCGACGGGGGAGGCGGAGGAGGATGAGGAGGAGGATTGGGAGGCGGGAACGGCGAAGGAGGCGGGAACGGCGAAGGTGGCGGAGAAGGCACGAGAGACATTATTACGTGTTATTCTCTGTCCGAAGCGTCGAAAGTGGTGGTCGAGGCAAACGAATTTTGAAGATTTTTAAAAGAAGAGTTCAAAAGAGTTCAACTTTGCGGTAAAGAGCGGGACAAGAAAGAGGACACAAAGAGACACTCTACGCGCCGCAAGGAACACACAGATACAGTATACGCATGAGTAGTAGTAGCAGTAGTAGTATTCTTATAAGTATTATAAGTATTAAGCTTCGTCGAGTGCAATTCTCGGACAGATGTTCATGCTTTGCAATTCCTGAAACAACAACTTACACGCGTACGGGACTTTCAACGTGGCGACTTCGGCTTTTATGCCGCAGCTGTGACAACAGTCCCTCCCGCTCGCTTTGTCTCGGTACGCGAGTAAACCGCACGTGACGCAGACTTGCGCGTCGAAGACGTCGGCGGAAATCATGAGACGTTCGAGAACTAACGCGGAAGCGCCGTAGCCGATTAAGCAGTCGCGTTCCATTTCGCCGAGGCGTAAACCGCCTTGGCGGGCGCGACCTTCCGTGGGTTGTCTCGTGAGAACGACGCGTGGACCTCGAGCGCGCGCGTGCATTTTGTCCAGGACCATGTGTTTGAGCTTTTGGTAATAGACTGGACCGGTGAAAATTCTCGCTTGGAGGTATTCGCCGGTGAGACCACAGATTAAGGTTTCCTTACCGTCCGAAGCGTAGCCGGCTTTGAGTAAAGCTTCGCCGATTTCGTCGACGGACTCGTTCTTGTTCGTCGTCCCGGCGGCGGTGGCGGAGGATATGTCGTTGCTGGCAAACGCAGAGGCGTCGCGGAAAGTGCCTTCTTCTGAGGCAGCCTTTCCGGCGAGTAACTCGATGAGTTTACCAACAGTCATCCGCGACGGGAAACCGTGCGGGTTCATCACCAAGTCTGGGCATATGCCGCGTTCGGTGCACGGAAAATCTTCCTGCGGTAAAATGGCACCGACGACGCCTTTTTGACCGTGGCGAGAGGAGAATTTATCGCCAACCTCTGGCCGTCTCGTGTGACGCACCAACGTTTTCACCACGAACTGGTTCTCGTCAGTCACCGTGAGCATGACCTTGTCCACGACGCACTCGTCCACTTCCGGTCCTCGGTAGACTTGCGGAGCTGGACGAAACTCGCGATCGGGGAGTTGATCGGGATTCGTCATCGGGTCTCGAGTGTTTAACGGCATGTGCTTGTTGATGTAAATGTCTTTGTTTCGAATCCTCACCCCAACTTGCGCGTACCCGTCGTCGTCCAACACTCGGTAGTTTTTCATCTTTTTCATCTGAGTTATCGACGGTTTCAACACTTTATCTTGCGTTCGATTGGCGTATTTTTTCATCGTTGCCGAGTATTTCCTAGAGACTTGACATCGACCAAAGCCTCGGTCTAAGGATGCACGGTTTATCACTACCGCATCTTCAATGTCGTAGCCAGTGTTTGATAACACCGCGATGACGGCGTTTTGCCCCGCGCCTAAACGATCGTATTGAATCAACTCGATCGTTTTCGTTGTTACCAGCGGCTTTTGCGCCGAACACAACGTGTACATCAACGTATCCATTCTGTTCAGTTGATTAAACGCTAAATTGCCCATGGCTTGTTTACCCATTGCGCACTGGTACGTGTTTCTTGGACTTTGATTGTGGTGTGGAAACGGAATGATCCCGGCGCAGACGCCTAAAAGCGTAAACGGTTCGATTTCGCAGTGCGTGTGCGCATCGGCGGTTAAATCCTTCTCGTGCAATGCGATGTACGCGTCGTTTTCCTCGTTCACGTCTAAGTATTCCACGTACCCTCTTTTCAAGAAATCGTCAAATACCCACTCTTTGTTTTTCAACGCGTCGAGATGTTTTTGTTTCATTTTCAATCGACCGGTGGTTTCGTCGACGACGATTAAAGGTCGACAGACTCTTCCGCCGTCCGAAGCTATGTGAACGAAACCTTTCGTCACGTGGACAGATACAAACTCGCTAATGCGACCCGACCGACGCAGTTTTCTAAATTTATCCGCGAACTGCTTCGGTTGCGACACGGAACCGAGTATGGAACCGTTCAACAACACCAGCGCGCTGTCCTTCTGGTGCAACTCTTCGCCGGCTAAGTGTTCGAGGAGTTCGCAACCGAGCGCGCGCGCGAGTTTTATCAGAGGCTCTTCGTCGGAATCCGTGGTGACGTGCGTCATGAGCGCTAAATTTTTCACCAACCCGCAACTTTCGCCTTCCGGAGTATCCGAAGGACACAACATCCCCCACTGCGACGGTTGTAACGCTCGAGGACCACTCACTTTACGAGTTTTTTCAAACTGCGAGGTGATTCGAGTCATCATCCCAATCGCGGATATGAAGGACAAACGAGAGAGAACCTGAGTCACGCCTTTACGTTCCATTCGAAATCTTTTGACGGTCCAATTTCCAGTCGATATCGCGTGCTCTAATCCGTTGCTAATAGTATCTTGACGTATGCACTTAACGACGTCAAACTGCTGCGCGCGATTGGCTTTTGATAAAACCGCATCCGCTTGGCGCTTTAAATCCGCGTTTAAACGTTTAAAACAATCTTCAAACAGCAGCGCTAACAATTGCCCGGCTAATTCGAGCCTTTTATTTCCGTAATAATCTTTATCGTCCACTTCCTCGGGATTTAAATTCGCCAACAAAATACGTCGAATCATCACGCACACGTACGCCGATTTCCCTCGAAAATCGTAATCTTCCACCGGGACGTGCGCTAACACAACGCCGGCGAAAATATCTCTAGCTTCGTCCGAACGCGTTCGTCTGTTTATATTGATATGATTCGCGTTGACATTATTTTCTTTCCCTATTGGTGCGCTCCCGTCGTTGTTGCTGTTGTTTTTATTATTCGCGTTCGCTCTGCTATTGGCGTTGTTATTCACTCCCATGGTTGTCGGTTGCCCTGGCGTCGGGCCTTCGCTCGCTTCGACTGCCGCCGCGGCGGCTTTCCCGTCCTTTCCAGCAATCGCAGCCAAACGCCACTGACTGGAGCGAATCCTTTGCCCGCAATATTCCAATGCCTCGCTTTGCGTAAACACGTCCAACGCGGTACACTCTTGTAAACTCGGCGCTAACAAACTCATACACAACGGATCGCTCCCGCCGGCGGCTTTTTGCATCAACTCCTGGTCGCTTTCTAAACCCATTGCTTTTAATGCGATGACTATAGGAATATCCTCTTGGAACGTGTTGTGTTTTAAATACAATTTGCCTCCTTTCTGCACGACATTCGTCTTTGATTTGCGCTCGTGCGTGCTTGAAGTTACGCTGGCGCAAATTAACCCTTTCGCGTCTCGTTCGATAATCACTCTGTTCTTACTCAACTGCTCTTGAATCAAAATCACCTTCTCGACTCCTTTCACGACAAAATACCCTCCAGGATCTAAGGGACACTCGCCTAATCTCGCCAATTCGTCTTCGCCTTTATTCCTCAAACAACACCGAGAACTCCTCAACATCAGCGGAATCTTTCCAATGCACACGTCGTGCGTCGTAATAATATCCTTCCCTTTCGTATACTCCACGTCCACCATCACCGGTGCCGCGTACGTCATATCTCTCAACCTGCACTGTTGCGGCGTGATATCTTGTTTTACCATCCTCTCGTCCACCGTTTGCGGCGACCCGACGGAGACGTTTTTATACCTCAAGTAAAAGTTCGGGTCCGAGTCGCACGTGACTTTGTTGTTCGCCTTGGCGGAGACAATCTTCTTGATCTCCTCGTCGATTAAGTAATCGAACGATTCGATGTGTTGACGAACTAATTTAGTTGTTGTTCCAAAGAGTAGTAGTAAAGAGATTTGTGTTACATGTTGTCAGTATTTTTTGTTCCTCGCATCGAGAGCGAAACCACCCAAGAGGAAGAGAAACGAATAAGACGAAAATTTGTCTCGCACCTAACCCTCTGACTTTGAGAAACGCGGGTAATAACTCGAACTTATCCTTCATCGTTTTGATTGGTTTCGTTCGATCGCCGGAGTATAAACACTCTAAAGTATTGTTATTATTGTTTCCATATTCTGATGCTCCTCTTCTTCTTCCTCCTCCTTTGTCTTCTTCTTTGTCTTCGGCGGCGGCGGAATGTTTCCCCATCGGAGCGAAACTCTTTTAACGCTCTTCTTCTTCTTCTCTGCTGCGTTTATAATAATAAAATCAAAAAACGAACGACAACGACAACAACTATAACGAAGCTCTCTTCTTCTTTGTCTACTCCGTTAAAGAATGTACATTCCACGCGCAAGACAAACACGCGTTGTTGACAGTTGTAAAAGAAAAAATGAGGAATTTTTACATCAGAGAGAGAGAAGAAGTGAGAGTAGAAAAATTAAAAAATACTACCATGCGTTCAACATCAAAAAGAGTCATCAACAAAACGTTTCAGTCCATGGCGTCTAACAACACTCCTCCAGCAGTTTTAGTCGTAGGCTCCTCGTTTTCGTTTTGAAAATCTGATATATCCTCTACTCTTCCTCCTTTTCGAGTAGTATTTTGTTGGAGAAGTTTCTGACTGTCCTTCGCCATATCTCTTTTCAACGCGTCGAGCTTCGCCTTCTCTCTTCTTTGATCGGGAGGTAAGAGAGGGAGGATGGGTTTACCGAGTTTTTCGGCCTTAGTTAAACCGTCGTCGCCGGAGGCACCTATCATGGCGTGGTCGGTATCTTCCTCTTCGGAGTAATCAGAGTCGTCGTTTTGTTGGTTCTCGAGTAACTTTTTCTTCTTCGCTTCGGATACGCGCAACGCTTGGACTTCTTCCCAGGAGAGTTGGGGCGTTTTGTACGTCTCGAGAAACTTTTCGCCTTTTTCATCGAGAACTTGCAGAAATTCTTCGGTTTGGCCTCGGATTGCTTGCGGGTGTTGTAACAATAAATCGAGTTCGGCGCCGTCCAAGGATAACAGTTTATCCAATACGCATTGAGGTAGTTCCGGGTAATACTCTTTGATGCGGTCTTTCATCCACTCGTAATAGTAGAAATATTTCGGTTTCGGGCGCATGTATTCCGGGACTTCGTTTTCCCACTTATCTTTGTCCAAAAAGGTTAAAGCGAAGACAGAGCCCTTTCGTAACGCAGCTTTGACTGGATCGGTTAATCGAGCTTGCATTTTGTCCGAGTACGATTGGTAGATTTGGATGGCGCGAGCGCGCGTCGTCGAGAAAGACATAGAGGAGGAAGGCGTCTTCTCGTTATCTTCTTCTTCTTCTTTCTCTTTCAACGACAACGCTTCTTCGGTTTCCAACGCGCGTTTGGCAAAAAGTGCGCACGCAACTTGACTCTCGACGACCAAGTTATCGTTTTCGTGTCCTATACCTTCTTCGCCGCCTTGCGCGATTTCCGTTCGCGTGATGTTTTCTTCGACGAGTAAACGGTCGCAACACAAAGCGCGTTCGTAATGAAAAGCGCCGCCGAACGCGATGACGTCTTTGCACATGTACGTGGCCGCTTTGACGTCTTTTGCGGCTTGTATGACATTATCGGCGCGTAAATACGCTCTAGCGCGAATGCCGGACAAAAATCCACGCGCGATTGATTTTCGTTTGCTCTTCGTAAACTTCGCAGAAGTTGATGAGTTTAGTTGGAATACGGAGGATTCGACCCCGTTGCGTAAAGATGTAAACTTTAACCACTCGTCTCGCACGCGTTTCTCTTCACCCACCGAGTATTCAAGCAGTAACGAGCTGACACGTTTCTTCGACATCCTCGCGCTTTCCGGACGAATCAACGTTAATCCCTTCCCATCTCGCGAAAATGTCAACGGATTTGGCGTTTCGGCGTCAAAGATGCGCCGGGCGTAATCGTCGCAAATGAACTTGATGGAAACTTGATCTCGAGCGACGAGTGCTGCGAGAGCCTCGGAGAGGTGATTCGTGTTTTTATTGCTGTTCTCTTTCTTCGGGGACGCGACTTCTAACGCGTTTAAATACAACTCGCATGCGCCATCGAAGTCCTTTCTCTTCTCGGACGCTTTCGCGCACCGAAAATACGCCTTGCGCAATCGAAACCGTAATTCGTCGAGTATAGATCTTTCCGCCCCGTTCTGCTCTTCTTTCTGCAACGTGCCTTTTAATATACTTTTAGCCATATCTGCGTCGTTGAAAGACTCTTCAAAATGCTCTAAAGAGTACGCGCAAATCGATCGATTTAATAAAACTCTCGACGCTTCGATCGGATCGATCGGGTACGACGAAGTCGAAGTCGAGCGGCTCGTCGTAAACAAGAGCTGTTCCAAATACGCTTTCGCTTTCGTGTACGAGTCGAACGCTTCCGAGTGATTAGACGTCTGTGCAAAAAATAGATTACGTGGGGGGGCATTACATTTAAAAAAAAACAAAACGTACTCGAAACTGCCCGTCTCCAATCCTCTTCCATCTATGCACTTCTTCCTCTGCACGCTTTCCTCCTCCCTTTTGTTGTTGTTGTTGTTGTTCTTGTTCTTGTTGCTTCATCATCGTCGTCGTCGTCGCTTTTGAGGAGAGCAGAAGAAAAAAAAATGAGATGTGATGTCTTTTTTTTTTAATGAAAAACCAAAAAGCGTTACGAAAAAAAGGCAGTTCTCGCGACAAAAAAAGCTCAATCTGCTTCTTCAGAAAAAATGGGAAAGCGCTCGGACGCCTACCAAGACTGCCGCGAAAGAAAGTCGGGTCGCAGTCGACGACGATAGAAAGAAGAAGAAGATAAAGATGATAAAAAAACGAGCGCACATCGCGTCCACGATCTTAGGCTTGGATTATGAAGAAGATAAAGAAGAGGGAAAGGTGTACTATTTAAACGCAGACGCGAAAGATAAAATCGATTTCCGAGCGTACGTGGCGCAGATTCGAGACTTTTTGTTGGGAAACTTTAACGTTTTCTCTTCGACTTCTTCGAGGACTACACTCGAAGAGAGCATCGACGAAGGTAAAGGAGGAGGAGAAAAGAAGAATTCAAAGAAGAAAAGAGCGAACGTGGCGTTAGCGATGCGATGCAACCAATCGTTTCTGGCGCACTTCCTCGCTGTATCTGAAATCCCCTCGGTAGACTTTACGGTTTTATTGAACAGTCGATGGTCCTCGGAAGAGGCGCGAGCGGCTATGGAACACTGCGAATGCGAGATGCTCATCGCGGATGAGTTTCATCTGAACATTTGGAGCGAGTTTGACGGCAGTATGGATGTGAGTGAGCGTTTAACGGTGTTGAAAGCGAGACCGTTTTACTCGTGCGACCGCGGGTTTCGCGAACGGCACGACATCGCGATGAAGAAGAGTTGGTTTCAAAAAGAGGACGAGAGGAAGAGGAAAGAAACTGAAAACGCGACGGATGTGATTGGGGAGTTGTTTGGGAAGGTTTTAGAGCTCGTGAAAGGTACGACGAGTGGTGAAAAGGATGAGGAAAAGGATGAAAGCGGTGGGAGGGATGATGAAGACGAGGAGGAGGTGCGCGGATCGTTTACGCTGGAAGATGTCAACGTGGTTGAGCATTACACGGAAGAAGAACAAGAAGAAATAGAAGAAGGTGGGAATAAGGAAATCATCAAACGTATGGTGCGAGCAGAATACCGGGATATTCGAAACAATTGTTGCCTCGTGTTCACCAGCGGTACGAGCGGATTCGCCCCGAAAGCAGCGATCCTTTCGCATTCCAACCTTGCCGCCGCGATCGACTCGAAATTGTACGATGAAAACGGCCCTCAATACGATAGCGAGGACGTTTATCTGCACTGCGCGCCACTTTACCACGTCGGTGGTCTCATCAGTGGACTCGCCGCAATAAAAGCAGACGCGAGGCACGTCTTCCTCGAGTCTTTCGACGCTCGATCGTTCTTACAAGCCATAGTGACTGCAGAAGTCACCGCGTTCATCGCCGTACCGACCATGTTGCGCAAGCTCGAACGCATGTGCAAAGATGCACACTTGATTCCCCGGCCGACGACAATTTCTTCCACGGTTCAAAGCAACCCTTCGACGTTTAATTCTGTCAAGAAAATCCTCGTTGGCGGGGGTCCCATGCATGAAAAAGACGTCGCGTTTGCGAGAAAGATCTTTCCAAACGCCAAAATCATCTCGACGTACGGCATGACCGAAGCGACGTCGTCGATTGCATACGCTGATTTGACGGATATTGAGATGACACCTCTAGGTAGCAGGACGGCTTCGGCCTCCGACATGTCTTTAGGAGACAACTGGGTGGTCACTGCAAACTCAAACGTTAATCAAGGTAAAATCATCGAAGGTCTGTCCGTGAAAATCGATCGTTTAGGCCAGGAAAATGAAATCTTGATACGAGGCGAAACGGTGTCAAAAGGGTACTACAACACACCCGTAGCTCATTCGTTACACGTCGACGATAAATACAACAACAACGGGTACTTTCGAACTGGTGATATCGGAGAAGTCTCCAAAGATTCCAACACCGTTCGCATCCTTGGTCGATTATCCAATGCAATCAAAACTGGCGGAGAAAACGTCTCGTGCTTGGAAGTCGAACAAGTTGTCGAGAAGCACGAATTGGTGCAAGAATCTGTCGTATATGGCGTACCGGATGACGTGTGGGGCGAAATTGTAACCTGTGCTGTGCGACTGAAACCCGACGTCGAGTGGGCGCAACCGACGGAAAACCTCAACAACCCCGACGCGTGGGAGTTTATGAAATACGCCGAGGAACATATGGACGACCACATGGACGGCCAGCTTTCATCGTTGAAAAAAGTCAACGGGGAAATGTTGCGTCACTGGTGCCTGAAAAAGCAACTGGCGAGGTTTAAAGTGCCTAAACAGTGGGTAGTCGTGGAGAATGAGTTTCCTCGAAATAGCGGCGGTAAAATAGATTTGAGCCAACTTAGAAGAGAGATCACGGTCGGCCGACCGTCCCGTTAGATGAAAGAATTAAAGATAGTACGGTAGATGCGCGCATGTAAATCAATAACGAAGCTAAATATAAATATATACAATACACGAATAAATAGTCTGAACAGCGTCCTAAATGTAGTAATAATTCTCAAGCGTCGTTCGGAACCACTTCGTGACCGGGACCCCATTCAAAAACTCTCGCTTCAAACTTGGCATCCGCTTCCGAAGGTAGTTCAACAACTTTCGGAGCTTCTTGTTCTCCTTCGATGACCGGCGCCGTAGCTAACGATGGCGTATCTTCTCCCACGTCGCTAATGATATCTCCACTATTACTATTCCCATCACTCTCTTCTTGTTCCTTCAACTCCTCTTTCGCCTCCTCCAACTCCTTCTCGATTTCTTGTACTTGCTCTTCCTTTGCCTCTTGGAGTTCCTCTCGGAGTTCCTTGACTTCGGGCGAAAGAATCTCTGGTGTGACTACTGCCGCTTCAGGTTGCTGTTGCTGCTGTTCAACGATACCTTCAGCGGCAACGACCGTATCTTGCGCTAACAAGCGATCGAGCGAAACCGTTTTCGCGCAACAATCCATAACGCCCGGCGTTATTTCCTTCAACGGTTGGCACGCAGGATCTGGATTACAATCGAGAGGCACGGCGAGCACTTTTGGTTTTGGAACTTCTTCTTCAGTCGCCGGTTGCTGTTCTCTCTGCACCTCTAATCCCGGCTGCGGAACAACAACAGCTTCTTGTTGTTGTTCTTGATGCATCGCGACAGGTACGGCGAGCACTTCCACCGGTCTGTGTTCTACATGCGCATCGAGTCGCACGTGAATCGCTCGCTCTTCCTCCGTGCAGCATCCAATGCCAGCTACAGGAACGCCCGCGATGCACGGCTTCGCCGGATTGCAGTTTGGTCTCGTGTTCGCAAAGGCGGGATGTACTTCTTCCGTGACTGGGTTGCCGACTTGCTCTTCTTTGGAGTGGCAGTTGTCCACACCTGGCGTCGGCACGCCCGGGACGCAATCTTCCTCCATCGCCAAGACTGGCTCGACCGAGATGACTTCGTCGACGCGGTCGCCTTGGAAGCCTTGTTGTTGTTGTTTTTGTTGTTCGGGTTGTACTTCTGCGTGTTCCGTTTTTTCTATTTGTTGTTGTTGTTGTTGTTGTTCTATTTGTTGTTGTTGTTGTTGTTGTTGTTCGGGTTCGACGAAATGAAACGCCTCGTCGCCTTTCAACCGGTAACATTTCCCGCTCAACTCGTCGCACGTCTTCTCCATAAACCGTTGCCACTCGCCAATATGAATTTCATCTGCGTGACCCGGTGTCGTGGTCAACGAGTATTGGAACGAACCAACTTTCTTCCCAAACAAAACCGCGGTTTCCATGCCAGTTCCGTCGTGAAATTCCTCGACCGAGTGCGACCCGTCCGCGCAGTACCCTTGCACTTTCGCTCGCGGATGGTTCGGCGAAGGCCCAGCTTTCAAGACATTACACAACGAGCCTTTCATATCCTCGGAAACTTCGCGAACCAAATTTCTGAACGCTAACGGCCACGAGTTTGGATCTTGGTATCGCCACGCGTGCATTTGGTTGTACGCGTCGTCGTTCGTCGCGACGAGGCGCAACTTCTCCGCCAAACTTTCCGGCGTCGGGTAGTCTCTCAAATCGATGATTGCATCTTTGCTCGGAATGTACTCTTCGATGCCATCCCAACCAAAATAGACCGGAATGGACCCTCGCGCTAACGCTCCCCACATTTTCTCGGTGATGTAATCCGGACATTGAATGCCGTTTTCCACGGAGAAGTAAAACATAAACGGCGCCAAGTACGCGTTTTGCGCCTTGGGCGACCCGCCTCGTCCGGGATCCCCGTCCGGTTTCTCAAAGTTGTTCGCACATCCCCCAATGCTAGACACTGGAAACACTTTACTGATCTCGTTCAAAACGCCCGCTCGGCTCGGCATACAATCCAATCCTAAATACGCCACCGACGGCACTCGCTCCTCCCTCGGAATCTGAAACGATTGAAAGTTACCAATCAACTGTTCCACGGACGGCCCAAACCCGTACCACACCGCGTTCTCTTTCATCGCAAACGTCGCCATGTAATCCATATTCGCGATCGATCTCGGATCGGCCAACTCTTTCCCGAAATGGTTCGCCGCTTCGTGCGCGTAATAAAAATCCACCTGGTTCGGGTTCGCCTTCGGCGGCGGTTTGAACACTTTGATTTCGTCTCCTTTCGTCTTCGGATCGATGTACCTATTCCCCCACAAAAACGCGCCTTGATTAAACACTCTCACGTCGCAATCTGCAAACCCTCCAGGTTTACTCGCCGTATCCGCATCCACAATCTCCCCGAAGCACAACCCGGGTTCCGTCAGCGTCTGCGCGTTGTCCACGTACACGACGTCCCACGATTCGATCCCGCCCATCAAACACATCTTAAACTTCCCTTCGTTTTCCTCGTTTATCCCTTTTATTGGTTTGTGAAACCAACTCGCGTCTGCGCCAATTTGGTCGTGTAAATCCCCTTGGTATTCTGACGCTCGTTCCGGGAACGTTTGCACGTTGAACAGGTTGTCTCGTTTCAAGGCAGAAATGACCGGATCTCCCGAATTTGCGTTGGACTCTTTGAATATTTCGTGGAGGTTTCTCATCGTTAACGGACTCGCGCCGAGAGAAGAGAAGGACGAAAGTTTCGACTTTTTTGAAATCGCCCCGACGAAACACGACGCGATGATGATGGTTGCAAACACAATGATGAAGAAGCGTCGTTTCTCTCGCACTTTTCGTCCATCACGTAACGCAGCAGCGAAAGAGATGGAATCTTCATCTTTCTTTTTCTTCTGTGATGTTACTAATAATGGTTGTCGTTGCGGATCATCGGGCACATCACCCGTCGTCGTCGTACCCCTCGTCGTCGTCGTCGTCATCACTCACTTTGGATGCCTCCTTGAGACGACGATGAGGTGTTCGTTTGTGTCCTGCGCGCGCGTCTTGCAAATGCAGATGTTCTTCCTTGGAAAAGCCGCGTCCCCTCTTGTCTTTAGTTTAGGGTTTTTTTGTGTTTAGGGTTTATAAAATCTGCGGACCGAAGCGCGTTTAAGAAGAAGACAAAGAAGAAGAAGACAGAGAAGAAGAAGTTAAAGTTAAAGAAGAAGAAGAAGAAGAAGAAGAAGAAGAGTAGTCGTTTTAGTGCGTGTGTGTGTGTGTTATTATCTTTTTCTTTCTCTCTCTTTTCTCTACTATTACAAAAAAGGCAACAGAGAAGTAGCGAGTCGTCAGAGAACAGCACCCGCTTTTGAAGCTTTCGCCGCCGCGAGAAACGCGTGTTCTCTCTCTCTGACTCTCTCCTCGTATCAGTCTTTATCTCTCTCTCTCTCTCTCTTTTAAAATATTTGATGTGATTATATAGTAAATGTAAAGCGCGGACTCTCCTCCGCGCGCTCTTCCTTCGACCCCTCCTCATTAATTTGACTCTGCATCGTCGTAAGTTTCTCAACTTATCCATAAACTTACTTTGTCGTATTTTACGAACAATTTTTAAGAGTTCATGTCATCGCCTAACCCATCCGCCGGGGCAATCTTCGCCACCGCCATAAACTTATCGTTGGAATACTTCTTGTACACCGCGCTCAAATTCGCCGTCGGTGCCGCTCTTTGTAATCTCGACACCGCGTCAGCGCACTCCAAAATATCGCTCTCGGCGTACCTCGTGTGGATCTTCATGTTCGCGTCCCATCTCCCTTTGTTCAAGCACCTCATCGCCACGTACACGCAACTCGCGGCTAACATAGAGTTGGAAAACTTCAAAGCTCCGTAATCCACCAACGCGCACTCTACCAAAAAGTTGGACAGTAATTGCATTTGCTTGTCCGCTCCGGCAGCCTTGAAAAATCTGCTCAAGAAATGAAACGGCGTCGGCACGGTCAAATGAAACCCGAGCTCGGACAACATGTCCTTTTCCATCTCAATAATTTGCTCTCTCGTGTACGCCTTGTCGGAGATGTACACGAAGTCTCTCACTTCCGGCGCCCAAATCTCTTCGTACTTGGATGCCAACAACATCGCCGTCACGCCAACCAATTGCAAATTCTTCCTCGACACCACCTTCTTCTCCAAAAATCGATCGATCAAGTTGTGCGTCAAAAACAACGTCTCCGGCATCAACTTAAACTTCAAGTGCACCTCAACCAACCAATCGACTAAAATCGCGCGCATTTTATGGTTGATATCCGTTTGCGACCTCATGTAATTGCAACTCACTCGGGTCAACGGTTCCACTCGAAACCAATAGTTGAACATATCGTTCACGAACTCCGTCACCGCCAACGGGTTTTGCTTATCCAAAGCGTCGATATCTCTCACTTCTCTCAACTCTTTGTTGGTCAAGTTTTGCGAGTACGTTTGCAACGGATCGTGCTTCGCCAACCGAGAGGATCCACCGAGCTTATTCTCTCTTCCGTCCACTTCCGGGTCGGTGTTGTTGTTGTTATGTCTAGTGTGAGCGCTTTTGTTCCCTCCTCCGGATGATTTCGCCATGGAAACGTCGGGGCCATTATTTTCAGAGGAACTTTGAATCGGCGCTTTCGGCGTGCGACCAGATCTGGTTCGGATGTATCCGTGTTGCTGAACCTCTCTGCGTTGTTTTGATGAGTTTAATAAAACGTAATAAAAATACAAGTAGAAAGAAGAATGTGTAAGTTGTGCGCACTTTTGAAAATCTTGGCACCCCTTCCCCCTTAAAACTAAAGGGGAAAGACTGAGAAAAAAAAACCATCGCGTCTCATCTCTCTCTCTCTCGAGATGATGATGATTTAAGAATAAAAACAACGAAAGCTTCTTTACGCGCTTTGACGACGAAACACAATTCTCTCTGACGTACCCTTTCTTCACCGCATCTTTGTTATTATTTCCTCCTCTCAAGTTTCCGTTGATTTCACCGAGCGCTTGGCGCCTCGTCGTCGGGCGATGATGATGATCCATCTTTTCTTTCTCTCGTGTCCGTTTAAGGTTCGCCTTTGAGAAAAGGGGACGGAAACTTGAGACTTTCGTATCTAAATCTATATCAGAGTAGTAGTAGTGTTCGAAGATGACGAGAACAGAGAGTATTTGCAAAACGCGTGATTAAACGCGCAGTATCAATACTCGAGAGAGACGACGAGATGTGTCCCTTCTCTTTCTCTCTCGAAGACTCTCGAAGACGTGGTGACAGAGAAACAGAGCGCTCAAAATGTGATGATTTTTTGTCTCGTTGGAAAAGTGAGAAAAGTGAGAAAAAAAAAATTTTGAGCAAATTTCATCTCTGGTTTTTTGGTCTGTCTGTTCCCCTCCTCGCACTACTCTTTATTTACGCGCAACAATAATGAAACAGAATAATAATGAAACAAGAACGAAACAAGAGTAAGAACGATGAGAGAGTATTTATTTTGTGTGTGTGTGTGTGTGTGTGTGTGTGCAGAAATAGCGCTACTTACTCTTTTCACAAACAAGGAATTCTTCGCTTTTCTCGTTTTGCGCGAATTTCTAAGAATCTCGCATCATCATCAGAATCTCGCCAAGAGGCGAACGAGCGCGATTCGCGCTAAACTCAAAGCGGAATCTTCGAAACGTTTTGGATCCTGTAAAGCGATTTTTTCCACGTCGATGGCGTCTTTGATAGATGGAGATAAGGTTGCAGAGAGAGGCGCTGAAGTGGTGAATTCATCATCGTCGACGTTGATGTTGTTGTCGTTCGCAAAATTGGATCGAGAAGAGGCGGAACTTTCGAGCTTCTCGAGGACGGCGAAGATCGCGCCTCTGAGGCGAGCGATGCGCGCGGAGGCGTTCTTTCCTCCTCCTCCTCCACCTCCTCCTCCGGAGACGTCATTTCCATCACTCGCAAGGGTAGGTGAACTCACGTACTCGCCCTCGAAGAGTGGAATCGCATCGCAAATCAACTCTGGCCACGCGTATCGAGGCGAGCAGTTTTCACCAAGTTGGCGCAAAAGCGCCTCGTAACACGAGAGGACGCACTCTAAATTTTCGTCACTGACATCCTCGTCGTTTTTGTTCTTATTCTTCTCTTTTAACTCTTGCAAAGACATGCAATACTTCGCTCGAGCGTGAATAAACGACGCCGAACTGCCTTCTTTGCGGTCGCGTCCGCCTCTCGTGGACCGGAGCGCGTCGGAAACTTTCGAGATGAACTCGACGCCCCGAGGGTACGAGTACGCATCCGCGTCGTTCGCGCTCGAAGAAGAAGGCAAATTGAGCGTGAGGAACTTGGTATTTCTCAGTAACCGAGAACACACGCGTTCGATTGCTTTCTCATCTTTTGCCGCGTCGAAGTGCTCAAAGACTTGGAACAAGTTTTGTAAACCGTAATCGATGTTCCTCTTTGCGCCTTTGCGGTGGGCATCTTCGTCTTTTTCTTCTAAGAATCTCTCGGCGAGGACGCGATTGCAATTTTTCCGATGGAATTCATTCAATCCTCTCTCCGCGCACAACCGCTCGAATTCATACACCGCTTCCGAATCTCTCAAACCGAGCATCCCGAACGAATTCGTCAACATCGTTTCGACGATTTTTTTCCCTCTTCGAGGACAGAGAAAGGTCAAGTAATCCGCCGCGAGCGCTCGAGTTTCTACGCCAGAGGTAAGCATAGAACTGACTGCTTCTAACGCGTAGTATTCCACAAACGCGTCTTCGCTACTGTTTGATTCGTGCGTGATATCGTCTCTGTGGTAGTGTTTATCATCGCCGCTGCTAATCATCGTCATTGCGGTCGCGTTGTTCAACGTCGTCGTCGCGTTGCGCAAAAGCAAAGCAGTTAGACAAACGAAGAACGAATCCGCAAATCGAGAAATGGTGGAGAATGCCATCAACCCATCGTCGTCAAATACCGCGCTCATGAAAGCGACACTTTCCGGCGTTAAGAATCTCGCATTGCTCGTCTTTGCCGACTTTCGCTCTAAACATTGGTCCCAGATTTTCTTTGTCGTTTGCAAATTCCTCGCCGTCGCGTTAGGCGATTTGTGTAAAGACATCGCGACGAATAACTCTAAAGAATTACTCGTGGATAAAGACAATTCCGCGTCGTCGCCGAGTAAGATTTTCAACACCGAACGCGCGCCATCTGCGGTTGGACCCCAACACTTTGCCCAGTTTTCTTCCAGCTCGCGGTCGTTTTGAGGTTGCAACAAATCGTAACACTGCGTTTTCCACCGATCGCGATGGGCTTTAAATTGCGAGTGCGTGTACGCAATCATCCGTTCGCCGTACTTGCTATTTTTCATACGCTGTATTTCTAAAAGTTCTTCATCGTCGTTTCCCGCGTCCATCATTTGACCACCGTTCATATCGTCGTCGTCGTTGTCCTCATCAGCGAAAACCAAAACCGGTCGCGTTTGGATGAGGGCAATCAACGCTTCTAGGATTTCAATCTGCGGTCTCACCGCTTGGCTACGCAAACGCCATTCCGCCCACGCAGAGTGCGCGTACAACACGTTCACGCAATCATCGGTCCATCCTACGGCTAACATGGCGAGAATACACGGCCAATACGATTTACACTCTTCAATCCGCGCCGGCGGAACGCCACCGTACCCGCCGCTACTTTCGTTGTTAAAGGCATCCTTCTTCTCAAACACGGAGAGATGCGCGAATCGTTCGTGCTCAATTGAACCGCTTTTGATGTTACTATATCTATTATCATCGTCGTTGAATACACTCAAGAAATCCGCCGCCTCGGCGTCCAACGGCTGAAACGCCTCGGAATACTCGCGAAACCATCGCGTCAAGTTCTCTCTGCAACCGCTCAAACTGGACGGGAAATCCTCGCCCGCGTTCTCCACGAACTGCGTGGTTAACAAAGACCACAAAGCGGATTTCTTCCTCGCTTCGTAATGCTCCAATCGCGAGTGCTGTCGACGTCTCCACACCCTCTCGTCGTCGGCGCTAAAGTCGTCGTCTTCCGTCGCCAACGAAACCGAACGCACCATTTCTTCATCCAACTCCTTCTCGATTTCACGAAATACCTCGATCGCTTTCGAGCTAAATTCTCGCGCGGCTTCTAACCGAAAATCAGACCCGCCGTCCATCGTTTTCTCGCCATCGCCGCCTGCTCCGACCGAGGCAGACGCGCTCGCCAAACGAATCTTTTGTACCAAATCTTTCACCAAAGGTTCAAACTGCGCGATCTCTCGCTTGTTTTTCGAGGATAAATGCGACCAAGACGTGGACTTCGTTTTGATGTCTTCTGAATCGTTTTTGTCGTCTAAATCGTCTTTTAAGCTTTCTTCGTCTTTGTGCATCATCTCGTCCTCGGGTTCTAAATCGTCGTTTCCATTTTTGTGACCAAGAAGAACCCGTTCGTTTCGAACGAGAATTTCGTTTCCGGTTCCCCAAACGAAGAATGTTTTCGACGACGAAAATGATGATGATTGTTTAGACGACGACTGTGTTGAGGATTGTGTCGAGGAAGACAGTCTCGCCAAAACGCGCAGGCCGTCCTCGGGGTCTTCCTCCGTCATACTTTTCGTTTCAACCACCACCACCACCCTTTATCTGTTGTTTTGTGTGTACTAAGAAAGAGAGGAGAGACAATCAACAATGGAGATTGTAGAGCAAAAATTTTGAAGTTCACACAAGTCGTATGGTCAAATTAAAAGGGCAAAAAAAAACGTTCAATGTTCTACTCGTTAAAATTCTCTCTAAAACATTCTCGATTTTGATCGATCCAGTGTCTGCACTCCTGGCGATGCCTTTCGATCCAATCCTTTTTCGAGCACTCCTGGGAACAATACCAGACTCGCTTACACTGCGAACACCGACTCAGTTTCCGTTGCCACTTGTTACAGAAAGCGCACACGTTGGGCGACATGCGAAACATTCGATGTTTCGGTTTCCTACCGACCCAATCCGTGTGTTCGCCTTCAAAGACGAAATTCTCCGGATCGCGTTTATACCCGCACACGTAATTCGCGAGAACACCTATGCCGCCAACTTTAACTTCAACTAAATCGCCGTGTTTTAACCATTTCGGTTCTGGTTTTTGACCGGCGCCGACGCCGGAGGGTGTTCCCGTAGCAATCACGTCGCACGGTTCTAATTTCATCGATTTCTCGATGGTTTCTAACAGTTCCTGATGGCCGAAAATCATCGCCGGCGGGTCCGATTGGCGCGCAGAAGCGATATCGAAATCTTGTCGCAGTTCACCGTTGACTCTGGTCACGATCGTGCACGACCCTCCGGGTTCTGAGGGACTCGTGTCAAAAATCGCGCCTTCCGGCGTAACGCCTTCGGCGAAATAATAATCTCGCGTTTGATAAAACGGCATCAAACTCGAATTTTCGTAATCGAACCACGGAACAATCCAAGGCCCAATCGGGCAAAACGTGTCCACACTTTTTCCTAAAAACCACTGCTGGTGCTCCTTCTGTCTAAAACGAGCGGTAACATCGTTCACGATTGTCGCGCCGTACACTTTCCCGCCCTTACCCATGACCAACCCAACTTCGCCTTCGTAATCCACGCGTTCGTCAAACTGGTCCGGATCGGGACACATAATGCACTCGCCGTGGCCAATGATCGATCTCGAGCTCTTGTTAAATATAATAGGCACCGTCGGTTCGCCTTTTGCACTGATATTTGTCATTTGCGTGTCTACTTCACCGATGTGTTCTCTGTAATTCTTCCCCACGCAGAACACGTTCATGCTCCTTTCTATTCTCGTGGAAAACAACGGCGCTATGACTGGACTATTCAAACTCCCTTGCGGCGTCCCAATTGGCGCGGATCTTTCTCTCACCGTGTGTCCGTCCGGAAATCTCATGTATGCCTCTTTCCTGTATGGCTTAATGTACGCGTCGTTTTCCATTTTATCGTTCGCTCGGTTTACGTCCTCCAATTTTTCCAAGCCAAAATCGAGCTCGACTGCGTCTCGTATATCTTTGCAGTGTTCTAAAACCCACGTGAACACTTCCATCTTCGCGACGCGTTCGCCGTTAAACTGCCCCTGGATAGATTTGAACCCTTTGGTCATTCGAAAGAAACAGACTATTCGTTGGCCTTTTTTGTTCAACATGCCTTCTTTGTTGTGGAACTCCCCGCGTTCGTCGATGGATATAAACAACCCGTGCTCGGGCATCTCGTGGAAATAGTCCACGCAATACTCCGCCAGACGGGTCGTCAAATGCAGATTTTGGGTGTTCATCTTCGGTAAAATCAATAGCACTACTAAGAATACTACTTTCAACTGCTTTCTTTTGTCGTTGTTTGCAAGAGAAGCGCGTTCATCGTTCTTGCAAAAGTGTTCGTACGTGTGAGAAAAGTTGTGGTTCAGAAACGTCCAACACAAAGTTGTGAGGAAAATGTCCAATTAAAAACTAATACTAAACTCTCTCTCTCTCTCTCTCTCTTTTAAAAACGATGATGACGATCGTAATATTTTGTGATACTGCTCAACTCGCCGTCTTTCTTCTCTCTCACTTCTTCTTTGTCTTCTTGTTCCTCTTCTTCAACTTCTTCTATGCGCGAGCGTTTTATCTCGTCTCTCTCTTAATCTCTCTCTCTCTCTGGAAAGAAAGAAAGACATTTTCTCTCCTCTCTATTATCATCGCTGCATCCCCATGTAATACGCCATAATCGCGCACAATAACACCAAAATTGGTAACACCATCCCTAAAATTGCGTTCCCTCCGATTGAAACGTCGTCTCTCCCTCCTTTCTTCTTCTTCGTTAAAGGCGCTTCGTCGCCGAATTCTCCCTCGAATACGCCAACTTTAAATTTCTTCAGCAATTCCCTCGCGTGTGGTGAGTGCCCGACGTCCTCGAAATCGTCCGTGCCGTCTTTATTTGCCGCGGAGAGCATGATTTCTCCACCACCCGGGTGGTCGTCCATGAATGGGGTCACGTCGTAGACGATGCCGTCGATGGCGAGCCATAAATCCTCCAGAGTGTTGTGTTTACACAACTCCTCGAATCCAATCTTTTTCTCCGTTGAAGTCATTTTTGATTGATGGTTTTCCCCGTTGATGGATGTTCTTCTTTGTTGTTGTCTTCTTTAACAGTGATAGATACAGATGATGATGAAGAGTCGTCAAATAATAATAACAATAATCGTCTCCTCTTTTAAACGTCTCTCGTTTTCGATGCACTCTCTGGTGGTAAAAAGTGAGTCTTAGTAAGTTTTAAATAATACGCGAGGAGAGTTGTGCGCTCTAAAATGTGACGTTGACTCGAGTGGTTTCGCTCCTTATCTGAAAACACTTGAAGTTCACGAGAAGCGGGATGGAAGGAGTACGAGGAGTACACGTGCGAAAAAGCAGCAGCAAAGCTTTTGTCTGATAACAACTAGCTATTTATTATTATTATTTCTTCTTCTTTGTCTTCGAAGACTTCGTAGGCTGCGCGTTCGCCAAAGCGCCAAAGAGAACCCCTTTCCCTCGACGAAGAGCGAAAGCGCTCGCGGAACTGAAACCAAACGCAATCGCGCCACTCACGAAACCGACCAAGGCGGGTGAGGTAAGAAACGACACCCGGACGCCTTTCCTCGTTCTCTTCAAGCATCTCTGACAGTGTAAACCAGCCGATCTTCTTCGTTCTTTTCGTCGTTTAATGTTGCCTTTTTTGGTTTCTTCGTTTTCAGCGCCATCCGCTTCGTTTTCGGCGTCTTTCGCGTCTTCGGATTGGCGCTGCGCGAAGGACTCGAGGGAAACCATCGACGCCGACCTGATGATGAGAAGGAGAGAAGAAGAAACGCTCCTCGTTAGTATTATCAAGGCGACAAAAATGTAGTACAAATCAAGAACGAATGGCTGAGAAACATCTCGATTTGATGATGATCGATGAAGTTTTCTCTCGAACAACGTTTCGTAAAATCTCACCTGCTCGCACTTTCCGCCAACCATTGCTTTTCCGATTTCAAATGGCACCGACACCGGTTCATCGCCGGTTTATACGCCGCTCTCAACACGTGCACGGACGTCCCAACCCCGACTACGGAGGCGAACGCGGTGAGTATGTGTATAGGGACGCAGGCGAGAGAGAGGAGTGCAGTGGTCGTCGTTATCGCCGGTAGGAAACTTTCGGTTTTGATTTTGGATTTGACGAGTTTTTCTTCTTTGTTGTCTTCGTCTTTCCGGTCGGGAGCTCTTTTCGACGAAGAAGACAAAGATGAAGAAGAAGATGCCGGTTGGTTGTTCGTTTCGGAGTCTTCCTCGCGCATTTGTGTTGTATTATTTATAGTAAGTAGTATATGGGTAATGCTCTGCTCCTTTAAGCGCACGAGTAGAATGTGTTTGAGAAGTAACGAGAGAACGAAAAAACCTCTTGACTCTGCTTCTTTAGTAGTATGTTGTCTTTTCAACGAACACTTTTACAAAACATTACATTATTCTTCATTCTCTCGTTCTCCATTTTTACGAAAACAGACGACCATGTTCTGAGCGTTTTCGGAATCGAATCTCACGGTTTCGTCTAAATCTCCGAAACACTCGATGAACTCGAACCCCGCGGCGTTTGCAACCGCCATCAACTCGGGCAACGTGAAGAGCTTACACTTGACAATCTCCTTGGATTCGTAGTGCGGGTCTCGGACGAACAGCGCTTTGATGACAGCTTCTTCTTCAAAGTTATCATTTTCTTCTTCTTCTTCTATTTCTTCGTCTTCTTTGTCTTCTTCTTCCTCTTCTCCGTCGTCGTCGTCATCGTCTCTCGCTGCTACGTCGACGCTGAAATATTTTTGCACGGATACGGTTCTGTGCAGAACTTGATTCTTGGCGTCGAAGAAATCCTTCTCCGGGTCGCCCCAGACGACGCGCATCGTTTCCTCTCTTTCGCTCGCATCTTCGTCTTCTTCTCTTCTAATAGTACTACTAATATTACTACGATCATCACTCCTACCAATACTTCTACTTCTACCTAAACTCACCTCCCAGGCGTTTTCGTCTCCGTCTTGATACTTCAACTCGCCGCTAAACAACGTCGTCATCGGATGTTCGACTTCGACGACGAAAATTCCATCCTCGCGTAAGCATTTAAACGCTTCTCGAAACGTTCGCGTCGCGTCCTCGCACGTCAACAAATGTGCCGCGGTGCCTAACAACAACGTCGCGCAATCGAAATACCCTCCCGACTTTAAATACTTTTCAGGTAAATGCGTCGATAAATCTCTCATGTCTCCTAAAACCACGTCCACGACGTCCAAAACCGCTCGCTCATCGCTCGCCCGTTCGATCGCATACGACACCATCTCCTTATTCACGTCTAAAGCGACGGAAACGATTCCGGAATCGTTGTTCTTACTACTAAGATTCTTATTATTATTATTATTATTACTCGTCGTCGCAGTAATAGCGATATTATTATCTTCTCTGAGTACCTTCTTCGCGTGTTCGATGGAGTGCCACGCCGGACCGCATCCGAGCTCCAAGAGCGTTCGCAACTTCTTTCCTGAGGAGGACTCGTAGAGTTTGTGCAAAAAGTCAACCTCTTTGGGAAAATCTCGAAACGTGCCGAACGCGAGCGCGTATACGTCCGGTTTTGAGTATATCGAAGCGCCACCTACTAGTAAACCTTTCTCATCTTCTTTACATTCATCATCATCTCTCCTTTCGTCGTCGCTAAGAGAGTAAGAACGCGTCGCAACACATCTAGGAAATCTAAAACTTCCTCCTCGTCGTCTTCCTCCTTTGAAACAGAACGGGGAAGAAGACGCGCGGAAAAAACATCGACGCATCGTCGTCGTCATCGTCGTTAAAGTCATCGTCGTCGTTGTCATCAAAATCACCTTAACACATTATTTCAACGTAACACGTTTTTATTTCTTCGTTATAGAAATACTAGTATTGCGTTCGATGAGACAAAAAGTTCACAAGTGTGTGTACAAAAAGATCGAACGAACATTTCCACGTGACAGACAAAAAAGAGACTCGAGTGAGTAAGTAACACTTTTTCATTTCCTTTCCGAAAAGAGAAAAACTCTTTCTCTGGTAAAATAAATTAGGGTTGGAAACCCTAAGTACATTTTAAAAAAAACGCAGCAACCTTTTGCCTCTTTCTTTTCTGAATTGGGAAAAGCAACTAACCCCCTCACATACTATTTGTGCAGAAGAAGTAAGAAGACCGAGGAAGAGGAAAGAAGACGCGAGGGAGTGTATATATATACACGCATATATTTTAAAGAGATATAAGAGTTTAAGAGAGACTTTGATATAGAGAGAGTTTAGAGCATATAAAATGCGCGCGGGAGTTTCATCATCGCAAAATTCGTTCACGGCGGCGGCTTTGCCTGTACATCGTCCGCATCGTCGACATCGCATCTCGTCGAGGTGCGCTCGAAAGAGTACCACGAACAACAACAACGACGACGACTCGAGGAAGAAGACAACTAACCTGAAGTCCTTAACCTCCACTTTTAACGAATTTCGAAGACGAAGAAGACACTCTCGAGGCGCTTCACGACTCGAGAAGAACAACGCTTTAAGAAGCGACGACGACGATTTGGGGGCTTTGGAGGACACGAAGAACAACTTTGAAGAAGAAGGAGAACAACCGAACGGCATCGACGGAATGACGCTGTGGTTCGCCCTCGGGTTCGTCTTTGATTTCATGACCCCATCCTCGGCAGAGTGCAGGAAAATCATCCGAGCCGCGGCGGAACAAAACAGAGTCGTGTTAAAAAACGTGTCCCAGTGGAGGAAACTCCAGTGGGAGAAAGCGGCGAAAGAACACGTGGTTTTAAGAAACGCGCACACGCCGTTACCGGGGTGTCGAGGGTATCGCGTGTGCTGGCAATCCTCGGCACAAAACGGAGGGGAGTGCTCTCACGGGGATTTACTCCTGATATTCGTCCCGAGCACGAGGAAGTATCACAGGGAGGAAGATTTTAGGAAAGGGTTCGATTGCGGGCCGCCGCAAAGCGCGAGAGAGAAAGAAGGTGAAGAGAGCGAGAACGACGACGTCGAGGACGAGGACGAGGACGAGGACGAACAGAAAAAGAAGAAAAAAACGACGAAGAAAAAGAAGAAGTCGGTCGTGAAGAGCGCGAAGGAGGTTTTGGACGCCTTGGATAGAATCTCGAAAGTGAACGAACAGTTGTGGTACGTTCGAGAGAGAATATTGAAGAACGGAGAGGGCATCGACGTGGACGCGCTGGCGGAGAGCACGAAGAAGAGCTTAGGGGATAAAGGCGACGGTGTCGGCGCGCCGGGTTCTTCGAGCTCGTCGATGTCGTCTCCATCGTCGTCGTCGTCGTCGAAACAAAAAGAAGACGGGGACGACGACGAGGCTAAGAGAACCGACGAAGAAAACTCCAATAGTGGCGATGAAGACGACGACGACGATTCCAACATCGCCACCATGGATAAGTACGGGTCACCAGAACAAGCTTGGGAAAACGGTCAAGGTGCCGATGCCGTCTCTTTGTGGTTACGATTTAATATTAACTTTGATTTCCACGGGCCGGCTGGTTTCGTCAATCGATCGGTGGTCAAAGTCGCCGCGGAAGAGAAAGGCATACAAACCTCTCAGTGCGAGAGTTGGCCAAAACACACGTGGATCGATGTGGCTGAAAGAGCTGGGGTGACGTTCAAGTCCTCACACGCGGCCATTTCGCAGTGCGGTCGAGGGTGGAAGCTCTGTTGGGTGGACGACGACGTCAACATTACGATGAAAGGCAAACGCGCGGTATCGTCATCGGCTGATAACACCACGAGCGACGACGCTGAGGATTCAGACAGCACCAGCGACGAACGTCGACGACGCCGACGAGGGGGCGACGGCACGAGCTCGAGTCATTTAGACGACGCGTCGAGTGGAGGCGTGCCTCAAGCCTTCGTGTGGGTGCCGGAAACGGCCAAGTATTACACGTTTGGCGCGGCGTTGAAGAACAAACGCTCAAAAATCGCCAGCGTTTCCGTGCAAGACGTCGCGAAAGCAGCCGTGGCGGCGGCAAAGTCGCAACCACCACCTCCTGGGTTAAAAGCTGCGCTTTTGCGCGATTCAGATTTCCTGGCAACGCTCGGACGCGCGGCGTCGAAAGAAACCGCGGAGAAGAAAAAAGAGGTTTCTACGCCGACCGAAGACGAAGACGCGAGCAAAGAGACGAGAGAAGAGAAACTTTTAGCCATGGCACGCGAAGCGAGCGAACGAATGGAAGACGACGAAAACGACGATTACGAAAACCAACGCGAAACGGTGTATCCGCCTGGATTTGACGGTGCCGACGGCGACGGCGGAGAAACCATCGACGGCACGCACATCAGTTCGGAATTTTACTCTCGATCCGCTGGATACTTATCTTTTGTAGAGAACGATTGGACCGAAGAAGATGCCATGCGACAGATGGGTCTGAAGAACGTTCCGGATTACTACTCGGATGAAGTGCTCTCGTCGCCAGATGAAGAGGAGGAGGATTTCATAGAAGCGACGACATCGGAACGAGGAGGAGACGAGGAAGAGCAAAAGTTGCCCAAACCAGTCACTTTGTTTGATTTCGAACAGAGAGACGAACAAGTCGCGCCTTTGGAAAGTCCAAAAACCTTTCCAGACCGAATGGCAGAGTTAGAAGAACAAGAGCAAAAACAAAAACAAAACGTCGCCATCGCCACGAGAAAGACTGAACACCTCGATCTTTGGCAAAAGTTCCCCGAGGATTTGCCGGATACGAAACAATGGGAGCTCCATCGACTCGCCGGCGTGGATTATCTGGTTGCAAAAATGGAGGACGGTCGCCTGGATTTCAACGAAGTTATGAAAGTTAAAAGAGACGAATACACCGGTCGGTGCACGTCCAAACTGGAACGCGTGGATACATCCGGTCAAGTAAAAGGAAACTCTCTTCAGCCGACGCACTACGCGCCGATACACTGGACGGAACAACACCACGAATTGAAGGAAGGATGGGACGAAACGAACCCAGATCCGAGGGCGTTGTCCACGTACACCCGAGAGTGGGAACGCACGACGAAGGTTTATTTAGTTCCTAAAAGCGGCGACGACATCAACGCCACGCTCGATTTCACCAAACCGTTGATTTTATTCACCAACGGCGAATCTTCCGACGACATCTTCCAAGTTCACGACGCCATCTCCGGCGCGCGAGAAAACCCAGACGGTGTTTTAGTTGTCAAAAAAGGCGAGCTCACCGTGGTTCCACAAACGAGCGTGCCTGGCTACGAAGAACTCATTCAAAACTGGGAGCAAGAGGTGAACTGGTCCGAAGAGAAGAAGAATTTCAACGAAGATTTCTACCGAGAGATTGACTTCGACCAAGACATTGGCGACGAGACGCCCGAGATTGATTTGATTTGATTTGATTTGATTATTATTCACGATGATTATAGTAGCAGAGATTAGAGTTGTTAAAGATGTGCGTACTTTCGTATATTTGTTCTTCTTGTTGTGATGACTTTGATACTAAGTGGTGTTTCGTTGAAACGTGTGTTGCATTGTATTTCCCCTCTTTTTATAAACTCCAATCACATGCGTCGCCTCCACTAGGTTTTGTGCGGTCCTAGTTTTGTCCTAGTTTGTGTACACTTTGTTAATAGTTTTATAATTTTTTAGGTAAAATGACATAACGTTCATGCCCCGCACAAAAGAACAACATCATCACCGTCAAAAATGACGTCGGAATCAGACAAAGAAGAACAACAAGAACACGTCATCGTTGCGCAGTATCAAGACCTCCTCGCAAAACTCTCTCCAGACGAAGCTTTTTTCGAGATGGCGAACAGTCCTATCGTTAGTTTCAGAATAGATTCTTCTTCAACGGTTTCCGACGAAGTGATACGCGTCGAACAAAAGCAAGAGTTGGAAAACAGTTGCGGAGGCATTGTTTGGGAATCCGCGTTCGCACTGGCCGAGTATTTGAGAAAGCGCGTTTTGAAGAATCAGAAACAGAAGACCGTGATAAGAGATTGCATAGACATAGGCGCCGGGACTGGATTTTTAGGTATTTGGGTTCATAAAACAATCCCCAATATGGAAAGGACAGTGCTTACGGATACGATTGAGTGTTTCGATTTGATGCAAAGAAACGTAGAGAGGAATTTTAGTAACGATAACGATGATAGCAGTAGTAAGACGATAGATGTGAAACCTTTGGATTGGACGAGCAAAAAGGATTTAGATGCGTTAGCGACGACTGGACGAGGCAAATTTGATTTGCTCCTAGCGACGGACGTCATATTCGCAGAACGGCTGGTGGAACCTTTGATTCGGTGCTTGAAGACGTTGATTGATCCCGAAAAAGGCGTATGTTACGTGTGTGCGCAACCGAGAGATAAGCTAGCCTTTGAGCTATTCCAAGAGTTGTCCGCGAAAGAATTTAGTCAGTTTAGAAAAGTTCCGGAAGAAGAGCTAGATTTTTCGTTCGACGCCGAGTGTAAATTATTTGAAATGCGACTGTAGATCATTTATTCCAATTGTCTAAGTGTTCCTAATCTGCGAAATTTTAGCGTTCGCTCTATTTCTTCTTTCGTGAACAGTTTCGCGGCGTAATCTAATCTAGGATGTGCCATCAACTCAGCGATTTTCGAACCGTATCCTTCACCTACACACCACGCCTCGCATTCCACGGCTTGGATGATCAAGCTCGGAACGCACACGAACTCGCACAAGCGTCGCGAAGCGTACGATAGAGAAGACGGAGCAGCAGAAGAGTCCATACCTTCTCTCGATTCTTCATCTTCATCGTCGTATCGACCAAACTCCTCCTCCTCGGACGTTTCCAGCTGATTGACGTCCAAGAATAGCGCTTTGATTACTCTCGAGAGCGCTCGCATCGTTCGTAACTTGACCTCTTTCTTGTTTGTAGACGCAGAGAGGTATCGAAGCTTGAGAAACGTGCGAATACCGATCGTTTCTTCGCCTTTAGCTTCGCAATATACGGAGTAGTCCTCGATTGCAGCGAGCGAATCTTCCTCGATGCGCTCTTCGCCGAGCGCAGCTTTGAGCGCTTCGTTAAATGAGTCCGCTTTGGATGCGAGAAGTTCGTGTTCGACGTCGAAAAAGTCGTAAACGTCCGTCGTCAACCGGAACCAGAACTCGTCGGATGAAGATTCCTCCTCTGTTTCGTCGCCTTCCTCATCGTCGAATGCATCTTTTAACCACGCACAATTATCGCCACCGAGAAGACTCAAGACGCTCTCAACGCACTTTGCCGCCAGAACGGAGTCACATTCTCTCTTTTCACTTTCGTGGAACGGTCTTACGGCTAAATCGCGTTCACTCCTCCTTGCTCTGTTTGCGCTTGCAACACTATTTTTGTCGAACGCGTCTTCGATTTCATCTTCTGGAGGCACGAAATTCCTTTTCGCGCTCGCGCGCCACTTCTTGAACAACTCGCAACATTCAAAGTACTGCACCCAATCGTTCAGCTCGCGCACGTTTTTAGAATCGAGCTTATCCATTTCAAAATCTACCGTTTCGGGATCGAGAAGGTATGGGTGCACCTCAAAATGGATCAAATCCATAGCGTCGAGCTCTCCGTTGAAAAATTCATCGTTCCCAATTTGCGCGAATGACGACGACGTACTCGCCTCTGCGTCAACGAAAGTCTGCGCGATAGCACCATACGTACGTCGAAGCGCGCGTTCGCGAAGGAGCTTACACGCGAACGATCGAGCTTCTTTAACGAAGTTATTGTTCTCGTCTCTGGTCGCCCACTGAGAAATAGAGTTCAACCATCTCGCAGTACAATGCGAATACTCCTCGAATCTTGATTTATCGAGCGTCATGCGTACGATGTTCCTTCTGTTGCCTTCTCCTTCAAGTGGAATCCAATTCGACGCTTCTTCGTGACGTTTGATTTTCGCGTTCGGAGACGTCAACAAACAATGGAAAACGTAGAAATTTGACAGGATTTCCGCGCGTTCGTGCGCGGAAAGCTGCGATGCGTACAAGGATACGAGGGAGTAGCGTCTTTCCGTTATGAGCGTGACCACAAATCTCCCAACAATCTTGTCGCAGTTAAAATCCAAACCACGCGATCCAAAAAAGTCGCCATGTTCTTGCAATTCTTCTCTTTCTTTATCCGTCTCGGCGATGAGTACGTCTTTTAAACTCAAAACGAGATTGGCAGCGAATCTTTGAAACGCGCGTTGCGCTTCCACCGTATCTGCAGCAGAATCCGGTTGGAACACCTTATCACACAAAACGTTTTTGATGATGTTATCGATACTACCGAGCGCTAAATCTTTCTGTATCACCCGGTGTGTTTCCAGTCCTTCTCGATTGAGTAGCTTTCCCAACACGTCAAAAGCGGCCTGTGGAGTGGGTGGGCAACTCTCCACAACTTCTCGCGTCGGCCATCGAGGTGGTCCATATTCATCGTCGTTTTCTTGTTTGTCCTCATCGTCATCATCATCTGAATCGTTCGCCTCGCGAATCAGTTGGCCTACGCTGAAGGCAACACCATCTTCTTTGGGATCTTCGGAGGAGAACTCTCCGACAACAGACTCGTCCCATCTTCTCATCAATTTCCTATCCACGCAGTGATCGACTATAGATCGAAACAACACCCACGAGATGGCATCGTAGCTATCACCGCTCGTCACGTCCGCGGCAAATTCGTCCGACTCTGCCGCAGCTGCTAACATCATCCCATCAACGTCGCCACAAAGACTCGCGTATATCGCTGCTTCGTAGATGACTCTTTCGCGTTCGCTCGGCGTCAACGCATATATCGCGGTATTACTATTGTCGTCCAGTTTACGGAGTAACTGTCGTGACGCTTTGTGTAACGTCCATTTCCACAGCCGCCGACGATCGACTAGTGCGCTGTTGCAATTGTTAGAACTATTAGAATTGCTACCATCCACATTATTCGTTGACATCATCAAACACTCGCTGACGACGCGCTCGTCTACCTCGTCGAGCTCGTTCTGGACGTGTAATGGAATTTCATCAAAGCTTCCGTGTTTGTTACCCGGCTTTTCGCGTCTCAAGACGGCATGGATTCGCGCATCGTCTCGCACGCGTTCTTTATCGCAGTTCTCACCAACGGGGACGAATGACCATCCACTCGCACCACCTAACGACGCTGCTCGCCACGGCTGTCCGCACTTTACGCACAACTCTCTCGCTTGTTCGATATCGCCCGACCGCACTATTTGCCATAATCGTTTTAAAAGTTTCGTTTCGTTTTGCGCGTCGATTGGGACTAGCGCTCCTTTCTTCGCACCCGACGATGACGTGGAGGATGAAAAGTGCGACGCTAATCTTCTGTCCGCGTTGTTGCTTTGAGAATCACCGCCACCCAGGACGATGCCGTCCATATCTAACCGTTGCGACAGCTCGCGCTCTTCGTAATCTTGCGTCGCGCCTTGTTCAACCGCCAACGCTGTTTCTTTAAACGTTCCACAATCCGCATCTAATGCGGCTAAAGCTCCAGGAGACGTAGTAGCAGTACTTTTATTCGCACTTTCACCCCGTCCGCTACTACTATCAAACGCTTCCCTACGTAACTTGGTCGCTTGATTCTCCTCCAACCACGCGACGATTCTTTGCGTCCGAAACAACACAGGATCTCTCTTCTCATCGCGAACAAACAATCGCGCTCTCACATCCATCGGTGGCAAGAGGACGTCTCCTGTGTATCCATTTCCATTTTCTCTATTCGCGGCTAACGTTCTCGTCTTTTCAATTTCGAACCCGTTCCTGTCTTCGTATAAAGCGTCGCCCATCAAATGGTTCACTAAATTCCATGTCTTTGCCTCTCGTTCCAACTCATTCGCGCGTTCGATTAAACCTTTCGACTCTTCCCGTTTATCATATGCGTTACTTTGTCTCAACCGATGCGCCTCCGCTCTCAAATCGTCGCTCGCTCTCAGCGCGACGCGTTCAAACCGTTTCGGCGCCGAAGTCGCGAGCAAGTGTCTCGTTTTCACCGCCGCAAAAATATCACCAAAGTGGTACTCTTCCGCGAAATACGTCGTGTCCTCGTCTTCGTCGTTATCGCCGTCTTCGCCGAATGGTGGACGAGTGAGAGCATTCTCCTGGGAGGAACTCGGTCCGACGACGACGTTTAAACTTTGCCGTTTTATGGATGAGTGCGGGGAGAACATCTGATTGTGATGATGTTGAATCTCCTCGCTCTCTTCTTCTCCGTGGTGATATTCTTCTGGAATCTCGTATTCCTCCTCTCCATACATCGCCATCTCTTCGTCTGCTTCCATCTCTTGTTTTGGCGTGTTTTGTATCTCTCTCTGTTTGTGTGTAGTATGTGTTCGACGAGAGAGTGGAAATTCTGAAGAGAGAATTCAAATAAGAAGAAAACTGAAGAAAATTGAGGAAGAAGAAGAGGAAAAGAGAAAAGAAGAGGGGTCTCTCTTTCTGTCGCGAAAAATGTTGTTGTTCGATGAACATTGATTCTTCTGTTGTATCTTCGGTATTTAATAACGTCGTTATTACAACGTGTATGTGTACGCTAGGACTATATAACAGAGCTAACGATGAGTACGCATGTGGGTTTTCAAATTACAAGATTGAGTAAAACGCTTCTCGCACACATCACACTCGTACGCTTTCTCGTTCGTGTGAATACGCACGTGGACTTTCAATTGACTAGATGTACGAAAACGCTTCTCGCAAACATCGCATTCATACGGTTTCTCGTTCGTGTGAATGCGCATGTGGCTTTGCAAAGTACCAGATCGACTAAAACGCTTCTCGCACACATCACACTCGTACGGTTTCTCGTTCGTGTGAATACGCATGTGCTCTTTCAATTTACCAGATTCACGAAAAGCTTTATCGCAAATATCACATTCATACGGTTTCTCGTTCGTGTGAATGCGCTCGTGGACTCTCAAAGTACTAGAGTGACGAAAGCGCATCTCGCACACGTCGCATTCGTACGGTTTCTCGTTCGTGTGAATACGCATGTGTATGGCCAAACTTGATGGTCTATCAAACACCTTCTCGCAAACATCGCACTCGTGTTGTTGCCCTCTCTTTCTCTTCCCTCCTCTTTTCGTCGCAGTCTTTTCTTTTCGCAACTTCTCATTTTGCTGCTCAACGACTTCATCAAAAGCGACATCTTCCTCATCATCATCCTCATCATCATCATCAGGTATTCGCACACATAACAACACCGGTCGTTCTTCTTTCTCTCCCTTCAAAACCGTCCTCGCGTTTTCCGCTCGTTTCGGATGTGGATTCTTCCGCCGGCTGCTCATTATCAGACTTCTTCTTCTTCTTCTTCTTCTTCTTCCTCTTTGTTCTTATTCTTAGTCGTAGGAGTAAGTGCTTTTCATGAATGAAGCATTTTTCCCCTACACGTGAGCCTCAGAATAAAACACACAACATAACAACAACAACGTGAGGGTGTGACTTTTGTGACACGACGAAGGAACGCTCACTTTTTGCCGCTCCGCAGAAGAAAACGCTTCGACTGCTTTTAAAGTCTTCGTCGCATTCTTCTACGTTTTTTTTGTGATGAGAGAGGAGTAAAGAGAACTATAGTTCTTCATCATCCTCTTAACGAAGAGCATTATTCTCTCGTACACCGATGGTGATGCGACGGAGCATTTTATGCAACGCGTTTTCTCTCGGAAGAAACCACAGAAGAAGAAGTTTTCAACAACAACAACAACAACAACAACAACAACGAACGAGAGAGAAAAGCTGGAAAAGGAATTCGCTGAAAAACGCTTCTTCTTTGGCCGCTTTCGGTAGTCGAGGAGAAGGGAGCAGAAGTGGTGGTGATACGATGGGTTCGTCGATAATAAGCGAGAAGGAGAAAAAGGAGGAAAAGAAAGACGACGATGAAGATGAAGAAGTCGTCTGTTACGAACACGACGGTAAAAACACGGGAGACGCGCGAAAATTGGAAGCGTGGTTGACACAGCGCGGCATCAACGTGCGCGAGACGTTTTCTCCTTCTTCTTCTTCTTCGGCGTTATCGCCGTCGAAGAATGAAAACGAGGATACGCAAAACGGATTGAAATCTATCGATGATTTGCTCAAAGAGATTGAAAACGGCGAAACTGTTTTAACCGAACACGAGACAACTCACGACGACGGCACCGTGAAGCTCTCGTGCATCCGCCGCGTCTCGGTCGTCGTCGTCGAAATAACCTCAAAATCGAAACCGAACAAAAAACTCGTCGAATACGAACAAACGCTCCCGTCCGGCCTCGCGCGAAAACGAGAACGGTTTTTGAGCGAGAAAATCATGTCCGGTAAAGGTGAAACACCTTTAGAAGCCGCAAAAAGAGGCATACGCGAAGAGTTAGGCGACGCGTTATCGCCAAAAGCAGTCATTAACATCGACGAAACGTCTTTACGAAGTCTGCCGCTTTCGTCGAAACCGTCCTTTTCTCAAAGCTATAAAGCTTTGCCGACGCGGTATCGATTTTACGAGGTGAACTGCGAAATCGATGGTTTAGCTGAAGATAAGGATGAATTCACGAGCACAGAAAAGTGTGGCACCAAGGCTGTGTGGAAGTGGGTGTAAAATGAGTAATACTAGAGTAGTAGTCGTAGTAGATAATAGTAGTTCGTTGAAAGTATTTTGGTAATAAGAAGTATGTACTCGTACTAGAGTTTTACAACAGCTTTTTACGAGTCTTATCCCATGCCTCAAAAAACTCCATTCCAAAAGAATATCTCGTGTACACGACATAAACATAAACAACATACAAAACAGATCATCTCACTGAGAAGAAAAGACGACTAAAAATGGCTGGCGCAGGAGAACTCCCGCCTGGATTCGGTGGCATGCCCGGCGGTAACGGCATCCCCGGCGGAGGAGCGCCGTTCGACGTGGAAAAAATCCGCCAAATGCTCGAAGACCCTTCCATAAAAGAAGCCGCAGAAGCGATCGCTTCGGACCCTGCGTTTAAACAAATGCAAGAGAACATGGCTTCACAAATCGCAAAGATGCAACAATCCGGCCAAGCGTTAGGCGCAGGACCATCGTCTGCAGCTGAATTGCAACAAATGATGATGCAAGGCGGCGTTCCCGGTGGTGGGATGATGGGGCAAGGCGTGGACCCACAACAAGCGATGCAAGCGATGGAAGGCGTGATGAAGAACCCGGCGTTCGCGCAGATGGCGCAGAAATTGGGCGAGCAAATGATGCAAGACCCGACGATGCAATCGATGATGAGCGAGATGAATAACCCGGAAACGACGAGAAAGATGAAAGAGAAGATGGATAAGTTGAAAGAAGATCCGGAGATGGGACCGATTATGAAAGATATCGAACAAGGCGGACCGCAAGCGATGATGAAGTATTGGAACGATCCGGAGACGTTGAAGAAGATCAACGAGGCGATGGCGGATGTCATGCCTGGGATGGGAGGGATGATGCCACCTGGGTTTGGAGGTGGTGGTGGCCACGCGGATGTCGCCGAACAGATGAAGAATTTGAACGTAGATAATGAAGAAGAAGAGGAAGAAGAAGAGGACGAAGAGGACAGCGTGTTGACCGCGGCGAGCGCCGGCGACGTCGAGTTGTTGAAACAATTGATCGAAGAAAAGGAGGACGTGAACAAAAGCGACGGGGAAGGGCGAACGGCGTTGCACTTTGCCGCTGGGTACGGAGAAATGGAGTGCTGCAAGATGTTGATTGAAGCCAAAGCAGACGCTTCAGCCAAGGATAAGAATAACAACACGCCGATGCATTACGCCGCCGGATACGGGAGAGTAGATATCGTCGAGTTGTTGGTTGAAGCCGGTGGAAGCGTGACGACGAAGAATGTGGACGGGAAGTCGCCGTTGGACGTGGCGAAACTGAACGACCAAGAAGACGTCGTCAAGGCGTTGGAGAAGGACGTTTTTCTTTAATCATTTTCATCATCACTTTTGATATTCAGTCGTCGAAGAAGAGAGAGCTTTTTTTACTTACATTGTACTAGATTTAATAATAATAATAATAATAACACATCGAGTATCAACTCGATAAACAACAACAATAACAACACGTTCTTCTTCTATTAGTAATTACAACTTTTCTTTGTTTATCAAATAAGATCTTTACACATCAACACCTTCCGTTTCCTCAAAATGATATCCAACGGCGACTTTAAACTCATATCCGTCAACAACTCTTCGTACCCTAACTGTTTATACAACGAAATCCCCGGAATGTTATCTTCGTAACAGTGCAAACAAAGCAAATTAAACCCCCACTTCTTGGCGACGTTTTCACTCTCTCTCAATAACTCCGTCGCGACGCCCATTTTCCTATACTCCTCGTCCACGCACATGCACGACACGTACGCGTATTCGCTATTCGCTTCCTCCAAGTCTTTAAATTTCATTATCGATCGTCCAATGAGAACATCTCTTTGCACCGAAACCTCCGCCACGCCGACGATGTTACCGGTATCGTTTTCGCCTTCCTTCGTTTTGTTTCCTCCCATGATATTCTCGCTGTTCGTTTTCTTCATCACCGCCAGCGGCGCGAACCGATCTTGTTTCACGTATCTAAACTTTTCGAGTAAAGTTTCATCCACGTCGCCTTGGAATAAGAACATCGACAGTTGATCTAACGGCGAGTTTGGTCCTAAAATCGGCGTGAAAAAACACTTCGCTTGTAAGTTGCTCATCTCTTTCAGTTGGTTTTCGGTCACGTGTGTTGCTTTCGACAGACTTTTCTTCTTCGCGTTTAAGTTACTGGAAATGGTTTTCGTGGTTGTCGTGGAGGTGGAGGACGATGCGTTTGCTCCTTTTATTAACTTTTGCTGATTCGTAGTAGTATTACGATAGTAATAAAAACGAGGAGCAGGAGGACGTAAACGACGACACGTCGTCGCAGTCCTCGCAGCAGCAGTTGGTGTTGTTGTTCTTGGTGTTGGTGTTCTCGTCGTCGTCGTCTGAATCATCATCCTCGTCATCCTCGTCCAAAGTTTTTTTTGTAGAAGAAAGAAGAAAGGAAAACGAGAAAAAAAACGAGAGAGACGAACGTCGTCGTCCGTAGTATTCAGCCTCTCTTTGTTGAGAAGAAGAAGACAAGAAGAAGAAGAAGAAGAAGAATCCTTTTCCTCCTTCTGTCCTTCTTAACTTCTCCTAAACGAGTTTTGTTGTCGTTCGTCTCCCCTCTCTCGTCCTCCTCGGTGTCGTCTGAATCGTCTGAATCGTCGGGAATTTTTTTGTTTACGAGGCGTTTGAAGCGCGGAGTACACGCGCGAGGACATCATCCACAACAACAAGAACAAATACGATTCAGACGACGATTCAGACGACGACCGGTGGCAAAACGAGTGACGATGAATAACGCTCGCGCTGTTTCCTCTTCGAATGAAGAAAAAGACCAAGAAGCGAAGAAGGTGGTGACGTTTGTCACCGGAAACGCGAAGAAACTGGAAGAAGTAAAATCGATATTAAAATTAGCCTCAACAGACGAAGAAGAAGAAGAAGAAGACAACAAAGGAGGAAAAAAAATGATGATGAAAATTAATTTAATCTCACGATCGATCGACTTACCGGAACTCCAAGGCGATCCGATCGATATCGCCAAAGAGAAGTGCTTGTTAGCTTCGAGAGAGATAGAAGGACCAACTTTAGTGGAAGATACGAGTTTATGCTTCAACGCGTTGAAAGGGCTACCCGGGCCGTACGTGAAGTGGTTTTTAGAAAAAACCGGATTGGATGGGTTGAATAACATGTTGCTCGCGTACGAGGATAAAACGGCGTACGCGCAGTGCGTGTTCGCGTATTGCGAGGGCGGCGAGAAGAGCGCGGAGGAAGTGGAGGTGTTCGTCGGGCGGACGAACGGGAGGATCGTAAAAGCGAGAGGTAAAACGGAGTTTGGATGGGACGCGGTGTTTGAACCGGACGAACAGAGAGATGTTGACGAGAAGAAGACGTACGGAGAGATGGAGAAGGAGGAGAAGAATGCGATTTCGCACCGGTTTCGAGCGTTGGAAAAATTGAGAGAGGCAAAGTTTCGATGATGATACGTTGTTGGTAAAAGAAAGATGACTGACCCTCGAGAAATGTATGGTAGTTCAACGACGACGATTCTGATTCTGATTCTGACGAAGAACGCGTGTATTTGTAGTATTAATAATATTATTAACTGGTAATAGTACGTAGTTATAGATGGTAGTTAAAACTTAAGTAGTAGGTATTTACATTTCGGCTTTCGCGTCGCACGCTTCGGTTTCGCCGTTACCGATGAAGCAAAAGATAGTCTCTTGCATCCCGTTCGGGTTACGGCAATAATTAGATTCTAAACCTTGGTGAGGGTTGTCGTTCGGCGTGATCGTCGTTTGGACCCAATTTTTGCACTCCATCCCGGATCGAGTGTGGGTTTGTTTACCTCTGTACGTCAACCCGTTTTCGATGACAGTTTCGTCGTCTGGATCTTGCACGTCCAAGTCCGGATCCTCGCCATCTAATTCATTTTGCAACTCTTCGATGTGGCTTTGCTCGGAGGTCGCATCGACCGAATCCGCATCATCTTCCGGCTCCGGCCCCATTTCAGCATTGGTTTCTCCTTGTTCTTCTTGTTTTTCTTCGGCGGTTTCGGGGGCGGCGGTGCTGTCTGTGGCCTCTGTTGGCTCTTTATGCTCGTCTTCATCGATCGATTGGTCCGACTCTTCGTTCACTTGAATTTCTTGAACATCGCTTTCGTCCGCAACGTCGGCTCCTTCGTCTAACGATTCGTCTTCACCGAGTTGTTGTTCCGCCGTCGCCATCGTGTCTTTGCACGTCGCCGCCGGTCCCATGTCCGGCATGGCGCACTTGAATCGCGCGTGGAACGCAGATGCACCGGAGAACATCATGCCTTGGTTTTGTGTCGACGCTTGGCCGGTGAACGAAGACACGTCTTGAGCAAACGACTTGGCGCGTTGGAACATGCCTTGCATGCCGTCCCATTTCGAAGAGCCGGTGTTCCACTTCCCAATGGCTTGGTTAAACTGCTCGGCGCCTTCAAATTGGCTCACAAAGCTTTCCACCTTCGACGTGTCCCAATCTGAAATGTCTTGGTTGAAGTTAATCGCGTCTTTGAACATGCCTTGCATGGTCTTCGCTTTACTCGTGTTCCATTTGGAAATGTCCGCGTTGAACGCGGCGTTGCCGTTAAACATGCCTTGGAAGCTTTCCACGTTCGAGACGTCCCAGTTCGAGATGTCCGAATTGAACAACCGACAACTGTGAAACATTTGGTACGCACTGGTCAACGAGGACGTGTCCCATTCGGACAAATCACCGTTAAATGCTTCTTTACCTTTGAACAACTCTTGCATGTTCGTGACTTTGGAGACGTCCCAATCCTTCATGACGCCGAATTGCGACTTGGCGGCAAAGTGTGGGCAATTCCCATCGTTCGGCGCTTCTTGTAAGCATTTGTTCACGGCTTCTTTAATGTTCGCGTTGTTTAACTCTTTCGGCGCTTGCAACGGTTCGCACAATTCCGCGACGTTATTTCCAACGTAACAATAGATGGACTTTTGGTTGTCCGGGTTACGGCAAAAGTTACCGGACAAATCGCCATCCGGGTATTCGAACGCGGTGCGTTGCGTGAATTGCCACGCGACGCACTCTTTGCCAGTTTTGGAGAACGTCTGGAAGCCTCTGTATGAGGTACCGTCGCCGTCGAGGACTTCAACCGCCGGGTCAAAGTTACCTTTTTTCTTCGCTTGTTTTTCTTCTTCGTTTACTTCCGGAGTCTCGTCAAACCCGACGCCGGCTTCGGTATTCGGTGGGTTCAACCTTTGCTCTTCCGATTGTAAAGCGTCCGCTTCCGTCCTCAACGCGTCCGCCGTTTTCTCCACTTCTTGCAAAATATCAGTGAACGAGTTTTGTTGTTGTTCCGTGGTGGCTTGTTGCACAGACGCCGCGACGACGTTGGCGTCCGGCTCCGCGGATTCCTCCACCGAACCGCCTCCGAGCGGGTCGCACAACTCGGATTGGCCACCGCCAACGTAGCACCATATCGATTCCTGAGCACCGTGTGGGTTACGGCAAAAGTTTTCCTCTAAACCTTCGGTCGGGTTATCGTCCGGAGTGGAGGTGGTTTGCACCCACTTCTTACACTCGACGCCAGATTTCGACTTTGTTTGTTTCCCTCGGTACGCTTGACCGTTTCCGACGACGCGTTCGTCGTCCGGCGATTGCGGTTGAACCATTTGTCCATCATCGGCAAAAGATCCGTCCGGATCGTTGTTATTTCCGCCAGTTTCACCTTGGAACTGCATCGGCTCTCTCGACCCGATCGTATCGTCCATCTCGTCCGCGGTTGGCCCGTCCGTCACCGGCACTTCCTCCGTGATGATAATCTCCCCGACTTGCGGCTCTTGCGGGTTTGAAGACTCGTCGCCATCCGCGCGCGGCAATTTTGCCTCTTCCTCGGCTTGCGCCAACTCCCGTTCTAATCGTTCCACTTCCTCTTCGTCTTGTGTGAGAAGAACGTTCTTAAAACCCAGCGGTTCGCACTTCTCCGTTTCGCCTCCGCCGACGAAGCAAAAGATAGTCTCTTGCTGTCCTTGCGGGTTCCGACAATAGTTCTCGTATAAACCATCGTTCGGGTGATCGTCTGGGTGCATGGTCGTTTGCACCCAGTTCTTGCAGTCTTTCCCGGTGACTGATTTCGTTTGTTTCCCGCGATATTGCGTGCCTTTTGCGTCGATTAAGAGTTCGCTTTCGTCAACACCATTTTCAGAGAAGTTTTGTGTTCCTCCCGCGGTCTCAAATTCTTCTTCGCCTCCCAATCTGCTGGTATTGAACATCCTCAAAGACGAAGAAGACGAAGACGAACTGGTGGAAACAGCCAACGCGCTGCCGCCGACGCACAAGGCACCAATGGCGACGACAAACTTCTTCGTCGTCGCGTGGTGCGTTTTTGTTTTCGTTTTATTCAAAATCGAACCACGGAACAATTCGTCGTCATCGGGAGATGGAGCGACAAAAGTATTCGATTCGAGATCATCGCGTTGGGTGTGTTGCTTCTTAGAAAGAAGCGAAGAGGTTTCGTCGTTAAACATATTATTTTTGATCGAGAGTATTCTATTATATATTCGCGAATAGACTACTCGATTTTGTGTGTGTGTGTATATATAATCAGAGAAGAAAGATAAAGAAGTCGTCTTCTGTTGTCAAACGCGAATGAAGAATGAAGGCAAGAACGACGCGCGGCTTTTTTAACACACCAACGCTGCTCGAACAAAAAAAACAGAGAAGGCGTTTAGGAGTTTAGGGTATCAAATGCTCAGAAAATCCGAAAAATCAGAAAAAAAAGGAGAGAAAAGAGAAGAAAATTCAAAAAAGGAGCGAATGCAGAAAAGTAAAGCCAGAGAAGAGTTCTTCTAAACACTTTAATCGTTTTCATCATCATATACTAATAATATAATAACTTTGTCAAAGTGGTGAGAGGAAGACAACCTAAAGAAGAAGCGTATTGAGGATGACGACGACGACGAATAATACTATACACTCGTCGTCGAATTTTTTAACCGAGTACGAAAAAGAAAGAAACGCGCGAGTGATGCGAAACGAACTGTTGATGCGTCGTTTAGGATTGTCCGACTTTGATTCGCACATGCATAAAAACGCATCATCTTCTAAAAACAAAAGAGAAGAAGAGGATGATTCATCCGATGAGAAGAAGAAGAAGAAGAAGAAGAAGGAGAAGAAAAGACGCGAAAGAGAAACTGACGACGTTGAAAAAGTTGTCGGTGTTCGAAGATCGTCTTCGCGATTAAAACGAGGAGGAGGAAAAGGAGAAACTGACGAACAACAACAACAAGAAGACAAAGACATCAAAGAAGACAAAGAAGAAGAATTCAAAGAAAGAGACGAAGAACAAGAACGAAAACATCGCATCGCAGAGCAGGAGTTTTCGTACAGAAACAAGATGAAACAGAAGAAACAGACCATCGTGGGCACGGCGTCGTATCAACACACGTTGATGAGAGTGCGAACGATGACGGAACCGAAATTAAGGAACAGGATGCATGCGATATCGCGAGCGAAAGGGCAACACTGCGTAACGAAGATGCGTTTGTTCGCGAGGATATTGTTTTTAGAAGGATACGAGGAACTCGCCGAGGAGTGCGCGGAGGAGTTAAGCGAGTTGATTGGGATTCTAGGAGACGCGAAAGATGACGAAACGAGGGAGGTTGAAGAAGAAAAAGTTTTGGAAGAAGAGGAAGAAGATGACGAAAACGATACTAATAACAAAGAAAACGAAGAAGAATTTTGTAAGCAATTTCATTGCGGGCAAAAGACAAACTTGGACGATCCTCAGATTTTTAAGTGTGTCGTCGACATCGAAAGTCACGCGAGAACGATGAGCAGCGGCGGCGAGAATAAAGACGGAGAAAAGGACGAAGACGTTTACCATCGAGCTTGCCTATCGATGTCGAAAGGCAAATCCGGGATGTTGGATAAAACAGGGGGGGTCACTTTTGTTCTCAACGAGGACGGCACGTACGACGTGGTTAAATCGTCGGTATGAAAGACGAAAAAGAAGACGAGGAAGCAAGAAGTCTCTTGTGTAAAATCAATGTTAATAATCAGTAGCAGCGGCGGCGGCAGCAAATAAGATACTATAACCTAAAATTATTTCTAACATCTATTATACCACTACATCTACATTTCCTCTTCTCTTTCTTCTTCCTTCTTACTCGTCGTATTTCGGACAAACGAATTCGCGCTCGCGAAGGACATCATAGCCATAGCCGAGAAAACAGCACATATCACGTAAGATTCGTACACCGCGTCTTTCAGAACCAAATAATCCAACGCCCACGTCATCGCAGGTTGTAACAAAAAGTACCTCGCAGTTATGTTTGGGCCTAAAAGTTTCGAACTCTTTGCGAAAATGATCAAATTCATCGCGCTCGGAAAGAACGCGCCGAAGAGCACGGCGTATAAACCATCGGAAGATAACGTCCAAATATCTTTCGCGGTTCCGTGGGCGATTAAACCAACGATGAGTAACCAAAACGCGCCTATACCGGTCATCGCCGCGTTGACTACCTCGATTGGTATCTTTGCGTTTATAATCATTTTTTGCATGACAATCGCCACGGAGCTCGCCAACGTGTTGGTCAACATCCATATCGCGCCGACAACAACGTTCGGCGCTTCGTACTCTTTCGGGTCCCCAAACATCAACGCACCTTTATACGAACACACGACGGCAACGCTAATCGTCACGAACAAAATCGCCAAAACTTTCATCACGTTTTCCGGATGCTCTCGATTCACCTCTCGAAACGAAAAGTGTTCCACTCGCAACAACGCCGAGAAGAAAAACGTCAACACGGGCGTCGTCAAAACCAACGCCGAGGTCACGTCCGGCCCCGCGTTCGCGTTCGCTAAGACTACCGATCCTCGTATCAGAGCTAATATTGCGCCTAAAACTATGGAAACTGCGACTATTTGCATCGATGTCACCCCATTTTCATCTTTTGTCTTCTTTGTTGCATCATCGTTCGCCTGTTCCGCCGTCGCCGTCACCACCACCTCCGTCGTCATCTCATCCGTCGTCATCTCCTTCCTTTTCCTCTTCTTCCTCCTCTGTCTGACATAAAAACAATACATCGTCAGTAAAACACACGCCAACATCTCTCTGTAAAAGGATAAAACCATCGCTCTCGTTGAACTTCTCAAGGCGACCGCGAAGACGATGTGCATTCCCATCCAGTTCAGTTGCGAAAGGAACAAGAGGACGTGCGTTTGGATGGATTTGGATTTGTTGTTTTTGTCTGAGTCGTTTACGTCTGAATCATTTTTGTCGCTCTTTTTTTCAGCAACATTTTGCGCGACAACAATTTCAGCGTGAGCTTTAGCACTCGAAGAGAAAGTTTCACTCTTCTTCATCTCTTCATCTCTTCATCTCTCCATCTTCTTCATTAGAATAACTGTGTGACATAAGAGGAAAAGTCTCGCGACAAAAAAATCGATTGTTGCTTTTTCGGATGGATTTTTGGATAAAATCGAGCACAAAAAACACGCTTTGTGAGCGACGAGTTTAGGATGAAGCCACGCACTACTCAAACGACGACGACTTTCACCACCACCACCATCAAGAACAACAGTTGTTTTCCTCACGTTCGTCGTAAAAGTCTGTGTCGTAAAAGTCGTTCGGAGGAAACATCATCACGGAGAAGAAGATGCAGAGCAAACAACATTAAAAACAACGACGATGACTTTGACGACGGAAACGACAAAAACGTCAAAGCGTTGAGGGACGAAGCCTCTCGAGGATGTTCCGAGTGTTACTTCCCTCGAGAGAAAGACCGAGCGGAAAATGTTTTTAATGCGTGCTTTCCCGCTTTCATCAGGTCGAAACCGTTTGGAACCGCGTTACTCGTCGGCGCGGAGACCGGCGAGGTCGTGGAGCGTTTCGTGTCCTCGTGTGCTGCGTTTGAAGGAGAAGGGGCGAAGTTGGCGACGGTTGTGGACGTATCGGAAAAACAGCTCGATCGCGCGATGGAGAAAGTCCCGGACGTGGGAATATCAGGAAACGAGAAAGGCGCGAAGTATTTCCAACTCTCCGAGATGAGTTTAGAGGAAGTGAAACCGTATTTCGGTCCGTTCGACGCGATCGTCTTCAACGACACGTTCGAACAGTTTCCGGAAAAGAAGAGGAAAGAGACGCTGGCGAGAGCGGCGAATTTATTGAAACAAACAACCTCGTCGTCGTCGTCGTCGTCGTCGTCGGGAAGTGATGAGGGTGGCGTAAACGAGGCGACGTCTAGGATTGTTATTTCGTCCAGGGAGACCAGAGAAGGCGACGAGAGTTACGCGAGATTGAAAAGGGAGGAGCTGGAGGCGTTAGTAAAAGGATTGCCGTTAGTGTGGACGGAGGAAGAGGCGAAGAGAGGGAAAGCGTTAGATTTGAGCAGCGATAGTAATATAGATAATAGAAGTAGCAGCAGCAATAGCAATAGCAATAGCAACAACAACAACTCGATAGGAAACAACAACGTCCAAAACGACGACAACGATTTAGACGCCACGAGAGTTTTATACTTGACGGAAAACTATAAACTGGCGAAACCTCTTCACATGCGAGCTAAAGTCGTGAGAGGTTTCGGTCGCGGCAGCGCCGAGATGGGTTTACCGACGGCGAATTTGGATCCCGCCGAAATCTCTCTGAACTGGCAAAAGGAGTTGAACGACGATACCGTCGACGTGAAAAACATTCCATTGGGAGTCTATTTCGGATATTGTCAGTTAGAAGGCGACGAATCGGGTAAAAAAATAGCCGTCTTAAACGTCGGTCGACGCCCTTCGTTCGTCGACAAGAAAAACTACGAAAACGACGTCACGGTTGAAGTGCACTGCGTGGAGAAGAACGAGGACGGACTCGCGTTTGAGAACGGGAAGAAACAGTTTTACGGAGAAACCATGTCCGTGGAATGCCTCGGTTTCGTGCGACCGGAGATGAAATTTAACGGATTAGATGAGCTCGTCACGAGGATTAAAACCGACGTCGGTTTGTCCAAGAACTCGCTGATGAAGATGGGAATTTAAGGACGACGAGTACAGTTGTCTTTGTTGTTACGCTATATTATTTTTATTAAACACGTATCAAAACGTTTCGAGTAAACGAGGGATGGTACCATCAAAACATCGTTCGCTGGACAAGTTTGTCTGTCCTGTAATCTTTTACGAACGCGTTCATCACTTCTTTATAATTTTTACATCATTCTCATCCCGTTTACTTGTACTTTGTTCTTTCTGTTCTTCTAAATTATATATAGATACACGCGTGTACGTGCACGTTTCGTCGTGCATAATCTCGAGACGATACGACCTTTGTCTTTTACAAGCGAGCAAGACATTTTCAAGTTAAGCATCCTTCATCTTCGTCTCGATGAACACATCCAGCGCACCTCCCGGTTTCCCGTCCACCAAATGACTCCCAGTCTCTTTCTTCGAGTACAACAACTCGTTCGTGTCTAATCTCAAAACCTCGAAAGCGCCTTTTCTCCACAAGGCGTTTTCCCCGTTCGGAATCGGCTTTTCGGCTTGGTTTTCAATCGCCCAACCTTGTCCTTCCGGAACGGTTTTTTTCAAAATCTCGTTATCGTTCATGGTAAAAGTAAACTTCCCCGGGTACGCCGCGTCTGCTTTATCGATGAGCATTTTAACGCGGGGGAGGTAGTTTCACTTTTCGCAGTATTCGATGTGGATTGGGATCGACGACGCGGAAATTTTGATCGAAGAAGATCTCTTGTTTGAAAAGGAGAGGGTAGATTTACGAGTAAGTTTTCTTGGGGAAGGTGCGACTGCGCGCGCGAAAGATAAAGTTTGAGACGATGCCATCATCTCTGTCTTCTTCTTCTTAAATATATATATGTGTGTGTGTGTGTGTTGTGATATATATATATACGTGTGTGTGAAGTGAAGATTTTTCTCCCCTTGAAAAAAGGGACGATTGAACGCAAAACACAAACACGTGTCAGGTTCACACTTTCTCTCTCTCCCTCTCTCTTTCTCTCTGGACTCTTTCGCTCTCGCTCTCTGTCCAAATCTTTCGTCACTTTTCTCTCTGGTTCGAAAAAAAAAGAGGAAAAAAAAATCGAATCAAATTTCTTTTCGAAAAAGCGGGGATTTTTCCAAGAATCCCACCACTTTTTGTTTCTCACGTTATTATTATTACGTGGAATTATTATTCTCTCTCTTGCGCGTATACTCTAAAGAGAGGGTTGGAGAAAAGGGAGAAGACAAGCGCGTATAAAAGTAATAATAATAATAATAAGAGAGAGAGAAAGAAAGAACAGTTTTGATAATACGCAGAATAGATGAAGCGGAAAAGTCTCGAGCATACACAAACGACGACGACGACGACGACGGTTCAAGCTCACGAAGATTATGATGGTGGTTTAACCGAGTTGCAAAAAAGCATCATACGCGAGCAACAACAACAACAACAACACGAAGTCCCACCGTGGTACGTGGAAGAGGAACAGATGTTTTTACAGCAAGAAGACGCGTATTTCGAAAACCAACGACGACTCGAGAATTCAAGACCAAAGCTGGCGGTTATCATATGCGACGACAACGAAGTCAACTTGAAAATTTTAACTCGATTGTTTTCGAAAGTGTTCTTTCGGGAAGTGAAAGTCATCCAGTGCAGAGATGGGTTGGAAGCGATCGAAGCGTATAAGAGTATGAATGCTAATGCTGATAATAGTCACGACAGACTGGCAATGATCGTGATGGATTTTCAAATGCCAAAGTGCGACGGGTTATCGGCGTGTAAGTATATTCGAGCCATGGAAAAATTCAAGCAGGAGGAAGAAAACGCGATGATGAATCAACCGAAACGGCTGCCTTTTGAACAAAAGTATTTCGAAAAAGTTCCGATTTTGATGTTCACAACTGAGTTTCACATGATTGTACCTGCGTTAATCGAAGGCATCGTCGACGATCGATTGGCGAAACCGTGTTCGTGTAAAGATTTCATTCTCACCGTGCATAAACACATACCAAATTTTATTTTCGACGAGTACGCGGATATGCTCGTTCCGTTAGGGGAGAACGCCCTTTTGAAACGAAAGTATTCCTCGGAAGCGTGTTTGAGCGGGATGCTGTTGGAGGGGTCTTCGAACCTGGATATTGACGTCTCGGCAATGTCGACAGACAACGGCGTCTTAGAGCAAACGAAACGAAAAGGAAGCGGTAGCAGCAACAACAAAAATACGAAAAATACCGGGAAGGAAGACGTGTGCTTCTACGACGTCGCCGAAGGCGACATATTCGCAGAAGAGGATGACGATGATGACAACGACAATGATGACGATATTCAGCATAAGCAAAACATGGAAGAGGCGAAAAAAAACGCGCGTTGGAATTTATTCTCTTTCAGCCCGAAGAGAAAAGGAAGGAAAGTACAAACGAAGGAGAAGACAGAAGATGATGTGAGAGTTGATGGAAATAATACTACCTACAAAAGAATGAAGCGGCAGCGAGGGAATAATAATAGCACCATCATTCCGAGCTCTGGTTTCACGGGCGGCAAGAAGCGACTATCGCTCGATTCCTACATTCGCGCCGCTCGGAAAGTATGGACGCAAACCAAGTCGCGCTTAGGCGGCATCAATAATCGTAGCAACGGCAAAGAGAAACAAACGCGCGCGTTTGTGGTGGTCAAAAACAACGCTGCGACGCCTGAACTCTCCACGTTGGACTTGACGAAGCGCGATAATTTACAATATTATCAGCCTTCCCGCAGAAACGGTACCGCGTGTATATACGATACCATGTAACTTAGAGATGTAATTTTGTTTTAATTTTAGTACAGCACATTACAAAAAATAGCATTTACTTAAACGATACCGTCTTCTCGTTCTTTGCAGAAGACTCTTTCTTGCGTCGAAAACTCCCGAGGAATGATGGTGATGAAGAGTAACGCAGACCATCTTTCTTTACAAAAGACGACGACATGGCAGAAAACATCGGTGCTTTCAGCGTGGTTTTAGAGTTATTCTTTCGTCCAGTTCTATTACGAAGAGAAGACTCACGAGCAAGTACGGCTACTTGCGCGAAACGTTTCGGTGCTCCCAAGACAGGTTTCATAATATCACCCATCACAAACTTATCTTTTTGTCCGCTTTCAAACTTCGCGTCCTCGACCGCTCGAGACATGCCAGGAACCGGCATTGTCGACGATCTGGTCTGATTCGCCGTGATGTTGAGAGACGCGTTGAGTTTTGATAAGTCTTCGCTCAATTTCATAATATTTTCTTCGTCACTCGCGACGGCTACTTCTTCGCTCGTCAAATCGTCTCGAGAGAGCGCTTGCATGAGCGCTTGCGTGGTTTTGCGAGCAGACTGTTCAATAGTAGCAATGTCTTCAATCTCGTCGTTGTCGTTCCTTCTCGTTACGCCGTGATTCTTCTCGCCTTTCATGCCCCATCTCCCGTTGAGGAAGCACTCTTTCTTGGCGTCTGCAATGATTGCGTCCATGCTCTTTTTGGCAAGTGCGTTTGATTTAGTGAAAACACTTCTCACCGTTGATGCCTCGCCTAACAAACGTCCGAGTTCAATGCGCGAAGCCTCCGCTTCACGGCGTTGTTTCGGCGGCATGTTTTCTAAGAATTTCTTATCATCCCATAAATTGAGCAATTTCGATGGATTATTTGAAATAGTCATTCCTCGACCTTCTGGATATCGCGTCGTTTCCAATTCGCACAGTAAGGGATTGGCACCTTTCGCTAAGCAGTCCTTGACGAGCTTTAAGCCTCCAAATTCTGGTTTGGGGCATCTCGCAGAGGCCGTCACCGCCCATACAAAGGGGGCAGTCCGAGCTTCGATAGACTTGGCGTAATCTGCCACTTTTGCTTCGGATGGTTTATCTTTCGCGTGCCTACCTACAACAGTACAGTCTGCACCTTTCGCGAGAATATCCCGAGCAAGTTCTATGCCTAACTTAACTTGTTCGTCGCTCTCTGCGGTAGCCGCGCCAAAACAGGCTGCGAAAAAAGGCGTAAACTCGAACGGGACCAAATCAGTACCGTATTCCTCTAGAAGTGGATTGCGACAGAGCCTATTCAAAACTCTCGCAGATGAACGCGCGATGAGAGCCTTCGCAACCTTTGTTGCCGATTCGAACCGAGCTTTTCGAAACTGTTCCATCTTTATTCTGGAAGATTTTAATGAACCGCGATCGTCAATTCCATAGTGTATTCTCGCGAGTGACGCTCGCGCGTGATCCTCTTCAAATGTGTTCAATTTGTATTGTTTTTCGAAACCATCGTCGAATCCGAAGACGGTATCGAAGAACATGCCAACCATAAGCGTATCTTCACCGTCATCACCTTCATCATCCGAATCTTCGAAACCTATCGCCTTGGCTACTGTTTTCCAAAACGACTTTTTTTCCTCCGGCACTTGGTTTTCTTCATCCTGAGGGTATCTCAAACGCAGGCGTTCACGTGCGATTTCGGCTTGCACCAAGTGCAGATCTGCCGCATCATAACGAAACTTCGAAGATTCGTATACTGTTTGAGCTACTACCGTCGTTCTTGCCTCTTTTGTGTCAGGTATAGTTTCAGCGTCACCTCTGAGGGACTTCAATCTGTCGTACGAGTCGTGTCTGGGCGTATCTTCCGTCATCCCCAGTTGCTTGCGCCTCAGCTTACCCACTCTGGCGATATCCATAGCGACTTTAACACCATCGTTCTGTTGCACGGAATCAGACGTTATCTCTCGACTATCGAAATCGGAATCATTATTATTACCATACCCGTCACTTACACCACCGTGACCCTGGGCCGAGGCTTCAGTAGCAGATATCGTTTCCAAAGTAGGAATATGTTGTTCGAGTTGAATGATACCGCGCGTGAATTCTTTGTTACCATCGAAAGAGTCATTGTCGGGTTCTTGTTGTCTTTCTTTGACGCGATGTCCGCGGAAATTCTCCTTATTACTGTTTCCATCGTTTTTACCGTCACCGTCACCGTCACCGTCACCGTCACCAACAGACGGATGCGTCAATTCGATTGGACTGCCGCATGAAATAGCGATCTGAATCGCGATGGCGATTATCGACCCCTCGTACCAGCTTCTTAAGTTTCTCTCCTGTTCGTATTCGATATCGGCGCCAAAATCGAGGAGGAGAAGTATGATTCTTGCCGCAACTTGATGACCGTCACCTTCTAAACAGTCCATTGCAACGAATAACGGAGAAAACGTGCACTCGCCTGTCCGATCGATCGTTTTCGGAAGAACATCTGCAGTATCGCTCACTAAAGGCTCTGAAGCTTTCGTATCAAACGAAATTTCATCCCTTTGTTGCTTATTAAATGCCGATTTGAACTTGTTCGAGGAGACGGATGTTCGCACAGCCCCTTTCTTGCCGTCACTTTCCTCTGTTGAGACGTTTTCACTGTTTCTCGTGTCCGCTAATTTACCCGCATCAACTCGCAACGAATGCAATGAAACTCGCTTCGTTTCCATCGATGCGTCAGAGTCAGCGGACTTTTTCTTTTCCTTTGCCTCGGCCGCTTTGTGATCTATTTTTGTCGCGTTTTCCTTCCCTTTTACTTCCAGATCCATCTTTTCCCGTAAACTTCTGGCGACGTCCGCATCGGATACAGCACGTGCTGCGAGCGGAGACTTCGTTACTTTGGCTACATCCAACTCATTAAAATCCTCAGGTTTTGCCCATTGAACTTCGTATGTCTTTTCGTTGAAGTAGTAGTACCTTGCATATGTAGCATCGTACCAGCGGACCCAATCGTTCGATTTATAGCCTTGATCGTACGAATCTTCATCGTAATCTTCGGACAATTCATCCATATACGGCACCCCGTGCCGTTCGGGATCGTTATCATCAGAATCGTGTGGAGGTTGCAGAGGGGGACGGATTTTTCGTTCTTTCGGATCGACGAAAACATCCGGCTTCATCCAATCAGACGCGCCTGTCGCTTCATCCACGTAATAGTACATTTCATGGTAAGGATCGTAAAATCGAGTGTAACCATTTGAACTGTATCCTTCGTCGTCGTCGTCGTCGTCACCGTCGTCGTCATCTTCGACACAAGTTTTGCTAACCGCGCTATTATCTATTATATTAATGGAATTGGGAGTATCAAGAGGAGTGTCAAGAGGAGTGACGTCCGGAGTCAACCCAGCTCGATACTGTATGATATCGGTGTATGCTGTTGGTGTCGTGTTCAGAAAACAATCTAAACATGACTGATTCGCGTCAGCACCCATTTTCAGGAGACTTTCAATCTTTGAAAAAACGTTTTCTCTGCGCACTTTAGATTTTGACTCGCCAACGCAGCGAATTAATTCTATCATTGCAGTTGATTGTGATCCACCGGGAAAATAGCCCAGGGCGTTCGCGCTTGCACTGCTTTTTATGATAGTTTCAAACAACCAATCCGCATCGGGGTGGCCATATCGTAATGCCGCTGATGCAGCAAAAAACGGTGAGCAAAAAACAGGAAAGGGACCGAGACCACACTTATTTATATCCGCGCCCTTCTTTATGAGCAACTCTACGGTACCCTTGCCGTGCTCGACAAAGTTTAACATATCTTCGATAGCAATTGAGAGAAGAGTAGACACCCGGTGTTCGCGTTTCTCGATATCGTCGATATGTAAACGCGGCACTCGCTGCCACTCCGTCGATGGACTCGCGCCGTAATCAAGCAAAAGTTTGAAAAGTTCACTGGAGTGTTTCAATGCGCGCTCACCGCGCTTTGGTTCTCTAAAAAAGTCGTGCATTCGATCAACGAATGCGCTCGCCGCGTAATCAAACGTGCTTATCGCGTCGATCCCGTATCTATCGTTTGTACCGTTGAGTGAGGACGTCGGGGAAGAATTTTGTTGTTGATGGTGCATTACGTTTCCTTCTTCTTGGTCGTTGCGCTCTCTTTGCCTGGTATCCTTGTATGAGGTACGCTGATCACGAAGGTCCGAGATCATCACTTGCGCATCGCCATCATAGTCTTGTGAGTCATTTTTACGAATATGTCCTCTCGTATCATCCGCCGAGTTGTTTGCATTGTAGCTATTGTTCGGAATAGCCGAGGATCTTCTCGATTCATGATGCGTCGGCTTTGGCGCCTCGTAATAGAGAGTCCACCATGGTTTCTCTACGTAGTGTATGCAGTGCTGTTCGTCCCAACCACTTGGATTTAACGAACAATACAGCGCCAACGCGACGAGAGGCGTGTTTGAACCAATCATGGGATAATCACCGAAACAATTCGGGTTCGCTCCTTTCTCTAAAAGTTTTTTTGCTAGTCGCAAAGCCGGGGTACCGCAGCCTTCTAAAAGTGCAATTCCAGTGAAAAACAGAGGCGAGCCTTTCGGCTGCAACGCATTGCACGCGTTTCCTGCCGAACCTCTCGCAAGTTCTTCTTTAGACTCGATGAAATCAAACGCCAAACGCTTATTGTTAATCTCGAATCTGCTCAAATCATTTTGTGCGTAAAAGGAGCACTCGTTGTTGACGTCTATACCAAGCACGCTACCGAGGTCAATCAGACGCACGCAAAACAACGCAATTCCATCGCGAATTTCCACGGAAAATGCAGCGTTTTCAACCAGGGACATGACGAGGAACTGTAAACTGGAAATGTAATCTCCAGCAGGAGTCCGAGGGCAAACTCTGCGTTCGAGGTCTAGGAACGATTTCGTTTCGTCGTATTCAAAATCAAACGGCCGATCTGGCACATAGCACTTTACGTTGAGATCGCACTGCTTATTCGAGCCTCGTTGAGTGATGATGTGTAAAGCTTCTATCGTTTCTTGAATATCAGAACCGAAAGAAATAGCTATCGATAGAAAGAAGAGACAGTTTCCAATAGTTCCTGAGTGCATCGCGCATGACGGAAACTTGTACGACGCGTACTGCTGGTATTGATGGTTGGATGACGACAACGATTCCGTCGAGTCTTCCGTATCTTTCTTTGGAGATGCCGACGCCGAAGACGTTGGCGATCCGCCATCTCTGGATGAAAGCGAAGGCGTGTATATACTACTTACGCTCGGATCAATTTGATACGTTTCGTCCACATTTGCGCCCGCGTCGACAAACATCTCCAACACTTTATTTAGATTTTGGAGAGTATGTTTGTGCACTTTAGCTTCCTCGTGGTTCTCCTCCTTTACCGTGCTCACAGCGACGACGGTTTTCCCGTCCAAACTGTCGTATTTCTTATCGTGATCGACGTTATCAACGACCGCTTGCTTTAAAACGTGCGGCGCGTACACCGAGCACAGAAGTGCGACGGGCGATATCGTTTTCGCCACTCTCGGGTACGTCCCGTGTTCGTCCAACGCGACGCGCCACGCGCCGTACCGTATCAATCGTTCAAACACATCTCTCACGGTATGACTGTCCAATCCCTCCGCAGCACACGTGGCTAAAACGAAAATTGGCGCGCCTATCGTCCCGTCTTTCATTTTCATCGGCTGCGAAAGGAGTTTGGTGAGACTCGCGTTACTCGAATCGGCACCATTGCCAACAGTACCACGATTGTTGAAGTTGTTGTTGTTATCCTCGTCGTCGTGGATGCTAACATCCCGCCCGCTCGCCGCTTTCTGGTGATACAATCCATCAGCGCGGTCGATGACTTGGTTAATCTTTTTCAGTTTCTCTCGGACGTTCTTTTCGGCGGTTAAAAAAGGAGGCGACATCTCTTCCAAAGACACGCGGTCCCTCTAATCCACTTTTTCCCGGCTGCAAAGAAGAAGAAGAAGAAGAAGAAGAAGAAGACGAAGAGCTCTCTTTGTGCTCTCAGAGACACACTCTTCTGTCGTTTAGAACGAGAGAATGAATAATTTGCTCTTAAATATCATCGTCGTCATCTTTAATAAAAGATTGTGCGCGTCTGTGTTGTTCCGAAATGTGTTGGTCCGAAGTGTTTCTGTGATGACAGATGACAAAAATTATGGTTGATGAGAAAAAGGGCAGCTTTGGGAATTTTTTTTCAGTCGAGATTCAAATTTTTAAAAAAGCCAAAATCTTCATCACACCGACGACGATGAATCCAATCCAAGATTCGGAAAACATGGACCCGACGAGGACGAAGAAACGAAACGCTTCCGCGCAGTCCCTCGCAACGACGACGCAGAAGAAACACCAACGGCAAGGCGAGAAGCACCCGTTGTCCGATTATGCCGCCGGATCAATCACTAAAATCGTTTTATCAAACTTCATGACGTATTCCTCCGTCTCGTTGACGCCTGGTCCAGATTTGAACGTGTTGATTGGCGCGAACGGGACCGGGAAGTCCAGTTTCGTTTGCGCGATTGCGTTAGGCTTGAACGGTAAAACGGATTTGTTAGGACGAGCGAAAGAGCTGTCGGAATTCGTGAAAAGAGGCGAGACGAAAGCGACGATTGAGATTACCTTGAAAAGAACCTCCGGCGGAGGCGACGAGGTGGACGTGGTGAAAAGAACGCTGACGAAAGCAAAAGGCGGGACGAAAGCAAACACGGGTTCCGCGTGGCACATCAACGGGCAACCGTCGAATTCGGCCGAAGTCGACTTGTTGGTAAAGGGAAAGCATCACGTCGAATTGGGGAACTTGACGAACTTTTTACCGCAAGATAAAGTGGCGAGTTTCGCCGGATTATCGGAAACGGACAAGTTGTCGACGACGGAAACGACGGTAAATAACGGAGAGTTGTGGAAGTTGCACGAAGAGTTGATCGCGAAGAAAGAAAACATTCGCAACGATGAGCGGAGATTGTCGATGTTGCAGCACAGTTTAGATCAAAACACGCGAAGTTTGCAGACGTTGTCCGCGGACAAGGAAAAAGTGGAGAAACAGCAGGAGTTTCAAACGAAAGCGGAAGAATACAAGATGAAGATTCCGTGGATCAGATTTGAAAAGAAGAAAGTGGAGTTTAGCAAAATCAAAGAAAAGTACGCCGAATCGAAAGAAAAGTTGAGAGGTTGCCTTAAAGAGAAAGAAATCGCGGCCAAGCCGGTAAAGGAACTGGAAGTTTTAGAACACAAGATGGGCAAGGAATACAGCGTGAAAAAGAAAGCGACGATGGACGCTCAGGTTAAAGAGCGCACCGCACTCACGAAATTGAGAGGTTTGGGAACGACATACGACGATAAAGCCGGGCTGCTCTCTTCGGCAAACAGAAAAGAGAAGGATGCGGAAAAAACCGTGAACAGAATTAAGGCCGATATTAAGAATATTACGCAAGCGATGAGCGAAATCCCTGAGGTTGCCGATACAAACTTGGATTTGTTGAAAACCTTGAAGGCGAAATACGAAAGCGTACGAAAAGATCGGATACCGCTTGATACTCGTATTGACCAGGCGTCCATGAGATTGCGGCCCGCGGAACAGAGGGTGAGAAACTTAGAAATCCGCCAATCGGATTTGGACAGCGTTCGCGGAAAGAAATTGAAAGCTTTGACGCATGCGCACAGAAACGCAATCAATATGACGGAGGTCGATAAGGAAGTTCGCGATTTGGCGAAAAGATTGAACAAAGAGAAGAAGCTCAAAGGACCAGTTTTGTGCGAAATTGAGTGCAACAATCAAAACAACCAGACGTTCTTACAAAAACATCTCGGGCTTTCGATGTTGTCGAGCTACGTCATCGATGACGACCAAGAGTTGCTGGGCGCGATTAATAACCTCTTCAAAACGAAAAGATGGCATTTGATGTGCAACAACCAAACGGACACGAATGAGCACGTGAGAGGCGCGAACTTTAAGAACGAGTACAAAGCCTATGGCGTTTCGGAAACGTTAGATTTGACGTTTACGGCGCCAAACTGCGTCATGAAGACCTTGGTCGCTTTGAATCGCGTAGATAAAGCCGCCATCGCCGACGTGAAAGTCATGGACGCTGCGAAGTACCAAGAAATGGTCAACTCGAAGCTCGGGAAGATTGGCCAAGTGTATACGACTAAAAACGTCTTTATTGAACTCAGATCGAGGTACAATTCGAAAGTTACGTTTGAAACGGAAGAAATGAGACCGCTAAATTTCAGACTGTTTGGCGCACAAGTGGACAGAGAGGACATGGAAAAGGTGAAGAGAGATTTGGCGGAGGCCAGGTCGCAAGTCCAAGAACTTCAAAAAGACCAGAATGATATCGTTGAACAGTCAAACGCGCTCAAAAGGCGAGAGATGGAAGCCGAAAGAGCGTGGCGAGAGGAAAAAGCGCGATTGAACAAACCGAAGTCAGATAAACAAAGATTAGAGGCAAAGCTAAGAAGTTTGCAAGAATCGTACAAACTGGCAAAAGCGAACACGAACCTCTCGGCGACTCGCGAACAATTAAAAAAGTCTCTCGCGACTCTCGCGACGCAACGCGCGCAACAAGTGCAGACATACGTCGCCGTTTTAGATGCACTCTTTGCGGCGAGAAAGGAACAGGACTTGGCCGAGTTGAAGTATACTGATACAAAGATACGCTTGATGCACTACAAGAACATTGAAGCCCAAGTCAGGGACGACTGTGATAAGGTAGCCGATGCGCACGACGAAATTACTGAAAAGAAGCAACGAAGTGCTCGACAATGCAAAGAAGCGAAGGAAGAAGCCGATGCCGAAGCACCGCTCACGGAAGAGTTGAAAAAGAAGATGGAAAGTATGCCGGACGATGAAGACGAGCTGTTGAAGGAGGTTGAACTTTGGGAAGAAAAAGCGAGCGCTGTTGTGTGCAACAATCCAACCGCCATGCAGCAATATAAGAAGTACGAAGCCGAAAAGAAAGACCTGAAAGAGAAAATCGCAGCACTCGCACCGACCGTGAATGGCGGACAAGAGGTCATCAAAGGACTCAAGGAGCAATGGTTACCGCAGCTCCAGAAGGTTCTGGGGGAAATTTCGGTAGCGTTTCACACAAACTGCCGACAAGTTGGTATCCACGGAGAAGTCAGACTTCGCGAACCCGACGATCCAGATGAGTTCTCACAGTACGCGTTGGATATTCACGTCAAGTTCCGAGAAGGTGAACCATTACACGCGCTCGATAAGAATAGACAATCTGGTGGCGAACGCGCCGTTGCGACGATGTTGTACCTCATATCGCTCCAAAATCTGACAAAATGTCCATTCCGCGTCGTTGACGAAATTAACCAAGGTATGGATCCGAAGAATGAACGAAAAGTGTTCAAACAAATGGTGGACTCGGCGTCGGAACCGTCGACCCCGCAGTGCTTTCTCCTCACGCCAAAGCTGTTGAATGGGTTAGAATATAACGACAACGTCACAGTTTTGTGCATCTTCAACGGGTACCGACCTGGAGCTGGTCTCCATCTCCAAAGCGAATTGCAACCGTGCACTCCGTAGGAGAACTACAGCCATTTTGAGGGATTTACGTGAAGAACGTGTAAGAATATATAAAGAAGGAATATACAAGAAATACTCTACTGAACCAATTTTATCATCGACGCTACATTCATTACTTCCCAATGTACTTTAACTCTATCTCCGTGACGCGGTCGTTCAAGTTTTGCGCCACACGCACTAACTCATTGATACGATCCGCCATTTTCCCGATGTCACCAAACGTGCCCTTGGATAACTTAAAATTATCCGCGTATACCGTGCCGCCGAAAACGGCGTTATTCTCACCTCTTGAAACGACATTTTTGCCAAAGACGAAACTATTTGCGTCATAGGCGATCGAATTTTCACCACCCACGAAAGAATTCGAGGCGTTGACTTCAATCGCGTTGTTTCGACCGATGACAAAGCTCGTTTCTGCTTTCGTTAAAGTGCCGTTGCCGAAAGACGCACTCGCACTTCCACCGGCGGTAGTGTTTAGATTGAACGCCGCAGACGCCAAACGACCAGACGCTTGCGAATTTGCCCCGGATGCGAAATTGGCAATACCAAGATTAGCGCGAACGTTCAAACCGTTTGCAAAACTGGACAAACCTGCCGCGAATGAAGATATACCCAACGCGCCGCTTCCTTCACCAAAGCTACGGGCCATAATACCGCTCGCGAATCCTCCAGATCCATAGGATTGCGCGAGAAGGCCTTGTGCGAAACTTCCAGCTCCTTGCGCTAAGCTCAACAAACCTGATGCCACAGAAGCTCTCCCGTTTGCTCGGTTGCGCTCTCCGGATACCATGCTCGATCTTCCCCTTGCTTCTGATCTCTCACCAAATGCGTTTGCGTAGTCACCGCTCGCGATAGTTTGTTTGCCGAAGCTTGAAGAAGCAATTCCTGGTATATAGAGAGAATTAATAATAATGGAGAGAGGAAGAGAATTCACAGAGTCACAGTACCTGTCGCTTTCGTTAATAAATTTGCAGCAAAGGAGGCATCGCTCGTCGCCTCCGACCCAACATTCGTAGCCATGCTCGAAACGCCCGACGCTCTTGTATACGTTCCGAGAGCAGCAGATAAAACGCCAGTCGCATCCGTGCCCCCTCCGAAAGAACTCGCACCTTCTGCCGCAGCGTTTGCAAACACTCCAGACGCGAAGCTACCTCTCGCTGAAGACGAGGATCCGATACCTAAACTCGTGCTCCCTTCCGACGTGGCTCGATTGTTGACCCCAGCAGACAACGCATATTGAACGGCGTTTGAGAACAAGGAAGACGAAACTGATGAAGTGCGACCGTTTTGCGCGGAAACTTTGCCGCTTTCTTCCAACAAGTCGTTGAGAACTTGAAAACACGGCGAAGCTGGCGTGTTTGTCGATATCGATGATGCGATGCACAGCGGAAGCGCTAACCCCGAAAGCAGCAGCGCGCGAACAACAACAACTTTAGGTGAGAGGGGGTTTTTCATTTTAATTTAACGGCTTTTTTGTGCGTTTTTTTTGGGATAAAAAATACGACTGCTCTGTCCGTTATTATTATTATTATTATTATTAGGGGTTTCGATAAACAACAACAACAACAACAAGACATTCATGGTTGCAATCGCGCAGACAGACGCGTACGACGGGATACTTGCCGATGATGACACGGATCATCTGCAATTTTCTTCATCCGCTCCCGAAATGCGTTCAGTGCGAAACTGCATTCATTCGCTCTTTGTTGGCACAGATGAAGGAGCAGGGGAAGAACGGGACTTCCTCAAGGCGTATCTGGAAAACCCAGAAAACGTTGACTCGCCCGAATGGCACGAGTTTGTGTTAAACGCAGACCGGGCGAGGAAAGCAGCGCTGCGACTGGTATTGAAAAATGCGAACAAAGGAGGAGAAGAAATTTTGGAAAACAGTTGTAGCGACTGTGCGAGCGTTGCAGAAGATGCGCAGTCAACGGGGGAGATTTTGGACGACGTGGTCCGGTGCTTGTTTGCGCTGGAAGCGTGGAAGGATGACGTTTTACCAGTATTGTCGGCTCGCATAGAGCGAGAAAGGAAAGAAATGATGACGCAATATCTAGCGAAATCAAAGCTGTTGTTGCACGTCGGGCAGCTCCAAAGCTCTATTCTTGGCGTGTTAGAGATAGCCCTGTTCGATAATGCGTGTTCGGTAGGTAAAAGTCTCAACGAATCCAACCTGCTCGATTTGGTGGATTATTGCGTGGAACGATTAGAGGCTTTGAATAATGTGAGTGATCCAACAGAGAAAAGCACTCTATCGGAGAATTCAGACGAAAACGATGAATACTTGTGTCGAACAATGTCGTGCTTATCGATTTTGCGGAGCATATGCGACAGCGTCTCGGAATTGCCGCTCTCGGTCGTCGCGCGATTAATATCGAAGCATAAAATACACTCACATTTGCTTCCTGCGCTTTTGTCGAAAGTACCGTGGTTTCGAAAAGAAGAACAAAAAGTACTCAACGACGGTCGATGGATCAGTGCAAAATCTCTAGTGAAGATGCCGAAACCAGAAGCGCAAGTTTGGTTGTGTCTGCGAGCACTTTTAGCCGAGCCGGTGTGTTCCGGAAGACACGACTATCACGATTCAACGTTTGAACGTAGCTTAATTGACTTGAAATCGAAGTTACTGGGATCGAACGGGAATAGTCGATTAATCGATCAAATTCCTCAATTAGGTGGCGATGGACTCCAGCGCGCCATCTTATATCATTTGCACGAGATTCAAAGAAACAAGCGCGCGGACGTAGAAACAACTTTGTTTGATGCGCACGTTTTGACCAGAAATATGAACGCGATGAAAAAAGGCGAGGAGACGTGCGCATCAGAAAATTCAAAGCACGGAAAAGAAACACAGAAAAGAAGCGCATTCACTTTGATTCAACCTATTCAGTCGACAAGTTTTCGACAAACCGTTCATGAGAAAGCTAAAGAGGACGCAACGCGTTGGGTGGATGCTTTTGTCTCGAGGCATTCAGAAAATTTCGACGTCTACTCCGCCCGAGTGCGCCAGGAGGTTCTGAATATGTTCGATGAAGAGTACGATGTTCTCGACAATATCAAAAGCATTGCGACAAATACCAACGATAATCTTTCAGAACCGCAGACATCGTCTGCACACACCGTTCGCGTCCAATTTCTGCACAACGATAACGAAGAAGAACGTATGGTACAACAAGAGTTACTGTACGCGTTTGATGCCCGGGACGCAGATTGCCTTCTTCCAGATGCAGACGTTGTGCTCTCGCAGAAGAAAGATGCGGGTAAAAGTATCGACGGCACAACGGGATACGTTCGAGGCGAACGATTTAAGTGCGCATATGTTGGTGAAGAAGACCGAGGAAAAGAAACTCTCCCCGACGACGACGCGCAATCGAAACAACGTCGTCTGTGCTCGCGCTCCTCTTCTCGATGGTTCTCAAACCCTCGCTACGTTCGCGTCTCTGTGGAAAGGAACGACGACGGCAACGATGCTGTTACCACTTCAACCACTACATTGAAAACAGTTCTTCCACTTAAAGTAACCGACCTTTCCCGAGCGCTCGACGAGAGCGATAGAAATGATACGAAAGGAGGAGGCTCCTTGTGGATCGCTTGCGGCTCGCTGCGCGCGGATACGTTCTGCGTGCAGATGCGTTTAAAATGTAGAAGACCGGGTGCTCGACGCGTTTTGTGTGGTGGTGACTCTCACCCACAGTCTTTCTCGTACGATGATGACAACTGCGACGACGGAGAAAGGAATGCGTTCTTCTCGTACGACATAAGCGTCGCTCGAGTCGTGTGTTGTTTGATGAAAAAGTAAATACAAAGAAGTTTGATAAAAAACCTTCTCCAGTGTATTCTCTTCTTCTGTCTTCTTCTTCTTTTTTTTTTTTGGCGGCGGGCAAAGGAAAAGTCGTCATTCAAGTTACTACTAAACAACAAAAAATGTTTACATCATCATCATCATCATCATCTGCTTCCTCCTCCTCTTCTCTTCTTCTCTCTTCGTTCTTTGTCTTCTTCCTCTTAAGTGTTGCTGTCGTTCGAGCGCAGTTTGGAATGCCCGGAATGGGAGGAGGGAAGAACAAAGAGACGTTTCGAGCGGTCAAATCGGATTCGAAACTCATCCATTGCGAAGTCTGTCAAAAAGTCTCGAAAATAGCCTTTGAAACCGGCGTGCGCTTGAGAGAAGAGAAAGGAGAGAAGTTGACCGAGGTTGACGTGATCGAAGAGATGGAATTAATGTGCGACGAATCGGACGATAAGACCATGTGGGCGGTCCAAAACGATTTGAAAGTGAATTTCAGAAACAAATTGGTTTTGAAGTTTATGGGTGAAGACGCGTATTCGTCGTGCGAAACGACGTGTAAGACGATGTTGAAAGCGTGCGAAGATGTGATGGAAGGGAGAGATACGGATTTAGCGGAGATTTTGTTTAAGAATCGAATTAAAACGGCGAAAGGGATCGAGGAGTGGTTGTGCACGGAGGAGACGGAGAGTTGCTCCAAGAAGGCCAAGAGCGTTTCCAAGACGCGAAAGCCGTTGCCGGAGTTTAAGAAAAAAGAGAAGAAAGACATCGATACGGAGAGGATGATGGGAAAGTTGAAGAATATGCCGGGAATGCCGGGAATGCAGATGTATAATCGAGACGACATGATGGGAATGGGCGGCATGGGAGGTGGAGATGACGATTACGACGACGACGACGATGAAGGAGGAATGGGCGGCATGGGCGGCATGGGCGGCATGGGCGGCATGGGCGACTACGGTGACTACGGCGATTATGGCGACGATATGCCTTCCGGAGAAGAAGAAGAAGAAAAAGAAGGCGATGACGTCGGAGCGTTTAATAGCGCTGTTGACAACGACGATGAGGACGACGGCGACGAAGAAGACGTGTCCGGTCAAGAAGTTCCGGTCACTAAAAGTGACAAAAAAGAACAAGGTGGCGGCTTGTTCTCTAAAGTCTCGGGCGCGTTCAACCGATTCCGAGGAGGCGACAAGAAAGAGCTCTGATCTTACGTGATATAAAAATCTGTTTACTTGTTAATATATACGTGTATGTATTTGCAAAAAAACATTTATCTATTATTCAACGTCATCATTATTGACGCCGTTTTCAAAGTTTCTAATTTCCGTTTCTTTTGCTATCCTCTGTAACTCCGCTTCGCTCTCATAGTATCGTTCGTACCCCAAAAAATCAGCTCTTCTCGACGGTCTCGCCAATGGATCGTTCGACTTTGTCAACGTCGGCAACCATTTACCACGGTTCTCACCGTTACCCAACTGACCCCAGTCGCCTCTGCCCCACTGATAAAGTTTGTACCCATATTTTGTATGCAACTTGTCGTATTCCCCTTTGCCTCCGGCGGCGTACGAGCAAGCTTTCGCTTCCAACCACTCGTCGTTCGATATGCGTTCTTCGCAATCCGTCTCTTTCAAAACAGTTTGATTGGAAACAATTGCCGCGGAGTGGTGTGCTCCAGTTGTGATACTGACGACGTTTAGTTTCTTGTCGTGAAATCTCCACACGCGACTAAAAACGTCCCTAGACTCCACGTCGCCCAACCCGAGTTGACCGTACGAGTTCGTACCGGTGGCAAAAACGGCACCACAGCCAGTGAGTACTAACGAATGATTCCCTCCGCACGTTACTTGAGCAACTCTACAAATTACGTTACCATTCGATGGTTGATTCGCGTTCACGCACGGGCACGCTCGAACTCTGTGCATTAACGTTGTGCCATCCTGTTTGCGCACGTGGTGCTTAATCTGGATTTGCTTTGGCGTGTATTGGTTGTAACCTCCCACTGTGCCGTTTCTACTTTTTTGTTCTTTCAGCGTGGGTGCAAGGCCGGCGATCTGGCCGTAGGAGCCATTACCACACGCAAACAGTTTGCCAGATTGCGTCACAAACATCGTGTGCATTTTACCACAACTCACTTGCACGACTGAATCTTTACCGTCTAGTAAATCGAAGGAAGATAAATTTTCTTCGCAGAGCGATTCGACCAGGCACGGCCACGGCACGCCGGTGTGCCATCCGGCACTAGTCGCGAATCGCAAATCCCCTAAACCGAGCTGACCTTTTGTACAATCTCCCCACGACCACACTCTACCATCATCGGTTATGCAAACCGAGTGCTGTCCACCAGCAGCAACTTTAGTGACGTGCATACCACGTAACGCGTCGCAACGCGTCAACGGACCGCCGTCGTGGAAGTAACCCAATCCTAACTGACCGTGTCGTCCACGACCGCAGGAAAACAACTGACCGTCGACCGTGACGGCTAAAGTGTGATTAGAACCACACGCAACTTTTGTGACTCGATGCAAATTCTCCGCCATCGAAAATACTTTCCTCGGAATCGCAACTTCAATAGGTGTATGGTGATGTCCCGTCTCTCCCGAGGAGGCGAGGCCCCACGTGTACAGCGTCCCATTTTTGGTCAGTCCCGCACAGTGCGAACCTCCTGCGGAGACTTGAACGAAAGTCGTAGGTTCAAGTGTCCTATACCATGAAGTATTGTTATCGTCGGACTGGACAAACTCTTCATCATTGTCATTAAACGAGTTAAAACAATCCTCGTAGTCGTAATCATCGAAGCTGAGCGGCCCCATGGCGACTTTGCCGAACGAGGCTTCCGCGTTGTACATATCCTGCCCTCTTCCGAGCTGGCCGTGGAACCCTCTTCCAGACGTTTCTACGTCGCTCACGCGGAACACTTGGCAATGATTAGTGTTGCACTGATGACGACGACAAAAAACACGTTTATCAAGACACTTGCAAGGCACAAACCTGTCCGCGATTCGAACCGTGTGAAACGATCCCAACGAAACGAGACTGGATGCCCGTTCCGCTCTCTCCATGACGTCTTTAAAGCGTAACACGGCAATCGCCGAGTCTTGAGGTCTCACGCGACAGCTTCCAACCGTCGGTGGCACGATGCTTTTACTCCTAACGTTATTCCTCGTTCTCAGCTTCCTTTTCCTGCTTCTTCTATTCTCCTCCTCGGAATCGTCGTCCAATATCCTCTGCAGCGGGTCTAAAATCTCTTCCTCCTCCTCCTCCTCCTCTTCTTCGTCGTTCACTTCGCCTCTATGATTCTCATCAAACCCAGGCTCGCCATCTCTAGTCGCTAATATAAACCTCGCCACTCTATCGCACACCCCAGAGTGCCTAAAATACTTCGACGTCGCTTGCAAACTCGCCAAAGCCGGGGCGTCGACTTTCAACAAAATAGCCTCGACTAACTCGTTCGGCAACGCGTCAAACGCGCCTCGCGAGTCTGATTCATTAATCGATTTGCGTCTGCGCTTGACTTGAGATCCGATCGTTCGCGGTGGCTTACGTGGTGGAAGTTGTTGTTGTTGTTGTTGATTCGTGGCTACGAACAAAGTCGACGCCGTGGACGTTCGCCTTCCCTTTACCGCTTCTCCTCCTCCTCCTCCTCCTCGTCCGTTCCCACTTTCTAACTCGGCTGAGTTGCACAAGGAATCTCTCCTTTGCAACGCGGCAAATCGGCTGCTCGTCGTCGTTGGTGGTGGTGGAGATAACGGTGAATTCGTTATTAATTGCGGTGCCCCCGCATGCGTCGCGCTATTCGGAGCGGCCTCTTTCGTTGTCGTCGTCGAAGGAGACATTTTTGAATTCTTTTTTCTTTTCTTTTCGTTGTTGTTGTTGTTCCCGTTTTGTTCGTTCGTACCCGTTTTTTTTTTAACGATGATGAGTTTATAATAATAATAATACTAAACACTGCTCTGCCTAAACGCTCCTCTCTCTGCTGATCTACTTGTGTGGTCTACTTTTATTCAACGACGACTTCTCACAAAAACGAATTAATAACGTATGACTTAAGAGGACTAAAAGTAAGTACTCAAAGTAAGTTATAAAAATGGTGTCGTTACAAGTTGTTCCTCTAAAAAATGACGATGTGTGGGGGTGCCCACAGTGAAAAAAAGTTCTTTTTCCCCTCTTTTTGATATTGAGATACACCCCCTTTTCTTTCATATTTCTTCAAAATAATTTTGTATTATGGTAGTATTATTATACTATCATCATCGGAGGTAGGTACGTCAATTAAACAAGCTAATCGTTATACTATTAATGTCTAAAGTGTCTGACACCGGTGGTGACCAAGGCGACGCCATACTTGTCGCAACAATCGATGGCGTCTTGGTCTCTCATAGATCCGCCCGGATGAGCGATGGCTTTGACGCCGGCTTGGCACGCTTTCTCGACGGAATCACCCCAAGCAAACGGAAAGAACGCGTCGGAAGCTAAGACGGAACCTTCGACGTCGTCTCCAGCTTTTTCTAACGCGATGCGGACGGAGTTTACTCTGTTCGGTTGACCAGAACCCATGCCTAACAATTTGCCCTTCTTGGCGACGGTGATGGCGTTGGATTTGACGTGTTTCACAGCTCTCCACGCGAATCGCAAGGCTTCTAATTGGTCTTCAGTCGGCTTGGTCGCAGAGACAGATGTGAATTCAATGTCTTCCGGGACTAACGAGTCTGGTTCTTGGCTCAACCATCCACCGCCGACTTGGCGCAAACCCATCGGCGCGTCCGCCGCTCTCGGTTTCGTCTCTAAAATTCTCAACGCTTTCGATTTTCCTTTCAAAACTTCCAAGCCTTTTTCCGTGTACGACGGAGCGATGACAATTTCGTAAAACATTCTCGTTTCATCATCGGTCGGTGAGCGAAATTCGCGAATTTCTCGGGCCATTTCTTCGTCCACCGTGCAATTGAAAGCGACGATGCCGCCAAAAGCGGAGATTGGATCGGCTCGAACGGCTAATCGGTACGCCTCCAACAAGTCACCGCCGGTGGCAGATTCCGAGGCAATACCACACGGATTCGTGTGCTTGACGATGACGCACGTTCTGTCCGAGGACGGGTAATCGCAAGCGCATGAATACGCCGCTTCCGCATCCAAGTAGTTGTTGTACGACATCTCTTTACCGTGGTGCACGATGGATCGAGCGACGCCGGTACCCGATGACTCGGCCAACGTGCTGTCCGAATACACCGCCGCCGGTTGGTGCGGATTTTCCCCATATCTCAACTCGTTCAACAAAGTCATAGAAACCGTCTTCTCTGGAGCAGGTTTGCCGTGGCCGATGGAATCTTCTTGCCACAAATACTCCGCCACCGAGGCGTCGTAGGAAGCGCAGTGTTGGAACGCCTTCCACGCGAGCAACTTTTTGAAATCCAAATTGGAACCATCCTTCTTCAAGTTCTCCAACAACTCATCGTAATCGTTCGGATCGACGACAACGCTCACGTGCGGATGGTTCTTTGCCGCTGCTCGGATCATAGCCGGTCCACCGATGTCGATGTTCTCCACGCACTCCTCAAACGCCTTCCCGCCTAAAACCGTCTCTCGAAACGGATACAAGTTCACGACGACGACGTCGATTAAATCGATGTTGTGTTCTGAAATCTGCTTCATGTGCGTTTCATTCTCTCTTCTCGCTAAAATTCCGCCGTGAATCCCCGGGTGCAACGTTTTCACTCTTCCGTCCAACATCTCCGGAAACGAAGTCACCGAGTCCACCGAAGTCACCGGAATGTTCTTGTCTTGAATAAACTTGGCGGAGCCACCGGTGGAGATGACTTCAAAACCGAGAGCGACTAAACCGGAAGCTAACTTGTCCAAGTTCGTTTTATCGGAAACCGAAATCAAAGCTCTCGGTTTCGCCGATGATACGATCAAAGATGACGATCTTTCCCAAGAAGTTCTTCTTCTTCTTCTTCTCATCGTCGTCGCCGTCTTTTTTAAAAACAACTGAGATGACGATGGTGATTGATGAGTTCTGCTTTTCCGGCGGCTTGCTGCCACCACAAAAAAAGAAGACGACAAGGAAGAAGACGACAAGGAAGAAGAAGAAAAAGACATCATTAGTGTATTGTTCTTTATTTCGTCAGTATTATATATTCTATATAAATGAGATGTTGTGTCGTTGTAAAAGTTGTGTTGTAAAAGAAGAAGAAGAAGAAGACGATGAAAAGTTTTTCGAAAAAGCCCTTCCTTCAACGAAACAAAACAAAGGGGCTGACACCTTCGAAAAATTCAAAAATTTTACAAGATTTTGGTGTTTTTTGATGTGTGTGTGTGTTGATTTACGATTTTTAGATGATGGGTTACGATACGAGAGCACGATGATGAGTATCACAACAACAACAAAGCAGCAGCAGCACTCCTTCTTCTTTCTCATTTATTTCAACGCGCGAACGGCGATTCGAAGGGATTGGGACATGGGCACCAATCGAACTCTTCTCGCTAACGAAGCCGCCCCCTCGTCTTCGTCTTCGTACTGGCGAGAGGAGGACAAAGTCACTTTCGCGAAGCCTTGTTTACGAGTAGCAGCAGCATCAGTAGGATTGAACGCCTCGCGAGCGATGCGCCCGGTGGCAAAGCAGAACGACTGGTATAACTTATGCGAAGGTATCGCCTCCTTGACCAATAATGAGCTCTCTTTCGGAGGTTTGACTTTGATGGTTTCCAGGAATACCCAAAATTTGTCGCGGCGTTCTTTTCTCTCCTCCGGAGTGAGTTGTCTTTGTTGAAACTCCGGCGGTACGAGTTTGCTGGGATCTAATTTCGAATCTTTCGTCCCCACCGCGGTGGTATCCACGCCGCTATCTTTCTTCCTTTTCTTCGTCGACGGGTTCAATTTCTTCGCCGCTGTTCCGGCTGCTTCTCGCTCCGCGACGACGGCTTTCCTCTTGTTGTCGTTGTTGTTGTTCTCAACCGTCGTCGCTCCCGGCGTTTGGAGGTTCAACTTCTTCTTTGCCGTCACCACTGGCGTATCGATGATCACTGCTGCCTTCTTTCCTCGCGCACCTTTCGCAGCAGTCGCCGGAACGACGGTATCAGTGGTAGCACCAGCGGCATTAACGGCGCTTCTCTTGAGATTCTTCTCGCCGCTCTTTTTATTCGACTCGGCGCCGCTCGCCGGTTCGAGTTCGAAAGCGACGGGGGTTATTTGCTCGCTCTTTTGTGTGCGCTTCTGCGGCGCCGTCTTCGGCTCTTCCGTGGCCACGGCACCACCTTTCTTGCCTCTCGAAGCCGCGATCGTTGACCTCTTCTTGGTCGCTATTGCCGTCGCGGGAATCTCCTTCTCTTTCTCTATTTTTTCTTCTTCTTTCTTCGTTGCCGCCGCAACTTTCTCGGCGTTCGAAGCAGCATTCTTCCGCACCTTTTTCGTAGCGACAGCATCCACTGCTGGCGTCTTTGGAGTTTTCTCCGCCGCTGCCGTTTTTCTCTTCGCACCACCTGAAACCGCCTTGGTATTCGCAGTATTCGATGACTTCTTCGCCGCGTCGTTGTTAGTAGAAGAAGCTACAATATTCTTCAACAACGGCGGCGATGGAACTACGTTTTCCTTCTCCTTCTCGGCTTTCTTATTCTTCGCAGACCCAGTTAAAGACCCGAAAGTTGCTTTCAAGGCTGGTCTTGCGGCGGTTGGCGTCATCATCGTCGCTCTCGGTTTGTGCTTCACCCCGGACGAAGGCAACACTTCCGAGAAGTCTCTCAACGCCGACGGGCCTGGCGCGTGTCGAGAAACGAGCGGATCCCACGCCCAAGGAGCTAACTTGGCGAGTTCTTTCTGTTGTCGAGACATCGGGACTTGCAGTTGTTGCGGGTGTTTTGTATTTTTCGGAGACAATTTCCTCGTCGTCGTATTCTTCTTCTTCTTCTTCTTCTCGTCGTTTTGTTCTTTTTCTTCCATATCTTGGTCTTCAGACTGTTGGTCACGTTGGTCGTCGTCGTCATCCGTCTCACCGTCGCTCTCACTGCTGCTCGAGGACGGCGAAACTTTGTTCGCGATCAGCGCATCCACCGGGCAATCTCGGGTGGATTCAGCTAACGCTAGAGCTAATTGTTGCCTCTCGGTTAATCGTTTCGTTGGCTGAGCACTCGTCGTCGTCATTCTTGTTTGTTGTTGTTGTTCAGATATATTTGAATATTCTCTCGTCTTCTGATTTTTGAGATGTAGTATATGCTTCTTCTTCTTAATAATACGATGTCCAATCGGACGACGTATTCTCTCGAGTCAAAAACGACGACCCGAATCAACGGTTGAAGTTTTAAGAAGCGTTAGTAGTTGTTCTCTCCTCTCCTCGAATGGAATGGATGATATATAAAAGAAGATATATGTAATAAACGAGCGCGGGGAATGAGGACCAAGTCTTTTAGTATTTTGTGTGAGAAATCGAAATTTTTTTGAAAAAAAGACCCCCGTGTTGAATGATGAAGAGAGTTTCTTTCTCAATAATATTGTTATAGTATTTCTTATTATTATATATATAAAATGAGTATCTCAGATATCAGTGTGTATCTCGAACAACAACATAATGCATGTAGTAGCACATGCGTTGCGTTTATATTACTCCACTATTATTATTTTTCATCTCTTCTCTTTACTTCTAGTGCGTTGATGAAATGCGCGTTTTGGTTTCGAAAAAGCTAATGTTCGGCCAGCTCCAAAAAGCTGACTGTACACCTTTTTCTCGAACAAAAACACCTTTCACCCCCCAGTTAAGCAGAAAAGGATTACTTCGGCTTGTACGCAGCCTTCGCTTTCTCGTATCTGACCTTATCGGCGTCCGCCTTCTTGTTGTACGGCACCTTTTCGGAATCAGACATGGCTCTCCACAATTCGCCGAGCTTCTTGCCGACTTCGGTCACCTTCATGTCCGGGTTCGCTTTGACAACCTTCGCTCTTTGGTCGTTCATGAAGAAAAAGTACGCGGACAAGTTTCTTTTCGGCGCGTTCGGGTCTTTCACCTTCTTCACTTTCTTCACCTTCTTCGGGGATTTCGCTGGAGTCTTGGCCATTTTGTGTATGTGTTGTTTTTAAAAACTGTTTTAGAGAGAAGCGATGAAATGGTCAGTCTCTGGCTGTTTTGATTTGACGAGGAAAATTTTGTTTTTTGCCCCTTTCGCCTTTTTTTCTCTCTTTTTTTCTCTCGTTTTTCAAAAATTTGAGTGAAAAAATCAGTCCTTTTTTCTCTCTTTTTTGAGAGAAGAAGCACGTCGAAGGAGAACGTTGAGAAGAATCTAAAGAGAAAATTAAATCGTCTCTTCTTCTCTGGCCACATTTAACAGGTGAAAACGTATCCGATCAACGGGGAGAAGAACGTAAACTGTTCTCTCGATCGATTTCTGTCCATTTTGATAGGTATTTTTCATATCTTCTGGGGTACATTGTCCCGTTTTTTTTCGAATGAGAAATTTCTTCAAGCGCGTGATCTCTCCTATATAATTGTCTCTTTTGAACAAAGAGACAATTATATGGGAGCTAACAGAAATTGGCACACTCTTTCTCCTTCTTAACGCGCAGAAAAACGAACAACGAGGAACGAATGATGAACAAAAATGAAAGGTACAGGATACCCGCTCATTTTCCGTTCTTTTCGTGCGAGAATAAAAACGATTTATTTTGTATATGTGCGTACCTTACGTTACTGCTTCTTTAAAAGAATGAAGAAAGTTTGAATTCATCAATTCTTTCATATTTGCAAACAAAAGTTTTCACCCCTTTGTGAACTGATTTTTTGCTTCTTTTTCACGAGAAGATTTTTTCAGCTGAAATTCTTTCTCTTCTTTTTTCTCCTTTTTGATTGCAAAAAAGAGAGAAAAAAAGAGAAACCAACAACGAGAGACATCATTCATTCATTTCACTCACACGCATATAGTATATATATATATATTAATAAAGAACAGCAGCAAATAATAATAATAATAATGGGAGCGAAAAGCCGAAGAAAGAAACCAGAGGTGAAAGAAAACAATCGAAAACGAATAGAGAAGATACAAGAGTCGAAGAAGAAACAGAAGAAAATTTCTTCTTCCGGCGGCGACTTTCACGACGATGATGGAAAAAATAAAAATGGAACCACAAAGAACAACAACAACAACAGGAACACTAATGGTGGTGGTGGTGGTGCTTTTGGTGCTGGTATAATCGAGGCGGTGCCGATTCTAGCCTCTTACCGTGACGATGCTTTTGGGGGTCTTTTCGTTGCCATGGCATATTGTAAGGAGATGAAAATGATGTTGTTAGTGGAAGATAGGAGTAAAAAGAGTTTGGTGGTGTCTGTTTTCGGCGGCGGTGTGGGAGAAAAAAGAGAATTTGAAGCGGAAGATACGATACGAGCGATGGCGTTTTCGCGATGCGGCAATTACTTTGCCGTTTCCGGGGACGATAAGAGAGTGTGCATCTTTGAAAGAAAGAAGGGAGAAGACCAAGAGGGAGGAGATTTTTATTACTCGCTCGCGAACACGCGTTTGGCGAATAAGAAAGTCACCTCGGTGACATTTACTTTAGATTCCAAACATATCGTTTACAGCGATAAATACGGCGACGTGCGCGTCAGTGAGGTTTTAACACCAGTGAACGACACCAATAAAGACATTACAACGACAACAACAACAAAAGACGAGAAAATCGACGCGGAGGGCGGCGATGCGGAAACGGGCGTTTTCGACAAACTTCTCCTAGGACACACAGGAACGGTGGTGACGAGCGTATGCGTCGTCGACGGCGTTACAAAAGACGACAAAAAAGAAGAATTCGTGTGCACGGCAGATCAAGAAGGAAAGATACGAGTCACGAGAATGCCTCCAGCTGATCTCCGCACGGATATCGAAGGTTCGGGATTTGACATTCAATCGTTTTGCTTTGGGCACCAAGGATTCGTGGCGAAAGTAGTCCCCGCGTTTTCGAAAAATAAAAATATCATCGTTTCCGCAGGTGGCGACGGGACAATACGCGCGTGGGATTGTTTGACAGGCAAACAGGTTTCTAAAACCGTGAAATGTACTCCGGAGATTCCAGTGCAAGACTTGGACGTGATGCCAACCGATGATGAAAACTCTATTTCGGTTGTCGCGATACTTGAAAACGGGAAGAAGTTTGGCGCGCTTATGTTCGTGAACGAACTCGCCGGAAAAGAAGACGAAATCCTCAAACATGACGCAGAATCAAGCGATGCGAATGTTTGCGCTATGCGTGCTCCGGTTTGTGTAGTTTTGGAAAATAGCTCGGAAGAGGAAGAAGGAGTTGAGAAAAAGTACGTAAAGTGTGTAGGACGAATTGGAGAGGAAGAAGTGATGGAAATCAAAATCGTGGAGGAAGAAGTTCAAAGAGGGATAAAAGCGAGCGAGTTCTTTGACAGCAAGTTTTAATATACTATAGTACTTATAGCAGCGCTTTTAGTCCAAGCAAGAATTACCATCTAATGCCTCTTTTTCTATTAGGATTCTATATTTGCTTACTTTATACGTTACGTACACACTATTACGGAAACCTTTGAAACTGCGAAAAGTCTGGCGCACGTTTCTCCAGGAACGCTCTCCTCCCTTCGGCACCTTCGCCGCTTTGATAAAACAACATAGTTGCGGACCCGCCTAAATCTTGAATGCCAGCTTGCCCATCCTCAGCCGCGTTCAGCGCGTTCTTCGTTAATCGCAAAGCTGTCGGCGAGTTCCGCAAAATTTCTCTACACCACGTCGCCGTTTCTCGCTCTAAATCTTTCAAAGGTACGACGCAGTTGACTAATCCCATATTCAACGCCTCTTTCGCGTCGTACATTCTCGCTAAAAACCACATCTCTCTCGCTTTCTTCTGCCCTATTAGCCGCGCCATGTGCGTGGACCCGTATCCCGCATCGAACGACCCAACTTTTGGTCCAGTCTGTCCAAACACCGCGTTGTCCGCCGCGATGGTCAAATCGCAAATCATATGTAAGATGTGTCCGCCGCCGACGCAATATCCAGCCACCGACGCGATCACTGGTTTCGGCAATCGACGAATTTGCATCTGTAAATCCAAAACGTTTAATCTCGGAACTTTTTTTCCTCCTCGTTCCTCCCTCTCATCCACGTAGCCACCGTCACCTCGTACGCTCTGATCTCCTCCGGAACAAAACGCCAAGTCTCCGGCGCCGCGCAACACAACCACCCCGACTGTCGCGTCGTCTCTCGCGTCATCAAAACATCTCTGCATTTCCTTGATTGTTTTTGGCGTGAATGCGTTTCTTTTCTCCGGTCTGTTGATGGTGATTCGTGCAATCTTTCCTCCTTCTCTCCTCATATCTTCGATTTTCGATTTCTCGTAAATCACTTCTTCCAATATCGGTTTCGTGTGCATCAAATGTGAAAACTCCGTTTCCGGAACGCACTCTTCCCAACACACCGGTTCTTGGGAGACGTACCCGTGCATTTTCTCGTACGACGTCGGTTCCCCAGTCGCCGAGGCGTACGTGTTACTACTCGTTCGATGCGTGGTCATCATGCTCGTCGTCGTCTGATGAATGCGCGCGTTGTTGTTGTTGAAATTGGATAAAAAATCTCGTCCATTGTCGTCCTCGAAATCGTGAAACGTCGAAAACGCGTTTTGTTGTGAATGAAGAAGAACGTGGTCTCGAATCGATTGCACTCTCCGTCTCGCGTTGTTATTGTTGTTGTTGTTGTTGTTGTTGTTAGTACTCTCCATTTTATTATTCGTACACAGAAGACTACTACTACTAAATTCTTCTTCTTCTTGTATTCCTCAAACAAAAAAGTCGTGTGTCGTTGTGATGAGTACGTTTTTGTTTGTTGAACACAGAAAAGAAGGAAAAAGATTTCAAAAAACCAAAAAAAGTAAAACGTGAAGATATCTCTTCATTTTTGTTCGCACAACACGCGCGCTTATTCACATTACAGTTTTAGTAATGACGACGACGACGACGATTCAGACGATGATTTTAACAACAACAACACCGAAAATATCGGCGATGAGAACGAGTCTTTCGAGTGCAGCAGGAGGAAAAGGAAAAGGAGGAAAAGGAGGACAAAAACTTTTTGTCCATCATCATCGACAGAAGTCGTTCGAAGTTCGAGCGACGTCCTCGTCGTCCACGTCCACTTCCTCTTCCTCCTCGATCTCCTCTTCGTCAAATACGATATTATCCAACACGCCGAACGGAGTGCTCTTCTCCTCGAACAGCTCGAAGAACCACAACGATTATTCCATCGCTTTAGATAAACTGAGAGCGTCTGGGTGCGAAGTCTACGACGTCGGGTCGAGGTTTCTCTCCAAAGGCGACCGAGGCGAGGACGTGAAAGCGTTGCAGGCTTTGTTAATGAGCGAGGGATTGCTAAGCAAAGACGTCGCACCGACCGGGATTTTCGACGAAGGCACGAAAACGGCGTTGCAAAGTTGGCAAGTGAGACGGTGTTTACCGAATCACGGCGCGTTTGGCGATTTGTGTCGATTGGCGTATCTCGACGAAAAGCGGTTGGAAATGAAGTCGCTGTTGTCGAGCCCTTTGCCGCCGGATAGAAGGAAATGGAAAGAGGCGGCGGTATATCAGCCACAACCGATGCCGAAGAGAGCGAAAAGTGGGGGTATTATGTCGCTGAATAGTCCAATGTCGTGGGTACAAGTGACGATCGGGGCGCTCGTCGGAGCGACGATTTTATCCGCCGCTTTGGTTTTACCAAACATAGACATGGACGAAATCGCGAATCGCCCGGACGAGTTGACCGACGAAGAAGAGGCGTACGCGATGAAGATTTTGAACGGCGTTCCGAAGAAGAAAGTAGAAGAAGAAAAAGGAGAGAAAGATGACGAATAAAACAAGAATAATACTTTAACAATTGCCGCGCTATGCTATACTACATTTTTATAAATGCCACTCCTGTGTGCCCGCTAAAAAACGCTAAAAAACTGCTATCGACTTTTATACTCTCTTCTTTTAGAATTAAACTCCTCGAAATCCTTGACCGTCATGTGAACTCCCACCTCTAATAAGTGCTCTGCTTTTTGAGAAGTCATAACACCAACGACAAAACATCCCGCCGCCACTGCAGCCGTCGCTCCACTCGGCGAATCTTCAAAAACGATGCAATCCTTCGCGTCTTCAATCGGGTCTAGTCCCAGCAAACGCAAGCCGTCGATGTACGGTTGCGGATGCGGCTTGGCGTGTTCACACTCACCACCTAACACGACTAACTCTTTGAACCAAACGTCTAATTGCAGCGCTTTTAGCATCATATCTGCGTTTTCTCTCGGTGCGTTTGTGACTGCTATTTTTGGTATTTTCTCAGCATCTATTTGGCTCATCAACTCTGAAAGTCCATTCAGTCTCCGTAAAGATGTAATCGCTCGTCTTCTGTATTCTTTTTCCTTCTCTGTCCACATTCTCTCGCGCTCTTCTTCGCTTAAATCCGGATATAAGTTGTTGAATATGATTGGATTTGACCCTCCGGCTATGTGTTTCCGAAAGAAGTCGTGGTCGATTGGCTTTCGAGATGGATTTTTCACCGATGGAACTTTCATAATCAACTCTTGAAAACATTCGAAGTGCACCGGGTCGGAATCACAGAGCGTGCCATCGATGTCGAATAAAAAAGCTTTCGGATTCGAGGGCAGTTTTTTTAGTACCATCGTCGGCAATACTCTCATCTTCACAATGTGCAGAACACCTTCTGAGCTTCTTCTCTTTCTCTTCTCTTTTTTTTTCCTTTGTTTTGCAATGGTGTTTTGTTTGCAACACATTTCTTCTCTCTCCAATTTCTTCTTTGGGTGATTCTTCAAAACACACAACAACAACAGTGTAGTGTGTAAAAGTTGTTTAATAATAGTAATACTACGAATGGCATCTCAAACACTGCCACCACATCCGCGTTCATCTCCGACGCGAAAAGAAGACAAAGAAGACAAAGAGGAAGAAGTTGCTTTGTTCTTCAAGAAGAAGAAGAATTCATCAATTCGTCGAAACACCAATACTAACAAGAAGAACAAACGAAAGAAGACAAACGAAGAAGAAGAAGAAGAAGAAGAAGATGATGATATCGACGACGTTTCCGTGAGAGTACAGAAAGCGAAAGAGCGCTTGAATGAACGCCAGGAGATGTCTAAAGTCGGTCAGAGTAAAGGTGTGGACAGTGAGTTGCTCTTATTAGGCGACACGAAAGAGCGAGAGGCAAAAGCGAGAGAACGAGAGTTGTTGTTGAAAGAACAACAAGAAAAGAAAGAGAGGAGCGGCGGCGGGGAAGTGCAACTGGCGTTTGGAGCGGGAGCGAAAGGAGGATTAACGATAATGCAGAACGAAAATAATAGCAACTACAACGAAGACCCACAAATGCAATTGTACGTGGAGGAAGAGTTAGAGAAGCGACGACGGGAACGGGAAGAGGCGCAACAACAAAAAGACGGCGACGGCGAGGACGAACGAGAACGAAACGAAGGAGGAGACAGAGGCGATTTTCACTCGTTACAAAAAGCCAAAGAGGATTTGTGGAAAACGGAAACGTACTACGCGAACGCCGCGCAAAAACGGAAAGACGACATCGCTCGCAAAGAAACTGCGGATAGAAATTTAACCGGCATAACCGAGGTTGAAATATCCCAATTCGAACGAGTGAAAATGTTACAAGCGACCGAAGACGCCAAGAAGCGAATACAACGCCAAAAAAATAAAGAAGACGCCGCCGACGACGAAGGAGAAGAGTGGATCGATTTAGGCGTCAAAAGCGACGAGGCTTTGGAAATCGAGAAGAAGAAAGAAAGAATGGTCGCCAAAGCTAAAGGACTCGGGTTTAGAAAGTTTGGGAAGAAGAAAAGCGGATGATGATTAGATGTTAGTTTTTACGAGTAGCGATAAGAATAGTTTTGTGCCCTGTGGTTTCTTTCCAAGTTGTTTGTTTGTGGTAGTTTTAGCGTGGTCTTAGCTGTGTTGTGTGAATCTAGTGGAAAAGAAATGGACACATGTAAAGCTTTCCTTCTGGTACCTCAACGAACTTTTTTTTTTTCATCATCACATTTTGTCCAAAACCGGCATAAAAAACTTTTTATCATCTCTAACACATGAGCGATGAAAATCTTCCTCTGATTAGCTATCGAAGGTTAAAATCAAAGGATGAAGAAGAACTCGCTCGGTTAAAATACGCGCTCGTGGACAGCGAATATGGATTTTTCCAGTTGGTCGTCGACGACGATTCAGACGACACGAGTAAATTCGGGAAAGATATCAAACGAGTTTACGATTCTGGAAGAAAGTTCTTCAAAGAACTCAGCGAGGACGAGAAGAAGCAATACGTACACACGCAATACGAGACGTTTGAGACCGGTGGGTACGTTCCTTTATTCGAAGAGTACGCGTATAAAGCGAACGAAATCGCGTGCGTGGAGTCTTTTGATTTGGTCAGAGATATCGAAGAAAATGAGAAAGATGAAGAAGACGAAAATAATGAAACAGATGATGATTTTACGAAACAACCATCCGGCGCGAGAGGAAGAATCGATTGGCCCGTTGAAGTTCCGGAGATGAAAAATGCGTTCAACATCTTTTACCGAAAATGCGACGAGATCGCGCGAGTTTTGTTCTTGTCGTTTGCAAAGGCACTGTCTATAAAAGACGAACGCGCGTTTGAGAAGCACTTTTCGAGAGATTCTCACTGCGCCATGCGGTTCATGCGATATCCTAATAATGATAATAATAATAATAATAATAATAACGATAAGAAGAAGAACAAGAGCAAGTCTAGCGACGACGCAAAAGAGGTGGGCGTGTCAGAACACACGGACTTTGAGATGATGACTTTCTTGCATCAGAATGAACGCGGTTTGTACGTGAAGAAACGGAGAGGAAAAAACAGAGACGAAGAAGGCGAATGGATGTCTGCCCCAGTTTTGCAGGAAGACGAGGCAAAGTTTTTAGTAATCATTAGCGATGGATTAGAAGCGTTCACGAATGGAACGTACAAAGCGACACCGCATCGAGTAGAGCGACCCGAGAACAGGGAAAGATTTTCCATCGTTCGCTTTAACGGTGTCAACGCGGAGACGCAGGTAAACCCGTTGCCTGACTTTGTTGGAGCTAAAAGAAAGCGAGGTGAAGCGATGACAACACAGCTCGATTTAATCACGACAAAAGTTAAAGAAGCGGATAGAAATTTGAAAGACCTCGTGAAAAGAAAGAAACATCCCAAGGAGGCGTTAACGGCAAACCCCGAACGGTTCGCTCAACTCTTAATTTTGGCGAAAGACGACGACGCGCAGTGGCATATTTGCTTAGCGTTACACAAATCGGGAGAGTTCGCAGAGCGATACACCGGTTTCATAGGAAAAGTAGAAACGTGGTACGACATTAATGCGTTAGCAGAAACGTCAATTTTTGCCGCCTGCGAAGCCTTGGAAGAGAACATTACTATGCCGGAAAATGCGAAAGCACGGGTCACTGAGAAAGCTCGATTTCGATTTCACGGATGGTTAAAAGAGAGCAAGGTGGCGATTGAACACGAGTGCGTGTTGATTTTAAACAACTCGAGAGAAAAAGAAGCGTTATTGAAAGATTACACGGAGTTGAGTGTGTCCGCCAAGGAAACAATCCGCGTGATTCCCAAATGGTTCAAAGTTGAAGACATACCGTATGCAGAAATGCCCGAAGACGATATGCACTGGTATCCGAAGGTGATAGAGGCGTCAATCGTCGACGAGGAGAAGAAGATTCACGGCGGCTATTTCACGTTTGACGAAGCCTCTGGCGCGTTGAAAGAATTTGAAATCAAGACGTATCCGAAAGTGTAGTCGTCTTAGGATGGACGATTCAGTATTATTAGAGCAGTAAAGAAAACTTTAGCACGCATGAGCGAAGTTCAAAATAGTGTGGTTGAAAGTATGTAAAAAAAGAAGAAGAGACGTGTGTACTCATACGAGAGAAAAAAACCCATCCGTCGTCCTCATAAAATTTGTGTTGTTCTCGTTTGTTGTCAACTTAAATGAACCCTCCGTTCATCCAAATGACGCCACAACAACAGCAACAGCAACAGAGAGGATTTCTTTTGCTCTTTTTGCTCTTCTTTTTCGTGTTAACTTCTGGCCCGGGAGCTGGAGAGTTGAGACATAACGCGCGACGAAACCGCATGGACAGTTTCCAGGAAGACAAGAAGAACTTTGAGTTGAAGAAATCAAACGTGAAAGATACAATCATATTAGACTTGTCCAAATCGAACGAGATTTTGGAATTAGAGAACAAGCAGTTGAAAATAAGCGTGATTGGATTGATGCAAAAGTTAAGAGAAACAGAGAGAGAAGGAGGAAAAGGAGAGAATTTCATATCTGAGTTGAAGGAAGAGTTCAATTTGACAAAAATCTCTGGACTAGGCAGTGTTGGACCTTCTTCTTCTTCTTCTCCTTCTTCTTCGAGAGGGAGCAGTAGCACTAAAAGTAACGAAAAGGAGGTGATATTAGAACTCCCCGGTAGGACATTAGATGATGCAAGGATGCGGCACAAAGAAGAGGGAGAAGGAGGAGGAAGAGAAGGAGAAAGCGCTTCCTCGGGGCGGCAAGTTCCTCGACGCGCCTTTGTACCTTCTTCTCTTAAGTAGTTTGTTGTGTAACATGTACATTGCATATAGAATAAATAATATAACTATAATGGCTAACACTGAATCTAGTATTCACATCAATACACTATTCTTCTTTTAAAGCTTCAACGGACTTTGAGAATTGAGGTTCTGTTAGTAGTCGTGTCGCCTTCGCTACGTTTTTGTTGCCCGCTCGAAGAAGAATTCGGCCCAATGCGATACTTCCCCGGAGCGAGACGGTTCGGCGAGTGATTTCGCGTGATGTCACCCAGTACTACTCTGCTCGTTGGTAAGGATGAGTAAAGTTTCGCGACGAACGGTGCTCGCGGCGCCGATGTTTTCTTCTCTTTAAAAATTTTCGTGTTCACTTTTGTAGCCTCTTCAAAATCATCCATCACCACGTTCACATTCGACGACTTCATCTTCTTCATCTGATCGTTTCCTCCTAAATCGTCGTTCGCGCCACTGTTACTATTGTATCTTCTATTGTTCGATGGCAGGTTCGGATTTCTGTTTTCCTTATCTCCGTCTTCCTCGTCCTCGTACACTTCCAGTGCTGTTTTCTGTTGAGAAAGATTTTTGAAATTATTTAAATTCAAAGACGATGGCGATGTTGTCGTCGTTGATGGTTTTTGCGCGACTCTCTGCCTTTTCCTCGCGGAAGAATCCAATGCAGCAGCATTCGGAGTGGTGTTCTCTTCGATGATATGTAACGCGCTCATATTATTATTATTTTCTCCTTCTTCTTCTATCCTCTGATCTGATATGTATATAATCTAAAGCGGCCTTGGGTATGGTTTATCTGAAGTTTTTTGAATTTTTTTGGTCCTTTCTTGCGAGAGGAGGACCTTTCGCAGTCCATTTTTTTAATTTGATCTTTTGCTGACTTCCTCCTTTCGTTGTGGGTGAGAAACCAACACAAATTTCCTTATAATAAATCGCACACTATGTCCTTCGCGGTCTCTACTTCCTCGTTTGCCGGCGCCAAGGTTGCCTTGCGCAAACAACAAAATGTTCAAAAGAAGCAATCCACGATGGTTCGCGCGGCGGCCGTTTCGGGTGAAGTTCCGGTGCGTCGATATAGTTTTTTTTTTCTCACTCGATGGCCGTACCGCTTAAAAAGGAAGAGAGGAAACACGACAGAGAGACAAAATGTCGCGGAGATGAGTCTCGAAGGAGCATTCGCGAACGGTTTTGCGGTTCATAAACCAAATAGAAACGTTCATGAGTGTTGTTTCGATATGATTCCGGCGCGTTTTGATTGATGCGTTGGATCTTTTCATCTCTAAACTCTCGTTTTACGCGCGTCATTTTCGGGTATAATCATCATCACCAATCGAGAGACGACGATATAGAGGGAAGAGAGAGAGCAAAAAACAGGCCAAAAAACAAAGAGAGATATCGCGGGATCTCCTCCTCATCCGCGAGTAATCTCGGGGCAGATTAGTCTCCTCGTTTGGTCTCGCGAGATTATATTTGGATACTCGACCCAATAATAATAGATATTTGATATCCTTCCGCGTTTGGATGGATAGAGAAGGGCCGTTTTCGGTGTGCTCGTCTGTCGTCCACAGCGTTCTTGCGTGAAAATCCAGAGTCGACGTTGGCCGCTTGAAAGTTGTTATCTCTTTCTCTCTTTCTCCGACCAAAAAAAAGAAAGAGAAGAGGAAATTCCTCTGCTCTCAAAATAAATTTTCCCCGCTAAAAAAAAACCAAAACTGACGAGAACTTTTTTTTTCTAAATAAAAATATCACAGGACATGGCTAAACGTAACGTGATGAACTTGCTGCTCGTCGGTGCGCTCGGTCTTCCGGGTACGACTTTGTTGGGTGGCTTCGCGTACTACTTCGTCCCGCCGTCTGCGGGTGGTGGTGGCGCTGGCCAAGCGGCGAAGGACGCTGCCGGTAACGACATTAAGCAAGCGACTTGGTTGAAGAACCACTTGCCGGGTGATTACACTTTGTCGCAAGGTTTGAAGGGTGACGCGACGTACTTGATGGTCGATGCGGGGGGTAAAATTCGTGACTTTGGTATCAACGCCGTGTGCACGCACTTGGGTTGCGTCGTTCCGTGGAACAAGGCGGAGAACAAATTTAAATGCCCGTGCCACGGCTCCCAATACAACGCCGATGGTATGGTTATCCGTGGCCCGGCCCCGTTGTCTTTGGCTTTAGCGCACTTGACCATCGACGCCTCCGACACCGTCATCTTTTCCCCGTGGACTGAGACTGACTTCAGAACTGGCTTGGCCCCGTGGTGGAAGTAAGAAGAGAAGAGAGAGTAAAAAGTAAAAGAAGCAAAAAAAATAAACAATCCCGAACGTAAAAAGTATAAATATTTAGCAGCTTATATAAATTTGCGGAGAGAGAGGAACGACAACTTTGTATCAAGAGAGAGAAGAAGTATCATGAGGAGGAGGTGAGAGATGAGGAGGAGAGAGTGAGAGTTTTTAGAAGAGCGTTTTAATTTCTCTATAAAACATAATCTATTATATATCACAACATAATGTTTCGCATAAATAGTTCGCCGCTGGTTACAACTCGTTAAGCTTGTTATTATTGCTACCATATAAAAGGGAGAAAGGAAGGTGGAAGATAAAACCATATTATTAAGTGGGACGTTTACCTATTATTACTCATTTTTCATCGCTTTGCCCATATCGTTCGCGCTCTCACGACTTCGGTTTGTTTTTCGTCGCTCTTTTTCGTCAACGTGTGCGCCAAGAAAACGCTGTCTCCAACGTTTGAAGAGGTATCTTCGCAACACACGGCTTCGATAACGTCCCCAAAATTACACTCTGCTTTGAACTCGATGATTAACTCTTTCAACTCGTACTCGTCCCGGTACGATTGCGGCACTGACTCTAACAACCATTCCGTGTAGATGCAGTTATTTACGTGTCCATTCATATCTAAATCACTTCTTCTCGTGTAATGCACTACCGGGACCGAGCACTGCGATCCTTCAATCGCACCAATATCTCTCGCATCTGGCAACTTTTCTACTTCGTATTCGCTTCCCATGATTGGTTCGTTGCACCACTGTTGTAATTGAAAATCCTCGACGACTTGCGATGGAATTCGACCCATTCTTCGCGTTTTCAAATTAAACGCTATCCATTGACTCGTAGCCTTACCCACGCGTTTTTCTGTTTCGTTGTTGACCAAATCCCAGTCTCTTCGGGCGGCTACTCTACCTTGCGACTCAAACCACGTCTTTACGACGACTTGGTCGCCCCATTTCGGATATTCAAAGATGTCCAAATGTAATCGCGTGCAGACCCACGCCATGTCCACCTTGCGCATGTCTTCTGGCATAGACTGCGAGCGGCCCCACAAACCTTGGGCATGGTTGCACGCGCACTCCTGGGATATTCTCGCCATGGTACCCATATCTGCCAACTTATTCGGACCAACTTCATCGAAACGAATAGGAAATGTTTCTGTGAACACCCTCCCTTCCTCTGTGAATTCTCTCGCGGCCCAAGTAGGGACTTGTTCTGTTGTATTTTTTGCCTCCTCTTCTTCTTCAACCGCAGAAGCTGCTGCTGCTGCTCCCGTGGCGTTCGTTTTTCTTTTTGTCCTTTCATTTCTTCTTCTAATAACGTTTCTGTTTTTGTTGTTCGTCATCGTAAACGACGACGAAGAAGGAGAAGAAGAAGAAGAAGCCGAGCATTTTGGCGTCCGTCTGTTACTTATTGTCGCCGAGGAAGACGTTCTCGTGCAGCGCGTCAAAGGCATTGTCGAAGAAGAAGAAGAAGAAGAAGAAGAAGAGGAAAAAGTCATCGCTCTCTTCTCTCTATCTCTTTTTTACTAATTTTCTTTCTTTCTCTCTTTTGCCGCGCTCGGTGAGATAGATGATTCGAACGTTTTGCCACCTGTGGTACTGTTTTCGCGCGAACCGATCGAGTTCGAAACTGCCGCGTATCTGTCTGTCTGTGTGATGGAGAAGAGTATGTATGTAAGTGCCGGCGGGTGGGACAAGAGTTTTGTTTTTTATGATGATGGAGTGATGAACTCACAAAACAACACAACATCGAAAAAAGCGCTGACCCCATTTTTTACCACAAGAGCCAGGCCAGTCCCACAAACAAAGCAAAGGAGTGCGTGTGTGTGTTGTCCCTCTTTTTCGTTCGTTTTTCCCCCTTTTTTTTTTGAACAACGAAACGATTACACACGCAGCAAAACACACCATAATAACACAAGCATAAAATATCTTATTTAAAGAATAATGTTTACCTATCTCATACACGGCTTGTGCGAAGGGTGGACGTTTTCGAAACCGGAGATGCGGATTTTAATCGTAGGTTTAGACTCGTCCGGGAAAACCTCCATGTTGGAGAAAATGAAGGAAATGTTTAGCGATTTGCAACCGATTCCAAAAGAACACATCAAACCAACCGTCGGTTTAAACGTCGCGAAAATAGAAGACTTTCTGGGCGTCCAGTGGACGTTTTGGGATTTAGGAGGCTTGGAAAGATTGAGACCGATTTGGTTGAAGTATTATCGAGAATCGCACGGGATTTTTTTCCTCGTCGACTCCACGGACGAGACGAGAATAGACGACGCGAGAGTGGTGTGCAATCGAATGTTGGCGAACACAGATTTGCAAAACGCGCCGGTGTTGATTGTGGCGAATAAAATAGACGAGAGCGGACCGGAAGGATTGACGATGGTGAAAACGGCGTTTGAACACAGCGCTTTGAATAGTAATAGCAACGATACCACTAGTAAAGATGGAAGAACAGACGGGACAACAACGACATCGCTCGCGAAGAATGGTATCCTCGATAATACGAAGAAGAAGAAAAAGAAGAAAGAAGACGCTTCGGCGACGCCGATTGCAAAGAGAGTGATGGGTGCGAGCGCGTTTACCGGAGTAGGCATAAAAGAAGCCGTAGAGTGGATGTGTGACGCAGTGAATGGCTCAGAGCGACAACGAGAATTAGATTTTGTATGAATATCAGTTTGCCGCGCGTGGATTTCAAAAATACATAAAAGTATTACTTCTTTTGCTTCTTGAGCGCCGGACCTCCTGATTCGTTCTTCGAAAAGGAAAAGCACATGGATTTTCCTTCCACGGTCTTGGCGGATTTCTCGTTCAGTTTCCACGTTTTGCTTCCGTCCAAATCACTCCCAGTGAAGTTCTTCAAATCATCCCTGGTTTTTGCATTTACTTTCGCGCAATATCGCGCGGCACAGCCTCGACCAAACTTGGCGTCGAACGTCGAACCTTCGATGACCATGTCGAAAACTTCCACGTTGTTCTCTTCGAGCAACTTTCTGTCCAGAACCTTTGAATACTCCTGAGAGGCCACGTTGAGAATAAAACGCTGCTCTTTTTTACTATCGCTACTTTTGCTACTACTCGTTCGTTCTTGCTCGTCCAAATCTCTAATCAAGCTCTCGGTCATTTCTTTCGACCAAAACGCAGCTAACCCGCCTTTCGTATCTTTGGTTGCTTTCAACCCTTTCGTCTTCATCTCCAGCCTGTATTGTTTTATCAAATCTAACGGTTTCAATAAACCGTACAAAGGATCGACGATCCGCAAATGAGTCTGTAAATAATTCAGCTCTTTCTCGTTCAACGAAGAGCACGATAATCCTTTGTAAGCTGGGCCATCAAAAGCGAACCCGCACGGGTATTCCGTTTGCTTTTCCCAAACTTTGTATCTCTCCAAATTCGTGTTGGCAATCGCAGTCGAGACTTCCAAAGTAGACGCGAGTTGATTGGCACTCATTTTCCTCAGTTCGCTCAATAAAATCTCCATCGTTTTCTGCATGGATGGCGTGGATGTTTTCAAACTCTTCGCGAGCGATTTCGGGACGGTTAGCGTCTTCGCAGGGGAGAGGATGATTAACATGATGATGATGATGATGATTCAGGACGACGATGAGAAGAAGATGTGTCGTTAAATTGTTTCTTTTTCCCTTTTTTCCAAGCAAACAAAAATCGTCGTCAAAGTTTAAAGTAAAAGTAACGCCAATTTTTTTTTCGGAATCATAAGAATACGATGAGTGATGTTGATCAACAAAGGGATGAAGTCACGTTCAAGAAACTCTTCCCTGGATTACAGAGAAGTGGTACACAAATCAGAGCTCCGGAGAGACCAAATCTGAGAGTGATTTGTTTCGCCAACGCGGGAAATGCAGAGGACTTGTTCACGAACGAAGGCTTGGGGGAGCGACGAATCGTGTCTCCTCTGTTGACGTTTTGTAAGAACTACAAAGCGGAGTTGTTGTCGGTGCAATTACCGGGAAGAGGATCCAGACGTAACGAACCGTGGGACGAGCCGAAAATACAAACGGTTATTCGAGAAATTGCACCAACGCTCGCGAACGAATTGCGAGACGTGCCGTACGTCGTCGTCGGTCATTCCGTGGGATGCTGGCTTGCGGTACAACTCGTGGACGTTTTGAAAAGCACATACGGCGTCAATGAGCCGCTACATTTTTTCCTTTCAAACTTCCCAGCGCCGACGATTGAGGACAAAGATAAGCCTTGGCGCAAAAATAAGCACTTATCCGAACGAGAGTTTCAAGACGAATGTCGTCGATGGGACGTTCAAGAAGTGGTGTTCACTGGCATCTGGAAGATTTACCATCCGCTCATGCGCGCGGATTTTTGTCTCTTTGATAGCTACGAGAACGATTTGAAGGAGAAGACGTTCACCTCAGACGTGACTGCGTTTCATGGCACGAACGACAGAATGATCTCAAAAAGTATGGTCGAAAAATGGGAAACGATGACAACCGGCGCGTTTGCGCTCGAAATTGTACAAGGCGGTAACCATTTATTCCCTCTCGAAAAGGAAAGCAAAATCGATTGGTTGAAACGCATCGTTGCAGTCATAGAAGCAAAAGTCATGCCAAGCATCGTCGCTTAAAGAAGGTGAAGACGATTGTTTACTATGAACTACCGTAACGAGTGCAATTACGAGCATTATTTCTTATATATCTACTATCACGTACACCTCCGTTGAACCATCCTCTGCGACGTGAATTTGCATTTCCGAATACGTAATCGCCTTGACTTCCGTGCCTTGTTCGTGCACGCCATCGACGAACAAATCTCCCGCGACAATACCTTCAATCGTCCATCGATTTACTTCTTCTCCTAGATTTCCTTCATTTTCTCGAAACTCGTTGATTTGGATTTTCGTGCACACTAAACTCTCCGTGTGGAACACGAACAACAACTCGTCCAAGAATGCGAATAAGAGCGACTTCAAGTCGTGCGCGGAGCACTCAAATTTTCTATACACTTTCGGCGTTTCCGATATATTATGAAGTGGCGTCATGTAGTCGAACATTCCCAGAGCTGACCAAGCGAACGCGGTGGTGATGGAGTCGCCCCAGCTTTTGATTTGAATATCCGCCGTGTGGTCTTTGTATTCGTATTGATTTTTAGTTGCAGCGGTGGTGTCGTAGCTCACGATTGGTTCTGTCGAAAGAAAACACGCTGTTGTTGTTGTTGCTGTTGTTGTTGCATTCGCGCCCGTTCTCGTCCTCTTATCCCCATCATTAGCATCCCCATCATATTCGCCCTCGTTGGTGGTGTTCATCATCATCACCACCACATTCTTCTTCATGGGTTTGTCGTTTGTTTTCGCTCTCTTCTTCTCGTTTTCTTCGTCTTCATCGTCGTCGTTCTCGACATTCTCAACATTCTTATTCTTCTTCTTTCTCCTTCTCGGTCCTCTCTGTGGTAACGCCTCGTACTCTAGTTTCTTTTCCATTTTCTTGTTGTTGTTGTTGTTATTATTTGTCTGTTAACGAAAGGGCGCGCGCATAAGATTTTAAGTACAACAGAGCAGTGTGTGTGCTTTTTTTCTTTGGCGGCGAAACAGTTCGTTAAATGTCACACACACAACCGATTTGACGCGGGGGACAAAAAGACGAAAAATGACGGACCACAAGACATATAAGAAAAAAACAGGCGAAACGTCGTCACACCGCTCATTCAGTACGCAGTTGTTGCTGTAATCAATTCTTGTGATAACAGAAATATAATACCCATAAACAAACAGTACTAAACATCTCTCCACATACAACAACAACAACAATAACAACAACGATGACTTCAACGAAATCAGACTTCTCCGGTGAAGACGATGAAGCCAACGGCGAAAACGTCCGACCGATCGGGAACCGATTGTCGGAGTTAAGAGACGAGCTCGACTCTTTGAAAGAGTTGCTCGACGAGGAAACCAAAATGAGATTAGACGCGGAAGAGATGGTGGAGCAGTTACAAATGGAGTTACAAAAGACAGAGGAAGAGCTCAAAGAAACCATAGAAGCGGAGGAGAAGACGTATAAGAAAGCGGTGGAGTTTAAAGAAAAAGTACAAGAGATGGACGCTTTGAGAAAAGAGTTGGACGAAGCCAATGAGAAACTGAAAAGGAACGAAACAAGAATCGAATTGCTTCTGAAACAAATACAAGAGACGGAAAAAAGAGACATGAAGAAAATGTTAGAAAAGGAACAACACGTGGAAGAGTTCAAAGCGGACATTAACAAAGTGCACGAAGAAGACTTGCTCGAACTGAAAGAGAAATATTTGAGCGAGTTGAATAGAATCGAAACCGAACGCGAGGAAACGTTCGAGTTGATGAAACAAACGTTAACGGAAGAAATCGAAACGACGACGGAGAAATTGACGGAGGAAATCGAGTTTTATAGAGATCGCGCGAATCGAATGAAGTTAGAACACGAATTTGAAATCGAACAGTTGAAAGAGATGCACGCCATCGAGTCGTACGAGGCGGCGGAGAAAAATTACACGAGAGAACGCGAGGTGATATTCTTAGTGGAGAAGACATCCGAACGGTACGAGGAAACTTTAGATCACGTGCGCGAGTTGCGCAGACTGATTGACAAGGCTGCGGTGCATTACCCTGGCGTAGAAACGATTTTTGAAAACGAGTTCCACACGTTTCGACCGGATACTTCCGGGAAATTGGAAACGGCGACAGTCGCCTTGAAATTATCGGCGACGCCGCCGGTGAAACCAACGGTAGTAGCCAGTAAAAACGGGACGAGTCCGAGAGCTGCAACAGTAGCAACGACACCGACGAAGGTGACTCCTTCGTCCACTACTCCACCCACTGCAGTCGCAGAAGAAGAACCTGCGTCGAGCGTATCGTTCTTCGATTTCCCATCTTTTAGCTTACCCAGATTCTTGTTTTAATAAGAATGCGATATACGACGCCATAATAGTATTTTTGCTTCGAGCACGAAAAAAGACAAAACAAACAGAATCTTTGCCACGGTGGATCCACAAAAAGCAAAGATATTAATCACTTTTAAGACGCCAAAAAACGAACCCAAAATCTCTCTCTCTCTCTGTAACTCTCTCACACACAGAGAGTACCGATCGGTTCGCGCGTTGGAAGACGATGATGTCTTCTACATCCTTCTCGTCGTCGTCGTCGTCGTCGTTAACTTTTTCATCTGCGATCGATGGGAAATGGAATGGAAGAAAAAATAGAGGCGCGAATTTTGCGAGGCATCCTCTTCAAAGAAGTTTGAACCGAAGAAGCGTAAACGGAGCTTTGTCATCATCATCATCATCATCATCATCATCATCATCGTTCGCGATTGAGAAGACGTCTGTCTCTCCAAACGAAGAAGGGAAGCGTTTAAGAGGTGGAGAGACGCGTGAAATTCAATCCTCGATGGTTGCGCGCGAGTTCGAGAAGGAGTTGACCGTGAGAAACAACACCAACACGAAAAATAAAATTACACTCGTCAGCGGGTATTCGAGAAGCATCGAAAACTTGACCCGAGAAATAAACGACACGAACAGAGGAGATGAGATTCAACTTAGCGTTTACGTGTTTGAGCACGGTAAATCGACCGAAAAAGTAATTGAAAGTTTATCGAACGCGTGTAATCGAGGCGTATCGGTTCGCGTAAAAGTTGACGGTTCCGCTGTGTCAAAGTTCACAAGGTGGTGCGAACAGTCGACGACTTTGGTCGAAAAGTTGCGAGAGTTGGAAAAAGAGCGGAACAACGCGAACGAGTTTGAGCTTTTAGAGAGCACGATTCCAACGCACGCGAAGTTCGCGACGTTTAAACGAAAGAATAATGGCGAGTACACCGGAATGTTAGGTGGCATTAACATCGGAGATCGATTTGAGAATTGGCGCGATTTCACGGTTCTCGTCCAAGGCCAAACGCTCGTCGAAGCGTTGGAAAGTTCAGTATCCTCTGGTGCTTCTTTTACTCCTTCTTTGTCGTCGTTGTCGACGTCAAAGTTGTTTGAGAAGTTGCGGTGGCCAAATGGAAAGAAAGATGCAAAGAATAAAGAGGAAATTCACACCAAGTTTGTCTCGAACAATCCAACCGGTTTTTGTCCTTTAGCTTGGGCGTTTCCACGAATAAAAAATTTCCCGGGCACGTTTGGCGTCAAGAAGTCGTTCGAGGAGATTTTGAACGATAGACAGTTTGACGATTACACGTTTTCTATAGCGTACTTAGATTCCTCCGGAGTTGCGATGATTCGCAAAATCATCGACCGAAACGCGAACGTGACAATCTTAATGCCGTGTTTCCCGAACGTGTATCACGATGCGAACAGAAAAGCGTTGGCAAAATTGAAAAAAGTTCACGAGTTGATTAAATTGAGATCGAAAACGTCCGCGCCTCGACTGTCGATCAAATTGTTACCGGAAATGTTACACGCCAAAGCTTTCGTGGCGAAAAGTACGACGAATCCAGACGTAGGCATCGCTTCTTTAGGGAGTTGCAACATGCGACAGCGCTCGTTTGGTCAATTTCAAGAGCTCAACATCATCACGCGAGACGAAAAATTTCGAGAGGATTTAGAAAACGAGCTCTCAAGTATTGCCTTTGCTTCCTTCGATGCGGATGACGAAGATTTCTTGTACGCCGAGCCGAAAGCGTCGGTAGAAGAATTTTTAGGCTAGTTTAGATTAGAATATGTATTGATATTAGATGTACCATGGTAATGTATCTTCTGTAAAACTACGAGTACTCTTTTTCATTCCCGAGGGGGGGGTCGCTTGCGTTCGCCTATTTTTTTACACGGATTGCCTGCCCATACCTCATACTCTGGAATATTCTTCGTAACAACTGATGCAATGCCGACGACGGAGTGTGCGCCTATAGTCACACCATCGACGATTGAAACGTTTGCGCCTATCCACACGTCCTCTCCAATGTGTACTCCTTCTGATTTTACTTTCTGTGAGCGAATGAGTGTTTCTGACTCGTCGAAGTTGTGGTTAAAGGCGAAAATAGAAGTGGACGGGCCTATCCTCGAATCGCTCCCTATCACGATGGGTCCTTCCATGTGACAGTGCTGATTGATCGAAACGTTTTCCCCTACTTCTATGGGCCCGTGTAAATATACGTTCGCTGCTATGCGACAGTTATTATGAAACACAATTTTTCTTCCTCTCTCGGCAAAGACGTTCACATTCACGTCGGCCATAAACGTGTCGTCTCCTATAAACTCTACGGTCTCCAATTCCATAAGCTTTTCCTGCACATCTTTCTGCCACGTTTTGGCGAACGTTTTATGCTTCTCGATGTCGTACAACCACGGCATGTGATTCAATCGTTTCCTTTTCTGTTCATCGTATTTACTCTTTTCATCATCATCATCACTGCTTTTTGTTTCAACTACTTTTTCCGTTCTAATTTTGCTGCTTCGTTTTCTCGACGACGAAAACAAAGCGCGAGAACGAAAGAGCGAAGGACGGAACGGATGTTTGCGCAAAAATAACGCGGGGAGGTGTGCGTGTGATTGCTTCGTTGCGTGTAGTCGTTCTATCATCATCTTAGCGATTTTGAGACTAATGAACTTCTTAATTAAAAAGTGTGGTGTGTCCTTGAACACTCCTGTTGAATTTTCATGTGAGTCCTCAACCCCAAAATCAAAATTCTTTCCTCACTCTTCTGTCATCACACCCAAAGCCCATCTTCATCCTCGCAGGCGTTTAGTTAGTTATTAATATAATAAAAGATGCCATCGACGATGCCATCATCGTCGAGTGATGATGACGAAAAAAGATCGTACTCTTACGACGACGAACGATACGAGGGAAAGAAGACGACGAAAGATAAAAAGGGAGGAGGATACACTTTAAACGAAGGTTTCAAAGCCGATGAGGAAGGGAAAAACAACAACAACAAGTCCCCGTCGTCGTCGTCGGGAAAGAAGAAGAAGAAGAAAACGTCCATCAAAGAAACAGTGTGCGTTTTCGTAGCGTGTTTATTCTTTTGCTCTCTCTGTCTCGCCGTCCAGTCGCGCTCGAAGTGTCTTCCCATCGTCTTTCTTCATCGTCAGACAGCAGCGGTAGACACGCGCATTGTTCAATTCGCTTTTCTCAATTCTTCCCGAAAAAACAAACAAACAAACGGACCAAAAAATGAAAACCTTCGTTCACGCGGTGTTTGTTCTCGGTGTTTACATGGCTTAGCTCACCATTCGACTCACATTGTCTTCTTCTTTACACACACTTGTATATATATGCATACATATAATAACAACAGGTCGAACAAACTCAACTTTGACCGATCTCTCGGCTTTTTACAAGCCTCGAATCCGGTTCGGAAAATGTGCAGTAAAGTTGCAAACTCGATATACTTTTCGCGCGCGATTTTATTCGTCGTGATTTTGAACGGCGTCATTGTCGCGTTGGATACTCCAGATAGAGGGGTGGAAATGTACGGAACGAAGCCACACATTCCAAAAGATGTCACGTTTTGGTTAGGAAACGCGTTCTTAATTTTGTTCGGCTTGGAAGCTATCGTTAAAATAGTAGCGTACGGATTCTTACTCAACGGACCAGACTCGTACATGTGGTCGTATTGGAACGTGTTTGATTTGTTCATCGTCATCACCGGTATCTTGGACGTCATTTTAGACGGAGGCGGATGGATCACGACGTTGAGATTAATGAAATGTTTCCAACCGCTCAAAGCGCTGAGTAAGTATAAAGCGGGAAGAATGGTGATGGATACCGCAGAAAAAGCCTTACCGATGATGATAGACGTAGTACTCTTGCTTCTGTGGTTCGTCATTTTAGCCACGGTTATGGGCGTCATGCTTTTTGGCACGATTATGAGCGGACGCAACTATGAAGACGTTGCAAATTTAGGAGGTGACCCGAAAGAAAGATGTTCATTTCTCGTGTCAAATTACGGAACTGTAGACGGTGTGAGCATATCGCGCTATGATGATGGCGGTGTACCCGGCGACGAGGAGTTATGTTTGAACAGTGATGTCGACACGCTTGTAAAAAACGCAACTCTGCTCGATGGTGTCGAATCAAACGTGTATTGCTGCGATTCTGGCGTTTCACCGTTTGATAATTACTTGAATTTCGACAATTTTGTTCGCGGGATGTTTATCGTTCTTCACGTGATTACAATTGACGGTTGGAACGAACTCGCGTGGCCAGTCGCGAACACGGCGGGGTACGTTCCCGCCATGTCGTACTTTTGCGCCGTCGCCGTTCTAGGTGGGTTCTTCGTGTTTCAGTTATTTACCGCGGTCATTTGCGCTACGTTGGGTGAAGTCGAAGAAGACGATGATCCGGAAGCGCACGAGAAAGAGATGGAAGAGTTGCGAGAGGCGCACGAGAAATCTCTGGAGCCGGAGGAAGCGTACCCTCAACTAGAACACGCGTGCGCGCACAAACCGAGGCAGATGATTTTAGATATAACCAATCATCCAATCTTCCAAAACTTTATCACGTTTACAATTCTCGTGAATACGGGATTGATGTGCGCTAATCACGTGGATAAAACCGATTCGTTCAAGGATGTCGAATTGATCATAGACCTCACGTGTTCGGGCATCTTTCTCTTTGAATTCGTACTCAAACACATTGGATTAGGAGTAGTGCGATACTGGAAGAATAACTGGAACAAATTGGATGGGTTTGTAGTGCTCGTGAGCATCATCGATTTCTCGTTGACCTACGGGATGTCAAATTCAGGAGGCGATGAAGAAGGCGGTACACCAGTCGATTTATCTTTTCTCAGAGTATTCCGCGTGTTTCGTATTTTAAGAACGCTCAAAATCGTGCGAAATAACGCGGAGTTTTCGAAAATCGCAAACTCTGCGATTTCGGCGACGCAAAACATGTGGGTGTTTTTACTCGTGTGGCTCATGTTCTTGGCAATTTTCGCGATTCTCGGAGTGCAACTGTTCGCGGCGAGAGAAAGTTTCGACGAAGAGCGCTTGAGTTTTAAAAACTTTGGATCAGCTTTGATAACCTTATTTGCAGTGTCAACTGGTGAGAATACATTTGAAGTAGCTTGGAGCTCTATGAAAGTAACGAATATCGCCGCCGGCATTTATATGATAATCTGGTGTTTCATCACCACCGCCGTCTTGGCGTTGATTCTCGGTATTCTGATTGACGCGATCGCGTCGGAGACGTTTTTAATAGAAGAAGGTGAATTTCATAAGGAAGGCGCGACAAGTGTCATCGAAGAAATTCGAAAGCGCGCGACTTCCCAGTCCACGCTCGGGAAGACGTTTGTCGAAGAAGAAAATTCCACCGACGACGATGAAAACGGGGAGCATTATTACGCTGCGAAGAGAAGAGCCAAGGCGAAGAAAGAAAAATTGTCAGCTGCAGATTTTGGTCGAGACGATAACGAATCAAGAGTACAGCGTTCGGTCCAAGAAGTTGCCGTTGTCCGACAATGGCTCGTCTCGATCGGATTCGCGCACCATACCGAGGAGAGTCTGAAAATCCAAGAGTCTTTGAGACCAGGTCACGTGGTGCGCGCCCGAAAACGATTAACGTGTTATCGCGAAAGAAGAGTAAAGCAAGCGAAGGAAGAACTGAAAATCGCACGTGAGCACTTGAGCGAAAAACTCGAAAATGTAAGAACGATACCGCGCGCTATGTCCTTGCGTTGTAACGTGATGGATTCAGACGATATTTGGGTTAAGTTTGATCAGGAAAAGATGAATCCGGATTTTGTAAAACCAATCTTTATGCGCGCGCCGGAAAGATTGATGAGCCCGCAAATGCGCGATGTTTGCGAAGATAACTGTCAACAAATACGTAAATATCTTGCAATTGATCCAGTCACGGGCTGGGGTTCTTTTCGATGGAGATGCCTGAAAATTGCTACGAATTTCTGGTTTGATACGCTCATTTTACTCTTGATTATTGCCTCTTCGGCGATGATGGCGACGAACACGCAAAGATGGCCTGTTGCAGGCACGAAAGTTGACGACGCTTACAACTTGATTGATATCATTTTTAACGCTGTTTTCACCTTGGAAATGGTGTTAAAAATGATTGGATATGGCATCTGGAAAGGTCCCGGTGCGTATTTAAAGACAGGCTTCAACCGCCTCGATTGCTTCGTCGTGCTTTCATCTTTAGTCACGTACGCGGTCGGAGACGCGATTCCTGTCAAAACGCTTCGTATTTTGCGCGTATTGAGACCGTTGAGAACGATTCAAAGGCTCCCGGGTTTGAAATTGGTCATCACCGTGATCCTGCAATCTCTTCCTGCCATTAAATACGTGTGCATAATTGGCTTTGGGATGATGATTGTTTTAGGCATCACAGGTATGGAACTATTTCTCGGACAAATGGCTTCGTGCACGTTAGCTGGCGGCGAGGATACACGCGACCCGCTCACTGATAAGAGTAACTTAGACAAAGCAGCGTGTCTCGAACAGGGTGGCGTGTGGCGAGCTAACCGCTTCAATTTCGATAACATCGGCCAAGCTATTATCACAATATTCATCATTTCCACCGGCGATAATTGGCAAGATATCATGTACGTAGCCATGGATTCTACCGGTGACGATACGGCACCAGAACGAGACGCGAACAAAGGTGCCGCTGCATTTTTCGTCTTTTCAATCCTATTTGCCATGATGTTGTGGGCGAACCTTTTTGTGAGTGCATTAGTTGATAATTTTACAACCTTGGCGAGCGCCGGCGTCACTTTAACGACAGAGAAGCAGCGAGAGTGGCAACAAGCCATGTTGATTGCAAATCGCGTGCACACGAATCGCTGGCGAAAAATTGTTCCGAAGAACCCGATGCGCAAGAAAGTTCACTCAATTATCGCAACGGATTGGTTCGATAAACTTTCAATCACCATGATCGTGCTGAATATGTTTGTGTTGATTGCATATCGCGCGAACGGAAGCCAAGCTGAGATGGATTTCCAATCGTACGCTGGGTATATATTTACTGTTTGGTATTGCTTGGAATCTCTTTTTCTCATCACTGGTATGGGATGGTACTTGTATTGGGAGTCCATGTGGAATAAGATTGACTTTGTCGTCGCGTGGAGCGGTGGGCTTGGCGCTATTTTACCGGGTATTCTCCCGTCAAATATTATTCGAATGGTTCGTTTCTTCAGGCTTTTGAAAGTAATACAGGTTTTCAAAGGTTTGAGAACGCTTGTGCTTACCGCAGTCTCTGCCATACCCGGAGTGATTAACGTCTCCGCGTTATCGTTGTTGGTAATTTTCATATTCTCGTGCCTTGGCGTATCTTTGTTTGGAAACGATACCGGTCCTTTCGATGTTACCAAATTAAAATCCATTGGCGAGTACTCGAATTTTAGCAACTTTCAGCGCGCGTTTACGGCGCTCTTCATCGCGTTTTCAGGGAATTGGCAAGGTTTCTTTAACGACTTGTACGTGAAGGAAGACTGCTTCTCGGTTGATGCACCGGAGCCGGGTTCTGAGCCAAAATGTTCCCCGGATATTGCCAGTGCGTTCTTCTTCGTGATCTACGTCGTTCTATCGATATTCCTTTTTGGAAACTTATTCGTGGCTATTCTACTAGAGCGTTTTACGTTTGCTCACGGCGAGGAAATTGATGAAGATGATGACGACGATGACGACAACGAAGGCGAAGGAGACGGGAAAAGAGATGAAAACGACGAACCGTACGAAGGAGGGCCAATTCAAGTCATCATAGCTTCGGTGCGCTTAAGGCAAATTTTACGAATGTTTTCTCAAAAGATAAAATCAAAACAAGAGCTCTATGTTAAAGGCCTGAAAGAAGGTGGCTCGAGCTTCTTGCAACAACGATCTATGAACCAGGAGGAGAACAACAACACGTCGTCGACGTTGGGAAATCTTGCTTCTTCGGTGCCTTCATCCACAGATAACAGCAAAACGAAGGTTTATGTTTCGTCGCCATCTTTTTCTCGACAGTTCACGTTGCGCGAAAGTGCGGAAACGCCAAAAGCGAACGAAAGCTACGCGGAATGGAAGGCGCGAAAGAAGAAAGCAGCGGCTTCATAACTCATTATTATTAGTCCCAACTCCATTTAATTTATTTTTTTACTATATGCGCTTATATTACTAAAATCGAAAAGTTTCTAGCTACTAATTCGTTTGCTGTTGTTGTATTTGTTGTTGTTGTTGTTGAAAGCGCAATTGTATTTGTTGTTGTTGCTGCGCAGCAGCGGCAGCTTTTGATGCGAGCGCAAATGCCGTTTCGGCTTTGCGCACATCGGCCATCTTTTGCCGCTCTTCTTGAGCTATTTTACGGAGCTCGCTCGATTTAGCATCGAGAACAATTCGAGTTTCCTCGGATACGAGACGTTCTATTAAGAACTCTTCGGCTTTGGATAAAACGTTCGCCGACGTTGAATCTTCGTCTGAGTGTCTTTGCAACCGCGCGCAACTTTGTTCGCACACTTCGAGTCCTTTGTGTAGTGTTCGAAGCTCTTTAAGCAAACCGTCATCAACTCTATTCATACGAAACGCAAACCCGCTACGTAAAACGTTCTCTTCCGTGAGCAAAGCGTAAGCTTCATTCAGTCGTCTTCTCTTTACTTTCTGTTCGTTTTCGTTGTTCTCACTCGCTTTCCTCTCCTCTCCTTCTTCCTTTTTGTCTTCCTCTTTTTCTTTTTCTTCCTCTTCTTTTGTGCTGAATCCTTCCTTCTCGGCTATTAACATCCCGACAGCCTCGCGCAACAGTCGCAACTTCTTCCTCCTCGCGTTCTTGTTTTTATTGTCTTCGTCGTCGTCGACCATCAAAGAAGAAGGAAAAGAAGGGTCAAACTGAAACAAACCTCTCTGGTCGGCGAACGCGTGAAACGGCATCAACGTTTCGAGCACGTCCTTGGCCGTCCGAAAGAAATCGTCTTTCTTTTTATCTCCTTTTCCTCCTTCTTTGCTTTTAAACTTTAAACGCACAGAGATGGCTTTCTTGGCGTCTATCAGAGCTCTTTCCGAGGCAATAGACGCCGCTTTATTCACGTCCTGTGGGTTTGGAATCATCTTTCTTTGAGGGAGTTGTTGTTGTTGTTGTTGTTGTTGTTGGGGTACAGGAGGAGCGAGTGGAGGCGTTGCATTTGCAACTTCTACTGCGGGAGCCGGTGCCGCAGGAGGAGGAGGGTCCACCTGCATCATCGCTTGGTCTTTCTCCTCGGGTTCTTTCTTGACCTCGTGTTCCTGCTTTTCCTCGCCGCCGTTGGCGACAGTCATCGTCATCTTCTTTGTTTTGTCGAGAATTGAATAAATGAGTTTTCGAGGAAAAATCAAATTCTTTCGGCACAAATTTTTAAGAAGAGAATATAACACGCTCGAGCGCACACAACAACAACAACAACAACAACATATCATGACGTTCTTTTCATCGGCGTCGTCAAACCTATCCTCATCGTTTGTATCTTCTTCTTCTTCTTCTTCTTCTTATTGTCATTCTTTTCGCGCGAGCGAACAACAGAAACACGCACTAAAGGTGATTATCCAAAACTGTCGACGACGACAACAATGTCGTCCTAGTCGTTTAAGCAGTGCTCAGAGAGGTAGCGGTAACAGTAGCATCGATGAAGGAGTGAAGAGAGCGGAAGAGGAGGAAGAAGAGGAACAAGAAGGTGAAGTGAAAGGCACGGAAGAGCTCTTGATGTCTGATTCGTTCGATGAGGCCGATTTGCAAGCGCGGGAAAGGAGGCAGATGCCGAAAACACCCGAAGAAATGAAAGCGAGTCTCACGATGATGATGGAAACAAAAACTGAAAAAGAGCACGAGGATAAAAAAACAACAAGCCCAGAGAGCGGGAGCGGCGGCGGAGGGTTGAAGAAAAATCTCGCCTTGGTAACGGACGAAAACGAATTGAACATGCTTTTGCGGGTGTTACCATCGAGAATTCGCGAGCAATTGCATAAACACGAAAGAAAACTTGAACTCATCGAAGTCGTCATGGACGTCGGGAGAGTGCCCTTGGCGAGATTCCCGGAAGGCCCTGCGGAGCCGTTGTATTCGAAAGAGAGCCTGAAGAAATTCGATGTCTGGGACGCAGAAAGCTCGAAAATTACCATGGATGACATCGACGAAGCCGTGCGCTTACTCGGTGAAGTTGGCGGAGATAACCGAGCGGGAATTGATGGTACTTTACACCGTATCTCGATGATTAGAAACAGAAGAGGAACCGTGATTGGTTTGACGTGTCGAGTTGGACGAGCGGTCAAAGGCGCGGCTGAATTATGTAAAGACTTAGTGAGCTCAGAAGAATCGAGCTCGGTACTATTACTAGGTCCACCCGGTGTGGGCAAAACGACGGCTATTCGCGAAATGTCCAGGTTGTTATCGGCGGATTTTAATCAAAGAGTTGTCATCGTGGACACTTCGAATGAAATCGGCGGCGACGGCGACGTGGCGCATCCTGGCGTAGGAAACTCCAGGCGCATGCAAGTAGCGGATCCGAAACTCCAACACGCAGTGTTAATAGAAGCAGTGGAGAACCACACGCCGCAAGTCGTTATTGTTGACGAGATTGGTACGGAGGAGGAAGCAATGGCTGCGCGAACTATATCAGAACGAGGGGTGAAAATGATTGCCACCGCGCACGGTCACACGTTAGAAAATGTCTTGAAGAACCCATCTCTTTGTGATTTAGTTGGCGGGGTCCAATCCGTCACGCTTGGCGACGACGAAGCGCGAAGAAGACGCGGGCAGAAAACAATTTTGGAGCGAGAAGGTCCGCCAACCTTCAGCATTGCCGTAGAGATGCTCGACATCGGACTCTGGAGGGTGCATACGGACGTGGCGTCGTCCGTAGATGCACTTTTAGCCGGGCAAGCTCCGTTTACCGAATTGCGAGCGCTTCGAGAGGACGGTATAGTCGTACAAGTTCCCGAGTTTCGCGAAAACTCTCGATCGTATGCATCAAATAGCGGGCCAGGAGCATCTGCTCCCAAATTTGGTGTCGGCGCGATGCAATATCGATCCCGTCCGGGTTCGGCGTCAACTTCCACTTCTTCGTCGTACGGTAATCGATCCTCTCTTGCGACCGAAGCGGCTGTCACGAAACAATTTAACACGCCCCCGAATGTTAGTGAAGCGTACGGGTCGTCTGGGTACTTGGGTGCAGATGAAAGAGACTCTGGATTGCGACGGAAAGCGCCTCGGCCGTCGGCACCTCCACCGTTGACTTCAGCTGGATATGTGGCGCAAGAAATCGCCAACGCAGCACTTCTTCGAGAACGTAAATCATCCGCATCAGAGGCAGCAGATGTTATGATGAATCGACGTCTCAGTGGGGATCGTTCCGTAAAAGAAAGTATGGAAAACAACGATGAAGATGAGGACGACGAGGATGACGAAGACGACGACGACGACGACTATTCAAACGGAAACAGCGACGAAGAGGCGGTTCTGTGCGTCTTTCCGTTTGAATTGAACGAAAGTGAAGTTAGAAAGGTTTTCTTAGAGCTCGGATTCGAAACTTTAATTCATCTGGTGAGTCGTTTGGAGGATGCAGATGCAATTTTGGGCGTAAAAACTCGCGTAAAGAGTGCGAAGTGGTTACGGCACGCGGCAAGATCGAGAGGTATTCCAATTTATGCCATGAAAACGGAACGCCCGGTGAGTTTAATTAAGGCTGCGCGTGCGATGCTAGGCGAATCAGATATCAGCGCATCAGAGGACGATGCGCATTAACGTTTTGAATCGTTTTTAGTAGATTTATCATTACCATGCCCGTAGTAGTTAGTAATCTGTAGTGTTGTACCCTTTGCCTTTTTGAAAAACAAAATATTTTCATTTTCTATAGACATAAGTTTGTGTAATCTCCACAGCAATCTCCCGTAGATACACACATTGAATCACAGCAGCACACATTTGATTCATCTGTGTAATCACACAAACCGCAGATGTTTGGAAGCTGTACTTGGCAACTACCGATGTGCGTGTTCTGTGGCGGCGACGGAGGCGAAGAAGAAAACGTAAGTGGTGGCGGTGGTATTGTTGTTGTAGGAGCGGATGACGGAGGCGATTCAGGTGGCGGAGGACTCTTTAAATCGACAGAAGTTGACGGTGGTGGCGGTCTCGTTTGATATAGCCAACTGAATTCGGTGACGCGCCGCGGAGCTGGAGGTGGCCTGGGAGGAGGCGGAGGCGGAGACGGAGAGCTCACATCTGGAAAATAGTCGCCGTCAAAGTCTTCGTTCGCTTCGCTCTGCTTAACTTCGTACAATAACAGTTGAGAACTGTGATAACGTTCGATTGGATGTAAGACGCGATCGATAAGAATCAACTTCGCCCCGTTGTGCGATTGCGCGACGTTCGATTTGATTATTAGAGCCGCGCGTTCTGTTTCACCAGACGCAAAGTTTCGGTTCGTCGTAAAGGCACTGCTTCGTTGCACAACGTTATTAACTCGCTCTTCCCTCGATAAAAAGTATTGTATTGAACAAAAATAGGAAAAGTCACCGCAACAATCACCATTTTGAACGCACGCTTCGTCGCAACAACACGTTTTCAGTTCAATGTTATCGCAAGTACCACACCTGTTTAAGCAGGTGGAAGACGTCGTGTCCATATTTTCCATAGTTGATGCTGACGAAGAAGATGCGTTCGTGCTAACGGCTTCGTTTTCCTCATTATAAGGAACAATATCGATTGGTCGCAGCATAGCGCGCGCAGATAATGTCGTATCTTTGCAGTACTTTGAATATAACGCATTTGTTGTCGAAACGCTGTGAAATGAAAACGACTCGCAGACGCTTTTATCGATTGGCGAGACTGATCGAAATAAAGGAGCTTGTCTCCGGACTGCTAAAGCGTGTGCGCCTGGATGTGGATATGTATTGATTTCTCCATTTTGCGAAAGCAATATTTCGAGCGCTTCCATTTCACCAAGTTCGGAGATTAACTTCACTTCATTCATTAGCATTGAGAGATCAATCGAGGACGAATACAAATGCGCTCGGGCGACATTTCTTAATGTCGCTTGCGTAGCCGAAAATGAATGCTCATCGTACTCCGAGCTATTACGTCCGTTTCGTTCTCTCAGGGTAGATCGGAGAAATAAAAATGCTGCGTCGATGGGCGCAAACACCGTGATTGGTTTCTGTAACGCTTGTAGTCTCAAGACTTCACCGCTTGATTCGAGAATACGAGAAAACTTCCGCAAGTTTCTGTTTGTGGTTATTTTTGTCGCGATAGAGTTTACGCATCGGTACGCGTTGGGAAGTAGCATAGATTGACACCATTTATAGGCATCGTAAAAGCAAGCGTGTTGAATGAGGTATGCAGTTTTGTTCGACTCCCTGAATTTATCTTCGTCGAGCATTATAAATCCACATTTTCCAAACTGCTCCCCGTTTTTTACCGCAGAGCTTCCCAAAGCAATATCGCCCGAGACAACGCGTCTCAAATTCTGTAATCCATCGAGTGAACGTAAATTTTTCGTCGCGTTTAAGTCCAATCTACCCTCTACGACTTGCAAAGACATGAAGTTGGATATACGCCTTATGCTTTCGCTCGATATTACGAAGTCTTTCCCGACGTGCCAAAGGTTTCTGAAACATCCAATCTCAAGAACTTCTAAACTTTTCGAAGCGCTGATTATGAACGACCCACCAACAGATTCAAGGGACGGAAACGCTGTCGATTCAACTCTTTGATGCACTCCTGAGACGTGGAGTTCGAAGTTTTGACCAACTTTTTCAAGATTCGCCGCCGCGTTTCGCATGCTTCTCCTCAGGGAGAACGTCGAGGAAGATGACGTATCAATATAGACGAACGATCCGCGAATGATTCGCAAGTTTGGTAAGAAATCGTCTCGCGATGATAATACATCGCTGTTCGTAATCGTCAAGTTTCCTTTGACGTACATCAAAGAAGAAAGGATATCGCCTGTATTTTCGTAGTTATCGAATACGGTCAAGCTCCCAACACTCCTAAGTTTGTGAAAAATAGAACTTCGTTCACTCGAATCAAACGTGCCAGTCAGCGAAAGTTTCCCACTGATGTGCGTAACGTTACTCGCAATCGCGTCTCTGTTATCCGTACTTTCAGTTTCATTCATATAATCATTAGCTCCGTATAGGATCATTCGAAAACCGCTCCGTCTCGTGGAGGAAACGAAAACGTCACCGTTGTAGGAGAAACTTGCAACTCGTTCACCTAAAAGAAAGAGTGAAAAAAGGATGAAACGCGCGCATCGAGGCCAACAAGTTAGCAGCACCATCGACATTCTCCTCATATTTGGCAACGCGAGCAGACGATATTCTATCTTTAAGTCTTCATTCGCGCCGCTTAGATAGAATATAAAAAAAGCAGGCGTTTTTTTAAAATGCGGATTTGAAAGTCACAAAAAGTCACACAAATTTAGGGGATTAAATGAAAATATTTTTGCGCGCTTTATCGTATTTCGTTCTTAAAGGTTGGGCTACACACGCCTTACCGCGGCGTTCGGTACCGTACAATGCATGTGTTATACACAACACTCATGAGACTAACCGCTATTAACTATCAAGATCTTTTCGTTTTCTCGCAAGATATCGCTCACGAGCACTCTTAGCCTTCTCCTCCCTATCTACTTGCTTTTGAGCCGCAACTTGCTCTCTGACAGCCGCTTCTTTTTGCACGTTATCTTTACTCTTTTCTTCTACTAGTCTCTTGTCGTCACCTGTGGTTCTTTCTATCGTATTCGCTGGAAGTTTATTCTCATCGCCGCGGGAGACTTTTGTCTTTTGATCGATCGTTTCTATCGCTTTCGCCTTTTCTTCTTCCTTCTTCTCGTTTTGCGCAACAACTGCTGGCGAATGAACGAGTTTAGGCTCGGGTGCTTTCCTGGAGTGCGTCGCGGTATCACCCCCAGTTGCTACGTTTCTATTCATTAAGTTCGCATAGAACGACGTCATATCGGATTTCCCTTGTACCTCTCGTTCCTTTTCTCTCTGTTCGCGCTCGAGCTCTTCTTTCTTCCACTTTTCGTCTTCCTCCAACTTCTTCCTGTACGCGGACGTTATGAACTTTTCTTTGTCTCCGTACAGCTCGTCCTCCTTCTCGCGTTCTTTCATCAATCGTCTCTCGTAAGTAACATCCTGTTCACGCTTCCTGAAATCAGCCGCTTCTTTCAGTTGAGCGATGTACCTCGATTTCCGTTCGATTTTTTCCCCGTCTTTTTCTCGCAAAGTAGCTTCTCTTCCTTTTTTAATATCAGTTAATGCATCGTCGTATGCGAACACGTTCGGGTCTTCTTTCAAAGCCTTCTCGTAGATTTCCTTAGCTTCGGCGTCTCCCTTTGCTTGTGCGGCTTCTTGCTGTCGTTTAATCTCCTCGTTGTGTCGTTTTTTCGCTCTCTCTGCTTCGCTCATCGTGCCGTTTCTGTTGTCGTCGTTTTCTTCGTCGCTGCTTTCATCGTTCGCGAAAAGATTTACAAGCTTCGGCTTCTTTTTGTTTTTCGAAGAAGAAGCTTTCGCGGCGGGGTTCAAACCGTACTTCAACTTTGTCGTGAAGTCCATTCTTCTTCTTCTTCTTCGTCTTCTTCTTCTTGTTGTTATCGATGGTGTTATGTTTTGTTCATACGTGTATGTTCTTTGGGGGTGTATAAAATTTGAGAACAATTTGAAGAGCTCTAGTTCGTCACTTTTCGAAAAGAGCTCTGTTTCTCTTCCTCACAAGTCATCATCATCGTCATCATCATGCGTGCGCTCTCCTCGTTGAGCGCATCCACATCGCGCGTTGCAACAAAAGCGCAAAGACGAAGAGGACAAAATTCAACAATAATGAGAGCGACGACGAATGAGAACGATGATGATGGAGACGGAAAGAGAGGAAACAACAGAGATGGAAGGACAGGAAAGAAGGGGAAGGACATCTCGCCGCTGTCTGAGTTGCAAAGATTATCAGAGGAGCAACCGCGAGAGTGGACGGAAAGTTACAACAAAATCACTTTGGACGATGAGGAGGAGGAGGAAGGAAGAGCGAAAAACAAAACCGACGAAGACGAGGACGACGAGGATGAACCAAAAACGAAATTATTGAGTGGGGAGTGGTTAGAGAATGAAAAAACCAGCGAAGCGACGGCACTGGCGAACGAAGCATTGGTCATGTTTGCTGCTTCTTTCGTACTCGGTCCTTTACTCGATCATCAACACTCTCGCTTTGACGTCTTGCACTACGCGCATCCGGTGTATTTAGATATGAACATCATCCTAGCTCCCATTCTTCACAATCCGCTGTCCGAGCAGTTTATTAGCGTATTCTCGGGTCCTATTGGATTCTTCTTCGTCGGCGAGTCTGGAACGATCGAAACGGATTGGTGGGTAGGACCACTTTTTGGCGTAGCTGGCATAATTATGGGCTTAGGGACGACGACGCTGGATTCGATATTTCTTAGAAATGGCGTGAAAGCTCGACGCATCAAGGAAATTGAAGGTAACTTACAGCCAATACGAACGAAAGCTTTGATAGCAAAATCTCCCGCAAAACCTGCGGGTGGATGGGAGCCTTCCTGGGGATTTACGCTTGCTTCAATATCGTTCTTCGCGTTACAATACGCCGCGTCGTCCGCAGCAGGTCTAAGCTGGTCACTTGGGTAAAATTTGACGG